TTGGTATTATGCCTTCTGGCATATTCGATGTCACTTTATCTGGTGTTGAGGTTGTGGTGGGTGACGAGGAATCGTCAAGGACAGGTTCCGGAGGAGGTGAGCTGAAATCTTGTGTCGCGGTGGGCTCTGAAGCGATAGAAGGTCCCAGTGTAAAGTCTGAAGATTCGGTAGGAGAATTAGACTGTGCGAGAGGATTTTCTTCTGGCCTACCTGGTGTTAGTTCTTCTGGTGTTGAGGATGTGGTGGGGAGGGCGAGGACGAGGGTTCGTCGACGAGAGGTTCTGGCGGAGGAGGGTTGGAGCCTGGGGGTGGAGTAGGGTCTGAAGTAACGGCGGATTCAGATGCACTTTCTGAAGATTCAGGAAGAGAATTAGAATTTGTTGGAGGGTTCTCTTCTGGGCTACCTAGTGTTACTTCTTCTGGCGTTGAGGCTGTGGTGGAGGTGGTCGAAGACGAGGGTTCGTCGTGGAGAGGCTCTGGCGGAGGAGAGCTCGCGTCTGGGGATGGAGTAGGATCTAAAGTGACGGAAGGTCCTGGTGCACCGTCTAAAAATTCGGGAGGAGTATCAGACTGTGTCTGAGAGTTCGCTTCTTGCCCAGGTGGAGTTACTTCATCTGGTATTGCTTCATTTGGTCTTTCTTCATCTGGCACTTCTTCGTCCGGTATTGAGATAGCAGGCGAAGCCACGGAAGGGTAAAATGAATCAACGATGTCACCTACTTCTCGCATATACATTTCATCTTCAAAATATGATGATCCTGGAGCACAATGGTAGTAAATCGGCACATCGCCAGCGTTCTGCTCCTCTCCATTTTGAGAGTGATCACTCTTGTCTTGTTGACCTTGGGAAGAAGCCTGGCCCATGCCAGACATGGTGACATCCATGCTTGTGATGCTCTTGTTTACTCACTTGACTTGAGAAAAGTTCAGTATTCTGGGTCGCCTTGTAAGATACAATGTCCAAAAAAGTGACTTGTTTATAGAGTCGTTAGTTATAAATTTGAAGAAAAACAATTTATACGCGTAGGGTGCAAAAAACACATCCGGGATGCCGAGAGTAGTTTGTTCTGTGAACAACGCCATCTCGTCTTGTTCAAGTAGTTGAGCTCAACGAAGCGGGCAGAGTGACTCGAAAGCTTGTAACAAAGAGAGAGAATGCCCAAGATGTGATGCAATCTGAATCGCTTTATCTTTTCATCTGTGTCCTATCCTGAGGCCTCACCGAAACGAGAGAAGAAGACATTAGTGCATCCCATTCTCGCACGAAGTAAAGCCAGCGCTGGAAAATGTACATCGAGTGACGGGGGACTAATTGTATCCATGCTAGGTGTATAGCGCTCACTCGTTTCAGCATGATTGAAAGGTAGTTGTAGCAGCAACGGCACTTTAGCGAGTCTGGTGATTTTCTCTCAAAATCATTAGTTGTTATGCCACTAGCATTCCTCAATTGCAGCTCACCTTCTACTAAGTTAGTATCTCTTTCACTCCATGGAGCTCACCTGCATTGATATTCTTTTTTTACCGATTTTCAGTGAAGACATAATCAAAACCAGATGCTCATGGATGATTGTCGTACGTGCGCCTACTGAATGAAGGCAACGAACGAAAGACAAACAGAGTGCTGAAGTTATACGAATCGACAGTCTTCAGCCACTTCTGCGGTCGATCGGATCGATGCCTCTATAGAGGTATTCGGTACTCCGACGCGCACGTGATTTAGGGCATGCTTGCTCATCCCACGTCTTCCTTGCCTTGCGCAGAGGGAATCTGATAAAAAAGTTAAGGGGAAAGATGGTGTAGAGATCTCCCGTTGGATCAGAAATGTGTCCATATGGTTTCTGAGTCACGGTGTTCGTGCGTTGCGTCGTCACCAGATATGAAGCTCATGATGTTTGACTTGGGTGACACTATCACATGTTAATGGTGCAAAGGTGGCCTAAAACCACGACGAAAAAACAAAAATAATATCTTGAAGAAATAAATTTGTTTGAAGAATTGAGTGCGAGAACCATCTATCGGTCTAGGCTCCTATTATTAGACGTATGGGAAATAGTTGGCGTCGTTGGATAGGAGAAACAGCATATTCAAGTGTGATGTAAAGATACGCAATACCAAAGCGCGGGTGGCCGGTGCAGCCACACGTCATCGGACTGTGGCTTCAAGGAGAAGGGGAACCTGAGGGCAAAAAGCCTGCTGCCACTGGTGGTCGTGTGCCACGCTAGCCTGATTCGCTCGCCTCGCTCCTCCCTTTGGAAATTCATGTGCGAGAGAACCAAACAGAATCACCACAAATCCGGTTGAGATCCAGCTCCACAACACCACCCGCTCTACATCACCACTCGATCCATCCTGCTTTTCGGCAGACAAAGAGCTTCCTCTTCATAAAACAATTTCCATCCCGCAATTGCAGTATCGACAATCCTGCCCACTACAAGAAAACAACGTCACCTTTCTCTCCCTGTGTTTGTGTTGAGCTCTCCTCACCATGTCTGATTCCTTCAGCAACGATACCGCGATGCCTTCAATCGAGAAGAGCAACAATGTCACCGGCAACAACACCGCTGGCAACAACATGTCCAACTTTGTTGAGACTGCGAAGAGCAGTAAGGTACGCAGCTCTGCCATCAACAGCGTCATGGTCGATTGTCTGCTAACACTTGAAACAGTCTACGCACAGCTCCGATTCCCCTCTTCGCGTCACTGACAACTGTTCTTAGAAACTTCTGCCGCAGCATCAGCAGTAGCAAACCACCCAATGACCCAGAGCGTGGCTAATGGTATGTATACAGCTTCTCGAATATCAAGATGATGCTAATTCTCTGTTTTCAGGCCCCGTCGTAGAGAAGGCTAAAATCGAGTCTAACAAAACCCAAGCCGAATTCTCCAACCTTGCTGCATCCCGCCAAACACCAGAAACCCCAGCTGCCACCGGGCAACAACTCACCCACTACCACTCCTTCTTCTCCAGCTTGTTGTCCTGGAATAACCCCCGTGCTTCTGGCATTGCATACGCCTCTATCGTCACATTCATCTTCGCTGCCCGATATCTCGATATCCTCAGATATGCTTTCAAGCTCACATGGATGACTCTGGGTGTCACTGTCCTCGCTGAGGTCGCTGGAAAAGCCGTTCTTTCTCACGGTCTTGCATCACAATTCCGCCCAAAGAAATATTTCACCATTTCAAAATCCACCCTTGACTCGCTTACCGGAGATTTCTCTGAGCTTGTCAACTTCTTCGTGATCGAGTCTCAACGTATTGTATTCGCTGAGAACCTTTTCGCAACCGTTGCTGTATGTAAATTGTCCCATCCGCACGAATTCCAGCTAATCAGAAATAGTCTTTCCTTGGTGCTTTCATCTCATACTATCTGATCAAGTTTGTCCCATTCTGGGGTCTTACCTTGATCTCCACCACGGTCATCTTCATCTCTCCTCTGATTTATAAGACCAACAAGGAGACCATCGATCACTACGTTGCACAGGCCACCGATATCGTCAACCAGCAATCCAAGCAGGTTCGCGACATGGCCGCTCAACAAGCTTCCCGCGCGTCCGAGACCACAAAGCAATATGTTGGAGATTACTCGCACAAGGCACAAGAGTTGATTGGAAACGCTCGTGGACGATCCAACTCCCCAACTGCCGTCAAGTCCGAGCCTGCTCTCAAGCAAGATTCTCCAGCATTCAAGGCTGATGACTTCCCTGTCGCACCAAAGGAGGACTTCAAGGTACCACCATCTGTAGCAGACTCAGCTAACAAGCTTAAATCTGACGACCCATTGATCACCGCATAAATCAACATTCGCAGATGAAATGGCGTACTACTGCCAAGCAATACTGCCCAAGATTCGGGGCAAAAAGAATAAAATGGTGACGGGCAGCGGTAACACTATCGCTGATTTTGATATGACCTACGACCCTGGTACGAAGTATGATTCGATGCAGCAACTGGATTTGGCGGGCCTCGATGAAAATCACAAGGACCTGTTGTATTATGATGTATGGCGGCAATACAGATTTACTAGTCCTTTTTTGCGTTTTCCTTCTTAATTTGGCCCGACTTAACAATACCTGAATTGTTGGTTCCTTTGATTGGGCTTTTGTCAATCGGGTCATGCGGGTGCGTTGGTATTTTATTGCATGGCTTGCGTTGACTCTTTTCCTTTCTTGGGGGTTGAGGACATGGTGTAGGGGTTAGTTAGATTGTGACGGAACTGGAATTTGAATTTGAGGAGTAAAAGCAAACATTCATACTTCATGACGTGCCGTGATTTTAGCTATCGCCATTCGTCTCTAGGGGGTTGTGGCGAAGAGTAGATTCCTTGCTCGAGCCTAATTTGCCAAAATTGCACTGTCCTTCTAAACTCCAAGTTAATTTGAGAAAAAAGACACAAATGCGCTCCATCTACACTCTCTTGATACGTCGTGCTGTGGTACACTCGTGATTTGGTATTTGTTACAACTCGGGATAAATTTCTGATTGGGAAAGCACGAATGTCAAGTTCAGCCTGAGGCATCAACATGGCCTTCCTAGTTCCTACCTTCTTCACTATCCACAGGTGATCATCTTCCATACTCAAAAACATGTTTGACAATTCAAAATCGATATTTGTTACCCTTTTTGGAAGATATATCTTACAGAAAGAGCGGTTATAAAATCGCAACCTCCTTCACTGCTCTTACTTACTCAACACACCGTAGTACGTGCCTATGATGGCACCAGAAGCACCCGAAATCGTGGACCACAGAATCGTTGGTGATGAAATCGCTCGTGACAACACCGAAAAGTTCATTCACTTCTGTCTCGATTCCATGAGGACTATGCGCAGATACCTTCAAAATAACGAAGCTCCGGATACTGACCGGGCTTTTGTCTTGATTCAGCCCTGCGGTAGAGCTATCCTGGATCTCTTGGAAAACCTAGCCAACTGGTTATTGGTTCAAACGGATCCGACAGATGAATTCATCCTCGGACGAGCGAACGATTTGATTGAGATGGCACAAGAGAGACTTTACATGTACCCTTATCAGAATGTCCCCGCTTGTTGGACCGCGCTTTTCCGCGCTGCAAGTCTTGTGAAAGTTACGGCTTTGGCCCTCAGGGATAGTTGGGGCAAGATTGCGGAGAAGGATGGGGTCTCAATCACTACAGGGAAAATCACCCCATTTTCAGATGATATTATTGATAGGATGGTAGAAGCACTTGATACGTCAACAATTACTGCTGGTCCTACTCCGGATGTAGAGGGGCGGATACGCATGATGCATTTCTTCGATTTGCTGGAGAACCTCAATAATGCACTAGAATGCGCGAAAGGCCGTGAAAGTTTGGACATATACTATTCTTACATCAAGTTTCCAAAATCCAAGGCCTTCGTCCCTCCAGTTAAATATCCCCCAATGCAAAGGCTTTTTAGCAACTTCTCACCTCAGGATTTCCAACGGCACATGCTACATCCAACGGTCGGGTCTGTTGGCCCGGAACCGTTGATTATACGGAATGCTATTGACGATTGGCCAGCCATGTCAACTCGACCATGGAGCAGGCCATCATATCTGTTGGCTAAAACCATACATGGTCGTCGACTTGTTCCTATCGAACTTGGTCGAAGTTACGTTGACTCTGACTGGGGTCAGAAGATTATTACGTTCAAGAAGTTCTTAGATGATTACATGATGAAGGAAGAAAATGATGTTCAAGGGCAAACCGGATACCTTGCTCAGTATGCATTATTCCGTCAGATTCCTGGATTAAAAGAAGACATCAAGATTCCGGAATATTGCCATGTGGAGACATCAGAGCCTCACGACACATCGCCGTTGGCCGAAGATCATAGACAGATACCAATTCTGAAGAACCCAATCATAAATGCCTGGTTTGGTCCTTCGGGTACTATCAGTCCATTACACGTGGATCCTCACCACAATATTCTTGCCCAAGTCGTAGGCAGAAAATACGTCCGACTTTACGCTCCAAAGTACTCTCACATGTTATACCCGAGAGGTGTCAATGAGAACGGAATCAACATGAACAACAATAGTCAGGTCGAAGTGGAAATCATTGAAGGATGGGATTGCGGAGCGGACCGGCAGGAACGTGCTCAGAAGGAGTTTCCCAAATTCTCAAAGGCACGATACTTCGACTATATCCTCGAAGAAGGCGAATGCCTTTACATTCCCGTCGGTTGGTGGCACTATGTTAGAAGCCTGAGTCCAAGCTTCAGTGTCAACTTTTGGTTCAACAGAGACGAACCTCTAGAACCAGATCCGGATGTTGAGGGATCAAAGGACGACGTGACGCCATCCGATATGGAAGTCGCTGGATCGGATTTTCAGTCGACGACACCCGTTACGCAATTTCTTGACCATGGAGCATTCGTGATCTCGTGGACAGATGCATGAACGTTGTAAGATATCAAAATCACGTGACTTCACCTCAGACTGATCGTGCTTGGAAAATACCCTATCCATAATCATTAGTACACGCAGGCGAATGGAAAAGAAAAACAAAGGAAACACTTGGGTTAGTCTAATTTATTTATCCAGAATTCTTCTTCTTCTTCGTAAATTACCATAAGGAGTTACGGCACGCTGCCGTTCTTTCCTGTCAGCGTCGTCACGTCGCATGTTTCGTGATGACTACTCACTGGTGATGAAAACCAATCAGCACCGCAGTGACAGAAATACGGACGGATGCTTCTTTTTTTGGGGGCTTAGATTGGATGCACTGCCAGTGAAATACACGCGGTATTTTGGGACTGCCTCGGTGTCGCAGACCGACTTCAGCCCTGATGTATGGGTAGTTGAACGTTGGCTGACTTGAAAGTAATTATTTCCAAAGCTTCTTAAATTCCATAAAAAAGAGAAATTGGACTTGTAGAACCTTGTGTTCGAGTCTCGTCTGTTTTAGGTGCTTACATTAGAGTTAGCTGATAACCTCACCTGTGCTCTGTCGTTGTCCCGCACTCTGAAGCTGTGTAATATGTATAGCCAGAGCGGTTAGAAGTTAACTTTGGTCCAAGACTCGAATTCAGCTTCTTATGTACCTGGCCCATCATCTGTGAACAGACAAATCAAACATGGTATACTGCGGGAAACCATCAACGAGTTGCCACGCATGTAGAGAAAGGAAAACTCGAGTAAGTTCCCTCTACCTCTCTAGCTCCCGTCTATCAATCTCCGTACATCTTGCTAACTCCCACAGTGCGATCGTCAAACACCATCATGTACCAATGTATTCGCGCTCAGAGATCGTGCCCTGGATACCGCAATCAGTTGGATTTGATGTTCCGGATTGAAAGTGAGAGTGTTGTGGGAAGGTTAAGGGTAGAGAGAAGAAGCCGAGAGTCAAGGGAAAGTCAAGTCGACGGCGGAATTTATTGTTAGTCGACTGTGTAGATCTATTAATCGTCACAACATCACCTAGTTACGGCGTTGGATCTGACTGGAAACTGGAGCAGGATTCGAAGTGATTAGAGGGATAGTTCATGAAACACTTCGACACGAAATTCAAGATCTTACTAGCCACAAAGAAGCTCTCGAAAATCAAAGCAACACCCTCCTTATGCCTAAGAATCCAGATCTCACACCCGCCATCCCTAACACCCTCAAAACATAGGTTATTAAAGAAGACTTAACGATTTTCTAGATACTACTTTACCATATCTTGGGGGTAGGCTGAAATACGCACTTCCAGATCGTGAAATTGACTACATTGTCATTATGTCATGTGACGACGTGGAATATCAGAAGAGCGAATTGGAATTAGCGAAAGCCCTTGATATTTACTGTTGTGTTTTGCAAATAAACTTTAATTACCACTAGCTATTTTAAATAGTCTGTTATTATAAGAAAACGTGATATTCGTTTTCTAACTCGAAAGTTAAAGTACTTCTGACACTAAAGATGTAGTCTAAACCAACTTCAAAGTTTCCTTGCAAGGGAATAAGCGGAGATCTGATGCCTTTTTTTACCTTGCACTAACTTGATGTATCATATTTGAAGGAGAAAGTATTTGGAAATTTGTTTTATCCCATATTTTGGAACGTGACGAAAGTTTTAATAGAGGAAGAAAAGAGAAGATTTTTTTTTTGCTGGATGGATAAAGCAGGTTGATTTGCAGCTCTCGATAGAACATTATACTGGCTCCCCTTTTTGGTCCAAAAGTTGTATTCGAGTGTTCGTATTGAGCACTCGGTCAGCGGTTGTGATGGCAGTGTCACTGTAACGTCTGATTTCTTTGAGGTATCAATTTCATCGGTTTCGAAAACTCACCTTTCATTTGTAAAATTGTCATACCAACTGACAATACGACTCACATCGTAAGATCTCTAATATTGCTGCAATTTCGCTTATCATGTGAAAACAAGTTTGGTATCTGCCTTGCATGACCGTGTTTTCGTCATCGAAGCTTTCTGTGTCATTCACCACAACTCTCCACCTCGGTTGAGAAGTTTGTCAGCTTTATCTGTATCAATTTTTTTCCATATCCCCAGAATCGTTTTCAATACATCACAATTTGTTACCTCACGTTTCAATGGCGTTTTCTGTCGGTAATTTTCAGCTTCCAGACTTTCCTCTGTTTGAAGAGATGGGCGAAAGCCGGTCTGGTCAAACTTCTTCGTCAACTGCAATTCAAGATGACTCTACGCATAACGCTGCTGTTAAACCCATTCCAGACTCTCAAGATACGAAAGACGGAAGTAATTCTCTGTTCGAGACTTCGATCGAGCAACCATACTCACAAGATCACTATTCCGCCATCCAAGAAAATTTCTTTGCGTATAGTCCACCCCAGCCTGTCGAACATTCCGATCTTGTCCCTTCCGAAGGCCTTGAAGTACCCGGTTATCCTCAAGTTCGTTTTTACAGCAATCCTTCTCTTGGCGAATATTATCAGCTCGGCAACTCTATATTTAAACCGTTGAAGCAGTTTTACCCTCATACACTGCAACCAGTGGAGCCTGAGTATCAACCTGCTCACGCTTCGTTTCGGTACATGGACACTCCATACCCAACCTCTTTTTCCGAGTCTCCGCACACGTACAAGCTTAAGCCGATAAACGCGACACAAGATTCTCACACGCATAAAAAAGAAATCCAATATCCTCACCCGTCAACAGAAAAACAAACCTCCCACACCGATGAAGAAGATTTACCGCAACCTCACACACCAATCGAAACACCATCATCGCTCGCTCCCCATCATATACCAGTTACATCTGCAGAAGTCTCAGCTCAATACCACGCAGCCAACTCACCATACCGCAACCGCCCTCGCCAGATTCGAGATCTCTCCGGTTTCACCTCCCCAGATCCAGCATACATAAACTGTCAAGTCGGCGAACCATGTTACCCCGCCCCCCTCAAGATCCCCTATTGCGCAAAAACAACACAAGAGCTACTCACCCACATGCGAGACTGGCACAACATACACCCTAAGGAGGAGATGGCGGGCACATGTCGACGATGTAAATGTAAATGGTATTTCAACTGGGATCGCGAGCGTCATTATGAGTCTGAAGCGCATGTTGAGGCTGTGTGGAGGAAAGCTGCTGGACCGTCGATTTATTCTAAGGGAAAAGGAAAGGGGGTTAAAGGTGGAGGGGAGAGTGTGAGTGGTGGAGGGGTGTATATTCCTGGTCATGACTTTTTTGCGAGAGGGCCTGAGGGGTATAAGGAGAGAGAACAGGTGCAGAAGGAGAGGGAACATATAGAGAAGATGAGGAAGAGGATGACGATAGAGGCGGAGAATAGTGGGGGGAGGAAGCGAATTCGTGTATGATTGGAGTCGTGTGGTTTTCCTAACAGACTGTTGTTGTGGTGGTATGTTAGTAGAGCTCAAGAGAGGAGACTCTTTGTTTGTGTGTACGTTTTCCATACCAGGTAAAACCACATCGCATCATTTGATATGTTACATATCAGACGAAATGTGCTGGTTTGTTAGATAGGACCAAATGTTTTGTTTGTGTTAGAGGTGATTCTTTGTTAATGTAAATCTCTTTTAATTATCTATCCTATATCACATCACTAACATAGCAAATATTACACAAGGAATGCTGGTTTTTAAACTTCTCTTTGAGATTTCTTGACACTAGTAACTAGGCTGTTGGGTTCCCTTCTTGAGCTTTTCCGAAGCCTAAATTTATTAAAGATTAAGCCAACTGTTTCTTCTTAGTATATAGTATAAAACCCCCTCGAGTTTGAGCTTCCTGTTCTCAATCATAATATCAATCTGGATATCCAAAAGTATTCATAGAATCGACCTTCAAGTCTTTTACCTCAATTTAAACTAGTTTTATCCTTCAGAGCTTCAACAACTCTTTATAAAAACGCCATGTATCAACTAGAAGAAGGAAAATATGTTGATAATCCATTCCATGGTACCTCTGGTATCTCAATTAAGAAGCCAGGACCCTCCGGTGACGCTCTACATGAGGTCAAAAGGGGTCAAGATGTCGACATGAACCGGTTGCCCATGGCCTGGGACCCCACTGATGCGAACGTCCGTCGTTTGTTCGTATGCCCTTGCGAAGCCCAGTGTTCGACCGGTACCACAGAACGCAAATTCGCCTCCTGGGACAGGAAATACGTTATCGAGCACCTGGCGTTAAAACATTTGATTGAGGCGTTACCCGGAACCGGATAGGCATAGGACAGATTTCACAATGTGAAAAGTCACAGGAGTATTTTGTGTGGTGGCCCGAGCATGAGTTCACTGAGCGTAAGGAGAACAGCGGTCGCATAGTCGAAACTACATTTTCGATTACAATATTTGTCACGGGGTTTATCTTTGATATGTATTCTTGGGGTGCTGAAACTTTGAACTTTTCATAGGATGGGAGCTATAGGTCAGTCGTTAGGGATATTAGTTTCGTTGAGTTTGACCCATTTATTCGGGCTTGAGGTGCCATTTACATTCATTAAGATTTTTTCAAAAAGCGATACATATGTGCAACTCCCTTTACCAATAAATCGCATTCGTGAATGCAGTTATGTTGATGATTCGATGAATGGGCCTTTTGACGAACGGATTAGAAAACACATGTCGTGAAAAAATAAGCTGGTATGTTGGTTAACTCAAGATCAAAATTCATGTCGGGTCAGAGGTGACTGTGTGTTCGAGTTTCCCAGTTGGCGCAATACATCACGTTCTTGAGATAACACATGTGATGAAGGGTATACTGGCATGTGGGTAAAGTCAAGCCCAAAACTTTGGTTTGGTTATTGTTACAGCCTTTTCTTCGTTCACATATGTTACCATAATCTGAGCCATATCATATCCTTGAGACAACACACATCACACAAGGCATGTTGATGTGTGCACTTGTCTTCAAGTTACATTGATACTCATAACCAGGTTCTTGATTTTGCCTCTTGACGCAAATCTAAACCGAAAAATCCTGAGCACTTCAGTCATAGTATGCTCTTCATCCTGGAGGCTAGAGTATAAATACCTCACGAGCTCCAGATTCTTTTCCTCTTCCCTCAACAACAATCTGGATAAACACAAGCATCTTCAGAATCAAACAACAAATCTTGTCTTCTCTTCATCCTCTTTTCCAACACCGATCTCAATACCGATCTAAATATCCACAAACAGTCATTATAATCAAGTACCAAGTCTTCCATCTCAGTCACACACAGCTTAGTCTTCAGAGCTTCAATAAACTCTCTACCAAAACACCATGTCTCAACAAAGCGGAATATGGGGAAGAACCAATACTCACAACCCATTCGAAGTCGCCGGTGGGTTTGTAGTAATCAGGCAAAAACAATTCGGTAACAGTCTCTACATGGTGGAAAAGGATCAAGAAGTCGACATGAGAAACTTGCCCGCAATTCTGAATCCTACTATTGAGCGCCCTGGTCTGTATTACGTATGTCCTTGTAAAGATCAGTGTGGAATCCTCACAGGAGAAGGCAAATTTGCTTCAGACGAAAATACAGTCATCGAACACATGAAAGTCACCCATAATGTTAGACCGTTAGCCAGAACGGTATAGGACAATTTATCACGATGTGAAAAGCTACGTTGGGGTTTTGTGTGCTAGACCAAACATGCTGTCAATGAGCATTTGGATTGGAAAAGGTCACGTTATGCCTACTGGAAAATACATCAAATGTTGCCGAGGGGAATCATATTTGCGAAGTTGTCGGGCGCTGGTGTTTTGAGCTTTTTCATAGGACGGAGACATAGGTCGGTGTTAAGGGTATCAATTCGATGGTTTTTTCACCCAGTTATTTAGGATTTTAGCTTGAGATATTTCGTACTTCAGGGGCGGGTTTGTAAGATAGAGAGGCTTTATTCGGGCGTGGACATTAGACTGTTAGGAAACATATTTACAACGGAATTCAAGACTTTTATCATTAGAATGTTTCACAATTCTTCCTTGGTTCTACTAATTCCCAGTTGTTTTCAGGTTAAACCTTTGATGAAAATAAATCCTTACAAAAGACGGCATCTCCAAATGATAGATAGATAGAATAATTCGCATCTGCTAGATCTGCCAAGGAGGTGTGTCTTATTATTACATTTTTTAAAATTCATCAAACTGCGATGAATAATAAGCGAAGCCCTTCTCCTTTAAAATTCATAGATGCGCTTTACTCAGGCTTATTGTACTGTAAGATGGCTACCAAGAGTCATGGCGTACTATGACAGAACACTTCTTGCGCTCAGTAATACATACTACAAAGTGCATACTAACAACATGTGTACGCTTCAACAAGTTAAGATATAGTCATAAAAGTAGTACTACCATATGCGCGACTCACTAATCAAAATGCAGCCATAGCTACAGTCATTATTAGTCTTCTTAAATATTTTCTGAACGTCCGATTCTTCGAAACCTTAAGCTTGAGTCAAGCATCCTTTGTATTCTGCAGTATAAATACCTCTCGAGTTCGAGCTTCCCCTCTTCTTTATTAAGTTTCTTAGCCCCAATTTGAATATCTATCAACATCCTCAGAGTCAAAATCAAAACCAAAAACCAAAGATTCCAACTAAGCCAAAATCTCCGTAACTTTTGGGGCTTCAACGGAATACTCGAACAACATGTCTCAGCAGAGCGGAAACAATGATCCCAATCGAACCGGCGATACTAAAGGATACCTGAGCGCCGTGAAATCGGAAGATGCGAACCATCTAAGTATGGTCCAAAATTCTACCAAAGTCAACGTGTCAAGATTACCTGTTGTATGGGACCGTGGTATATCTACTGTTCAAAAGGTCTTTACATGTCCTGCTGAAAAGCCGTGCGGGTATAACACTGCCCAATACAAATTTGCATGTCTGCAGGAGGATGCAATACTTTCACATTTGGCCAGCAAACATTCTGTAACACCGGCTGATAAAGATAATGATCAGAGATTGAGAAATTGTGAACACAAAGGGTGTGCGTCGTCGTTTTATACTGAACAGGGATTGCAAGATCATAAGTGGAATGACGAACACTGATCATATGCTGGAAATCATACCACATCATGATCGATGGCAGCCATCCTTGCGACATATTGGGGGGGGGAATGGAGATATAGCTCGTTGTTACGGGAATCAGTTTGAAAAGTTTGTTACCTACTTATCTGGGCTTTTGGGTTCGGAGAATTTATACTTCAGGGACGGTTTCTTTTGGGTTCAGAAAGTTTTATACTTCAGGGACAGTTTGGTCAGACCGTTGATTTCCCATTTAGGGGATCTAGATATAGGTCAGTGTTAAGGGCGTTGGTCTCGCTCAGTTTGACCTCTCTATTTGAACGTTTGATCTGGGATATGTCATTCGTAGGGGCGTTTTTGTAAGATAGTCATTTTCTACTTGGGGGGTAGGCTGTTAGGAAACATGGTCAGGACGAACTTCGAGACTTTTTATCATGGCTATTCTTTCACATTGTTTCTTGGGTCCCGCCGAACCTCAACTACTTTTCAAGTGGGTGTTTTGAAAAATCAGAAACGTAATGTAACGCTCATGTCTTTAGTCACGTGTGGCAAAGCAACACTAATAAACATTCTAAATCAACAATATTTAGTGTTATAATACGTTTCTCGAGGAAGCTTTTAGCAGTTTAACATAAGTTGGAATTTTGTCTTTTGACAGTCCTTGTTTCATTCTTACTAAAATCACTTATCACTTAGAAGAATGGTATTTCATGTTTGTATACTTTATGACTAGATAACATTAAATTTGAGCCAAAGTTAACTAAGGTCATTTCCTCCTTCTAGATAAACCAATTTCCTAATTCTGAATCTATCGAGGAGGTGGATCTTACTCTAATAAACATTCATCAAAAAGGTGATTGGCATATGGCGAGGCGTTTTTTCGTAAAAAAAATTATAGAATATGAATTCCACCCAAAGCTTTCTAACTGTGAGAAATTGAATCTAAGATAACAGCTCCATTTCACTGGGAAAAAACTATTTCCATGGTTCAGTGACACATCTCATGAAAAGCATGCTAAAGCGTGCACTTTGTAATAATTCAAGATCAACTCACGACTAGGTTCTTTGTTTTTCTCATCGACTCCTTCAGTGGTGTCAAATGCCTCGGATTTGAGTCAATTAATTATATCTGTTTACTACGAGTCAATCATCGATTACTTCTCGAGCTTCCGCCGGATGTGTCACGAGAAGTATAAAGGCGTGTACACGATTCACGAAGCCATGGATATGTGCACAACTAGATTCTTTGTTTTGGTTCTTAACTCCTTTTAAGATGTCGGATTATTTGAACTTGACTCAAATGATTTGTTGAATTTACTACCAGTCACTGAGATAGAACACTTCCCGTGTTTTAGCGATACATGTCACAAGAAGCTCACTATCGTACACGTTTCATCAAATTAAGATAAACTCACAGGGTCGTCGTCTTTTTCTTGACTGTTTCCTGACCATCGGATTCCTCAAACCCTCGTACTTGAGTCAAGGAATTTTCCCCATTATGGAGTATAAATATCCTCGATCTTGGGCTTTCTTCTCATTTTCTTCATCTTCTTTCAACATCCATCCTTCGCATGCTAAGCAACTAAGCACAGCCAATAATTCAAGTTATTCTTACTTCTCCAAATTCTGCTCAAGTCTTAACGGAACTATCATGTCTCAACAAAGTGGACAACAAAGAAGCAGCCACGGAAGGAGTGGTGGAAGCCGTCGTGATGGAGGCCAATCATCTTCCAATAGCCAAGGAGGTGAAGGGGGACAAGGAGGTTACCCAGCTTCTGGATCAAGCAACCAACAACACGAGCAGATTTTCACATACCAAACTGCCAGATTACCAGGGCAACCGGTTCATGACATTTCGTCACTGCCACAGGGGTTACATACTACTGATGCAGGTGCGATAACTTACCTCAACGCTACGTCGGACCCCGTAGCTCTCCAAGCCTATAGACAGCAAGCGTCGAATCCACCCCCTCCGAATCCCAACTATTTGACTCCAAGTCAGTACCCTTATAGTGGTAGCTCTCAGGGAGCTAACCCTTTACCCTCGTCCAGTTCCGGTGGCTTCGGAATGTCCGCAGGCCAAGCTTCCAGCAGTCAACAACCATTGAACAGTGCCATCGCACCATCTGTCAAAGATGGCGAACCGTTCGACATGTCATTGTTACCTGTAACAGCAGATGGCGATGGCTTCATTTGTTTTGGATGTCCTTTGGAAGAAAAGTGTGGTAAAAAGAGGCATTTTACATATACGGAAATTGCGATGGTGAAGCATCTTCGAGAGAAGCATGGTATTGAACAGAAAAGGGTGTCTGAACCATTTGAATGTCCTCTTTCCAGCTGTGACTTTATGTGTTGGAGTCAACACGGTTTGAGTGTGCATACTCAGAGCAGCAAACACATATTGTCTACCGATTCGATTAAGAAATCACGAAGGTAGCGGAAGGTATCGAATATCAGGAAGGTTTCATTCCCGAAAAAAAATATTAGTGTGTTAGCGGCATAGTGGATTTCAGTCTCTATCAACGATATATGTGGGTGGTAGATTTTTCATTGAGTATTTGGAGTTTCTTTTTAGGATATCATCAAGATAAGAGTTGTCTGTGTACGATAGAGAATTTTACAATTTCGGGATAGAACTTTTGGAAGACATATTTAGAATCATATTACATACCTTTACCATAACCACTAACATTTCCCTATTTTGTCTCGTAAAACTCATATGGTCAAGGAGTTCCACACCCCATTCTTTATTGCGACAATTCCAGAAAATCTTTAAGAATATGCAAAAGAGTACTCCACTGCCATCATTGAAGTTGTCAAATTCACGATGCGTTCACTATAATTCATGTATCACTAAGGATGTGCGACTCGTTCGGTAGTTTGGTTTATGAATTTAATTTAGGTCGAACATAACACCTAAGCTTCTAAAGTGTCCGTCTCAACTAAGTCACTTTCTGAACATGAAAACATGTGTTGTCGAGCGCCGGACTCTCTCTACTGTGGAAGGTGATATTACCAAAGTGTCGAATCTATCCTAGCACACCCACGGGTATGACACAAATCTTTCGCTGTCCCAGTGATTAATGGTGGTAGATCCCGGAGAGTCTTGGCTCTAGTGAGTGTTTTAAATCAGAATCCTCGGTACCCAGACTCACTAATTTCATCCACACATGTTCGTGTGATGGGGAATCAAAATAAACTCTTATAGAACACATGTTCTAGATAATGTAATGTTGTTACGCGGACAAAATGAGTCTCGTTGCATACTAGGGGTCAAAGTATGAACTTACACATGTTCGTATGATTTAGCTAACAAAATGTGTTCTAGTGTAACATATGTCCAAACAATTCATGACTGCTTGAATACATATTATCGTTTGAATTCACAATCCGATTTTAGGTTTTCTCTATAAATACTCCCTTCTCCCTCCAAAAAGCGCTGAACTTCATCAAACCGCATCTGATCTCTCGTCGATACTCGAGGAACAGCACAGCATAACTCGTATCATAAACATCACAACTCATGTACCTTGGTCTGCTTGGTTTACTATTCTCTCCTAGACACACTTTTAAAAATTCATTTTTCCACCTAGCATATCAGGGACATCCAAAATGTCGGACAGACAAGGACATCGAGACGTGATTAGATATGATCCGATATTACACGGCGTAGAGCCTGGAGAGTATCTCTACGATAAATCCGTTATTGATAAGGGGGGTGGGTCTATCGGTCCTGTCACGGTGCAGAAAGCTCACGAACAACAGATGCACAGATCAAAGATCCATCTTCTCGAATCCGCTTTGATGAGTATTACTCTGACGACGACTGGTACCCGACTATGGACTCGCATTCTAGTGATTTCGAACAAAATGCTGGAGAATCTTCGAAAACACCGGCCAAAAGTGCGAACGATAATCGTGAATTCAACATGCAATATACAGAGCCACCCTTGAAAGATGGACCAGGGTTTGCGATCCTCAACGAGCACAACATATACGATACCGAGTTTCCGGACAATCATGATTACATGATATGCAACTATCCAGGTCCTTGCCGAAAAAATTCACCCAATTTCAAAGAGAAATACCGTACGAAAGATGACAAGAGGATGGTTCATCACTGGGTAAAGATACATGGCCAAAAGCCGCCTCCTGATGCACAAAAGAAGCCTTGCCCCTCGTGTGCTAGAACATTCTACCATGCCTGGCCACTGACCAAACATAAAGCTGCCAACGAATGTAAAAGGGGAGCACCACGCAAGGGACACTAGAAAGTGAGGGCTCGCCCTTGGTAAACCTAGAACGGCTGTGGGAATCGACCAACTGGCAACAAAATTATTCCGACACAAAAGTCAAAAGACATATCGAAAGCAAGAGACACAAAATTTAAAACAAACGAATGTTAAAACAGAACAGAATCATGTACAAATATCTTCTTCATCTATCAAACCGGGTTCTTGGGAAATAGGGATTTTCAAACTTAGATACCGACGAGAAATAGAATTCTATCCATCTCAATTTGATCCTCGCATGCATTTTGAAAACCTGTAAGTCTGTATACGAAAGTTGACTATTTCTCTGTTCGGTTCTTTCTCCACATTTCCAGGGCCTAGATCGGTCCTTCCGTCGATGCTCTGGTTCACTTCCAATATTCACTTCTCACGATTATGAAAGCAAGCTACACTCGAGTCAATATCCCCGATAAATCATTATATAGATCGGTGTGGTTAATGAGAGGGAATGACCATTCATGAAGTTCACGATAGTCAGAAAGCTAGGAATGTAGCAAACGCGAAGGACCAAAAGGGACTCGATCAAGATGTCATTGGCATGTGTCCAAATACTAAGAGTGGCTTGCATATACAAATGACAAGAACAGAAAATTTATTTATGTGTAATAACCAAGGTGAGACGATATCGTTTCAGCTGCTGAGTTGACTTAATTGTTCCTCGGTCTAAGAATTTGCTATAGAGAAGGATGAAGTACGGATGCGAGCTGCATAACGAATAAAGCCGTGTTGAAATTTTCATTTATTTTCACTACAAAATCATAAAGTGCAACTGACAGAGATTGGAAGAAGCATACCAACAAATCGAGTGAAGATTCTTGACGTAAATTCTGCGCACGGGATTGTTAAAATACCTATTATACCTACATGTAAATAATATACATATCTACGCTAACTGCCGCATTGCTTCTGGGTGATGTGCTGCAACAGCGGCCGCCAACTACGTCAAACAATTCTCGCCAACACAGTTGTTGGAAATGCGCCGCTGGCCAACAGGCCAACAAATACTAAGTACTACGAAGTACCCCTCATCAACTCTCATTTTCTCAAAACTCGTCCACATTTTTTTCTAAGTTGTCTCGATTCTCCATTGCAAAGTTCAGATAAACTAAAACGACACCATGGCTGGTGATTCAACCGTCACCCTCATTACTGGGCCTAACAGAGGTAAGTTCCACCTCTGAGACAGATTTTCCTAGCTAAATAGACATTGCTCCCAGGTATCGGTCGCGGCATGCTAGAAACCCTTCTCACCCGTCCAAATAACACCCTCATCGCCGCAGTCCGCGACCCAACATCTATCATATCTCAAACCCTCAAAGACCTCCCCCGAGCAGCAGGAACCTCAATCCACCTAATCAAAATCGACTGCTCCATTCCCACCGACCCAGCCGCAGCCATCGAAACCCTAAAAGCCGTTGGCATCTCCCACATCGACACCGTCATCGCCAACGCCGCCATGGGCGACACCGGCGAGTCCGTCCTCAACACCTCCCCTGACGACGTCCGCCGCACCTTCGACACCAACCTCATCGGCGTCCTCGCCCTCTTCCAAGCCGTCGAACCACTGCTCCGGGCCTCTGAGAGTGGAAACCCGAAATTCATCGCCCTCAGCTCGAATCTAGGAAGTATCGGTCTAGCACCCTACATCCCCGGTCCTTGGTTCTGCTACGGCGTCACGAAAGCAGCATTGAACTACATGATGAGGCGCGTGCATGTCGAGAACGACTGGTTGACAGCGGTGTCTTTGCAACCGGGGTGGGTACAGACTGAGATGGGGAAGTTTGCTGCGAAGGCTATTGGGATGGAGGATGCGCCGATGAAGTTGGAGGATAGTGTGAGGGGATGTTTGAAGGTTATTGATGGTGCGTCGCGGGAGAAGTGGGCTGGTGAATTTGTTGATAGTGAGGAGAAGGTTGTTTTGTGGTAGAGAGTGAGGATTGAGGTCGGAGTAATAGAGCTTGAAGTTACTTTTTTTACCAAAAATTAGGGAGCAAATCCAGGAGTCCTGCAAATACGTTGCCCAGCGCTTTTAATCGAATTCATCGCACTAACACAAGTTAGGACCTTAAAGTTGTCTGGAAGATAGCGTAGGATGATTAAACCTGTCATGAAAGCTTGCAGAAAAGGGTCGGCAGTTAGCGAATAGAGATCGTGCTCAAAAGGGGGGCAATATCAGGCGCCAAAACGTGTTTGCATCGTCACGTGCGTGACTTATCTCAATGCTTCTTATCAACCAAACTAATGGGCATCTTCAATTGTTGCATTGTCACTAACCAAAGCCTTTATCGTATTCCCTATCTCTCCACATGGATAATGGAACTCACGTGGGGTTGACGCCAAACAAAGGATCGAGAAAGAACAGCAATGGACTGTGCACTGACAATTGCTGAACAGAACAAGAGACAACAGCAGATGACATAGTAGCATAAAAATGGCCTTGCAATCTAATAGAATTATTAGTCTCATCACCCAAATTGAGTGCTTGTCTCAAAAAAAGTGAAACATCAACTTGCTTAACATGTTCAGAGGTCCTGTTGACAAGAAGCACCTCATCATGACTCTCAAATCTCCCCTCAATTTCATCCGACGCAAGCAACACAGCATCAATTTAAAATCCTTGGCCGTCTCAATCCGCCAAAAATTCAGCAATAACAACAACAATTATGACACAGATTCCACGTCCTCCAGCGATTCCGACTCCTTCCCCATGGAACAGTTCGGCTCACCTATGTCCCGTGAAGTCGTACTCAGCTTCTTCAAAAGCCCCGGTGCAGAATTTCCGTTCGCAGCGTATAATGTGGCATTCAGTCGACTGACACTGTATTGTCCGTTTGGGCTCCAGGGTAGAGGGATTTGTGGGTCCAGCTTTAGCAATGGTCCGTATTCAGCTGAGTATGAATGGGAGATGTTGCAGCATATTAAGGATACGCATGGTGTTGATGTGTGCGGTTTAGATGAGGACAACGAGTGGCTATGTAGTCCTTCGAGTTGTGCGAAGTGTAGGTACCTGACTCGGATTCCGACTTTGTTGCAGCGCCATACTAGTAAATGTACGGGTCGTCGGGAGGTACAATGGGTTTGATGAAATTTGGTCACTAGCTTTGTTAAACTTGCGGACTTTAACGCAAAGCTAACCATGGATCTTCTCGTTGCTGGCGGTCTTATTGATCAGCGAATGGAAGAATCACCTTCGCCTAAATGATATCGATTAGTCAACTAGAGCTAGAAAGGAAATAAACACATTCCCCATGCAAACGTCTTTCCACGTTTCAATCCGCTTTCTTAAATTTGGTTTAAACACAAATAGCCGTCACTAGATGACCTGATCATTTCTTGAAGTACTTTGACATATCCTCATCCAATATATACGTAGCCTAGTCTAATATTAGTGCCAAGTTCCCTCGATAATAACGAAATACTCACAGCCCTATATGCCTGTCTACCTTCTCCGCCCTGAGTAATTCTTCTACACATGTCAAAAAACCTGTCTCGCTCCTCCAAAACCTCATTGTCCCATAATCTTCGAAAATTGGCGCGCGACATCGGATCGATAATTTCTCTCCACTTTCGAATACGAACTTCGCTCCATTTATCGAGAATAGAATCGTCCGCATGTCTTTCGTGAATGGCGAGTAAGCAATCGAAAAGCGAAGATATGTCTGCTATCCCGCCTGTGAGACCAAGGCCACCAAAAGGATTGCAAAGATGGGCTGCGTCAGCCGCCAGAAGTACTCGTCCGACTCTCATACTTGGAACACATCGCTGATGTAACTTGTATGGACTAATGTTTGCGATTTTGTAGTCCTCCGGTTTTGGTTTCCCAGGAAGTATCTCGGCAAATCTTTGAGCGTTACGCTCCAAATACTCTTCGTTCGTCAGACCTGGAATGTCGCCGTACGTGACTCTCCATAATCCATCGAGAGTGATCTTGGCGGCGAGGTACCAGTTTTGAGGGTGCAGTATAAATTGAGAGTCCCAGTAGCCAAATTTGTGGAAATCGTAGTATATCTAATAACCAGGTCAGCTACTTTCAAAGCATGGTAAGAAATACGCAATACATTTGTCGCGATGATTTGGCTACGAAGAGTCTCTCCTTGAAACTCATCCCCATACAGAGATTTCCTGACTAGACTGTTTGCACCGTCACAGCCAATCACGAAGTCGGCTTCCAATGTCACGACGCCTTTATCAGTTTCTACTATGACTTTTGCCTGCTTATCGTCTTGTTCAATATCGATAACCCTGTGGTTGAACCTGATCTCGGAGGAGTGTGGTCTTTGAAGATTTCGCGAAAGAATCGCAATTAGCTTGTCGAGAGGTAGACATACCATCGCATCCTCATAACTCGGGTCTGGACTGATTCCAGCAAGTATACCACCCTCTGGTGTTCGCCAGCAGACCCCTTGTGGCATGTAACCTGCTTCTTGCACCTCTTTTAGAAGTCCACATCGTCTCAACTCACGAACTGTGGAAGGAGCGTAATGCGCAGCTCGAGGATTAGTATCGAGTTCGGCCGATTGTTCGAGGAGCAGAACATGAATGCCGGCTTTTGCGAGAAGAATACCAAGAATCAATCCTGAAGGACCCGCGCCAACAATGATTACCTATACAGCTGTTAATCTAGCGTGCGTAATGGATTTGAATGAGTTTGTGCAGTCATACCTGTTTGAGTCCTGTGTTCTGGGCCATGCTTTAATTCTTGTACCTCTCAGGGTAGTGGTAACATCAATGATTAACAGTACTTGGAGGATGAGAAATATAGAGGTCAATGTGGGGTTTCAACCTCTCTGCAACCTCATAACTCAGTGGGGTGTGGCATTTATCCATTGCATCTTGGAAACTCGCTGCTCATGTCCCACTTCAATGATCGGAATATGGAGCAAGTAGTGAAGAACTAACAACTTAAAAGCAGAAAAAGGCGCCATAGCTTTTTTTGTTAAAATGAAAAAATGCAAAGATAGGAAGAAAGCCGGAAGCAGTAGGCTTGAGAAAAAATACCGTCGTAGCAACATGGCCTTGAGTTTCTCTGTATGAAGGTGGCCATCGGTCAGGTACCAGGCCGGGTCTGGTTTCTGGCCGTCTCAAAATACCTAGGTAATTTGCGAGTAACATAGAGTTGGTGTAATCGCCGGCTCAGTGAAGAAATCTCGACACCCATTTACTTTTGCTGGTTTTGCAAGCCGCTGCATCAGTTCGTGGACAATTGCGAGAGTGTTAGTGAGTGGAATCTAGAGGTCCCAACGCTCTGAACGCATGAAGAATAACTCAATTAGTTACATAAGAAACTGTCAAGGCTCGAAGGAAAATGTTGTAGAAGTTCAAGCTTTGTCGAGCAAACGACGGAGTCCAGATGGGAGAACCAGGGTCTCCAAGCCTATACTACTTTGGGACTAGAGATAATACGGCAGCCGAGGATGTTTTCTTCAGGCTGAAATGGAAGCGGGCCCTCTTCTCCTCACTATCATACCCATTACCAATACATCATTATTCTTTGATATTAAGGTACCAGATTATTGAAACCCCCAGTTGATGCATCTCGTTTCCCCAGCGCTGGAAAAACTTTTTCGCATCTTTTATCCTTTTGTTTCTCCGGGTTTCTGGTGTCGATTTTCTATGATCCGAACCAAGGTTCTGCGTACTTCGTCCACGGTTCCCTTTCTATCCCATGGAGGATTTGCTATTCCCTCTTCTAGCATCCCGAGACTCTCAACAAACTCGTATTTACTACAGTACTCGCTGGCGTTAGTGAGTGACAACTGACGGGAGTGCCGTGCCATACTAAGTCTCGCCGAAGACTAGCTTCCATGTACGGCGACGGATGAAGCTTAATCATGGAGAAGCTTAGATCAAACCCCGACATCTTCCCTGATCTGGGCTAGCCACGTTTACTCGCAGTGCCTTCAAGCATGCATATGCCTACTCTTTTGACGTCGACGTACCTGAATATGCGCGGGGTAGATTGTGGTAAAGTCAATCGGTCGCCTCCCCTCATCCGTACACGAATGGTAGTGCCATTCCGGGAGATTTCCCTGCCTTGTGTTCCTCTCTTGCGGAGCTAGCTCCCAGGTCCTCTTAAGGATAAGATGGCCAACATCCCTTTGCAACTTTGTGTTGAGGTTCTCTTGTACATTGTCATTTGTTATTTAGCGTTTGGCTGAATTGACTGCACAGATAAAGCACCTTCAAAATGCATTTGGCAGCGTTCTTAGTACTAGGAAGCACTTCAACTGTGCTTGCAAATTCCCAACATTGGCCGTCTTGGAACAAGCCTAGCCCACCACACCACGGCAGCAAATCTTGGATACCAAACTTCAAGAACTTGGTTGCTTTTGGAGACAGGTCAGCATCTAGTTCAATCATTAAAGAAAAAACTCCCGCTAAAACCATACAGTTATACCGACGAATCTCGACTAAGTTGGTTTTTTGGCCACAATGGTACTGGTCCACCTGCAGGAACTCTGACGCCTTTCAGTAATAATACTGCTGGAGGTGGTGTGACTTGGGATCGATGGGTTTCCGAATATTCTGGTGCTGCGCTTTATGATTACGCCGTTGCTGGGGCCGTTTGTGACAACAACATCATATATAGATATCTCGCTGGCATCAATGGGCCGTTTCCCGATGTGGTGTACGAGGTCAACTCGTTTGTTGCAGACACAAAATTCGTCAATGCTACCACTAACACCAACACACTATACACGAACCGGAAATCTGACAACACGGTTTACTCAATGTGGATTGGAACGAACGATCTTGGGAACGGTGCTTTCTTGACCGACAGCTCTTTGAATGACACCACCATTCCCGATTACGTGGACTGTATTTTCAAGCGATTCGACACGCTTTACAAAAATGGAGCGAGATACTTCGTGCTTATGAATACTGCTCCTTTAGAACTATCACCTTTGTATGGTCTGCCAGGAAAAGGTGGGCTGGCAGCCAGTCACTATTGGCCAGATAAGGTGAGTCGTGATATATCCACGCTGTAGATCTGTTGGGTATTAACACAATTCTAGCCTGCCAACATCACAGAAGTTTCATACAAAATGAAGGAATACACACAACTCGTTAATGACATCTACGCCTACCGAACACCTTACGAGTTGTTAGTCGCAAAGCGTTACCCGGGAGCTTCGATTGCAGTTATGGATATGAACAGTTTCATGTCGGATGTCTATTACAACCCAGCACCATATCTCTCCTCGCCTGCAAACGTCACTGGCCAGTACTACCTCTGCGACGTTGCTACTGGATCGCAGTGCACCAGCTCCAATACCACGCTAGACCATTTCTTTTGGTACGACGAATTGCATCCTTCTGAGCAGGTGGACAAAGCCATCGCAAAGGAGTTTATAAATGTAGTGAAAGGGACTTCGAAGTACGCCACATATTGGTGAGTGGATTGGAGGGTGGTTGGAAAGATACATGGAGAGCTTGTATATATGATCTTGAACATATCGATCTGGTGTGAAATTGTACACTAATAGGCTCCGAACATCGCCTATAACATTCATGCATCTGAATCATTGATGTAACCTTACTTAATACTCTTTTCTATCCCGGACCTCTATTGCATGAGCATGGTCCCCTTACCATTGTACCACCTGCTCACGAGCATAACCGAGTGCTAATACAATTGAACTGACGACTGCTACGCGCCTTTGATCTGGAGATTCTCGATATCTGATCTGATGGTTGATTCACTTGATGCGTGTTTTGGCTTCTGGTATTACATTAGCGCACGTCACCCAAAGCACTAGAACTGTCTAAAGCTTCGACACAGAAGCTAGAACAGACGAAGAATTATCATACTCTCCCTCTGAACGCATCCTCTTGTCATATCAGCAGTCAGTGGTACGGTGATTCGGAGAAATGTCGTGCATGTTTCCTCCCACCCTGCAGAGGTTGTCGTTTGTACGTGGGGCGCCAACGAATCGCCAGCCGTAGACCGAGGTTTTTGCCATGCTGACCCTGCTTGGCGAAGCTACTTTGCTGCATGATTTCTTGATGTTTCTCCATGATCCTCTGTGAAGCCATACACACAACGCAACCTCCACCACAACACCGTTCGTTTGGCAAATTCCGACCAGGCTGGAGCTCGTCGACGGGTAGAGAAGCAGATACCCCTGGATCTACGCCGGGCCCTCAGTACCCTGGTCTGCTGCCTCGCGCATCTGCACACCTTTCCACGACCGTCGCGCAACCCCAAGCCAACCTATCCAACGCCTGATCACCACCCATCTCAGCTGCTCGACGGGACTCACACGTTCGCGTTGCGCTGTGTGTGTACGAGCCATGCCTGGCAGGGTCCTGTCGCCGCGATCTTAAGCCATGTACGCTCCAACATATGGGTACTCGCCGGGCAATCCGTCTGCCTCCCAGCAGTTCCAGAATGGCAGCTCGCAGCAGCAGCCGTCTCCTCTCCCTCCCTCGCATAACCCGCAGCAACACCAGCAGCATCAGCAACACCAACAACAGCCGCCCGCTCACCCCCACCTCCAGCAGCAGCACTCCTCCCATCAGCAACAACCTCCGGGCCAGCAGCCTCAGCACATGATGTATAACGCTCCAGCTCCCTCGCAGTATCAACAGCCCATCGGCGGCATTCATCAGTCGCCCTACGCCGCGTCTGGTCCGAGCATGGGTGGAAATGCAGGCGGGATGGGCATGATGCAGAACAACGGTATGGCGCATATGGCTGGTTCCCATGGTAGGTTGCACACCATAGCAGATCTCTTATTCCGACGACGAGTCTTGTGCGTAGATTGCGAGTGCCTGCGAAGTATCTGCCAGTGTGCGCTCTTCACTGCCGTGGTTGTCCTCTCCAGCCTCAATACCGTGACTGGTGACGAGCAGATCGCGCCTGCACCTACTCCAGTCCTCCAAATCAGTGGCCGTCATTCAAGATCAGCACTCTGCCTCCCGGTGCTGCCGCTTCGAGCAGGAGCCCGTCAGCAAGCTCCTCAAGAGTGCTACTGGACAGCATGTCGAGCATTCCTCTATGTCTTTCTACCTAATCCCTGGTTTTTCATATACTTGGGTCTAGCAAGCACAGCTGACATGACTTTTCTAAGCAGTACCAACATATCAGACACCCTACTCCAGCTCGCCCTACGGAGCTAGCATACCTACCTCCTCTCCCTCCAATATGCTACCCAATTATATGACGAGCACTTCTGGCGCGCCATCTTTTCCAATGGCTACTTCAAATATGAACATGAATCCGCAACAGCAGCATCAAGCTCAGCGCATGCAACCTCCTCCCAATGCCTCGACCCCCACACCTGGCGCAAGAGCCTCACCCTTTCCTGGCATGCCTATCAATACTCCTCCAAACGCATCGTCCGCCCAGTCGCAGTTTTCCACGCCTCAGAGCCAACCGCAACCACTCTTACAGACTCCGAATAATCAACAGAATCAGGGTGGAGGTCATGGAGGTACAATATTAACACCACAAACACCCAACTTCCCTCCAGGTTCGCAAAGCGCAAATGCGACCAACAACCCCGCCTCACCGTTAAGTCCAGGTTCACAGTCTAAAGAGAAGGAGCGGGTCTCAATATTGCTGGATATCAATACGGAATTATTGATGGAAGTTATTCATCTGAAGACTTTACAAAAGGACACAGGCGCCCCGGAAGCGGGTGCGGATAAGGAAAAGGTACAGAAGCTAAAAGTTGAATTGACTCAGGAATACCTAGAGTGAGTAACCCCTCAGTGAGACGAGAACACTACTGACTTCACGATGGGTGCATGAAACGTCTCCAGTCGAACCTGGCTTATCTTGCCGCGATTGCGGACCGATCACATAAACCATCCTCTCAGATACCCGCGCATCCTGCGATGATGCTTCCACCCCCAATAAAACTACGAGCAACAAGTAGTATTCCGACCAGTTCACCGAGCTCCGAGGACAAGGAGGAAGCGGCGGATGCCAAGAAGTCAGAGACTAATGCAGAACGCATTGAGTCACTGAAAGATTACTATAAGCAATTGCAGGCTCTGTTTCCAGGTGTAGATCCAAATAAGGAACCCCCTATACCGCAGCCAAATCCAGCTGCTAGGATGCAAGCTCAACAGATGGGGGCACAGCAGCAGATAGCAGGCCAGCAAAACCCGCAAGCAGGTAAACAGCCGCAGATGCCAGGCCAAACCCAAGGTCCCGACCTCAATCCACAACAACAAAAAATGCAACAAGAGATGTTACGGCAGAAGATGATGCAACAACAGCACACTCAGAATCAAATAGCGCAGGGGATGCAAGGGATGAATTCTCAACCTTCTCAAAATCGGTAATTTACACCAGGGCGTTCTTGGCATGTTATATATCCGACAAATTTCTGTCTGGGAGTAGGGCTTTGGTGTTTTTTAGTGGTTTTGGACAAAAGTAGAGGGGCATTCTTGGCGACTGGCGCTGTTGAGATGATTGTGGGATTTGGTGGGGATTTTGTATAATCTGGGTTGGTGCTAAATAAGTGGCTGCGTGGCGAATGAATGAGGTGGGATGGGTGAATGAATATATTGATGATGTGTAAGAATTATATGGTCTTTGAGGATACACCTGTGATGTAAAACTTCTAAACTCTCCGATAACCTTACTGATAATAGCAATTCCCTCTTACCAAACTGTTCAATAGCACGTGAAGATAAAATCCCTAGTAACCACGGTGTCTGAGAGGATTGTGTCGTTAGGTCCAAGTAGGGGGGCTAAGCGAGGTATATGTAGGTGAAAGTCTTTCGTATTTAGAGGATATTAAAGCCTAGAAATTTGTGTTGTTCTATAAGCTAGTACCGTTATAAAGATAGAACATGAAGATAATAAGATTTCTGATATTTGAATATAGTATAATCGAGACTAATCTGAAAGTAGAAATATACTTTAAAGTCCACTTTGTCAAATTTTACACTAGCCGTCGACTCGAGTGCCTAAATAAATAATATTAGGGTTCAGAGAGTAAAAGTAAACTAGTAGACGGGTAAGTATAGATACTTTCGAGTCTTCTGATAAAATGTGTACATTTGAAAACGTTGCGATTACTTCCACCAGAATGAGGTGTACGTGTCTCATCGCCTATGGCTGTGGTGGTCGGCTGCGGTTAGTATGTGTTGGGCAACTTAGGTATAAACAAACTCGGGGCGAGTGCTTGGGCTTTAAATTAAAATAATGGGGCAGTTCATGATACGTAGATTGTAATCAACTTTTAGGTGACTGGGAAACAAGCTGTTTGAGAGGTAAGAGCTAGGGGATAACTTGTATCGGGCGTGTTTTTGGATTCAGATGTGATCGTGTGATAACAGAACACGTCTGAGACAGTTGGGAGAGCTTGAGGGGATAATGGGGTCAAGGAAGTTGGAATTTGGAGCTCAGATGAGTGCTTGTGGGTGGTGAGTATGTCTTTAGAGGTTTTTATGAAAAGTGTGAGGTGTGATATTGTTGAGAAGAGGAAGAAGTTGCTCACAGAGTTGTAAGAGTGTTGCCGATGTGATGCAACTGATAGTTGGGTGTAGAAGGGCTTGAATTTTCGAGGTTTTTGAAAGCTACGTAGTGACTATTTTGACTCTTCGAGATCACCACAATGAGACCTGCTTGGTTACAAGAACTCAGTCATGAATAGATCGTAGTAGGGAAAGGGATCCCGATCGAAGATTCAAACGGCACTCGGTAGATCATGAGCGTCGAAACTAGTTAACTCACCGGTCTAGGTGGTATTGGCTTTGTGGTAGGCCACTCATATCCGGACTAATATGCTTTGTAAGACTTTATTTGGCTGGGAATTTGCTTCAAATGCTGCTTCAAATTCACACAAAGCGCGATGAATGAATAGAAATGCAATAAAATAGTTGGAAAACCTCTAGTTTGTGAGTGATAACCTAAATAGCACATGAAAGAATCTTGAAACCCTTTGACTAGATAGTCCCAGGGATATCTTTTGACGGTTATGAGTGTTGAAGCAGGCCAGATCTTGAACTATAAATACCAGTCTTCATCCTTCCTCTCCTCTATTTCTTTTCTCATCTATCAACCAAATACCATTCACCCAAATAAGATTTCAGATTCTTTCCTCATTTCTCAAGCTCGCCTAAAACCAAATACTCCCGAAGTACTATCATATCACCTACATCAGGAACATCCTCCTCGATAACCATGTCCACCCAAAACTCCGCTCTTAAAAGCCCTACCAAACGCGGAAGAGAGGACGAGGAATCCGGTCCTTCTCAAAAACCCTCAAGAAACATTTCCTGGAACCAAGATGTCAGCCAAGGACAAAGCAGCGTTGGTGCCGAAAGCCAATCCCTCTTCTCGGCCGAACAACCGACAAATCGTATCATTACAGGTGAAGGTACACCGGTTTCAATTCAGGAGGCCACACTGTGGTTCGGAAGAAACAACACCAAATACTGGGACACGTTTAAAGAGAAAGACGGTCCCTTGTCGTTGATTTGTCCTTTTGGTCCTATGGATGGAGGTAGCTGCGGGCCTGGTCTCAAACACAATGAATCATATACGTGCGAGCATGAAGATCATATGCTCATTCATGTCGAAAGCGCGCATGCGTGCAAAGTGTATGCTATACCGGGTCTGGAGCCGTATAAGTGCAATGACTGTGGACGGGAGTGTATGATTGATGTTACGTTGAGAAGACATTTGTTTTGTAAGGGCAGATGAAGGGTTCTACTAAGTGATGTTTTTGATAGTCTGGAGGCATATTAGGGGCTTTGAAATGCGTGTTTGCTATCATGGTGTTTGCAGGTGTGCGGTTGAGGATTTGGAGGATGTATATTCGATTTTCATTTTGTTTGAGGCAAGGTGCTATTGTGTAAAACTGTGAAGTGCATTTTTGCGAGCGATGGAGTTTATATGTATAGGTAGAAATTAGGTAGAAGACAACTGAGAACAGCGTGAGTTTAGTACGATGGGTTTACATCGGTGCAAGAACCATAGTATGTAAGAAACAAAGATTTCAGTAATTTGAACACAGGTTTGGGGATTCGTCTGCTAGAGATTCCGAATTTAGCCAGTTGAAAGGAGATACACAACACTAGTAAGTACTTCACATCAGGCTTGGGAGGCTCGTTTTGAAATGTTGTAGTTGTTCATATATTTCTTGAGAACACTAGTGGATTACAAAACTGACGGGACACCATCTAATATAACGACTTCAGAAAACGACTGTCCATCACACCTTCTGTAACATTTATATTTAGCCTCTACAATATAGACAATACCGTATATTCACTCAGAAGAATTAAGGAAATATAACATTTTGGGGATGATATTGCTGTTCTACCTAGTAAGGTGTCCCGTCAGACTTGCAACACACTGGTGGAAGGTCCGAATTTGTGGGAGGTGTTCAGTCTTAAATCTCTTCAGGTACCATATCACAAGCATAGGTAGGTAGCCTTTAGATGGAACGGTGTGATTCGGTTGGAGTTCGGAGGAATCAATTCAAACGAAGTGATGGTTCTTGCAGTATAGACTAATCTCCGTATTGCAAGGTCTTGATTCGACTGTGTATGGGACCTAAACAAACTTTGAAAATTGGCACAATTGTTTAAGAAATGAGTCACAAATTGATGCTTTTTGGGAAAGAGATGAACGATTCAAAGTCACATTAGAGGCACAAACAAAGATCATAATAATAGCAGAAGTTTTTTCATTCCACTATTCTCATCGCATCTCAGATCTCCTCTCCATCAAGAAGAGTCGATGAATATAATATATATGTACAAGAAACCAACTCTTCCTTCTATGTCCCCTTTAAATGACAAACTTTGTCATGTTTAATATATACAAGAAAACGCCTCGCTCATGCTTCGTAAAGGCCGTCAGGGGAAGGCATTTAACATTCATCGTCCTCCTCAACTGGGGCTGCGGTGGCAACTGGTGCGGCGGCAGTGGAAGAGCGGATGGCGGTGACGAGAGTAGTTGGGACAGCTACTGGCGCGTCAGTTGCAACTGGAGCGGAGGCAGAAGTGGCAGCTGGGGCGGCAGCTGAAGTTGCGACAGGAGCAGCGGCGGAAGATGAAGCTGGAGTAGCTGGAGTAGAACCACCGGAGCTGGCACCGAAAGCGAGAGCTGGACCTGGGATAACGTATTCGAGACCGGCAGTGTAAATGTTGACCAAGATACCTGGGTCAGTTGGGGTGTACAGCGCGGTACCGACAACACCAGCGGGTGTCTCAGTTCCGGATCCGGTAACCTCGAGGTTGATGCATTGAGGGTAGGCTTGAGCTCCGTCTGCGGAACCGGCGCTGTGGAGAGCGATCATCTCGTGACGGAGGACGTAGTTTCCTGGGGCGAGAGTCGCTGGGATGGTGATGGCCCAGGACATGTTGTTGGCCATGAGCTCGTCAGAAGCCCAGGTTCCTGGGGCTGCGGTGTTGTCGACGATACCCTTCTCGGCGATCTTGAAGAACTCGAGGGTAGTTTTGTCGACGGTAGCGCAGTCACCGGCGCACTTGGCCATGTAGTCGATGACTGGTCCCTTGTGAGACTCTGGCCAGGTGTTCCATTCCATGGTGACGGTTCCTCCAGCGGCGACGCTGGCGCTCAATTGTGCGTTGGTGGCATCTCTGTGGCAGATGATGTCGCCGCCGCTGAAGGCAGATGGAGCGACGAAGCCGAGATCAGTGGCAGACTCGGTCCATCCAATTACTGCAGGCGGAGAGGCAGCGTATGGGTATTGATTGACGAGATAACCTCCGAAGCTGGAAACTGTTAGTTATGAAGGATACCGTTGAGATTGATGAGGTTGACATACTAGGTTCCGTCAACATCAGCACCCTGAACGAAGCCGTGAGCGGAGACTTGGGCAACAGAGGCCGCAAGAGCGAGAAGAGCGCTTGATTTCATGTTTGCGAAGGAAGACATCTTGAAAAAGAGTGTGTTGGTCTGAAGTGACTTGTTTGTTGGTAATTGAATGATAGTGATATGCGAAAGTGCAAGTAAGACCAGCTGGGGTACAAGTGTTGAGTAAAGTTGAACAAAGTCACTAGGACGAATTGAAAAAAGAATGTGAAAGATGTCTGGAAAGAGCGAAAACAGTTGAAGATCTGCGATGATGGTGAAAGAAAGTTTTATCTGGTGAGCCTCACCCTGATATATATACCAAAGGTACCAGAACCGCCGAGATGGTAGTGGAGAATGTCTTCTCGAATAGAGAAGTGTTTAATTTGCAGGCCATCCGTTCCTGTTTCGTTAACCCGTCTAGGCGTCTCTTACATATTAAAACATTGGATTTGTCTGGATTGGAGACGTCTAGAAGGTCTTGGTGGCGGCATCAAGATGCAGGCATTTAAAGTGTTTCTTGGTTCGTGCGTCGGGGGTGGATCTGATTCAGGAGGTTTGGCTGGTGGAAATGTTTTGAAACAAGCCAACGTTCAACGATGCCCCCCTTTTGTACTTGGCTTTTGGAGCGTCTAACCCAGCGGTAGAGATGGGGAATCCCCTGGGACGGATGCAAAGGCGAACATTGATTGGATGCATACAGTATAAGGAAAAAATCATACAGTGACACCACAGACAATGAAGAGATATTCGGTTTAGAGAACCACCACAAAGTAAATCTGCAATCTCTCAGTTAGCTTCGGCCTTCAAATCAATTTAAAAACCACGACACTCAGCAAGGAGACCCTAAGAAGCGCCATCACATCCACGCCTTTGCGCCTCAAAAATCCCTGGCCAAGGCCGTCAGATAAACAATAATCCGATAGATCAATCTCGGTATCGTACGTGAACGTTGCGAAGTGGAGTTGCGAAGTCTAGTCCTTACCCGCAACTTAAAATTTCGGTTGTTTCAGTTCAGTCACGTGAGATCACAACGACCTCCCCTTTACTTGGAACAAACATGACGTATCAACCGAGATTTTGGGGCTGAATTTCATGCCTTTCGTTACCGGGTTCTCGGTTGGTGTTTCGATCTGCGAGACGAACGATCTTAAGAAGGATCTTATAGTAGGAAGATGGTCGGAGAGCTCTTGAAATTTTGGCTGAGGATACTCCGTACTCTTTTATTCTATTTTGTTTCTCAGCATTTTCGGCAGGCAGACTGATTATGAGACAGGATTCTTTTGATTGCCTATGAAGTTAGTACTTTACTCGGCAACAGAAACCGTCCGAAGATATAGCTTAGGAACAATGGATTGAAGTATGAATTATGCGTGTCTTCTATTTGCCTCAGACTGACCGAAGACCGCTTTGCAAGACTATCTTTTGTCAGATGCAAAATCTAGTCACGGGTCTTCCTTTCAACTAGCTAGTTTTCGAATATCTCAACAGACGAACCTTCAAATTTGTATTCAAGTTATTTGATATCTTATTAGACTCTCACATCCCATGGACCGCCTATCGATTTGGAACTACTGAAGTCATCATTTTCTCAGTTATCTTCTACCCATGCCTGTAAGCTCAACGGCTGGCAAGAATGCACTTCGTATCTTTACATATCTCTCTCTAGCGTCAAATACTATCACACTCGACCTAAAGTCTTCGTCGCCCCTCAACGCAAGTTTCTGTGAAGCACCATCACAGAAGACATGTTCTCTTCCAAGCCCCTCGATCAGCGTCATCAAAATATCAAATGATAAGTTCATTGCCACACTTGACATGTGGCATAAACAGAGCAGCGATGTAAGTATTATCTCCACATAATAAATATATATATATATATATATATATATATCAGTGCATTTATACTGCTGTAAACCCGGTATATCAGCATGATTGAATCCATGTACAACGTCGATATAAATGAGCATCAACTTCTCTTTGTCGTGCGGTCAATCAAATGAGGTATTTGTACTTTTGTAATAAGGCCCGTAGTCAGGACCAAATGGACATGGCAGAGGGAAGAGAGAAATTAGGAGGAGATGAAGAAGGAATACTGGAATTTATACTTCAAAATCTTGCCTACTTAAACACTCATGGTCTTAAAGGAATATCCTAATGACTGTCCAGTCAATGAGTTTCGTGTTTCTTACATGTGTTACGCCGATAAGCACTCACAAAATGAAAGGCTTTCCAACTACATGAGCTGGGCGTCTCTTGGTCATAAAACAGTATGTGAATTCGAAGTATCTGAAGCGTAATATCAGTCATGCACACCTCCGAGAATATTTGAATCCAGGTATGAGTTGCCTTCCGCGAAGTCATTACCATAACTGGTGCCACATCGACAACAATCCTACTATCCCACAACTCGTCCAACAACTTCTTCCTCTCCCCAAACTTTTCATACCTCACTCCTTATTAACACCTTCAAAGACAAATCATCACCCACAAACACTCATCTAACCCCTCAACCTCCCACCTCCCTCCATACCTTTCATATATCCAAGACGTTCTCTCCTCGTCACTTACATCTGAGTCCTAAAACCCGCCCAATCCCAATACCCTCCAAGCCTAAACTCCTAAAACTGCCTGATTTCCAATCACCTCAACGATATTTACGATTTAGGAGTCTTAACCTCCGAGTATCTCACAAGTGGCAAAGAAACACCCCTCCACCCCAGCGGCAGCAGCTTGCACATGTTGCAAATACATACAGACTTTTAGAACACATCAGTATATAAGCGTTGAATGCCCTTACCACTTCGGAAGCCGAGCTCGTTGGGACTAGCATGGGTGAAATGAAGAAGATGATTCCACGGCATAATCCTGCAATCCTATAATTTTAGTTGCAAGAGATATGACTACACAACCACAGCATTGATAGACTGCTGCATCAATCTACACACCAAACGAAACCCTTGGTTAATATGTTAGTACCTGTGAATAACCTCTGTTCCCCCTCCCTTTCCACGAATCCTTAAGCGAGGCCGCCGACCGTATCTTCAAAGCAATCCAAGGTTCACAAACCCTACCATCAGCTCTATAAACATTACAGCTAACTCGTCCGTAATAAGCCTGGAAGCATCGAACCGGCAGGAAAGAAATCATCGTACTGTAATTCGACCCTGAAATGCTGTCAGCTATGATTTTTTCTTCCCAGGGCGGTTGTCATTAAAGCGAGGTTGTGTTTTCGAAGTCCATTCAGTCGAATTGACGAACCATCAATTCTTTTACCCATTATGATTATGGTGCTTCAGTAAAATTCAAACATTGACCTCAATACCAAAGATGCCAGGAATTTGCAAATTGTGAGTACAAATAGATGTCATCACATTTGCATTTCCTCTTTAGACTCGACAGGACAGCTACCAAATTTATTTCCTTTGTGCGCTTCTCATGCTTGATTCCATCAAGTTGTTTGTGGCTTTAAGTTCTTTCCAATTTGAATTATTTGCACGACGGTCTGCTGAAGACTATTTAAATAGTTTTCTCCGTTCTTTTTGCTGACGTTACGATCCCATCGTGTTCCGATAGGTAACTTGGATACGCGGTTAGTCAATTGCTCATATATGGAGTTTTCTCTACATCTACAGAGATAGTGAGAGATGCACAGGCTATTGCGAGCGAGCGTGTTGAGAATTGAGGATTGTTGACGGAGGAGATTCGATAGAACTATATCGCGAAACTCTCCAGTATTACCTGGCTTGCCAACTCAACTTCCGGTGATTTTTGCATACCTAATTAACATTATAACGCAGTGTCAGGCATTTGCATGAGTATCTACTGCATGGTCTTTTTTTTGGGTTAATGCAAATCAGACCTATATACGAACAGACAATTTGGAATAGTCAGAATTACATCAGCGAAGCTCATGCTGCAATCACCATCTGTACTACACCCAATCGTATGCAAAGCTTACTCATAAGTTAGTGACCAACAAATTGCAGTCCTCAAATTAATTTACCCCAAAAAACCCCACATCTCCAGAGGTATTCATCAAAAAGCGATCTAGATGTATCAACCCCAGGAATAATCACTACGGTATTTTTGATCATCAACCACCACTCCCAACCATCTCATCAAATGGGTCCCAGTGAAAGACAATTTTATTTTAGGCCTAGCATTTTTACGACCTACCATTAAAACAAAAACAAAATCAATATCAAAAACAAGTGGAAATATTTTCAACTACACACAAAAAAAACATCCAAAAACCACACCAATCAATCTCCCACACAACCCTTGCAAACACACATCTCCAGTATACCGATCTCATTTCACATTTCCGGGTTAAACCCCTACACTCTTCTCTTCTCCCTCCCCGACCCCCTTTCCAAATTATTATTTTATCTCTACATTGAACCACGTGATCCCCAAATAAATCCCCAGCAAAATAGGGCTGAGCGCCTATTACGCGTCCCCCCTCCAAATCCATCATCCATACCACGCGTCACCACATCCTTAAACGCAACCCAAGCCACACAATCGTAACAACCCCTCCCAAATTCCAAATCCCAGCATCAATGGACAACGAAAAATGGTAAGACGGACTCCATCTCAATGTCCGAGATAACGCGACGCACGGGATCGGGGCTTACGACCGGTACCGAGGGGACTCGTATTCAGAAGCGAGTGGGCGGTGTGATTGGATGGTGCGAATGGGTTCAGAGAGTTTGGGTGTTAAGCTGGGGGATGGGTTTAATATGGAAGGCTTGCGCGATACGGGAGTACAGTAGATGGATTAAGGGGGGTAGGGGTTTTGTGTTAAGGTTTGGAGTGGGAGGGGGGAATTGGCGTGGGCTTTGTGGGATAGATAGGTCACGGTTTTTTTCTCTAGTGTAGTTTATGAATTGTAAGACAAAAAAAAGAGTTTATTTTATTAAAAATTGTACAAAAGTAAATTAACTCATCACTACATTTTAAGGATTCCCGTATTCCAAGAAATCCATTCAAACGCGCTCCGTCAAACCACGGACACTCACCCCCGTCCGGCCTTCGTCTGACATCTTGGCTCTGACATCCTGCACCATACACATTTTGCACAGCGTAATCTCTGCTCCTGTATATATCATGGATATACGTCTTCATGAGATTCGAGGCGCAGTTCGTTGTCCGTTTCCGTGGGACGAGAATTGGATATAAGGAGGGTTCTGTCCCTGATGTTGAATTTGAGTAGAGAGCATTGAGTATTACAATCAAGACATCAACGACGACCTTGAAAGGGTTTTTTGAAACTGATTTTGAGATTGAATTGGGATTACCTTTTCAAGAGGAAATTGAATCTGTAAATCATCAACAATGGACAACCCAGACGACTACTCCGACTACTGGATCTACAAACCCTCCATCGTAGGCGCGGCCATCGCAACAGGAATCTTTACCGTCCTAACAGCAATCCACATATTCCGACTCTCCCGCACCCGCTCATGGTTCTGCATCCCTTTCGTCCTCGGCGGACTCTGTAAGTCCCCCCTATCACCCCTCTATCAACCTCTCTAACAACATCAGTCGAAGTGATAGGCTACGCCAGCCGCGCCGCCAGTCCCTCCAACGCCGATAATTTCGCCCTCTTCATCCTCCAAACCCTCGGCATTCTCCTCGCTCCCATCCTCTTCGCTGCCTCCGTCTACATGATCCTCGGCCGTCTCATCCGCGCTACAGGCGCCGAGTCGTACGCGCTCATCCGGGTCAATTGGATTACCAAGATCTTCGTCGGCGGTGATATACTATGTTTCGCGATTCAGGCCGGCGGTGGTGGCATCTTGGCTGGTGCGGATACGAAGAGCAGTAAGGATCTGGGACAGAATATTATTCTGGCGGGCTTGGTGTTGCAAATTGTGATTTTTGTGGGGTTTGTGGTCGTGGCGGTGGTTTATCATATGAGGTTGAGGGCCAGACCGACAGGGAAGGGACCGGCTGTGATGAGTTGGGAGAGGTTGTTGATTATGTTGTATGTTGTCAGTGTGTTGATCACGATGCGCAATTTGTTCCGTTGTATCGAATATGGGCTGGGAGGTATGTTGTCCGAAAGTCTTGCGGTATTGAACTCTTGCTAATCTGATATCAGAGGGATCCTATTTGCTCCGTCACGAGTGGCCAATTTACGTTTTTGATGCTGTGTTGATGGCTATTGTTCTGGGTATTTGCCAGCAGTGGTATTTTGGAAGTCTGAAAGCGAAACATGATAGTATGGATGTTGAGATGAATTCTTCGGACACGACGGCGTCGAGGTAGAAGTTTAGAAGGTTTCTTTAGATTTTTTGGTAATATGGTAGCGAGACAGGGTGGTATCGATGCTGAGATGATTTCTTCGGAGAAGATGGCCTCGAAATAGATGGATTGGAAGGTTTCTTTAGACGATTTTCTCGGAGATGACGCATCGAATAATATGACTGGAAAGGTTTCTTTTTACAGTTTAGAATGGGCGCCCCTGTATAATTAGTCAAATTTCTTTATAGATCGTTATACCCACTTACAATTGATCAGCCTACCAGAATTGTGAGCCCATATCGAAGTTCCTCCAACAGCTAAGAGCCCAAGCCCATAGCTCAAATATGAGACTCAACATTCAAATCAGCAGAAGACACAACCCTGATAAGACCATAGATTACTCACTCAGAAACCGTTAACCCACCCTTCACCCCTCAACCTCCCAAACCAACCGTCCCTCTCCTCTCCCCTCCCTCCAAAAGTTCGTACACTCCACCGCCTCAGCATCTAACATCCCCCAATACTTCCTCGCAAACCCCTCATCCATCTCCCAACTGCCAGGTAACCACGGGTCTCCCCACACACTCAGCCCTGTTTTCTCCCCTAGGAGAAAACCGCGTTCTTTGCCGCCGTCGTCGTGACAGCTCATCTGTACGAGGGGGACTGGGCGGGTGGTGTTCATATTGGGTTTAGAGGTACCGGAGAGGAGATCTTGACATAGTTCGATGGGGTTGATGGTCGAGGTTTCCTGGTACTGAGCGAGAATAAACCGATCCCGAATCGCCGGAAATGGAAGCAGATCCAGTTCTGGGTGATGCGGGATGGTGAGCTGCGTATTCGTCGGCCTGAGAGAAGGCGGTAACAGCGTCGTGTTGTAGGGACGCGTGTGGAAGGGTGAAGGGGTGCGGGGCTGGATTGAGGAGGGCGTGAGGCCTAGGAGAGAGAGATTGAGTAGGAGCGCGCGGGTTAGATTGAAGTGGAGGAGGGAGAGGAAGTGTTGGTCTGTTGGGAGGGGTGTGTGGTTTTGGATGGTTTGAGGATGGGGGTGGATAAGGAGGGTGAGGAGGGTGTTTTGCGGGGGAAGGGGGGAGATGAGTTCTGTGTGAGCATTTGATGCTAAGGTTGAAACAGGTGCATGTGATGTAAGTGACTCCTGCGTTATTGTCGATGTATTTGACGTTTTCAGAGCTTTAGCTTGAGCACGTCGTTTTCCTATTCCACATCAAAATTCATTCTTTTCATCAAACGTGTGGAATCTCACTCTGAGCCAGCCTATTCTGCAACTTCCTCCTCTCAATCGTACTCGATTTTCCACTCCAATCCTCGCTTGGATCATGTACCTCAGGACCTTCTATCATTCGTCGAACCGCGATCCTGGGACCGTGAACCGGCGTGTCAATCATGCTGTTTTTGGGCGCTTTTGAGATCCAATAGGGTTGAGTGAGGAAGAAGAATAATGCTGCGACCTGCTGACAGTGAAATAAATGCGGTATCTTCACTTAGGAAATAAGTAGTAAATTGGTGGAAGAGGAGGAGGGAAGTGGTCCAAGTGGACCTCCTCATGCAACCTGCTGACCGCGCTAGGCTGAATTAGGCCGTGTGGAAGATCAATTGTACCGTCGGAGGGCTTCACTTACCTGATTTACCTCTGACTTATGTTCGAATAATAGTCGTTTCAATTTCATAGAAAAATTGGAGCGAAAGCTTCTTCACATGAAATTCCATAAAATAACCGCAACACCAAAATACGATCAAACCACCACAAAGAACTTTTTCGCTTTACTAACAAATTCAAAAGGACTAGGAAATCATTAAACGAGTCAGTGTAATGATCAAGTTCATTTTGATTTTATTTTACTTTCACTTACTATTCATTTTTCTCGATTTACTTAATTGCCAGGCGAAATCAGATCAGTCATTCGCTTCGATAATTCTAAAACTCCGAAACAACTCCCATTTCTACACAAAAATCCACATCATAAGTACTCATAAATCATAAACATGCTCCGAATCATAACTCATGACCCCTCATCAACCGTCGCCCCTCCTCCCCATCCTCGCTCCCCAGATCACTATCATCATCATCATCCAGACTAAACTCATTCCCAACCATAACCATCTCTCTTCCTTCCCTACTCCCCCCAGCCATGCTCCTCGCATCATCAACCCCCTTTTCCACATTTATGCACCACATTAACGGAATCGGTAAGATGACCAAGACCGCCAAAAACACAAATGCACCTCGGATCGTGCCTGTGCGATCGACTATCATGCCCACAATCGCAGGGCCGACTGCTGAACTGCCTTTATCGGTGACAGCATAGAGAGCGTAGAATGCAGCTTCCTTGCCCTCGGGGATTAAACGGCCGTAGAAGGCGCGACAGTAGGAGGATAATCCGCCCATGACGAAACCGTGGACGATACCGAGCGGATATATCTCCCAAGATTTCTGCAAGCCGCCAACGCCCCAGTGTTTGACGAAGGGTATGAATCCGAGGAGGCCGTAGAGAGGGATGATTTCCATGGCGCAGACACAAGCGATGATGAGTTTTTGCGTCGGTAATTCGTAGCGGCGGGAGATTAAGGGCCAGACGAAGGCGCCGAGGATGCCGGATGAGGTTGCTGTGATGGAGAGGAGGGCGATGGCTACGGTACCCATGTGGAGTTCTGTTCGGGCGAAGAGGATCGCAGTCCCGGAGACGGTGGCGATGGAATCGCTGAGGAGAAACCATGCGATGAGGAAGAGGAGGATTTGTTTGAGTTTTAGGGCGAGTTTGATTGTGTCGAAGAGGCTTTTCCAGGCGAAGGTCGTGTAGGATAGAATTGAGCGGAATTTGGATTGGGCTGAGTTTCTTGTTGGTAGTGGGGGTCCTGGCCGTGAGCGGAGCCAGAGGGATGATGGAATTGTAAAGGCAAACCACCATGTACCGACAAGGAAGAGCACCAGCCGGAGAGGGAGAGTCGAAGATATACCCTTTACCTTGGAAAGACTAAAAAGTAATATAATCGATAATACTTGAACAAACACCGCAGCCATATATCCAATGCCAACACCCTTAGAAGAGACTTTAGTCGAAAGCGCCAAAGTCGGAGAATCCGTCTTCGAAGACGACTCATCGAATGAACTCGACGGAGCATGTTGAATATCCAGATGATTCGCCACCAGCACCGGTAAAAAAGAATTAAGTATAACAAACGAAGATCCCAAACACGTAACACCGACTATAACCAACAACGAACCTAGCAAAAAGATCTTCGGCACCACCAAAAGAAACATCATCGACGACACCGCGCCCGTAAATCCAAATCCTAATAACAGTTTCTTGCGATTATCTCCTGAAATACACGTTAGCTGTTTCACTTGACTGTCTCTGAGATACCTACCAAAATCCGCAACAGCACTAAATGAAACCAGCGCCAGCGCCTGCACAAACACCGCAAGTGAGAATGTATACATGGCAAAACTCGACGTCGTCATCTCAGACCCCAAGACTCTCACCACACATTGATTATTCTGTCCCCCGGTCGCCCGAGACAGAAGATGCGAGGTGGTGACCGTGGCATTTTGCGCCGCTTTGAACATACATGAGGTCGTTTTATCAGACCACAAGACACCCCGCTCGCGAGCGAGTTGTTCGAGGGTCACGGGGAGGAATGAACCTGTGGGATTTAGTATGGGAAATGAGGTGAGCTAAGATGAGATACATACCGACACCGCAAACGGCGAAGACTTCAGCCGCGACGCTGTAGGCATAGAAGCCTTTGAGCTCACGGGCGGTGGTTGGGCTTGTGTCTTCGCCCTCGTATTTGGGTTTTCGGTGGGTGGGGAAGCGCCGGGCTTCCATGTTTCTAATGTATATATATTTCGAGAGAAATGGGGGATTATATATATTCTAAACATGAGGCTTTTGATGAGATTGGATTTTGAGCCGCCATGCGGTTGTGGTTTCGTGGTGGGTCTCGGAATGCACGGCATGACGTTGATGGTGATTGGTAAGCCCTCTGCATTCCACCGCAGGATTCAATGTAGTTTTTCAACGAAAAGATCATGAGTTTACGAAAGGTAAGTAAAGACATGTCAATGATTCAAGTGCAAAATATCTCTTCACCTACTCCGTACACGCCGCAACAAATCCAAACCACGAACTCCTCCCCACGATTAGCGAAGCCGATCAAGTCGATCATAGGGCTTAACGAACCGCCTCCTAACCACTTATCACGCCAACCAATAATCCTTTCTCTGTCGCTCACTACCTCAGCTTCCACTTAGAGAAACTATACAATACCGGCCGCGAACTAAAAGAGGGGAATGATGAATCTGCAAATCCATTCATGATATTCTCGTAACGACAAGCTCTTGGGAAAGATACAAGTGAAAATGCTTGAGAGTTGCAAGGATGAGAAATGTCCTAGAGTAACTAGTCTATCCCGAACGGCTTCACAAGGAGGTCGATGATCGGTAGGAAGCCAAAAGAAATTAGTACTGCCTTCTGCTAGCCAACGATCAATTTACGTGCAGATGCCGTAACAACTTGCTATCAGCTTGGGGAGAAGGCCCAATCAACTCTGGGAAAGAGACAAGGAGATTCAAATTTATATGAAGCTTCTGACATGGATACGGCTCTCTGCTCAACAGTGATGACCACGGATGCAATAAACAATCCTCAGGACAGGCCGCCTACAAGTCCGATTTCTCCTGATGCCCTTCCCATAGTCTGACATCCTTCCTAGCTCGCTGTCAATCGGCTTAGACACAGCTGTGATCGTGCTATTCCCGCTCTAAATACACCACATCGAGAGGAGTCCAGTCCATGACCTCTTACCTGCCCAGGTGCTTCCAAAGCTCCGTCATTTCGCAACTCGAGTCTCAAAGGCGCGCACATTCGCCTCTTCTCCCCCTACATGTTCATTCTAGCAATCAGGATTCCAAGTCCAACGATGACCCCCCACCTAGAGATCGAATTTGACCGCATAGCGTCGTTCGACGGCGTGCTCGTAGCGGCTACAGCGGTGGACCCCGAGCTTGTACTTGTACCCGTCGACTCGGCTCGCAAAGTTGCTGTTGCATCAGTTCTCGACCGCGTCGTCGTCCCTACACTTGCTGATTCCGTCGCCAAAGCACCTCCCGTCGAGGTACCAGACGAGCTTTCGCTGCTTGACCTATCCACCACCGTCAGCACCCATCCCAACCACACTGATATCTAACCTACACCGCACCCGACACCACCGCATCCGCAATCCCCGGCCCAGAATCCGGTCCACACTTCTCCCGAAACCGCTCCGCCGTCATGAACTGCTCCGCGTCGGGGCACATCTCCTTGAAGTAATCCACGCAGTACGAATACCAGCCGCCCGCAACGACGGAGCCCAGGTTCGCGCCCAGCGCGTCCGCGGCATCGCAGACGCCCACGCAGGTCACCGTGTTGGGTCCCCCGGGCCCTTTGCACATGCAGGTTGCGTACGCGACGGAATTGTAGTCGCGGCCGCAGCCGACGAAGGTCGCGTCGAGACAGGCGTTGCAGGCTGGGTACGAGGTGTGCAGCCAGATCATGTTGACCTGTGCATGTGCCGTTGAGAAAAAGAGTGGGATGGCGAGGAAGAGCTTCATCTTCACTGGTTGCTGGAAATCGGGACGCGAGAAATGGAAGAGGTCAAGCAGAGAGAGTTGACTACGGTACGTATTGAGAAGGGACATCCCCCAAGGTCTTTATGCCATGAACGCATCGTCAGATACGCCCAATTCCCCCTGAATACTTTGGGCGTACCACTCATTCAGGGAAAGAAAGTCCGTTCGAGGATTTTATGTCTTAAGTCTTGTTTCGAAAAGGCCTGCCAAGACTCAGCTGGAGACTTTGTCGCTGGTGGCGTAACTAAAATATCGAGAGGCGTACTTTACTTCACAAAGTAAGAAACAACCACTTATGGTCTTATTGGAATTGCGGTGTTGTGTGCTGTTGATACCGGTGAGAAGTATAAGAGTTTAATGAGAGTCGTTGCAGATAAATAGAGACAGAGACATTGAGTGGTTAAGCGTGGGGTAGATGTGTAAGACTCGCTTTTTCCATAGTGCCAGGGGACCTAGATTTAGCGAGGGGAGGTGTTGGGCAACTGTATGGAAGAGTGGATAGACGGTTTTATAGAAGATTCGTTGAGGGAATTTGGAAAGGATAATCGATGTTACCTTTGTGTAAAGCGAGAGGCGACTGATGATTGATATGTGAGTCGTGTTTTTCTGGAAAAAAAAGATCTGAGAAAACCAAGAAGAGCGTTCAAGATATCCTTTTCCATTCATGTGTAATACCACTCGGCTAGCTAGCACTTCACTCTTCAACCCTCCCTCCCTCTTTCCTACCACCACCTTTCAAATCCACTGCCACATACCAACGAAATGAGTATCCATCCCTCCCTACACTCTCTAACCTCTCACCACCACCCAAAAGTATTTCTCTACATCGCCCCCCTCCCTGCACCCCTATCATCTCAAAGAAACTCTGCTTCATATCTTAAAATAGGATCTACATCAACCACACCATCCCAAAACAGATTATCAAGCAAGAGTTCCAAAACACATCAAAAACATTATTCTTTCCACTTAAGCTAACTATCAGAAGCGAGAAGAAAACTGTTTCTCAAGATGTGCCACACAAGAATCGAAGAAGTGCGCGCGCAGTAAAATGAAAACTTAAGAAGCAACCATTAGAAGCACCAGCAATGGAAGCTCTGATGTAAAATAGGAAAATAGACAAATGAGAAATAGTTTGTACACAAAGACATGTCGCTTCATCGCTTCATCTGGCACCAATCACCCTCCCAAATTTTGTCCCATTACGCCTTTGGTATACCCCATTTCTTGATCTGTTGTGTATGTCCGGTTCGCCGAAAGAAATATTTGTCATCTAGGTCAAGCTCGATAATGATTTACATGGCTTGACCGGGGACTGGCTTTCGTTGTGGGGTGTTTCCAGAAGGTGTACGGAGAGGGCCAGGTGAGTTGTTCTCTGGTGGTGAAACTGGGTTCATGCGACTTGGTCCTGGTGGTGAGTTGCGTCGTGCTTGTTGTTGAGCGTTTGATGGGGCTCGAGGACGACCTTGACCGTTCATTGGACCATTGGCTGGAGGTCCTCGTTGTCGGTTCTGACTGTTTGGAGTCATCGGACGACCTTGTTGACCAGTAGGTGTCATAGGTCTACCTTGTTGTCCAGTTGGTGTCATCGGACGACCTTGCTGACCATTTGGAGTCATGGGTCTGATACCGGCTGGTGACATAGGTCGACCTTGTTGGTGCATGTTGGCTGTCATTGGATGTCCTTGTGGGGATACTCGTGGACCATTTTGTTGTGGACGAGGTTTGACGGGGCGGGTTGAAAGACAAGTTCTTGGAACAACACCTTGCTGAGAGCGATCGAGTCTGATGCAAAGAGCCCATCCATCATCATACTCGTGGAGCATTCTGATGAGTTGACCGGCGCGGAGTTCAAGCTCATCCTCCATGGATGGCTTGAAATCAAGTTGGACACGGTGAACAGCACTGGTAGGTGGGCCACCAGCAGCAGCAATCGCTGCAGAGGTGTTGCTTTGGGTTGGAGTGGTAGCTGAATCAGAGGTGACGCTGAAATCGGTTCCAGCTGGACTTGGAGGACCCATGAATGGACCAGATTTGGTGAAGTCGAGTGGTTTAGGACCATTGTCACGCTTTGAAGCACCACGTTTAAGACCTGGGGCAAGAGCGGCACCAGCAACTGCAGCACCCACGACAGGTGCGACAGCTTGTGGGACGTGGTTTGGAGTGACAGGAGTTGTTGCAGCGGCAGCATGTTCGACAATTGGACTGGTCATGAGAACTGGACCGTTCGCATTGGGCGAATCAATGGTCTCGGCGTGGTTACCAAATGGATTGACGGAATTGGTAGAGTGAGAAGTCTCTGGACGGACGTCTGGAAGAGCTTTTTCGGACAATGGGACTGCGGATCCGATGGTGAGAGCATTGCCACGGCTGGCACGTCTCTCCATGAGGTTAGGGATGAATTGAGTGACCGGACGTAAAGATAGACGTGGAGCATTTGGACTTGAACGGATGCTTGCGTCGTCCCGGCGGACGGGATCGGCGAATGGGTTTGAATTGTCGTTTTTCTCGGAATCGGCAAGTCGTTGCTTATCAGCAGTCTTGCGCTTTCTGATGCATACCAAGACGAGGGACAGAATTGCGCCGACCAGGAGCAAGACACCAATAATAATTCCGGCGATTGCTCCTCCGCCCATACCTCCGCTCGACGAGGAGGCATCACTTGTAGAAGTTGAACTAGCCGCGGACGCTGTGTTTGCAGATGTTGTAGCGGAGAAAGTGAGAGAGCTCGTGGCGGCAAGAAGAGGAGCTGAGGATGCGAGGGTAGTCGAGGGAGCAATAATCTCTGATGGGAGAGAAGTTGAGGATTGGGCAACGGCGGTACTGCTGACAAGACCTGTATCTGTATCAATTCCAGTCAAGGACTTGATTACTGACGCTGGTGTTTGCTTTGCGGCAGTCGAAGTTTCCGAGGCAGCTGGAACGACGACTGGAGCTTTTGTCGCTGATGCAGTTGCTGCGAGAACCGCAGGCGCAGAGGTTTCTGGAGTTTCTGGAGCAGCGACTCCGACGGTAGTATATCCTCCAATGGGCCCATCGAAGGTAGGAGCTGCGGTTACATAGACGACCGAGACCAACGTCGCGGGTTCGGCGACGGGTTCTGGGGCTCGCGCATGGAGGTGACGATAGTGACCGTGACTCGCCATGATGGTTTCGTGCTCGATCGTACGTTCGTGAAGACGATGTGGTGTATTTATTATTGACTTTCGTCAAGGTAGATGTTCGCGAGGATCGGGGACGAACGATTATTACTTGATGTGGTCGGATTGCAGATTATGGTATTATCGCTCGTATTGTTTCGCGCGGTCGGTTGTCTGGATTAAAGAGGGTGTTGACGGTGTATCGTCTATTGTGGTTATACTCGACTCGGGTCGGTTGAGCGGTGCGAAGGGATGAAGATACGATCTGTCGATAAAAGAAGGGCGACAGAAGGTGAATGACAATCCGATCACAGCGACGGCGAGGTTGCGTGTGCGTGTGAGGAGAAGAGAGGGAAGGAGAGAAGGGGAGAACTCCACGGCCGTGGGTGGGTGAGATCAAAAGGAGTGGTGGAGTGGTCCGAGATGGTCGACCTGCAGCTTGCCAGGTGCACTCGCGGGATCAACTGGGGGGGATTTAACCGAGTGGATCTGCCTCGCGATAAGGGTTTAGCGCGCCCCTCTTTATCAGGAACGAGAGATTGTCCCTCAGGGGAAGGAGCCAATGAGGAAAAGCACGCTGAAGCCACAATGTAGACGAGCGAACCCGCTGTGAATCGTTTGCTGTCGTTCCCCTCCTGCACTATTAAAAGCTCTCACTCTCACTCTTCTCCCACGAGGTGCCAGTGCCATTTTGTGTATCGATGATTTGCGAAAGGACACGCAGATCGTGTGCGAGTCGACGGCGTGTGGGAAACGTGATATCTCTCCGAACGTCACGCAATCGTTGTTGTATTCGCTGTATCCATTTTAGGAGTATCCTCGTTGGCAGAGGAGTTCATCCCATGTCAGTCGAGCTCTCAACCCATGGAAATGTCTGCGCCGTCTCCACACCAACGCGAACATTAAAATGATGGAACTTCACAATAATAATGCCGTCCATCAAAGACGCGGTGGAAGAGATCATCAAGTTTATGCATCAGAGAAGACTCTGCTTTTTAAATTGACGCAGGATGACGGCGGCTACGATAGTACAGTACCGACCTATTCGAATATAGCCGCACTGGATCGACAGCGAAATGCACCATCTGGGACGTGCTCATTTCACCAGACAAACGGCGACAGAAAAGGGGGGTGGCTTCGCGAACGCGGCTTTAGAGACTTTGCAAGACAATAACGACGGGATGACCAGAATGGACAAATGATCAAAGTCGCGGTGTCTCGGGATGTTACTTTTGATCATTGTGTCGCTGTTTGCTTTTCGTTTGAGCCGTTTGTTTCGTTTTAACACAACCTAACCTGTCAAACATCGGCAATTTTCCACGTGCAGACAGGTCACGTTTTACCGCCAGTCGATGAACGACAGATCGTATTATTTGAGACAAACTTCAAATCACTGCTGAGAGTTTACGAATGGTGTGTACTTGAAGCTGCAAATCTTGAGCAAACAAACATTTGTTGTGGCAATACTTCTGAGAGCCAAAATCAACAATTGGTTGTCATCCGCTATGATACTCATCCAGGCTCTTTACATAGAATCCTGAAATCATCATAGCAAGTACATGTCATGAGTTTATATACATACCAGACAAATACAACACTTACAATTCATCTTTCATCTCTCATCTCTCCTCTTTATTCACATCCGATTATGCAATCAACGACGCAAGAACTTGCCCCAAGTCAAGATTGTACTACATAAATCCAGCTATCTACAGCATTCACTGAAAATACTCATTCACAGAAAGTCACCGTATAAAGCGTCAAATCATAGGTAAGAATCCACAGCTAATCCCTTTTCCGCTCGCGAATAGTATATTTTAAACCCGGTCCGTGAAATCATTCCTATGTCGACTACAAGGAGCGTGGACTAGTCTTCAATTATATCCAGATGAACCGAAAATGTGGCATTTTCTGGGTACGTTGTCTAAAAGATGCGTCTAAGGTAATGTGGTTCTGTGAGAAAGGATAGGTCGTCGGTGTGCTGTCTCCCTGGATCTTTTCCTGTATTTATGTTACTGAAAAGGACAAACACCATAAAAGTACGATCCATTCAAGCGCTGAGAAATATAACAAGAATCACATAGGGGGTTTACCTTTTAGGATAGTATCATCTCGTAGCAAGGTTGTTGTGAATATGTTCATGTCGGTTATACCTTCGACCAACTCGGTCCAGTAAACAAAGTCTTTCTTACAGGGCGGCATGCATTTTCGTGAAATTTGGAGCACAAGTAGGTCCTAAGCTGTTGTGTACTACACCCTCTTTAAGGTTGACAGTGTTTCCTTGTGCAATAAAAGATGTCTAGTGCTTAGCTAGAACGGTATTGTGATAATTAAAAGTAGACAGGTCAGAGCGTGATAGCTCAAAGATGGACCCTTTATAAGTTACAGGTAAGAGCGACGACGTAGACGTAAATTTGTAATGAGAGAGGTTGCGATAATTTGGGAGTAGTTGTAGAATACGACTCATGAATGAAAGATTCAGAGATATTAATATGTGTAAAAAGGTATGGGTATTTGAAGTTAAACTACCTATCATTTTCTTCGGCATAGGGGGTTGTAGGGAAAAACGTCACTGTGTTTGAGGTTGGTATTTTGGTAATAGAAGAATACGTCGAGGATCCTAGTTAGTGAGTCACGATCGATGAATATGTGCATGAATTCTAGTGGAAAGAAAAAGACTGATGGGATGATATCCATCAAATACCAAGTGTTAGAAATCATCACTCAGAACTCACAATGCACAGAACATAGTTTTTAGTTTTTAAAAGTTTTCATTTAATTTCAGAGTATCATTAAGCTCATAACACCATCGCTATTATAAATCCATCGCTATGTATCGCGCATATCCCTATCCCTAGACTCCAAGTCCGAGAAAACTCCAATCAATGCATCATAATCGTACAGATCCATCACCCTTCAATTCTATGCAACAGTAACAGCGATCTTTCCCGTCTTGGTGATCTTAGGAATCACAAGGTGTAAAACCCCATTCTTCAAGACAGCCTGCACGTTATCGTGATCGAGACGTTGTGAGAATGAGAAACTGCGAGCGAATGATCCGACTTTGCGTTCTGAGACCCAGAACTTGGGTTTTGGTGCCTTGGCCTTTGGTGCTTCTGTCTTCTTTGGCTCAGCGATGGTGGTGGTGGAGGTGGTAGAAGCAGGTGTAGCGAGTGGGGTATCAGCTTCATCGTATTCATCCTCGACCGTTGGGTTGAGTGATTTCTCAGACGAGGTGTCGGAGTTGTCGATTGCCTTTACTTCTGGGGTGGGTTCTGGTGTTGGAATGGTAGTGCCAGCGCGCACGACCTTGCCCTTGACAACGACTGTCTGGGCGTCAACGAATTCGATATTCAGATCTTCCTGTGCGAGACCTGGGAGTTCGCCGAAGAGCTCGTAAGTGGTTGGAGTCTCAGTGACATCGAAGCGAGGCGTGAAGGTCTCTTCTCTGGCTTGTCGTGGTTGGCAGCGGCGGATGACTTGTGGGACAGCCTGTGCTGGTGCTGGCGCTTGCTTTTGGGTTTGTTGAGAGACTTCTTTGTCGAGCTCAGAGAGGAAGTTGAGGAATTGGGACTCCGAAGAGAGGTATGCTTGTGGGAAGAAAGGCATTTTGATGGTTGTGTTTGGAGATGAGATGTGAAGTAAGTTTGAAATGTTGGAAGAGTGGATGAAGAGAGGTTTGGAAGTTGCTTGGATGTTCTGATCTGAATATGAATCTGATTCTGAATGATGAAAAGAAATCTCTAGCTGTAACAAAAAGACATATATATACTTATTCTAGCCACAACCAGGCAGTGTTTGATGGCGCAACCAGTATGAGAAATCAGTGCTTACGACGCTCCTGGCTCATTCTGGAATTGTCAAGAATGGTGTCTCGATACTACCAGAGAGTTCTGTTGCTTACAAGTTGCTTCTTGCTTGTTCTTGTTGCCTCCCGAATCATCGCGAATGTTGTGGAAGATGACCGAAAAGGGATGGAAATGTGGTCACGTGATGATGGTGGCGATGCGACTTACCAATTCTGATTTCAAAAGCAACGCCCTTACCTCCGCATTTGACTGCACTTATTTCAGAATCGCCATTAATTCGATAGGTTACCAGAAAGAGAGCTTTGACTTCGTAGCTTTGCTTACAACCATCAATGCAGCTTCGGTAGGTTCCTGAATTTCCGTGGTTCAAGCCGGTGCAGGGCATTCCGAATCGGCTCCGGAGATCTCTCGCTTAATCGGGTCCAGATTTCGCATTTCCAGCATTACAAAAGGGGTATCACTTTGAAGTTTGGTCAATAAATGCTAATAATTGTGGTAAACTATTGATATAGAACTCAGTAGGGGGGTTGAATAAATGATAAGCGATATTCGAATCGCTGTATTGCCATGATCTTATTCCCAATTTCACAACATCATTTTCTCAACGCCCCAAACTCCTCAATAGCACATTCACATTTACACATATTTCCTATAAATTTCTCATATTACCAATACCCTCTCCTCTAATGTCTAACCCCCCCTCCCATCAACGGAGAAATATACCTTAAATAATACTCCTCCCCCATCCCCAATTTCGCAGCATCTCTCACCCCGGCACCAATCCGTCCAACATACTCACTCCTCGCCCTACCAACCTCCAGTCCAGGACTCACGTACACCAGACATTCTACCACGCTCCCCTCTCCCTCCGAACATAAATCCCTTCCTCCCGTCTCAACCCCCATAACTCTCACATCAGCCTCCCCGACTAACCTCCCTACAACAGCCGCATGTCCCGGCCTCACCGTCACCTCCAAAGTTTCTTTGGTATAACACCCCATGGCTACACCCTCATTAACATCCAAGTTCTCCTCATCGGCGGGACTTAGAAGGTAGCACAGTCCTTCCACCCAATCACCCGGCGAGGGATGTACAGTTGCGTAGCCACGGCCGTTGATGGCCCATTTATAGTCGTGAAGGATGCCGTGGCCGATATACCGGCTTTGGGGACAGCGACGGGACATCTGGCCTAGTGAGAGGTTGGAGCCGTAGGCGAAGTAGAGGGTCTCGGTTTGGGGTGAGCGGGTTGATGAGGTGGACATTTTGATAGAATGGGTTGGGGAGTTGCTTGTTTGGAAACTTGGAATCCTGAGGGGTTAAATTGGGAGTTTAATTTTTGTAAGAAGAAAGTTGATGGTAGGTGTTGAGTAAAGTTCAAAAGAATGTATCAACCTTATGTGCTCTTGCTAAATATGTCATTGCTGTTCCGTTGTCTAACAACAATCGTGTAACAAAGAAAACATGTGACGCCCCGCCAATAAGATACTTTCACGGTGATTAACATGTTACTATGTACTTCCTTTATTCAACCACCAAACAATCAGTGCAGCTTGCTTTCTTTCTCGAACTGAATCCCTAAGAAGTCATGTTAATTTCGCTAAGCGAGCGTCCCCCTCCAGCGAAAAGAAATTAAAAATCGGCAGTCCCAATTGACTGAATCACTTAGTATACCAAAACCAGGCTCATTCAAAAACATTAAAGCCTGCAGTTCAACAACTTGCCTATCTCTTCAACTGCATCTTCCCTAGACCGTCCCGTGAAAAGATTCTGATAAAAAGAAAAGTCAAAAACATACAACAGTAGGTATTCGCTGGTGGTCACCCACCCAACTACTAATCTACCGATCTGAAGCTTGAGTCTGGCAGAGCGGACGGGATGCCCTATGATCTTCAGTCTATGGTCGTATGTGAAAGAGATGCTTGTTTTAGGGAATATATTGCAACGTCTTCAAAGGCGAACTGAGGTAAATCAACTCTCCACAAGACTCACTTCGAATGTAAATATCAGTTCCATATCCTCATTTCAACCACTTAACCAATAACCATTTAAAACTCAAAATCCCCCCACCCACCCCCATCATCCCCACCCCCATCCTCTTCATATTCCTCCTCGGCATATTGTTCCTCATGTTGTCCTTCACCATGTCCACCCCCATGTCCACCACCTCCATGTCCTCCCCCACCATGGCCCCCACCACTACTCTTCCCAAAAATCTGCTTCTTCAATTTCTTCGTCTCCTTATTCATCATGCCTGCCATCAACGCACCACCAGCCAGCAACCCGGCACCACCGCCTAGAAGCGCAAGGCCGCCTGCTTTGCTGGCTGGTTTGGGTTTGGCTCCAGCTGCTGCGCCTACAGCGACTGGTGCGGCACCTGCGACGGCGTATTGAGGTTGTGGTTGTTGCATGAGTTGAGGTTGTTGTTGGGGGTATACGCCGGGTTGTTGGGGTTGGCCGTAGACTGGTACGCCTTGCTGCTGTACGCCTGGAGTGGTAGCGTAGACTGGTTGCGCTGCGTAGACGGGTTGGGGTGCATAACCTGGGGTTGTTGCTTGTTGGATGCCGTAACCTGGTTGTGGGGATGGAGCAGCTACACTGCCGGATCTGACTGCGTATTGGGGAGTGCCTGCGTTGTGAGCGACGAGACCACCTACTATTCCGCCGCCGACTACGCCTGCGAGTCCTGCTTGAGCTGCTGTGGGTTGCATGGTGTTGTTCATTGGAGCCGCGGTGGCTGCTGGTTGAGCGTAGCCTTGTTGTTGGGCATAGGGTTGTTGCATTTGTTGCTGTTGTTGTGGCTGTTGTGGCTGCTGCTGTATACCTGGAGTTGCTTGAGTAGCATATACCGGTTGCTGTTGACCGTACACAGGTGTTTGGACATATTGAGGTTGCGTTCCAGGGGTAGCAGCTGGAGAAGGATAGGCAGCATACGCCGGAGTTGAAGCAGCTTGTGTTGTGGGAGTTGGAGCTGTTTGTTGCGAATATGTGACAGGCGCTCCTGGTTGTGGTGAAAGAACCTGACCAGGAGTAGACACTGGCGTATAAGTAGTCTGTTGAGCATATCCTTGCGTGTTGACACTCGGAGATGGGGTTGGTTGATATGACTGGGGAGTTGCTTGCTGTCCATATTGGTTTTGCTGAACGGGTGATGTAACGGATATAGGTGTATGTGTCTGATATACAGGTTGTCCTTGTCCAGCATAACCTCCTTGCGGGGTAGCCTGCTGTTGCACTACAGGGTTTGTCGGCGACTGAGCACTGTATGCTTGGGTGACTGGCGTTTGAGTGCTTGGGTTAGCTTGTTGATAAGTCTGAGCTTGTGATGTACTATATGAAGGCTGCTGGTGGTGGTTTGGCGCATTGGTGGCCGCTGCGGGAGGATACTGATTATAAGCTTGAGGTTTGTGAGTCTCAGGAAAGTAACTAGACTGTTGCTGAACCTCTTTCTGGGGCCCCAATGAGACATTTGCCATCGCCGTTTGAAGAGAAGCATCGTTTTTGTTTTCACTTGTACTATTTTGATATCCTGGTGGTGGTGCAGCCGGTGGACTTGCTTGTGATACAGGTGGGATCGCGGGTTGAATTGGTTTCTCCCATACAGACGCTCCTGTGTATATATTCTCGTAGAACCTTGAATCCACTGTTAGAGCCTGATAAAAAAAATAAAAGTAAACCTCACCAAGCGCTGTATTGCGTATTCCAGTGAGCTTTGTAACCTGCTGGCAGAGCAGCAGGTTGGTAGTGCCCAGTAACAGTAGCCATTCCGCAAAGTATGACCCCGCTCTGATTGAAAATGCAATGCACACAGACGGCGAGCCGGAAAACCACGATAATTTTCAAATCAACGAGAAAGCGAGCGTCTTCAAGAGAATCGAGGTCAGTCAATTACAACAAATTAATCGTGCCAAACAACACAAGTCTCGAAAGAGTTTCAATTTCCTGCGACGAGGCTGGCCGAAGACTTTATTGCTGGCTTAAATATAGGTCAAAGACAGCAAAATACCACGACAACCAATAAATGTGAGGTCCAGCCTCAGCTGAAGGGTGAAATAGCGTATCACCTCTCGTATAATAAGCCACATGTAGAGAACCGGAGCATTGATCTTGGCATTGTGACAGTGAAAACCGCAAAAGAAAAATTTGCGGCTGAAACTGAGAGCTTGACCCTTTGAAGCGTTTACAAATACGATATCGAATTCCTATTGAGGCGGATACTTTGACGAAGCGACATTCCCATCTCATGCTAGATGTAGAAAGTTCTAGGCCTGAGTTGACGATTGTCTGACTGCCAAAACATACAATTACCTATCATTATGTGATCGGCCGAGCTGGAAAGTCGACAATTATTTAGCTGCAAAGAAAATCGTGCTACACGTGGTGTGATATCAAAACGCCTTGTAACTTCCATGATGCCCAGGCCCCTCATGGATAAATACCGTAGAGATAGCAATCTGATATCCTTGATTTCTCTATGCTTATTTTGCCAAGACACATGCCAAGGTCATGGCATTTGTGCTTCGCCTTGTAATAAGTACTCTTCACTGCTCTGTTGTCTTGAATTGCGAAACAGGCAAGCATGCATGTTTTGGGGGAAATCGCAGACGTACATAATGGTGTCAACTTCGTCGAATTATCATCATGTTCGACTGCCACGTATTGTCCACCGCGAGTTCGAGAGCATCTTGTTGAAAGTGGGATTAGGCGATGCGGCGATTGCGCAATGACGAGATGTATAAAGCCCCCGCGCTATAGCACAAGGCAGCAAGACAGATCAAGTAAAAGGCAAGAGATAAACTTTTGAAGAAGCTAGAGGAGAAGTTGGAACAGCCACTTGGCAGCATTGAGAAACTTCTTAAATTTCAATAGATGGAGCCGATAGATGGAGCCAGGCTGGGTTATCCTTTGGCCATTATTTCTTTAAATATGCCCCAAAGATAACGCTCAGATATCTAACATTCATATCACTATACCGTGAGGATCATTGTACACGTATAACTAAAGCAAAGATTTTTCACCACACCTCGTCCCTTAACGCCAAACCCCAATGTAATGCAACGCGAAACAATTCAGACTCTACGATGGTGCAGCAGCAGCATCTGACTCTTCTATTGGTATTTGGGCAATTTCTTGAGCAGAGCCAATTGCGTGGAAGCCATCCATCGTCACTGTTACGGCACCTGCTTGAACAAGCTGTGCTTTGTTAGTAATGATCAAGCGCTGAGCGGAATGGAAACACGTACTGCTCGTTGAAGATCATCGATGAGATCATCCACATCTTCAATGCCAACACAAAGCCTGATGATATCTTCAGGCATTTGTCTTTCTTTTCTCGTTGCTGCACTGATGCTCGCATGACTCATTTGACAAGGCATGCTAATGAGACTGTTGACACAACCAAAGCTGACGCTGATACCCCATAATCGAGCTGCTTCAACGATACGTTCAGAGAGATTGACATCACCAGTCTCAAATGACAGAACAGCGCCCGCGCCTCTTGCCATGGACCAGTGCAAATCATACTGAGGGTGCGATTTCAGACCAGGATAGCGGACTCGGAAACCGTGCGATTCAAGAAACTCAGCAATTTGTTGAGCATTTGTCTGCTGCTTCTCCATTCTAATTGCAAGGGTCTTGATTCCCCTCATCAATAAGAATGCATCATTCGGTGAAATACCGCACCCGGTCGAATTGATTGTAAAGTACATTTTGTCACCAATGGCTGGGTCGTTAAAGGCTAAAACGCCGGCCATAATATCGTGGTGTCCGGATAAGTACTTCGTTCCGGATTCATAAACGATATCGGCTCCAAGGTCAAGCGGGTTACAGAGCATGGGCGAAAGCATGGTGTTATCGACTACAACCAATGCTTTGGGGTTGGTCTCGTGCACAATCTTTGCAATTGATGGGAGATCAACAATTTTGATCAGCGGGTTAGTTGGTGTTTCCAACAGTACCATGGCTGTCTTTGGTGAAACGACACCTCGAACCTTCTCTGGTGTTGTGGTATCGACGTGGTGAACGATAATGCCGTGGTTGGCTGCCATATAGGTCAACAGTCGGTTGGTGCCTCCATATAAATCATCGCCAGTAATGACTTCGTCTCCTGGGCGTAGTATTCGCGTAATGACATCCAATGCACCCATTCCCGATCCCACCACTAATGCTCTCGCCGCATTCATGATCTTAGCTAGGTGGCGCTCCAGATGAGTCCGCGTAGGATTTCCGGATCTCGTGTAATCATATTCTGATCCTCCGCCAGCAGAGGTTTGTTTGAAAGTAGCAGACTGATAGATAGGCATACTCGAAGCTCCATATTGATCCTTGCTTTCTGTGTATACCAATTCGGTCGCAAGGGCGTACTTTCGTCCATTGGTAGGTGTAGATGGAGCGGGCGATGGAGGAAGATCGTGACCATCCAAGTCAATATGGGCAAAAGCCTTGCCCACGGTATTGATCTTGCTTGAAGATGGTCCTCCCGAGGGTCCTGGCGGTGTAGACATATTCGGGGTTGGGAAGCTAAGTGGTGGCGGCGAAAGAGGGAATCGATCGTAGTTGTGGAGTATGAAGCTCGTTGTTCGAATTGTGTAAAGTTCAAACTATGCTGCAGGCTGAGTAGAGCTTCTGGGTGCGATCAAGTTGTTCAATGGCTGGGACAATCTAATTGAAAGATTGAATATGTTTGGAATGTGTTTTCCTTCAAAATACGCCGACAACGGCTGGAGTCATACAACAATGTGGGGTAGTCCCACCAAAGAAAGCCGTGCAATGGATCGGAATATATTTTTACCGATGACGAAATACCCCCTGACTGTGAGCGATTCGACCTCGGTGTCGGCGTTTAGGGCGCTTCGGACTTAGGGCCTTTGTGAAGTCGAACGAGGGAACAGCTTCGGAATACAAACTTAGTATGACCTTTCAAGTCTTTTCCATTCGCTATTTGTTAACTCAGGAACTTTAGAGCGTTTCATGTATCGAATTTTAGAGAGTCAATGAGAGGAGGTAAACGTTCTAAGAAGTGACAATGCTATTTTTCTGGATGAGACTTAGTCTGTGCTGCATATAGTATAGTTTAACAGCGTACATTATGCTCTTCTAGAAAACTAGGTACCATGTTGGTAAAAAATTGCAGCAACCGTTGGAAAATATGCCTAGCTACCATTATATAGAAATAATCATCATGACTGTCTATATAACAAAGGTAGAGATCCAATACTCGTACTGCATATATGTAAATGCTCTGGTGGGGACTCTTCAAAAGCACTTTAGAAAAGTCGCGTCGCCAATTGAGAGTGGTAGCTTGGTCGCGTCTCCCCGCGTCCCCGGAACATTTCCAAACCCACCCCATCAATCATGCTATGGCCACCATAAAGGCTATTGAAGGCCGGACTGCAAGTGAAATCAATCCTGGATGCGTATGATATGAATCTAACGACAGGCAGGTGCATCAAATCCAGTCCGGTCAAGTCATTGTTGATTTGTGTTCGGTGGTGAAGGAATTGGTGGAAAATAGTCTGGACGCCGGTGCCACCAGCGTTGGTATACAACACAATCATCTTCGTCTGCTTTTGCTGATTCGAATTCTAGATGTCAGGTTCAAAAATCAGGGACTAGAATCAATCGAGGTTCAGGACAATGGCGACGGCATCTCGCCACAGAACTACGAAACTCTAGCCCTCAAACATCATACTTCGAAGCTCGCCACTTATTCTGATTTAACTACCCTTCAGACCTTCGGGTTCCGCGGAGAAGCACTTTCATCATTGTGCGCTCTTTCACACTTCTCCGTCACAACTTGCATGGCCGCAGATGCTCCGAAAGGGACCAAGCTGGATTTTGAAGTATCGGGAAAGCTGAAGGGAACAAGCGTAGTAGCAGCGCAGAAAGGCACCACCGTATCCGTCGAGAATTTGTTCAATAATCTGCCGGTCAGACGGCGAGAGTTGGAGCGTAATATAAAGCGTGAATGGAGTAGAGTAATTGGAGTGCTAGGCCAGTATGCCTGCATCCAAACGGGTGTCAAGTTCTCCGTATCACAGCAGGCTGGCAAGGGCAAGAAGACTTCCCTATTCTCTACAAAGGGCAACAAAACTACCAGAGAAAATATCGTTAATGTTTTCGGAGCGAAGACACTCACAGCCCTTGTCCCCATGGACTTGAAATTAAAGCTCGAACCGACCAGTGGACCAAGTCAGAGATGGAGTACGCAAGAGGATGGCGGTCAAAAAGATATTCGAATCGTAGGCCACATATCTCGCCCAGCATCTGGGGAAGGCCGGACAACCCCTGATCGCCAGATGTTCTTTGTGAACGCTAGACCATGTGGTCTCCCACAGGTTGCAAAGGCATTCAACGAAGTGTACAAAGCTTATAATGGTTCCCAGTCTCCTTTCATATTTGCAAATATTGAACTGGATACCCATCTATATGATGTCAATGTGAGTCCTGACAAGAGGACGATCATGCTACACGATCAGACTCGCATGCTGGAAAACTTGAAGGAGGCTCTTGTTTTTTTATTCGACTCGCAAGATTATACTGTGCCAATATCTCAATTACCAGTGCAGAAACAGCCATCGTACAAACAATTAACGATAAACCGAGAATCATCTACTACTTCCAAAACCTCGTCGATAAAAAGGGCTCGCTCTTCTTCTCCAAGCGAAGCCTCGTTAGGAAAACGCCAGCGCTCTACTTCTCCAGCTAGAGAAGATGAACATGACGCGAATCCGAACGATACCGGAAAAGATAACTCTGATGATGATAATCAAAGTATGATATCCGATTTACAAGATGAACATGCCGCTAGCCGGAGAAGATTAACAAAATCTTCTGATAACAATCTAAATCTTATCTCGAATTGGGCTGGTAGGAACACAAAGGATAGATCGGAGGCTAAAGAGACGAATTCTAGATCTGCGAATGTTGCCGGAAAACTTCCAAAGGAGAAACTAGATCTCCTTCAAAATTTTCGAGATGTAAGCCAGGACACGGATGATAATGACAACGACGGCGAACGTAGAAATGAATTAGCCAGTTCGCTCTCTACAGTTCGATCTTCTCTTCCGGCGCCAACCTTTAAATTACCAGTTCCAGTGGCAGATTTCAATACGAGGATAGCCGAAATGCATAAGGACAACAGATCCGAAGCGCCTATACCTGCTTTGGAGTCCCCTTCCAAATCTCCTCCTTCTCTATCAAGCCGATTTTCGAGTAACCCCAAAACTCACCGTATCCCCGCTGAGATAGCTACAATTACCATTGACGGTGACACGACGACTCGGATGATTGGTACACCTGCAGCTAAAAGTGCTCCTGTGGGTGTTGTTCGCTGCACATCGAGAAACTCTCGTATTCACACGCCGAAGCCAAAAAATAAAGCACCTCTACCATCATTTGGGAGTCGACTCTCCCAGCGCTTTGGAGCTCCAGGCACCACACAATCAGCGGAATCAGACGAAGATGAAGACGAAGACGAAGACGAAGAAGGCAAAGCAACACGCTCACCTAGAACACCATCTATCTCATCTGACCCCGGGGAACATGACGAGGGTGGAGAAGGGTTCCAGAGCGAGACCCAGCGTATGCCCATAAATCCATCCAGTGACCCTGTCGAAAACAACGCAATCGAATCTTCTGGTGAGTTGGCCGAGAAACCGGATAGTGAAGCAAACGCCGGACCCGTATCAGAGCTTGAGGCAGCTATAGATGACGAGGATGCAGACGATGAGTACATTGACGAAGGTGAGAAAAAGGCGCGAGAAGAAGCCAAGGTTCAGCATCTTATTCAGGCCGCCGAAGAAGCTGCGATGCAACCTTCACAGGCAAACATCCTCAGAGCCAAAAGTCTTCTGAAAGGTAGCGCTCGGAGGAAAGAAAGTACCCTCAATATTGTGAAGCCTCTTAAAACAAGCGTCATCAATATCGAAGAACAGATCTCTAGCTTACACACTATGCTGTCCACCTATGACCAACTTCCCTCCCGTCACACAGAAGACGACTCAATCGATTCCTCCAAAGCCGAAGAAAAGCTATCTCTAACAATCTCAAAACCGGATTTTGCCAAAATGAGAATCGTAGGCCAATTCAACCTCGGGTTCATCCTAGCAACAAGAACCTCAATCACCCAGCCCTCAGAAGGACAAGCCCTCGCCGACGACCTCTTCATCATCGACCAACACGCCTCGGACGAGAAATACAACTTCGAACGTCTCCAATCCACCACAATAGTCCAATCCCAACGTCTAGTCCACCCCAAACTCCTCTCCCTCACCGCTCTCGAAGAAGAAATCGTCCTCGAAAACCAAAAGGCCCTTTCACAAAACGGCTTCAACATATCTTTCAACGACACCCTCCCCGTCGGCACCCGCTGCTCCCTCATCTCCCTCCCTTTATCCCGCGAAACCGTGTTCGGGCTCGAAGATCTCGATGAGCTGCTTGCGCTGCTTACGGAGTATCCGAATGGGAGTATCCCGCGACCGAGTAAGGTGCGCAAGATGTTTGCGATGAGGGCCTGTAGGAGTAGTATTATGATTGGGAAGTCGTTGAGTGGGAAGCAGATGGGGAATGTGGTTAGACATATGGGCGAGATTGATAAGCCCTGGAATTGTCCGCATGGGAGACCGACTATGAGACATCTTTGTGGATTGGGGGCGTGGGATCAGGTTGGCTGGAAAGAGGGGGATTTGGATGGGGAGAAGGGCGGCGATGTGGATTTGGCGGGGTATGTTAGGGGAGCGAGGTTGGTTGAGCAGGAGGTGGATGAAGATCTGATTGAATCTGAGGTTGAGGAGGAAATGTCAGATGGAAATGAAGAGATTTTGGAAGAGGAAATTTATTAACAATTCCCATTATACATATCCTTCATGTCTCAATAGCAATTATATACAAGATTCCAAGTACAGCACCCTAACTACCCAGGCCTATGCCTAAATCCTAACGCAAGTCCCCCATGTTTCCAAATCCCCCATATATATAACTCCAAAACGACCCCTATATCCATCCCTTTCACCACCAAATCTATTATCTAGATCCCGCTCACTTTTCTAAACCTCGTCCCCCACCCACCCTGACTCCCAGCAAACCCCTCCTCAGCAATCTTCCCACTAGCATCTCTCTTCTTAAACCTCCCCTTCTGATTCAAGAAATCATTTCCAGAAGAAACTTGTCTGTTGGTCCCACCCGCACCGACCAAAATAGGAGGTGTAGCAGGTTTAAGATCACCATAGAATCGAGCTTTGAAGTTATCTCTGAGTTCGGGTTCTGGTGAGGGAGATCGCTGAGATGACATGTCTGCGATATCGACATCCTGGTTTGAGGACATCTTTGAGATGTTTGATAGCGGTGGTTCGGAGTTGGTATTAAATCTGTGTTTTCGGGGCGTTTGGGGGTTGGATTTCAGTGGGCTGGCGTGGGGATGACGAGATGAAGATGCAGAATCTTGTCGGGTGTGACGGCCTCTATGTCCTATATCTTCTGTATCCTCGGTGTCGTAGGCTTGGGTGACGGGCTCATACGTTCCTTTTTGAGGTGATCGACTACGGTTGCGGTTTTTGTTGAGTGAGTCAGAAGCATACCAGCCTTGAGACGCATTTTCGTTTTGACGAGAGCTGCGATGAGAAGCGGCATCTGATAACGGCACCTCTTGGTAAGACTTTCTTTTTGGAGACGTGCTTTGAGCATACGAGCGACGATTGATAGGGTTGTCAAGGATGATGGAAGATCCGTTTGAGTTACGGAGCTGGTACTGGCGGCTTGGTAAGTCAATTCTTGAGTCTTGTGGATCTGACTTATAAGATGGCAAAGAATCGTTAGAGTTGGTACGGGTGTGGAAGAACGGTATGGTTGGCGGGCGTGAAAGATCTTCGTAAACTGCCCCCGAACTTCTCTTGCTTTCTAGAGGGGTGGATAGACGTTTCTCAGCTGTCGATTCAGTTGTCATTGTTGAAATCGACGACTTGTTTCGCTTGTGACGGGAAGTCAGGTTGTCTTCCAAAGGATTCATATCTGGTGGTAGATTGGTGATCTTGCGGAAAGTTACTGCTAGGTACAACCCAATAATGAGTGATATGAGGTGTAATCCTCCACCAATAGTTGCCAGTAAAAACACAATCCGGGCAAATTCGGCGGTCAGTTTACTGGGGTCATTGACAACAACAAACCATGAGTCGAGTCTTTCTGGCATTTGGTGATCCCAACCCAGCCACGAACTATATCCATAGAATGGAAGGATAGCGACATCAAAGAATGAGGCAAATAACATGTAGCCTGCGGAAGACGCCGGCGTTCTTCCTGAAGCTTTTCGCGACAAGTGGTAGATGCCGTAAACTGCATGGAGAAGAGCGACACCCGGCTTTAGATGAGTTAGTCAATCACATAATGAAATGAGATTACAAGCTCGCTTACGACAATACGGAGAATCCAAGTTGTGGTATCATCCAGGCCTCGGATGATGATCATGAAAGCCAAAAGACCACCGGCACATAGTACTTGAAGACATCTCAGAACCAGCTGGATGATCCTCGTCCACTTGACCCACACCTTGACCTTGGGATTCATGTACTTCCCAGATGTGTTTTGCAATGGCAAAATTAAATAAGAACTACTTTTGTTAGCAATTACTAATCTCTCATGAAGTTACAACCTACTCTGGGTGTTGATTGAAAGATACCAAAGGACCTTCTTGTTTGCGCCGTGGTGCTCTCGGAGTCTGGCTTGCGCGAGTTACTGCTTTGGGATCGAACTCTTTGTACGGGCTTCTAGGCCCTTCTGTCTTGATAGCATCATATAGATAAGGAGGTCTAACAGCCATTATTATAACAGAGACAAGATGTTCGAGATTATTAAGAATGCAAAGCAAATTGCAATGTGGAATGTGGGCGTGGTGGGAATATGACAGCTAGGTATGAGCAGGGGAAGCGCTATTGATTAGGGGTGGGGAAAACAAACAGTAACCACAGCAACGCCCGCTCCTTATCGCGATAACTTTATTTTCTCTGGAACATCCATTATTGGAACCTCGGAGCCGCCAGCTCATCTGAACTATCAATGATGAGGGGTCTCACGAACCAGTGGGTTTGCGCTCGCTGCATTAAGTCATTAGCGAAGAGGGGCTCGACGACTCGACGTCTTCAGTCGACTACGAAAGCAAAAAGATATACTACCGCCACCAACTCTAGAAATGGCCGGCCCTTTCGAATGGCCGTCATCGGGTCAGGGCCAGCCGGTTTCTATACCTCCTATAAGGTGATGTCGAAGATTGAAGATGCTGTCGTGGATATGTATGAACACCTACCGGTGCCTTTTGGATTGGTTCGTTTCGGGGTTGCGCCGGATCATCCTGATGTGAAGGTACAAGGAGTCTTGTGAAGTATCTTGATACATGGCTAATTCGGTCAACAGAATTGCCAGGACAAATTTCAAGAAGTCGCAGAGTCACCAAGATTCAACTTTGTTGGCAATATTGCCATTGGCAATTCTGACTCGGAGCTGCCTTTGCAGTCACTACTTCCACATTACGATGCGATACTCTTCGCGTATGGCGCTTCGAAAGATCGAACCTTGAATATCCCAGGTGAAGGAACACTCAAAGGCATATACTCAGCTCGAGCGTTTGTCGGCTGGTATAACGGTCTGCCAGAGTACGCTGGGCTGGCGCCAGATCTCTCGTTGGGTGAAGAAGCTGTCGTCATTGGACAAGGAAATGTAGCATTGGATGTTGCTCGTATTCTCTTGGAAGATGTCAATGTTCTTCGGAAGACAGACATCACCGATGAGGCTATCCAAACCCTGGAGAAGAGCAAGGTTAAGAGGGTCAATGTCGTGGGAAGAAGAGGTCCGCTACAGGTTGGTGCTATTGATTCCTCGCCTGCCAAAGAATACTGACCACGAAATGTAGGCTGCTTTTTCTATCAAAGAAGTTCGAGAACTTGTGCGGCTACCAAACGTAGCATTTCATCCAGTAGATGCCACCTTGATTCCCAAAGACCTGAAAAGCTTAGACCGACCGCCGCGTCGGATAATGGAAGTCCTTCTTAAGGGTGGAAATTCCTTGGTCTCTGAGACGCCAAGATCATGGTCACTCGACTTCTGCATGTCGCCGACTTCGTTCAACCCAGATCAAACAAATGAAGATAAGCTAGGGAATGTTGCTTTCGAGAAAACGTCTCTACATCCAAGCCCCTTTGATCGTAGCGCAAAGGCCATTGGTACTGGAGAAAAAATATATCTACCTGCTTCGCTTGCTATGCGTTCAATAGGCTACAAGTCCGAAGCACTTCCTGGCTTTGATACTCTCAACATACCGTTTGATAACACAAAAGGGGTAATACCAAATGACTTTCTTGGTCGTGTTGTCGATAACCAAAAGGACTGGTTGCAGTCCGCGACAGCAACACCCATGCCAGGCATGTATTGTGCTGGTTGGGTCAAAAGAGGACCAACTGGTGTTATCGCCAGTACTATGGATGATGCGTTCTCCACGGCCAGTTCGATAGTCATGGACTGGAAAGAAAACAAACCCTTCCTGAACCCTGACGGAAACACCGGTTTGGGTTGGGAAGGCGTCAAAGCCGGAGCGGCTGAAAGAAATCTTAGAAGAATCAGCTGGGAAGACTGGAAAAGAATAGACGCAGCAGAAAAAGAAAATGGCCGCAAGGTCGGCAAGGAAAGAGAAAAGTTCACCAGCATATCTAAAATGCTTGCTGTTCTGGACTAATTCCTTGGATATCATATGTATTTATAATTTACTTATTCAGCTTTTCCGTTAGCTCTGGCACCTTATCAAACAGATCCCCAACTAATCCAACGTCGGCTACCTGAAAGATTGGTGCATCGGCATCTTTGTTGATGGCTGCAATGACTTTACTATCCTTCATTCCTGCCAAATGTTGAATTGCTCCCGAAATACCTGCACACAGGTATAGTTGTGGTGCTACAATTTTTCCAGTCTGTCCGACTTGCAGACTGTTGTCTGCATAACCGCTGTCAACAGCTGCTCTGGAAGCTCCGATCGCTGCTCCTAATGCATCCGCCAGTGGCAACATCACTCTGTCGAATTCCTCCTTGGACTTCAATCCTCGTCCGCCCGACACTACTTTCCCAGCAGTGGCCAAGTCGGGTCGGTCTGATTTCGACAGCTGTTCCGACACCCATTCCGTAGCACACTCTGCATTTGAGTCCACACCATCTTCAATTGATGCTGAACCACCTTCTGTCTCAGCAGCTGCGAATGCCGTCCCTCTAATTGTAATGACCTTGATGTCATCTGAAGATTCGACCGTAGCTATAGCATTTCCTGCGTATATGGGTCGAACAAAGGTCTTTTCATCTTCAATTGCTGTTATATCGGAGATTTGTTGAACATCGAGTAACGCGGCAACGCGGGGCATCAAGCTCTTTCCGAATGCAGAGTGACCAGCCAAAATATGTGTGAATCCTCCCTTCTTTATATTCTCGACAAGTAATGGAGCATAGTTTTCCGGAAGTCCCTAAGGTTCGTTAGGAATACTTGTGATTCGAGCAGTAAATACGACTAACTTTATCATATGATGCATTATCAACGGCAATAATCTTTTCAATTCCTTTCACCTTGGCAGCTTCTTCTGCCACGGCCTTGATATTGCTTCCCGCAATAAAACCAGTGATTGATCCTCCCAACTTCTGTGCAGCAGTCACTGATCCTAGCGCTCCTTGGAGGAGTTTGCCATCTTTCTGTTCGAGTACCGCAAGGGAAGATAATAATCGGGAAAAGGCCGAGAGGGAGGCGACGTAGGTTGGGCCACTATGTGACTTTAGTTGGCTGCGTGCACTGCGCAAAACCGAGTTTCCTATCCTTGGAATCATTATTACTTCGACGTTGTTGCAAAAGCTTGAAGGGAAACATCGTAAACTACTTGATAGTTCCTGTCATCGGCATCCGAGGTAAAGCGGGCTTGAGCCGGGGTACTATTGAAGCCTTGTATTCAAGGCACAAAGCCAGGCACTAAATCTCACAGCTTCGACGCTCAAGATCCAGCGCGCTTGAACCACCAAGTCGCGACATACCAGAAATTCTATTGTGAATCCATCAAACGCGCCAAACCTGCACTTTTATCAGCAACACAATTCATTACGGGTTTTGCATGAGACTCGAAGCGAAAACTGCCGACATTGATCAGATTAGAATGATCTGAACCCATATTGGGCATTTGATTACTCCTGGCGCAAATAGCAGAAACGACACCTCTGAACAGCACACTCTTTGCGACAATCTCCATTCTGCACTTTACAACGCAATTACAATATGGACGACGACTCTTTAAACTTTGGCTCTGATGCCGCCGGCGCTACCCCCGGCAGTAATCCAATTCTTGCGCAGCCTCCGCTCCAGCGAGATTCGGCGTCGCCATCTGGTCGTGAAGGAAGCTCTGGCCAGGGGGGAGCAGCGAATGAGTGTATGCTATACTCTAACTTTATTGTTGCACCTACTGACAGTAATAGCTGCCGACGTTGACATGGCAGATAACGATGGCAATCAAACGGCCCCCGCCATCAAAACCGATACCTCAAACTCCACACCTGTAGTCGTTTCTGACAATCCGCTCGACGCGCCAAATGCACCACCACGAGACGGAGATGCTAAGGATGACGAGATGGCGGATGTAAAAATCAGCCAGGAGCCTGGAGCGGATGGTGCTCCAGCTACTTCGGAAGAGCAGACGGAGAAGACGAAAGCTTCGATAGAATCCTCTGCCCGAGAACACCTTATATCCCAATCACATTCTATCATTCTTCCAAGTTACAGCACATGGTTTGATATGCATACGGTCCATTCGATCGAGAGAAAAGCAGTACCAGAATTCTTCAACAGTCGGAATCGAAGTAAGACTCCAGCGGTATACAAAGACTATCGCGATTTTATGATCAACACATATCGTCTGAATCCAATCGAATACCTAACTGTTACTGCTTGTCGGCGAAATCTGGCAGGTGATGTCTGTGCCATTATGCGGGTTCACCATTTCCTTGAGCAATGGGGTCTGATCAACTATCAGGTACGTTCTGGTAATATTCGATCGGATCTGGCCCTTGCTAACAAATTCCTAGGTCGATGCCGATCAGAGACCTTCGCCTGTTGGACCACCCTTTACTGGACACTTCAAAGTTATCTGCGATACACCTCGAGGATTACAGCCATGGCAGCCAGCTTCTGATCCGACTCTGGTCAAAGGTAAAGACCATCCAGACACTGAAGCAAAGGCCGCAGTGAGCGCGTCAGCGAAGCCGGACAGAAATTTGGAGATTGGACGAAATGTATACGAGGCATCAGCTAGAGAGACCAAGGTTGCGAGCAAAACGCCAGAGAAGCAAGCGAACGGAGATGCACCCGCCACAAATGGAACTTCAGATGCTTTGAAATCCATAGGAGACCTTCCCAAATCTGTATCTCAAGTCAATTGTTTTACTTGTGGCATTGACTGCACTCGCGTCCATTACCACAATTCGCATGAGAACTCCTCCACAGCCCAGGGGACCAAGATTCGATACGACTTATGTCCTAATTGTTATTCGGATGGCAGATTCCCAGCTAATCAACTGAAATCATACTATGTAAAAATGGAGAATCCAACCTACTCATCAATCCCTGACCGGGACGCACCTTGGGATGACGCAGAAACTCTTCGTCTGCTCGAGGGTTTGGAGCGCTACGATGAAGATTGGGCGGAGATTGCCGACTATGTTGGGACTCGAACGAAGGAAGAATGTGTGGTCAAATTTCTGCAATTCGAAATTGTTGACAAATTTATTGATGCTGAGCCAAACAGAAGTACTGGTATCAGTATGCTTGGCCCGCAAGAGGGACACTTGCCATTTAGTCAAGCAGATAATCCGGTGATGTCGGTCATTGGATTCCTTGCTGGGCTCACAGAGCCCAGTGTAACAGCAGCTGCAGCAAACAAATCTGTGGAGGCAATGAAGCAAAGCTTGCGCGATCAGTTGGAAAATCCCACTTCTGACAAAGGCAAGGCGAAGAGTAGTGATTCCATGGATATTGATATCAGACAAGAAACTACCACAACGACAACGACGACTACTACCACCACAAACTCGCTTAGCGCCCTTGCCACTGTTCCTCTAGCGACAGTCGCCGCTCGCGCTGGAGGGCTAGCTTCACATGAAGAGCGTGAACTGACCCGTCTTGTGTCTGCGACTGTCAATGCCCAAATGCTCAAGATGGAGTTGAAACTAAAGCAATTCGATGAACTAGAACAAATTTTACAGGCGGAACGAAGGGAAATATCACGCGGTCGCCAACAGTTATTCTTGGACCGTATTGCGTTCAAGAAGCGAGTCAATGACGTTCAAGAAGGCTTAAGAACTGCAGCCGCAACAGGTGGAAATGAGGGAATACAAATGGCTCAGAATGTAATGATGGGAACAGACAAGCTCACATTCGCGAGTGCACAACCTAACACCAGCAATCCATTAGCTCCTAGTGCCGAAGGAACAGTAAAGAGTTATGAGATCTGAATGGGATGACCATCGAGAATGGAAAAATCTTTTATGGCTTGTTGGTAGTGTAATCAAATGGCGTCACAGGGGTTGAATAATTCGGACGACGATATCGAAAAGTGCGTATCGCCTCCGTCATGGGGTTTGTGTATCTACAGATAGTAACCTTTCCTCCTTTTTTGCGTCTTGGGAAAGTCTTTGGGTGGTATTTAATGAACTTTTCCGAGTTTTCTTTTCATGTATTCCTAGCAATGCGAGATCATTTAGACGTGGTATTTGGTTGTAAAATCCGTGATTCAATGCGTGTTTTGACTTCGAAAACGTGCTCAGTGTGTCTAAGATTAACAGTTCTCCAAGATAGGATTCGTTTCTTGCCCTACGGTCCTTAGCTTATAACCACAGATTTCAACGCTCAATCTATTGCATGCCAGGATGTATTTACCACCGATTAAGTGATTTCTTATGACTAGAGAACCTGGAAAACGCTGGATATTCCTCAGATAGTTTGAGGGTCTAGATTTCTAAAATGAAAGTCATATGAGCCATTCTAAAAATAGGTGAAAGATCCAGAAATAGTGGGTGCTTATGAGGGGTTTCAAAATTGTCAGTAACACCTATTATAACCTAGCTTATACATGTCCTACCAAACTCATGATGCAATCAATCCAAGTCGTCTTGTGAATTACATTCAAAGCAAAAAGTCACACCGCTCTCTTCAAGTCCCTGCTAATAAGCCCTACAGTCCCTCGCAATTCCACCTAAGCTAAATCACCTAGTACCTTGATCCTTGAAGTGCCATGTACTTATATCCACCACGCAGCGACCAAGCTGGCTAACTATCCATCTAGATCTTCTAGCTGACAATCTATCGTCATTGTCCGGCTAACAAATATTTAAAAACAGACGTCGGTCGGCAGAAGAGTATCCACAAGGCCTGGTTTAGTTCAGACTTCCAGAGCCAGGTTGTGCTACTCTTGATGTACTGTATGTGAAAAGTGGTGGGGATACAGAACGTGACACAGTGTGGACGCATGAATGGTGTTTTATCCGACGTTCAAATCTAAAATACGCAAACGCATTCAGGTGCGAGGGAAAAGCATGACGTTGACCTATGATCACGGTGTTGAACTACTAATTTGTTTGTTAGGCTGGTAGTGGCCAAGCAGTGACTATGCTAAAAGCAGAACAACCCAAATTCTAAAAAGTCCTAGTAAAACGTACTATACAAGTCCACGATCCAAGCCGGATAAGACACTTGTTGGTAAGATACTAGCTACCTAGGTAGCGTTTCAACACATCAACCCTAAGTACTAAAATGTTGTCCATAGACAGAAAGGATTAGAATTGGGATTTGGCGAGGTGTTTACTAAAAAAAATGCACGAAATGTGCCCCTTCCATGTGCCATGTTGAATGCCCACAGTTCACATTTCGCCTGCTATTATGTTGTTCACCGCAAGAGCAGCGGGAAGTTCTTACCTAGAAACTAATCATTTGACAGACAGGCGACACAGACAATGACAAGACAGACAACACTTCAAACTCAATGGAAAACATCGTGTTTTGACTACTACTATCTTGTCCACCCGGAGGGTATCTTGATCCTGTCTCGTATAACCTTACTCCAGTGAACTCCAGAATATATGTACTCCTTCGAAGCCCTGCTCAAAACTTCAAAAGTGTGAATCCTAGCGCCATGTGAAACCAATGCCGCATTCCCAAACTCCTCGTGCTCGAGCCTACCACAATACACAAATCTGTAGTCCGAGATCCAACTTCTCCATAATTCACAGTAGATGAAGATCACCGTGATTGATTGGCATAAGATCTGCCAACTGCTCCTCGCTGGTGTCCGTCTTTTTAGGATGCTGGTACATGAGCGTCGAATCGATGGCCAAGAGTCTGCCACCAAGGTCACGTTCCGTCGCTGATGTCTCCAACTTGCTTCGCGGCTCCATAAGACCCTGTTGTTCTTGATACGTAGAAACTCTGCCATAAATTTGAGGGATGCCATCTCTACGGAGCATAGCCAAAGCCGCCTTCTTGTCAATTTCACCTTTCACCTTGGAATGATGTTCGAGATAATGCTTCAGATACTCCTCCTGGATCTTAAGCGGCGTTGTTTGTTTTTGGGAGGCCATCTTGAATTGTACTCGTTCCTCGTCTTTGAGTTCCATGGAAGATTTTGGTGCAGGATGGCAATGTGTACAGCGTCTTTCAGCCACTGGAGCGTTTTCGTCGCCTCTGCATCTCCACCATCCTCCCCAATCTCGTGCGTGCTTGGTGGTCCAGTGCCTGCCTTTCTCGTGAAAGTGAAGATTCCATTCTGCGAATCCATCACGATGCTTTTGATGGCCGTTCTTCGTATTGTCCAATGCTTCCTGAACTGCGACCAGACGAGCCGTGACTGCTCTGCACGCATCCCATGGATGGAAATGTCCATTTTCGGGAAACCAGTCTGGTAAAGACCAAACACCATCTCCCGAAGGTCCCGGAATTGGAACGTGGTTTGTCTTGCAAAGTTTGCAGAAATCAGGTTGACCAGAAAAGTTGCTATGCCGATAGTTCAAGTCAAAGTACTCGCGGGTATCGTAGACCTCATTTTCTGGAGACTTCAAAATGTTTTTGTCGCGCTTTTCATCATGATTCGTAATTCTGCGTTTGGCCTCTGCCAGTGTTCCGCCAACGGGATACTGCGGCGAGTATTTTTGATCCGAATCAGGAGAATTAACTTCCCTGACATGCACGGTGACATTGGCATCAGAAACAGGATTGCGGTTATCGTGTTCCTTTTCCTGCGAGACGTCGCTCAATCCCAAGCCGTGTGTTGGTCTGACGTTCATTTCGAGCCCGTCAAAGACGCTTTCAGATGATCCCCTTTGAAGTGTATTGTGCAAGTCTCCTCCGATGTCACGAGAATTTTCCTTGGATGACCATAAATTTTGCGAGAATTCTGGGTAGATGTGCGGACTATTTTAGTCGTGTCAGGACTTCTGGCAGGACAGGGTGAGAAGAAAGAGAAAAGTCTGGGACAACATACTGCAAATGTGGCAGGCGGCAGTGACTATCTACTTCGTACGCCGCGTTGTTAGGGGGAGGGAAGACCCAGAACAAATTTCGATGGGCTTGGGTGAGAATAGAGACGTCATTGCCGAACCCCCCGATATGAACCCTCGTTGGCTTGGTGCTGAGTTCCTCGGAATTCTCAATCTTTTGTGGAAGCCCGGCTCGAGGAGGTGTAGCATAGTAAAGATAATCCTCCATAATACCGCGACGGTTCTTGGCTGGTCCCCCTGGTGTTGGACTGGACGCGTGGTCTTGCTCGCCTTGTTCCGTTTGCGCTTCAACCATCTTGTCGAGAGTTGGATATATTTTTAAAGACTGGATTGTGCAGCAAAGCAATATAGGAATCGCAAATACACGGCCGCTCGTGAAAGGTCTCGATCTAAGTTGCCAAATGTATGTCGGCGCCGTGAGTAGATGACGGATATCTGAATGGGAGAGCAGTCTTGTATTATCCACCCTCGAAGGTGAAAGGTGAAACACATTTTAAAATATGGTGAATGATTCTTCCTATGATGACAATGGTGTGATATTCACTCGTCAGCATAAATCTGATACAAAAATCACTTTGGTGAATGATATTTGTGCTCTTCTGCCTGGCCTGGACCGACTTTCCCACTCCTCGCAATCACAACTGATGCAGCTTCAATCCTGATCCAATGCCTGATTACAATACCTATCTATTAGGAAGATCAAAAAAGGGGCTCCACTGTCTAGAATATCTCTATGAAGCTCTTCTGCAGTATTGGCTGAGAAGTCAACCTGGAAATCTTCTTAAGCGAAGCTGGGCTTCACGAGACCGGAAAGTATAGAATCTCCTCTAGAATGGAGGCTAGAATTGGCTAGCTTGGACGAGTGCGGAAAGTTTTGCTAGCTTACACTGGTGTGGTGCACGTCTGGCTACATCTCACTGTATGAGGACGAAAGATCCTACCCAACAAGCTATATTAATTAAATACATAAGATATTAAGGGGTATCAAAGGGTATAGTAAATACATTCAATCATTATAGCACAACCCACATCTTAATTCAACATAGGGCCAACGGTGACCTTTTCGCGATCTTTCAGCGCCTGTTGTTGTTCTAGCTTTTCTTTGGCTCTGCTTTGCTTCTTTCGTGCTGCGGCTAGGTCCGCAAATCTACCTCGAGCGCCGTGCTTGAGCTTCGTAATCATATCACCAGCTGCTCCCTTTGTTAATTCGCTGACCGTCAATTGAGCGTTCTGTGGCCGGATCTTATTCAAAAAGGCGATCTGGCCTTCTGTCGCAGGACGAGTACGCCATTGCGCTCTTCTTAAGATGACTGGCAACGGGTATTTCTTTGTAGCATAAGTGTCTGCAGCACGAACAGCCGCTTCAATGGTGGCAGCTCTGACGATTTCTCGGGGTTTGCGGAAAGGGGAATTGACTGTAAACGCGGAGGGTATCGCAGCGGTCTCGGTAACCAAAAACATGTCTTCATCCGTTGCTACGTCTCGATCACGCTCCAGTCTCAGGTAAGATCCATTTGAATTTGTCAGAATGAACTTGTCCGGAGTCACACTGACCCATGCAAAAGAAGACATTTGCCTGATGTGACGATCCCCAGAAGTATCCCCTATCAGGTCATAAATGGAATCGTAGTCGGTAAAGGTAACCGTGTTCGAGATATTCCTAGCAGGTTGTTTAGATTTGGTTGGCTCGCCTGAATTTTCACCATCCGTTTCTTCTTTCATACGCTGCTGCAGCTTGTGCATATCGCTGGGTGATGCTTCTTCCACGATTTCCTTAGGATCGAGCCCGAACAACGTAGGTGTAGAAATGATTCCGGTGGACAAACTTGCTACCATGTCAATAATATGACAATTTTCCTTTCCCGGGTGTAGGCGCATGCCACGTCCAATCATTTGCACAAGTAAATTTCGAGACTTCGTCGGGCGCGCCATTAATACGCAGTCAATGTTGGGAATATCAGTACCTTCGGTGAAGACGCCGCAGTTTACAAGAACTGGGAATTCTCCCCTCTTAAAGGCGTCAAGTCTCGCACTCCGCTCGGGTTTGGGTGTATTTCCAGTCACAAACTGAGCATCTATGCCATGCTTTCGAAATTCGTTGGTCAACCCATCCACATGAGCCAGGTCGCAGCAGAAAACCAGCGTGGACTTTCTTCCTTGCGACTTCGCCAACCAACTCTTGACAGTTATATCGTTTACTGAATCGATGTTCACCTTGTCTGAAAGTTCTTTGGGCTGGAAATCGCCATTTGCACCGTTTTTGACACTCGATAGGTCCACTTTGGTGTGTACGGTTGTGAAAACTACATTAGACAGCCACTTTTCCTCGATCATGTCTATATAGTCCTTGTGGTATACAATCTGATCTATAGCTGTTCCCAGCTTCAGTCCATCGAAGCGTGACATTGTAGCCGATACACCAACAAGTGCTGGTGAGTTCTCCGGATGCGCTTTATCGAGGCCAAAGTACTGAAGAGCTCTCATGTAGTTTGGAGCAACAATGTGATGGGCCTCGTCGACAAGAATGAGTTTGAAGCGATGTGGATTAAATTTTGTGATACGATCCCCAGACATCAGACTTTGTATGCTTGCGACAGTGATATCTGCGTATCCACTTGCTTTATTCGCCGCCATTTCGATTTCGACGCGTTTCGAGGGGTAGGCGTTCATACAGTGACGAGCGGCCTGCTCAACGAGTTCCGAACGATGCGCAAGAATCAGAGTCTGGTCCGCATCTTTATTTCGTCGTTTGACCCGGTCGATAAGCTGAGTGAAGATGACCTGGAGAAGTTAGTATAGTTTCATAAACAATAGCGTCTATCTCACGGTTTTTCCACTACCAGTAGCCAGTGAGACTCCCAAACGCTTACGGCCCTCTTCGATGCTGGCGAGCACCGCTTGTATACATTCTTCCTGGTATTGTCGAAGACGGATTTTGAGCGGCGCCGGGGGAATAGGTGCTACCGTCGTCGCATAACGAACGATCCTAGGGAAACTATAACTTTGCCTCCACGTCAACGTCAAGAAATTCCAACCCCTTGAAGCCGGTGGCATTTTATGCGGTAGAGTTGTCTTAAACAGCTTCTTCAGTGTCGTCGGCAGTCAGTGTTTACCCCTCGGCACAATCTCGGGTGGAATCAAACCCTGTTCCGCAAACACAATATTTATGGTCAACACCATCCCCATGTAAATAAGCGTTGTCTTACGAAACGTGAAACAATTCGATCTTGTTATGTTGCTGGGACTGGCCACTCATCTGTCTTGTTTTGATTGCGAGGAATTATGCATTTAGCCATATATCGTTGGAAAAATCATCGAGGACGTCTCAAGTCAACAAACCGAAGACTGGATGTACAATATGCTGATTGAGTTCAAAAGCTATGACAGACGTTCTTTCTGAGATAGAGCAAGACTCTGCGTCGGCCTATGAAGTTTCAGAGAGTGAGAATGCCTCATCAGATCAGGAGAAGAATAACAGATCTCGCGCTTCCAGCAGCAATAGAGCTAGAAACGGAGTAAAGAATGCAATTCGCGGACTCAGTACTGAAAATAAGGTTGGACATCAAGAAGAGTCCAATCTGCAGTCTTCACCAAACCCGAGCTCGGATGAGAGGTTTCAGAACGAAGCTCGTGAATGGGCAACAAATTTCGAACCCCCAAAGTCAGCGGAGGATATTAGATCACCGCGCAGGCATGGTCCACACAAAAAGAGGAAACCTTCACAAGTTCCTCCAACTGAAGCCAGAGTAAAACGACTGCGAGCTTATCACAACTCGGAATTTCGTGATGTCCTCAATATTGATATCAGCGACGTTGTTCACAGATCCATACGTGAAAAGAAGGATGCATTTCACAAGAGTCAACTTGGAGCGTCAATCTGGACCTCTTCAGAAAAGGAACTGTTTTTCGCGGCATTAGAGAGACTTGGGAGGGCCGACGCTCGAGGGATCGCACAGCGTATTAGGACTAAGTCTACGCTTGAGGTTCATGAATATTTGCGTCTCCTTGATGAAGGTGGCCGGGGCCGGGAAGAGAAAGACAAGAGCATACCCGAATCTGAACTGTGGCTCGACATGCCCGCTGCTTTTGAGGTTAGCGAAGAATGTTGTCTTTTATTGGAGAGGGCAGGAGATGCTCTTGCTTCTCACGAGCAACAGCATGAAGAGAAAGTCGAGAAGGAGAAGTGGGGAGACTGCTGGCTAGTAAACAAAGCCATTAGCCAACAGCTCGCAAAACGCAACCATGATGGAGAAGATGAAGCATGGTTTCGCGAAGTTCTTCCAGCTGCCAATTTGTTTGATCTCAGAAATTGGATAAAGCTATCTCGGGAAGTGTTTATGAATCCGGCTTTCCCACGGGAAGAGGAGAACTGGCAGGCTCTGGCTGAGGCTGCTGAGCAACCTGCTATCAGAGCTACGGCCCTTGAAGACTTTCACTCTCTTGCCGTGAATTTTACCAAACGCCTGATTTCCACCACCTTTTTCTGTACAATGTCCCGACAGCGAGCCATGTCAGCGAAAAACAATACTCATGGCGACGTAACGCGCGACGATGTTGATGCAGCTATCCAGATTTTAGGGATTAAGCCAGATAGCTACGAATTTTGGCTGAAATGTCCGAGGAGATGTAACTTGTCTATCATAGATCCCGAGGAAAGCGATAGTGAAGGGGAATCTTTGACCTACGATGAAGTAGAAGACTCATTGAGAAAGAGCCACCGTCGACGCTCTCGCTCTCGTTCTAGAAGCCATTCGCTGCAACCAGAACACCGCAGTGATAGCTCTACTTCATCAGAGTCCACCGTGGACTCGGGAGATGAGACCGAACACGAGCATCAACACGGTTCTTCACACTCATCCGGCAACGATGCTACCGACGTGTCAGATACTAATATCCCCTCCCGCAAGGAAGAAGCAGCCAAACGAGCCCTAGCGAAACAAGAAGGAGAAGAGGCTCAAGAACGTTATATTGAAGCTTATGACATGGACTCGAGCAAGATTGAAGAAGCACGACTCTGGACCATGCTTGAGCAGGATCCACCATTCGAGATGAAAGTCGAGCCTTTGGAAGAGCCTGAGTCTTCTCAACGACCTCGCAGAGGAAGGCAAGATATGTCAGCTACATGGCGGGATCGAGTCCAATACTGGAGTCCATGGGAGACGTTCGATAAACCAGTTCCAAAGGAGAGTTTCGAGAAGAATCGAAACAGAGTCTCCAAGTCGGCGAGAAAGTTGGCTGAGAGATTGAATCGTAAGGATGACTATGTAAGAGCGGACGAAGATGGTGAAGATGATCAATCTGTCTTACCTGATAGACCTTCTTCAGATGATGGTATGCCCGATTTACCCGCCACAAGACAAGATGAGAATGAGCACGAACCAATGGAAGAGGATTCTAAAATCGATCAACATCATCAACCAGTCGAATCTCAAAGCTCTGATGACAGCAACTCTTCGCGAGAGCAAGCTCGTCAGGAAGCTTCAGAAGAGGGCTCTGAATCGGATGCAGATTAACACGTCTTTCCAAGCTCAAACCATATTACCTCAAAATTTATAGCCAGGAAAGCCCTGGTCTGCAGTCTTTTTATTCTGTGCTATCTCTTGGAAGCACGCATATTCGTCCCTCGACACTTTACCAATCACCACTCTTTCGATCGTTCTTTCCTCTTTGATCAACCTACCGACTTACAACCCCCTACCGTAACAAACCACTCCCTCTTCCTTCTCACCCCTCTCACATCCTCCCTACCCACAACCACAACAACACAAAATGAACCTCCACCTCATAAGCAAACTCACCCTCGCCTTCGTCAAAGCCCGGAAATGGAAAGCGGTGTCTGCGATCTGGGGTGCTAGGAATAAGATTATGTGGGGTGTGAGGTCGAAGAGGAGGGTTAGGAGGTTTGGGTGGGGGAGATGGAGGGGGAAGCGGGGAATGAAAGGGCTGTGGAAGAGGGGAGTCAGAAGGAAGGGTATATGGTGATTTGGATAGAGGTTGGTTGGTTTGTTGGATAACAAGCAAGATGGTGGACAAGGAAGGTGAGGAGGAGTTGAATAGATGTTTGAATGCTTGAATACACAGTTCTTGAGAGTAAAACTCTGTCAGAAGGACAGTTATACCATAGTTCAAATCAAAAAATCTACCAGTTCATTATCCTTTGCGTTTGAAGTCTGAAACAGGAATGTCACAAATAAATTGTGGTGATTGTAAATATCTGTCACTCAAATGCTAAACTGTTGAATCATGTCAAAACCCACGTTGGTGAAAGTTCATTTGTTTATGAGTTATCTCTTTACTGTCATGTTATTAAAGTGACAGAAATAAATTCCACATATGAGGCTTTTAGAGTAAGTACTTATTATTAGTATTTAGTCGTTGGGTCAGGTGCTCACCCAACCTACTACTGCTAGTCCATGGACAGAGGATTGAAGTAAGAGTGAAAAACAGTCGGCTAAACGTATCAGACCGCACCACGTCTGGTGCTGAAATAATAATCACACTCTCCTATGTCCACACATATGGTTCCATACTCACAAACCAATCACCTGATCTAGCGCACTTAGGGTTCATTGAAAAGCCGAAACCCCGAAACGGCTAACCACACTTACGTGGTTTCGTACAAGTCTTCTTGAATTGTTTGTTTTGGATCGGAAGGCAGATGGGGAATGCCGACTGGTAGGTTTTTACGGCTGGGTAAAGGTGGGGTGGAAGCTAGAGGAGTTGGTTGATCTGTTGGAATCATTTCGATTTTGAGGCTTTTTGAATTTGAGGCTGAAACCTTGGGTTGCAGCGTGTACTGTGAGCCCCCTGAATCGAGAAATGAGTCTGAATTGCTTTTATTCTTCTTCGAAACTTGCAGATTTGAGTACCTCGTGGTTCAATGTGGTCCGGAGATACCGAAGTTGTTTCCGACATCCGCGTATAGAAGTGCTGGACTAGCTCGACTTTCTCAATTGTGGTTTTTGTGGAGGCATAAGCGAGGGCTTGCTAAGTTAGTTCAAGGCCGGCTCTGTGAATACGAATTTTGAATGCATCAGCTCTTAACCTGGGGAAATAAATTCAGTTCATGGAGTTGTATGAATACCGGCAGCTCTGCTGTATAGATCATTATGTAACTTCGAATTGGATATATGTGTGTCGGAAAGCCGTAGAAAAGTGGAATGTATTGCGGACCAAACCTACCGGATCGATGACTACACTGCCCCTCTTGAGAAATCCACTTGATGTTAACGATGATGCTTACGACTGATCATCTCAATACAGAAGTATCGGCAAGTTCTAGATGAAGGTCCATAGGATAGCTTCTGGTCCACAGCCAATGACTCCTAAGCTGTATTCTATCTGGGCGGGGTCAAGCTCCAAACCTTGGTTCATGGAGGACGGGAGTGCATACATGGATGGCACTGCAGCAATGGAGCTTCCCCCGATTCATGCCGTTAGTGGGTGAATATGCCTCGCCCAGAGGTATCGAGCTGATATATACTGATGAGTTGTTGAACGAACAAGGATACTTTGCTGGTACGATGTGGCCTTGTGGTTGTGTGCGTCGTTGCCGTACGGCCCTGGCATTCGAGCAGATCTCAGCGTCGACCGGGAAGATACATGTATCTCTGCAACCATGGTACCTCTACTCGGCGTTCCTTTAGCCCATGGTAGCCTGTCCATACTCGTAGAACACCGTGGATGCTTCAAAGTGTGAATTTGCATTCCGCCGTCGAACCATTAGGCACCTCGGAACATTCGGCGGCCAAGGGGAAGGCCAAAGTCGTGGATCTGCATCATCGAACACACCCGCAGACAAGTCGACCGGTGCATTTCTCCAGGACCTTGCAATATCCATACGTGTACTGGAAGCTGACTGGCTTGGCTGACCTGCAGTCTATGGAGCGGAGACCTTGCGAAGTGGTTGGAAGTGGTGAGAATCAAAACAGTTGGGACGAGGAATAATTCGAAGAGTGGTAAGCTTTCGTGAGCATAGACTTTCATCTTAGGACTAGACCGGCAGGTACTGGTAGATACCAGATACAAGATACGTGCCTGTAACGCAAACGGAACAGCACAGCTCACCCTACACAAGCTGGCACTGCCTCGTCTGTCGAAGACGAGTTTCGTTGGAGCAGGCCCTTTCAGCCAGAAGAAGAGCTGCAAAAGCAATACCTCAATTGCATTGTATTTGAAATAACGATTCCATCAGAGTCGACATCGATACCATCCCAAGCGTCAAGTATATGTCATTGTTGAAGAACGACGTCCGTGTGGTGGAAGTTGGAGTCTCCCTCCCTACTTGCTTCGAAGAGCTGGTGCCCTGGCCTGGCCCCGTCCTCGGCTGTGGTTCGCTGTCGAGCATCCTCCGCCCCACCCTTCGCTGGGCCGCTTAGTTATCACCACTTCGAGCGACCTCTGCTGCGCTGCGTCTGCCGAACATCGACCTTGGTTCGAAGCCCTGAGCCCTTTCTCACTCCCTCTCACACCTCCCACGCAGGCTTCGATCCTTCCTGCACCCACCCACCAGCGACGACGATCCTCGACAACACCACCCAGCCAAGTCGAGAGAAACAATGAATAAGTTAGCAAACATGCGGCATTGGTCAGAGAGGATGGGCCCCGGATTTGGCATGTCCCGACCGAACATGAACATGAATGCCATCGCCCCTCAGCACAAGACCGCACACGGAGTCTCGCCCATCCTTTCACCAACGGAACAATCACACATTCATTACTCCTTCAACGTTCCATTCTCCTCAGACCTCGCCGGTCCGAACACAGAGGATATCCTATACGCGACGAATGGTGCTGTGCTACGATGGACTCACCCCGAAGACGCGCCTGACGATGTTCCCATCTACGAGCTTCCGGTACACGCGCAGAATGTAATGAATCTAAGGAAGATGTGCAAGGAGCTATCAACCGGTCCGCTACCCGTAGAAGCCCACGTCAAGTCATCGGAACCGAAAAGAGTCAAAGGACAGGTCACAAATGTATGCCTTTCGGGAAGCCCGGAGTTGGTTCATAAGAGCCGGGAAAAAATTCTGAACGAAATCCCATTGGCACTGGTAAGCACACTCTTGAAATGGGAAAATGGGCGTCGGAACGCTGACGGTCTTCTAGCGATGTGCTGTGGTTGATATCGAAGGAGAACTGGTACTTGACGCGGATGCAACCGCTCTCAAGTCTCACGTGGTAGATCACCTCGACGGTATCGCACAATTCTGTGGAGTTGACGTATTCCTACTTGGACCAAAGTTTGCATCGCCTTCTGAAGGACTCAACGGCAATGGCGATGCCGGACGAGACCAGCGCTGGAGAGTGGCGATATACGGAGACATGGAAAGTGCCGAACACGCAAAGACGAGGGTCTTGATATTCATTGACCGACTTGTATGTATTTGAAAAGCACTGCGAAGATGTTGGCTGACAATTTCTAGCTGGGGCGCGTTGTGGATGGAACCATGCTGGAACTCTCCCTGCACACTGTCGTGTGTGGTCGATCCCGAAAAAACATCAAGCTCATCGAGTCTGCGACGAATACTGCAATTTACTTCCCTCCGCCATTTTCACAGGTTTACAGATATTGCCCACCTAGTGCCAACAGACGTAATCCCGAGGAAATTTTCATTACAGGAGACACGCCACAAAATATCGCTATGGCCAAACAGAAGATTCACGAACTGGTCAGCCGAACGAGGCTTTTCATGAAGGACGCTGTAGTTGCTGCAGCTAAAATCGACAGCATCTTATTGACCAGGCTAGACAAGGTTCGAAAAATCATGGAGACCAACGGTACATTCATCCAATTTCCGCCAATGGCATCGACCCGAAGCATGATACGGATTCAGGGTGTGGAAGGACTCCATGTTGAGCGAACCGTTCGAGATATCATGTCTCTTGTAAGCGGTCCTACAAATCCAGAAATTCCACTTTTACTAACCATGTCCAGACTGGCCAATTCTACAGCGCTTCGTGGTGGATCCAGCAAGTTGATACATCGCGACTACCCTCTCCTGCCGATATTCGAACTATGCTTTCCGATATTTGTGCAAATTCGGATGCTGACATTTCTTTCGAGAAGCTAACATTCACAATAACCGGCTCTGACGATGCAGTGAAAGCCGCCTTGATGGTTATATCGGAGATCAAGTTTGTTTCCAGATCTCAGTATCAAATTCGGGTCAAAATTGAATTGGCCAACGAACATAAAGAGTTCGTCAGCGGGAAGAAGAATGGCAAAATCAACAAGATTATGGGCCAAAGCAGTGTCCAAATTATCTTTGACGGATTCAATGAGTACAATTTCAACATTGATGTCTGTGCAGGGAATTACGAGGCTATGAAATCGGGTCTAGGGCTTGTTGAACAAGAAATGCCAGCTTCAATCTCGTTTCACGTTCCAGACCAATACCACAAGCGTATTATTGGCATTGGTGGGCAACATATCCAACGCATCATGAAGAAGCACTCCGTGTTCGTCAAGTTCTCGAATGCTATGGATCGCGGTGGGGTCGGCCGGGAGGACGACGATATCAAGGTCGACAATGTCATCTGTCGTACCCCAGCTCGGAATGCACAGAACTTGGAGCTGGTAAAGTCGGAGATTTTGGACATGGTAGATCGCGTTGACTCCGAGTTCACCTCTCAGACCGTTAATGTGGATCGGCTGTACCACAGACAGCTGCTTCTCCGCCTGAATCAGCTTGAGGAGCTTGAGAAGAAGTGGAACTGCAAAATCATATTTCCCAGCACTGAGCAAGCAAGTGATGATGTTACAATCACAGGTCCCGAATGGCAAGTTCCTCACTGCGTCGACGAATTCCTTGGCCTCGTTCCTGATCAACACGAGCTGGTGGTCGCCCACTCTCCCGAGCTGAAGAAGTATCTTGATTCCAAGGCATTCCGAAATGATATTATCCCCAAACTCAAGGCACAATATGTTGTGGATGTTCACGTCGAAGAGAACGAGACAGAGCTCACCGATGACGGCAAGCCCACGATTACTTTACTGTGGTCGTTTACTCGTAACAATGCTGGTGGCGTTCGCGACGCTATGGATTTTCTCAACACCAATCTTGCTTCAGCTGGCGTTGAAGTTATAGTTGTGAAAGGGGCTATTCCTCGACCGAAGTCAGATTCGTTCGAAGATTCTCTCCAATACTTCGATTCCAAGCTTTTGCAACATGCTCCAGCTGTCTCTGCGACTGATTCGCCTATCAAGGCAACTTTTGGGGATGATGTTGCCCGCGAGCGCAGCACAATATTTGATAAACTTCGGAAGCCCGGAAGCATGTCTTCCATTTCATCTTTTCTAGACCGGCGCAAGAATAGCTCACATTCGCCCGCCAGTTCCTTTTTCAAAAACGGCTCAAACAATGTTTCGAAGTCGTCTTTAATCTCCATCGAATCGACACGAAGCTTCAATGCCGACCGTAATCCATGGAATGACAGTGGTGTCAACCTTCCCGAGGACGACACAACGCCATGGCCAACACGCCATTTCGGCAACGGTAGTGGTAGTAGTTACGATCACAAACCTCTTCACATCCAACATCCAGGTGATGCTACTCCAAAACACATTATGCGAGGTTCGACAGATAGCGGTCGTCCTTCAACGTCTCATTCAACAAACTCTGGATACCCAGGCCCAATCGGCCCACCGCGTTCTTAAATGATCCTATTGTTTCCTCTATTTCCTAGAGTCACGGAATATACCCTGGCGCGCAATACCCAGATACCAACTTGTGCTTTTGTTTTTTCTGCTCGTTTTTCGTTTTCAGCAAGGTCCTGTTTTTGTGTTTTCCTGTTGTGGCTTCCTTTCTATCATTGCCATATGCGTTGGTTTTTTTGCTTTTACCCCAAAAGAGAAAAGCAAAGCTAAAAGCGTTTGCGGCGTCGTCGGTTCAATCAAAGTCTTATTTTGGAACATTGATACTAAAGATAGAGAAGCTCTCGCGCGTTCGTCATAACCGGAAAGAGGATAAGGAAATACCAATTTGATTTGGGCAGTTTTAGGTGCTCATCTAGCGTGGGAAACATGAATAACTTTGTTTTTGTTGTTTGCTTCTTCCTTGCTGCTGTTATTTTGGGTTTCGGGGTTTTCTGCTCTCTACTCATTTCTTTGTAGGGAGTGCAGGGGATAGGTTCGAGATGGATAGTTGGGGGTGGGGGAAAGGCACGGAGTGAAATTGGAAAGTTTTGGATTTGAATGGGTAGGAGGAATGGGGGGTTATGGGATTTAGGGAAGCAATTCTCTTATGAGAGGGAGTAGGGGCTTGGAATTGAATTGTAAAAGGGGTTGGGGATGGAGTGGAGGTGGATTACGTATTTTGTAGGCTTGTCTTATGATACCCATGCCTAGAGACAGCGGGAAATATAAAAAGAGGTTTCCTTTGAAATACTGTTGGGTTTTGTGTCTGGACTTTAATGGGATGAGGTTGTGTAGCTTTGATAAAGATGGGTTGTATCAGATGACTATAATAAAATAGTCCCCTACTCTCTTCTCCTCTATTCTACTCGGTAGATCATCATTACTCTGAGTAGAGGTGAGCAGCGCTATCTGTACAATGTTCGAGGCACTAGTAGGGCTGTTATTTAATCTGCAATAGACACCGACCGATCTCCAAAAAAAATCGCCTCCCTCTACTAAGAAACTCATTACGGGTATACAATGTACCTAGGTATTTGGTACTTACGACAGCGAACGATAATGGCGAAATATATTTAGTTATTCTCATTAAGGAAGATGAGGAACAAAGGTTTCTACTTTTTATTTGGTTTACGGAATTGAGAATCCTTGTATCAATATTAAGTAGGGATGTTTACCTGTATATTGTACGTAAGGTGAGCTACTACTTATTTTACCATTTAACCTACTGTGAGTAACTCGTTATCAGTCTCATAGGTTGATTATTGCTATATCATACTAGCGTGACATAGCATCAGCGGTTCCGGTATAAACAGAAGTCTCGAGATACTGACGTGGTAAAAAAATAGGGAGAATTATGTCCCTATAAAAACTTAGGCAGTATACGACTCTATATATATATATATCACAGACTGACAAAGTTCTTCACTGTCCACTGCTGGGAGATTTATCCTGTAAATGGCACGCTTGTGGAATACTAAGTCTATTTGAGTAAGAAGCGGGCTGGGTTAAGGACGATGGGTTACTTTACCCAGTACACTAGCCGTTAAGCGATTTCGGTGCGATACCACTTTCTTAGCCCTTTTCTAAAAGGCTTCAAGTTGCTTTTTATATCTCATCTTTCTGAAACCTGCAGGACGTCCGACCTATGATCCGTTGAAACTAGCGCCGCGGAGGTAAGATTATCTACACCCTTCAAACTGTACGCTCCGGTAAGATGATAGTTGATTGGGTGTCACGCCGATCCCATGATGCTAAGAACTTGAGTTGAGTTGCAAAAGAGGGGTTTCTAACGCAGATCTTTCTTGCTGAATACACGGGTAGTTAGGTACCTACGAATATTTCTGCGCTAACCTTTCTCTGGAGGTCTGTACACATTTGGGATATTTCTACAACGCATGTATTCTCAAATTACACTACCACTATATACTATGATCTCTGAGGTATTTAGGACCCTTTAAACGCGCACGTAAGTCTATTCTCGGTTCGGTGTCATAAATTCCGCTATAGTCGGTAAATGGCGAGGATGAATTTGTGAATAACTTGCCACAATCATATCCTAAACTTAATTATTCAATTGTGTTCTCGGACATATATTCATTTTCATCGTTCCTTATGATTATTTTGCATCAAGTATATGTACTCCTCTCCTACACATATCCACGATTCTGATCATCCATCACATTTCTTGATCGTTCGCTCTCATCTTGGCGTTCTGTCTTACCCTCTTGGTTTATTCCACCAGCCATCTGCCTTCAGTGAAGAATTTCAGGCTACCCAATGTGCATTCCTTGGTCTTCTCGGGCGGGAGACGCTCGCTTTCGAATATTTCTGTTGATATTTAGACTCGAGGAATCTATGCTGTTCGCCCGAAACTGATTTTGAAAGCAATCGTGTGTAGCGCGGCCCCAGAGCCAGTTCAATAGCAACCGAACGACACACCTTCTAATCACTTTAATCTCTAACCCAACACCTAACCTAAAAACCCCCCGTCCCACTCCACCTAACAGCCGTCAAATCCTGCCCTGTATTAAGATCATGATACGGCCCTCTCCCCCAATCCACATTATTCAACCAATCCAAATCATCCAACAACCCATCGTAATTCGCTGTATCGAACGCTGCGGGCGGCGGAATAGCCGTGTCGAATGGCCCCACCATCAACCCGGCATTCATACCAGCAGTCATAGCAGAATCGAACTGTTGGCCGCCCATGTGAGTGTCCACAGCCGGAGCTTGCGGGGTCGCGACTTCCTGTAACGGCGCGGAAGCAGGAGGAGGTTGTGAAGATGGCGGAGACGGGTCGAGGATTTGATCGAGGATGCGCTTGATGATAAGTCGCATGCGGCCGCAGAGTTGGTAGTTGCCTGCGGCGGGCCGAACCCATTCTAGGAAGCCGATGAGGAGACTTAGATTTTGTACGATTTCTGAGCGGGCGATTTTGGGGCCGGGGAGATGTGGGTGTTTGAGTTGTTTGAGCAGTTCGACGCAGAGGACACCAGCGGAAGGCACACCCCAGCACATGAGCATCCAGTCGAAATCGTGTTGGTGTTCGACGATTCGGTCTCTTTGGACCCAGATGAGGACGACGAGTTCGAGGATTTCGCGAGCGCAGTCGACCATTGATTGACCGCCGAGGATGTTTTGTTTGTGAGCTAGTCTTTCGAGCAGGAGGCGATGTTCGAGGAAGGTCAGGCGGAGCGTGAGGGTGTTCCAGAAGATTTTGTCGGGCATGTTTTTGACGCCGGGGTCGGAGAGGGAGAATTTTAGAAATGAGGGGAAGTCTTCGTAGGTTTGGGTCAATTTGGCAAGTAGATGTCTATAGAGAAGTTAGTTTATGAGATCCAAAAAGGCCGAAATTACATACGTGATACGCTGCTCAGTACAGTCATTAAAGTCGCCAAGAGACAACTCCAGGATTTCGTCCAAAACGATAGACAGTTTTCCTCGTGCGCGAGCCTTCGTCGCTTGGTAGATTTTACCATCCACGTTCCAGCCATCGGGGTCGAGCCGAGCGATGGCATCTGCTAGCACAGTGCCGCCCGCCATTATCTGGTCGTCGCTAAGATCCAACGGATGTGTGAACCTTGTATACCGATAGCTCAGGGCGGGTGGCCTCCCAGTGAGTAAGGAAGAGCTCTTATCCATGTTGAAGATGACACTGAACAGTCTCTTCTTCTGCTCTGTAAGGAAGGTCACTGGCTGGCCGTTATCCACTTGTCGATGCAGACCTAAAGCAGTCGAGCTGCTGAGTAGATCACCAAGTTGCCGCCAAACAACCAAGCCTAAGGAGATTAGAAACGTGTTTCGTTGTAAGTGATGGTTCTAGAAACTTACTCGTATCTCCACTGATTACAGTTTGTAATACCAAGTTCTTCGCTAACAAAGCAACCATTGGAAAATTGATTAGATCCATATAATTACTCAGAGTAACACAAGCTTGAACACAATCCTTCATCTCCACAGCAAAGACTTTCCTATCCCTTCGACTTCCCTTCTGAGTACAGAAAAAGGCATCTCTCTCCGGTAGACTGAGCGTGGCACTAGTAAGAGCCGAGTATACCAAACCTAGAATCTCCCACCTGAGGTTATCCCCACTAAAAGAGTCCAACCATTTGGCGTAGTCTTGAGATCCACTAGGTTCCTGAAGTACTTTCTGAGAGTTTTCACACAAGATCTTGGAGAACCGTTCCATTCCTTCCTTTGACCGTGGTTCCTTGAGAAAATGCCCATAAGTTGACCAGATGCTCTCTGCGCAGCTCATCACAGCATGCTTGAGTATCGACTGCTCATGGCACTTCTCGTAGAACCATTCTAGCAGGAAATTGAAGGTGTGTCTATCTGGGAACGCTTTCAAAAGCTTGGCTCCCAGTGCTATCCTGGGATTACATCCATGATCAAGACTTCCAGCAAGCATAAGGAATGTCTGAGATTGCAAGCTCTCTAATGACTGAAGGGGATCCCGTTCAGCCGAGTCGTTGGTGATATTTATATCAGCGTTGTCTGCACCGAATGAGTGTTTGTTCTCGAGGAATACAGCAGAGAAAGATGTAGGCCCGAAGAATCCTCCAGCTGATTTACTCTGAGGTATATCGTTTGAAGACGGGGTCCTGGGTATGGTGGCACGGTGGCGAACAGCTGATGTTGGGGAGGCGAGCTGTGGCGAAGGGGAAGCAATTGGGGTGGAAGAGATGGTTGACGCTGGTGTAAGCTTGTGAGGTAAGACACGATTCTCCTCCTCACTTAACTCCTGGGCTGTTCGAGGGAGTGATCCTGTAACCGAGGGCCGGGTCATAGGGGCAGATAAATAGATGCATTTCGCAACGACTTTTCTTCGCTTGCAACGGTCACAAACGGGTAAAGTATGATCGCAAGCCATTTTTGCTTTTCGGCATGGCTCGCAAGCTTGTTGCTTCCCATTTCGTCTCCTCGGAAGCCCTCCGACGCTGCTCCGAGGAGCCGACATGCCGGAGTAGGAGATCTGGGTGCAAAATTGAGCTCTGGATCGAATGTCACGGCATAAAACCGAAACAAATCTTATCTCGAAGCAGAAGTTGATGCGTACAGACAGTTGGGGTTGTCGTGTAGTCGGAGTTCAGGTTCCCACTTTACGGATAGAAAGCTCTGATGATCCAATAACGGGTAACGCCGATGATCAGTAAGCTTCGGAATGGATACGGACTTCAACCCGAGCCCCAATGGTAATTGCTGGATGTTGATTTGATCTAAAGTAGGTGACGGCTATTAAAGGTACAAGAATGGGATATAAATTTTCGAGATCAAAGCTCAATACGGCAGGTGTGGCAGCACCCCTTTCTGGAAGCTACACACTACTTAGGTACAGTAGCTAAGAAGAGGGGTTTTCCCAAGAGCCCAATGAGGTCAATACTCAAGTAGGGATTGAACATAGGTCCGTTTGAATATCTCTATCCTACTGAGACAGACGTAGGATGGACTGCGGGCTTCGAAAAATGAAGCAGGTTATAAATTGCATTCTTATAGTATGACTTGATGTGTACAAGATCAATCCCCGTCAATCGCCCAACGAAACAGAACTGAAAAACAACAGTCCATACAGCCATTGCATTGAAGGATTTCATACGCCGAGACATATCCCATCCGCCTAGATTAACGCCGTCGCCAAATGCCAAGCAATTCCCCGGATTGAATCAGTCCTCATCTGCTGCTTCAACTTCCTTTCTCTTCTTCTTCTTCTTGTCTTTCTTTACCTCGTCCTCCCCGTCAACCTTCTCTCGTTTCCGTTTCTTCTTGTCCTCCTTGGGCGCGACAAACTCCTGCTCCCTTTCCTTGAGCTTTTCCTTCTTCTTCTCCTTCTGTTTCTCAATACGGTCTTCCTTGGCAGCACGCTCTTTCGCCTGCTTCCCCAAGAAATATTCTCCGCTCTCGATTTGGAGATCCACCTTGCTCTTCTCTTGTGGTGGCGGGAATGGTGTGTAAACCTTTTTGCTCTTATCCACAACTTTATGAGGCACACGGCGGTGGCTCAAATTCCTCTTCTTAAAATGTGGTAGGAATCTATCCCAGCTCTCTCCAGCAAGTTCTGGGTCCTTTGCCAACTCTCTCTTAATCATAAGCTCTTTGATATGGTAGATTGGGTGGATGTTCGCCATGCAATCCTCGATGATCCTCCGTACTTCTTTTAGACCTTTGTATGGACCCATCGCTGCGACCGTGTTTCCCTGAACCAACAAGTAACATTCCGTAAGAAGCTCCAAAGCCTTCAGCGTGCTGCCGTTTGGACCCAGTATCCTCTGACGCCGCTTGACAAATCGCTCTTTATTCCGTACCAGATTTCGAATTTTAATAATGTCACACGCTACACCGTCTTCTAAAATCTTGACAGCTTGAGGCGCTGGTACGCTTCGCGCAAGAAGTTTGATCAAATCTCGTGCATTTAGAATTGCCGCCGGATCAAAAGTTTTTCTGGTGGTCTTAACCGTCATGGAACCCTCAACCAAATCAAGTGTACACGCCACGCCAAATTTCTCGAGTGATCGGGTGATTAAAGGCCATGCTTCTCGTAGGTAAACTTCGCGGTATTTTGGAAAAAGGGTTGCGAAAGAGGATTCTTCTGTAAATGTCCCGCCCGCATTATCTGCGGGAGTAAAAGCTTCAACCTGGAATTGATCAGTGGGTGTAGCAAACTTTGTTTAAATAGTATTTGCACTAACCTTCCATTTGTCAATATCATCCGTATCCCACGGCTTTTCCTTCTTGTGCGTTGAAGGCATTTTGGCGTGAGGAGCTGTGGTTGGAGCTATGAAGCTTTTGCGACTCTAAAAACTTTGGACATGAAGATTTCCAGACCCGGCTTGACTTCGGTTCGGGATGTGGAAGTGGGCTCTTGAGTCACATGACCGACTCCCCTCTATTTGGCTCGGTTTTGACTCTCGTATTATCTAGCAAGCAATTCCTTCATGCTCATCATACTCAACCACTAAGTCTAGCCTATAGCTTGCGTTCTAGTTCTGCAATCAAGTGGATAATCAGTTACACTACCGCTTGTCCAACACATCTTTCAATTTGATTCCCCTTTCCACCATTGACAGAAGAGTACGAGGAACGTTATGGCTGAGGCCTGTTCCAACTCCTGTGGTACAAGAGCAAGTCATACTAGGTACATAGGTACTTTGTACAACCAGCTTTTATCGTGCCAAATCCGATGACTCTGCGCGTATCGATGCTCTGCTCTCTTCCACATTGTTTGCCAAATCTTCCTTCAAGCCAACGGCCTCTCGGACACGTAGTTACGCGTTAGATGATCGGTCAAACCCACCGCTAAGAAGTCTTCATCCCGTACCGCAATCTTATTCTGCATCTCAGGGGGAGCCCTCTAGCCACAAAGTCGGCCATTAGACGCGATCCTGTGATGTGGCTCTCTGTTTTCCGCGCAATTCTTCAGCCCTGTTTCCTGGTTCTGGTCAATCAATTGGGTCAACGGTTATCATAACCGCGCGCTGATCCACAGATTCCCACCCAGATTTGCTTTCGATATCATCCCTGGGGCGGATCCTCTCTCCGTCATCCGGCAGATTTTGGCATGCATTTTATGAATAATTGTACAGATCAGATCCTTTCCATCCTTTGACGGGGGATTTGTGCATCTCGATTCTGGAATCCTCACAATTCTTCAACAATGGAACAGATCTTGAACAGAGACCGAACAATGCTTCTAATTGAATCTGTCCGGTTCTCATTATCATCTTGTCTCGGAACGAAAGTACAAAGGTAGATTGTGGAACATTAAATCCTCGTGGCCGTGTCGACCGTTGTGACACTCAGACCTCAGGACGGAGTGTAAATGTGTAGGTGAGATGAAAAGGACACCACATCTCTCGAGACAATACCGTTATAAAACGTCTCCAACTTCCTTTGTATTAAACTCATCTCATTTGCATTCTTGCCCTTAAAAATCACGTTCATTCCACCCGCTCTGGGTAATAATCGTGCAGCTGTTTGCCTTGCATCGAGCTTGACCCTTTTTATAGATCGCCCCTTATCCGCGCTTCGATAGAGTATGATTGCAACCCCCTGGTGCCCCATGCCAGAGGACCACCCAAGCAATTCCTTCTCCATCCGCCAAACTCCAGCATCATTTTCCTCTCTTCCACTTTCAGATGACCATTTAACACATTCATTTGCTCCAGCATCTTCTTGTATCCAGATCGATTCTTTGAATCCATCGAGTCACTCGTTTCAGCGTGTCAGAAAAGTTGTTGCTTCTTTTAATTACCACGTCCGATAATACAAGTCCAACATCCAGCTCTACCCCTTACGAACTCATAATATACACGATTTTCTTTCGTTCCACGATACATACCCACCACGACGATACATAATAGCACCAGGCCATTCCGCATCTCATCGACTTTACGTTCATTATCAAACGCGAACTAATTAATACCTTCCCCAACCGCAATCACGGCTTCCACACTCGCTCCCTACCGGGCTTCGCCCATGGACCATCTACGGCCTTCTTCTCGAGACCACCAGATGCGAGAGCTTCCTTCGTTGAAGAGAACACACTCAGAGGATGGGAGGCAGTCTCTGCCGGTTCTCGAACCAATATCACGGCCTTCGTCAACCTCGACACAGAATTCTAGCATCCATCATAGTGCTTCATTACCACAGCTTCCCGGACTCTCAGCACTTGCTTCGATCGCGTCTTCATCTGGACAACCACAACTCAGGTACGTTGGGATAAGGGCGGACTGTTTGGCTGTTCGATTGTGGAATTTGTGGCGCGTCTGAGGCGGGCAGAGCTCGACAATGGGGTTTACCGAGTCTGAGACATGAGTATTCTCACATTATTGATGAAGAACCTATGATGTTACCACAGTAGATGGAGATGACATTGGATAGTCAACAGGAGATTCGTCAATAGTGTGAGACTAGGTGCCGTTGTTGTTTCCAAAGAAGGCGTCCTTTCAATACCTTTAAAAGGGGGCTCCTGGACATTTACAATGAGATGCACTCAGTGGTATATCTTCAAAAGAATTGCCGTCCCATGGTAGCGATCATGCATGTTTGAGATCAGCCAGATTACACAATCAGCCGCCGTATGGACACGAATTTGTCTGTTCGATGTTTGTAAACACAAAATCCGGGGAATTAAGCTAACTGTTGATAGGGGGTTCAATGTTGGACCAGGTGGCATGGGGTTCTCGACCTCGTCACCATCAGCAACATCTGTAGGAGGGGGTCTTGGTAACTCTCCTGTAAGTACTCGACTTTCATCTTATTATCACCTCCAAACATCACCATCACCTTATCATGCACAGCTCCCTTTGTTTTCTTCATCTCTGCGAATCAATGGTTATCGTGGGTAGTGTATCCACGTGCACCAATCTTATCGCTACGTTAGACCGAACGGCCATGCGGCGCTTTCCCCTTTCAATGTTGATGAAATTTTCGACCGCCCAAATTCCTTATCTTTTATCGCAATCAGAAAATCGCAATCAGGAAACACAACACAACTTTGCGCAAATGGCGACGATGGCTAACAACAATCATGAAACCTCACAGCCAACATGTCAGAATTGTACTACATCAACCACTCCATTATGGAGACGCGATGAAATCGGCTCCGTCCTCTGCAATGCGTGCGGCTTGTTCCTTAAACTTCATGGACGGCCTCGGCCGATAAGCCTGAAGACAGATGTTATCAAAAGTCGGAATCGCGTCAAGAGCTCCGGATCTGGGGGACCACAAGGCGCGAAGAAGAAGGTTGGTGCTATACTACACGTCGCAGTCAGTGGACAAAACTAATGAAGCACCGCAGAGCGTCTTCGACATCAATGGCCTAGAACAGTCGCGATCGCAAGCTGGCACTCCTCCTCCCGGTACCCTCGGTCACCGTCGCACATCCCAAAAGTCTGCCAATGGACATTCAGATGGCTCGAATTCTCCTATATCTCGGACGGCTACTCCGTCAATGTTTCAAAATCATCTACCGCCATTCAACGGTCATGGTCTCGAAGAACACTACAATCATTCTCCATCCCTCCCACCGATGCACCTTAGACAACCTTCGCCTGGCAGATCAACATCTCCGCTAAATGGTTCGGGGCTTGAGGTACCACAGACGTATGAGCAGCTGATTGCAAACAACTCGGCATTAAAGACGAGAGTAAGCGAATTAGAGGTTATCAACGAACTATTCCGAGGAAGAGTCACACAACTGGAACAAGACGAAGCAAACGCCAGACGCGGAGAGGATATGCGTAGAGAAGCAGAATTGAGTCTATCGCATCAATTAGAAAACTCTCAACTTCGTCTCGAAGAGTCACAACGTCGCGAGAACCAACTCAAGCGTCGACTAGATGATGTAGAACGTGAACTTAGCGAACTCAAGGACGGCGCTCCACGAGCCAAAAAGATGCGCGTCTCGGAAATGGTTGAAATGGATTCTTCAACTCCGCCGTCTACCTCGTAGATATTTCTATTTGCATCCCTGAGGTCCGATAGCTCTCGGATTTACATTACTAGCTTTCAACCATCACGAAGGCTTCAAGTCCACTCGACACGACAACTTTTCTCTACTCTTATTTTAACGCAACTGCACTTCTCTGTCAATGATACCACCAAATAACGAAACGTTTCTTTCAAAAAAGCCCCTCAAATCACACCACATTAGGCCGCGACCAAAAATCACAAGATTCGCGCCCAATCCCCCACGCGACATCGTCACGTGTAGAACTCGAACTCTCTTGTCACACTCTTCAAAAGTCTTCTCATGTACTACCAATCGCCTCACCAAAATTCTCCGGCGTCGAGACGGATGGGGCGTTCTTTTTTTTTTCATTAAGCAGATTTTCTTTTTTACTCTTCAAAAAAAGGCTTCAATAGCTATAATGTCCGAATTAATATTACCCATACAACACTCTACGACATGGAATAGGGAGGGCGCGCGCGGAGTAGGGGGGTTCTCATTATTGGGTAAGGTATGGATAGCGGAATCTGTAGATGGTACGGGATTGATGCTGGGATGGAAGGGGGGGAGGATGAAGGAGAGGATGGTTGGGCTGCTGCTGTGAAAGGTAGCGGGGTTAGGGGATAGATATAATAATGAAAGTGGAAAAAAAGTTCATATACCATACTGCTATACGTTTACTGCACCCGTTTCGTGACTCCGTTGTCATCACACTCCCTTTATATCTTTTAAAGTATCATGTCACAGGTAAAGCAATGAACCACTAATAATGGCAGGACTAATGGATACAGAATAGACAGAAAAAGGCTGAGATAGAGGAGAGGCAGTTGCAGCTTCTTCAATGTATACTTCAATTCAGTACCGCTTTAATTCAGCCAGGAAGGAAACGAACCATCCATCCACCAAACCAACATGTATACAAATAAAAACAGAGTCCGAAAATCGCCCTTCTGAATCTCAAGATAGGATTTGAATCTACAAACTTTGTACAAGCCAAATAGAAAATTCATAGTAACTTAGTAATTTAGCAAGCGGCCAAACATTTCAATATTTTCCATCAACTTCATCACGTAAAGCTTCTTCTCATCATACATCCCAAATCCCTTATCTAGTTGCTAGTATCTCCCTCTCATTCATGACACGCGTAACCCATTTCTCAAGCGCGTGCGATAGACGAGACACACCGTTTTTTATAACCCTGTCACCTGGATCATGTTAACCAATAGGTCAGATGACGTGAGATAAGAGAGGATAGGGAAAAGAGAGAGACATGATGTGAAGTTTTTACAAAATTGATAGGGGTTTCCACCTTTTGTTTGGCCGATCACCAGGAGTGTCGCACTCTTGAAGTACGATAAGTCAAGACATTGAAGACAATCGACTTTCCACAACTGCTTCCTTAGCAGACGGAGGTAGTGTTTTTGATAAGGAGGCAAATATTGTACGCACTGCCTAATCAATCAAGCTCAAGTGTAAAGGATTTATAAAACCAATCTTAATCTAAAATCCGATGTAACGCATGTTGAACATCACTAAAAAAGAGTCACGAAAAATTTCAGTGCAAAAAGAATATTCATATTCCCCCAACCCCTCAATCAATCAACCTATATACTTGTCATGAAGAACCCCGTTCCCTCAATCCACACCCATGGACTCATACCTAGCCCTTCCAGCACGGCATCACCCAATATTCATAAGTCTCATAACCTTCCACGACGCCATTAATGCTCCATCATTGAATCATCAATAGCCGTTCTATACGCTAACAAATGCTTACAGCTCACTCTTTGGCAATCCATTCTTGGACTCTGGTTGAAGAGGCTCAATGTTCCAGATACTCTCAGCATACTCGTTAATGCAACGATCACTGCTGAAGAAACCCATACGAGCAACACTCTGGATACATTTGCTGATCCACTCATCCTGATTCTTGTATGCTTCATCGACCAACTCTTGAGTCTGGATGTAGCTGTGGAAGTCGTCTGACACAAGGTAATAATCACCATGGTCCTCAATAGCACCAACGAGAGCTCCGAACGATCCAGCATCGCCGAACATGTTCGACTTGATGGCTTCAAAGACCTTGACGAGATCAGGATCCATAGAGTGGTCGCCGTAGTTATGAGCGTGTCGAAGATCCTCGACATCCTCGGCCAAGTTACCGAAGAGGAAGATGTTGCTCTCGCCAATCTCACGGGTAATTTCAATCTGCATGAGTTAGCTATCCGTACCAGTCATCTTAAACATGTTCAAAAACTTACGTTAGCACCATCACATGTACCAATGATCAAACCACCATTTAGGACAAACTTCATGTTTGAAGTTCCACTAGCTTCCGTACCAGCAGTAGAAATGTGTTCACTGATATCACTAGCAGGAATAATCATCTCAGCCTTGGAAACATTGTAGTCCTCCAAGAAAATGACTTTCAAAAGATCTCCAACGTCTTTATCATTGTTGACAACGGAACCGACGCTGTTGACGAGATGAATAATGGTCTTTGCCATCCAATAACCAGGAGCAGCCTTTCCACCAAAGATAGAAACTCTTGGTGCGAGCTTCTTGCGTTCCTCAGCTGACATATTCTTAATTGTCAAGTATCTGTGGATGACACCGAAGATGTTCATTTGTTGACGCTTGTATTCGTGAATACGCTTAACTTGGATGTCGAAGAGCGCAGCTGGATTGACAGTAACTCCAGTGGTAGTCTTAATGTGCTTTGCAAGTCGGACTTTGTTGGCATACTTGATTTCGGCCCACTCCTTCTTGAACTCCTTGTCATCGGCAAAGTTCTCAAGCTCGTTGAGAAGAGTCAAATCCTTCAGGAAGCCGATACCACCAGTCTTGCTGGCGATAAGCTCAGAAAGTCTTGGGTTGGCTTGGTGCAACCAACGTCTTGGAGTAATACCATTGGTGACATTAGTGAACTTGTCAGGGCCAAAGATACGGACGAAGTCCTTGAAGATGGTGGTCTTGATCAAATCCGAATGAAGCTCAGCAACACCATTGACCTTGTGAGAACCGACAATTGCGAGGTATGCCATGCGGACCATCTTTGGCTGCGATTCCTCAATAATTGACACGCGACCGAGAATCTCTCGCTCCTTGGGGAATTTCTTCTCAACCAATTGCAAAAAGAACAAGTTGATCTCGTAGATGATTTGGAGATGTCTTGGGAGGAGATTCTGGAACAACGGGACGGACCATTTCTCAAGAGCCTCGGGAAGAACCGTATGGTTGGTGTAGCCAAACTACTTTTGTTAGCAGACTGCAAAGCAAATAGGATTGAAATCACTGACTGTCTTGGTAACAATCTTCCATGCCTCGTCCCACTCCAGACCCTCCAAATCGATCAAAATTCTCTGGAGCTCGACAATAGCAAGTGTTGGATGGGTGTCGTTAAGTTGAATAGCAACTTGCTCCGGGAATTCGCTCCACGCACGCTTTGATTTCTTGAATCGACGAACAATATCGTAAAGAGAGGCCGCAACCCAGAAGTATTGTTGCTTCAATCTAAGCTCCTTACCACGCTCAAGATTATCATTGGGGTACAGAACAGCACTGATAGTCTCGGCGCGTTGTTGATCAGCTACAGAGCTCTCATAATCACCACTGTTGAACTTTTGGAAATCGAACTCTCCACTTGCGGCTTTACTCGACCAGAGACGTAAGTTGTTGGTCGAAGGTGTGTCGAATCCGGGAATTGGCACATCGTATGCGACAGCTTTAACAATCTCACCACCTTCCCAAGTGACAACGTTCTTGCCCTGGTCATTCTGGTACTTTCGCACATTTCCGTAGAATTGAATCTGTAATCTGTTAGCTCATGCGACTCAGTCAGTAAATGAGCGTAAATACGCACATCAACGACAATATCGTGTCTTGGGAATTCCCAAGGGTTAAAGTCAAGCCAGTAATCTGGAACCTCGACTTGGTAACCATCAACAATCTCTTGTTTGAAGATACCATATCTGTATCTTAGTCCATAACCCCAGGCTGGGAAGTTCAGGGAAGCCATTGAGTCCAAAAAGCAGGCGGCCAGACGACCAAGACCACCGTTCCCGAGCGCAGCATCATGCTCTTGAGCAATGATATCTTCAATGCGGAAACCAAGATCTGCGAGACCATCTGTGGAAAGTTAGAACCAACATTCGAAAGAAATGAAAACGGCGTGGAAGTCTTACCTTTGGCAATGGCCTTTGCACCCACATTCAACATAGCATTATCAAGAGCTCTACCCATCAAAAACTCCAAACTCAAATAGTATATACGCTTTGTGTCAGAGAACGTCTGGCGCTGCTGTGTTCGATTCCATTGTGTAATCAATCTGTCTCGGAAAGCCAAACTGGTGGCAGCATATGCGGCAGTCTCGTCGCAATTGAACATGCTACGAGCGAGTGTGGTCTCGACATGACGAACGGTATCTCTCTCAAACTCGTCCTTGTCCCTGAAGCCATGTGCTTGGAACTTCTTCCATGCCTCTCGTTGAGGCTCAGGGATGGAAGCTGTAGGAAAGGGCAATGATCAGCCAATGTTTATTGGTCGTGTTACTCAACCCTTCATATCTGTGAAACGGCGAGGAATCGCTACCCCGCAAACGGCCACGGAAGGGAGGAGAATATAGACATACCTTCAACGCTCTTGATCTCACCAGCACCAAAACCAGTAAAGGTACGCTTGTGTTTTGGTCTGGAGAACCCCGGACCAACAGGACCTTGCAAATCCGAGATAGGAGCACTAGTCGAAGGACGACGTTCGCGGGTAGTTTCTGTGTTCGACATCTTGCCAACGGTATTCCTCTGATGGTATATGAAGCTGTAGATAAACAAACAAACGCAGTTCGGTGAGTGCGGAAGGGAATCAGCGCTAGAGGCAAGATTTCAGTCTAAAGGACGGGTGAGAGTGAATGCGCAAGACAGGAACCGCTCGCTCGAGCTAGGAGCTACTGTATTCTTGGAGTGGGTTGCAAGGCAGTGGATGGTTGGGGTTGCGGATGCGGGGTCGTGTTGTTGGGCTGAGCTATCGAGTCTGGCCAGCTAGCGGGGTGCAGTAGCTAATTGCTCCAGACTGGAGGATACGGATGTTAGGGGAGAATGATATCTGGAGGGCAAACGATTGATTGATGCAGAGGAGGGTGAATGTTGTGAATGAAAAGAGAAAGAGGAGGAGAGAGAATAGAGGCAGATAGAGGAAGGGCAAGCAAGGGGAAGTGGTGTCATCAAGCAAGCTCCAGAGCTCTTTCCTTGCTCAAGTATCTAGTACATGAACACACTGCCAATCATAAACCCCTCTCACCTCACTATCCACTCCCAATGGCACTCGTACGACTTGCCATCATATGTACATATGTACCTCCTACCTACATCCCGCTATCACACCTCGACCTCACGAATATCTCTCACCGTCCCACCAGGATACTGCCTCACTCCGATAAACAGTGGGGGCGCTAACCCACATTCCCCCTGTCAAGCCCGGCTTCCGGCTCCGGGAATCTGCCATTGTTATTCAGCATGGGGCATCAAATGGCCTTTCCATTTTGATCTTGTATGACTACATAAACGCCGACAAAGGGAATTAGAATAGAGTTATATGGGATAACAGGATAGATTTATAGGGCTGGTAGGAGACAAGAATAAATCACATACTATCCAAGAATATTACATCCATTAATATCTCTATCTACGTCAATATAACAAGCATGGGGAGGTCATGCCGTTTGAAGATACACATCCAGACTTGGCGTCCATGGCCGTCAATAACCGAGTCGCTGCAGCACATGCTATCATTATCCCAATCCGTATCACAGCACCACATGAAATATCTTCAAGCACATATTAAACTTTTTATTGCCACTGTATAGCGCTGGGTGAACCTCTTCTACTAATAGGAACATGATAGATCAACAACAATAATGTTCTCCGTACAAGACTGGAGGCGCTCGTTCAAATCCACACGATCCTATTCTCGACGGATTTTCAGTAGGATAACGTCTATTCTCGACCTTCAGCTGCAACTCTCTTCCTTGACTTCCGTTACATCCTCTACAATTCTAGCTCAGAGCCATCGCGGCTCGATGAATTCCCATCCTCACTTTTTCCGCCTCCTACAACATTTCAGCGCTACGCAGATGACAGTATCCCATCCACTCGATACGAAGCCGATTCGGCTCTGAACAACCTTATGAAATAAGACCTCCCACGCAATCAAAGCAGTAGCGTAGTCAAGACAGGTGCAATAACACTGATCGCATGATCCGCATGAAGAATCATCCGCAAATCGCCCTGCAGATAATAAGGTGGCCCCCATATTCAAAAAGCCACACAGCGGCCAACCACCAAACCCCTAAGATCATTCCGCGTGAAAACCTGAAGCGAACAACCCACTGTCTCCATTGATGGTAAGACAACCATTCCCAAACGCCGGCTTCAATGTGCAATTCCCCCAAATCAACGCCAAGTTCCGTGAAGCCCAGAGTATTTACGGCCTAAGAATCCAAGGAGAAATCGTGAATTATGTAATTTTGTGTGGGCTCAAAGAATCCCAGAGTCTTTGAGAGCGTTTTGTAGAATGGTCTCCTTCACCGCCGCGAAGACGAGTCGGATATTAGATGTGTCGGTGGCTTGTGTTAAACTAGAATACATGGTAAGTTTGAGTATCAGAAGGATTGATGCTGTAACATACTGAGGGTATAGGTTTAGATGTGCTCGATTGACTTGATTGAAGCGCCAAAGTAAATATTTGGACGCTCGATTTATGTCATTCCCACCGGAATAATCGGGGAAATAATTACTCAGCGGTGATCGGCCGAGTTTTTGTCGGAATAAATCGACTTTGTTCAAGAAGAGGATGATACTTGTACGCATAAACCATCGCGAATTGACGACGGAATCGAACAGCACCAAACTCTCCATCATTCGATTCTAAAAATTGTGAGCTTAGATACGCATAGCGAGTAGGCGTAGACATACCTGATTGCTTTCTTCCAGCAGACACTGATCGTACTCGCTGAGTGCTACACAGAAAATGATCGATGTGACATTTTCAAAGCAATGAATCCACTTCTTTCTTTCACTTCTCTGACCACCGACATCGAACATGCTGCATTATATTTTAGTATATGTTGTAAACCAATTGTAATTATTATACCACTCACTGTATGCTCAATGATCCCATAGTAAATCTCGTCTCGTATATACCCGTCGTCTTCGTTCGCGCTCTTAATACGTCGGCCTCGATAGGTATATAATCGGGGGACGTGATCCTGTGTGCCTCTTCGAAGAAACTACCACCTGTTAGCTACAGCCTTATCAGTCTCGTTCCGTAGACATACTATGGTGCTGAGTCCATCAAGTAGAATTCGCTCTGCCTTTCCATCAAAGTGACCATGCTAGGATCTTTCCACAATGCCTGTACAGCCTCGCCAACTTCTGGGTTCAATGTTGGTGGCTCTGTAACGACCTGATAATCGACTAGAAAGACACAGTAATCTGCATTTATCGGATCCTCTGGCTCAATATCAAACTGCCGCATCGCCCCAATTAAAGCCTTCGCACAATCCACCAGGTTCTTATATATAGTCATTCGGTACATCGACAGCTCTTCTACCGTATAGCCGCTTTGATGGATAATCTTCATCTGTTTTACGATCGTGGACTTGCCACTCTCTCCGGAGCCTTGATTAATATTAGCTGCGAGTTCCACCGCCCTTCCGACATCACCTACCTAGCAACAAGATCTTGCATTCTCGCCGAAGCTTCTTGGAGTCTTCTTCCAGACTCTTATCTATCATCTGACTTCTCTTCTTTCCCTCGGAATCCTCCGGATTGGAGCTCACACAAGCTCCCATTTTCCCAGCACCTGGACTGCAAGCGCAGCCTCGCCCTCGATATGTGGATTATATATTGTTTTGTGCGGTCGCCACTGATCGCCTCCGGTAGATTCAAAGCAAAATAGAGCGAAGTGTGTGCAGTGAGGCGGGAGTGGTAATGCGAAGTTATATTGAATTGTCGTCGAGGCTGCGAGGCTTAAACAGGCTTGGCTCGGCCATGTACCGTCGCAAAGAGTCGAGTGCCAGAGCTGCCCGCACAATGAAGGACCGCGTCGTCCCTATTTATCGTCTACCTGGCAAAGAGCACGATGCGCATTCGCAGGATGGCCGACTGATTCGCGATCGAAGTCGTTCGTGGTGTCCTGGCGGCCGTCCTCGTTGCCAGCCAGGCGGTTGGAGTGATGATGTGGTGATGATAGCGGTGGGGAAGCTGCGGCGTCGGTCGCGCAGTAGACGTGCAACAGCGACAGCGATTCTCGAGGTCTGGCTTTGAGCAAAGCAATTCGCAAGGGACAATGTCTCTTTGGATGCCGTCGATGGGTATGGCCGGTGGTCGTAGCTTCAAAGCCGGAGGTTGCAGGTTGCAGTGAGGATGGAGGCTGGCCGCGGTTATGCGGAGACGACAGGACTATGAAATAATGGAGCAGCTTGGGGTCGAGTCGTAGTGTAATGGCCAGTGTAGCCACTGGAGTGGGCTGCTGGTGCGGGCTGCGGGCAATCGCGCTTCGATGCCTGAGTAAGAGACTAATAATAATAAGAAAGCGAAATTGACAAAGTTTGCCGCCAAAACTTCAAATTCAATTAATGCAGTATGTAATTGCCAGACCCCAAATGGTTGCGATCCGGAATGTCAACAAACAAATGTTTCCGATTCTGAGGTTCAGTTGCCCTCAAACTCGTCGCGCTTGTTTCGACCGCCAGTAGAGTCTCCTCTATTCAAAGGGTTCCAAGGTTTAGCCGAGTCTCGTGTCAACCGAGTCTGCTCTGCATCTTTGCACGACCTTCAACTCGCTGCCACTCTGGAGTCTGGACTGCCATTCCTTTGCGCATGTTTCCCTGGGCTGCCACACACCACAACACCTTTGACCACAGCTTCGGGTCGTAAACCGAGCACGACCCGTTTCATTGGGTGAGGGCATTGCCGCCACGTGGAAGTGAAGCGAGCCGAAAAGCGACCTGATGAGTCTGAGACTTTCCCTCCATCTCGAGATGCGTGTGAAACCCTTTCCGCAGACGAATCGGCACCACCACCAGCAGTCTTCTCAAACGTCGACACGCAGTACATCGTGAGCCGCTATTCTGGGATTCCGCCGGAGAGACCCATCGGAGGGGCTTTCTGGTGGGAAAACACCAACAGAAGAACCGCCCCTGATTTCCCCCTTTACCAATACAGCTATCTTCTCGCAGGCAACCTGCAGACCAGATCCCAATCTGGCAATTCCTCATTTCACTTCAATAATCGCCACTTCGAGCGTTACCAATTACGAAAAGAACATTCAGTTCGAAGGTCCAGTGGTTCGTCGCGTGTGACATCCTCAGCCAAAGCATGATGCATGAAGCACATCCATCATCCCAACTCCACACGGAATAGCCACGAGTTACACATTCCGCACCACAAGGCTTCCTCGGCGAGAAATTAAACATAAAGGTAGCTCGTACCTTAAATCCACACACCTAACATCCGAAGGCATTACCTGAAAACACAAGGCAGCAATGCCACCGCCACCAATACCCCATCTCCCCAATCCCAAATGAGCATTCCCAAAACACAGCAGCCAGCCAGCCTACCACTGAAACCGGAAACCACCAAGCCCAATCCTTCCTGTTCAAGCATCACAAACAACCGCGTCTAATGGCGTGTATCTTGTTTCGCCACAGAAGGATGAAAACGTGATGATTATTTGACGATCCTTAGCCGATCGCCAATTCCGTATGAGCGGGAAACGTAAGTGAGTATTTGGACGGCGCCGAACGAAATGACTGGCTGCGTATGACTGATGATGATGGCCGCCTTCTAGAAGATATTGAAAGGCATGGTAAGTGAGAAATTATCTTCGGAAATGCCGTTAGGAAGTCACATACAACAGTAAGGCTGTTCAACCAGCCGTGTATAGTAATCTAACATCTCAACAAGTGGTTGCTTTTAGTGCGTGGCAATCCGAAGATAGACTCTGTAGATACACCAATCAAATTACAAGAGACCGACCAAAATTGATCAAATACACATTTGCTCACTTTATTTGCTTCACTATAAAAGTTATCACAATCTCTATTTCTCGCGGAGACTGCAAGAAGGTATCCACAATATCAAAATCAACTCCCCCGACCCCTAAGCAATGCTTTATGTAGAATCTTCCCTGCGCGTCCTTCCTTTGCCAAACCGTGAGTATCATTAGAGAGAAACTGTTTGCTCTCCCAGCTCGTGACTTCGTTGCATATAAATGTCGTGATGAATATCAAAAAGGGTATAGTCCATTGTCTGTGAGATCAATGCTGGCGTAGGTTGCAGCTATGGATTAGGAGGAAACCCCCAGGACACTTGGTAACAGGAGGCATATTATCCCAATCCGATTTCTCATCGTCGTAGTCACCGACTGATTGTAGAAATAAATCTTGAACGAGAATCATGCAAGGTATCCTAATTCGTCATCATCGAGACGCTCCAAGTACTCCTTCTCCAACAAGATATCAATACATTTCTTGATATCCGGAACCTTTGGCACAAAGCGTGTTCGGATCTGGTTGATACACTCGCTGACAAGGACTGTGTGCTTCATCTTCTTGCGAGCTTTCATGATACGGACAATGGCAGACTAGAAGGTACTGTTAGTATGATCATTTTAAAACGGCATTTCAATTACTCACCTGCATGAGCAGCTTGCGGTCCTCCTCGATTGTTTTATGGGTATCCTCAACCTCCTGTTTCTGTTCTGACTTGACAGCAATGTTCAGGTTGATCCGGAGCTTCTTGTTCTTGAAGTCGTAATTGAGATTGAAAGTCTTTCCTGGGCCAGGCTTATCACCTTCCGGGCTCATCGTGAAAACTTTGGCCTTTAAGAAAATGGCTAACGCTGGATCCAAGACCTCTCCTTGTAGCTGAGTGGCTTTGACAATATCATCGTACGTGTTTTTGTCGTTTTCGTTAAACAACATGAGAATAGCCATCTGGTATGTTGAGACCTGAAAGGTATAGGGTGTCTTTTGACTCTTGCAGTAGTTTGCTTTAACCTCTCCTTTGCAAAATTGCCACAGCCAGGTAAGTTTTCGACCACTGTGCTTTTGGTCGTAGTATGTGTGGAACTTTTCATAAGCTCTGGAGACTTCTGCAGGCGGAGTGAAGTCGGTGTTTGGTGCATTGAGAGGCCAGAATCCGGTACCAAGAATGGCGTACGAAGCATCAATTGGCTTCTCATGGCTACCGCTATCTGCCAACATCTGAGCCTCGAACTCTTTGTAACCAGTATTCAAATCCTTGGAGATCTGCATGTCTTGGAACATGCGTTGCAACTTGTTGGTATATTCGTACCCACATTGCTCCTTCAGTTTGCTAATCATGCTCGTCTCCGCATCGTCTGATGAAGAGCTGGTGTGAATCAATCGTCGGGCTAACATACGAGCATAGAACTTCTGGAAAACATCCTTATCTTCGATATACTTGAATATGGTCATGATCTGGTTCAAAGTATTCTCAAGGTCGCTCTCCTCAGAGCCATTGGTTCCCTTTCGAAGCACCGCATCTGCATACTTGGCCAGGAGCTCAGGCGATTTGTTGGACCCAGACTTGCATATTTGGTTGCGGTTGACAAACTCCCTACATGCATTATCCAGTGATCTAGTAAACTCGGGCTCATCCGCGAAGGCTGTCTTTACCAGTCCTTGGTATTGGGTGTGGATTTCAAGCAGAGCATCAATATACACCTTTGGCTCAAGCTTTTCGGCATCGAGGGCAACCTTCGAGACTGCCGCAAGACCGGCCTTGCGTACGTGCGCCTCGAATTTCGATCGTAGTGGCTCCAACCCCTCTGGTATGCGTTGAAGAAGTTTATACATGCGTTCCATGTCATCATACCGATCATTATCGAGCAGTACTTGGAACTCATCCCGTAGAATACCGATGTGGTCAGCGATCAGCGAGGCATTGCACTGTTTCATTAACGGCGAGCGGATGTCGGAATGAAGATACACGTTCACTCGTTCTTCCTCCTCATCTAATCGGACTGCGGCTTTCTTCATATACTCAACGATGCTGTTTTCGGCCACGAACTGTTTCGACTCGGCTTCGTAAAATGATTTCGTTGCTGCTAAGAAGGGTTTCTCGAAATTGTATCGGTAAACATCGAGCGTTGATTTGGTGGGATCGGCTTCATCCAGACCAAGAGAGACAAATGAAAGTACAATGCTCTTAATCTGACCGTGCTCAATCGTCTCACCGTTTCGCTGCTTTTCGACCATCTTCAACACCGCGTCCATGACCTTTTCATGGACTTCGCTAAACAGAGTGACCCGCCATTGTACCAAATGTAGCGTATAGACATCATAAATGTTCTTTTTGCCCTCATCCATTTCCCGCTTCACCCAATGTCTGTTCAGGTATCTGAAGAGATGATTGATGTATTTGGCTGCGGTTGTGTAACGGTTCCATTCGCGAATGTAAAAGGTGAGAAGGGCTTCGTCAGCATGTGTTTTAGAGGCAGTGACCAATTCGGTAAGATAGGTGGTCAGGTATTTGATAAGGTTCTGGTATAGGTCCTCCCCGAGTAGATGTGCTGATCAATTTTAGCCCAAGACAGCTGGTGAATAACAAGCAAACATACCTCCTCGATGTTGACTTCCCATAAGAGCCGCCTGAGTGCTGCTGATAGCTTTCTGTGATGTGCAGAAGTTATGGACCGCTCTGCCAACGGTTAGCATGGCGCAACTTTGGAAGGATGAGCTACCTACGTGTAAACCCCCATATACTATTGGAAACTAACATTAGCGGATGTAATGGTGAGAACAGGGTAGCTTTTCTTACAGTTTTCATGTCCATACCATCTTGCAGATTGGTCATGATCTTGGATACGCCCATTTCTAAGTATTTCCATCTGCAAAAGAGTAAGCAAGAGGATGATCTGCCAGGCACTCCAGCAGATGGCTGGCGGAATAAAATAACTCACGTTGCGTCTAGATCTTCACGATTTGGAGCATCCGGCATGGGAGCAAGGACGGTCCTCGTACTGGCCGACATCTTGGTGGGCGTTGCCAGGATAGTGTGAAGGTGGCGGTATGGAGGGGTGGAAGACGGAGATGCGTTATGGAGTATTTCGAGATGGATGCTACAAGACGTGCCTAATCGATGGCGATAAGCGATATGTTGCACCCGTTTGAAGTCCTGTTTCGACTGTATTTAACAAGCGTCTAGGCCCTCAAGGCTGGTAACTGTTGAGTTGCGGGATCTAGAGGACGCGATTAAGGGCGTGGACCGATCACCGAGGGAGAAAATGTAAAGAATCTGCAATGGACAGAAAAAAGCTGAAAAGGCAAACGAAGGTAGACCTGAACTTTTCCTTTGGTACAATGCGGGGAATTCTTGCAAAGGAGAGGAGGGTGTATGTAGATGGGATTTTTGTAGAAAGAGGTTCGCAGTCGAGAAGTTCGGCGAGGCTCCAACTCATCATAGGCGCCAGCTTTCGTGCCGCATTATCAAGGCACTAACCAGCCTGGTTTCACTATCCATTCACAACCCCACACCCTGCAACAATAGCCCGTGAACGATTCGAATGAATGACTCAAGGGAAGAGGGAGAGGAAGAGATTTTTTTTCCCCAATTGCTTTGAGATGATTAAATTGTTTGATACATTTTTATATCAGAGTTCCTATTTTGAGTAAATCCAACTTTTATTAGTAGGAAATGAAATGTAAGAAATGTATTATGTATGACGTCGAAATGGAAACGGGGACTATTACGGCCTAGAGGTAGGAAGTATATGATTGACCTTGTGATTGACCTTTCTACCTCACCACGACGAATAAAAAATCTCATTCCGCCCTCTTCATGCTCAAAACTAGACTCGATATGGCACGTCTCAATCTCACAGCACTTTCGTCGCTCCGGGTTTCTCGTCACCAAATACCAGCACATAATCTCATTCCAAACACTTCCATCCAGAACAAACCTCTACTAATATATCATTCTTGCATTCACCCTTCGACTTCAGCCAAGGGTATAGAAGCTCATCTGCAAGAAGTAGGGGTTGTGACACCTCAATGGAGATATTCAATGTTCGATACGACTCATTTTCATAGTACTACCCATGAAGTGTTGTGCATTTCTGCTGGAAAGGCTACTCTATGTAAGTCACCACATCTGCTACTTACAAAGGTTTGCAACATTGGCGAATTGTAAGCTCATAGTGAATAGGTTTCGGCGGAGAGTCAAATCCAGAAAGGGTAGAAGCTTTAGTAGAGACGGGCGACGTAGTTGTTGTCCCAGCAGGGGTCGGTCATCGTTTGCTGGATGATTATGGCAGCGGTTTTGAGATGGTAGGAAGTTATCCAAAAGGGAAAAGCTGGGATATGTGCTATGGAAAGAAGGGCGAAGAGGATAAGGTGGGAAAGATCAAAGATTTACCGTGGTTCGGAAAGGATCCATTATATGGTAATTCAGGTCCTGCACTTGACTAGAGTCATGCTGCTTATGTTCCAAGCCTAGTAAATAATGACCAAATTTTGTACATATTGCATTAATCGTTACTGCACTAGATCGCCAAAAGGCTCTGTCCACCGAAGCAATTTTAAATCCAGAACGCCACGCTGCAAATGATGCACCTATGTATGAATAAACAAATGGAAGGATCCAACGTATGACTGACAAGGGCGTGCTCAATCCACGTCCTCTCTGCCGCCAACACGCTCGACGAGTCTGTGATAACTGTTAGCGAAATCATACGAGTCTTGAATAATTGAAGCTTACCTAAAGATGCTGACCGCAAATGTCAAACTCCAAGCAATCAGAGCAATCATCAGAATTGCACACAGAGCCTTGACTCTCCTGCAGATATCGGGATTCCGGCTGTTGTTGCCCACAAGACAACTTCCATCTTGATCCGTTAAGGCACCAAACGCAAGCGCCAGGTTTGCAGATTCGAAAATAATAAAGAATAAATCAAGGAGTACCAGGCGGATCTTGGCTTTTGGTGAGCGTAAACCTAAAGGCTTTCCTGTGTACTCATCCCACGTGATATAGAGAATGTATGGTATAGCCACTACATCCACGACTACAGCCATCGTTGTAGAGGGGTTTTGGGGATAGCGATATTTATCAGAGAGGTAATGTACTGAACTAGAAAGCCCCAATGCGACTATAGATGTTGTGATCACAATCAATCGAAACAACAAGGGCACCAGCGGGTGCAGAAGGATGATATTCTAGCAAGATTAGCATACCTTTGGTGAGACCGTGGTAATATACATACCTGCCAGCGCTTTAATAAGGAACGCCGCTTCTTCTTACTATGTAGATAGCTAGAACCCTTTTCAAGGTCATTGCCGCCGTCCAAATCCCCGCGCCACGGCTGCTGATAGCCTGGTGTTTGTGTCCGGAGAGTCTCCTCACTGACAATCCTACCATCTTCCATAGCCCCAGGTCCATACATTGTTGACTTAACATATGTCCGCCATTGAGAAGATGTGGGCAATACACCCGATTGCATTATGACCGGCTCGCTATCTCTTGCAAAATCCCATTTGCGGCCTTTGACTGGTTCCCGAGAACCAAAGAAACCACTAGTTTCCGGCTTATCGTTCAGCCTGGTGGATTGTTCCTCATAATCGTCCACAAACCCATCCTGCGATATTCGTCTGGTGGGCTGGGATGGTGTGTTATTGTGTTGCGCATTATGGGCTCTTGGGGGTTGAGGAAGTAGTCGGGTGGTGGGTTTTGGGATTATCAATGGCTCATCCCCATCCTCATATGAAGCTATCCACGCTAAAAAACCATGAGTAAAGATGTACTTTCCATTTAATGTTCCCTACTCACGCGGAAGTGTTCGAACTGCTTTCTGGGCAATCCTGTTCTCTGTTTGAGTGCTATTCGAACTGTGAGTATCGCGCGATACGGTGGAGGTGGCTTTCGGACGATTGGTGAGTTCTCTCATCCGTTTCATGGCGGCATCGCTGGAGGAGGAAGAAGCGGAAGGCCTCCTCTGCGAAGAAAGGAGGCCATTCTGAAGAAGACAGTGAGGGTCCAGATGTGATCCCTGGCCAGGGTCCTGCCGGCTTGTTGGAATGTTTGAAGTTGCCATGGATGACGCCGTAAGGCTACTTGGTTGGAAAACAGAGGGAGGTTGGCGCGAAGCACACTCAACGAGCGGCAAATCCGCTACAGCGGTAGGTCAGTAGCAATGATTACTCCAAGACAACTGCGCATCTTCGTAGAAGATATTAGAATTAAAGTAAATGGAAAGAGAATGAGCGACAGTGAGGGCGTGCGGTGACCATGGGGAAGAGTGAGGTAAAGTTGTGGAGGACGCGGGTATCAAGATTAAACCCAGTCCAGCCACGAGCGAGCAGCGCAGATCACCTGCATTGATATTCAGAAGGCAGGGAAGTTGACTTAGGCTTGTAAACCCAAGACAGAGAGACTAAAGAACAACATTTAACAGTATTATCACCTACCCATAAGTCATTCTAATACGTATTCATCTACAAAGTAACAGTATTCACTGTGATTAATTGCGATTTGTCTAACAATGCTCATTGTGTTTCGAGTATCGATAAGTCTGAATCAGGTTTTTCAATGACTTCCAATAAAATGCTCGCATTTGGTAACAGCCACATTGAGCCACAATTTCGTGTCTCTGGTAAAAAGTTCTAGCTTGACAAGGGTGTTCTCCTCCGTCATCATGGCCGCGTTGCGCATGGAAATGTTCCTCGCTTCAAACCAACATTCGCATAAGGGGTCAGTAGCTTCAACCTGCGACTCTAGCAGCTCATTCTTTTTTGCACGGCAATGAATTGAATCAAACTCCGTTCTAAGGACACCGACTGAAGCGGTTGTCAATCACAATGCGTCTTTTCCTCCTCCCAATCTCGACACGGCGCACCCTCCTCTACTGCAAACGATTAGACGTCGCAAACGCTGAGTCGAGCAGCTGGTTGGACAAAGGCACAGCAAAGGCTGCCAATATATGGGCAGGATGGGAGCAAAAGGAAAAGGGATGGCAGAAGAAGGTAGTGGATTATGGTAACCAGGCCTTGAAGCGCATCCCTTATGAGGAATGGGGCTTAAAATCGATTCCTGCCCTGTCCACGCGCAAGGAAGCAGCCGAAGAATCAGGGAAAGATAAGGTCGAAGTCATTTTCCCAGCCAGCCTGATACCGGAGAGCAACGTTTTGGATGTTTTGAAGAAGTTGGGCACTGAGAGACAGTCATTACATCGGAAATGGTTGATAGGTAGCTTCATTGGTATGCCCATATCTGCGCCGGTTGCGTTGATTCCTATGTAAGTCACCTCTGGCAGGCAGGGTAATGTGTACGCTTCTAACGATCGCGATTAGCATCCCTAATTTGCCATTCTTTTACCTCTGCTACAGAGCATATTCCAACTACAAAGCGCTGGCCGGTTCGAAACATGTTGAATTCCTGGTTGACAAACAACTCGTTGCGCCAAAACCATCTACGATCCTCGACCAACTATATTCGAATGGGAAACAACCATTCCAAAATGATGTTGCGCCCCCATCAGCTCAAGCACCGAGTACAGACGCTACAGAACAAATGATACTGCACAAGTCAATTTGCAAGCCAATTGCTACCGAATTAGGCGTACCTGAGCTAGAAATCGAGCTTGATAGAGCTATTTGGCAAGTGGAGAAAGAATTACAATTGGAAAAGGAGCAGCGAGAAGAAAAGAAAGAACTAGAAGAGAGGAAAAAGTCGGCGTCGGGTGACAAGATGGAATAGAATCTTTCTGTAATGTGTATAAATTATACTCCTTGGTTGTCAAGCGAGCGGAATGGGTTGTACATATACTAGACTCCACTTATGTATGAATAAGTACAGGAGAGAGCGAAAACGATTGAATGATTACTGTGCATTCCCCAGAAAGTACCTACCTACTTGTGTATTTCAATTCCAGTTAAGGAATCTGCGGGCTATACTATACCTTAACTTGAATTTGTAAGAGCAACAAATAGCCAATCTGTGCCCTCTGTCTTGCAGATCTCCATCAATCGAATGGCAGAACTTGTGACTTTTAATGAATTCAGTGGAACTAAGATTACTCTGATCCAACTGGTCTTCCCATTCACTCTGGTTTCCTTCTGATGGACTCCCGGTAACTATGTTTGCTCTCATCAGTGCCAGCCATGTACCAAAACTATCCAAAACAATCAAAATACTTAATTAATACAACCCGAAAGTTCATTCGCGTTCAGACAAGCAGATTTTCAGGGTTTAGGTTTCAGGGGGTCTTATATGTTTCGATAGGACGTGAATTAAGCTTATCGCATGGGTAAAGTTTGACCTCTCATCTATTCTGAGCAACAACTCACATTCCCAACGTCAAAGCTCCCGCTTTTTCGTCCAAACGAACGATGCCTCCGGGGCTCGACGAGGAGGGCCAGTATCAAAGCGATACCATCGCGATCAAGTGCGAACCGTCGCGACTTTCTCCTCCAGTAATCATGTCGCCAGAACTCGAGCCACTCGTCAATCACCTACTGGCGCAAATGGATCCTTCGCAGCACCATCACCATCTCGAATCCCCGGAACCTCTCGAGGGCGATATGAATTATAACCACAATGCGTTCGCAACTCCACAGCTTGTACAGCCCGCGCAACGGACGCCGCGATCGCGACAGAAGCCCTTGTTGACTATGGAGGAGAGGTTACAATTGATGCCAGAGAAGAGGCCACTTCCTTGGAGACCTGGCGTCGAAGCTGGCGCGGATAATGAGACTGGAGGGGAGTCGAGAAGGAAACAAATTCGATTCGGTTGCTTGCTTGCGACGCGTGGAGAGGTTCAGGCGGTTCCCTGTGTTAGCTGCACAAATGGTCGCGGAAAGTTCGAGTTGTGCGTTGCGCTGGAGGGTTTCTTTAAAGGCGCATGTGCTAGCTGCCAATTGAGTGGCAGACCAAATCGGTGCAGCATTAAGGAAAAAGATGGTAAGGAGCTTCATCATATCCAATCATTTTTCACACTAATTTCATTTTCTACAGATGTACCTTCCGCACCCTCTCCAGCAATAACACCAGCAAACGTCCCTCTCCCACCACACCAAGACCTCCCCACCGCGCAGACCACCATCCAAACCCCTAGCGAACCCCCCAACCCCAAGCGCCGCCGAAAAGAAAAGCCAAAGGAACCAGAACAAGACGAGATTCCCGAATGGGAACGCGAACGACCCCAATGGGAACAAGAACTCGGCCAATCCCAAGCCCGCCAACAAATGAAAGACCACGTCCAGCGCCCCTGGGCCTCCGTTAACCCTCCCATCCCCCCTCCTACCCGACTCCCAAATGGCATGAATGGCTCCCTCCCCGATCGCGCCTGGTCGTCTGTAAACCAGCCGTCCCCCAGCGCGCTTTACGGCAATGGCGACAGCAACGCCTCGTACCGCACGAGCATTGACCAAGGGCGGCGCGAAGACACGGGCGACGATGGAATCGCGCTCATAGATACGTTGCCGAAGAGTAAACAGCGGCAGGTGTACGCGGTTATTAGCGGGTTGCAGGGCGGTATTGAGCATTTACATCGCGAATTGGAGTCTTTGAAGCGGGCGTTGGGGATTGATGATTAGAGGATTTGACAAACGAATTTTATGTGGGCGATGGGAAAAGGATATCTTGAGCGGGTATAGAAGAAAATGGGAATGGGAGTTAATGGGATGGATGGATGGGGGAGTTTTTGTGTATTATTTAGATAAGAAGGGTAATTTATGATGGATGGGATGGGTGATGGGGGTTCGATACGTGTATTTCAAGAGATGGTAGATATTTCCTTTGCTGATTTAGCTATCTCGCGGTAATTATTTTGAGAATATGAAACACATTTCTCAGCACTGTTTACACGTTCCATGTCTTGGTCTTGGAGATGCTGTAGGGCTGGAACTTCTACAGTACGTGCACCCTTGCAGCCTTGGTTGTGGACTTTGGAGCTATGGTCACGCCAAGTGAGATCTGGGGAAGATGGGGTTGGAGGGCGGCTTCGGAAGATTGCTCCGCTGATACTTGCGGTATGGAGAACTTTACTTGGTATGATATCGTATGATATACTATTAAAGGTTGGCGTTGAAGCTGTATTTTGCAGTTGAAATGCAAAATGCGCAAAAAACTCTGCGGCGCTTCGTTGGTGGATGCCTCTGATAGGGGTGGAGTGAAAAGGATGATTAGATGAAAATAGGTAGTTTGAGTAATACTCGAATAGCAAAAACATAGAAACTACAGTCAGGCACAAAACTTCCAGCATTACTCAAACATACAATGAGATGGTATGCGATCGAGGCATTAGAGGTGTAGCTTCTAGTAAGCGTTAGCGACACAGTTCTATACACCAATTGACTTGGAGGAGGCTGTTTATGGTTATCCGGTCTTTGGAAGAGAGGTAAATTCTATTGAATTACAAAAATGACCTTTCTACGTTAATAAGCAGCTGCTACTTAGCAGATTGGTGGTTTATCGTTTGTGCAAGTTATGGTTGTCATTCAGAGCTCAACCCGATGCAATTGTAGGGAGATTCCGCTGCGCATAATTAGATACGGCTAGTCTGATGGGTTTCTTGGGTAGAGCCAATCGTTAGAACGCATATCTTCTATCATAGCTGTCCGTTTATGTAGGCATTATGCGACGACATCTAGATTGATGATGGAACATTTTTATGACGATTTACTCATTATTTCTGTCACTCGTCAGTACTTTGGTAAAAGGATACCGCAAGTGGCCAAAAGTCGCCACGAGTACGTGTATCCCCAGAACTAAGATCTTCATACCACAAATAGCGAACCTGAAGATCTACTGATAAGCACTTTATCCATACGAACAAGCAGTCGTAATAATTGTTCGCTAGGACTGTTTCCCCCAGCCATCCCTGCGACAACCTAAGCTCACAATGACACCCACACAGAAATCGTCCCCACCATCAGGGCCGAATGTCAACGGTTCCAGTTATTCATCTGCATTTGGAGTTGAAGATTGACAGGTATTCTACTGCTTTCGGAGCGGGCGTTGCTTGGCCGCTTTCGGTTGCCCTGAGTTAAGCCTCTCAAAAATGAAGTGGCTGCAGGCACTTGTGCGATTGCCGATGGGCCTTTCGGGTCTCTTAATTTAGAATTGCGTTGGACATTTCGTTAAATCGGAAAACAAGATCGCAATGGTGAATTGAAAAAACTAGATGGGAAAGATTGCAAATGCAAGACACATCGCAATACTTCCTTATGTTCATGTATAATTACCTTGGTATAAGGTATACAAGTACTTTTCACAGTTACTCAGCAGATGTACAGACACGAGCACGCTTGCGTCGCTAGTTATCCAAAGCTTATCTATTGGTTGATATCTGACATAAAAGTGGACTTGTACGAACAAATGCCAGTCAACGCTGCATTACGAGGTTACTTCCGTATTGAGATAGGAGAACGACGGGAGGCGTCAATTAACGTCTGGGTAGATCTCTATTCTTCAAATAAAATAAAATGCGAAGAAGTTAAATACAGCATCGAATACATGTAAAAAACACCTTCAAACGTCATAATTTTTCAACATGGGCCGTCATGCCCTGAGCGCCGTTGAAGGTTGGGACCACAATTCGAATGCCCGTCGTGATTGCTTTGTTCTGATTCGGCAGGACAAGCCGGAAGCTAGAGTCAAGCACGCTGCAAGCAAAATTACCCCAGCACTTTTCGTCAAGTCTCCCCACCCCCCTGTCCAGACTCTCCACCAACCTTATCCGCATATACAGTACCAACACAATCCGGCGTCACTCGTTTTCTTCCTCTCTCTTTTCCTTACTCACTCTACCGCATCCTTCACTTTCGAACTCTCGATACTCTCACTTTTCGATTTTCGTAACGACATTCGTTCTCATACAACAATCGTTTCCAGCTACTCACTCCAGCACCTACCAATACCATCGTTTCCCAATCAGGCCACTCCCGAACTACCATAAGATTAACATTCGTTTTAATCTATAGATAAGGGCGCAACCAAGTTCGAACGATTTCTCTGTGATTCAGAGAAAAGAGAGCCCTGGAAAAACATCACCTGGCGGTACTCTCCGACCAATTCCACCCTCACTTCATCGCTCAATCACCACGACTTCCGCCATATCCGTTGCCTGTTACGGTTCAATTTGGACGTCGCACCACATTGATTGCGCCCATACACGTGTGTTCCTTTGGCGGCCGCGATGGACGCGAATTGATAGAATAGAAGATCAGGTTTAAAGGATATCTACGAGAAAGAAATCTATAAAATGGCATCACCAAAAAGAGTTGAGGAATCGGCGCGTTTTTCGACAGGAACATCAGATGAAATAGGACATTCGAGTCGTCCTATTTCCACACTTTTAGCCGAACTGAACCCGTTCGATACGGGAGCTAATACTCCCATTCCAGAGCTGTCACGTCCAAATAGCTCTTACGCATCACAAAACCTCGGTCCGAATCCCTCACAATTGACGAGACAGTTATCAACAGCAAGTATAAACCGCAGGGGTTCATACGCGCCAGTTGTTCCTTCCCCATTGAATAACTCTTCATCACATTCCTCTCTCAATGGCAGCAACGGAATTCTCTCAAACTCTGATACTGTCTCGGTACGTGACTCTCAGTCTTCAGGAGAGGATCAAAATCGCAGCGTCGATAGCACTTCTACACCAGTAAAAGGCAAGAGAAATACAGTTGGGATAAGTCCTCCTCAAAAAATCTTACGACAAAAGTCTGCACAAGCATTGTCTTCTTCCGGCACCGAAACGCCAAAGTCCTTGAAAGATCTTGGTCGCGATTATTCGCGATATCCTTCATCAAGCACGAACCTCGCGTCAAGCTCAAGGCCCTCATTACTCAATATCTCATCGGCTGCTTCGGATGTTGCCCTACTACGAACAACCACCAAGAACCCGTTCAGCGACTCGCAAGCAGATTTGGAAAAATGGGGATATCCTGACGATAGTCTTGGAGCATTCGATCCATATCATGGGGGAGAAAAGGGTTTCATACTTTACTCTAATGAGCTGGAAGATGATGATAGAATCCATATGCCTGCAGATGACGACGACATAACTTACAAAACTAGATGGTCGGATTACTTCGGGCGTCGTCAAATTGTCAATACCATGGGCGGCGCAATTCTAGTACTTGGTCTTCTATGTCTTTTCATTCTTCTTCCAGTCTTGACTCTAGGCCGACATTATCTTACCCCCAGGGTAAAAGGAGTTGATCCGAACGATTTCGGACCAGCATGGGCCCACGTCAACAACAGGACCTACCCACTGATGAAAAACATTAGAAAGACATTGATTGATCCAGATACACCAGCGAATGCCATGACCCGAAAGAGTACTTTTGATTCGACGCAGCTGAAATTAGTCTTCAGTGATGAATTCAACGAGCCGGGGAGAACGTTCTACCCAGAAGACGACCCATATTGGACGGGTGCAGATCTCTGGTATGGTGCAACTCAGGACTTTGAATGGTATGATCCAGATGCCATTACCACTGCCAATGGTACTTTGCAGCTCAGACTTGACTCTTTTCCTAACCATGGGCTTCAATATCGATCTGGAATGTTGAACAGCTGGAATCAAATGTGCTTCAAGGGTGGCGTCATGGAGGTCTCAGTATCTTTGGCTGGACCTTCTGGAATTCCTGGACTTTGGCCGGGTGTCTGGAGTATGGGAAATTTAGGTCGACCTGGCTTCAAAGCGACAACTGAGGGAGTCTGGCCATATACGTATAATGGCTGTGATTCTGGAATCACACCAAATCAATCTGATTCAAGTGGACTTTCGTACCTTCCTGGTCAGAAGCTTGCGTCATGTATCTGCACCGGCGAAGATCATCCCAGTCCAGGAACAGGGAGGGGAGCTCCTGAATTGGACATCCTTGAGGGTTCAGTAGATCCAAACAACAGAATCGGGGTGGTCACGCAGTCTCTACAAGTGGCTCCCTTCGACAACTTTTATCGACCAAACTCTGACTTTATGGCAATGCCTGACTACAACACTACTCAGATGAATGGCTATTGCGGTGGTCCTTTCCAACAAGCTGTCAGTGCTACAACTCTGTTGAATAATGGTTGGTATGATGGCCTCGCTTATCAGAAGTATGCATTTGAATATGTACCCGGTGCTGCACCAACTGGAAAGATTGCGTGGTTTGTGGGCGAGAATCCTTCTTTCATCATGGACAGCAGAGCCATTGGAAAGAACGGAAATGTTGGAGCCCGTCAAGTGCCTATGGAGCCAATGTCTATGATTCTCAATCTCGGCTACAGTGCTTCGTGGACGCAGATAGACGCGCCAAATTTGAGATTTCCGACAGTCATGCATATCGATTATGTGCGAATATATCAAAAAGCTGGCCAAGAAAGTCTTACTTGTGACCCTCCTGGGTACCCAACGACTCAGTATATCAAGGACCATCCTATTGCCTACAGGAATCCTAATGTCACTGTAAGTTTCACTTAGTATCACCAGCACTGCAAACACTAACACTACTTTAGTCATGGGCTGAAACAGGCTACAAATGGCCGAAGAACAAACTTACGGGGTGTTAAGACCACCTAATGCATAATAATCTATTGGACCACCGCAATCGTGGTGTTGCACATAATGACCGACACATACTGGAATTAATATTGGTTTTACGATCTGAATTGGACTCAGATACTGGCGCTTAGGGGATTAAGGAGTCATTGGGCACATACATATATCCATTTTGAGGATTTCACGACCCGTATATGATGGCGTTATAGAGGGGGTTATATTCATGTCAATGTACATGTCGCAGCTGGAATGCTGTTTAGAATGGGCTTTGGGATGGGCTTTGCGATGGGGAAGTGGCATTTCCCCGGCATGTTTCGAGTTTTCTTCGTATCTGGCCGTCAAGTCAAGAGTGACTTGCCGGATGATATGTCTATATTATGTCAGACCCGAAGAGGTGGTTTGATATGCTATTTTGCTCTATGACATAGCTGAAATCAATTGGAACTGTGAAAATATCACAGATATGCTTGAATCTGGAATGTCCATATGCTCTCGGGCAAGTGAGAATTTGTAAACCCTTGTACTTATAAACTTACTCAGCTACTTCGTATGAATCGAAACCCGGAACCTGGTGCAATGTTGTAATTGTTGGACGCCGCACGGTTATCTGACTGATCAAGGCGACAATGCGGGGGGATGAATAAGGTTATTTGTATGCATGAAGCTCTGGCTTGGAAAGGAAAGATGTATCGTATTCGAACCATGGTTTACATACTAACTTTACATCGAGCTTGTTTTACTGTGTATCCCCAAATAAATCCGAATTACCACGAATTCCCATACCTCTCCATTTCTGCGTCGGCCTCTGACATAATTCCATAGCCTATCCCTTTCGTACGGGGATAAGATACACCAAAACCTCGCCTATCTGATAAGCAAGACAAAGAAACCCGCGCAAGACTTTCTGTCAGATTTCCTCAGCTGGTAATTATTGTTCATCACGAGACTCGTATGGATTTCTGTAGGGAGCCTATTCTGAACGACGATTCTGACTGTGCGACGGGACCCCGCGTATGTTGAGCACGGGCAGGCGCGAGTGGATCGGAGCTATTACTGTGCATGCAGGTGATAAGGCGGGCCTGGCGGGTCTAGACGTTTAGTTCTTTGTAGAAACTTGGGAGGACTATTCTTGTTCTTTCGTTCTTGACATTTCATTGTTTTGGACGAGAGGATTCAATTGAGGAAATAGTCCTCATCAGGCAGTGAATCATCACCACTCAATCGCTCGCCATCCGGCCTCGAACCCAAAGAGACGGCACCGGATAACGATGCAGCTCCCACAAAGACCATGACAACAATGGAATCCCCTAAAGACCCATCGCCGCCCGCGTCGCAGGATAGCACCGGCATGGCATCCCGCAACCGTCTGCTCGAGGCGGATACTATTCATACGATCAGCACGCCCGGCAGACTGCCGACGATTAGGTTGAGAGGGAAGACGGATGATTTGCCTCAGTAGGTACACCTCTCACACCGAGGAAGACAAAGCAAAAGGATTGGGGCGGGATAAGAGCTAATAGGTTTCAGGGACTGGTGGTTCGCATCAACAGCCATCCCGCTGATCGCGGCGACGTTGGGACCGTTGGCGAATGTGCTGAGTATTGCGGCGCTGGTCTCGAAATGGAGGGTTACGCTGCCGAATGATGGGGTGTTGCCCGAGGGGAGCGATCAGTATGGGGTGGATATTGCGGATCCGCATTGGTGAGTTTTCCTGGGCTGCGCATGATTTTTGAATTGTTATTTTTTGGAGATATTGGGAGGCCTTGGTTTTGGAGTCCAGAGGTATCCATTTGGGGCGATTTTGTCAGTGATGAGAGGTTTTGGAGGGGAGAGGAAATGCATTGTTGGAGTGGAAGGGTTGATAATTGGTCTCGCGTTGGACAAGAAAAGCATCGGACGAGAGACGAAGCTTCCTCTCTTACTTTGAAACAGTACTCTGTATTTTGTTTCAGATGAGAAAGAGTCTTGGTTTCCGATCGCGGCTCTTCATGTTCGCTGCAAGTCGGACCCAACACCAGATTTCCTTGCTTTGGAGTGGCTATTACCAATCCCATCAGTGGATACAGAAAGCTGATTTAATGAGTTAACAGGGAAATTGTACTCAACGCTATATCCCTCGGATTTGGGTTTTTTGGAAACTTCCTTCTGCTGCTGAATTTCACGAAAAGGGTTCGATATATCATTGCGTTACCAGTGACCATTATTGCATGGTATTTTGCCACGGGAATTGTATTTCTCCCATCTTTCACCATTTTTGAGTATATGCTAACATTTTTCCAGCTCATCGGTATTATCGTTGCGATGAATAATTACGTTCCGCCTATACGACCCGGAGAAACGTATTCTCAAGGATTTTGGCACGCGATCATTGCGGCGGTACTTTACCTTATTGGTTCTATGATGTTGATGGTCAATATGCTTGGATATTTTTTGGGGCATTACCCGCAACATTTCGACCTAGACGATGATCAACGGACGCTTATTCTCCAGACGATGATGTTCTTTTTCTGGTTAGCTGGTGGCGCTGCCGTATTTGCTAGAGTCTGTGATTGGCGTTATGCGGATGCCTTGTATTTCTGCGATGTCACTGTCTTAACAGTCGGATTTGGCGATTATGTCGGAACTAATGATGCTGCTCGGGGACTGGTGTTTCCATATTCTGTAATTGGTATTATATTTTTGGGTCTCATGATCAACAGTATTCGAAAGTTCGCTATTGGAATGTCAAAGGACAAGGTTATTCGAAAACATCAGCTTCAGAAGAGAGAACAGACTCTTAGTCGAACGGTCACGAGCGAGAAGGAGTTAAGAGACCGTCTTGGACTACCCCCGAGAAGAGAGTCTACTGAAGCAAGAAAGGCTTCCGTCTTGTCCCGGAGAGCGTCAGATGGATTAAATGCGAACTCGTTGCTGAAAACGCGCGATTCATTAGACCAATATGGTCATTTTCATGTCAAGGGTCGGACTATCGAATTCCGTGAGAAAAAAGGACACGCTGGAGGAGGTGGACGAGGTGGGGCTGGACGACACAACTCTCACGGGGCCAAGACTGCCCTCAGTCGAGATGCAAAATTACAAGCGCGAGCAACAGGAGCTACTGCTGAAGCACGACGATCTGCCAGACGTGCCAAACTGGTTTTGCTCAAAGAGGAGAAGGATAGATTCGAAGCGATGCGAGAAATCCAATCCAACACTCACAAATTCGAAAAATACTGGGCGTTATCTATGTCGGTCTTCGCATTCGGTGTTCTCTGGTGTGTAGGAGCATTGGTATTCATGTACGCGGAGCACCGAATCCAAGACCTCAGCTACTTTGAAGCTCTTTACTTCTGCTATGTCTCTCTTCTTACAATCGGCTACGGCGACTTTTCACCCAAATCGAACGCTGGAAAACCATTCTTTGTGATTTGGTCTCTTATCGCCATTCCTACAATGACAATTCTAATCTCTGATATGTCAGAAACCGTCGTTGGAAGTATAAATCGTGGAACTTTCAAGCTCGCAGATTGGACTGTGATGCCTAAAGAGGGCGTGTGGCATGACTTTCTTGAAAGTCATCCGCAACTAAAAGACTGGATTGAGCGCAAGACTCAAGAACGAGAGGCCAAAGCTCGAATCAATGCCGGTTTTGAATTACCCAGACCAGACGAGGAAATCACCGCTGAACCCCAAACCCTCGAAAACCTGGCCGAAGAAAAAATACCGGCAAAAACGGATCATGAACTCGCGCGCCGGTTGGCGAAAACCATCAAACGCGTGGCTAACGATTTACGTGCTGATCAGCCTGTCAAATATGATTACGAGGAGTGGGTTGAGTTCACCAGGCTTATTCGGTTCAGTGCAAAGGGCGTGGAGGGTGATGGCGATACTTCAGGCGACGAGGATGGAGAGGGTGGAGAGTTGGGACTTGTGAAGTGGGATTGGATTGGCGAGGATAGTCCTATGCTAGCGGAGGTAGGTGAGGCGGAGTGGGTTCTTGAACGGCTCTGTGAGAGTTTGGATCGGTATACAAAGGTGCAGGATAGGAAGGTATGTCTGATATTTCCTTTTCCCTCCATAAGCTCTGGAGTTGGACGTACTAATTCGAGACTCTATCAAGGCAAAGAAAGCCCTCCGTAAAGTCGACCACGAAACTGGTCACACACTCCACCATCTCGATACCGGGCATTCATCACATCCCAATTACCCAGCTCATCCCGGTCATCGAAAAGGCTATTCCTACGACCATCCTCCCCACGAAGCGGGTGATATCTCACCTGTGCTGAGACGCACGAAAGATGGCGAGGAGGTCGTGCCGCTGCATAAGCGGCATGCGAAGGGAAAGGATAAGCAGGGCGAGGGTGTGGAGGATAGTGAGGAGAGAATAAGAAGGGATACGGATGAGGGGGAGGATGAACGGGAGAGGATGGATCGAGAGGTTAGGGTTGTGCTGGAGGATGGACTGAGGGGTGGGGAGATGGGGGATTGGATGAGTAGTGTTAAGAGTTGATGTGATGTTTTTGGGTGTTAGTGGGATTAGCATTTATACCCTGGGTTTTAGGTTGGGTCCTAGGAATAGGGGCGCGGGTATTGGGTATTGGGGAGTTTGAATTTTGTGATTTGGCGTTCTACTGGAGTGTAACTAGGACTTTAGGAGCCCTGGTGGTTAACCGTTATTGGGATATAGTGGATCGTTTATAATATTATGTATGTATTTACTCTGACGCTTTCCAGATGATCGATATAGAATACTTGGGGTTACAAGCCATAGGGACCCTTCCTATTATAACAAATAAAATCCAACCCTATCTTACTTGAGAGGGAAAATCTTGCACCCCAAACGTCGATGACGAGAAGCTCTTGTCGTTTACTCATAGCACTATGTTTAAGCTGGAAATACAAGATCAACTGATACAAATTCTGGGGAATACTTTGAATGCTTCCGTCTTGAAAAAACATCTATATATTCTTAAGGGACAATTTTCATGTCTCTAATCCTGAGAGATTTTACTTAACAAGCTATGGTGTTTTTACTTATTCATTATGGGAATGACTGATGGAGTCATGGCATTGCCTCATAGGATAGATGACTCTTTGATATTGTAGAATTGGTTGTTATCAAGGGGTTTTTTTTATTCTTGGGGATTGACGGATTTTCGGGGGGGAGTGGGGTTTGAGTAGGGTAGGACAGTAGTATATAAAAAGGTGATTTGTGTTTGAGATGTGGTAAGTACCTCTATTTCGCCTACGCGGGTGGATAATAGTGTTGAATTTTAAATTATATACTCAGTTCATCGAAGGGTTTTCTACCCGGGAATTGCTGAGTTTTGGAGAGCCTTTATTATTAACAAAATCTCGTTCTGGTCACTAGATGTGTATTTTGGCCGATTACCTGTCTTATATACTAATTCGGACAGGATTTTGGCCAGTTCTAATTGAGTAGAAATACTGTAAAGCAACTATTCATTCCGAATTCCTGACTCGATCCTACCGATCAAGACCTGGTCGTTTCCAAGGACGATGAATAAGAATATGCCAAGTATTTCAGCTATATTGGCGGTGATCTCGAGATGCAACAAACTCTGATCAAACTCTTACCTGTATACCTAATGCCAAGTATCTTGTGCGATTGGCAGAACTCACGATATGCAACAAAGCATTTTACGTGAGCGATGTTGCGAGACGAACGGGCTGGTTTGTGGTCGGTGTCGTCTTGGCGGTCTGAGTAAGTGATATAATAAGGTGGACGAGGAGGATTACTAAAAGTCTTGTGTATATTGGCGGAAGCGTCGATGTGCAACAAAGCACGCGTGGATTCGCTTTGATATGAGAGGAAGATAGGAGAAAAGAAGATTAACAAAGCCTAGATTTCTGCACCTCCAGATAAACTATGTCGTCGTGCAAACGGAGATATCCAAAGATCTACATCCTGACGTCGGTACGCCCACGGCAGTCACCATCCATTGTATGCTAGCCAAGAACCTTAGATCTCATTGGCAAGAATCTCGAAATGCAACAAAAGCTAGTCCCCTTTCCTTATTCATCTTAGAGATTGTGGAATAAGCAAAATAAGGGGTCTAGTAACTGAAAACGGATGAGGATAATTTTCGATGTTCTCAGCCAAGGAAAGCCTCATTCCTGAGTTGGTGCTTGGCGAGTTGGAAGAGAATTTTTGTTTCTTTGAGCGGTGGACGGCGTGAGAGGGAGCGAAGGGTCAAGGGGGAGAGGGAATTGGCGGGGGGTGCGGTGTGCAACAAAATTCTATTGCTCGATTTGATTTCACAGATAAAGAGAATTGTGAAGAAGAGAAGGTACGAGTATTGAGGATTTATGATCATGCAGTCTAGACCGCTTCAGCCGCATTCCTTTGAGGTTGTGAATCAGCTTCCAAGAAGCTGGGCAGAGTTGGCGGCGTGGTCGAAATGCAACAAGATTCTTCTCTTTGTAGGAACGAATAACGAAGATGGAGATTGGATAGGAGAAGAAGGGAAGAGAAAAGGGGATGTGTTACTCACCGGATATTTCGCTTGGCTCTTGGCGTGGATGTTGGGTTCCGTCTTGTAGTGGGAAGTGCCGAATTTTGGGGAGAGGAAATCGATGAAGAACATTGTAGGATATTTATGTAAATACAATATGATTCTTCAGATGAGACACGGAATTAGCTACATCAAAGAACCTCACATAAAATGTCGTCTCAGCCTCACCGCCCCATTCTGCCACCATCTCACCAACTCCCCTCGCAGCTTCACAAATCGCAGCCAAGATCTAGGCACAAGTTGGCAGATCTTGCGATATGCAACATTTTGTAGCCTCATCTCGCACTCACCTATGATTTTTAAGTTTGTTTGTATTCCGTAACGTAGGATCTATGGATGTACGCATGAGGGGCCGCTTGGCGGTGACACAAAAAGGAACTTGCTGACTAGCCAAGAAGACTTGGTAAACTTGGTAGGGCGTGCGAAATGCAACATTACAATGAGGCGAGCGGAAGGAAGTTGGTTGGATGTGTTGGGATTGAGAGTGTGGTGATAGGCTGGTGTATGTACTTTTGTTTATTTGGCTTCGGTACTATACCTGATTGATGCTAGATATTCTTTTGAAGTTCCACCTTTTATGAGCCATCATTCCCGATATGAAAGTTTTGCCATCTTTCATGGTGCCGCTAATGATTGCTCGCCCCTTTCAATCTAGCTGGGGCCAATCTGAACTCTTATGCAATGGTACCTTTTTGCCTTTTGCCTTTCGATAATCTGTCCAGTCGTGGCCGAATTGTCCGTTGAAAAGGCGATAATTCCGCGAAAGGTTGTGAGCTATCCTGAGGTAAACATGTATGTGCCTGATCGACGAAGTTAACTCCGACTAGAAGCTATGAAGAGCAGCGTTGCTGAAAACCTCATCTTCTTCCTCGCCACGTCGATTCGTTATGGGAGCTCCTGTAAACGAATCGATGTCTTTCCACAAGCCGTAGCGCTTCCTCGGATCCTTGCCAGATGTCTTTGATGTTAAGCTTGCTATCGGGTATAGATCATCTTACAGACGTAGCTGAATAATTTTCGGCCAAGCGTTTTGTATCTCAGCGACTTTGATCGCACGTTGGCAGTCAAAATTCCATGGACGGCTTCAGGAGCGCTCAGGTGTCCGTACCATTCTTTCTTGCTTCCCTTCTCTCAGCTTTCAGACTTCGGATCTCTTCATCCTTGAGTTTAAGAGATTCATCCTTGACTCTCAATTCTCTATTAGCTCTGTCCAGATTGAATGTTAATTCATCAATTCTATCCTGCAAACAGATATTTTCTTTTCTTAAGTGAGACTCTTCCCCTTCTAGCAGTCGTATACGCCCCAGTGCAGCAGCCTCGTTGTACGGATTGGGCTTCGCGAGCGGTTCCAGCGCCCCCTTTTGCAGCATTTCCCGGAAAGGAGGATATGGAGGGTCTCTGGATGAATTTTCAAACACATGGCGTGACGATTGGTGATCAAGCTGATGGGTTGGGATGTCAGCGTTAGGTGCACTATGGAATGAGTCCTGTGCAAGTGCTGGTGCTATTGATTCAGGTGCTCTAAGTGAGTCCTCAGACAATCGAATTGATGACTGGCGGTCAACTCGAAGGGCCGGAACATCAACAGAAGGTTCCTTTTCGAATATCATTCGTACAAATGACTGGGTTGCAGACTGAGAATCTCTCGCCTGAGAGTTGATTGCAGAATTGACGGGTGTTGAGGGCGACCGCTCAACGTGAGCAGGAGGTGGAGATATGTTTTGTGTAGACTCATTGCCGTACTCAGATGCGGATGATGAGGCTGGGTATCCTGGTATACCGCTGTACTGATCATCTTCGCTGGGGTTTTGAGAGTTAGACAGCTAAGTCGAGAAGTTAGAATCTACTTTCTAAAAGGGAAAGAAGGCAAATGGAGATGGTGACGAGTCTTTAAGCAGCTCATCATAACGCACACAACAATACTTACAGGTGTACTTTCTTCCCTAACTTTACGAGGCCTTCCACGCTTCCGTTTTAGGCCATTAACATGAGGTTCCGGATCAGGATTCTGTTCTCTCAGCCTTTTGCGCTTAGTTGGATTAATCCGTTTTCCTTTATTTTCCTTCGCAACTTGAATGGCGAGTATATATTCTGCTGCATGATCACGCGGGTCAGAAACCCATATTTTAGCTTGCCTTAACCCGCGGGATCCTGTGTATTTGACTTCTAGGATAACACTGTATGAGCCAGGGAATTCTTCTCGACTGCAGCTCATGGTGATGCAAGATCACAGAAATATGGGCCAAGGGTTTCCGCAGTTGGAAGTAGCATCACCATATGCTCTTGGATGATGTTTTCAAACCGCCCAATGACAAATGTGGTTGTACATGAGGTTTCATGAAAACGATGTCCTGCACGGAAGATGTGGCGGTGATATATGGGTACGTGGTAATCGCGTTGATGATTGGCTACAAGTCACGTGGACGTGCATATCATCATCGAAACTTTTCATTTCTGCCACGATAAAACAAGAGTCTACGCCCACTCGCGGTGGATAGAATAAGTGGCAATTGAAGCACGACAATTCCTCGTTTGAGTTGACGGAATATCGCTATTTAGTGGATTGTTCGGAACAATGTGACATATTCCGTCAATTGTTATGACTCAATGAGCCTTCTAAAGTTCTACTCGAAGCCGACTTATTCAGTCCAAAGACTAGTGGGTAGGTAACTGACACTTATTTTGTCCTCTGCGAGCCCCAGAAGAATGATCCAGATATATTCCTATTCTAGGAGAGTCATTTCGGACGCTGATCCTTCTGTCATAACATCCATTGTATCATGTTACTGGGTTTCTACCAATGCTAAAACGTTATTGTACATGAAGCTATGGGAGAAGGACCTCGAATAAGACCACGGGAACAATAACCTGTATACACTAGAACGAACGCCATACGTCGCTTGCCAAATCCTTAGAGACTCCGGAGTTTCTCATAAGTAATCTGTTCCTGATCGTCCAATTTCACCATCAGCTTCTCGTAAAGGCTGTCATCAAAGTCAAGATTGACCGCCCCCCTAATCAATTCTAACCTTTGCTTCAGGAGTGCAATATTGTCGTTCATTTTCAATTTTTGAGTTTGGAGAGTAATGACTAACGTCTTCAGCAGATAGAGTTCTCGGCGGTTACTTTGTTGGAAAGCATTGGATTGGTCTTTGGTAACAGCAATCCCAACATCTCCTGGTGTATCCATAGAGTGCTGTTGAAGTGGATCGCGACTTTCAACGTTTTTCTCCTTTGAGTCATCCGAAGCGCCTATTGGAGCTGAACATTTATCCTTGGACGGGGGTACTGTGCGTCCTTCGTCGGAACCTTTGACTGTGTCAGGCTTCTTGCCCAAAGTGTGCTGTAACGCTGCGACATCCAGCTTCAGTCTGTGGATTGCTTTATCCCTCCGCTCTATTCTTTCGAGGGCTTCGTCTAATTCAGAAGATAACTCCTTGACTTGGCTTCTTAGGCGAGAATTCTCTCCTCTGAGTCGACGGTCCTCGGTTTCCTCGTTTCCTTTCCGCTTCAATCTTGGATTCTCATCACTCGTGGTTGCTTCACCCCTTTGCTTCCGCTTTTCATGTTTTTCCTCCTCTCTCGATGCAGAACGAGAGCTGGCTCTTGCCCGCGAAGATTTTCTCAAAGAAGAGTGTTGAGAGCTGTGAGAAGTTGCCCTTGACTCTCTTTCTAGGCTTATAGTTGCAACCGCGGGTTTGTCAGCAGGAAGATTGGTAGGACGCATCGATGCCGGCTCTCTGGGCGGGAGGTGGTCGGGAAGGGGTACGTCGCTTCTTTGATTCTTGTTCGCTGAGCTTTGCAACTGAGGTTTACTGCCTCGCTCCTCAGTGTCTCTTGAGCTCGGGTTGACAGGTGCCTGGTATAAAACGCAAAAAATTAGATACTGGTCTTGGCTAGGTAAAAGGTGGTGTGGGATGTAAGTTTGGAATAATTTCTCTTGATGTCGTCTCGCCATGTACTGAGGTAGCTCGGCACAATGATAGGGGAAAGGATACCTACAACAGCGTCCCCAACTGAAGATTGACCTTGAGTAAGTCTTCCTCTATCTCTATCCCAGTTACGTCCATCGTTAGTTCGGTCTCTTGCCTGCTCATACCTAGATAGATCATGCCTGGCTCGTTCTGCACTCCAATGATTTTTCTCTTTATCAGTGTTAGAAGTGGCTGCAGTGGTAACAGTAGGTTGAGATGCTGTCGGCAAGTGAGATACTGCTGGGAGACCGTCAAGTGCAATTCGTTGCGCGAGACGTTTCTCTGCCTCGTGGTCTCTAGGGTTTGAGGTCCATATTTCCACGTTTCTTGAGTGCTGAGAGCCACCAGGTCTGGCAACAGTAACAGGAATTGTGATGAGGTACGAGCCGTTGAACTTCCTCTGCATACACGGCATTGTGAACAGGAGATTGTCGATAAATCTCCTTGTAGGTTCGCTTAATGTTCTGCAAGCGACGGGTATTGGACACAATTGTTGAGGCGGAACGGAAAACTATCTTCCAAAAAACTGTGGCTCATAGAGCTCAAATTTAATAGAAGTGCACATCATGAGAATTCTTTTTGAAAGTGAGTGGATGCACCGAATTAGGATTGGGGAAGGCAAGAACAACTGACAGGTTGCTCATCACGTGCTCCGGTTCGCGGTCGCGTCTTTCGAATATCTACACGCGTTGCTGTTTCGCGCAAGCATATACATGACTTGACTTGGAAGCTTTTAACCGTTGCTCATTTCAACCATTGGCTTCCTTCTCTAACTCTAGCAGGACTTCGTCGCATTGATACGCTTCGCGTTAGGGGCGTAGAACTATATACTGCAGCCTTTGTCACCAAATGGCTACTACCTGTGAGGAATACAATGTTTTTGCGCGACTGACCACCATGATGGTGGGAGTTGGCACCACCAACAAAATGCCATATACTCGCCCCTTTGAATTGCCGGCATTGAAATTGCAGCTCAGTTGCGACCCTTTCGCAACGAATGCAGATGACGTTCGAAGACTAGCACTTTTCGAAAGACTTACAGATTATATGATCAAGGTAGATATCACTCTATGTAATCCAATCTGGAACTATGCATAACTGATTCCTGGGCAGGATAAAGTGTTGTTGCCATGGCCCAGAGCCAGAACGGCTCCAAGTGCACAGTATCTACTCCACCCCAGCTGTAAAGACAGACACTGGAGTATATCTACCCCGAACAATCAGCTTGTCCAGAACTCTGGGTGGTATATAGATTTGCTCTGCAAGCAGGCTCTTAGCGAAGCTACTAAGGAGGTTATGAGGAAACTTGAAGCATTCCTAGACCGAGAAGCAGTCACAGAAGGTGTGTCACTCGGTGCATTACGTCTGTAATTGATTTGCTGACTTAACCCCTTTTTAGTGATTTCAGAGGCCGTGGAAGATGTGAGTAGTAAATCATATCCGTTAACCCATGTTGTCCGCTAAAAGTTTTAAGCCGTCAAAAGCAACCACATTGCACCCTGCTCCGCCTCAACTCGCAGGAACCAAGCGTCGCCGATCTAATAGCACGGCGAGTAGTTTTTCGAGCGGCTCGGAGCCTTCAAGCCCAATTGCAATACTCCCAACATCAAGCTTCAGTGGCCCTAGCAGCAAAATTCGAAAACTGGAGATACAATCAGCGCCCCCTGAGCCAGTGATAATCAAACGAACTCCGGCCCCTGTTGAGGCTCAGCAAATTAAAAGAAGAGATGAACATAATGTAAAGACCACTCCCTTGTATTCGTAACTGATTAACACCTGCTAGATTGTTTCAGATGCTCTGAAAGAATTGAAGACACAATATCCCGATGATGAATTCGAAACTCATGTCGACATTCTCGAGACAAGGGTCAAGTGTTGCGACTGTCGTCTATTGGGCGGGTCACATTGAATGATCATGCTCGGTGATGCTAAGAGTAAGAAAGGAGTTTTGCACTGGGTTATGCAACATGTGTTCACTGGCAAACATCTCGAGAGCGTCTACGGCAGAATACGCAAAACTGGTAAAATATTTAGAAAGACTCCGGAGCACTTATCTAGAATGTTACGACTTGAAGAGCAACCTAGCGGCCGACGCATTTGGCATGATATTGAGCGTTACGAGTATGCCAAAACACATCTATATTCTGCAAACTGTCGTGCGTCATCTCCTGGTCTTGGAGCTACCCAATCTCCTCCTGATAGTGCAGAGACTCATTCACTGAATCATAAGCTTATGTCTGATACCACGCCCAGAGACATAGTCACAGTGCAACAGCACTGCAACCATTAGACAGTGTGCTGAACGTTGATGGAGTTACGTTGAAAACTACTAGATCCGTTCCAAAAAATGCGAAAATTGATTGGACACGAAATTACCAACAACCCCAAGGTTTCACACTCATTAGAGGACAAACTATGGCTGGCCAAGCAAAACCAACTTCTCTATTTGAACCCGCTTCGTCAACAGTGGATGGAGCTATCTTGGACTTTGCAAGCAAAACCGAATTCCCGAAGTTGGACCACTCACAAAAAGCGATTGACAATGTGGCCGGAAGATTTGCAGCTGCTCGCACACTTACTCCGCCAACTTCAAGTCCTGTATCGGAAAGTTCTAATTCAATGGCCTCTTCGTCTGCGAAATTGACAGAAAAGGCTTCGAAACACAATAGCAAACTTAAGCAGAAAACCGACTCGAGGCCCTCCGATGCTCGAATTTCAGATGTAAAGGACATCTACGGCAATAGTTGGACTTACCGCGATTCAGAAATATCCTCTCTCCGACATGAGATCCAAGAGCTCCAATCCCAAGCCGCCCAAAGTAGGAAATCGAAGCACTCAGCCGATGAAACCGCAAGAATGCTAGGCGACATGTTCGATACGAACGATATCCAGAGAAAAGCCATCGAACACCTGAGAATCGACACCACTAAACGGATGCGTGAACTCGAAGAAACTGTTACGAGACAAAGCAAGAGGATTGCGAAGCTCAAAGCTGAGAGGAGGCAGGATCACTTAGCGCAGCAAGAGATTAAAAAGACCATGAATGCGAAGTTTGAAGCTATGGCAAAGGAGAATAAGAAGACGCTGGATGCTTTGAAGAGCGCGACGGCGTTGATGAAGGAGTCGCAGGAGACGAGTCGGAAGTTGAACGGGCAGATTCAGAATTTGCTGCAAAAGGCCGGGGTGGAGCGGCCCAGAAGGATTAAGAATGAGCCTCGTGATTTTTAGGATGTTGGTTTCGTTTGGAGCTGAGATGGATGAATCGCTGATGCTGCTGTTGAATCTTGGTGGGTTTGCAAATTGCCGTAGATTTGTGTGTAAATAGAGCGTAGATGAGCTAAAATACCCCGAGATGAAAATTGTTAGTTAAATAGAAACATGTTAAAGTCATTAATCAAGGAAGAGAGTCATAGAACTTTTAAACATTTCTTCCAAAATTCTCTTTAAATCTCTAAATTACAGCAACTTAATGGGTATAAATAGAATACATCTCCCGTAAATGGTATCATCCGCCAGCAAACGCCATTGGCCATATATACCAGATAAATAGCCAGTCCTAGATGCAGAAAATATGTGAAGATCAATCCATGAAAATCGTGGGTATATGTCGTTAGTTATTCGATACTCGGTAGAACTGCGTCGGAAATATCGTCGTCGTCCATAACGCTTTCTGAATCTATCTCATCAAGGACGCTTTTAGGTTCTGGAGAACTTTCGTTGAGCATGTCGCTGTTTTCGCTTATGATGCTGTGGACGCTTTCTTCCTCAACCTCAACCTCATCGTCATCATCATCATCTTCTTCTTCTTCTTCTTCGGGGTTAAGTTCTTCTTCCTCGTCGTCCTCTTCCTCCCCACTTTCCTCTTCGTCTGTGACTTCCTCGTATGGGTCCTTATATCCATGTCTCGTATCAGGAAGAGTAGACACCAATGGGGCGACGACTTGTTCTGGTTGGATCTCTTCAAACTTTTCTTCCACGTCTTCCGGCATGGCTCTACCGTCTTCTGTGGCATCTTCTTCCGTTTCCATTTTCACCTCTTGCTCAGCTTCTCGTTCTCCATTCTCGTCGTTCACATCATCCGCCATACCTCCGCTAAGCTCCCTTTGCTCCTCTTCTAACGCTTCTTTTTCTTTCATCACGTCCTGCTCATCGCTCCGAGCCCCATCATCCACATCCTCTCCTACACCATCTTGCAGCTCTTCAATATTTTCCATCTCTCCATCCTCACCGTCTCCGTGAAGCCCCTCATCCTCCAACTCCTCAGCAAGCTCATTAACGCCTCTTCTAACTTCTTTGATCTCATTAAAAATAAGCGGAATGACCATCTCAATCCTCTGTTCGATATTCTTTGAACCCTCTTCCATAGCTCTGTTGCTCTTTTGGAGTTCTTGTACTCCCTTAGTAAGAGTCGAGACTTGTGTGGACGTGTTAACGTTCTGATCTTGGAATTCCTGTTTCATTGCTATCAAAGATGTTTCCAAGGCCGCGAGGCGAGATGTGTGAAGTAATAAAGCGTTAGTCAAGGTTGTAAGTTGGGGTTCTAGAGTTTTGAATTTGTCGCGGATGGCTGTGAAGTCTGGGATTTGGGCTAGTAGTTGTGATGGTGGCGCATTGGCGGATTCGCTTGGTTTTTGCAATGCTTCTTCCAATTTCAAAACGCGGGATTGGATGTCCGTATTCTCTTCAGCTTTGACCAATCTAGCAGTGCCGATTGAGTTCGAGGTTTCAGGTGCCTTCTCGCTAAAACCGTCCAATGCATTGCGTATCTTCGCAACCTCCTCTGCAAGAACTGTAAGATATCTATCATTTTCTTCGAAGTTATCGTTGACATTTTCATTTGCTTCGTTGACTTTGGTTTCTAATGCGAGTGCTCCACTCGAGATAGCTTTTACCGTGTCTTCCAGAACAGAAAATTTAGCTAGTGTACCTCGATTCGACTCTTCCGAAGCTCGATGACGCTCCGTATTTCGAAGCCTAAAACGTTCCCATAGAGATTTGTTGAGTGTGGTATACCTTTGATGTCGCGCTTCGATCTCCTTCAATTTGGCGTCCCGAGACTCAAACTGTGAGGCTATATGATCCATTAACGTCTGCTTGAACTGTTCCTCGCTAGCCTGACGTTATTCATTCGCAGTCAGGCATTGTTGTAACTCCTTAGCATTTCCGGCGACCTGCCTCTGAAGGTCTATAATTTTTTGACGGTGCTTCTTGCCCTCCTCCTGACGAATTTCAAGTTCTAGTCGGAGGCGATCTTCTGCTACCTGACGCGCCCGGATCTGTTCTGTATGCCATCGAGAGTTTGACTCTAGCGTCGTGATTCTTTGCTGTGTGGCAGCATCGGCGTCTTTCGATCGTGCAAGGTCGGTGGCAGTACGCTTACACAAATTTCGAAGTTGATTCATATCTGATTCTCTCTTCTCTCCCGCCTCATTTAGAACCTCGACTTTCTGCTCCAGACGTGATAGTCGATGCGACATGTCGTCTAGTTGCACTGTGCTGGCTTCCGTGGCGGTATCGAGCTTTTCTTGAAGGAAGCCAACTTCATCTCTGACTTGGTGCCTTGATCTTGCATCAATCTCATTCAATGCCTTCACTTTTTCCTCGATATCCTTTTGGTTCTTGTCCATTTTCATGCCAAGCGCTGTCAGTTGATCGCTTTCTAATATTTTGCGGGTGATAGTGTGTTCCACTTCTTTCAATTTGTCGTCTTGTCGGTCGCTATGCCTCACTAGCCTTGAGTCGAGATCAGTATAATCCCGGTCGTATATCTCTTCGGATTTTTCCTGGCGGTCAAGCAGCAATTGATATTTCTCTTCCCCTGTCCTGGAGATGGTAACAAGTTCCGTCATTTGGGCTTCTAAAGGCGAAATCTTTTGCTCAACACCACTCAGCCTTTGCTGAATCATGCCGATCTGGAGACTAGCCCGGGATTTCTCGAGATGTTCTGCGGTGAGGAATTGTGCTAATAGGTTGCTTGACTGCGGTCGTTCGTGATTGGCATACGCAGCAACTGGTTCGGCTAGCATGTTGAAGTCAATTGACTTGGTGTTTTGTGGGAAGGGCTGATGGTAGCTTTGCTTCTCCATTCGCTCCTTGACTTTTGCTATATGACCTTTGCCCCTCAGATGAGTCTCGACAGGCCCAAAAGTCTTGTTGAGGGTCGTTTTATACGATGTTGGGCAATCCAGACACCTGACTGAACTTCCATCAGGCTCTAGTAACGACCCTTCAAACTTTTGAAGAAGCAATGCTATGCCATCCCGCATCCAGTTCGGTCCCTGCCAGTATTAGCATTTCAATGATATAAATTTCAAGTTACGTACTGTCGGTTCTTGCTTCATTGGTGCGCCCTCGAAGTCATCAGTGTTGGGCATATCATTTGCGTACGAAGTTTGATGCGGACTTCTTATCATCTCGGAAGGAGCTGAACTCCGACGATTATCACGGTCTGAACTACACAAGCGCTTCATGGGCCTCAAGTCGGAGTCTCCGTATTTATGAGGACTTATCGGCTCATTGCTGCTTGTGGCATCGCTAGGTGCAACCGTCCGCGAGCGTTTCTTGCTAGGCGTTCCTGTCATCGAAACAGCACCTCTTGTCATCTTTATGTCACTGTTAGTTGAGAAGCCGGTGATTGAGAGTTTGGCTAACTTCGTCATACGCTTTAGCTGTAGTCATAGTTAGCAATAGGAATATTTCATTCAATTTACACATGGCTCACTCATAGTATCCCTATTCGTGTCCTCATGATTCTCGGGCAGTGCCAATTCATCGCAGCCGGTCTCTCTAGTTTCCTGGGCTTCTTCCACTCCGTTTGAACGAGTATCGGGTCCATCATGTTGTTGAGCCTCAAGATCATCCTGCTCTTCATCGTCCATAACATACACTAGATCAACCTCCTCAATGGGCTCCTCTTCTTGCTCAGGTAACTGCGAATCTTCCCCCGACTCTGATTCCGTAACAATGACAAAGTCATCATCAAAATTCCTATTCCTCGATGTTTCCCGCGCGACCCCTTGTCTGTTTGTATTAAGCACAATACTATGTCCAGGCGTCCTGTCGCACGCTCTCTTTCCCGTGTGCTCTTTTCAGTCCTATTCGGTGTCCTAGACTTTATTTGCCCATTGATTCGTTCCTCCAACACACCGCTGACTCCGAATTTATGCGCACCACCCTGCCAACCAATTTTGGAGCTCTCGTCTTGATCGAATGTTGTCGCGCATGGCTTGCGCCGCGGAAAAGATGCTGCTGTGAGACCTATCATTCATTCGTGGAACCTTGCGTTGCTGGTTTCCTTAAAGTTTTCGCTGTTTGAGAGAAAGTTGGGAAGTTGTCTAGACATAGCTCTGCCCACATAACAGGACACGCTTGCGATCAATTGCGATGGAATGAATGGTTCCTCGAACTAAAGGGGTCGCTAGGTCAATTCCAGACTCAATTGAACTAAGAATTGACAAAGCTCAGAGAAACCATCCTAGCAGACAGTAAATGTCAATTGCATCCTATGTACGCCGCAATTGATGGGAACAAGGCGTAGATTCAGCGAGCTGCACTATCAAGCTGTATCACTGCCGAGTCGTCGGGCGCGTCGTCGAATTAGCGCCTTCTGAAGGTAAATAGGTCTGTGCGGATAGCAACGAAGACACGTGACGCTCTTGATCCTCGATCTTCTCTCTTCCTTTCAATCGCAGTACCGCAATATATTATTGTTCTCGTTGAAAAACATGTATGCAACGCCTCCAACGTAAGTAGAGCTTGTACCACACTAACTCTTACCTACATAAGGACCAATTAGATGGTCTCACGAATATCTGAGCTTTAACAGGTGAGTCAAAATTTTGCATTTGATCTCAATCTACTATCTCGGTACTGCTTGACTGAAGCCAATACTCACCCATCCCCTTCCTCCGGTCCTCCACCCTTCAATATCCAAAGCCCAACCACCAGAAGCAGAACATATTGTTCGTTCTCCACGTCAATACCATAAACATCATAAAGAAAAGAAGCATTCAAGCCAACCAACAGCTCCATCGCAAAATCTTCCTCTACTCGCGCAACAATAGACAATAAGTTTTATACTAAGATAATTGTTTCCCAACCCCTCACACCAAATTTCCCACAAAAGATAGATAAGAAACAAATATATATCCAAAACTGTTTTATAGACAGGTGTGTGCATAAAGCAAAAGACAAAGTAAATGGTAGCAAATAACAAGGGTATCAGACAACATCGCAGGGGTATCTCCAGCTGCTCCAGCAGGAAAAAGAGGTGAACGATATGTGCATAAAGAAGATTTGCGTGTTTCGCCGTTGTGTTTTCCAGCATACATGTATGCATCCGGGGGCGGGTATGTAACCAAATGCCGCGACAAGCGTCTTGGAATAGCTGGCATACATGTAATAAAAATTACGTAACTCCAGACGTATTAGAATGGGATAAAACCATAATCCAGTGGATCAGAAGTGAAATTCAAGAATCGATCCAGGGTCAAGAAAATTTTGTTTGTTGAAGCCTCAATGAATGTAACTCCGATTAAGATGAATGGCCGCAATGTGCGATCGAAGTTTCTTTATAGGAGGAAAGCAGCGAAGAAGGCAAAAGTCGCGCTGAGGGCGATGGTTGTAGCCGGGACGAATATGCCATCCGCTGCGCTCTTTTTGCTGGCAGTTGGCCCGCCTGAGCTGACGGTCTCATTGGCTGACAGTGCTGAATCGCCTGTCCCTGTGGCTTGGGCTCCGATTGATTGGGAAGATGTTTGGTTCTCGAACAGAATGTGGGGTTTGTTGGTTGCAGTTGGAAACGTGGAGGTAGTTGTGTTGGTGGTGCTGCTGCTTGAAGATGCGGAGGAAGATGAGTAACTGGTGGAAGAGGCTGAGCTTGACGAGCTGATACTGCTGCTAGTGCTGCTGATTATGCTGCTGGATGAGGACGAGCTCGAGGTACTTGTTGCTGTGGTGGAGCTTGGCGTAGAGCTAGAGGTAGTTGAAGTGGAAGTTGGGGCCGGGGTGCTTGACGTAGTAGGGGTTGGCGTAGGAGTTGGCGTTGGACTTGGTGTTGAGCTTGGAGTAGGTGTTGGGCTAGGACTTTCCTTGCTTTCTTTGCTGCTGGAGCTTGACTTTGAAGATTTCCCACCGGAACCAGAGCCTCCGGAGGAGCTGCCAGCATTGAAGACAACGACGTTCGCGGTCTGACCTTTAGGAACTGTTACAACACAAAAGTTGGCCCCACCTGCGCCAGATGCTTGATCAGAGCTAGTCACGCCACCGACTCCGTCAACAGTTGGATCAATGGAACACGGGGTGCCATTGCAACCCGAACCAGAGCAGACGATCTTAATACCAAATGTTGGAGGAGTCCCAGAAAGATTACAGCCGGTCCAGATTGGGTTCCATCCAATCTTGAGAAATGTGTTGCCGTTGGCGTCAGTATTGGCTCCTGCCACATACGGTGCCCAGTTACCAAGTGGTTTAGAGCCATCACTCCATTGACAGCCGTCAGCAATACTCACTCCCGGCGGGTTGATATAATAACTATTCGTGGGTTAGTCATGATATGATCAGGATATCGAATACACTTACTGAGCTGCCGTGCTACACCAGTAGCTCGGGTTTGGTACCGCAAGTTGAGCCCAATCATCAACGTGGGTAGGAATCAACATATTCTCGTTTCCAGGGAGAACAGTTTGGCAAAATGCCACAGCGGAACCAGCATTGTTCTGGACTCCTACAGCGCCCGAACCATCAACACAGTAAGGCTTGTTAGGGAAAGGCTTGCTAATTGAGCCACTTTTGTCGCAGAAGAGACCGCCGTTCTAGGATTCGGTCAGTTGCCAGCAATCGAACTTTCCTACTTGCTACATACCATAGATCCCGGAAAGGTATAAGAAGTTGCAGTCGGATCCCATTGTGCCATGACTTGCCCGGATGGACAAGCATAAGGGCAATAACTACCTGGAGTACACGCTTGATCGGGACTCATCGCCCATCCTGCATTCATGGACTTTGGAGTGACGGCAACTAAGCCAGCATCGGTGGGAAATGCACAGCTTCCTCCACGCTTCACCAGACCGCTTTCGACTGCCTCTACGCGTGGTGATGCTTGAACTCTCTTATGCGAATGCGAGTGCCTCTTCCCGAACACGTCCAGATGCGACAAATGACGCCCATGTTTCGCCTCGGCTGGCAGCGACAAAGCCAGAATCGTCGCCGCGACGGCGGTTTGGATATCCAAAAGCTTCATTTTGGTAGATGAATAAGTCTGTATTATCTCATTGACTAGAAATATTGCTGGAAGGTGGTTCCTTGCGCGTTTCGCCTCCTCCGCGTCGCTCAATTGATGAGTGCGAGGATCGAAAAGTGTTGAAGAGATGCGATATCGAATATTGAATGGACGGTGGATTATAGTATGAAACGAGTGACTAGCTGGTCAGATGTGATCCGAGTAAAGAACGTGGTGGCTAACAGCCAAAGCGACGAGGACCGAAACGAAGCGACAACGAGCGTGGAGAGGAGAGAACCTCAAAACCGGCGGCGACAGCAAGGTAGTAGTAGTGGGTGAAGCAATCAAGAAAAGGAGCAGCCCGCATTTATTGCACCAAAGAGAAGGCGGGTCGCAGCCGCAGTGTGGCTCCCCTGATGCACGGCCGCGAGACAACAAACGGGCGCTCAGGACCCGTGAAAATCGAATATTTGCCGCTTTCATTGGCCGCGCTGGCCATGGCCTTGATGGAAACACATGGGCACTGGGAAATTGCGATTCATCTCAGACGTTTCCCCTTCCCCATAGAAACAGCTCCCGCCACCCAATCACGCACTGTCCGTACCTGCATTTTCATCTGGCTAGCCCCCTTTAGGCGTGCATCATGGGCAACAAGGATTAATTAGTCGCCCTTTGGGACAATTCTCCGATCGTCGCCGTCGAATCCAGATGTTGGAGAGCAGATCTTGAGGAAATCATCTTATCAACCCATGGCTTCCCCTCAGATTATCCAATATCCACGCTAAGGATAATAAGACTTGAGTCCATACAAATATTGTAGTGGCCGAGAACTCAAGCTTCCAGTGACAAGCGGTTGAAAACGAATTGACGCGCTTTTATCAGAGATTAGATTGCGCCAACAATCTCCAGCTCGGAGATGCAGACGAGATCTCAGACACCACACTGGGCTTAGATCTAAATCAAAGAACGCTGGAATGAAGATGATAACAACTTCGGAAGGGATGAATATATTTACACTCAACATTCCAACTTCATTATCGTTGCCACCATGCGCACATTCCAGAATTCAGTAAAGGGACACTTCCCAACATCGCGTGCAAGGGGCAATAGGAAATGAAACCCTAAGAGTGGCTAGCAACGACGAGAATTTCTCAGTGACAATGGCCGCTTCTTCTATTTCTGAACGGAGGAACAGGTGTGAGCATGTGCGAACCTCAATCTCTATCTGCAGCGCTGGAAGCATGAGAAAGGGGCCTCCTTCTACTTTTTCGAGTCATTGCTGGTGCCACAGTTGATCACTAGATCAATTTGCTCAGTCCAAAGCAGATTTGGAGATGTGAAAACCCAATGCCAGAATGCTTGATTGAAAGCCATCTCCAGGAATCTCACGGTCTTTGGTTGGCAGGACGTCAAATTTTTGCGTACATTCTGCAATGCAACTAGCAAAGATGCCTGGGTGAGATTGTTGTCATGTGATGATCCTCGAGATGCCATTGGAATCATACTCCAATAATGGAACGAAGTTGTGATGCATTTGCAGATGGCCGGCGAATGCTATTGTGTTTGTGTTCTATGATTCTATGAATATTGTGAATGTGGAGACAAGATACTTCTAGCCTAATGTCGGGCCGAGATCCCCCTCACCGGCCCGAGCCTGGACCTGCTGCCTCTCGACGTCACTGAAGCTATTCCAACAACCCGGTGTCCCATACTCTTTTTGCGACAGCCATGTCTGCATCTGGTATACCCAACTTGCTCTCACTGCGAGGAGGTCCACGTCTTCGTGGAGGTCGTGATAGAGGAGGTGGACGCGATGCTGCCGGTTCCACCGCACTGAATCGCAATGATCTTGCCATACAGTCGACAGACACTGACGCTGCAGTTTCTCGTCTAAGTGCTGTTTCCATGGGCTATTTGAATGATCCTTTTGCCGCACTGTTTGTCAATGGACCTCCAACGCGCCGTCTTCCAATAATCAACCGGGGTAAATGCCGAATCGCCAATAGTCCTACATTTCTGGAATCGTTCTAACATGTGGATTGTAGGAACATATACGAGGACGACTGCTCTCGATATTCTGATAGATGCATTCATATCCCAAGACCCAAGCGAAGCAGAAAATCCGTCTCCAAACAGACAGATAGTTTCACTTGGCGCGGGAACTGACACGAGATATTTCCGACTTCGAGCAAATAATCAACACCACAAACTCATCTATCACGAATTTGATTTCCCATCCGTCTCGAATCGCAAGTTGCAGCTAGCAGGTAGTAATGAACACATTTTAGGTCAAGATAAAAATCTACGACTCTTCAATCAGAAGGCAGGCAACCCGGTGGACGGTCGAGAAGAAGGACAATGGGGGTTCGCGCTTGCGGATAAAGGTGACGATGTTCGATTTTGTTGTCATCCTCTTGACTTGCGTCGGCTACCATACAATCCAACAATGAAGGCTCTGGATTATTTTCAAGGGCTACGATCGGACCTCCCGACGCTCGTGATATCTGAGTGCTGCTTGTGCTATTTAGAGGATGATAACGCGAGGGGCGTAATGGACTGGTTCGCACAGAGAATCTCGTCATTTGGGATAGTTCTCTACGAGCCGATAGGAATAGACAGTGCTTTCGGCCAAATGATGGTCTCAAACCTTGCAGCAAGGAACATTACCATGCCTACTGTTGAGGTTTACAAGAATTTAGCAGATCAGAAGGAGAGGATTTCCGCCGTCCTGGGAAAGAATGATGATGATAATGGAAGTTCTGAAGCACAGACTATTGAGCGCATCTGGGAGCAATGGGTAATGCCTGAGGAAAAAGAACGAGTTGACAGTCTTGAAGGGCTTGACGAGATTGAAGAGTGGCAGATGCTTGCAAGACATTATGCTCTTGTTTGGGGATGGAAAGGTAGTGCTGGTTGGGAGAAATGGAAGGCTATGAAGGAAAATTAATAACCACATTGCACTACAACACTCTTATCATGCAATGTTCCTCCGTTCTCGCAGAGAACGCTCGGAACATGATCCCGACTTCTAGATTGCTTGTACGCCGGATGACATTACATTCCACACATCACCCTATGCTACCGACAGCGCTCGCTTCGCTGTTTACTTCCCTCGAGGATTTTTTTATGATTTTGAACTCTGCAAGCACTGATACTATTTGCAAAATGCTCAATACTCATATTACTGTGCTTTCAATACTATTGTGGTTAATTTCGGGGATACATGCTCTAACATACAAACTTGACGCATCTTATTCTGGATCTTCATTTTTTCGGGGCTTCAATTTTTCAACAGTAAGTGAAAATCTATCTAACTAAATCAAATATCCGCGAGGATTCAACCTCTATTAGCCGTAGAATAGGGAGTGATTCAGAACTTGCTGACACGGATTAGCAACCGGATCCTACAAATGGATTCGTTAGGTAGGCGTTACACAAGTTTCAACATAATCACAGCTTACCTTTTATCTAGTTATATCTCCGCAACGGAGGCAAGCAATCTTGGATTGGCAGGAATTACCAGAAGTGGCGCTGCGTATATGGGAGTAGACTACAAAACACAACTTAGCCCTGGTGGTCCGGGTCGAAAGAGTGTTCGCGTCACATCCAAGAAATCATGGACACGTGGGCTATTCATTGCAGATATTGCGCATATGCCAGGAGGAATATGTGGGACATGGCCAGCCTGTAAGTCTCAGGCCTATACGTCAAATGTACGATGCTGATTTTTCAAGTTTGGAGTTTTGGTCCAAATTGGCCCTCCTCTGGAGAGATCGATATCATTGAAGGCGTTAATAGCCAGAAGACCAATTCTATGGCTTTACATACGTAAGTTCTTACGTCAGTTTGATTTGTGAAGGGTTTTTAATGGTTGTTACAGTTCCCCAAACTGTGTAATGAACTCTGTTCCACAGCTTGGCATCACCCAAACCTCAAATTGTGATGGAACTACGAATTACAACGCCGGTTGTGGCACTTTATCGAAGTCTACTAAGAGCTATGGCAAAGGGTTCAATGCCGCTGGTGGTGGTGTGTATGCAATGGAATGGACATCCGGCGCCATTAAAATATGGTTCTTTTCTCGCAGTTCCATTCCTAGCAATATTAAGAGTGGTAATCCGTCGCCTGCCAGCTGGGGCACCCCGCAAGCCAATTTTCAGGGCTGTAATATCGACCAGCACTTCAAGAGTCATAATCTTGTTTTTGACATTACCTTCTGTGGAGATGTAAGTTCAAAACCTGATTGAAGAATCAATTGGGGGTGCTAATATCATCTTGATAGTGGGCAGCTAATGTTTGGCAAAATGACGATACTTGTAAAAGCCTAGCTGGAAGTTGTCAAGATTATGTAGCCGCAAATCCGTCTGCTTTCAAAGATGCGTACGTACCCCACTGGGGCGCCCGGATGAATCGTTCAAACGCTGTCGACTAACCTCATCTAGGTATTGGAGTATTAACTCTGTCAAGGTTTACACTTCGCCGCAATCTTATTTTCCTGTATCGTTTGCGGCAGTGCAGAATGACAATGATACACTTGGGCAACCTGTGCCTGAGTTCACCGGAGATCAAGATCTCAGCCTTACGCCCAACGAAGAGGATTGCGCTCCAGAAGACTCTAATATCGAACTCCCAATGTCGTCGAAAGGCATGTTTGGCACATCTGCAGCAGCAAACCCTCCAGCTGAAGTCATAGACTCAGAACCCTCATTTCAATATCCGTACTCTTTCAATCCGACATACAACACTTCGGCTAATAGCTCAATCCCAGAAGCTACTGCTTTGTCAACCTCTGTCTCAGTCGCTCCATCGACTATTGAGGTTCGAGCAAGTGATTCTGTTCAAAGTCCATCGGCTTCGCTCAACGCTACGCTTGTTAGTCAAGCTTTGAACACGGAAGATTTATCACAAGCAAAGGGAACTTCTACTGATGTCTCAGCGCAGAATTCATTACAAACATCTACAGTCTCATCTGTTACCCCATTTGAATCCATCATAAATACCGATGAGCCAGCAAATTTGGACGGTATACCAAATGAACCAACAATTAGTCAGAGGGCCCTTGCTGAGGAATCCCAAGCCGCGCGTGAAGGCGCCAAAACAATTACCTCTGAAAGCAATACCAGGCCGACCATCACAAAAGCCATCCAGCCAGAGACCACGAGCAAAACAAGCCCTTCTAGATATCCTCTTGATCGGAAAAATTCATCGTCGGTGGTGCCGATGCTATCACCGTCTTCCAATGGAACCAGCTCACTAGCCGCTACTCCAGCCTTATTTGCATCATTCCCCCCACAGCCAAACGATTTGGTATATCTTGGCTGCTTCACTGTAGATGAGAGCAATTTGAAGGTTGAATGGGACTCGCAGTGGGCATATACAGAGGCCTGCTGGAATACTTGCTATGATTTGTCCAAGCCTTACTCCGCTCTATCTGGAACAAAGTGTCTTTGCGGAGTTACAGGAGATCTTGGCATTATCTCCAGTAATTCCCAGTGTGATACGCCGTGCCCGGGAAACACTATGACAGCCTGCGGGGGAAATGATACACAAAGCAGCGTCTCGACCGTCGGCCGTAGGGATGTTCTAGAGCAGCACAACATCATCACTCTCTATCAAAACAATATGAAACCGCCGATGCCGTGGACAGTAAACGCAAACGACAACTTGAGTCGGGATGAGATCGAATATCTTTACGAAGGCTGCTGGTTCTTGGAGATAAATGACCCACCAAATTTTGAACTACGGTACCAGCTGCCGGACATGACTCGAAGTCTCTGTCTCGACGCTTGCCAAGATTACGCATATTTTGGGTTGTACTGGGACGAATGCTATTGCGGCCGTTACATACCCGCACAAGAGGAACATACATGCACCTTCCAATGCCTTGGAGACCCAACCACGCAATGTGGTGGACTATCGGCATCAATGGGTACTGCACTCAGTGTGTATCGAAACCCTCGACATAGGTCTGTCGATGCAGCTGATCCTATTATCACCATCGACCTACCAAGTAATGCGACCCAAACTATAGCTGAGTTCACATCTATTGGTTGCTACTCCTCGAATGCTGGTGTCACTAACTTCAAATTGAACTATGAATCGTTTGCAATGACACACGAGCTTTGTTTCTCACAATGTCCCAGCTCGCTTCTTGCCGGCATATATTCAACAGGATGCTATTGTGGTACTTCTGATAGTCTTCCGGATCTCGCTGCAAACGGCTCTTGCAATCAACCATGCCCGGGAAATACACAGACGAACTGTGGTGGCAATGCCAATGGAATCTCACTGAGTTTGTTCAAACGTCGAGTAGTTGGGGGAATTCCTTCGCGTAAACGAGACTTAGCGCCATTACGTATTGGACAGCTTGAACCTGCGTCAGCTATGCTCTCTAAGAGGAGACAACTACCAGTGATAGCACCAACTGTGTCTAGTGGACTTCCTCAGACAAGCACAACAAGTTCAACTCCATCCCCGTTCTTGCATGCCGCCACAGTAGACTTGCCCAGTAAGAATATGGGAGCTCATGCTTTGGACACTTACGATGGTGGGGATCCTTCATCTTTGGGCTGTTACCCGGTTTCAACAGAAGGCCTCGAACCGACATTCAATGCTTTGTTTGAGTCGCCGAACATGACGCAGCCTCTCTGCACTAACGCTTGTAGGGGCTTCTTTTATGCTGGGGTCGTCTACTCGAAATGCTATGGTGGTCGTTCCTTCGATTTACAGCGTAGCCCGCAAATCCCTTGTACCTGGCCTTGCCCTGGCGACAAGACGAATACCTCATTCTGCGGAGGGACGAATGGCAGTGTAATACTGATGAGCCTACTAATAACCGGCCAGGAATCGTGGCCGGAAACGTCTAATACAGGAGAAGACGGTGTCGAGCGACAAGATCTCACTGGACCTTTGTTGGGACGCCAACTCCACGAACACCAGTCAGCACAAGCTGGAGCATCATTCGCAGTCAGAGGATGCTTTCCATTTCCATCCACCGGCTTCAACTGGGCCGGCTCGAATTGGGCCATGGATCATGAAGCGTGCGCAACTACTTGCAAGTCGCAGAATATGGCTTGGGCCGGCATTCACGCAGCAGACTGCTACTGTGCAACTGCAATCAGCGACCCACCAATTCTTGACAGTCACTGCGACTCCATGTGTGCAAATGACGCCTCGCAAACATGCGGTGGCACGACCTACCCAGCCCTGACGGTTCTCCAAATCTCGCGGGGAGAAAACACGCAACCAGATACCAGCACAGGCCAAAGTATTCCCACACTAACACACGCAGGCACGAGTACTATAGGTGGTAAATTTGGAGGAATCTTCAACATCTACCTCGGTCACAGCGAAGAATCTCCTATCTCAACTACTTGCTACACATGCACCCAAGCAATATCCATCTCGGTATCAACCACCACAAGTAAGCCCCCTCCCTACATAACATCTCATAACAAATCTAACACACCCAAGCAACCGAAGAATGCAGTGAAAAAACGTCCACCTTAACCGCGACCGCTATTCCAATTCAGACATCCACTCATAACAACACCACACACGTCCGTCAAGACCGCAAGAAGTTTGACGCTGCCACTCTTGACGTTAACGCTGTCGCCAATACTACTTCACATGTTGTGGTCAAGTCGACATCGAAGATCACTAAAACAGACGTCAAAACCCCTACGACGACCATCCCGCCTATTACGTCTACGAGGTCGCCGGCGGTGAAGACGGAGGGGACGGATTGGATTGATGGGAAGAGTATCATTTCTTCGGCTGGATTTAGGGGCTTGCAGGCTGAATTTGGGATGGTGGCGTTTTGGGCGGTGTTGGGGTTTGTGCTTGGTTTGGCTTTGTGAGGCCCGTGGACTTGAAGGGTTTATTGTCGACATTCATGTTACTTTTGGTTCTCTGAAGATTTTCGGGGGCCAGGAAATCTGTCTGTGCGATTTGTAAGGAGGTCGGATTCTGGTGTTCTGCATTTGATTTCGGCGTTTAGCGTAGGCATATCTTTATTGGGCTTGAATTTAGTACTCGGGATTAAAAGTAGATTAGCATCTTCAGCTTAGAAAATAATTAAGAATATCAGAAACTTTACCTTTACGCTGCATGGAGCTTTTTGGGAAGTGACGTTTCAACCTCTGTGCTACACTACGTCTTTCTCTCATCCCCTTTGCCGATTTCTCTTCTGTTATGCGCCCGATCCTTCAGCTACAGTAGAAATTTTACGAAATTGTTTTATTTCCATCTATTGTGCCATCTCAGGGGGCGCCATCCTGTAAATTAAGCGAGAACCCCCCACAAATTGTTACTAGGCCAGCTCCACACTACAACACTGCGCCATATCTTTATTTAGATGGTTATAAGACAATACATATTAAAAGCAATCGACTCTTACAGTGTGGCGAATTGAAGGGTAGTAACTCTTTAGGAGAAATTAAAAGATCGCGAAATGAGGAGGCGAAACCAAAAGAAAATTGAAAAAGTCCAACTTCGAAAGACCCCTGAGCGAGTCGCTCTCGCGGCGTACGACGGTAGGAACCGCTCCGCCTCTTGTATCGGGGTCATTGGTCAAAATATTGAGGTTGTTTCGCGCTGTGCCAAGACTAATTGACGAATTGAGTTATTATAGTAGTGGCGTTAACCAAACGATTCTTCTTAAGGTTGATGCACCGTTGCGGCGACTTAGCGCTCGAGCTTAAATTTCCACGAAGTTTTGGATAGTCGTCCTGAAAAGGAAATTAAGGATTTGTTGCATCGAGAGTTCATCTTTTGCTCCAGACCAGAGATCCGTCTTGATGTCAGTGGGATTGGTGGGGCTGTCTGGTATTGTCAAAATAGCCTGATTAGGTCCGAAAGTGGTTGATTGCTCAGGGTTGTTGAGAAAGTCGTATACGTTGCCAATTGAAATCTTCTGTTTCCAAGCCTTTAAAGTCTCCAACATATGAACGAAATCTTAGACTCAAGGAGACTTAAGCGACTGGAGACTTGAGTCGATTGTTTTGTTTTAGATCGCCAAATTTTAGACACTCATAACGACACTCATAACTTGATTTTTGCTATAGAAGTCATACGAGACAAGCATGTGGTGACTACTCAACCATCACCAACATCTCACGTACCTAAATTGGTCGAAGCACCAAAATGGCTTGGTTTATCAGTCCTTACCTTTTTATTACCTTTCTAGCAACAGTTTACTCTGTCTTCGCTAGATCTATCGTGGCCGATGCAGAGTTATGCACTTTCGCTTTCGACAAGGCGACAGGAAAATCGCAAAGGATACAATCGCCCTTTCCTGGCGCAGATACGATATTTCAGTTGCAATATAATGGGATGTACGCTTATGAAGTCTCGACGGGTGTCTTCGAAGCTCTATTCGCGCCATATACCTACACCCCAACTCAGCCGCCAAGTCGAACGAAGCATGGCGAAATGAAGAGGGATCTGGATTTCAGCCAGGCACAACCAGCTTGTGGTCAATCAATCAATGAAAAGAAATCGGTTTACGCCAAGTTTGGAAAAGTTGCACTCTATTTGTGTAACTTTGATAAGACGCCGGTCAGTTGGGCTGACGTGAAGGAGCAAATGGGAAGGTTGAATGCCGAGTGTGTTCATGGACAGTCGGGTATGACTGGTATGTAAGAAGTGGTACATATTTGAGTTATGTTTGCTAATGTTCGTAATAAATAGGTTGAGTTTGCAGAGAAAGTGCTTTTCGCCATGCACAAACATGGATGTGGAAACCTTTACTTTTGCCTTTGCGCAGAGAGGTTTGGAGTTGGTTTATCCTGAACCATCTGATACAGCGTAAATATTTGGAGTTTGTGTCAAAATAATACTTCGAGGTTGTAGGGAAATCATATCTTGACAAATTTTGACTCAATATAGCAAATTTGGCAACAAAGGCTGTCTCATGTATATATAGCTGGTAGTTCAACCTTGGGTTCTCTTGATCAGACCACGCTTTCGACTGAAATGCGGATCAAGACTAACCGCCCTCTGGGTGAATAAGAATGCCGAGACACAATTCACCAGCGTCTGAGGTGACCGCCCTCATAAATGAAGCGGGAAATTTCCACGGGTTTCCAACCTGAAAGATAAACACCAAACCTCCACCTCAACACTGACTGAAGCCCGACGCCAAAGCTCGAAACGCATTTCTTTCAACATCAACCTCATTCCTGAATCAAATCATGTCCTTCGTTTACAATGGCACAATCTACTACCACGGAAGCGGATCATGGCGACCACTTTCCTCATAAATCGCTCCAGACAGTCAGCGGGACTATCACTGCATGGCTACCACTCTCAACACCTTTCATAAGAGACGCGTCATGTTCAACAGCGATAGCTAAATTAGGAGGCAACCTTTATGCGCTCGACTTCTACAACAACAATCGCACAGGTCTGTGTCTGCCAGACGAAATCGTCGGCCCATGGGAGGCACAAATATCACACTCTCCGACGAGAACATTGGTTGGTCCGACCTTTGTGTGCCCAGAGGCATACAGCGCAGTCCAAACTATTGTTATCAGCCATTCAACATCACAAACGCTGTGTTGCCCATCGTAAGCTACAATAATCTGAAACCTAATTACTATGCGAAGTGCTAATTCGTGCTTAGATCTTACCAACTTTCGGTTGCCGCGTCTACCGCAGGAGTACCAATGCAATGCGTGTCGAAACTCACAGCCGGGGACAAGCTCAGATACATAGATCCCAGTGTCACTGACATGTATTTAACAACAACCATAGGCAGCCAACTTGCGTCCGGTGAAGTAGATTTTGTTTTTGGGTGGCACGCGAATGGATACAACATAATTACTTCCACCTCCTCCACCCTCTCTTCTATCACCACGTCGAAAACCCTAGACATGACATCAACACGTACGACTGTTTCTGTTACCGGCTCACCTACCAACACTTTAGCTGGGGAAAACACAACTAAATCACCTTCACTACATCCTGCTAGTATTGCTGGCTTAGCAGTCGGGGTGCTAATAATATTTATGGCAGTTGCAGCTTTTGGATGTATCTGGCGCTACCGAAGACGTAAGCGGATGTTAGAATTGGTACCAGACCAGAACCAGAGCCCATCTGTGATGCATGAAGAGATAACGAGCCCAAATCCTGCCGTCAAGAGCGCTTGGTCTGGATTGACCGACCCACCGGTCTCGTCAAAATCGAAATCTGATGATAATCTCACCTTCGAGCTCACCGGGAGACCCATAAAACTCAAAAGAACTAGCGGTTTAAAGCGAGATAGAGTGCATGGAATTGAACTGGTCGCTCGGAATTGATCACTGATTGTTCGAAGCCGAGCAGAAGTTGGACGAGTTCCACTTGGCATGTCGGTGAATTGTATATATTCTGCTGTCTGATTATGATATGATTTAGAGCATGAAATATTATAAAATAGTTTACAACTTTAGATAAAGAGTGAATGCTGTGTTGATGCAACAAAGAACTATCATACTTCTTTGCTTCCCTTGATCTTCGAGTCTTCGACCGTAAATTCCGGATTTTCTTTTATTTTTTTCATCTCTGTTAATCAATTGCTTTGATCTTGAGTTCTATAGTGGAATTTACCACCACGACAGTACCTCTCTTTTCGAATGCAAGGGCCAAATAAAACATGACAGTGGTATTCAAGGTGAGTTCCTGTCGATATCGTATGTGAAAAGTGCTGCTGACTTTGCCTCTCTATTTTGCGCATCGCAAAACCTGACCGCGAAGAAGACATCGAGGAAGAGAAATGACCCAAAGGAAAGTCAAACCATCTTAGTCCGGGATAGAACTAAGACGAAAATTACCCTCTGTAAGCTTCAATCCAATAATGCAATAGTGAGTCCTGTTAAAAGAAAGAGTTTTTGTTCGTCACAATTGAACTTGTGAACTTATTAGGAGCACTACAGATTAAATTTTATTATTACTTGGCGAACGAAGGCAGTGCCAATCCTGCAGACCTAGCAATTTGAAACTCTCAACTCTCTTTGCGACGAGTCTTTCAAGATGGAGCTTTTCTACTCTGCAGATGTGGTGAATGCAAATGCAGAAACAAAATTCACTGGGGGCCCAGGCAGACGCCCTGATGAACTAAGTTGAAATTTGCTGCGGCTCAATAAATCAGAAACAAACACAAAGATCGAACACAAAAATACCACCCTCTCAAATTTCCTTGACAGTTTCCTCGACTACAACTCAGTCTTCAATCGCAATGAGCCAAACAGTTCCACCTGAAGAGGAAGAAACCCTCCACTCGAGATCGTTACAAACAAGCAATGACACCGTTACAGCGTGGCTGCCAATTTCTACCCCTTTTCCATCGGCCTTAGGGTGCTCTACACTGTTTCATGGTAATGAAAATGGTATATACGCCTTCGATCCATTTTATAAAGTTTATATTGCTCCAAAAGCTCCTCGATGCCTCCCAATAGAAGCGACCTTCTTATCATTGGCGCAAGAAAGCGACCTAGATTCTACCACCATAACTACCCTTGGAAAAACACAGGTGCTCACAACGACTACCGTACTTGGTCCAACATTTGTATGCCCACAAGCCTACAGTGAAGTTAAGACTATCAGTCTCGATGCTTCCAGAACGGAGACTCTATGCTGCCCTTCGTATGCATCATTCCCTAAGTATCTGTGAAAAATGCTTACTATTTCTTAGGGGCTTCAGCCTAGGTTTTTCAGCCGCCTGGTACAAAACTCAATGTTTCTCGTCTTTAAGAAGAAGCCAAACTCTTACACTTCAAAGCTATGGCGGGGATTACCGTACGGCCAAACTCACTACGTTGAGAATAACGTCGGATTCTCTCGACATAATGTCTGCTTTCGGGCTTAATGGAATAAACGTTGTAGCATCGACTACGTCTTCGGCAGCTTCCATGACAACCACATCCACCACGATCTCAGCAACCTCCTCCACCATTTCCTCTTCGACCACTATGACGGCGATTCCGACAAATGGAAAAGGATCTTCATTGCCAGTAGCTAGTATAGCTGGTTTAGCTGTTGGTATGTTCTGTTTTGTTCTGGCAGCAGTGGCATTTGCATTGCTCTGGCGAGCGCGACAAAAGAAGCAGAAATATGAGCAGCCGCCAGGGTCCGATAACACAGGTTCACCTTCAATGGTTCTCGAAAATATGTCTCCTCGATCACAGTCACAACAGTTTCCGGACGTTAAGACCACTAGGTATGAGCTACGCGAGGGACCGCTTCCGTCAAAGAGACAACTGGACGAGAACGTACCATTCGAAATTTCTAGCAAACCGATTAAAGTCAAGAGAACCAGTGGTTTGAAGAATGGCATACAAGGATTGGAATTAAACATTCGAAACTGATGACTTGAGCATAGTCTGGGGTGTTGATCTTCACAGAACTGTTCTTGCGTATGATTTTTATTGCTGGATTCTTCGATCTTTGATGCTGTACTGTAATGTAACTATTGCTAAAATATCAGTTATAATAATAAATCAATGGTGGTGATCTAACACTGAAAGAACTGTTGCTCGCTCTTTGGTTAGCGAGTGTTCGGCCATTTATTCGCGACTCAGTGTTTAATCTATACCTGATTTTCATATTGCTGATACAAATTCAGTACAGAAATCCGTCAAAATGTGATACATATGTTAGCGCCGACTTCATAACCTGATGTTTTAGTTGTAATATATCACAAGACAGGTGCTGCTGATGTTGCTTCCAGGTTTATGCAGTCCAAAAGTAGATACTCGATACTATTTGACGATAAGCACTTGGAAAGGGGAACCTAGCATGTTTTGAATTTAATGATAACTTAGATTGCTCTAGCAAGATAATGCACTGAGTCGAGAATGTGTCCTCTTTCCCACAAAATATTACAGTTCTCCCAAGACTTAACTAGACTTGAACTCCTCTTCTTGACAACATTCCGACTTTCAGCTCGCTCAGGATTGGGCCGCCCCTTCCAATGTCCCCCAGGGCTTTGTGAGACCTATATTACGTGACTTACCTTCTATTTTGACTTTGTTACGACAAAGTTTAATTTTGGTTGCTGCACAACTTGTATTGAACACTTCTAGGTCTCTCTGCCTGCTCATTTCCGCTTGACGATCATCGTTGAACCCCCCCTCACTTTTTTCCGTGCTGCAGCCTAGTAACGACATCCCCTACGCATATGGGAGCATGTTACATGGGGGAAAACAAGAAATGATCTCTCTTGGTTGTTTTTAAAGTTCAGCAAGCACTAAGCACTTGGATTTCGGAAGAATTCATTTTTGGGGGGTTATTATGGATCTCATTGGAACTTAACGAACGAATGATCATCTAATAACGATAGATCCGCAATAACGATGTCCGCCTGAGAGAATAACGCGCCTATATAGACTTCTGCGCCAAAATGCGCCGGGTTTTTCCACCGGCCAGCGATTTCAAAACTCCTATCCAAAATCCACCACAACTTTGTAAGCCACAATCTTATAACTGTGCTGATACTTGACAAGAGTAAAACTCCCGCGAGAAACGAGTGAGAAATCCTTTAAGAGCAACAACTGTAATTATTCTCTCGCAGAGCAAACCCCCAATTTAATGAGCGATAGGAGCCGCCTCAGCGTCAGCGCCCCGCTTTGCCCCTAAATAGTAGCATTAGTTGCCAACCTTCAAGTGGAGATAAAATGATTATAACGTACAAGGGACTGGAATAGCAGCCTTCGCGGCCTCGGCGTCACGCTTGGCCCCTAAAAGGCGATATTAGTTCTTAACATTCTGGTAGAAATAGGGAAGAGTCACTTACAAGGAACTGGAATAGCAGCCTTCGCAGCCTCGGCGTCACGCTTGGCCCCTAAAAGAACAACATTAGCTCTTAAACTTCAAGTAGAAATAGGTAAAATTAACTTACAAGGGACTGGAATAGCTGCCTTCGCGGCATCGGCCTCACGCTTGGCCCCTAGAGAGCAGGATTAGTTCTTAACCTTTAAGTAACAATAAGGCAAATGAAACTTACAAGGGACCGGAATAGCTGCCTTCGCGGCATCACGACGCTCCTGTTGTGCAGCCAAATCACGAGCAGGACCTGAGACATTTGTGAGTTTGGATGTCAAACTAAGTGGATGTTGATTTGTGGAAAGCTTGAACTCTAGAAGTGTCATACCGTGCCTAGGGAGAATGGATGGTACCAGCAAGGCCGACGTCAAACCATGAGACAGGAGCAAAGTCGGCCTCACGAGTATCATCGCATGTCTCTAGGAGACGCTCAACTAGGTTCCTAGGGACAAGCAGGTGGGAAATCCACTTACTCATGACAGGAAGAGCGGCACCAAGAGTGATAGAGAGCACGAAGCTCATGGCAACGATGGAGAACTTCATGCTTGTGATGATGAAAGGTAGTGAGTAATGAGTGAAAATGTAAGGACTGGTCGAAGGCTTAAGAAGCCTCGAGTGGTGTTTGATTCTTTGATGAAAACTTTATCTTTGCTTTAAGTGTTCGTATCGGTGGTGTGTGTGTAGTGTTGAGGTTGAAAGAGGGAAGGAAAGAAAAGGTCGAAGGGAGCAGAAGCTCAATACTTATAATACTCACTTTGGCTCTTAGAGGCTCGGATTCTTAATCCGGATGACGCTTTATATCACCCCAGTCTATGGTAGAATGGCAGCATTCTGGAAACATAATTGGAGGGCGTCAATTGCGCATAAGCGATAAGCAACATGTCGCCACAGCATTTGATTAATTTCCCATCCACGCCGTCTAGAGTTTCCCAATAAGAGGCAGACTTTAACTTATGCTGTTATGAAGCTATTCCGTACTAAAAGAAACCCTGCCTCCCCACTGTGATTCTTATTACACCGAGTTACGCCGGACCTGCTTAAGTCTTGATATGTGTGAAGTAAAGCATACAATTTACTAGGGTAACACTCTCCTACGTATATTAATATGTACGAGGAGAAGCTCTATATCTCTAGACCTACAAGATTAAGATGGAACTTCTTGAGTATCATAAAGTCAATGATACTGGAAAATCCACATAAACATGCCACACCTGCCTCACGCGGGCCCATTCACAGAACCCAAACTCGACATAACTTAATGCATTGAAAACTGATAGTTTAAGCGATGCACTCATCGTAATCATCGTATCATAGACAAGTCCTAGATCCCTCCTAGTGGATGTTGATTTATCAGCTTACACGTGCTCAACATTCACTTATTCACTGAAGTGGTTGTCAGGGCAGCTCTGCTTTAATTTACGTCCTCTGAGTGGACTTTCATCTCGTTCAACCAGGTCCATTTAGGCTGAACTATCACAAGGAAAGCTTCCGATTTGTCTTCTGCCAGTAATTTCTGAAGGCCTACAAAGAGCGGCTAACAAAAAGCTGAAATCTACAAATGCAAATTCGGTTTGGAGACTAAAGCCAGCCTTCTCGTCAGTCGGTCAATTTACCACCGAGTTTTGTCTCTAGTATCGAGTCACGCCTGATCACGATCGTGCATTCGGTTCTATTCCATCGCTCAATTAACCACAGCCAAAGTAAAATTGGAATAATTCCGTCGTACTCATATCTACTAAAACACGCTACCGCTTTTAGCCAAAAATCTGTAAACTAGGCGAGGACACCGCCACAATCATCTCTTTGGCAGGTGTTCTTAGTTGATCTCTCTGAAGGCCTAGTTAAGCCGATTATCACTTTCACAGATACCAGAAGCTAGCTAGTTCCTGGCTAAGACTTTTCAAGCTGAAACTCCAACCTTCTTGGACAACATCTTCGGTGATATCATGGGTTCTTACTATGCCAGGACTTGCAACCGCAGGGCTCGCGTTTAGACACCGTTCTTGATGCACTTAAACATCTTGAGAACTGTTCTTCTTTACCGCTTGTAAAGTCCAACTTTTCATCAAGCTGTGAATTTCCTCGGTGCTCGACTTCTGTCTCAAGCACAAAGAATTCCCTTCAGAGCGCTCGATTTTGAATGAGGCAGTTTCGACAACGTCTCTACGATAATGAAATGATAAAAAAGAAAGCTGAAGTTCTAAAACTAGTCAATTGTTTGACGGGCCGCTCAAAGTTGGTGTGGCTAAACTAGTTCTTTCAATTGCATATTCCTGCCAACAGAAAAGAAATCTCCATACTCAAACACGTTCATTCTGGTCTCTCAACTCTTCCCAGAGCCCTGTCATGAGCCAGCCACATGCAAAATTCCACAATACTGATCTTAAGACCTTTAAGCCTTCTCCTTCAAAAACCCAACGTCATGCAATATCCCCATACCACCAACAGTCGCACCTCACACTTTCTACCTCCCTTCTCACATGCAAATCCTCCAACCCTGGGATATCACAACATAACTGACCAGCCCTCCAACTCCATGTCCTCACAAATCTCAACCATAGGATTAAATGGCCCCCATTCCCTTGCATACAAGTACTGAAACTCTCCAAATGCCGAAAGCCACCACCAACCGCCAATTCCTACCACAAATAATCCCAGACGACGGCCAACTTTTTCAACTTTCTTCCTTGCGCTTAGCTCTGCATCTCGACAGTTTTGATAGTAGATTGCTTTATTTTTGTCTGCTGCTTGTGATGTTGTTGGATCGGGAGTCGTAAGGGGTGGGTTAGCCGACGAATGTGATAGATCGTCCGAATAGGATGTCGAGAGTGGTATGATTTTCAGCGTTGGCGGATCTAAGAGACTCAAGTCGTCGATTGGCCAAGAATGATCGGTTTTATTGTGGATAGTGAGAGCGCTGCTGTTCGTTTTTGGTATCTTGGACTTTCGATCTGGGACGTTGGAATCATTATTTACCGGTGTCAAACCCGATGATGTGACAATCGACAAGGCGAACAGAAGCGCAAGGAATGCAGTTGCTTTGAATAACAGATTGTCAGATCTCGATTCCGCTAACTCCAATGAGACCCGCATGTTGATTTTTCCTCCAGAGTTTTATCAGCGTTGTGAAATAACTGTTGGGAATCCAGTGGGAAATATCATGTGCTAATTGCTTTCGATAGTAGCCATTTCTAGGTTCAAAGCTGGACGTTGTAAGGATTGATTTTGTCACAAAATAGATTGGCAAGAGAGTTGTTGCGGAAGTTGCGGATGGTTTCTATGTTATTGTTGAATAGTTGACATGGTTAACATCCTTTCCCAACCCACACTGTCTGACTTTCTCAACTCTACATCTTAGATCGGCATGCATGTGAAAGTGAACTTCACTAAGTAAATCGGTATTAAAATTTGAGCGTGCTGCTTAGAACGATGGAGATATTCTTTCTCATTACCGGTCATAAGTGAATTCCCAGAAGGCACAAGTATATTCACAGAGAGGGCGCTGGGCAGACGCTACGTACCTAGGTACATAGCCATAATGATTCATAATCAAGGATTAGTTCGATCCAACCAGGATATTAGACCGCGCCTAATAGTATCACAATCACAACAAAATACAATATCCCCTTAGTACATATGACCACCAACACCCCAAACCCCCTGTCCCAAACCCCCTGCCAGATATCCATCACATGCTTTGAACGCCTTACAGTATTGTGACACAAATATCCTTACAAATCAAATCCTAGGATCCCTCTAAGCCTCAACTGGTAGGGAAGCTTCAGCCTCTTCATTCCCCATCATGCTAGCGATGCCATCGTACTTGGTCTCAATGACCTTGAAGTTCTCCGTATCTCCCAATCCCTTCGCAGCTCGTTCATACGCAGCATCGCTACGATCACAAAGAATGTCAAGATCCTTATCACTGAGAATCTCTTCTTTATTTTTTCCCGTGCCAGTGAAAACCATGCCATCCTTTAGCAGCAGTTGCTTGAGCTCAAGTTGCATTTTTGTATCATCGGTCATTGGTCCTTTTCCAAATTCGGTTTTCTTGATGACTGCCTTTTCTAGGCGCCGTTTTCCCTCGGCAGAACTCAGGAGACCTTCCTCGACTGTGTTCTTTGTTGCCAAACGGAATATCACGACAGGGTTCTTCTGACCAATACGATGTGCACGATCTTGGGCTTGGAGATCTTGTTGCGGATTCCAGTCACTGTCGAATAGAATTACTGTGTCCGCGCTCGCAAGATTGATGCCTTGACCACCGGCACGAGTAGAAAGCAAGAACAGTCTGAATTCTGGGTTTTCATTGAACTCTTTAATCTGGAGCCGGCGGTCATCCTGTGCCACAGACCCATCAATTCGACAGACATTCCATTTGCGGAGATCGCGAGCATAATCTTCGAGGAGATCGAGCTGAACTTTGAATTGCGAGAATACCAAGACTTTGTGACCACGTTCGAATAAAGCTTTGAGTAAACGATCGAGTAACAACATTTTCCCGGACGATGTTACCAATGATTCGTCGACTGGGAGCCCGGTGGCCCAGGGGTTGTAGAAATTGTGAACCGAGTTACATATCAATCGGAGTTGCATGATAGGGTTACCGAGCTTCTTCCCAGAAACTTCCTTCTCTGATATCAATTAGCAACGGCTGTAAGTAAAGGGTCATGACGGTGCTTACTAGCAAGCTCAACCATTTTTGCCAACTCGAGCTCCTCTTTAGTACCAGCTACTTCCCGGACATTGTTCTTCTTTTCCAGTTCGGCAGCTTCTTCTACGAGCTTCTGTTCGAATTCATCGTCACTCAATTCATCTTCATCTGATGCATCTGCTTCTTTGTATACTTTTCTGCCTCGAGTCTTCGTACGTCGAACACTAGTAGCTGGTGTAGAGTGACGACTAGACTTCGCGGATTTAGGGACGGGCGTCTCGACGTCAGCTGGAGACTTCCTTTTCAATGATCCTTTCGAGCTCGCTCTACTACTCGTCGCAGACTTCTTCTGCATCATCTGTTGAAACGCGTTTTTCGGTGCAGTCTTCGTCTCGGCTTTCGGCCGCGGCCGGAGAGCCAAGGGCTTCTCATCATCACTACCATCGTCATCGCTAGCCTCTGCCTTGACGGACGACCCATTGGAAGCGCCCGCTGTCGCAGTTAGACGTTCCAGAATTTTGTCCTCGAGGAACTTTCGTGTGTCGGTTTTCTTGTCTGTAATGGCGTTATACAACTCGGTTTGATCTTTAGTCATTGGAGCATATAGGATATATTCTCGCTTCTTAGGCAGTAGATGCTCGACGTCGGCTTTGATTCTGCGTAAAAGAAGGGGCTGCAGCACTACTCGCATTTTTCGAAGTAACTCCTTGTTCTGCTTGTCGGCAATAAATTGAGCTGTTCCTTCCTCATCCTGAAGATCAGAGAAATCAAACCATTCCTCAAACTGCTCCCAATGAATGAATATGGTAGGAAGAAGAAAGTTAAGCAAGGACCACAACTCCTTCATGTTATTCTGGAGGGGCGTTCCGGTAATGAGCAATCTTGAGGCAGAGGTGAACGTTTTGAGAACCTGGAAGAGCTTGGATTCGTTGTTCTTCATACGATGCCCTTCATCCTACATGAATTAGTATAGATGATCGATCATCGCCACACATTACTTACAATAATGATAAACTCCCACATTATTTTGGTCAGGTCATTGAAGTCCCTCAACACCATTTCCGGACTGGTACAAACGACAGGAAAGCGTTTTGTCGGTCTACCACCTTTACCAACATGTTTCATTATCTGTGATTTGAAGATTTCCCGTCGGTGGGCCTGTGTTCCATGGTAGAGAAGGACCGGAACGTCCGGTGTCCATTTCTGGAACTCTTCTATCCAGTTCGAAAGTGTACTAAGAGGAGCGATAATCAAGTGAGGGCCTAGGTAATCTTCGACCTCTCGTAAGTGCGCGATCAGCGAGATTGTTTGAATGGTCTTTCCCAATCCCATCTCATCAGCCAAGATTCCGGACATGCCTTGTGAGCAGATCTCCACCATCCATGTCAATCCCTCCAATTGATAATCTCGCATTGTCCCTCCTACCATGCACTTCGGTTGTTTCGCCATAGTCAGATTGTGCTCTCCTAATGACTTTCCATCCACAGAACTCCCTACTCTTCCCAAGCATTGCGTTTTGCCAGTAAGCCGCGCGCTGAATGCCTCACTTTTCTTTAATAATTCTTCCAATTTCATAGACTTCTTCTCCCGCTCCTCCTTGCTCTCTTCCTGCTTCTTCTTCTTTTTCAATGCTGCCGCTCTCTTCTTAGCTTCTGCCTTTTCATTGGCAGCCCGCGCCGCCCGCTCTTCCTCATACAGCAATTGATCCTCCTTGGAGAGGAATTCTGGCTCAAGCTCATCTTCATCCCGAAGATCGGGAGGCGAAGACGGAGTACTGGTTGGAAGTCTCGAAGCTGGTGATGGGGAGCGAGTCCCAGCCTCCGAGGAACGCATATTGATCGTCAAATGGATATAGGTTTTGCTCTTTGGTAGGTTTCGCCACCTTTAGATCGAATGCGTTCGTTTCCGAGAAAGCTTACAATTTCAGACAGCTTAATAGTCAATATTGTGAATTTAAATAAAGCGACCTGGCTATACAAAGTAATTGAAAAGCGCAAGTAAAAGCACACAAGACCATAATGGTAGTAGTTCAATAGATTTATCGCGACGCGTAGAGTGCATTTTACGCGACGCGAAGTCATGAGGTCATGAAGTCACGTGGAATCAAATTTACACGGTCCGAGCGATCTTCAGGGGCTCGCTTCGTATCGACAACAAAATCAATATCACTTTACAAAATAATCTTTTGTGGTTAGTGAGATAATTCCGATATAATTCTCCTCTTGCATTTGTTTCCCATGTTCCATGATCTATCAGCTTAAAATTTGGATTGCTCGGAAATTCGTCCTTCTTTGAGTTTTCGACAGCAACGATTACGTCCTGTGAACATGTCCCGAATGGTAAGAAATCGAGTTTGAGGCCTATATTTTAATAAATAGTGCGATATATTATTGAGTAAGAATAGGGCCGTACAGGCTAGTGCAGTAATATATAGATTTTACTCATAACTCCAATTTGTCGCTCACGAAGTACCGGAGTGACTGTGGAATCAGAAAGTTAAAAAAAGAGTTGTTAGTCCCGACTGGGTATTATACATTCGATATTTGAGTCTATGGTGCATAAGTTGACATGTGGGCATGCACTGTACCAGAAAAAATCACACATGTTAAGCAACCACGTTTACTAGGATGTCTTCCAGCCCCGGAGGGGACTGAACACAAGCTTCTCTTGATTATATATAATCTTCCCAAACGATGTTTTACAACTTTACGAGTTTGGTGTGCGGAGTAAGCTTGGAAAATTAACATTCAGCTGAAAGTGATATATGTTGTCGAAAGATAAGTTGTCACCGATTTTAAGAAACAGGCCACCAATCTTTGGGATTCACAAACTTCTTGACTCTTAAAAAGGAATCGCATTTCGAAATGTAGAGACAATAAGCAGAGGCTATCTAAATATCTGGCGTTTGAAATCATTGGAGAAAAATAGCAGCAAGCTCCTTCCCAAGCAGGTTTATCTTGATCAAATCAACGCAATCTAAAATGTAATGAAACGGACTACGACTCTTGGACATCTTACTCCATCCCGCTCTCACCAGTTCTCCTCTTTCTTGCTCTCCATCTAAAGCTTTCTTCAAAACGTAATAAACTTCGCGGCAATTGTAGCGGCATCCATCTTCAATCCCGTCTCAGCATTGAACGTTTCGGCAACTTGATCCCATTTCGAAGCTTCTACGCTTTTCACAGCACGCAAAAGAGTCTTATTCATCTCCGGTGTCCAATGAATCTCAGAATATTGATATCCTTTCTTTCTCTGACTCAACGGAACGAATTTCATGCCAATAGCAGCAAAAAGTAGAGGTGCCGTACGGTTGTAGCGATTAGCGACGCCAGTACTGGTAAGCCGTGGATCCCTTCCCTTCTTTGTCCGACGTTCGTTCATAACTTTGGTAATCTCTTGAAAAGACATATCGTTCTGCTCGCGCAAGTTGACAATCGCGATGTTTTCGGGGTCATTGGCACCACAAGTTCGTTTCGGTATCTTTCTTCCTGACCCTTGAGGCGCGCTCCGTTGTTTTCCTCGCTTTTCGAGCCATTCGTCGGTGACATCGTCCTCATTGATGAACTCTGGTGCTTTATTCGTATCACGACGATCGTTGCCTTGGATACCATAGGTGTTATGTAGAACGCCTCCACTCCATCGAGAATCTAAGAGTGGAAGGTCACTACTTTCTGCAATTGAGGCAGTTGTCGCACTAGGGCTATCGACACGTTGTTGTGTTTTTGGGCGAGGACGAGCACCAGATTCAAAGTCTTTGGACAAACCTTCGAAGGTAGCGGATGTAAAAAGAGGTGGGCACGACACGTCGTCTTTGCGTGAAGATCGATTGCGACTAGCTTGGCCCTCTTCGGATTCAGTATCGTCGTTGTTCGTACTCCTTTCATAATCATCATAGAGAACACTGCTGTCATCATTGTCGTTCTGGTAATATTCATCTCCTTCAGAATGCCCCTCAGACGATCGCCTATTAGACTCAATATCATTGTCATTGAAGTGAACAGCCCGAGAGCGCTTCCCAGAAGATTGCGACACAGAGCTATGAGAACGGTGTGGTTGAGAATAAGGTGTACTCGTGTAGACACTGTCAGCTGAATATTGACCCCAAGAAGAGCTAGCAGACATTTGTGTGGCCGGTGGCAGAAGTGGAGGTGCCATATTGTTGTAAGAATTTTGACCCAGTCCTCCATTGAACGGAATACCGGGTGCTTCGGTATATTCCGAATTGGGAAAGGCAGTATTCGGGTTGTTCATCGTATTGAATGTAGCCATTGGAGGTATCTGACCACTGGTCGTCAGATCGTTCTGCTGGAAATCCATGATGAATATATTTCGAGGGTTGTATAAGATTCGGTAGCGTGAGTCAAGCGCTTCTTATCAAGATGCCCTGGAAGGCTGGCCCACTCGACAGAAGTGACAGACAAGAAAGCTCGAGTTTTCATTCACCGGAAGGCTCCGGAGGTTCGTTGCTCACTTTCGAAGAGGTGCGACGAGGTTTGAGTAATGATGGATTCCAAAATTGTTTCGTACGATCTTGATTTCCGAGATATCTCAGCGGATGTTTTGTCTTCATGTACCGGAAGGGAAGACTTCAATAGGTGCTGAGAAGGCCGAATGTTTATTTCCACCGGAGGTTGATTTCCAAAGTTATGATCGAACCTTAGCCAATCTTGAACTGTCCAAGCTTTTTGAGCGAGAACGAACCTCTATCAGTCTGACAAGGGTGAGGCCCTTTTATTTCTCATCAGCTAGATTGCTGTTGAATTGCAAATCCGCCTACCCTGCGCCCGGCTTGGGGAGATGTGAATAATACAACCCTTGCTTGATCTACCTAATTTATCAGTTGGATCATATCTCTCGTCTTTCTTAAATTTAACTGTGTCTTAACACATGTACAAACAGTCAGCAGACGATCGAAGATCTTCTTATTCCTAGCCGGAATTTCGTGTCAACACTAATAAAACAGGATGTCGAGCCATACACGACTGTTCCGACCGGCGAGGAGATGTTTGTTTTTAAGCAAGAGTACACATATTCAGGCCTGATGTGCTGTTGCGTAATCTATACCCGTGTAGGTACTTTTCATATCCTTCATCGCCCAAACGCAAACTTCTTCCAGTTATCACCAAGTTGCTTCACACCCTTCTCCAATTCCCACCCTTTAATCTGACAAATCCTCCTAGCTATAGCCTCCAGCTTCTCGTCCATAATGTCGCCAGCCATATGCAAGTCACTCTCCATGAGCACCTTGTCATCCGGCACAGCCTTGATGACTTCCATCGCTTTCGTTCTCGTATCAGTACCCATGTTGATAGCTTCCGAGAAGGAGAAGTATATTTCCGCAGGGACAGCAGGATGGTAGTATTGTTTCAACGCTTCGTCGGGACCAGAATAAGAATGAAGACATATCCGTGGAGGGAATGGTTTCGATTGTATATCTTTAGGTGTTGACTCTGAATCCTCGTCCGCAGGTGGCGCGATATTCGCGATTTTCTTTCGTTCCTTCTTGCTTATGACTTCTTTCTCGTGGCCTTTCCAGCATTCTTGTAATGTACCAAAGAGGACACCATGAGCTTGAACGCCATGTACAGAAACAGCTCGCTGCATCTCCCCTGCAAGCTTCAGCTGTGCTTTCAAGACAGCTTTCTGGTGACTCATTTGGACCTTATATTTACTTAATGGTCTTCCCTCTCGGCCACCTCTTGTCAGAGAACCATCTCTCGCGGTCTCTAGTTCAGGGGTCCACACTCCTGGAAGGCGGAAATATTTGTCCAATCCAATCTCCCCAACTAGAGCTAGAGGATGCCTTTCCAAGTTACTCTTGACTGTTGCAAGATATGCTTTTAGAGATCTGGGAGGCGGTATTGAATTGAGAAACTCCTTATCATCCGGTTTCGGCGTTAGCACAGCTTGATAATGTTGGGTTTTGAAAATTTCAGAGTCAAAGTTCTCAGGTATTGTTTCCGTATCATCATACATTTGATATGAAAACCAAGGATGCCACCCAAAGCATGGTATTATACATTCGTCTTTTGGTAGATTCTCTAAGTCAGAGCCTTCTTTTAGACCGTGTGATTCTGCAACATTAGCGACGAGCTCTTGATCTTGCCCTCTAGTCGCCATAACAGTCAAGACACGTGCTTTCATCTCAGGTATCTGGGAGACGAGCTCCATGGTGTCTGTTGGATGACAATGTGCATCGTAGACTCCAAGATGCCATGGGAATGGCACCTCGTCGTTTCCATAGTCATTTTCTGTTGGTGCTGACATGTTTCGAATGTTTCAAATTCCAGATACTTCTCAACGTATATAATTCTTTTGAATAGTCGCCCTCTCTGAAATTGACAATTGATGTTTGGATAGCTCTTGGAGCTGCATATTCCGAATGCCGTCACGAAACGAAGTCGTTTGCTCAAAGCTCTGACGGACCCACTATTAACGCCACATCGATCCAGCCCTGCAACAGCTCCACATTCCCCACAGTATCACATGCAATGTCGAAGTCACGTTCCCCTCAACCTAATTCTTTGAGAATATACTTCCAACCCCTCGTCTTCGTCAAACTTCTCAGCATTTCATCCAGCACGTACACGATTGCTCGGTATGAAACTGTGGAACAATCACGACAGTTTGCGGCATTCATCATGGCTATTCTAAGTAAAGCGATAACGTTACCAATCGTCCTTACTCTCATCGTCCCAACTACCATTTTCGCGTTCTTCACCACGATATTCGCAGTCTGGATATTACTCTTCAGATGCATCGTACTCTACATTGATCTTGCCGTAGCAGTAATACCATACTATCTCCTCGGCGGGCCTCCCAAAGCAACCTCACAATCATCCCTCTCACTCCGACCACACTCACCATATACCATCCGTCGTCGGAAACGACGCACCTCATCGACTTCCTCAAACCTCTCAGGAGCTCGCACGCCCATTGCTCTATGCCACTCAACATCCGATCCCCTTGCCGCCCTCACTTCCCCCAGTTCCTGCATAGGGCTGAACACATCCATCGGACCAAGTCGCGATTACGAAGGCGTAGGCGGCTGGCGATTTGACCAACCCTCTGAAGAAGAAGACGCGTTGTGGGCGAAGATTAATTCAAGGCTGGAATTACCGACTGATCATGGAAGAAGGCATAGGAGGAGTTTGACGGGTGGGAATTTACCGATGCCGGTCATGCAGTCTGTGATGGAGAGGGGAAGAGAGGAGGAGAAGGAAAGGGAGGCTGTAGTTACGAGTAATACAGGGAGAGTGAGGACGCCGCCAACGAGTGGGACGTGGGAGGGAGCTAATGAGAAGGGTGTGCTAATGATGGTGGGAAAAAAGAGGACAGGAAGTACAAGTACGAGTGGTAGCGGGAGTTCGAAGGTTTCTGGACTAAATATGAAGTCTAGGTGACCTGTGATGGGTCATTTTTGGTTTGGATTGCAGGCGTAAAATAATGAGGGGGATTGGATCAGGTCTAATGATGTTATGATAATGATGGCTCTGGGAGGTAATCAAGGCGCGTCGGACTCGATGGCTACCTAGGCATGGTTGTTATGGACAAACACATGTCACAGTAAAAAACAAAATTTTATAAACTAATTCAAAACTTTCCACCAAGGTCAATTTACAATAGTGGTATCAAATTCTGCCTGCCGTATTTACTCCAAAACTCCCCAGACCCCAACCCGGGTGATGTCCCTGCCACCATATCCAGCTCCCGAGTCGACCCCATAAATTCGTTCCACAGCCAAAACCACACCAACGCACCTTAACAAACACTCCAAAAATGACTAGCATAAAAATGCCTACTCAACTTCCCCTGCTCAAAATTGACCACATTAACATCCCCCCTCCTACTATCCCTGATAACAATCTTCCCATACTCTCCCCCCTCCTTCACAGCCTCCAGACCCATGCCCCTAAACACCGCCAACTTCAAACTCGTCTCGTCATCCACCGTACTCTCCTTCCTCTCTCCACCTTCCGGACCCTGCGCCTCCAATTCCGCCAACCGTGCCTGCAAATCCGCCAGTTGCGACGACAATCGCTCGGTTTCGATCTCGAGATCTGTAGCTGTTTTCGCGATGCGGAATTTCTGTGTGTCGAGACTTGAGATTAGGGAGGCGTGTGCGGTGGATGAGTGGTTTTGGAGGGTGTCGGCATGGTTGTTGTTTAGTGTTGTGAGAGTGCGAGAGAGTTCTGGTGGGGTGTTAGATGAGTGGAATTTGTGGGAGAAGGGGAGGTGTACTTTTTAATGCGCTTTCTGCTTCTCGTACGCGAAGATTGCGCGCTTGCTCGAGGGTTGAGAGGGAGTCGTTGATGCGTGATACTGCGGCTTTGTCGGGCGCGATGTGGAAGTTTCCTGCTGTATGGTGGATGAGCTAGATGTTGGTTAGAAGATGCTATACAAAATATAGCATATGACTTACGGTCGCGGGATCTTCGTCGAGCAACATATTGATTGTCTGTATTGGAAATTGCGGAAGGTAATGAGTAATTGCTTTGAATTTCGCGACAGCATGCGATCGCGAACGTCTGATTCCCAAAGTTGTGGTTCATAATAGGTGTTGGCCCGACAACACAACCTTAAAGTTCAAGTGACGTACCCGCATCACAAGCTAGGTTTCTCAGCGCCACATGAGTTCCAGATGTTCAGCAACTCGTGGCCACCTACCAGAAAGTAAATTTTATTCATCGCAACTTCCATTATCAAGTATCAGTCGCTCAGCATTTGCTACCACAAGTAGGACGACAAGATGGGTTCACAGTTACCATGTAAGTATGGATAGCAAAACATCCTTGGATACGGAGCTTTACATCTGTTATGCTGTGTATCTTTATTTCAATCGCCTTCATACCGCATTGCTAACCAGACGGGTGCGTTTAGATGCTGCTGACGCAGAGAGGTACGCTTCAAATTATCTGCGGCGGGCATAGCCGCAAGTAAAACTCGGTACTGACTTCCATTAGTCCTTTGAAGCCCGAAGAACTACAAGTTCTACGATCACAATACGAGAAAGAAGGCGAACATGTGGGCATTCAAACAAAGTTCAACTTTGCCTGGGTATGTGATTCTATTGCGGCTTGACGAAGGACTAGTCGCTGATATCAACAGGGCCTCATAAAATCAAACGCTCGTAACGACCAACAAGAAGGTGTTCGACTCCTCTCTGATATTTTCCGTACGTCGCCCGAAAGACGTCGCGAATGTCTGTATTACCTCGCGCTCGGAAACTTCAAGCTTGGAAACTATGCGGAGTCGAGGAGATATAACGACCTGCTTCTAGACAAGGAACCAAACAATCTGCAGGCGGATAGCTTGAGGGGTCTCATTGATGATAAGGTTGCGAAGGAGGGATTAATGGGTGTGGCTATTCTTAGCGGGGTTGCTATTGCTGCTGGTGTTGTTGGAGGTATGATATTTAAGGGTATGGGCAACAGGAAGAGATGAGGTGGTAAGGGTTCTTTGAGCGGCGATGGGAGCGGAAAGAAGCAGGCTTATTTAATGCATGGATACCAGGATGATAATAATGTACAATTATGGAAATGAACCCGTGGGAAAATTGCTCATGGTCCATTTGTATACAAAATATAAGTCCTCTTTTGACCTGACGTGCGATTTCTCTGGCTTCCGAATTGTCGGGCTGTACTAGGAACGGGAAATGGCTGGGGCCGCTGCCAATTCGGACAATCAGAGCATTAGTCTTAGGGTTGAATTTTATGGCATTCAAATAATCACCAGCCGAACCAAAATATTCTCTACATATGAGTTGTTGCATCGGCTTCAAAGGCATATCACAGTATGCGCGGGAGCGCTTTCAGGGGATAAGCTCGAGGGAATTCGGAAGAAATCGATAGAAAGTATGCAAAAGACACGTCAATTGCGGCATCGGCTAAAGAATGAATCTGGAAATAGATTCAACATTTGAGTAACAATTACATTTTCACCTACCTACCTAGGTATTCATTTGTGCTGCTATTGAAATACATTTACTGTTTTCAGACCAAATAATTCGTTATCAGCCGGTTCCAACAGCCAACAGGGGTCAGACGATCTGCAAAGACTTGCGTCACAAGAACCACAGCGCTGAACGTCAAGCTTGCTGCTAGCACAACAACCGAATAACATACTGCAGCACGTTTGGAGTCAACATTCATCACGATAGTATTACTCAGGTTCACTTTCACCGACTACAACTCATACACTAATTCTGTACAAAACTTCTCCAACCTAACAATCACAACCTTTACCACTCAGAGCTGAACTGGCAGTACCCCACATTTGTCCTCAGCTTACCTATCAAACGGATCACTCTCCAAACACAAGGCCAGCAACAAGCCAGTTTGCCACAATTTGATACTGCGAAACCGATTCCATTGCGGTCCTGCATCTATTCCAGCTACACCAGTCGTGTGGAGTAACGAAACGGACAAACGTGTCCAACATTCCGGTTGAATAAGTCAAACTGTCAGTTTCGCCTCTCGTAGGCACATCTTCAAAACGGCTTCTCGATTTATTCGCAATACCGGCCTAGCTGTCAGCCTGGGCCTGACTGCGCTTGCCGCCTACCATAGCGTCCGGGACGCAATGTCGGAGAACCGTGGAGGTGGTGGTGGAAGGCATTTAGATGCAACTGGAGACCGGGAAGTTGTCTATTGCCACCAGTGCCATGCGGAGTGGTATAATGATGAGCACGGATTAGAGTGTCCTACCTGCGAGGGACAGATCACAGAAATAGTATGCCTATGAAAATTCACATTAAAATTGGCAGATGCTAATCTTTTATAGGTAACTCCTGGCGAGAGCGATCCAAGACCTGCTGCCGAACCACAGAGCCAAGTTCCTCCAGATTTTGATAGAATACGGAACCATAATCCGTGGGAAACGACCGACTCCGATCCAGAAGAGGCAGATATAGATGAACATGTCACCGGTGTCCGCAGTCCTGGTGGCGGACCTCGCGTAACATATTTTACACGGACAATCAGATCTCGCGGCGATGGACGAGGTGAGCGAAACGCAGAGGGAAGCGAAGATAATCCAGATGTGGTCATGACAGATTTCCAAAATATGCTAAGTGGTCTGATCGGCCCTGCTTTTCAGGCTGGTCAACCGGGAAGATCTGGCCAGGATACTTTATTTAATGGAGGAGGACCTTTCAATGCTGGACCTGCTGGAGGTGGAAATGTGCATACTTTCGGAGGTCGCACAACAAACGGACACATTATGGGGGCGCGATATACATTTACTACAAATCTTCCAGCTCAAGGTGGTCCTGGTCAACGAGAAGGACAAGGCGATGATATTACTGCGTATGGCCCTCTGGTTGAAATAACATCCCCAGCTATTGAAGCCGCCTAACCTATTTCTGATATAAATGTTTTCTAACACCTGCGTAGACTCCTTGGTAACATCTTTGGCGGCATGGGAGCTCATCAGGATCACGTCCATGAACACGGTCCACGGCCAGCAGGTGGAATGCCTCCGGGTTTACAGTCACTTTTTGCTGCCTTATTGAATCCAGCAAACATGCGATCTGGTGATGCGGTATACTCGCAAGAAGCCCTGGATCAAATTATCTCGAATTTGATGGAACAACACCCTCAATCAAATGCTCCAGGTCCAGCATCACCTGACGCAATTGCCTCATTACCAAAAAAGAAGGTAGATGAGAAAATGCTAGGTGACGACGGCAAGGGCGAATGTAGCGTTTGTATGGACGACGTTCAGCTTGGTGAAGAAGTCGTCTCTTTGCCATGTAGCCATTGGTTTCACGAAACATGCGTCGGTCTTTGGCTGAGCGAGCACAACACATGCCCAATATGCCGAAAAGGCATTGATAGTGCAACGACCCCAGCATCGAACACCCAAGGAGCAACCTCAACTAGCTCCCCGAGCCAGAATCCCTCGTCTCCTTGGAGAGATAACCGCGGTCCAGAGCGGCCAGATCGCTTAAGCAGAAGCAACACTACAGGAAGTAGGAACGAATCCAGGTTAGCCTCCATCCGTCATTTTGGAAGGCTAACACCAACACATGAAGACGAACCCGCAGCTCAAGCCCCTAGAAGGTGGCAGGTTGTCGGCGACAGAAATCCTTATTCAACAACATCTGAGCGGCAGTCGGACCCGTCGTCCCCTCGCAGACTTCGATCCTCGAGACAAAATTCAGATCAGTCGGCTCCTCCTCCTAGAATTAGATCCTCGAGACAGAATAGCGAAAGTAGCGGGAGAAGTTATACTAGCGATCTGAGTTCCAGGAGACGAAGTACAACTGCGACGTCTCAGGCTGAAAGTGGTGGGGGAAGCGGTCCTTTTGCGTGGTTGAGATCGAGATGGGGTGATCGTGGCACTCGAGATGGGAGATAATTACTTTTTCTCGTTCTTCTGGGTGCGTAGACGGAAATGAGAGGATTGTTATGTTGGCAAGCATGGAGTCTAGGGAATTGATATCATCCCGGAGTTAGAATGGATTCTTTGCAAGATGGTTTCTGCTCCGCATATTTTTTGTTTTTGGGCTTGTGAGCTTTATATGGCTTGCGAAATGCTTTATTGCCTTTTTTGCATTGCTCCGTTGAGCGAGGTGCCTGTTATGTAGATTATGTATGAATGAAGATAGAAATGCGTAAGCGATCTCGACTCTTCGAGTGTATTTGAGTATCCGTTTGCAGAATATGTGTTTGGTGTGAATTGATTCTATTTGGCTTTTTGAGGAAGTAAATCCTTAGGGCAAAGGCAATGATCTCCTGTCCTCCAGGACGTCAATTTGAGAATCCTTCAACGCACGATAGCATGTTATCTTCAATAAAATAACTTCTAACTAAATAAGTTATAAGTTTACAAAGTTTGATTATATTGGTACCAATATTTGGTCTATGTATGATTTTCACAAATGTCTTAGATGTTAGGACATGTCCACGTACCTCATAAATACGCCTTAAGAACAGCCACCCTCGTCAAAGCTACAGCAGATCCATTCTCTCCCCTCGACATCGCCTCCATAATCTCAATCATCCTCGCTAAAAGTAGTCAGTCACCAATCAACAACCACAACTTTTCAAATCACATAAAGTTGTGAGGAAGATACTCACAAATATCCTCCTTCCCCCTAGCAAAAGCCGGATCGCGGTTCACAACCTCAAACCCCCCATCAACCCTCGCCTCATCCTTCAATATGCCCCCAATACACAACGCCTCCAGAAACGCGCGATGGTTGAATACCCACCATACCTTTGCTTCAGACTCGAATAATTTGTAGAGCAAGAAGAATGCGCTTATAGCGTCGTGCGCAGCGTCTAACGCGCCGCGAATGTTTACGGGGACTTCAAGAGAGGCGGAGGAGTGGACTAGCATTACATTATGGAAGTAGTTCGACGTGAGAAAAAGTGTTTGCCGGACAATCCTAGGTTTGGATATTGACAGCGCGGTTAGGGAGGAGGCTGTCCAGGAACGGAATATATCTGGGAAAGAGCGATATACGGATTTGAAATCCGCGAGCAGTTTAGTTTTCTGACGCGCGGTGCTGCAGATGGGTAGATCGAGACTGCGCGGGGAGCAGATCGTTTCTTGCACGAGGTTCGCGAGCGTCCAGCACCCACGGATGTAGGCTGTGTCGGTGGGGTTGCTGTGGGCGATGCTGCTGTGGTCGTCGATTAGGTCGGCGACGGAGACGTCGGTGTGGGTTGCGGAAGGGGGCAGGGAGAGGAGAACGGTCAGGAAGGTGTCTTGTAATAGCACGGCTTGCCAGAGTTTACGCCGGAGTTGCTTGTCAAAGGGGGATGCGCTGGGACAGACGATGTTAGGGTCTCGATGGAGACCCATGGCGTAGGCTTGTCGGATGAGGATTCCGGCAAAGGCCCAGCCGTCGGAGGCGTGGTTGTCGTTTATGAGGAAGTAGGTTATTAGAACCATGGCCTGGATTGAGCGGATTGAGGCTTTACTGAGATAGGAGGACATGCGGAGGGATTGGTGGGCGGCGGAGACGTAGAATTCGGCTGTTGATTGGCGATCTTCAGGGGGACTGGTGGTTACGAATTGTGTTCCGAGGGCTAGCATGGAGAATATTAATCCAATTAGTGCGGCATCCGTACGGCTGCTTTCTGGTGGGGAGAGGCCCCAGAATTGCTCATAGTCTGCGTAGAAGGTTTGGCGGTGGATCATAGGATAGACGGGGTCGACGCATTCGAAATATCGTTCTAAGAGGGCATCTGCTTGATCTTTGGGTGGAAGAACGCTTATTACTTCTGGAAGACCACCTTTGCAGGTCCAGTAATTGGCAAAAGGATGCTCGGATCCAATACCAAATACATTTGAAGCTGTAGGGTGCGAGTAGGGAACATGGGAAAGAAGTCCAATAGATGAAGATGTTGACCCGCGTGAAGCACTTCGTTCCTGTGGAGCGACCGTCTGCCTGGGGCCTTCAAAGCCATTTGTAATTGTGGACTTATTCTGAGGAGGTTTTGTCATCCTCCTGGTATTCCCCATGGATCGATTTGTTTCTCTAATGATAGTTAGTAAATACTCAACATCGCTTAAATTTCAGAGGACTTGCTCGAGCACATTTGCAACATGGGCATATTTGCATTCAGTTTGTCGTTTTATACCTGAGAGTGTAAGTTTATAATTCAATGTGTCTACTAGGCGAGTACACGATCTTACAGGAAAGACAGTTAGGTCGACCTCTGTCACACTGCAGTTCCAGTTAGCTAAAGCTCAGAGGGGTTGCCAAGACGGTCATGAGCTAGGTAGTGCAGTATGATACTAACTGTCATGGCTTGAATGATAATTTATATTTTCATGGTAAAGCACTCAAATTGGTGGACGATCCTATCAAACAGTTCTGTCGATGCTAGGATTAAATTGGGGGCTTTGCCACTTGGCTGCAGACAAAATTCAAGTATGTCATTCTCCGTCTGGGAAAGCTTATTTTTCAATAACCAAAGGACCTTCAGATTCATTTGATCTCTTCAAAATCACAGTACCATGATAACAATATGACTTCCGCATATGTGAGGAACAGTATCACTAACTCGAAGTACCAATGCTCGCTAGTGACGTTTTAGACAACCAAAAGTAGAATAAGAGACCAACCTTAGTTTTCCTTTCCACACACTCTTCACAAGATAAAGTAGGCTTATTTCTTTTCTGTTTCTTCCTTGGTGGTTCGTATAAAGGTAATCCGTCGTGTTGCTTGGTTGTAACTGGAGAACCGGCGAATGTACTTTCGGTTGCCGCAGGTGACACTATAGGATAAATGGGAGATGATGGGTGCACTGGATCCATATCGGATAATGCCTGCTTCTGAAACACAATAATCCTCATACATAAACGTGTTTGCCAATTGCCTGTCCTGTGGTTGATGGGAATAACGTGTGGTGGAACGAGCACAGTGCGGGGATAAATTTACCTAGGTCATCTTACAAAGGTGTCGGGCTTTATCAATCATCACGTGTGTGCAACACTCGATGATTGACGACCCAAAATTCTAGCACCATTTGGCAACTGTCTAAGTGTATCCTGTCTTAAGATGTTCTCTCATGTTTGTTTCTCATGACATTTTGTCACCTGAACTTGCATTTTCTACATAAAATCATTGTAAGATTTACAGATCGTTAAATTTCACGTGGTGTGGGGTTCTCTTTAATGCCCCTGTCAGAACCATCGCGTCGCGCACGCGTCAACCTCACTTGGTACGAGTGTTCGATACAATTTGGCATTGAACAATTGAAATAATTCCGCACCTACGTATGAGAGCACAAGTATCTATTAACGACAATTCTTGCCAACTTATAGATTCTCATATCAGTAAAGATCCTTCCTTGTAAAGCTGATTTCATCACTAACTCAACGATGCAGAGGCTCCTTTCGAGTCAACCACAAGCACAAACTCTACAGAACACCACCAGACTTATAGACAATATGGCGGCTGTTTCTTCTCCAATCATGTACAAAGAGCCTATATCGCCCACCATTTCAAAGCGTTCGAGACCATCCATACCCGAGTCAAAGAAATCGAGAGCCGTGGGAGGTTTCGTACTTGAGGATGATTCCGATAGTGACAATGATGTTGCCCAAGAAGAGCCTGCGTCGAAGCGGAGAATGTTGGAATCACCCGGCTTACCAAGTCCGGACAGAGACGACGAAGTTTCCAGAGAAAGTACCATGAAAATTAGCGGAGAAGGTCGCGGACAATCTACAATTCAATCGGTATTAGATTCTATGCTGCAAGAACCAGACGGATTCGATAGCGTCACCGAGGCCACGCTTCCCACCTATAATTCCGAGTCTATTGCTATGGATGCTATTTCTGCTATGCCATCTGTTATCGCTAGTCGGCAGCTCAAGCGTTCGGACGCCATGACGTGCTCTGGAAAATCAGTATCTGTATCAAAAAAGGGACCAGCCAAACCAGTTTCCTTCGAACAACTCATCGCTGCTAGGTCAACAACAAAAGCCGGGCGTGCAAAGAAGAGTTATTATGGCATCGATATTCATGATCTTATTGAGGAATCTGCCAACGAAGCCAAAACGCCGGAAACGACAAAACCGAAGGAAGTGGATAATGTGTTGCCTACGGTAGAACATAATGGTACAACATCAAGACCGCGACGGACGCTGATGTGGACAGAGAAGTATAGGGCCAGGCATTTCATGGAACTCGTAGGCGACGATAGGACCCATCGTCAAGTTCTGAAATGGCTAAAAGCCTGGGATCCTCTTGTTTTTCCGAAGAGTGGAAAAGCAAAGCCAATTGCGCCAAAACATCCAAGCGCCATGGTTGGTGATGAGAAAACACACAGGAAAATTCTACTTCTTACTGGACCTCCTGGTCTAGGGAAAACCACGCTCGCCCATGTTTGTGCACGCCAGGCTGGGTATGAGATTATGGAAATTAACGCAAGTGACGAAAGGAGTAAAGATGTAGTCAAGGGTAGAATTCGAACAAGTGTAGGCACCGAAAGTGTCAAGACGGGATCCACGGTCACTTCAAAGTCAGGTCATGTACAGAAGAACGCCCATCCATTATGTGTAGTAGTGGATGAGGTAGATGGTGTCGTTGGTGGTTCTGGTGGCTCTGGTGAGGGCGGCTTTGTGAAAGCCCTCATTGATCTTATACAACTGGATCAGAAGAATTCGGCAGGGGTCACCTCAAACCCAGGGTATGCCAAAAAGAAGAAAAAGGGGGACGATTTCCGATTGATGCGGCCTTTGATCTTAATTTGCAACGATGTTTATCATCCCTCTCTTCGCCCCTTACGACATTCAAATCTGGCAGAAATTATTCACGTACGGAAGCCTCCAATTGATGCAGTCATTGCTCGTATGAAAGCTGTGTTCGAGAAGGAAGGTGTGTCTTGCGATAACGATGCCGTTCGAAGACTTTGCGAAGCTACTTGGGGCGTAAGTGCTGCCGAGTCACGGAAAGGACGAGAGGGTACCGGCGAAGGTGATCTACGAGGCATCATGGTAGTCGGGGAATGGGCAGCCACAAAACTAAAATCATCAAGTAAGGATGGTAAGGCACGATTGACGCGGAAATGGGTAGAACAGAATATGACAGGTGATCTCTCTCATGGAGGTGGTGGGGCAAGAGGTGTCGGAAGAGGCGGGGCCAAAGAACTTGTTAATCGAGTCTTTCTAGAAGGCGCCGGGTTTCCAAAGCCTTCACATTATGATCCAGCATCTAGCAACTCCACAGAGCAACCCAAATCACAATTGGGGGTTGCAGAACTCGCGAAGAAATCCGGCATGGACAGGCTGCGGGAGATGGTGGACACCAGTGGAGAAATCGATCGCATTGTTACAGACATTTGGTCGCAATATCCAAGTCAGCCATTCAACGACGATTCAATATTGTCTAAACCACATGCCGCCTACGAGTGGTTACACTTCCACGACTCTTGCTCATCTCGCGTCTTCACACGGCAAGAATTTGAGCTGGCACCTTATCTCAGTCAACCAGTACTCGCCTGCCATCATCTGTTCTCATCGCCCGCTCGCCACTACTTTGGAAATAGTAACGACACCAAGAAATGGGGTGAAGAAGAGGAGGCAGAAGAAATCCTGCCTTTCACAGGGCCACGAGCTGACTATGAAGCTTTCGAAGCGGAAAAGAACAATAGAGCAACCATAGTTGCTATGCAAGCAAGTTTGGACCCTCCGTTACTGCGAAGTTTCAGAAGTCCTGAAGACATAGCAACAGATCTGCTGCCGTCCCTTATCAGGATCATTACGCCAGAGGTGAAGCCGATTATCGTTGGAGGTAGTGGTGAGCAGAAGGGCATTGCTAGTGTCAGGAAGGAAGCTGAAAAGGCAATGGTAAAGCGGGCCGTGGATGTCATGGGCGATGTAGGTGTCATATTCGAGCGTGGTAAACTGGACGGCGATTTTGGAAGTCGGGCGACGCAGTGGGTGTATCGCATGGAACCGTAAGTTTACAACAACTGTTTCCCAAAACCTCAAAGACTGACAATTCTAGACCGTTAGATATGCTGGTCACTTTTGAGACGGCTCCAACGCCAGCCTCGGCCGCTGCGCCCGTACGATATGCTGTCCGACAGGTTTTGGATCAAGAGTACCAGAAGAACATCATCGTTCGTGAGAACTCAGCGCGTCAAGCCCGCTACAGGGCCGGCAATCTCAACGACGATGTTGATTTTGCGTTTGCAAAGTCTAAGGAGAACAAAGGTCATCATGCCGAGGAAACAGTTATTGGACCCAAGAAAGACTTCTTTGGCCGCTTGGTAAAGGAAGATCCATTGCCGTTACAGGAAATTGACGGCAATCCTATATTGGATACGAAGAAGGGGAAGAGTGGGAAAGACGAGAAGAAGATATGGGTTACTTACCATGAAGGGTTTTCCAATGCCGTTAAGAAACCCCTTACGGTGGAGGAATTGTTTAAAGGACTGTAGATAGGCTCTGTATAGTGTGGAGATATTCTACCGAATCCGACGGAACTTGATGTGGTTCTTCACATAATCAATTGATAGGGTTAGGTTCATTGTGTATACAAAGCCTCGTCTCTGGACTACGAGTAATGAGAAACCCAATAGTATCCGCCTGATTGATTCAGAAGGCCTGGCTTCGAAGAACTTGGTGGTGTACAGAATTGAACTTAATTATTTAATCCTCTGCAGCCGATTGATTACCATGTCAAGCATTGGAACAATGGACTAGTCCGAATACAATTCACTTCGAAGATCGCCGCCATCCACAATTTCCTTCACGTCTAGGGTTCGTAAGTGCCTCATGCTTTTCTCCAGTCTCAAGAATACCTTTTAAGACGCAGGCTTGGGGTAATCTCAAGGTTGAGAATTAATGTTACCAAATATCTTCTCGCTTATAACCGACAAGAGCCCAGACTCCTTTTTGCCTCATTTTCTCAACCCTTCCCTCAGTTCAAAGGTGATGCTCGTCTTCCTCTTTATTTCGGTATCTGGGGTATGCTGAATATCTTCCATCAGCTTTTTTTTCAGTTCACTTGATCAGGTCGCATCCCTCATAACCGACAGAGAATATACTACCTGTGGGTGAGGGCTACTACCTATTTTCGAACCGAACGGACTCACATTTGCTTAACCCTTCATTTAGTCCGCTTAGCATTGTGTCCACGCTCGATTCATTTCTCAATTCTTGCAACTCGCATCCCTACAGACCTCACTATCGGATCGCTCCAACCCATTTGCCCAACAACGAAGCATGATATATTTACGATACACGGAAAGAACTATTTACATCTTTATCTGAACACTGCTTGTGAAACACATCGTGCACATGTCCGATTTGAATGGGAGTCCTGCTACTGGGGCAGAGAAGAGTATCACTAGTAGTCAGGGCGTTGATCCGTATGGGTACTATGCTCAAGGTATTGTCACCGATCACAGAGTTCTCTAAATCAAAACGCTTGCTTACCGATTTTGAGCATATGAAGAGCAAATCACAGGAGGACTTACAGAGTCGCCAGAACCTGAGAACGCTACAAGATCGAAGAATATAATTCTACCACAATTTACAAAGATAGTTGAGGACGACCATGATGCCGACATCTCCAGCCTCGAATCAGGAACCGTTCTTGCAGGCACACCATCTTCCCGCGAATCCAAGCGAAGAGACCGAAAACGCCGCGAACAACATAGACAACGTCTTCGACGACCACGTAGTAGAGTTTCTGAACTTGAACAATCCGTGAAATCATGGAGACGCCATGTCGACCGAGAACAACGACTAGGAGAGGCACGTACACGGAGACCACCACATATGCAACGTCCACCAGATATGCAACATAGGCAGAGCCAAATAGACGAGTGCCAGTCTCTGATAAGATATCCGGGCACATTTAAGACACCAATAAAAATCTCGGAGAAGAGGAAGAGGTTGAAGGCGACTTTGACGGAATTTGTTCCTCAAGGTTGTGAGAGGCAGGGGAATGATCAGCTTGGGTCTCGGCTTCCAATTTACCTTCCGTCGACGTATTATCACAATGATCCTGGGGGTCATTCTACTCAACAATTGAATAACGAATTCGCACCCGTTGGGCCAAGCATAAACTTGAAGCAACCAGCACATCAATCGGAACCACCGAAATGGATTCCAACACATCAATACGATACCCAAAATATTCACAGGGCAAGACATCATAGCCTCGCACCACAATCGAACAACCAGATGGTTTTGTATCGGCAAACTCCCATAGCGAAGTCTGTACCTATCTATAACCAAAACCTTTACAGTTGCAATCAAGGCCCTCAGCTGAATACGACGTCAGGCTATAGGACTTTCCAACAAGGCTTGAACAGTTTTCAGCCAAGCTATCCGGGCTTCAAAAATAACCAGACGCAAAACATGGCAGGCCCTGGATCATCTCAGCAAAATTGGAATACTTCGCAAATAAGATATCCAGACTTACAGAACTTTCAGCAGCAGGCCTATACGCCTAATATCCTCAACACTAGCTTTAACAATGAGATGGCGAAGGGCGAGATAAATCAATACAACAATTTTCACTATCCAGCACACGCAGCATTTCAATATCCACAACCACAGTATCGCACAATAGACACCCTTCCGCTTCAAAACCACCAGTTTCAGCACAACAACACCCAACTCGACCATAAATTTCCCAGTAATACCCAGGATATAGGACACTGGGCCCAGCCGCAGCACCTAGGAGTTGACACTTATGATTCTCGCTTTAATGCTCGCGAGTGGCAACCGAAGCCGACTGGCCAAACAAATGCTGATTTTCAGTTGCAGAACCAAGAAAACTTTCAACTACAACCACAGATTCAGGGGAGTACAGGTTTGTTGCCTTCTGCAACATTTCACGGTGCCGATCACGGTGGAAACTATAGCCAAGAACAAAACCAAGACCAAGTACAGCAACAGCACAGAAATAACACAAAGATACAGGATGGGTATACTGTACAGCAGAATCCAAAGCGCTCCACTACGTCTTACGGTACTGGTGATGTTGGAAATTACAACCAAAACCAAGACCAAACACAACAACACCGCGGAAACAATATGGATGAACAGAATAGTTATGCTGTACCACAAAACTCGAATGCCTTAGTTACATCACAAAATTTTCCTTCGTATACTAGCCCAGGTGGTTCGTATCAGCAAATCTGATATCCACCTCATCCCAATATCCGCCCGCCTCCGCCTCACCGTCAACTCCTCCAACCACGCACCCTTCCACGCCTCAACCCACCACAATCCTCAATCACTCCCAACCTACAGCAATAGACCCCCAGAGCACTATGAATCCCCCAAAACACATAAACGCTCCGCCACTCCAAAACCGCCTTGAAGTGCGCAACCCGGATTTAGCGCTTCGGATCCGGGCCGCGTTGCATCGAATTGGATTATATCCGGTGTTGATGTCAGATGGGAGGGTAGGCTGATGAGAAAGCAGGAGGAGAAGGGAGGTGGTATATAAGATGGTATTCCATGGCTATTCGATTCGCATACATACAGCTCAAACATTCATCCGAACTTATCTACCACCTCAACGCCACGAACAAGATATATCAACACCACATCTCCAACAAGATCCCCAAACCAACCCAATCTAACATCTTCCGTCATACAAATCACAACTCCCCTCCTCCAACAAAATGCACATCCTCATCCTCGGCGCAACCGGCCGCGTCGGCTCCAGAATCCTCGCCGCCGCCCTCTCCCAAAGCCACACCGTCACAGCACTCGTCCGCAACCCGTCGTCTCTCCCAGGCCAAACCGGTCTCACAATAATCGAAGGCACGCCTCTCAAAGAAAGCGACATCCTCAGAGCCATCACCTCTTCCCCAGCCCCAATCGACGTCGTAATAACTGCACTCAACAACCCCCGAAAGACAGGCTCTCCCTTCGCGGCATCCGTCGGACCGGCTGATTTCATGGAGAATTGCGTGAGGAATTTGGTGAGTGTGATGAAATCCCAGGGGATAGGAAGGGTGGTGGTGTTATCTGCGTTTGGGGTCGGGAGTTCGAGTGAGAATGTGATTGCGCCGATGAGAATGATATTAAAGCATTCGAACGTGAGTGTTGGACATAGGGATCATGCGAGGGTTGAGCAGCTGTTGCGGGAAGCGAAAGGACTGGAGTGGACGGTCGTGAAGCCTGCTATGTTGACGGAGGGAGAGGGGAAGGGCGTTAGAGAGTTTGGGGAGGTGGGGGCGGGGATTGGGTGGATGCCAAAGGTGAGTATGGAAGGGGTTGCGAGTTTTATGGTTGAGTGTGCGGAGAGGGAAGGGAGGGGTGCGAGGGTTGTGGTTGTTGCTGAGTAGAGGGGAGGAGGTGGGGTCTTGGAGTTTGGGATGGTGAGCGTTGTGTGTTGGCGTTTATAGAGGCATATTATACATATTATACATATTTCGTATCCTACATTTTTCTGCTGGAATCTGCTGTCTAGGATGACTCAAGACCAGGACTGACCAAAATCCCAGTCCAAGAGTCCAAAATCGAACTTCTGGAATTGGAGGCTGTCAACTGACATGTCGTCAAGCGGAAGCGATCCGTCGGCATAGTGTTGTGGCATGAGATGAGATCCCACGTTATTTGTGGTTTCCTGCATGGAAGGTGTTGAGAGCTAGAATATGTTAGCATGTAAACAGACTTGTACTATTGACCGAAATTTAATTTATAAGAATGTCCCAAGAATCATGCTTACCATCTGACTATTCGGGGTGTGAGCGTTCGACGGGTGAGGGCTGTAATCCCACGAAACGCGAGCGTCAGGGACAGCTTTTCGACAGGCAAGAAGAACGCGCTCTATTCCTTGAATCATAAGCCTTCTTTGACCTTCTGATGTTCCGTCCGATCTGACAGAATGAAGAACAATCGAAAGGGGTAGAATGACTTTGAGATCGCTTCCAAACTCTCCAATTCTCTGCAGGTAACCATTCAACGTGTTTTCAACTATTCTTGTCAGACTATGTTTAGTCCATGGCGTAGATTCATCATGAATGCTCGACTGTTCTCGACCGGGAGTTCTGAATGAACGTATCTCGTAGCATAGAAGCAGCGCAGCTTGGTTAATATCGTTCTTACACAGGATGTGAAACACGTTTAGATAGTTCTTCGACTTTATAGTGTCAAGATCAGCAACGGCCGGATCCAAAGCATCTAGGTGAGAAAGAATCGCAACACATCCTCTGAGATTTCCTTTTCGTGTTTCCAGGAAGTTCGATCCCTGTTCACTCAAAGTGACTGTTCTGTACAGCGCTAGAGAATATCTTCTAATGAAAACGTCGAGAAGGATATTGGAGAAGAGTGTATGCCGAGGTTTTGTACGTGGCGGTAAAGTACCTTGCAGCGCTTGATGATTTTGTTCAAGTGATTTGGCTCTCGAAAGGATATCTTCTGCATCGTTGTCAATGTCGATGTTTCTGGCAAGGATATTTGCTGTATCAAGTCGTTCGTTTAGGGACGATGCAAGAATGATCTGTGGCAAGGCGTCTGTCCAAATAGATTGTGGTTGAGGATTCGGGTATTCTATCATACCTTCCGTCAGATCCTCGTCATCGATGTTCAGCAACGGCTTCAAGCTAAAATCGGTCGATTGAATTGCAGGAGGCAATCCGATAGCAAGCGAGAACTGCAAATCTAGTTCAACAATTGTTTGCCAAATCTTTCTTCGCTGCTCTTTCTCGAAGAGTGACATCCCTACAATGCTTTCCGGATCTCGGTGAAGGCCCATGACCATACCGACGCGGACGAGACTTCCAGAATCCTTCCACAGCTGTGGAAGCGGCTTCATTTTGTACATATTTGCAATGAGTAAGAGTGTTTCGACTCGAATGACAGGTAGGGTAATCCGCTGCTTTCCCTTTAAGCCCTCAAGCCAGCACTTGACTAGCTCAAGATACTGAGATATTAAAGCTTCGGGAAGCTGCTGCACTCCTGCCTCGCTCGTATCGCTCAAACGAGAAGAAATCGTCAACGTGGCCAGTAGCTGAGCAAGAGTAGCCTCGGAAATATGAGCTGGCCTCCTTGAAGTTGGATTTTGGCGCATAATCGTGATTTCCCAGCAAACTTTCGTGTACTCGGGAATATGGACTACCCTCAAAACGTTTTCTAGGTTGGATGTGTATTTCCTGGCCAACGAATTGATAGTTGAGTTATCTGGCAATGCTTGCAGCATTTGTGAGAACATTGCTTCGCTAAGAGAATACTGGCCGACAGATCTGATCTTAGGGTTCAGAATACTGTGGTATTTTGAGATTTCGGTCATTGTAGCAGCCACTTCACTATCGCGGAAACTAGCATACAAGAAACTTTTCTCATCTGCGAACTGCTAACAATTAGCTGTTGTCGACAGGTATCAAATACTTGCTAGATATGGATAGATTTATTATTCATCTGGTTTGGAATGATGCAGTACTAGCATGGTTGAAGGGCATTTCATGTTTCGTATGATAGTCTTTTCACCCCCGCGGATTTCCTTTCCGTTCTTGAGATGATGGATATAGAACTTACATGGTCAAGTAAAGCCCTTTGATTCCCAAGTCCAACATACTTCGATCTTGAGCCTTGAATATAGACCTTTCCAGAGGGCGCTGGCGATTTTCTCTCACCAGCTACCGTCCTTTCTCGAACGGCCAGTGGATCTTGGGTCAGGTGTTCATTGCTTCTGACCTGTGAAGGAATGACTTGTTCCCCATTTCCCCAACTGGCAAGGTTAGAAACCTCTACTCTAGGTCTCTTGACCATTCGTTCGCCGTTCTCAGCCCCTTCTCCGGCGGGCGTACCGGGTCCAAAGGCATAGGTGCAGAGAGCTTCTCGGCCCAGTTTCTTGCATTGCATACACGGCTGAGTACGGTCGCATTTGAGCTTCTTCCGACGACACTCGAGGCATGATTTGGTGGGGCGAGCGCGCTTCGATTTGGATTCTGCTGTTTTTGGCGATGTTGCCGGAGGTGATGACATTTTGAGAAGGAGACGGGAGGATGGAGTTAAGGCTGCTCAAGGGCTGATCACGACAGGCAACTCCGATCTGTTCGCATTTGACGCTTCCGGCCCCACAATTGTATGTAATTGTTGCAAAGGAATTGCAATTGTAATGGGAGGTATTGGGATAAGTTCGAGAACCTTTTTTACTCTCATTTCTTTCCTCAGAGGCATGATGCGGCGCATGGCCGGAGCTCCGAGTCGGGTTTAGGCAAGTCGGCGCCGACCTCGATGCCCGAAAGAACATGACTTACGCTTCACATTCGAAGCTATTCGATCTTTGACATCCGCTCTTGAAATGGAACTTCTAACAGAATAGTAGAAAATTGCCCATCTTAAACCATACTCTGAAATGCATTTTTATAGGTACTCTTAACAGCCGGAGGTGGAGGGAGATAGATAGGAGCCCAATCCGGACCTCATTTAGGTCAAATAGTCTTTTCCAAAGAAATCAATGAAAAGCGCTATCTTTTACTTTTACTTCAGCGCAAATGTAGAGTCCGAAGTCAAACGTAAGAGCAAATATCTTGCAAATTTCGACGGGTGATAACTCACTCCCTGCGAATAACACATGATATCACGTGCACTTAGCTCAGGCATCTCTTTTGTGGCCTGAGATGGGAGGTCTGTCTGGTTTGAGCATCACTCAACGACGGTCTTTCCACCGCAACAACTTCACGAATACCAAACGACGTTCACCAGTGGTGCAACGCATCGATATGGTATCTGAGCTTCAACCAGGTCAAGCACTCGTTGTCAGCATGGAGTTGGTGTGACAATAGTCTGTCCTGGACATTGTTGCACCTCCAGAGTCCTACCTGCAATGGGCCTCATAGTATGTATACCCCCACCCAGTCTCTCTCTTGTTCACCCTCTTTTCGCTGAGAAGATCAGGTTCATGCGAGCATCTTTCAAATCACTTCATCTATTCTGATTCAGCATTCTCGTCACGTTGTCCTTCATTTTCCTCTGTAACGCTCTCTCCTCTGATGCACCTGCCACCACATCTCTCGCTTCCGCTTCCCGTTACGTTTTTACTAGCGCCAATGGGATTGATCTTGTAAGTTCTCTCCCCCAACCACGCGCTTTCCACCAAAACATCAACACATCAAACCCGAGTTCATCTATTTTCGACCAACGGACCTCAAATCAAACCACATATTCTACATTCGATATTTTCAACAATGGCCGGTGGTAAAGGAAAATCTTCAGGCGGCAAGTCCTCGGGAGGTAAGGTCGGCGCAGATGGAAGCAAGAAGCAGCAATCTCACTCTAGCAAGGCTGGACTTCAGGTTAGTAATGCGCAACTCGAGCACTTGGTTTGGAAGTCTTCTGCGATGGTATCTTGAAAGGATGAGGTTATCGTCGATTCCGAAGCGCGAGCTATTAGGACCCCGCCATGTCGCGTCATTCATGTCAACAACTACCTCAAACCGGTCAAACACCTCGAGAATGCGATTAGAAGTCGACATGGCTATGTGATTACGCCTGCGGACGCTCTCGTTACTCTATTCGTATTGGTGATGATGTTCGCGACGCGACTGGGTCTCACATGCATGCGCAAGCTACATCGACTCGAAAACGAAAATCCTTTCAAAATATCTCGCGCACTCGAAACGTCCCATAAATGCATTCACAACAGGCGGCTATACACGCCATCTACAAACGCTAATTTGGTATATGTCTAGTTCCCTTGCGGTCGTGTCAAGCGTTTCTTGAAGAACAACACCCAAAACAAGATGCGCGTAGGAGCAAAGGCAGCCGTATACGTAACAGCAGTTCTCGAGTACCTCACAGCTGAAGTGCTCGAACTCGCAGGAGTAAGACTACCCATATCTGCCTAATCTGCGCCATGCTAACATATGACTCCCAGAACGCTGCCAAGGATCTCAAAGTCAAACGTATCACACCCCGCCACCTACAACTCGCCATTCGCGGTGACGAAGAACTCGATACCCTTATCCGCGCAACGATCGCCTTCGGAGGTGTCCTACCACATATCAACCGAGCGCTGCTGTTGAAGGTTGAGCAGAAGAAGAAAAACAAGGCTATCGAGGCCTAAATATCTTCACTCACGACGAGTATCTTGGTCTAGTTTTGGTTTTCTTTGTTTTTTTCTGGGTTGGGTACAGAAGCAGGAGGTGTATGGGAATTATTATTGCGCTGTTTTTTTTTTTGACAGTGAATGGTTATGAGATGAAAGCAGATGGTATGAATACATCTCAATGGGCGTTTCTCTCTGGTCCCCCGAATGATGGTAGAGTGGCAGGAAATGGAATGTGGCGGTTGTACTATTACAAGTTGATGGATTGTCGCGCTACTCAGAGGTGTCGTTTTGGTCACATTTTCCACTCTAATGCTGATCAAGTTTCTGACCAGGGCCCGAAATCTTATTACACCAGTGACTTTTGTGATTTGGTACCTTTTTCCATGTAAACGTCGTGTTATTGTGTCATTCCATCTCGCTACTTTCTGTAAAGCCAAGGATAGCGGATGGGTGGCCTCAGTCCCATAACGACTACTGCCTAGCTCACCTCACGTCGATGGCCAATTTCAGTGTACCTACTTTTGAAGATGTGAAATGTCTCCTAATCACACTATCTGAGGACTACTATCTCTATCTCTATCTCTCCCTCCTCAGTTCCTAAATGTAGTTTCATCTATCCATGTCTCTTTCAAAACAAATACGTCGAAAGCACAGCCCGCTTGGGGTTTCGTGGTAAATCGTGCAGTGATATGAGGATTTTCATGCACAGTAAAAAGTAAAATGGTAGGAGTCTATGAGATATCATGGCTGGTTTTTGGTGATTCGTGGTGGAAGCTTTGGGGATTGAGTTGTAGATTAGAGTATGTCTGTGTAATGATGTCTTGCTTTCCTCTGAAATAGACTTAATGTATTAGGGAGTCACAACACCAGCGAGAAACGGTTCCTGTATCAGAGTTTGAATGATATTCCAGGAGATGGAAAAGACATCTTGATTCTTGGTATGGAATAAGGCTATTAGTACATAAATATTTGCCAGGCTCGAAAGCTGGTTTACTCGGGTCTGTACAGGAAATATTATATAAAGAGAGTCTTTATTAAATAGAAGGAATGTTTTAATTTGGTGTATCGACAAGGTATTTCCTGATGGTTCGAACGGACTAACCGCCGTACTACCGTCTAAATCTAATAACTAACTTCCACACTTCCTACGCAAAAACAAAACATATCTCTAATGACTTTCCCATGATCTCCAATCCCGGTGAAATCCCATGTATTCTCCAAATAATTCACCTATATCCAGGGTATGTCAGAATCTCCCTCTTCAAATGAGTAAATGATCTCCCACTCTCTAACCTGTAAATCTAGAACAGATGAGAACATATCTTCGCATGAATTTCACATTCCCCCTTAGAAACGCGACTGATGTAACAATTCCTCATTGTTGAGCACAACTAGATCAAGCAAAAATATTTGTAAATAAAACTCAATAGAATACATGTAGATGCGAAGAACAAACTACAGCTCCCTCATATCCGTCCATTCCCCCCAAAAAGTCCCTAGCATTGAAACCACCCCATTTTTTCACTTCCAACCCCCCAAAAAATCTGTCCAGTTCAAATCCAGATTACCACAAAAACACAAAAACCAAAACGCAAATATAGCAAATGTAAAAACGTATTCAATAGATGCAGCAGAAAGTTACAATAGACAAATAGAGCTACGCAAAGCAAGAAGTCCATTTCCAATCCAATATCACGGTTTCAAACCCAAGTACACGACGCAGCAATTCGTTACTTTAATCTTCTCGTTTCATTCTCGTCGTTAAATGTGTGTGTGTGGAAAACTGGATGCGGAAGTTTAGACTTGACTTGATGTGTATATATGTATATGGGCTCTAATCATATGGTTTTGCAAGAGCTGTCTGTCCAAACGGGAGGGGGTGATGGTTGCACCCTATAATTAGTCGTCGTATCAAGCTTCTTCCAGATCCAATCCCCGGGCCTAGCGCAATTGCCTCCTCTTTCTGTATGATGTATTCCAATGAATTCAGATCTCCTCGAGTATCCTGTATACCCCAAGCCTTGTAGGTTGTGTGGTAGTTTGTAGCGTTTTTAAGGGAGAGGGTCATGGCAGCGTAAGTCGTGATGGTTGCCCAATCGCTGTAATGGTATGATTTCACAAATGGTATCCTAGTCGTTCAAACTTCATGCGATTTTTTTGCGATCATTTCATAGCCGAGTCGGACTTAGGGATATTAAGACTCGGCTTGTATTGCTTTTGTTGAGAATCGAAGTCCAGAAGAAAGCAAATTCGTCCATTCGTCCGGGATATAATTTCCCGTATGCAGTGCGCAGTAAAAGCGCAAATATATATGTACTAACGCCGGTATAATGAGAGATAGCGGGGGTCCATCGACAATCGAGCAGGTGGCCGAGAGGAGAGACGTTGTAAAGTAAACTAAGCAAAACATGCGTGAGGAAGCAAAAGGTAGGACGGCGGTAGATCAAGGCATGATATGTTGTGATGACTGGTATAGCGAGCTAGAGATCTGGGATGGGTAGCGATGGCTTAAGCGGTAGAGGTGGCGATGACTCGAGTGCTAATCGCGGTGGTGTACCAGAAGGCTGGTCACTTTGGTGTTCTGCTTCGGGTAAGGAAGATAGGATTGCTCAATGGTATCGACCGTTAGCGTTTCGATCGGAGGAATCTTGTACTCTGTTATCATCCCAGTCTCTTTCGATACTGTTCAGGTCAAGCTCACCACTTCCTTGATTTCGATGTCCATTTTGACGAGGTCTAGCAAATCCAGAACCCCACTCACTGACTGGACCACGAGGTTGTCGTTCTGGAACTGCCGAAGTACCGTTTCGCGAACTGTCATCGTAGGTATTCCCATTAACCGGGCGGTGGCTTCCAATTGGGCCGGCGTTGGAAGGATGATTGTCCCTCTCCTGGCCAATCCGTCCATTCGCTCTGACGGCAGGACGATCAAATCCAATGGTCATGCTGTTCAACCCATTAACGAGGAAGCTTTCGTTGCGATCATTCATCTGGCCTCCAGCCGAGGTTGGTGTCAGGTTTGGTGTTCCCGATGCTGCAGAGGAGTGGCCGTAGTCAGTATATCGAGCGATATTTTGAGAAGGGTTGGTCGGATAACTGGCAACAGACTGAGCGGGTGAGGGTGTATACGAACGTAAATCAGCGAATGATTTCGCAGCTCGGAGGTTGTGAGCCGCGCTAAGTCCTAAGCCTGGAGAGGCAGGAATGTCCAAAAGTCCAGATCCCTGGCGGCCTAGAGTGTGGGGATAGTATCCGGCCTCGTTTTCTCGTCTCTCAGCAAAGTCAATGGTAGCAGCTCGGTTGAGCCCACGTCGCTCGTTGTTGTAAAATGTTTGAGGAATAGACGGAACAGCAGGGCTGATGGTGCTTTGACGGGTTTTGAAGATTTGAACACATCGGCTATCACCAGCACCCTCGGATCGATGCTCTAAACCCATGTTGTGTGCGAGAGTATGAATGATCTTTCTATCGTGGGGGGAAACGGTACTTGGGAAAACTAGAATCTCGCGGTTTGAATCAGTCTTGAAGACAGTAAGTTCGGTGAAATAGCCCAGTGTTGAAGGATCATTCATGTCAACCCCAGCGATGCTGCCTGTTGGCCCTGAGCTGCTTGCGTGATAATCGCCGCCTTTCCCACGAAGTTGGACTGGGGATGGCGAGGCAGGAATATGGCTCGAGTGCAGCGAGTTCATAGACGTCTGAGAATGAAGAGGTGGTGCGGAGCCATTTCCAATCGGGCGATGTTGCTCCTCTAGTTGGCCACGACGCTCTCTCTTGTCGCGCTCGATTCGCTCTCTTTCATGTGCTGGTAGCATCTTCTTGTATTCAACCCTTAGCTTACGTCCCTGTAGATCCATGTGGTTCATAGCATCTATGACAGTGGATGTTTCCTCTGGGGTTGTGAAGTTCGCGAAAGCTAGCCCTCTGAAAACACCATTATCAAAGTGGTAGTTGAATGCATATGGCAAAGGAAGGTTCATCTCTGTCATCAAGGCAACAAGCGACTCTTTCTTGACGGCGAAAGGAATGTTCTTGATGACGATAGCAGTTGGAATGAGCTCATCGTGGTCAGGAGGAGTAGAAATTCGAGGATGATGTGACTGCATTTGCGGTTGACTGTATTGACTGTTGAGCTGGTGGCTATTGATCTGATGAAGACCGGTGTTTGGCATGGGTGGTGGCATTTGGCTAGAATCCATCCAGCTCTGTATAGATTAGTACAATAATTGAAGTGACGATTTCTTAAGATAGCTTACGGAAGGAAGATTGGTTCTGCGCGCACTCGAAGGCTTGACACGACCCGTACCGCCCATGGTGCTCAGGCCGCTGATACCGCTCATACCAGAGTTTACGTTTCCACCTCCATAATTCCATGTCTGGTTGTCATAAGCATAATTGTTGGTGTGTTGAAGTGTCGCAGGCGGAGCTCTGTCAAATCGTGGAGCGCTATCGTACCGTCCTCCTGAATGATCTTCCTGCGCGTACAATCCTTGAAGCTGTTGCGAGCCATAGTTGTCAAAGTGTCTCGAGGGTTGGCGATTCAAATTGGTATTCAAGCCGTTGTAACGAGAGGTGCCGGGAGAGCGGTTGGAGGAAAAGTCCTGATACATATCAGGGTATTGTTGAGACATCTTGGAGATCTGAGTAGATGCAAAGCTGGGGAGCTATGGTTGAGAGAGAGGATGTTTTTGTTCGGCCTGCAAGGTATGCAAGGAGCCGGCAGTGGCACGCAGTCGTTGTTCGAAAATGCCTGGTCTGCCCCGAGCTGTTTGAAGCTCCAACAGCTAGGACGACTGCAGTAGCTGCGGCAGGACAATAAGGGAGATGTGCAGTTGAGCTTCGGGTAGCTGTGGGAGGGTTTGTCGTGGGCGCGATGTTGGTTGGAGAGCTCAAAATGCCCTTTCGTGACGAGGGACGGTGGTGGTTTCGGTACTTGCCTCGCTGGGGAAACCTTTTTCTCCGTGCAGCTGGCGGACGGGTGGTACGTAGAAATCGCGACAGGTCGTTCAGTCGTAAGGGGGCGCTCGTCGTGAAATCGTGTGCGCTCGGCGGGTGCGAAGAAGCTGTCGAGATCGCGTTCGAGGTGTGAGAGTCTCGCGATGGAGATGGAAGAAGAAGGAGTCGCAGTCTGTGAGGAGGAGGACAGGAAATGGGTTTGGGTGCTGGTGGTTTTTGTGAGCAAGACTAGACAGACGTAAGGTGAAGGGAGCAGAAGCGCTAGGTCGTTTAGGGGTAGATGGAGATGCAAGTGCGGGTCCGAAAATGACCACCAGTGCAGAGCGAGCAGAGCTTGGGGCCAGGAGGTCATCGGTACGGAGTAGGGGAACGAGGACGGGAGTTGGCAAGGAACAGAAGTGCATAAATCTCACGACCACCAACGTTTGATAGAGCTGCTCGTGCTGCTGGGGAGAAAGGCTCAGCTCGTCGAGTTTAATTACATCTCATGATCGAGACTGCAGATTGTGCATGGAATTCGACATTTCGTCCATCCGGCTGCGTAGGATTTCGATCTGGACGACTCACACATAGCGCAATCATATTCTACTAACTTCTTGTCACTTCTCACAAAGGCAAATCCTCTTACGAGTATCACTTGGTGGCCACGGACATGGAGACCTAAGTTCTCGTTGGCCTGGCGCTCAGGATACCCAATGCTGCACAAAAGCTGCATACAAGTGCGAAAGCCGGGACGTTGGGCTGCAGAGCGCTGTGTTACGGTTTCTCCAGATCTCATAGCTCTCACTTGGACGATTCTTGGTTGGTACAGACAGTGCTAAAGATCGATGTACTTCCCAAGAGTTGACTTGGGACTATAACAGTGTACAAAGCAAACTCTGGGATCAGTGGGATGGCGGTCTCCAGCTAGACAAAATAGATGGCAGAACCTCCTTGCTATCCTGTAAACTTGAAATATACTTTAGTGCAGATAAGTAGCTGAAATTGGAATGTCATTTGAAATCAAGTCGGAGATATTATATCTATTTAAGAACTTGACAAAGTATCGTATATTTTGTTAATTGTTCCAAGCAAATATCGTGCTACGACTGCCACTTATCTTGTCCACCGCGAGGGCGTGGTCTCTCCAGTTCAGTCGTTTGACATACGCAAAAATGGTGTGAATTAGGGGCAAATAGCTGGTAGACCCGGCAGACTGGGTTCTCAAATTTGAGGTTGTAGTTGAATGGAGTCGGGAAAATATCAACGTCGATCATTGAATGAAGGCGCAATTATAAGAGCACCGGTGGGGTCCGACAAACAAATATCCCGAGGACAATGAAGGTATTGAACTTCCGGTCACACACTGTGGCACATATGTAACAGGCGACCGAAGAAGCTCTAGTGCATTTGAGGAAATATATCTGCGTAGAAAGCATATCGTTTACACCATGTACTGTAGTTCTATGTACCTGTACATTGCTATTAGGAATTGGTATCCTTCGCTTGTCGCAGGCCATCCGACCATTTAGGGGCAGATGCTTGTTCGAACAGTATGAGAAGTCCTTCGTTGCAAGCTCGAAGTCTCAACGTATTATCCTTGCATTGAAATTTCTGTTCGGACGGTAATATAACTTCCAAATCAGAAGCCCCAGAAGAGATACCAAGGACCTCAGTTGGCCTCCACTCGCAATACTTGCCTGTCTCGTCATTGGTAATTGTTTTCCAGTTGCCCGTTCTGACTCCTGACTCCAGACTCGTCGCTAAACATTGAGCCACACGGCTTCCAAGGGGTCATGTTCTAGTGGAGTGAGTGGCTCTACGGGCCCATCCTCTGGTGCAGCAACTGACTGCAGCATGTCCAAACAGGCGAACCATCGCATGCAGCACACGCCTATTGGTGCTCATCGAGTGTATGACAAGACGTTCCTGTAGCATCGGTTGGTCAGATACAACAAGGTCTGTCGACCTCTGGATTGACGAAGACCGGTTTCACTCTAGAGGACTCATCAAGAATACGAAGCAGAAGAAGCAGGTGAACTGGACGACAGCGACGCCAGACTTCGACCCAGATGACCTCGCTCTGCGCTTCCAAAGCTGATCGTCCCAGTGGCACCAGGCGGCAGAGACGCGCTTTCGACAAAACTACTTTCTTCTTTCGTGTTGCGGATGCAGCGGCGCGGATGTTCGAAAGAGGAGGTTGATGTCGAGGTCGGGCTCAGCAAAACCTGCAGCTAAGGGATATACTTGACCTTTATATGCTTCTTCAAACCCTCCCACCTACATCATTCCCAGTATTAATCTAATCTGCAGCGGAGCCGACAATGTCAAGAACGACGTGTCGCTTTTCGTCGTGCTTCAAGATATGCGAGGGCAAGACCCCTTGATAGTCGGTTGGTCTTATTGCAGTCTTTGCTATAATTCTTCGCTGCCTCCTATGGCTCTTTAGCATTAGGACATGCGTCGTGAAGAGAGTATTCTGGAAAAAGGAAGACAGCTCACCGCATAAAGCACTAACACTGCAGTGTTTAAGATTGAATTCGATAGTTCAAAGTGTCAAAACGCCATTCTAGAAGTAACAAACATTCCTCACATCACACGGAAGCTTACTGGTTGTACCAGCAAGGTACTTGTACTTCAACACCCGAGTCTACGGGCTTGTAAACAAAACTGTCAGATTCTGAATCCTCTAGAGAAGTCGGGGCAACGACCACAAAGTCACAGACCCTGACTCCACTTGCCATGTGGACGATGGCGCCCAACGCCAGCATCTCTTTTGCTTTTTCTCAAATGATATGACGCCAGCCAAAACAAAAACAAATCACACTAGAGACAAGCCTAGCAACGCCTCCTTCAAGTTGATTCAGTTCTGTGCGGCCGCTTTGCAACAAGCGTTCTTCTCCCAAATTTAGGGCATATCTAGCAACTCGGGTCGCGCCGCGTTCTTCTTCTGGAGATCAGACGACTGGCACAGGGTTTGCGGCTGTAAATTCCGAGGCGTTGAGGAAATGAGCACAGGTCAAGAGGCGGGGAGGGGATCGAGATCAGTTGGGTTGAGATGCACGCAATGATAATAAAAAGCTGATATTACCATGGTCAATGATATTCCTGCCGCATTTTCAATATCAGTCGGCAAGGTCTTTGAGACCGCGTCAAAGTTCATTTCTTTTCTCGCTCTCTGCTTCTTTTCCAAACTCCACATTCAATTTCCATGGACTTCTCCAAACGACGACTTGGTTCGGAGATCATCATGCACCACCCCTCCAACGTTCACTTCAATTGAAACACCCACGTGAACGCCGCTCAAGAGAAAGGGGTACTTCGAAGCGCGATCCGGAGCGCTCTAAACGGCCTCGGGACTTGTTCCGGCCATATACCGACCACCTACCGGAAGCCTTCCACAGATCATTAATTTCAGCCCAAGCAGACCTCAAGGCTCATGGAGTCAAAAGAGTAAGATCAAGGAAGATTAAAGTACGGGAGACGTCAGATGTCTCTGATCTAATTCTCCATGCCTGGAACGGTTACATGGCTAATAAATGCCTTTAGAAGGACTCGAATTTGTTACAATGCCACGAAGTTAATTCATTGGTCAAGTCTGTGCACGCTACCGGTTTCTCTGATTCTGGGCCTTATCAACGGCTTCATTCCGCATTAGGACATTATCGCAACAATCGCTCTACATACACGCATGTTAGCATCCGGATTTCAGTATTCTAAATGAATCCTACCTCTGCCTACTGTTGTTCCAGCAATAAGCTTCAACCGTTACATCAAACTCAACGCCCAACTACCGCATGATGATCTGCAGACTGTTACCACAGGAACTAATGAAAAGCTCAAAGTTTAAAGTCTAAGTGCACTTCCGACATGGTTCAATCCCTACAAACAAAGTCGCACAATACAGCACGACATCTTCCCAATAATGTCAGATTCCTTCCAACCCTTCAGCTTCCCTCAGAGTTACACGAACCATCTTCTCCTCAAGTTTGCCTTTCCTCCCTCGTCGCAGCGTTCCGATTCGCTCACGCACGATCATCCTTCATGCCGTGGCCGCAGAAGGACGACCTGCTTCTCTCCTCTCCCTCTCGAACCACCCAGATTACCTCGTTTCCAAACGGGCATCAGCGTCACATCAGCGACATCCCACTCTTTCCGAGATCCTGGTCATTCCGTGGGGTGTTGGGTCAATATTGGTCATGTGATGCGTCTGACACTTTTGGACTGATAACCTGTGATAGGGGGTTGATTTGGTGGTCTATGACGATTGCATGGGCGGGTTCTTTTGGAGATGTTAGTATATGAGTACCCACTTGAGTGATTTTGGAAATTAGATGAAGACTCCTTGGAGATTGCTAACTCGAAAGACGTGACAAAAAGTGTCGTTGCACATCACATGATGCCTGTCATCTTTCGCAGAGGACAAAATAAGTGCAGAACCTCCTGAATACTCTATGGTATGAGTTATCTTCCCCATTATGGTGAGGCACTCTCGGGTTAGAAGTCTAGTGCCTCTAATTACGGGGTCTTGAGAGCGAACATTTCACCTAGTAGCGTTGATATGGGTTGATAGGATTATTCTCCTACGTTATCCTGAGACTTTCGCTACACAAAGTACCTCACCACCATAGTCAGTTATAATCAAAATTAGGTAACTACTTTCAGTTATTGATTTCGGCAAAATGGCAAACTCACCCTTTCTTATCTTCACTTGGCCCAGAAAGCCGATCGTCCCTTGATGAACAATACATGTACATCTTTATCACTTTCTGAAATTGATCTAATATTCTGTCTATCACAGCCGTACCTTTAAAAACATATTAGGAGAGAAACCAACTATCTGGCTTACTTGTCTTACATCAAGGTCTGAACGAGATAAGTTAATCTGACACAAATGTCGAGTCCTAATCAATCGTCCAATGTGGTTGCACAGCTGGATGAATTCAGCTGATCTTTAGTTGAATCGAGATTCTCTCGGTTACTTCGTCGATACCGAACCATCGAAGTTGTCTGTCCTCTCTCGCTGAATGATGAAACGTTCTCCTGGAAAGTTTAAGCTTATTTAACTCATAACGCTTTAATTTGCACATTCCGTGAATATACAGTAGCTTAAGTGCTCGCTTATGCTACTTTTTAATATCTTTCTAAGTCCATTCTTCTTCTTTTAGGCTGTTTGTGTACTTGTCGAGAGATAGAAATCAACTATTTATAGCTTTCTTAATATGTCCCAAAAAGGATGTTTTCTGTAAAGGATCATTCTCTTAACACAGGTACATCCTGTCATTCGAACTATTCTATTCCTCACATCACTCCCGTATCTAATAATTAATTTAAGAGAACAACCAACGATGCCGATCATAGACTATTAAGCCACTCCACTCACTACTCGACGATATGTATATCACAGCTCTATTAGTGTTATTTATATGTCTCGGCTTCAGCGTTACACATCCCTCCTCGCACAAGACCACCATTGAACAGCGACAAGTTCCCGACGCCGAGCCATCGCCAGCGCCTGTTGTCTTCATGGATGAGCCTGATATCCAAAACTTGAACTACATCGATCCATCGAGTGGTCTACCATTTCCTCCGTTGAAGTATGTGTTCCCAAGCACATACCTAGACCCAGAATGTACAGGTGCAGAGGAATTAATCCTTAAACACGCATGGAGAGTTGCAAGGGACATAGTAGCGGCACAGACTACAACCTTTAGGGACTACAACTACGACTTTCCGCATTCTTGTTGGCTAGGGGATGACTGGAACTCAGCAGGTGATCATTCAAAGTATATTGCCGACAGCTTTAAGCTGATACAAAGACTATTCGGTGGATTAATGAAAGATAAAAATATTATCGTCTGGCGTTGCTCGGAATCTTCAAACCCTAGCCTAATATGCAGAACGGGAATAGACGGAACGCAACTTGAAACTACTGCTACGACCAAATATCATGTTGGACGTCAGGGACGCGGTTATTGGGTACAAACGACCTTATTTTGTCCGAGATTTTTTCAATATGAGACATTAAAACAGCAAGTTGAAAGGTATAAAGACGAGAAGGAGGGTCAATTGAGAATTGCCAACTTTGAGTATAGGACCGCTAAGACGATGCTGCACGAGACATGGCACTACGGTGTAGTTTCCGATGCAATTGACTATGTATATGGGTCACAGGCATGCTATAAATTGGCTAGATCAAATGGAGCGCAGATAACGTCTCTAAATGCAGACTCGTTGGCTTACGATGGGTTAGCGATATATCTCCACCGAAAATTCAAATCCATACACCCGCCAACCACCGAGGAGCATTTGGAAGCTCTCAGAGCACAGAACCCACTAAGTGTGTGATAGTTGGGCAAGATCAAGAAATATGGGACATAGCAGTGGTCGGTTATTCGTACATTCGGTTAAGAGAGATTAGGAATTGACAGTTGTTAATATGTCCCAAATAGGATACTCTATATGCCGACAAATATACGGTTTAAAAACGTCTTCTCGAGCACATGATAGGTGAATTACACGACATTAGTTCTTGGTCAAGCCAATCGTGTCCACTGCGACATATATTGTCCACCACGACATACCCTTCTCAGCTCAAGAACAAACATCACAAAGAGGTTGCGGAATAAGTATACCCATGCTTTTTTAATAGCATTAATTCTCTGCTCACATTTCTGCACACGATTCGCGTATCGATCTGGCAGCGTGACAGTGCCTCCTCCATCATTTCGATACGACACACGAAAGCCACACGTATCTTTTAGCTTTGGAGCACGCAGAGCAGGAAATGAAAGATGGAAGAAATGAGCCTGACAGATCGTTGTGTTTGTTTATTGCTTGCTCAGCTTTTCTGCTACTAACTCGGCTGGTTGCTTCGTGCAATTAGAATAGTAAACCCGGTTTTTGACGAGTGAGATTGACGCTGATGGCTGTTCACAAAATATGTTGCTGCTACTGATCGGCCTTGTAAATATGTTAACAAGGTACGTGTTTGAAGTGATGAACTAGTAGATCTAGAGGATTAACACGTTCATCGTCAATCTCCCTGCAAATCCTTTACTCCCATGTGATATGGTCTATGTCTACTATGTGATGTACAAGAAAGAAAAATCTTCAGAAAGTGCAAAGTAAAGAAAGCATGATCATATCTCATTTATGATAAAGTTTGTTCTACAATCTTCGCTAATAGATTGTTCTTGAATCTGGCCACTGCTTTCTCCGATGTCTGCAGGGATGAAAACACTGGAAAGATTTCTTCCAGACTTCCGGATTCTATGTAAGGAGGTGGTGTGCGAGCACTGGGTTTTTGCGTCAGAAAGCGGTTAGATGTGCCATTAAAAAAGCAATGTCTTCTTGGGACAAATGGGTTCCAAATTATATGCAAGAACATCGATTTGTTTTAGTATTGAAGTTATGGGCGGTCTTGGACTGTCTGAGCTAAAAGATATAAGTATTCTCACTATAGGACGATAATTCATGCAAATTACGGTACTCCTGGGCAAAGAATCAAAGATAGCGATGTATGAAACCACGACCATCCGATTTTGACATAATTGGATAGAATTTAATTGATATTATTGGTACCATCGAACTTCGGCATAATTTGTCCGCCCTTATTTACCCAAGAATTCCTCGAAGCCGCTCTCACATCTCATTCATCTCTCACAACCCCTTTCCCCTCCCCTCTCCCAAAACACCTCTCCAAAACCTCAACCAACACATCCCTAACCCTCATCCAATCCTCGTCTTCTTCCCCTGCAAACCTAACCATCTCCCCATGCCTCTTCCCTAACCTCACCACATTCTCCTGCGTCAATTCCCCTTCCCCCTCCCCCCCCTCCAAGAAAAACCTCACAAACCACCCCCTCTCCCGAAACAACTCCCGATATCTGACCTCGCTGCTTCCTAACCACACAACCTCCGCCCGCAGTTTCCGCATCTCGGCACTCATCCCCGCCTCCTCACTCGCCAGCGCGAGGTTAGTCCATCCGCCCCCCGCCTTATCCACCCCAAAGAACAAGATCGCTTTCGTGGCGACCCGGATATCGTTTACGCCTTCGGCACCATCGAGACTGAGGAGCCCGTGGAGCAGGGGTCCGCCGAAGGAGTGCGCGATCCAGAGGATGGGGCGGGAGGGGTCGGGACGGAGGGAGACCAGGGTGGAGAGGAAGGAGGAGGCGATGAAGGAGGTTCCAAGGGAGGCTTCGGCGGTTTTGGTGTAGGAGAAGGAGAGGATGCGCGGGTGGTGGCCGGTGCTGGTTGTGAGGGCTGGGAGGAGGGTGGTGAGCCAGTTGTTTTGGGTGGTGGGGTGGGTGAAGGTTTCAGTGTAGTGGCCGTTGTGGCCGTGGATGGCGATTATGCTGTGGTTGTTAGTGTGTGTTGTGGGGGCTTGAAGGGGGAGGTATGTACTCGATATCTGGGTGCGGGTCTGAGTATAGGGTGTGGATTTCTAGACTGTTGGGTTTTGAGGGTTTGGTTGGTGGGTGGTTTGGTTCTGAGGGTTTTGAGGGTTGTAGTTTTGAGGTGAGTTTGTTCTTTAATTTTTTCATGTTTTATGTGGGATTGAGCGGGAGTGAGTGGGTAGTTGGAGGGGGGATGTGAGTGTATATTCGCTTTTGAATGGGATGTTGTGAGGATGAGCAAGGGTGGGACTGAGCGGCTTATGCATTGCTGCCTTGCTTAGCCGCAAACAACCTACTTATCGACGATCTTATTCAATATCTGGAATCTTATTTCTTATCGTTTTTTGTAGACATACTGAAATTTGTAGGTATATGTGGTTTCGTGGATCAGCAGATCAGAAACCAAATGTTGAGAATTTATGATATCTTTTGAGGCAGGAGTGCTGTAAGCGAGATGTAGGATAGTCAAGACCGATAAATATTTACCTTTCTATTCTCAATGAGTGGAAGTAGACTAAATTATTATTAGGATTACTCAGTAATACTGGTATTCCCTTGTAAGATACATCAGATTCGCTTGTCCCACACAATCTAAAACATGTTGCTCAACCCGAATAACAATATTTCATACTTCAATTGTACCACGATGCAGAGAAAATATACAGCCAAACCTCAAAAATAACTATCTGCCTCATCACCAAATCTCTCCTCTCCCTCCTCAACTGTGAACGTCCGTAGAAACATGCTCTTAGCTCTTAGACCCTCCATCATCTCGCGATCACGAAGATCATCCAACTCTTTCGTCCTCTGCTCATCCGTCTGCTGTATGGTTCTATCACTCGGTTTAATCGTCTCCCCATCCGAGCTCCCGTCTTGACAATCAGCTACTTTTGCCGGAAACCCGAAAACCTTGATCTTCTCCACCATCTCAGGCGATTTTGGCGCCTCAACCGCTTCAATTCCAGCAAGTTGTACCCACTCACCAATCCTCTTCCGTTCAATCTCTCTAAGCCATTGTTTCTCACTCGTCTCTTCATCATCGCTAAGACCAATATCATCCCACGACTCCTCTTCCACAGGCGCAGGAATCGCTTCATTTGCATCCCATTCCGATTTGAGAGGACTACTTGGTGGACTGTCCATGCTTAGACACGCTGATGGTGTTTCTCCTAGAGCGATGGCTTCGATACTTCGTCGACGTTTGCTCCGCGTGTATTCATGGCGATGGCTTTCTTCCCCTAGGCCATCGCAGTCTCTGATTTGGACGTTTCCTGTGACGTTTTGCGTTTCAGCGGCTTTTCCCGTGGCAGTCGGACTTGCCGCCTTCTTCTTCTTGCCAAAGCTAAATGCCGAATGAAACAGAGGATGCACTTTCAACGACTTATCATCTGTAGTAGTCTCCTCGAGTTCATCGCCCGTTGCACTGTAACAGCTTGAACTATCAATTTCGTCGCTGCTACTGCTATCTTGACCCTCTTCTTCAAAGAATTCCTTGAGTTGCGCTTCGGTCTCGGCACGTAATTGCTCTTGTTCCAGCCATTGTTCGTCCACGAGAGGCACAGGCTTGTAATTATTCGTTCGGCTCATTCTTCGTCTTTCTCGAGCTTGCCATTGACGAAATCCGTGACACTCGGAAGGAAAGTTGCACTCCATCCAGCAGTCCCATTGCCTGAATACTGGCCATTGTTGGTAATTTTCTGATAATTCGGGCATTATCTGATCTGCCGGTGTTTCCTCGATCCATATGCTCTGATTTCCACTTACTGCCGGTGTGCTGCTCACATGGGCTAATCCCGTTCCTTGACGCCTAGCCTTTCCTCTTTCTTTTCTCTTTCTCGCATGCTCGCGCCGCCATATATTGAACTTGGCCCAGGCAGTGTAGTCGAATTCTACCGTACAGCCCTGTCTTCCTTTTCCTGGCATCGCGCAGAATACATGGCCATCTTCCAAGCACCGGCGGGTAACGCCGAGTGGGTAGAGACGGTAGCATTTATGACATCGCCATAGCAAAGGCCGAGGAACGTCTGGCTGGTTTGCCAGGAAGTGTGGCGAGAGGGGTGGTGAAGGTATCAGGGTTCGGAGATGGAGTCGTAGAGGTGGTGTTAATGGCGTGAGAGGGGTCTGAGGAGAGCAGGGTGATAGCGGTGCCGTGAGTGGTGAGGTGGTTGAAGGCGTCGTGGATTTTACTAGGTCGAGTCTTACAGGTCGACGAGGCATGGCGGAGTTGAAAATTTAATCTTCGACTAGCTTGAAATAAATACCGCAACTGCAAAGAAGCGAATGTCTCAGTCGTCTTCGTGTTCCAATTAGCGAGCTCTGAAGATGCAATCGTACATTCTTGGAAAGATACTAAGGAATAAAACAGTAAATAGATGAAACGTGTGACAATAATACGACTGCAAAGAAGTAATCTTGTCACTATCCGGAAAAGGTGCCCAGGACTTCGGTAGGTTTCTCTCTTTGTCTAGATGGAACTTTCCTTTCATAGGCTGATGACCACCAAAACGAACTTGAGGGCAAATAATTAGCAAATTGCAGACAGAACAAAGAAAATAAATCCTAGCCCACACGCGACAGGACCTGGCTACCAAGCCTGCTGAGCAGACTCGGGGGTATGTCATTCGGCTAGGAACCCAGGAGAGTGTGGGCTGTTGATATCAAGCTTCATCCAAACCTAATTGACAGAGCAACCATGATATTTAAACGTCAACACTACCTTACTTTCACTCCAATTGAATTTCAATGTGAAGAACACCAGCTGTATTATTTTGGTCCTCGAAGCTCAATCTGGGCTCTTGCCCTACGAAGGGAGGCGATTCTTTTCGAAACTAGCTCACAAGATCAGCGCAACTACATCATTGAACAAAGAATTGGGCAATTTTTGTTTCTGGAAAAATGGAACCAAGCCAAAGGCAGAGATACAGCCATTAGTAGTAATTTGAGATCGTTATGACGATTTCAATCAGAAAACTGATGTTAGGCAATCTTGATGTTCTCAAGCTCCATCGAGGAGGAAGTTGTTCACAGGGTCACTGCAGATATTGCTCAAATCCTTTGAACAGTATCATAGAGATCAAAAGAAGTTGTCATCAGCTCAGGAGCGAGAGGTGTATAACATCGATAAAAGTAGATCTGAATTGAAGGAGTATTGGTTGATTTTCGGAGATGTCGTTGCTCCCAACTAGGGGGTTTCAGGTAGACTTAACGCCGACGACTTAGCCCTTTTCAGATGGTTATACCGAGGTCCATCCCAAAGTCCTGCTGTGGTCTTATTCTGCTGGTCGTCAACATCATCATTTTTTCATCAGATGAAATACTACGAAATGGATCACCAATCCAAACTCAATTTGTCAATCACGTATATGTTAACTGCTAGCGTACCGGTCAATCGTTGTATGCTTCTCGATTTAGCCACAACCAAACCCTGCACGAGACATGTCCATCCTCAATATTTAGATTTCGTACCCGGCGGGCCACCTCATAACCTCCATCGCCGCCAGCCCACAAATCAACCCTCCTCACAATACGAGTACCTTCTTTGTGGCGGGCTTTGATCTAGCTGCGCTCACCGAGCACCCACGCCTTTAGATTCGGCAGGTGTAGTCTTAATCTTCGCAGAATTGTTGTACAAATCTGTGTTGGGAATGTCGACCCGGGTGTCCTTTGGTGAGATTGTAGTTTTGCATTCCGAGCTCGACCTTCACATTTCGTAGAACGTCTAAAACTTCCATGGAGCCTAAACTTGGATGGAAGCTATCTCCAGTGGTGCCAAACAACGATGGCATGTCGAACATCTGTGAGCCAGGGATATCAGCAAGGATAGAGCTTAAGTCCCATTCAGAGCCTATCTGCGGCATATCGGGATCAACCTTGCGGAAACTTATATCCACGGTACCGTCCTCATCGCATTTGATAAGGTACGTTCCATACCTTTGATGCGTCATATTCATATAGCAAATTATTTTGACTTCGCTATCCGAAATATGCTGAGCGAGGATGATTGTTCCATTTAGGCTTTCTCTAGCGATGAAGATATCCGACAGAGGAAGACGAGAGTGATAGATTCCCCAGGCAGAGAAGTTCAGATCCAAACCCGAGTCACTTGCTGTGATAGAAACTGGAACTAAGAAGTAATCTGCAAGGCGGCCTGGTGTGTCCGTCGAGACATTTATTATCAATTCTTTGACTTTGTCAACCACATCTAATACTTGCTTTCCATCCGCTTTACCAGCAACCAAACCTCGGAAGTGTGCCAAAAAGGCAGACACATCGTCCAATCTGATAGGCGCAGCGATCTCGTAGCCCTCAAGCTTTCGCACTTCGATGTCGAAGGAGGGTTGCAATACCAGATTTTGTGCCGCATCATGAAGTGCATGATGGCTATCAAGGCAATGCTCTAAGTGCGTTATAGTATCAACTCTTCCAATAAGCATTGGTGATCCTGAAAAATACGGTTCTCCAACTCCATTTCGCATCCACATGGCAGCTGCATAATCCATGAACTTTAAGTCTGTTTCGTCACCATAGGTGTTAACATGGAAATTATATATCCTGAACCCGCGTTGTCTCAAAGCTGTAATGACTTTATGGAGAGCAAGGACAAAAGCGTCGTCGGGATTATATTCATAAGGAATATTACACATAGAAGCCCAGCAGGCTACGAGATCAGCCTCGTACTTTGCGTTTCGCTTTGAGATATCGATAGACGACAACGCAAGAATAAGCAATGACCGGAGTTCAGATGCTCGGCTGGATCGCTCTTCTAGATGCACATATGTTCCGCTGTCGACTGAGTGCAGGGATGAAAGACAAGTTAATTTTCTTTGAGTATCGGGACTCTCCTCGTCATCGGCAATGAGAAAATTCCGAAAGGGAAAAAGCGTCGAGACTCGGTTCCGTACTCGCCCGTTCTCCTCTCGAGCTTGGAGCTGCTCTGTCAACGGTTGACCTCTGAGTCTTTGCATCCTATACTGCTCAACGATCGAAGACGCGATTACGACGACATTTTTGATATTTTTTAGTCCATATTCGTTGGTTATGCCTTCATATGTAATCTCAATTTCCGCGGCGCGAGTCCACTCTTGAAACGTCCACGCTCGACTTCCATACACCCAGTTCGAAGTACACGTCTCCCACGCCGTTAAGGAATCTAGATATTTGGGCACCAGTGTTTCCATAGCATCCGCAAACTCAGAATTGGTCGCCATTCTTGTCTCGACGGTATCAGTCGTGACATCTCCTAGAAGGCGGTATATGTGATCGGACGTACAAGCGAGCTCTTTTAAAGTCTCGTACGCCGTTTGATCGGTTTGCGGAAGAAACACTGATGTGGTTTCAGCTTGACGATATATGTATCCCATAACCATGATTTGCTCTGCTTTATCTTTTGGATCATCTTGATCGACTGACAACGCGTCCAGCCACACATTGCAACCTCCCCCGACAAACTCTAGGATGTCCAAGAGCTTCTTCGAGTCTCGCATAGGTACTACCTTCGTTTTAGGGCATTTTCGACACTTCAGCTCCACCCCGACAGAAACATCGCCCCAGAGATAGGACACCGCTTTGTATTTCACTCCAACGGCTGGCACCCCACACAGCACGGTGACTATTTCATCGTTCTTGAGCCGGAAGTCGTACTTCGGGGAGCAGCCCTGGCATCCCCGGCAGCATTCAACAATAACAATGTCTTTCCCTTTTAACGTTTTCCGTGATGCCATGATCAACCAAATGCTTCTTGGAGGTGGTTGCGCAATGAGGTTCTCGTTTCAACATTCTGTCAAGCCTATCAAAGTAGCACAAAAGCGCCACTCAGCGGACGCAGCTTCAAAAGAAATCATGCATGCACCATGAAGCCTTCCCTGGCAAAAAGTCTTCAATCCTTCGTGATTAAAGATGGCCACCATTGCTAGTACAACATATAGATGCCTGATCAAGCCGATACCACTTACTTATAATCTCTCTAACATATCAGAACATCCGGCCAGCAAAACATGCGAGTACTGTTCATTGATCGTGCCAGATCAACAAAAAATGAGCAACAATCTGATTAAAACCAATTATAGTCGTATCGATAAATACCCAGACTTTCCTTCACTAAAAGCCACTGCCAAAGCAGGATGCGGATTCTGCCATCTACTAAGAAAAACTATCAGGTATGCCTGGGCTGCGAGACCCATGGAAGAATGGGGAGTTGGTCCGATAAGAGAGCAAGAAGGTCTGTGGAACGACATATTGGAAGAGAGCTGGGATGGAAAAATCAAAATCCACAAAGCTGTTTTTTCATTGGCTCCCCATTCGGAAGACTCAAGCGGAAATCCAAACACTGTAATAAGCTTAGGAATGGAGTTTGGACCTCTGACAACTTTCATGCCCAAACTTGGTAGCAAACAGCATGGAGATATTGGCCGGGTCATCGGGTTTAAGACGTTTGATTCGCATGATAAGTTTTAGATTTCAGTTTGAAGCTCTGCGTTGACTCAGACACAGACCTTGAACGAACTGATGATATCTTACGACGAAGAATTCCTAGTCGTCAAACTCTTGGCCTCGAAAATGTCAATCTCATGACACAGTGGATCGCTGAGTGCAAATTGGACCATCCTCAATGCCTCGCAGGAATGATTAATTGGTGTCCTAGTCGAGTTCTAGACACAGGAAGTCCTAGTGAACCCCCTAATGTCCGCCTAATCGAAACCGCGGACTTTCCCGTCCCTTACACGGCTCTCAGTCATATGTGGGGAGACGTGAACTATTACGCGCCGCTTAGAGCTTTCAAATCAAACTACGATGATCTCAAAACCAATATTCCGATGTCAAATCTTCCTAGAAATTTCAAGGAAGCCGTCGTCTTGACCCGCGCATTAGGCTTAAGATATCTATGGATCGACTCTTTATGCATTATCCAAGATGACGCGGAGGATTGGCGTCGAGAAGCAGCTACCATGTTCCAAGTGTATAGTGCTGCGGAAGTCACTATCGTCGCGTAAGGTCTATTACACATCACTTGATCATCAGACTAACACGACCACCTAGTACTTCTGCTACTTCTACTCACGATGGCTTCTTAAAGCGGGATCTTTCCAATATGGCGGCAGCGAAGCTTGAATACTGTCTCGAACCTGACTCAAAGCCTAGCCACATCGTGCTCGTCGCACAAGACGACGTCGAAACCGGAACTTGGTACGGCGATGTCGAGGACAGTCTCTGGAATACAAGAGGCTGGACAATGCAAGAACGCCGCTTGTCGTCTCGAATGCTGCATTTTAGCAAGAATAAGATATACTTCGAATGCCGAACTTGTCGTCGCTCCGAAGAAAACGAACCTATCCCTGAGTATAGACAATTTGATCTGTGGCCCAGATCAGATGCAGCACACAGTGCCAAAGACAAAGAAGACGCTAAAGACCGCCTATACAGACTTTGGATTAAGACAGTACAAGAGTACTCTGCCAGAAAACTCACTAAAGGCTTCGACAAGTTAACAGCTATTTACAGCGTTGCATTTGCAATGTCTACAGGTACCGAGGGGTTCAAAGATAGGTACATCGATTATGCCGGCTTATGGTCTGAATACCTCCAGCATGGCCTACTTTGGCAAGTCAGAGACGGAGCTATTGAGAAACCCAAAGAATACAGAGCACCAAGCTGGTCATGGGCAGCCTTAGACGGGAGACTTGGTTGGAACGAGTTCAAGAACTTTGCGAAGCCGTCTCATTTCCATAATGACTTTGCGGTGCTGGAAATTGGATCTGGTAAAAGCGACGAAAACAAGTTCCTCAAGGTCAAAGCAACGATCTTGCCAATTGATCTGGTGCTCGAATGCGATGAGGATGACCGCTGGGTATATGGTTCTCGAAGCAATTTTCCACACGATTTGTATGTTAGAACGCCATCACTTCAGCTTGAAACGCAACTGAATGAGATAAGCGTAACAACTCGCCTTGGAACACCGCGGGAACGTTACGACGCTGTTGAAGATGGACAATACATCAAGATTGGAGAAGCACGTCTTGATCTGGATGATAAGGAGAACTTGACACTATCAGATCGACAGCTCTATTATATGCATGTCGATAACCTTTGCAGACCCTCCGGTCTCGTGTTTGAGTCAGTAATCAAGAATGGCGAAACAAAGTGGCTGCGGGTGGGTGTTGCGACGGTTTTTGGAAAGGATAGCGAGCTGTTTCAAGAAGATGTATGGGATAAACAGGATGGAATGGCTGAGACATGTGTGCTTCATATGATTTAGATTAGTTGGTTTTGATCTCGGTTGTCCTCTTACACAAAGCACCAAACCAGTCCAACTTGTGAACAATTTTCACTTCCTGTTCGATTTATAGCAGCTCTCATGGTCAGTTAAATCCTGTTTATAAGTTCACTCGATAGCCATTGGAGCAACATCAATCTAAGTGATTGAGTTTCTGCTGCTAGAGCCTCGTTTTTACAACCTGTTTCTATTTACGTGCTCAGGCTGTTCTCAAGGATTCAACAAAATGAAAGTATAAGTATAACTGCAACGCATACTAATATGTTTTGATGAGATCAACGTGAACCCAGAGCATAGCCGGAAGATCGACTAACTCATGTCCTTATTTGAAATACATAACTTCCCAGTACACAGGACAGGCGCCGTATCATTTTAACAAACTGGAAATTGGCGATTACAAAGAGTGATATAGTTCTTCTCCATGGCAACTTCTGATTATTGTGGAATTCAAAAGACGATCCGAACATCTTGGATTTACTGACACTGTTGACAAAAAAGGATGATGTGTTATCAAGTCCGATTAACATCCTAGTTATTAGCCTGCCGCTTATCTCGTCAATGGCAGGTCAATTCAAAAGTGCCAAAGTATGCTCGCATGGAAACATGATAATAGTGCCGAGGCTCAGAAACACACAAGAAATATACGACATTAAATGTTTTAATATTGCGTCCGGGGTATTTACAATCCATAGATCCGCTCAATTCTCCTGCGAAACCCGCCAAATAGCATCGGACATCTTAGCTACCTGCGCCATCTGCTCCACATCATGAACACGAACAATATCAGCTCCACCGGCAATCGCCGCGGAAACAGTGGCGGCAGTACCAAATTGCGACTGATCTGGCTTCGAGACGCCAGTTATACGTTGAATGAACTTCTTCCTGCTCGTTCCGACAAGCCAAGGAAGGCCCTGCAGACCTGGCCAGTCGCGCAACTCATCGAGACGTCGTAATATCTCCAGCGCGTGGCTTTGTGATTTTGCAAATCCAATTCCGGGGTCGAGAATGATTCTCCAACGATATATACCCGCGGCTTCTGCCTCAGCGACGCGTGCGAGAAGTTCTTTTGCCATGGTTGGAATGAGTCCGTCGGGCGAGTAGTCCTGCATGGAAGCTTGAGCCATGGTAGAGGGATTGCCTCGCATGTGCATCAAGATGACAGTCTTTCCAAGCCGAGCCATAGTTTTGAGCATCTCTGGGTCTAATTGACCAGCAGAAACGTCGTTTATGATATCTGCGCCGGCTTCGATAGCAGCCTCAGCAACAGCGGCACGATATGTGTCGACACTGATTAACCCAGTAAAGCTTTCAGAGGTTCGCAACGATCTGATTACAGGGACAACCCGCTCAATTTCTACGGACGTTGGCTGCTGTTCGGTTTTAGGCGCAGTAGACTGGCCTCCGACGTCGATGATGTGCGCTCCGTGCTGGACGGTGCTCTCAGTAAGAGCAGTCAAACGGCCAAGATTTCCAGAAGAAACCTCGGAGTGCAGGCCACCGTCAGAGAAAGAATCAGGGGTCATGTTCCAAATTGCCATAACATGGGTTTTGCGATCCGCTTTAAGACCTCGAATAGGTTCTGCATCGCGTCCTAGAGGTGTGACTGTCGTCAAGGGGGTGTCTACGGGTAGGGAATTGAGCGAGTCCTGAACTGTCTTCCATGGACTTGCCGGGTTGAGGGGTTTCAATGGAGCTATTCTATTCTATGTTAGTAAGAGAACTTTACTGCAGATGATGGTAATGTACTCTGCCAGAGGTCGAAGAACAAACTCCCGCTCAGAAATACCAGGATGCGGAATTTGTAGCCTTGGGTCATTGTACGTCGAATCCCCATGGAAGAGGATATCAAGATCAATATTCCGAGGACCTTTATCAATTAACTTCTTGCGGCCTAGAGATACCTCTATATGCTGAAGTGTATCAAGAAGCTCGATAGGCTCGAGAGTGGTTGAGATCTAACAGAAGATTAATTAATGAGTTTAGAGCTGCCATACACAAACTCACTTCACAAACACCATTTATGAACTTGTCTTGATCAACAACATACATAGGGTCAGTTTCCCAAAGACTACTAGTTTTGATCAGCTTGATTTCTGGAGAACTGTTCATATGCTTGCAAGCTTTCTCAATCCAGTCAATGCGGTCTCCTAGGTTACTACCTAGTGCAATGTATGCCTTAACCCAAGACTTGCTTTTTGTTGTTTCCTTCGTTGCTTCCTCGATCTTCCTTTTTGAGTAGCCATTGAGAGAATGCTGGGTCCATTTTGGGGTGCTTGGCTGGTTCCCCGGACCAGAACTATGGTGGCGGACGGAGGCACAATTCATAGGTAGCAGAAAACGGAGGTGTTTCGACCAGACGACATGGCTAGAGGACAAGCCCCTCGCCTTGAAGACGCGTCTGATAAGGACGCTTCGCATTGGGCAAATCCGTCAAAGTTCGCCAATGTGGTCTTGTGAATTATTGCAAACATCAACGGAGAAGGCTTAGTCATCGGTCACCTGACCTGTATGTATACTCCAAGCGGATAGAGTTCATGTCCTGCAGCTTCAGGCTAGTAGCTTCACTAGAGTCTTGGGAGAGAGACAATCGTGATAACAATCCTTTAGTTACGAAGAGTGAAATATATCTTAAGCGAACGTCTGTGAATGTCCGCTGCTTGCTAAATGAATCGAATGAAGCTTGTTACATGTCTCGGCGACCGTACTTTTTGATCATGTGCTGCGCCAACCTTTGAGCCGAGGCAAGTTGGCCTTCCCCAGATTCATGGCCGGCTAACGTGTGGAGACCGAGATGGTCCCCTTCGAGGATTCTCCTCCAGGTTTCCTTTAATATCCTACACAATCACACCCAACCCCTCGCACATACTACCACTCCCAAAATCTGATATCTCAGAGTCTTGCTTTACCTCTCTATAACATACCCTCTCTCCACACATTTACTGGAAACAACCACATTCTTCATCATGGCATCTCCTCGTAAGTAATCACATGTGAAGATATACAACGTAAGACAGCGTACTGACCACAACCGCAGAGCAAATTCGCACAACATGCACTGATCTGCTCAAGATCAACCATCCAGTATTCCTGGCTGGCATGAACGTAGCAGCCGGCCCAAAGCTCGCTGCTGCCGTATCAGATGCCGGAGGACTCGGTGTCATTGGAGGAGTTGGTTACACACCTGATATGCTACGAGAGCAGATTGCAGAGTTGAAAGGCTTCCTCAAGAACAAGAATGCGCCATTTGGTGTTGATCTCCTTCTCCCACAGGTTGGTGGCAGTGCCAGAAAGACCAAGTAAGTTTACACAAGGCAAAAAATGATTACTATTCCCGGGTATAAGCTGACGTATTGTCAACCAGCTATGATTACACGAAAGGAAAGCTCGACGAGCTCGTAGACATCATAATCGAAAGCAAGGCCGCATTATTCGTATCTGCGGTTGGCGTTCCACCAAAACATGTCGTGGAGAAACTCCACAAGGCCGGTGTGTTGTACATGAACATGATTGGACACCCGAAGCACGTAAAGAAATGCCTCGAACTCGGTGTCGACATCATCTGCGCACAGGGCGGTGAGGGAGGTGGTCACACTGGCGATGTTCCAACAACAGTCTTGATTCCAGCAGTTGTCGAGCTTTGCAAGGGCAAGACAAGTCCTATGTCTGGAAAGCCAGTCCAGGTGGTTGCAGCTGGTGGAATATATAATGGACAGACCGTTGCTGCTGCGCTGATGTTGGGCGCAAGCGGTGTGTGGGTAGGAACCCGATTCATCCTGACTGATGAGGCCGGAGCACCAAAGGCCCACCAGGAGGCTGTTAGAACTGCAGGCCATGATGATAATGTCCGAACAATCATCTTCACTGGGCGGCCGCTAAGAGTACGAACAAACCCATATATTGCCAACTGGGAAGAAAACCGCGCCGCTGAGATCAAGGAACTCACAAGCAAGGGTGTTATTCCAGTCGAGCACGACTTCGAGACCCTCGGTGATGATATTGACGACGATGTAAGTACTTACCAAACGAGTTTGTAGGATATTCCTAATAGTGAAACAGACCATGGATAACGCTCGTCCGTTCCTGATGGGTAAAGCTGCAGCTGTTGTGAACGAGAAGAAGAGCGCCAAGGCCGTCGTTGATGAGCTTGTTAATGATGCTGTCGCCTGGATCCACAAGGGTGAGAAGATGATTTCGAAATTGTAGACGGCGAGGAACTTAAAATGGCGTCTGGGGCGATTGCTTATGCATATATGATCGGTTGGAAGCATGTACTCTTAGTGTTAGATTCTTAGATGGTAATACATCATGGTCTTGAATAACACCTCTTTTCAAACCCAATTTTCGGACTTTATCAAAACTTCCGATTCTTTTATTTATTACTTTTCTCATCTAATGCGAACTCTATATACAACCCATTCCCTCTATCACACATTCATTTACAAAACCAACCCCACAACAGCACCAACAACCAACAGACCAACCATCCCAACACTCCTCCTACCCCCGTCATTCGCAATCACCGGACTCACCCCCGTCGAATTCCTGACAGGCAAAATCGGCGTCCCAGTCGCCACAGAAATGCTCGTCACATCCATCGTGCTCATTACAGCAAGGGTACTCTCAATCACACTACTACTCTTACTCTCTATCACTTCCGCCGTCATAATCTCCGTCGGAACCACATAACTAATCACGGACGTGGAGTGCTCATTGAGTATCGCCGTCGGCATAGGCGAATCAACAGTCATGTGTGCTGAAATAAGAGCTTCCGTGAGTGGGTGTGCTTCAATGAGTTCTTGAACCATAGTTGAAGCAACAGGCTGAGTGAGTGGAAAGGACGATTGAGCTGCGGGACAAATTGTAACGTAGGATTGTGTTATTACTTCAAAGACGGGTGTGGCGAGGTGAGAGGGGCAGATTGTGTAGGCTGATGCGCAGGAGGTGATTGTGATAGTTTCGGTGCGCCATATTGTCCGGGTTATTAGCTCGTCGGTCGTGGTGTTAGTGAGGTGCGAAAGGGTGGGCGTTGGGGAGGGTGAGATGATGTGGTCTTTCTTCTCGTGGAGCATGGCTTTGAGGGTACTTGTGGCTTTTGCTGGATGGGCCATGGATGTAGTGTTTTTTGGAGGGAGCATTGCAATGGTGGTCGCTTTCCCCATTGATACGGTCTTGTGTTTCGGTGCAGCTGTTGGGTTCGTCGCATTATATCCTACCGCACCTGTGGGATACATCCCTCCAGCGCCGCTCGCAGATGTCTTAGGAGCCTCGAGGTGAGCAGTGTAATATACCTTCGCATCAGCCGTCGATGTAGCATTCGCGACGACATTCGTAGCAGTGGCATCAGCCGAAAGCGCAGTCGACAGACATGTCCCTGGCAATTCGCCCGTGAAGAAAGTTGTCACGACACTTGGGGCTCCAAAATCGACATTAACAGCACCGATGTCTACGTTTGCATTTGAAAATGCTCCGATTTCTGCGAATATGTTTTGTGTGAATTCCAAGGGGCAGGTTGCTGCTGGGTCGAGCGTGATACAAGCTTGGTATTGGAGAGGATCGAAGAATACACCGGCTCCGAAGTCGAAGCCTTGACCGAAAACGTCGAGGGCGAGAGCGGCTTCGAATTTGATGCGAAGAATGGCTGTCACACAAGCATTTCCTTTTCTGAAAGTGATTGGAATGGCGGTGACTTCAGCTCCTGCACTATATCTCGTATTAGAGAGTTCGCCCAGAAGGTGGTAAGCAGACTCACATATTCATGGATATCAGCTCGCCAGTGACGGCGTTAAGAATGAAACTTGCGCCATCTGGGAAGGAAAGATCGAAACCGGACGTGAAATCAACAGCACCATCTACCGTGAGTATCAGCTCGATGGTGAAAATCAACCCTATCTTGTTGTCGCCATCAAGAGACTATATTAAATCAGTATACGTCCACTTTTCACGTGTTTCCATGCATACCTGAAGTCCCAACGGCGTTACCGGTGTGAAGAGCGGAATCGTAAAAGTGCCTTCTGCAGCGAAGGCAATATTGAATTCAAAATGACCACCCAGATTGTCTAACTTGACTTCTATCGCCAAGTCTAGAGCTTCAACAATCAGATCTGTAGGATCCGGGTTTTTGATAAAATCGACGATATTTCCAAGAATATCATCGTTCTTCTCTAATCCATCGGTGGTGACAACTGCAGTGCCAGTGGTGAAGCAAGAGACACAGGTCGCGGTCAAAGATAACTGCTCACTGGCTGCTCCTTGTGCTGCTCCAGTTGCCCTTGAATCCTGTCAGCTTCTTATGGAATGAGCGTATCAAGGAGATCCTCACAGTTTGACCAAAACTTTATCCTTTTCAAAAGTCTCGGCTAGATCAAAATTTCCAATTTCCGTCGCCCTGCCCTTAACATACGGAAACTCAGTCATATCAAGATGTCTCCTCTCCGCAACATCAACACTCCGCACGTGGTGCGCAACAAGCGGTGTAAGAGCCGCGGAAAACGAAGGTATAGTGGCTGCCAGCAGGCCATGGAAAAGAGTGACTCTCATGATGAATAAAATTACGAAAATAAGCGAAAGATTAATGAATGTAGAAATGAAATGAGAAAGAAAGAAATGGAAACTCTAATGGCCTTTTGAGAACGCACCTGAAGTTTGGAATGGAAATGATAAAGTATAAAACTGCCCACGATCAGTTTCATCGCCAGGGTGTAACTTACTTCCAATTTTACCTTTTGCCAGGAGGATCTTTAAGCTTGGAGGCTCTGCATATAAACATAGTACTGAGGTACTTGGAAATAAGCATCGGAACTTTACCAGGGCGATGATTCGCTGTATAGAAAGTTTGCAAACTCCTGTTCGGTCGGCGGAATCCTTCTAAAAAGGGGGTCGTTTTGGTTGGCTCGCTTAATCAAGCTTCGTCGTCTTGTTGGTCGGATTTCTTAGGGGCTCGAAAGTCAAACTGCCAAGGTTCGTCGGAACTCCATGTTTTTGAGATGGATACAGGGCTGATTTTGCGCGGGAGTGTAATCCTCCCGGTGGATTAATCGGCTGCGACCTGGAGTAAGAACTCTGATAAGGAAAGTAGTCGTGCTTACGTAGGGGGCAAACAAGGCTCCACGGTATTTCGAATTTAGCGTTGCGGAGTAGACTACGAAGTTCCTCCTGAGGCGTCAGTCGCTTGATTGATTGAACACACTACTCAGAGCATTATTCTAAAGAAATGAACTCAAAACTTGGTTTGGATTCTGTACCCGGAGGTTCAGTCATTAGCGATGGAGCCGGCCATCCTGAGTATTTCATGGAAACAATACCGCCATACTTGCTGGCGGTCATCCCAATCTTTAGACATGTTCCCCTCTCTCTATAATAATCTGGGACATATTGAAGTTCTACTCCTCATCCGCCATGTCATTTCAACAATCAAACCCGAACGACCAAGACTTACATACCAGGATGTGAGTCCATCTCGTGGAACCAGAGACACCCCGAGTTCCCATCGAATTGTGAAAATGCTTAACGCTTCACAAGTGCAATCCTTCAGTAGTGTACGTGAAATGATCCTTCGCACTCATTGTACAACGAGCTCCAATAACAGCCGCTAGGCGCTTGGCTGACTGGTAAGAATAAGTGATTCTCTCTGCCACTGCCACGAAGTTGCATCGGTGCACCGGTTATTGGTACGCAACAAAAAACATATGAAATCACTCTAAAAGCGATCGACTGTCAGTATTCAGGCGGTTAAGTAGTTGGCTGTTGTGCTGTTGCGCATAGAAGATCAGTCTGGCAGCAGATCAGCTTTCGTCTTCCAGTGTGCTCGGGTAGAAAACAAAAGTATATGAAGCCTGAGAGGGTGTGAAGAAGATTGAAAGGAGTTTCTGTGGTGGCAGCTACCTGATGTAGTCTGTCTTGCACACCATCCAAACTCTGCACATGATTACAAGTGAGTGTGAAGTCCGAAACTTGAGAGAGAACCTATGCCGATAAACGTGTTTCCTAGGAAGTGATGACAGCGCTTTGGACATGTAGCCGGAGCGGCCGCAGACTATTAAGGAATTAGACATTGTGGTTTTAGTAGATAGCACATGGCTCAATAGAGGTAAGCGGTACAAGCGATGCAGTAGGTAGGTGCGTCGAACAACGTTTCATAGGATAAATTCCGAAGACTATGTCAATTTCGTGGATTCCGCTGTACAGTATATCCGATGTGGTCAATGAGTAGGAGCCCGTTTGTGGATTTTTGGCAGCAACTATGACTGTACTGGTACTTTGCAAAATATCAATTGTGATCATAGGTTTGTTGCGGGACCTGACGTGCATCGAAAGAAAACCAAAATCAGCTCAGGCAGTGATTGTGGTATCAGCCATACTCATCTTTCCCGCTGGATCGCTTGGCTGGAGTTCGTCTTATGCCTTTCGTGTCCGAGAGTCACCTTAAAAGCCAGTTAAGCAGACCTCAGTGTAAAAGGCTACGATGCTTCAAGCGTTGGGAAACAGATTCAAAATAAACCGCTTTGATCTGACTCGGCAAGATGGCCAAATTCTGATTTTGCGAGTGATCAAGAATTCGATATGTATGCGTATTTTGCTCCACGTTCAACTTGCATTCTTACCAGAAAGGACAGCGGCTCCGTCCTATCACGGGTGGAAAGGGACGTTATTGTCAAATGTCAAAACCCATTGTCTTGTGAAGAAAGAGGAAGTTGCATAGAATCTAGTCGAGGAAGGTGACTTCTCGCTTAAGTCGAATGAGGACTAGCGCATGATGTCCTTGGCATCACGTCGCGTCTTCCGAGAACTGGAATCCAAGACCGCGTCAACGATAACGACCCTTTTTGCAGCTCACATCAATTGATGTCCCAACTGTCGAGCAATGGCGCTGCCTTTGCCGCCAGGTCTGACGCCTGCTGAGGTAGCATTTCTCTGTGAAATGGAAATGGTAACAGTAGTGCCTCGCCAGCAATTGAAAAGTCACGACCTATTAGGGGTAAGTAGTTGACCCCGCCGACCCCTCCATTTCAAACACTATCGTTGCAATACAGTAATACACAACCATGACGAAAGCAACTTTATACTACAAACAATGCTGATCATCACCAATCTAGGGCCCAACCCCAGCTCTACGTCCTCCCCATCGTGCCCCTCTCCCCTTGTGGCTCGCTCTCCTCCTCAAGCGCCAACGACGAGCCAACATAGTCCCACCACCATGGCTCCTCCGCTCCTCCCTCGAACGAATCCTCAAAGAAGAAACGGAGATCTCACCTACAGCCTTTTCACGACCTCCCCCGCATCCCCATGCAATAAGCGCCATACCTTCAGCAACAGACCACAAATCTCCGCCGTTCTTAGCTTCAAGTACAGCAGACGCTCCATCCGGACACCTACCATATCATTGGCTTGAGCTAGGAGAGATTTTACTTCAGGCGTGTAGCGACGACGTTTCTGAGCCGGATAAAGTACGGACGTTGTTACGGGACCTGAGGGAGGTACGGATGGCGAAGATGAGATCTATTACAAAACATTTAGAAGGCGGTGGAGTGGTGTCATTGGAAGGCGTGGGGGCAATGGAGGTTGCTGAGGGGAGGCAGTTTGTTGTGGGTGTGATGGATGGGCTCAGAAAACTGGGTGCGAGTAGGGAGGCGGAGAGGAGGAGGAGGGAAGAGGAAGGTGGGTCTGGAGATGGGAATAGTGAGGATGATGACATGGAAATGGAAATGGAGTGATTGGTTGAAAGTACATATGCATTGGATGGAAGGGCCATAGCATCGGCGTTGGGAAAGGAGCATTTGGGATTAGGTATACCACTACATTAGGCACCGATGGGACGCAAATTTATTTAAAATGAGTATAGTGTTTGATCATGTCATTTTATAGTTCGCATGAATGCGTATCTTTCCTTTATGGTCAAGCTGATTTCAAATTCAACACCGTGCCAGCAAAATTGTAGACGCGCTTGCTTTATCCTGTATGCCAAGGTCCGTCTCACCGCAGTATAACTCGCGAGAATTTCCCATTTTGATATGCTCTGCATGTAGTAAGATTCATCTACTGCGGGCATTAGGGCGAGTATGTTGTGTAACTGTTGGTTTGAGCCAAGTCTCAACTACATAGGCGAAGGCGTAAGTAGGTAATTGGTGTTAATATTCAGGTTGGAACTTGGAAGCAGCAGCTTTATTTAGGTGGTTATATGAGAAATTGATACACTTCAATCTCTATCCAATCCCCTGTAGACTCCATCCGAACGCGATTACAGATAATTTTGAAAGAATAATAATGTTTCCAAAGCCCTAACCAATTCCCGTCACTCTATCAAGACAAACTCCCGTCACTTTCTCACCCTCTTCCCCCAAGTCCCGCATACTTCCCACCCATCCTCACCGCTACCTCCCTCGGCCACTCCAGGTATTTTCTCATCCCCTCGGGAAACGCGTCGTAAGCGACGGGAATCCAATCAAGGTGGAAGTGCGTCGGCATGATTCTCGCTCGACTCCCGAACTCGCGTTCCTGGATCGGTTCCATAATCATTTCGATGGCCAGGAAATGCATGAGCAGGATACAGGCCGCGTGGTTCGTGGGGGCGATGAAAGCTTCGAAGCAGGAGGCCGGCATGCGTATGATGCTTTGGAAGAACATTAGGTATTTGAAGTAGGCTAAAGTTGTTAGTTGGGTGAATGAAGGGGGAAAGGGGGACGGACATTTGAGGGATGAGAAGCGGAGGGTTTCGGTTATTTCTAGGAGTGATTGGTAAGCTCTGCTGTGCGCTGGTTCGACTATCAGCGGTACAAGGGCTTGTAAAGATCGTTCTGCGCTGTCTATAATTGCTGAATCAATCGCTGGGAGATCGGTGAGTCTAAGTTTCATCACTTCGAAATGGCAGGTTCGTGAAAGGAAAAAGGCCATGGGTAAGTTTTGTGATCGCAATTGGAAATTGAGCAACGAGCAGCCGCGGAGAAGACGAATACAATCTAGAAATCCGTCGGTCATGTAGGAGGATTGAAATGCGAGTAGGTAGCAGGTAGCTAGTAGAGCGTCGCCTTCACTTCCCGTTTTGATGGTTCGAGATATTGCTTCGTTAGAGCCATTGATTGCTAGCATTCTGTGCTGTAATGCTGGGGTAGTCAATTGGATGCCTGTGAGTAGCTGGATGTGAGATGCTGCCATTCCGAGAATGGCATGCATTAGATATTGATTCTACTTTCGGTCAGTGGAAGTTTTCACGACACGAATAGCCACTTACATGATGAGCTATCAGAGGTACTTGGGATTTCCAAGCATCTTCATTACCGACTGGCAGGTGAGGATAAGCATCTTGGAGAAAGTGATGGAACAAGCGCATATCGAGTGGCGAGAATACAGTCGGTGTGCATTGTAGGTTTAGGGAATTGACTGGGTTTGGGGCGTAGGTCGATATTTCTTGTAACGCTGATAGTGTTTTTGGTGCCGGATAGACACAGTCCAAACTAACTCTGATACAATTTGTACAAGCGGGTTGATTTTCTGGACACTTGATCTCTTAGCTGGGCCCAAATTGCACGAACATATATCTTTTGATACCTTGATCTTTCTTTGCTTGCAACTGAAGCAACCTCGTCTTGACTTTTTATGGCCCTTTCTTGGCCGCGCCACAGTTCTGTTACAGTGTGATTGTATCCGAGATCCATCTTGAATTCCTGATTTTGTAAACGCGAGATTTTTCTCTCTGCGAGGAGACTGTACTGAAGCTAGTCTGGAAGGCGTTGAGTCTGTATCAAGCTGTACCCTCTTGCCAACATCGTTTTGATTGTTTGACAAGTCAACTGGTTGCGTATGATCAGAATGTAGAAACATCCCAGCCAACCCATCTTTAGAACTCATAGCGGAAAGTCTGTCTGAGAGGTATTGACTCGCAAGGCTCTGCAGAACCTCGTCTCTGACAGTACAAAACTCATGATGAAAGGAGTTGAAATCAGCTATATATGACGTTTCCATCACTCAGCTAGCCTCGTCAAACCTCAGGATAGAGATCGACAGTAATCGAAACTGGTCTAAAGAATAATATAATGAACCAATTACGGAATGATCTATTACTCCTCCCCCGTCTTACTGCCTAACTGCTCAGATTTTAGGCATGAAAAATGAAGGCAGCCAACTGAATTGGAAGGAGTGTAATTGCCAAGGATAGGCAATTGATGAAACGTTGGAAATCAAGTTATGATTATCATCCATATAACTACGAAGTTCATAGGTCAATTCGTATAAATCGCTGTAGGACTTTGGCTGTGGCACTCTTCATTTGACGTGCTTGCAGGAAAGGACGTTGAGATGAGGTTGAAGCGAAATTCGCTTGTCTCTGAGTGACCCACTTGGCGCGTCAGGGGTATCTTTCTTGCCCGTATCAACCTTCTCCTAAGCTTTTCGCATATACTTTCCACATTATACGAACGCAATGCTACTTGAAACGCGAGTGAGATAGCCTTGCGTGTTATCGCTATATTACTTCCGTGATCGGATATCCCTCGGATGTTTGTGACCACATCACGCTCATAATCAGCCAACTGTCTTCATCCAGCCAGTCATGTCCGAGGATAACCATTCGAGTTTCTGGACAAATGCCTCCTTAGCCGGCCTTGGTATTGTCATCATTGCTTCTTTGCCATACCACTTTACTCGGGGGCCTACAAAACTTAACATATTTCTCGGCCTCTCATTTGTCTTTGCCAGCGCCAAATTTTGGCATAGTCAGGTGACTAAAGCTGTCCCAGAGCCCTATCTTGTAAGTGCTCGCTGGTAGACGGACCGAAGACATCTACTAAGCAAATGCACAGGATGAAGTCTTTCATATTCCGCAAGCGCAGGCGTACTGTGAGGGTCAGTATCGAACATGGGACCCTAAGCTCACAACCCCACCTGGCCTGTACGCATTTGCGGTGCTTACCCTCAACGTATTTCGCGGGGTTTGCAGTGTTGAAGGACTTCGACAATTCAACGTGTTCGCCCTTCTCAGTCTGACCACGTATGTTGTTGACATAAGGTCCATCCTCACATCTCGGACCGCTCTAAGGTCTGGGAAAATGGCTGCGATTACGCCGGAAGCAGTTCATACCGCTGTCAATATTGCTCTCTTCCCACCGCTTTTCTTCTTTTCCGGGCTCTTCTATACAGATGTACTGTCTACACGATTTGTCTTGGAGGTCTACAGGATGTTTCTGATCCGAAAGGGAGTGGACAAGAATTCAGGAGAAGGACTAGTAATGAACTATGTTATTGGAATCTTCGCTTTGACTATGAGGCAGACTAACATCTTTTGGGTTGCTATCTACTTGGGCGGCCTCGAAGCTGTTAGAGCTATCAAAATGAATGTCGTTCCTGAGGGTAACACGGAGAAGAGTTCCGGCGCAGAACCGGATCCTCTCATGACCGAAATAAGAAAATGGGGAAGAGGCAGCATCCATGATGTTGCCCTTGAAGACGCAAACCTCATCGGTAAGTCCTAGATCCACCCCCACCTCAGCCCTACGCATATGCTAACCAGGTCAAGACTTCGCCTTGATGCCAATATCACTGGCCGTCGCTGTACTACACCAACCTAAATTAATCCTCGCCAGATTGTGGCCGTACATTGCCCTCTTGGTTTCCTTTCTCGCATTCGTCTACATCAATGGTGGTGTTGTTCTCGGTAAGCCCGCTCTCCAACTCATCACTCAACAGAACTAATCATTAAAGGTGACAAATCAAATCACGTCGCAACCCTCCACCTCCCGCAAATGCTGTACCTCTTCCCCTTCCTAACCTTCTTCTCTCTTCCAACAATACTCCCACCATTTATCCAGCACACCCTTGCAACGCTCAAATCCATGGTCTCTTCACCCCCTACAACCAAACCAACAACCAAACCAGCGACGACCACCACAGACCCTACCACACCGAACTCAACCGCAACCTCAACCTCAACAATCCCCCGTCCCCTCCTCCTCATCCTCTCCTTCCTCACAGTCCTCACGCTCCTCATGGCAACCATCGCCATAATCTACTTCAACACCATAATCCACCCCTTCACTCTCGCCGACAACCGACATTACATGTTCTACGTCTTCCGGTACACAATCCTGAGACACCCCGCAATACGCTACTTACTCGCCCCAATATATCTAGGCTGTGGATGGGCTGTTTACTTATCACTATGTCCAACCACTAAACCCTCATCACAACCGTCCAAGCCCACCACCGACACACCGCCCTCACCTACAGTCTCAACCGTCATCCTCTTATTGATCCCAACAACTCTCTCCCTCATAACCGCTCCACTAGTAGAACCCAGGTATTTCATTCTCCCCTGGCTCTTCTACCGTCTACATCTCCCCGCGTCCCAACCCCGGAAATGGTTATGGGCCGAGACGCTCTGGTTCATTGCCATAAACGCGGGAACGGGATATATGTTCTTATATCGAGGGTTCGAGTGGAAGCAGGAGGCGGGGAAGGTGCAGAGATTTATGTGGTAGGAAGGTCGAAGTAGATGTATAGTAGGGACGAAGATGTTCAAATATGTAATGAAGAAGTGAAAAAGCGTAGTCATTCATCATAATTGAATCCCCATTCCACGCCGACGCCAAAGATGCAATTCCATAACGCCTCGCCAATAACAGCACAATCAGACCCAGATCCCATTTCCATGCTTATCCATTTCTATGAACTCGCATTCTCCATTGAAACCTTCACTCCCTAGCGTAATGACATCCGTCGGTACGCTTCAAGATGTTCCATAGCGCTCTTGACTTCCATATATCCTCGCAAGTCGACCTTCCCAACTACCAATCCACAGCCCATCCATTATCATGTAGATACTCCTCGCACGCAGCCCTCAACGCCAGATTCGGTCTCAAATCCTCCATCGTAAGCGGTTCGCGCGTCAGAGGGTCGGTATGACTGCGTTTGAGATGTTCCATGATCGAAGCGCGTTCGTAAGAATTACCTGTTTTGGTCTACACGTTATCAGCTTACGTCCTACATCACAGAAACGAACGGAGGGATACTAACCACAACCGGATCAACCATAACCGCAAACGTAATATCATCCACGAAATAATCCGGCACGCTCTTCCTCTGGCGCGGATCATGCGCTAAATCCGAACTCGCAAACAGCTCCCGCAAATCCTCAATCTTATCCTCAAACTCCCTTTTCAAATCCGCCCTTTCCCCTCCCTCTTGCGCCTCCGCAAGCACCCTATCCCGTTCCTTCTCCAACAACCCCATAATCTCCTCCCTGAACCCCCCGCGTCGCCGACTCCGTTCCTTCTCTCTGCGCTCCCAATCCTCTTTCTTGCAGCGCAGAACCAGCTCCGTTATGACCCCTAGACTAGCGCCAATCTTCCCGGTCTTCTGGATCTCTTGTACGCATAGTCTGTGTGCTTTGAGGGCGTGGGTGAGCGCGGATTCGGATTGGTGGAGCGCGATCTGGGCTTGTGCGAGGTAGTAGTATGCTTTCATGTTGGTGGGGAGGAGGGAGATGGCGTGGAGCGAGTCGGTGATGACTTGATCCCAGAGGGACATTTTGAGGAGGGCCATGGCGCGGTTAGTGAAGAGGAGGGGGTTTTTGGGGTCGTGGTTTATGCTGGGGATGTTAGGGTGTGCGGTGTAAATGTGCGAGGAAGATCGAGATTGGGAAGAGAGGGGCCTTACGCTGTAGTGTAGTAAGCCTCCGCACCGCGGTAGTCTTGCTTTTCGAAGCATTTGTTTCCCTTTTCCTTAAATTCCATTGCCTTGTCCGTATCTGGGGGTTGATCTTTCGCCATAGTGCAAACGCGCCGACCTCGGTACTGGAGATGGTTTCGTAATCGAATAGATGTATGCGTCTAACTAGGTTATTATTGTAAAGGTAACTGACAATGCAAATAAATCTCGAGTTTCAGCTGAGCCTGTTATGCAGCCGATCTGTAGTTGGGAGTTGAAAATATGTACGACAGAATATTTGGGAGCTCTTTGTTGCGGGGATGCAGCTCAGCCTTGTACAATTGTGGCCAATGATTGAGCCGTGATGACGAAGGAAGACCGACCAAATTCAAAACAGGTAAGGATTTTGAATAACAGAAAATGCCAAACCACTCCCACGGAGTCGTGGATATTATGGAACAAAATTGGTAGGTTTCGCAGTTGTTTTGTTGTCAGCCTTGCTGAGATTGGTAAGTGAGGTGTTAACGCGATGGAATATTCTCGAAGCGAGAGGTGACTTGGGATTGAGGAACTTTATTCCCTCACCAACCATTCCCCACCCGAATTCTAGTGAAACATCAATTTGAACACTAGACGCAAGTCTCTTGCAGATGTTTAATGAAGGAAGAAGTAATTGGTCTATTTCGGTCGTGATGTCTTTTTGTACAATACAGCGGCTGTTAATCAATTGCCCACGTTCTACTCATCTTTCCCAACACCAAAACAGTCCGCAGATGCTAGAAAGGCTATGGGTTGTGTTAGTATTTGTTTCTGATATCCCGTAATGGCTACCACAAAGAGCAATCGGTAGCAGAAATGATTGGAGCGTTCCCAGCCCATGATATTGCTTCACCTCACACTTGTGGGCTTGTATCATCCAGCGATGGCTTTCAACTAATTGCGGGCGCTGTTATTCGGTAGTAGCGAACGCTCGTTGCATGTAGTTCTCGGATGGTATGCGAAGACACGAAAGGGGCGTAATGAAGGGAAACGTACATTGTCGGATGGCGGAACCTCCTTGACGAAATGGTCACCGATTATGGGGATTTTCTGCACTCAATTAGCTTCCCGTACCTATAGAGTCAGAACTGCAACTCACAATCATGATATCTCTTCGTACTCTTGGAATGTCGGAGAAGAAGAAAAGGGCGAAGAATCCGGCAACACCGCCAAAGGCTCCCAAGGTCATACCACTAGATTCCAAAACATTAGCCCGTCCGTTCAGCTCATACATATTATTTCCGCAACGTAAGATCATCGACACCCCCGAGTGGGTTGCAATTCTTGTTATTCTGGGTCCACATACAGCTTTGTCGCGCTTCTAAGAGTCCAACCTCCAACATTTGGTGCGATTGCGTATCTATTCCGTATCAGCTTCGATATCCTCTGTCTCCGCTTCGTGAGCCAGTATGTTAGGCCACGTACTTCGGTCCGTATGGGGATTTGTAGGTTGAGTAAGATGGGCGAGCCCGTGGATGGACAATGCCAGTGGAAGGATGGTACTGCGGTCGCATATGAATTAGCTATACGATACGACGTGGTCTGAAGCTGCAGAAGATACGTACGTCTCCCATGATTGCTGTTTGGGTGGACTGGTAGATGTGAGGACAATTCAATTGCAGAGTTGAAGGGATGTAGTCGTCGATGATGAGATCTGCTTCGGGGCTAGCCGGGTTCTCTGGCCAAAATTTAGAGACACGTGACCATGCTACACCTCGATCTCCAGGGCTAGCTCGATGTCCTTGTCTGTCATCTGTGCCTACTAGTCTTCGAGAAGTTAAAATTTAACACGTTCCAAATAACTATCATCCTACTCTAGGCCTATGCATGAGTCTTTTGCATGTCAGTCCATCAGAATGGTAGTAGCCACCATCCATTCCTTCTATGATTGTTTTCAAAGCTGCGCAAGAGTGCAGGAACATCGTGAGCGGGATGCGACAAGCTGACCACTTCTTCTTAATTGTCATACCCTTAAACGAACGACAACCGTCTTCCTCCTCAGATATCCCTCTGAGGCATTTCCTCTCCATCACATGAACCAATACTCATCAAACTGTGGTGCATCGGTAATAACGTCTGCGGTGCATTTGACCGTTGAACAGGAATCAAGCTACAGAGCCTGCCAAATGCAATTGGACTGGAAGCATTTCCGCTGAGCTCCAAAGTTGGTAAGATGAGCTGCAAGAGGCAGCCACATGGAGAAGAAAGTGCAGTTTCTTTTGGCTATTGGCAACATTTGGCTTGGACTTTCTTCTGCTCACGATAGCGAAAGCCAAAAAGTAAGTTACCAAAATCTAATAGCAATTCAATAGCAACCTGTGTTCCAGGAAAAATAGCTCAGGAATACATACATTTATCTCTCTACTTATATACTCGAATTTAATGTTACATCCTCACAACGGAGCAACCCTCCACCTTTCCACTGCGACTCTTTGTTCGCTCTTCCAGATCTCCGGGTTACTCATTGCGCATGTGCATTTCCAAAGGTCGCCTGCCTATTGGTCCTTCCCCGCCTCACTCCTAATCGTGCCGCATTATCGGCCATCTGCCTTGGTCTTGGCAACTCCCATCCCGAGAATTGCCTTGGGGATCCCGCCGACTGGTTCGTCCCATCCCATCCACAACTCCAACACCAGCGTCATTTCTGTCCCAAGAGCTATAGACGGTTAGACAGGATAGACTATTACTGTTTGAGAGCAATCTGCTACCCCGCATCGTGCCCTCACATTTCTCTGCGACCACGCCGTTTGTCTTTCTATTCTGCTTGCGGCGATTCAGTATCAGAAACAGCTAAAGAAATATATCTGCGCGGAGAGACGGATTGGTCGAGAGCCTCGCACTGGCGGCTTAGAATCAACGCAACGGACACGAGGGCGAAAAAGCAAATCTTACAGAGATTGGCGAATCGAGGAAGGATCTGAAGGCGCTGGAAAAGAAAAGCAGGAACAGGGCTGCAAGTCGACAAGGTGGAATAGCTCAGGAATACAAAGCGAGTGAAGCGTCTGCTTCTACACTTCAACTCTTCTTGGCGGTGGTGTCGTCGTGAACTGCGACTCACTCAGCGTGAGCAAGCTCTCTCACAGCTCTCCGAGGAAATCCTACTATAGACCCGATCGACCTCACGAAACTTACAACACATACCAATCCTCAAAATGCCTACACAACAGCAAACGAGACCCTTCTTCGCAAACTTCCTAGCAGCCTTTAGAGCTCATTCCGCAATACAGACAGGCAAAGCTACCAGTGCTTCAACAAACCAAGCCTCAAATACCCAATCCCATATCGTCTCCTCGCCTTCACAACCCAGAACCATTACAACGTCCTCGAAAGGCGCAACGACGACGGCGATATCGGCTCTCACATCACCGCGGACGCACAGTACATCCCCCCTCTCTCGTTCGCCGGGTCAGTCACCGCCGCCTGGGGAGTCGAATCCAACAAATGGCGCGACGAGATATGTAGCCGGCCGATCGACGAGGAGGGGCAGTGATAGTAGTAGTGAGGGGTTCAGAGATGTGTTAGGGCAGGAGAAATGGTATATTGGGGGTCGAACCGCCACAGGAGAAGAACGGTATTTCAAACTTGGCGTGGTTAGGCGGCAGAGGAGTGTTGATCGGTTGAGTTTGGACAGATTAAGTCTATAGGAGGTCTTATTTTCTCATGGATATGAGATAACGGCAGCGAAATGAAATTTGGCTCGGGGGTGGGATAAACGGACATGCATACACCAGTCGCCTGGCGGCAAACGGTCAAGGTGGCGGGACGGGATATACACTGAAGGCGTATCATACATTACTTGTTTGGCGTTTGGTGGGCGGGATTACTGGGGTTGGGATTGCACATAAGATACTTCGGATGATACATATCAGGTCCTACTTGCTCTTCTTAGTCTAGTCTAAGGAATGAGCTGGAATAAAAGCTTAACTTGTAAATTTGGGATCGCTGTGAGAATGTGTGCACTGTGTAGTTTGTGAGATGTGCAGTATATAACGACTACGAGTTTGTGAGATGTGCAATATATAACGACTACGTGATATGCTGCGAATTCGTCCTAATCTATCTCGGCTGTAGATAACTGCTTATGCGAATTTTCTTGCCTGGTCTATGATTGTCTTAGGATACGGTTTAAATCTTTGATAATGAACATCAGTCAATTTTTTGCCCCAAGAATGATTACGAAGAAGTTAGAATATGGAGTTTGATTATCACGAGAGAGGGCTTACGTTATTCCTCAAAGGGGGCAGAGTTGGAAGAGTTGAGTCCTTTTTTCTTAGGTGTAAGAAATATAGTGAATGAAATTAAATGGGAAACATGAAAAGAGGATTGGGTTTTGGATTCTTAATTGCTTAGCTAAGGAAGGTTTAAGCATTTGTTTCTTAATCGAGTGTGTGACGCAGATTGTGCAATTTTTGCTTAATGGTTTTTTTTTATAAATATGTACACTTGCGAGGTGTATGTTAAGTGGTGTGATGCTATTGTTTGGTGAAGTGTTTTGAGTGCTAGTAAGAGATTCAATTGGGATGATATGAGTACTTAGGTGTTGTTGGATACTGGGTTAGATTTGTGTATAATCCGGAGAAATGTAAGTTGTGAAATGACTATTAGTTAATGTCTGAGGAATTGTTGAAGGACGGTCGCGTATTTTTTGTGTGAATTGGTATATGTTGAGAGTGAGTGAGGGAGTAAGTTCACAAATTATGAAAATATGATTGTGTGTGAAACAGGTTTAGGGACTTGATGGTATGTAATCGTGGGTTTTAGAGAATGGAATGTTGATAGTATGTATATGCTATTCGTGATGTAGCACTAGCAGATGTCTTACAAGTGATGTCTTACAGGTAGAGGAGTGATGCTTGAACTTTGTTGTTAATCTGTGAAACTAAAGTATCAACATAAAACACCACATCACACTTGCTTTTCACGTTTCTCACCAACAAGCTTATCAAATATCTCCCTCCATCTTTGAAAGGAAGTACATGAAACTGATCATACTCAATTAAGTTAACACGGTCACAAATTCACAATCAATATTTTTTATTCAGATACTCCTATTCCTATCATCCTAACACGTATCCAAATCACTTATCCAAATCATGCCAATAATTCAAGTATCCAAAACGCCCCTATCCCCTCCATTTTTCAATACCCCTAACCCTTCAAATGTCTCAAATATTTCAAGAAACTCCCAAACAAAACGCCCATCTTCGCGCATCACGAGATGATCATGGTTACTCCGAGAAAATATTTGTGTGAATTCCTTTTTGCGCCGTATTTCAAATGTATGTATCCAACCGTTCGATGTTTTTGTGACCTTTTTCTAATGTATTCAATGTTCGATATGTTGTTCAATGTATTTTTGTCGTGTTTTTCATCAGTTTTCGTCCCCATTTGAACATTACTTGTGAGCAAAATTCGTAGGTCGTAGATGTCGTGTCGTAGATTCGTCCTCCATATCAGATCTCCTATGTCGTATGTCCCGTCTCGTCTCCCATACTATCGTCATAACGTCCAAACCACCAACTTCACATCAATACAATCAGATCCGTCTCTGACAAGGGTCAATCCCATACGTAACTCTAACCCTGTCCCTCAACTCCTCATAATCCATAATCATCTTAAAACACATCTGACTCTGTCCATCCACCCTCAAAAAGTCAAACTCCAACCTCACATTCCCCTCCCCAACCTCCACACTCCTAATATCCGAGACCTCAAACGCGCAGGCACTCTTAAAAAACCCAATCCAAGCATCCACATCCATCAGATCCCTCGGTCCGGTAACCCACAGCGTACGACTCTGAATACCCTTGAACTGACGGAAGCCTTTGCGATTGTACTTCACGTTCAGCCGCTTGCCGCCGAGGTAGATGTGCGAGGTGCGCGTGAGGTGGAAGATGTGCGCTGCGTCTGCGGGGTCGCAGAGGACGAGTTTGGCGGCTTGTTGGGCGTGCTCTGCGTCTGGGCGGTTGAGATGGAGGGCGTAGATTTTGCCGAAGGGGAGGGAGGCGACGAATTCGGAGGGCGTGATGTGTGCGGGGATGTTGGTGATCCAGAGGGAGCAGTTAAGGTGGTGTGGGAGGTTGTCGCATTGGGCGAGGTAGGACTTGCCGATTTTGTTGCCTTGGTAGCCTTTTGGTGGTGGGGAGTTGGCTCCTACGATCTTGCGACGGTTGAGGATGGCGAGTTCGTTGACCATTTTGTAGGATTTTTGGAATTTGGAGGTTGGTGTGATGGTGGGGTCGGAGTTTGATCTGGAGCCAGAGTGGGAGACTGATCTTGAGCCATACTGAGATTGCGGCTCGGGGACGGTGATGGGTGGGTAGGCGTTTCGCGGTCTGCTGGCAATAGGATGGATTGGTGTAAGTTGGTCGTATGTAGATCCAACAGCTTCTTGATTCATATACTCACTTGGAGTAATCTGGCCAAATGTGGGTCTGAAAGATGTGCGAGTGGGATACTCACTTGGAGAAATCTGGCCGAATGTAGGTCTGACGGTTTCCTCCTTTGGATACTCAGGTTTTGAGAGCTGTCTACCCTTTGACTTGGTGGGACCACCGATGGGCCCAAAGTCGTGAATGGGCGACAATCTAGCAGCATCCCTTTGTTGCAGTTCTTCTGGCGGCAGATTTTTATAGCTATATCTTGTGCCTGGGAAATCTTTGAGCCATGATGGTCTTCTTGCAGTGTAAAGGCTTCTGAAGTCAAAGTCCATCGCATCTCCTGTGGCAGTGGTAGTGTCTTCGGCAAGATCAGCTTGAAGATCAGAAATATCTCGCAGACTAAACTCAGCAGCCGCGGGATTAAGAGTCTGTCTCTCGGTGGATAGGCCTTTAACAAGCTTGTGGGTGGTCTTGCGAATCGGCTGGACACTTCGAGGAGTGGCGAGGTCAGCAGTACTCTCCCAAACAGTATTAAGACTCTCTGGGGTAAACGGAGGACTCGATGTAGCACAGCTCCTGTGTGTTTGTGGAGCAGAGACATGGAAGCTGTCCAAGTGAACTTCTTTGCTATCATCGACGTGAAGTTCGTGAAAGTCGTCTGCCAATTCATCGGCAGGCGTTTGAGCACGCTTGTTATGAAGGAAGACTTCTTTTGGAGGCATTACACTTGCCAAATCATTGGTCGAGGAGCCCAGAGACCACATCAACCCACTAGCTAATGGACGTCTCGAGTTGGTAACTTGTTTCAATCAGTCTCTCTGTCAATTTATTCGGATGGGCGAGAGCTCTTACCTTGATAAACACTATTGGTTGCAGTAGGACTTGAATCTTTGGCGTCCAGTTCTTGAGCCTCATCGCTGTTGGAGCTCGATCCCATAGAGGTCTCGGACTTTCGCTGGCGACGCTGCCATTCTTGCAGCCAGCTGCTCTTGATGAACTCTTGCGAACTATTGCGGTTGTTGAAGAGGGTTCGAGTACTCATTGTATCGTTTTTGGTCTGTCTTGAATTCTGAATGTTGTCGGATGTTTGTTGAAGGAGGAGGAATTGAAGTACAGAAAGGGAATTTATGAAGATAAAATTACATGAAGGCTGGTCAAGATAAATCAGTATGAAGGAGTGGGCTAGTCAGACCCTTGCAATCTGGATAGCTCACGATACTCTTGTTGCAGCCTTGTGGCCTAAATTTGAGCAAAAACCAGGCCATTCGTCCCTGAATATGGTTTCTTCAACCCGATATAAAAATTATGGGGGCTGGGTGCTTGATCTGGGATGAAAGGTGAAAGGTCTTGTCCAGTTTTATGTGACGTGGAAAGCATGGCAGGAAACTCTTATCCATGTAATTATAGAGCGCTTAAGCTGCGCTTATTGTGTGGCTGTGTGAGGTTGTGTGAGGTTGTGAATGAATGTAGCATTCGAATTCAATTGAATAGTGACTTAAAGTCCTGGTCAATTTACTGATTTTGGAAAGATATATAGCATGTGATTGGGTCTGCCTGCTTAAATAGAAGGTCGTCTCATAGTGGCGTGGAGTCTAAATACCATTTAGCATCGTCGGTTAATTAATAGGAAGAGAAATCTGAGTCCAAAGCATTACTCACCCCATCTAGCGATTCGTCTGTGTTGTAATGCCCAAGTTTTATGCCTAGAAGAAAGTCAGAGTATGTTAATATAGGAACAGTACAACTGTAGTTGTATCACACAGTTTGGTTCTAATAAAACACCCTTGCTGGTTGTTAGCCCAAAGCACTTTAAGTCAAACTCTGGTAGTAAAGCACGTCAACAATATCCTTATAAGATTAACAAATCTAACTAGAAGACAAACCATCATGGTACTTTAAAAGCTCTTCAGTTTGATTAGGGTGATGATTTGTTCTTCGCACAACAGTTCTTTGCTATGAAGGCCTTTTGATTGATAAGTTGTTTTCTGACTCATTCTATTCCAAAAATCCATAAGGAAATATTGGTTAAAACCTAGAGGACGACTGACACGGAATCAGATACATAAGTTTGATTATGATAGAAACTGCAAACATTGGATCAAAGAAAATGAAGCCGTGCAACTTCTGGAGTTTATCAATGAAATTTTCTTAAAACACAGTGATATCAACCCCATGTCTTGGGGGGAATTGGAAGCATGGGTTCCAGAATGCATATTGTATGCCAGTTGGCTTTGTAAAGCGTTGCAGATCGTAGTTGTTGCATATGTGAAACCATGATGATGAAAGGAGGGATAGTCAATGTGTCGTAGTATTGAGGTGAAGTTGAAAAAGTGGATACATCACGTGATAGCGCGAAACCGCCCGACGCGTCGATGTCGTCAACGACCTCGAAACTCTCGAGTCTGATTCAACGAGATGTAGAACATACAGCCTAGCTTAAGGATGCCACGATGGCTAAATTACAAGCAGCCACAGTTTCGAACAAGATTGTACGGAAGCGGAAGCGGAAAGATGTAGAAGGCTCTGAAGAACCATCCACCACATTGCCCCCGTCGCCCTCGACTTCCACCACCTCTATACCTACAAAGCTCCATGATGGTGGCTCAAAACCAAGGCGAGCCCCAAAATCGGAAAAGCAGCCCCCTGCATTGGCACGTAGTGCGTCCACCTTCTCAAATCCTGTCACGAGCTCAATACCGTGGCCCGCATCTTTCCAAACCCTTGAGAAGACCCACAAAGCCCTCAATGTTGTATTCACGTTCTGCTCTACGCGTAAACATGTTGTTACAACTTTTGACACAATCAAAAATGCCGTGGAGGGACACATCAAGCGGGAGTTGAAGGTCGAAGAGGTGGCCAAAATTGTAGCGCTGAGACCAGGAGGCATGAACTTCTCGTACGTGGATGAGGCAATGCTCCAGGTCGAGGTTAAGGGAGCCGAAAGAGACGAAACTTTCAAAGGTAGAAAGAAAGACTGGTTCTCTCAACACCCCGCTCCCGATGCTTCTGTTGGTGGTGTTACCGGCACCCACGGGCTTGGGCACGGGGAAGCCGAGACTGGAGCCGGCGAGGAAGTCCTATATTTTGAATTTATCGATGGCGATCTGAAAAGACAGGTAGAGAACAAGAAGACCGGCGAGCCTACGAAAGCTACCAGAAAACTGCGAGACGAAGAATTAAAGATGCCGGTCTTCAGCCAGAAGCAAATGATGGGGCTGATCGAGAAGCGGAATACCAAATTTGGATATGCCATCAATGCTTTCTTGAACCGTTGCGAAGCTGAATCAACAGACGCAGAAGACACACTAAACAAGGAGTCTGAATCCTTCATCCCAATGCCCAGTCAGTCCAGAAGCACTACACCCAAACCTGATGTCAGTGCATTACCAAAGACAATTCCGAAAGAGCGAAAATCTGTCTCTGAGATAGTTACGGAAATCAAAGAATGCGAGTGGTATACCGGTCAGATTGTACCTGATGGGCATCGTGTTTTCGATCCACAGGAAGCCATCTATGGACACTTGAATTTTAGGCTCAGTCAAAATCTGGTAAACGCGTTGTATAACACGAAAAACATCACTCAATTTTACGCACATCAAGCAGAGGCAATTAATAATCTACACGAGGGGCACCACGTTATCGTAGCTACCTCTACTAGCTCAGGTAAATCTTTGATCTATCAAATCCCTGTTCTCCACGAACTCGAGCGAGATCCCAATACAAGAGCGATGTACATTTTCCCCACGAAAGCTCTCGCGCAGGACCAGAGAAGAAGTCTCAAAGAAATGATGCGCTTCATGACTGGCCTCGAAGAGACCATCGTTGAGACGTTCGACGGAGATACCGACATGAAAGACCGCAACCTGATTCGCGATGAAGGTCGAATAATCTTCACCAACCCAGACATGCTCCACATCACAATTCTACCACAGGAAGAGAAGTGGAGGACGTTTCTCAAGAACCTGAAATACGTTGTTGTCGACGAGATACACGTCTACAATGGACTTTTCGGTTCTCATGTTGCGTTCATTATGCGCCGATTAAGAAGGATCTGCGCTGCTGTTGGGAATCGCCATATCAAGTTTATTTCTTGCTCTGCCACCGTTGCTAATCCTCAGCAACACTTCAAGACCATTTTCGGAATCGACGATGTGCGGATGACGGACTTTGACGGTTCGCCTTCAGGCAGAAAGGAATTTCTGTGCTGGAACACACCTTTCAAAGATCCAGGTGATCCTTCCAGTGGTCGTGGCGATACCATGTATGAAGCTGCTCGGCTATTTTGTCAGTTGATTCTCAGAGGAGTACGTGTCATCGCATTCTGTAGGATACGAAAAGGCTGCGAGGCCCTTGTCAGTGCAGTCAAACAGGAACTTGCCACTCTGGAAAGGTCTGACTGTATGGCACGGGTTATGGGTTATCGGGGAGGTTACACCTCTCAAGACAGAAGACGTATCGAAAGTGAAATGTTTGAGGGGAAGTTGATGGGAATTGTCGCAACGACTGCACTCGAGCTAGGTGTTGATATTGGATCCCTTGATGCAGTCATAACTGTTGGCTTTCCTTACACCATTGCAAATCTACGACAGCAGAGTGGTCGAGCTGGGCGCAGAAACAAAGACTCATTATCTGTCCTTGTCGGAGATTGCTTTCCGACAGATCAGTACTACATGCAAAACCCTGACGAAATCTTCACGAAGCCCAATTGCGAACTGCAAGTCGATTTGCAGAACATGTTGGTTTTGGAAGGTCATATCCAATGTGCTGCGTTTGAGATGCCCATCCGTGTGGACGAGGATGCGGAGTACTTCCCGAAGAATTTGAAGGAAATCGCAGAAGAGAGGATGGTACGTGACGAGCTTGGATTTTATCACTGCAATGATCGTTTCCGACCTGTGCCTTCCAAGTTTGTTGCGATACGAGACACCGAAGAAGACCACTTTGCAATTATCGACATTAGTCATGGCAAGAACGTCGTCTTAGAGGAACTGGAAGCATCTCGAGCATTTTTTACGTTGTACGATGGTGGCATATTCCTTCATCAGGGTAACAGTTACTTGGTCAAAGAATTCAACCCAGACATGAAGCTTGCCAAGGTAGAGTTGGTTCGCGTCGACTGGACAACGCAACAGCGCGACTACACAGATGTCGACCCCATTGAGACAGAAGCTATTTGCCAGATACCGAAATCTCTATCGAGAGCTTTCTTTGGAACTATCAAAATTCAACAAGTTGTATACGGATTCTTCAAAGTGGATAAGAAACGGCGCATATTAGATGCCGTTCAAGTCGACAACCCGCCTATCATTATCTTCAGTAAAGGCATGTGGCTGGACGTACCTAAACAAGCGCTTGATATCTTGCTGGAGCGGCGGCTCAACATTGCCGGTGCCATTCACGCTGCTGAGCATGCGATATTGAGTCTTATGCCCAATTTCGTGGTGAGTATGCCTGGTGACGTGCGAACCGAGTGCAAAATTGGCATTAAAGAGTTTGCTCAAAAGGAGACTACGCGTAAGCGTCCGGCACGTCTAACCTTTTACGATGCTAAAGGCGGCGCTAGCGGTTCTGGGATAAGCACCAAAGCATTCGAATTCATTGATTTGCTTCTCAAGCAAGCAGTACGTAGAGTTGAGGGATGTCACTGCCATGAAGGTTGCCACGAATGTGTAACATCTGACATTTGCAAACATGCAAACGAGGTTATGAGCAAAGCCGGTAGCGAAGTTATATTAAAAAGCTTGCTGAATATGGAGATTGACATTGACGCCCTACCTATGGGTCCCGAAGAAGGCTCGCCTGCTGGTATAGAGACTGTAGTGCTTGCAAAGCCAGTCCTACCCAAGGGTCGAATGGACGTCCTTGAGGTAAACAGAGGGGCTGGTAATGATGGTGAGAGAACTGTGGTTGGCGAAGTCACGATTAAGGATGAACCTCTGGAATAAGCATAGACCCAGCCAGTGCTGTACCCCTGGAAAGTAGGCATATAGATCTGTATATTACCGATACCTTTGGAAGTACCTTTGTAGGATTACTGTACAGTTATCATTTTCTTAATAATTCCTGATTACAACTCAAAAGCAGATTACTCGAATTCAAAGCAGATCGCTAATGCTTAATAGATATTGTAACTAAGTGAAGCAGATTAGTATTGCTGTATAGCTTAAATTGGTATCATATCTTTGTAGCTTCTTCAAACGACTGCCGAAAATTCATTCGCTTACTTTTCCCATTTGAGCTTCAAGAAATCCAAGTAAATCAAAACGATGATGAATGTTCATGTACCTTGGCAAATACATGCTTAGAAATCATTACTTATCATCTCGAACTTTCCAAATGGCTGTTCACTTGCGCCTGGGGGCTGGGAAGACTTGTTTGGATGTGGAGTATATTCACACAAGTCCACTTTTGGTCCGAACGCCTTGCAAGGCTGGAAGAACGCGCCTCTTATTTACCCTAACCCAGACATTCCTTGTCATGTATGCGAGGCTTGGCTCATGAAGGACACTTGGGGACCTCTTGGTGAATCTGCCTTTGGTCGAAACACTCTACTCGCTTGTTTTGTTTGGCTTTTTTTTGGCGCTTCGCGAAAACTTGCGCGCATGTGTCGGCTAGCCTACACACCACTACGTTCAACCTCTATAAAGTAAGAGTCGACTCACTGGAAGTCTATAAGAACTTCATCAAATTCAGTCAACTCAACTCTTGTTCCAAACCTGTACACAACGACAATCCTGTTACAGTGCAAGCTCATCTCTTGTTGTGGTTGCAAATGCATCACAGCTGTTCTTTTACATCAACTCAAACCTATCTTCGGATCAACAACCCAAAAAAAACCATTCCCCCGGGCTGGCCTGTAATTATCATCAACTTATCTTCTGCCCCTACATAAATTCATTCAAAATACATAGCGACAAAGTATCCAAGTTCTTAATCACCTTGAGCTCAGTAAGCTACCCATTAAGAAACACTTCAAATCTAACGCTTTACCTAGAGATGTCAAGCTTACTGAACATTCATGGCGCACCTTTTCGCCAGCCACATCCTCCCCCACCTGAGCTTAATGACACAAATACCTCAGGGAACTTCATGAGAAAGAAGTCCTTCAGTGAGGAAGTACTGACTCCTACAACGGATTCCAGTACCGAATCATGGAGTACAAAAGCAACGTCGCATGGTGGGGTCACCTTGAATGGCGATTATAAGACTCCCAGTAACATTGTAACCGTTAAGGCCAATGCTCTTTCGCTTGCGAACCTTCCATCTGGATTCTTGATACCGAATCACTTCACCCATCCTCAAGTTCCTTCGGCAGGACATGCCAAAGCGGTTGAGAAGCAGGACGAGCGTGATGTTGACCGGGCAGAGCCCTCAAAAGTCATCTCATCCTCCTTTGCATCAGATAGTGGCGTGTTCAGCGGCTCAAATACTCGCAGTCATACTACTGCAACTACATTAGGGAGCGATGATCTTCTTTCATTGCTTAATGGTCGAGCCTTTGGGGCTGATTGGAGAACAACCGATTTCAAAGAATCACCAGCGAGCTGGTTAAACCGCTCAGCTGGCGAGGCAAGCAATAGATTCGGCCTTCTCGCAGTCGATGATCAGGATATCCACCAACCCCAATCTTCACCTGGTAACATCAGAAATGATGTGCGAGAACCATTCGAACATACCCCATCTCGCTTCCCGCAGTCTCAAGATCGACAACCGCAACCCTGGCGCAGCAGATATCTATCAAACGCTCCAAGCAACGGCGAGGATGATGACTCTGCTTATGAACAGCAGAAAGCTTCGTGGGACTCTACTTCACGAATTCCTAAATTTGATAGCCCGGCACTCCAAAAGGATAAGTGGAGGAGATCAAGCGAACTGCCCAAGTCTAATATGGGCGAATTTGCTTCTGGCAACAGAATCCCCTTCTCTGGCGACAAGCCTTCCCCTTGGGCTGACGACAACAACGCTAGAAAGGGACAGAACAATATGTCTCTTGTAAGGGAGGGCCAAAGCCCTACTTCCAAGTTGAAACCAAGCACCGCAAGTCAGAAAGAGTTCTATCGGCCATGTATGATGGCGAATGGTACTCGAGAGCGCTTGGCTGGCCAGAGATATCAAGGAGACAAAAACTCGGACTATTACTTGTCGCACAAAGATCTTCCGGATGATCAGAACTGCTCGTTGTGGCTTTCCGACATTCCACTCACCATGACTCCTTCCAAAATCTTTGACCTGATCGACTGTGGAGCGGTATGGGTCCTTGATCTGAAGAATCCAGATCGAACTCACTCTCGCAGAGCTGCTGATCTTTGCTTCATGACCCCTGAGTCCGCAGCCACATTCTACAACTCTGTAAAACAAGGCCGTGTCTTAATGGAAGGTTGCAGATTTAGCGTTATCTACAACAAACACGGCGTGCCAAGACGTAACAAACAACAAAGCCGTGTGATTTTCGTTGACGGACCAGCAGAAATCATGACCGTCGCTTACTGGAAAGAGTATTTCGAATACTACAACGTTTTCTTCTGGGATCGGGTCACCGCACGCGACATGGATGGTGGTCGAAAGCACATGCAATTCAGATTCGTCCGAATGCCGGCCCAGTCTCAAATATGTCTGCAAGCTCTTCTGCGAGATGAGAAGATGACAATGTTGGGTGTTAAGGCTGGCTATGTGCCGGATCCCTGCGACAGGAGGTTTTATCACGAGTCTTTGGATCAGGAGGTCCTTGCGTATGATGTTAAAAGCGACAATCGCAATCAGCCAGCTAACGGATACGTTGATTACAAGGAGTTGCTTGATATTGTTCCAGAGAGGTAGAAAGTGGTTGTGAAGCCTCTGGCGGTGGCATGAATGAGTGGAGTGGGCTTTTTTAAGTTGGATATGAAAGCTATGGGAGTTCTGCAGTGATTGATTCGCTTCCAGGACTTGATTTGTATGATAGATTATTGCGATAATTGATCTTGGGGCGTTCGACATAGCGTTAACCTACACAGTATTACAATTATGAAGATATCATTTGAATTCTTTTAAGTGTGATTTCTTGCCTTGAATCTTGAAACAAAAAGGGTAATTGGGTTGCTAAGCCGACGTGATACCTAACGACATATACAAGAGGTAGATATACTCCGTAAGTAGCTCTTTTACGCGATGTATGTTCTTTCTTATTAGATAGCGTCTTTGAAGCATATTTAAAGTTGACCTGGAATTAACCTTCGGATCTTTTAACTCGTGCAGAGTACGGAATGTGTGCAAGGCTAGATCACAAAGAGAAGAAAGTTGTTAGCAGACCAAAGAAAGTACCAATTGCCAAACATGGGTCTTTCATGTCTTTCATAACTTAGGTGCAACCGAGCAAATATTATAACCAAACATGTGTTTAAGCTATTGCTCGAATTTCTATCTGTTCACTTGTAGAATCATGAAAACCTTCTGAATTTGGGGCTCTACTGACCATTCGTTGACGCGAAATGAATTTTGATAAACAAAGAAAAATCATTGAGCTGTTTTCCCGTGAAGCATACTTTGAAGTGTGTTCAGTTATGAGAATTCAGTTGAAACATAGGAATCAAAATACGTGAACAATGACCGCCTCATACTAGGAACAGCTATGCAACACTAGCATATCAGCTCAAAGTTCATAAATATCTGCACCTCCCAGTTATCATTCTGCTTCTCTTCCAAACTTGTCTTCAATCAAGTTTCCAGCCTTTTCTTTCCAAAACAGGTCTTCAATTCTTTCAAAGACTCAAATTTAATTTGAACCTTCATACACTCATTATGGCTCCCTTCAACCAGCCGGACATCTTCGGCGGTGATTCAGGCTCTGGCAGCAAGAATCAGTACACCATGATATCTGGAGACAAGCAAGATGCTATGGATGCAGATATTGCACAGAAGCTACTTGGCTTGGTCATCGCTCGTCAAGAAGAAGACCAACTGCAAGCCTCTTCGTCAAGCAAGAATTATCCTGATCTGTCTCCGACAACCACTGATGGCACTTCATCTCAGTCAAACCTCGATACTCCAGACTCAACTCAATCACGAGCTCGCGGTAATGATACTGCAAGCCAGAGCGTTGGTTCTCTGAAAGGTAGTGTCTCCTTAGACATCAACCTTGAGCCAGGTTTTGCTAACACGTCTGCAGCTCTGCCTACTTTGCAAAAAGGTACCGCCAATCGCTCTGCTAGTGAAGAGTCGCCTCTCAACAAGGCGGGCCAGTCTTCTGTCCATAACACCACTGCTATGCCATCTCGAAGTAGCTTCATGCCACCAGCCCAATCATTTGGGACCTTCGGTGGTATTGCAGATTCTATCTACAATGATCTCAATGGTGCTGGTACTTCTGCAAGTTATGTTCCCCAGAATAGTGGAATGATGCCACCCGTCCGAACATCTGCAATGTTTGGCAATGTGGAAGATTCAAACTACAATCGAGTCAGCAATGTTGTTCAAGGTGCATCTGATCCTTTCGCTGGGCTTGGTACACAGACCTTGCGAGCAGTATCAGATCCAACCCTTCTACAGCAAGATGGAGCCCATACAGCTGCAGGACAAAACATCTCCCAAGCCGACCATGACATATATGGAATGTTTGGGGGTTGGAGATCCACTAAGAATACTGTGGGGCAGAAGAACATTGGTGCCGTTGGTGATGGACGTGCTTCAGCAGCAGACGTCGTCAAGTCTCACGGTGCAAGTGAGCCCCTTTCCCTACATGCCAACGAGTTTATTGCACAACCTAGAGTTGTTGACGGAAGTTACCCAGCCACTGAAGTAGCTTCCAAAAATACAGAGCACGGCTCTCAAGAACCCCAAGTCCAATTACCTCAATTTCAGGTCCCACTCCGTCCTCTACTATTTCCTGGCATGGGCGGCTATGGCAGTTCTATGGGAGACACACGAAACTTTCAACGCTTTGGGGGCATGGGTAGTCCTACACCAGTAAATCCAGTTGGTCCGTATCGTCCTCCACAGACTTATCAGACATCTTCACCAGCAGATGGCACACGTTTTCGTGGCCTCTCCATCCCTTCTTCGATGCAAGGCGGACTCTTTCGCTCTCCCATAAGCCCAAACCATCTTAGAGCTCAATCACATCCCTCATCTGCTCTGCAGGCTTTCGGTGAGCGCGCAATGGTCAATGCTGTGGTAGAGCCAAATCTCAACCCTTCTACGAAGATGTTAGCACTCCAGCAAAGACTGGCAGCTGGAGTAGGAAGTCCAATCGCGACTGATCTGGCTAATCAGCCTTACCATGGCTCTCACCACTCGCAATCTATGCAATTGCCTATGGAGAATCTCCGAAACGAGTTCAATTGCGCCTTATGGGTAACCAATATTCCAGTCGCTGCTACCTCTTCGGACATCTTCGACGTTATTAAATGTGGTGCCGTTGCTTCTCTGCACGTCAGTCCTCCAGACGTAGACCATCCCTTCAAGGCGGCGAAGTTGATCTTCAAGGAGCCATTGTCTGCAGCAGCGTTCCTGGCTCAAAGCCAACTCTATGGTATCCGCATCCGTGACCAGTATATCCGAGTGATCTACAACCGTCACGGCAGTCTTCGCTGGGCCGGAAACCAAACCAGAGTGCTTCGCATTACTGGACCTGAGCACTTGATGTATATCGAGTATTGGAACACGCTCTTCAGCCGGATCTGCGTCTACGAATTTGATATCTGCGAGGAGATTCCGTGTGCTGAGCCGGGCAGAAAGACGATGGAGTTCCATTTTGAGCGGATTGATGGTCAGTCTCAGATGTGTCTGAAGGCCGTCTTCCAGGTGCCGACTCATACCGATATCCAAGCTGGCTATGGCAGAGATCGATGCGAACCGAAGGTTCCAGGACTTCTTAGTCCTTTCTGATTCGAGATCCTCGAAGGCACATTCGGTTGTCTGATTGTTCTACCTAGGTAGGCAAGCTTCTACGGAGACTATCAAAAAATAAGCGATTTGAGCAAGAGAAATGGAAAAGGATTAACACAATATTTGACACATTGCATTAGATGATTGATGACTACGATTTGGGTCGTGGATGTGAGGAGGGAGAGATCTTTGGACTGATTTGATTGCTTTCGTTGGATGAAATTGGCAGGTGAGATATAACAACGAACTTCGAACGTGGCACATGGATTGGGAGCCACAAGGCCATTCGATGGATACAATGAGAAGTTTGTATTAGCAACATTCAGAATAGGTGATATCATATTTGAGAAAACTTTGAACAAGTCTGCCATGTGACTCGCTTGCAAATTTCAAAGAACTCATTGAAATTTGAAAGTGAGTTCCAGTGTGACCTAATCTTTGGATACAGAATCAGACCGTAACTCAGATAATCATAATTTCAAGCAAAAAAATTCGAAACCCCTAGAGATTGTACAATGACCTCTATCGCCAAAACCTTCCAATAACGAGATTTCAGGCCCCCAACATTTCAAAGGGAGATAGTATGCTTTGTAAGAAGGAAACTCAAATGATACGCAGATACCATTCTATTCACATCTATCAGACATTAGACAAAGATAAGACTCATAGGGTAAATCTTTACCCATTTGTTGCGTCTTAAAAGAGTCTAGTAAGTTTGTGTTTGTGATAATTCACAATGACATCCTGTTAGGGACCCACTTTGCTTAAAAGTGAAGTAAACAACAATGACAACAAGACAGGATCTACCCAGGTATGAGACTCAAAGAGAGGTCTATAAGATATCTAAAGGAGGGATAAAGGTCTTTCTTATTGTAAAATCGATCTTTCAAAGTGCAGGATCAAATGTAATCAGTACTTCTGCAGGTGTATCACACCAGTCAGAGTTCTTTTGACAATGTTTGCTTCCAGATCTCTACATCAGATTAGATTCCTATTGCAACTTTCTCTCAGGCTGCTAAGGTATAACGCAAGACAATGCCTACGTCATTCACCATGTCTACCACAGCTATCTGCAAATTTCCTCAGATTTTGCGCTGAGGCTTAGCCACCTTCAGAAACGTATTCACGTCCACCTCGTCGCCGACCATCTCGCCGTAACCCCTCGTATATTCTAGTATAAAGGCAGCTGACCACACCCAGAAAACCTGGCAACCTACACATTCTTTTTCCGCACCCCGAACTCGAAAGATCAACTTTTTCTGCGACAACCACTTGCTCCCAAGGCACCACATCTTGGAACCATCGCGTTGAAATTGTAAGCAGTTGCTTGAACCATCGTTTGCTTTTTATTTCTTTTCAAACAGTTCGAAGTTTTTCCCCAGTCCAGCTCCAAAACTCCGACACCAAGTCCACGACGTTAAAAACTCAGAAATATGGACCACGACGACAATAACAACACGCCGCCACGCGTCTCACGATGGGCTGATGTCTTCGCTACAGGGCAGGCCAAAAGAGAGAAAAAGGCAGCCTGGATTCTAGAAGATCTGTCGTCGCCCTTCTGCGCACAGTATTGGGTAAATAGGAACGCTAATCCCTACCAGCAGTCCGCTCTGACTACTCGAAGCTCTCAAGCCATTCCAATTCGCCAACGTCAGCAAAAAGGAGTGAAGTCGCTGGAACACCAGCCAACAATCTCACCGCCAATGGAGTTTAGCGAAGATCCTGGAACGATCTTCACTAAGAGCTTCAGAGAAAAGAAAGCCCAGCAGCCCAGAATTCAGAATCCTTTCGGATCAATGCTCGAAGACCGTTCCAAATCACCGGCGATGTCTCCTGCGGACTCCAGAAGTCCAAGTACACCTTTTGAGCAGGATGTACAGACTCCTGTCCAAGATGTCATCAGTGTTCGTGTTGTTCACAGTACACCTGCAATTCAGACCACCATCAGTGTTCCTGAGGGTCCAGATAGAACTGACTCGAGTGCTATCAATTCTCTTCATAGAGAAATTCGTGAGTTAACTTGACTAAATGATTGATTATGGTCGCTGATACAATGCAGAGAGGTTCCAGATTAGTCCAGATGACACAATGTCATCTTCAACTTTGGAGAATGATAGATCGGTCGACCGCTTTCGACCTGCTAGTCACCGTATCAGAAGACCCACTCGTCCAGCCGGGCTATCACCACGAGTCTGGCACGACGACAGTACTGTGGTACAGGCAAGGCAGGAGCAAGACTATATGGTCCAGTGGCCAAACGCATATCCGGCCGATACCCTACGTTCATTATCAGCTGGCAGCGCAACTCCCCCGTTGGTAAACACCTACGCCAGAGCCACTCGAAACCGGGATGACGACAGGTTCACTTCTTCGAACAGATCTAGAACTACGTCGAGATACCCCGACAGACACAATCCGTCAAAGTAAGATTGATCACGATTTATATGAGCGCTGTGCTAACTATATGAACAGTGTGTTTGGTAGATCCTCCAACCAGACCAGTCAGGGTCAGCTGGTCCGCAGACAAATGAACATAGACTCTGGGGCAAAAGGCAACATGTCTGAGGTGATACCCGACGACGACTTCTTCTCGTTGGAAAACTTCCGACCTTCTTCCATGAACCAGGAACAAAGAGGCCTAATAGATGCGCCGCGCGGAAGCAAATACCTGGGCAATCAGGATTCACAATCCGCCGCTCATCAGTATGACGATTGCCCCGATCATCTTAACCACGCTCTATGGGTGATGAGGATACATCGTGATGCACAATTAAAGGAAATCTTGGATACGGTTCGTACGGGAGGAATATTTGCTACCCACATGTCGCCGGCTAAGAACGGTCATGATTCACAAGCCATAAAGATCGTTTTCATGACTCACGATGCAGCAGCTGAGTACCTTCGACAGATCCACACCACCGGCATCTATGTTAGAGGCAAACGGGTTGAAGGTAAATGGAACCGAAACGGATACATAATACCGCCTCAGGGCCAGAGAACTCGGGTCTTGCACATTCGAGGACCAGTACATTACATGGAACGTCATAAATGGGAGGCCTACATGCAAATGGGTTTATCCATCGACTTGGAGGAGTTCCGTGAACTGCCAGATCCCGATCCTTCAAAAAAGACGTTCGAATTCCGACTTGGTCGAGTCGACGGACAAGCCGAGGCGGTATTCCAGATGATCTGCAAGAATCTGAAAATGAGGAGGAACGTCGAGGTCAGATATGGCCCTGATCCATGCGATCCAAACTCAGGATTCAGATGAAGGACTGAGACGTGCCAATGATCTTGCGTTCCGGGAAGCCGAAGAAGAATTTGTGCTGGCTACGAAGTCCACAGATATCTTATATATCATTCGAATTTGTGTGCAGAAGATTGTTGAAGAGAAGATTGAATGTAGAATTTGAAGAGTTTTGATTTTTTGAAATTTAGGAGTTGATAGATAGTTCACTGTATATTGAGTTGGAGAGAATATGTAACGGACACCTTTTGGTAGTGGTTGGAAGATGATGTAGGATAGGCTGGTCACGATTCAGCTTCGGTTTTGAATTTTCTGTCTTGACGATGGTCCCCGATACTTTGTATATTTGCTTTGAAGAACAGAAATCAGCATTTTCTCATGGTTACTCTGTGTATGATTGCTCTTAGTGATTGAACAGCACTTTAAACAGGCAATTTAACCTATCCTATGCAGTACAAAGAGATAATCCAGCACTAATAATCTGTCAGCACAGAATTATGAAGAGATCTGTGCTGAATATCTCTACCCTCAATATCTCCACTGTGCTCGACGTCTGATTGTGATGTAAAATTTTGTTCTCCAATTCTGATTCAAGCCACCGTCCTTCGTTCCAAGATAATGATGAGATTATATACATCCGCCGTCACGGCTCTAGAAAATCCTTTATTATATACAATGAGTATGCCCCGTGGACTGATGTATCGACCTACCTTCTCCCTCACTTTCCACAATTGAGAAATAAATGAGCACCACAACCGTTGCTAACAGAGCCTGATTCACGCTCCTGAGGCCGCGACTGGATCCTTTGTGTCAAGCCATCGAGATGAATCTTGGAGACTCCAAGAGTAAGAGACACGAGTCAAAGGAGGTTATCTGCAAGCCAGCATCTCAGGAGACGCGTGCTGTTAGGTTTATCTCCAGCCTCGTCATTGATGATAATCCGCCTGGCACCTTTTCAAAATCAAACGACTTCGGAAACTCTGACGATTACATCGCGCCGACTGTAAGTGCTAAACATCCCTTCCAGAGTGTTTTGCTAGATTCCACGTCACTAACATCTGCAGATGTGCTCCAGGAATTAAAGATAGAAACGGACCCGCCTCACGTCGCACGAAATATACGAGATACTGCGAAAGACATGGTTGCAAGTCGAGATGGAGGGAGAATTGCCAGAAATTCAGAGAAGGCAGGAGGACGTTACACGACCATTAGCAAGCCTACGTGTACGAGAACGGAACAAATATCAGTGCTCTGCAATAAGATTGGTTCATGTCTGTGAAAGCATCCATACGTATTGACGTCGAGAACGGCATGGCAAGTCTGGTAGGCTTTAATAGTCCTTCTGCGTGATCTTCACTTCAAGCGGGGTAGCTGACTGAGAACAACAGAACAGAACTATCTACTAGATATCTCAAACATGACCCTACCCATCCATCCTATAGACTCTCTATACCGAGCGTATCCACATCGAACAGCAGAACGAAATACCATGCCAGGTTAGCGAATTACGAATCCGCATAGTATATACCGATAGCCACTTGGCATTACTACAAGGAAGGATGTAAATAATTCGGAGAAGCACGATTATTGTTATGTTGGCCAAGTTCGAGTTTAATTACGACAAGGCGGCTGCTTCTAACGTTGCTGAAGCAGAAGACTCAGCCGAACCAACACCAGAAGATACGAGCATAGAGCACTGGAAAAACGGACATATGTGAATCTCTCTATGGGCACAAAGGCAGGAAGTAGCATGACAGGCAGGATATTGCTAGGAAATCATCTGCCTGTAGTCGTTGGTAGTCACTACTTGGTCATGGATGAGTTCCACTAGGATGGCAGCGCGCACATGGTGTAGTTTTTTTGCGAAGAAGATGTCTGTGAGCTCAACTGCAGCAGTTGAACTGCTGCAAACAGGTTGTTTTACTTTTGCTTGAATGTTTATCGCACAGTAATAGTATGAGGACTTTAGCCCTCTCGATAACCGCAATAACTAGTGATTCAGCCATAGTAATGTTCAGAACAGATGGCTAAAGTCTATACTACAATCTTCAAGACCATTAAAACCATAAATTTGACTGGCATAATATGTGGATCGAGAACAATTCTAGCAGCATGTTCAGGAGCAATAACACAAGAATCGTATCCGTTAGGAAGAGAGAATTTAGGGGAAATGAAAACCTGGATCTTGCGGGTCAAGAAGGACCCAGTCAAGCAGATTGTGCAACTTCCTCAAGGTTAATCTTTTGTAGCATCTTCATAGTAACAAAAAAATCAATCCTCAGCTAAAAAAAATCTTGAAGCTATTACTACCGTACCTCCAGTAGTAGATACTAAGTTATTCATTTTATCTAAAGTAAAACTGCCAAACCAGTAGAACAGACAATAGATAAACCGGTAAAGCCGTAAAAAGGACCCCGTGGAAAGATTGCTATTGTAAGCCATGGAAGCATGCATGATTCAGTAAAGTAAAAGTATAGACAGTGAATTGGTGGCCGCGTCCGGTGTTGACCGCTCCTTTGCCATGTCCTTTCACCCAGCAACTGGTTTACTTTGAAGTTTCTGCACCAACATCACTCAATTTCTTTTTAACAGAAGTTCAAATTACCACGACAGAATATACTCTCGTCCACGAATAACGTTCGAATTCCACGAAAGAGACCATCCCCCAGCGCAAGCGAAGTTCAAACACCACGACAGAAAATTGCTCGAACCTGGTCAAAATGTCAAGCAGAGAAAGCCACCAGAATGCCACGCAACGCGAAAACAGCAGATCGGAAAGGCTTAGGCAATGCTACCTTTCAAGTCTACCACACCTAAATGGTATGCCACTCCACCACCAGCTCGGACTACATCGCTGACAGGTAACCACAGAAAGACTTGCTTGGATGTCCCAGAAGGAGAGAGATCTAAGAAACTCAGAAGGAGCTTCGAGAAGTAGGTATTTCCACACACGCGAGCAGATGACGAACTAAGCCAAAAGCAGAAATCCAACCTTTCCCCAAAGGGCTCATCGAAGGTAGTCCACGCAGAAGAGCGGAAGCAAGAGTAAATGTCATCTTGACAAATCGATCGCTCTCCCAAGAGATCGATTTCTTGAACCGACACTACCAAGGGAGTCAGTCAGGATCTTCTGATTCATGCGACGATTGCTAATGAGTTCCAGGGGGTGGGTTCTTTGCTGGATTTGAAGAACAACAAGAGAGATACGAGGCAGTTTTGGAAGTCATTGTACTCTTTGGAAGTAAGTCATCATCTTCATCAGACTATCACAAACAGCTAATTATCATGAATCATAGATTTCCCTGATGGAGGTGTCCAAAGCATTTTTCCGAGTCTGCAGTGTGAACTTCACAAAGAGAATAACACAATGATGGAAAATCGCCGACGAGCACCCTCACAGCATCAGCCCTCGCGTGACTACCAAGGTCCCAATCAAAGAACAACAAGAGGAAGACAAGAAGAATACGAGGAACACGTACGAAGAACACGTGGTGAGGGAAACCTATCCGCGTATTACGCGCCAAACAAACCGGCTGGCGAGTTTGCGGATCAACAACACATGCAGCTCGCTCTGCGACCTGCTCAGGGACCTAGACCAGCCGGAGGCATGTCAAACAGACCCAACGACCATCGACGTGGCTATGAAAACATGGGATTGAGCAGTAGACCGATATATAATCCCGCCTACCAACCCCCTAACAGTGGGCAAGAGATGCAGAGATGGCAGGAAAAGGCAGCCAACGATATTAGGCGGCGTGGAAACGAAAATGACCCGTTTGTGGCTCCTCGAGAAAGTCAATATAGCCAACCACAGCAAAGACCGAATCGAGCATCTGAAAGTTTTCGCGGTAAAATACCGGGTACACAAAACAATCAGTTTAACCAGCCGCAGTCAAGGTCGAATCAACCCTCTGGAAAATTTCAAGTTCCGCCACAACACAGACAAAACAGTGTATACGGCCAACCACAGCCAGGATCGAGTCAAGCGCCTGCAAACTTTCAAAGTCGACCGCAAGGCTCGCAAAATGAAGGCAACTATGGCCAACTGCAGCTATACAGGCCACCACCAAGCGCTCCCGTTCCACCACCGATGCCGACAATGGCTGGTTACCATCCTCATTCTTCGGGACCACCGAAGAGCTTCACTGGAAGTAGAGGAGATCAGAGATACAACGATGATGGAATGCAGGCTTTCAACCGGCCTATGGACAATTACGGGTTGCCGCAATATCAGCAGGAGTACCGTCCCACAGAAGGCAACAGACCACCAAACAGAGGCCCTCACTTCGGTATTCAAATGTTTCGACCAGACTCTGGGTTTGCACAACCCGGGAGTAGCAGGGCCATGGATGAGAGACAGAGTAGGAGTATGACACAAATTCCTCAACGGTCTCCTCCGCCTGCTCCTCTTTTCCAACAGTTGCCTCATATGAATCCGCCTGTTGACCAAGCTCATCACCAACAAAGGGAATGGACACGAAGAGAAATGGAAGCCCGTAGAGAACACTACAATCAGGCACATTCTTTCGGAGGTCCACATTTCAACCCTCCACAAGGGCAACATTTCAATTCGAACCCTGCATCTGGAAGACGCGAGGATTCGACTAGGGATACTGAAGCCAGAAAGACCAGTCACGAGCCAGTAGGTCTAGAAAGACGGCGAACAATGGTATCCGGCGACCCAACACGACAAGATGGTCGAAAAGAAAATGCAGGAGGCAGACAGCCAAGAACTACACCGGGCCATCCAGCGCAACAAGATGCTCGACAAGGAAATGCGAAAGACAGCCAGCCACCAAAATTGCCCATGTACGCACCACAGAAACTCAATGACAACTCTTCTCGAGGGCCAAATGCCCAATTAAAACCACGGGAAAGAACGACCAGACGGATTGAGTTGTTGCAGAAACAGCAGTCAAACCCCGATCGTCTTGCATCGGGGGAGTACAAGTCGGTGAAGAAAAACCCACCAAAGAAGCCTAATCGTGCTCTATGGCTTTACACACTGCATGAAGCAACAACCTCCCTGGAAGTTTGTGAAACTATCACAGAGGGAGAGGTATACTCTTGCACGATAGTCCCATTTCGCCAGGATACGAAAAGTCAACAGAGCGGTACTGTGGAAGCGAACATCGTCTTTGGAAAAATCGAGGCCGCTGAGGCTTACTGCAACAAAGTGAAAGCTGGGGCAGTGTCAATTCGCGGAGTGAAGCCCGGCTATCGCTGGAGCCTCAACCCAATGGACATCATGCGACACAAACAGTCGTCCAGAGTAATCCGCGTAACCGGGCCTGCGCAAAAAGTCGATCGTGATTCGATATCTACACTTATGAATCGCTATGGACTCCCGTCTCCTCAGCGTATAAGGCAACACTCGATGAAAAATGGTCTTCAAATGTGCGAGATGTTGTTCGAGTCCGTCAAAGACCACTCGGAGCCATGTTACCAATTCCTGAGAAGCAGGGGAATGAATTCGCCGGATGACCAGATGTGGACTACCTATGGTCTTGATCCTTGTGACAAGCAGAACTATCAGCTGGCGACGTCCCGAGGCTATTTCAACTTGCTCAGAGGCCCTTGAATGGACGTCTTTCGGACTGAAATCTACTTTGCCTTTATACCCCGTAAGCTGCTGTTGCATTACTCTTCGGCGGAGAGTCAGGCTGGAATAGAAATCCACAAAGAATTGTGTATCCTGAGTGCCAGCTGCATGACTGGACAAACATCGAACATAGAGTGGTTTAGCCCTATGACTAGTAGAAGACTTCTTCCATGAGAGGTCGCTGCCACTTATGATTATTCAGAAGACAACAGTGGTTGGAGCATTTTGTTCGTAACACGATCCTCTAAATAATAACATGGATGAGAACGACCAGAACACGACTCTGATGAGTCCATGATAGCTCCACGACGCTACATCCTCACTGGTCAGTGGAATCCTAAAGATCAGGAGCCAGATACAAGGAAGACGAAGCTTTCGATTGTTGCAAACAAGACAGGAAAAAAGACAGAAATTGACGGCTACTTCGGCATTAGAATTCGAGGCAAGAATAACAATTCATTCCATACGAAGTTGCGGACCGCTGGAACAAAAATAGGGGCCTTGGAGACCGCGAGATTTCACTGGCTCTGAAAGACTGCTACAGGCTACACACCTTGTGGAAGGCCGTTCGACATTTAACATGGGTCCAATACTCCAAAAAAAATAAAAGAAAATTGACAGCAACAAAAGATATGTCCTGAAACTACAGGGTAATAGCCAAGCAGACGGAGGATTTGCTGAGTAGAGCAAGAACCGACACCAGAGATGACTGCACCCTCAATGCTGATAGAGCTTCTGGAAATGGCTCGGAGCAACAACGGTTTTATGCCGCGTCAAGGCTATAAGTAGATCATTTGACCGCTGCCGAAGTGTCTGAATCTCCAGAACTCGTCTATGGCCCATCCCAGGAGTAGGCCGGCAGAATCCAGCTCCGACGAACGGACGATAGGAAGGGGATGAATTTGTCCTAGAGGAGCACGATCACTAGGAATATTACATCAAGGGTATTCTTCCACTAGACACATAAGCTGCATGTTCTCAACCTCGTCCATCTAGGAGGCTGTCGAGAGCGTTAACAGCGCTGCAAGTGAAGCCACTGAGACTGCTGATGCCGAGATCCACACCAAGTTGCAAAAAGGTCATTTTGGGCTTTGCGTAAAATTCTCAAGTCCATCTGTACTAAGTAGTCCATGCGATAGCGAAAACTCGAACTCAAACTAATGGGATGTTATGGATTAAAGGAAACATTGCGCGCGAAGTCGACCAAAGAGTTGGACAGAAAAGACAAGCTTGAAATCCCCACGTCAGCGACGATGGGAAAAGCCTTAGAAGTATATATAGAGCAGTTCAAATTCAAGGGTTGGAATAGAATAACTTGTTCAACAAGTATCCAATTTGGAAGAATAGAAGCAGTACACCCCATATGAACTAGATGACATTAGACACTATATCCGCTTATTGTTTGATTTAACAACACATAAACTGGTGATCAACTGGCAAAGATTTTATGTGATATGGTTATTGGCCCTCAATTACACAGCGTACTTCGAGGGATATTGCAGAAACGTAAAATGTCTTGATAACTTTCAAGAATTCTAGACTCCTGCCATTTTCAATAGATGTTGTGGTGTCAATGGCACAAGCAGAAATCGCCGCCTGACTTATTTTATGGGCAGCGCATCGCGAAGAGCAGTTTAAGAGGTTCCATCTCAACGTCATAGAATCAATGGGACATTAATTGCAAGAAGAAACAAATTCGGTTGCAAGTACAGTGCGGAAAGCTCTGTGGGATTATATCAAATATTCCAGTATTCGCCACTTGACAAAACCAAACATTGTTTATCCCAAGAGGATTGATACTCAAGTGAACATGAGACATCTAAGCGCGAAGTAAAGTTAACACCATAATACTGGACAGTTTGTTAGTGACATGGCCAACAAAGGGTATTCTTTGTTGATTCCGGAAGCTGATTGGTGTGAAGTGTTGAATGGTTCGAAATGGCACGGACTACATTGGTCTGCCCTATCGTTGTTGCGTTTTGTATTCGAGAGAACTAGACCATCTGCATACTTTGAAATCAACATCTGTTGGAATCATTGCTCGTATTTTCGCTGTTCTTCCAAGAACGATATTACTTTGAAAGCACTGACGAAATCGCCTATTTTCCTCAGGGATTTGGGTGGAAGTTGGATCCAAGATGTCTCGAAACCGATAGCCTCCTCGAACGAACCCCTCTTCGGATAATGGACCACAATCCATTAATATTTCGACAGCACAGTCTCTCGTAAAGCCTCTATCTTGTCAAAAATTCGATTGGCTGCGGCCAAAGTGGTCCAGGCACAAAATGGCCAAACGCGGCTGGAGAACTGAAAAAGTGCGGGCACATGCTACTGGATCGCCGCCCACTTCATCCGGGAAAGACACGACAGTGGATGATGGAGCCATAGGATTATACTCGCTGCTGAGCAAGCTCGTGAGCAGATACGAAAGCATTTCGCGGACGCCGGCAATCATCAAGCTATTCGAGATATCATGTTGAGCTCCACGAATCGATGTCCCACCCGCATCACTAAGGCTCCCATCTCCTCGTAAAATTCATAGATGGTTTCATGACGATACTGAGCAGGCTACATTTTGAGCTAATCTGTTACCGCGTCGCTGTCCAAAGCACAGCTAATTGCTGATACATTCTCAGTCTTAGACAGATCAAAAGACAGCTCGCAGCGATCGCCCATCAAACAATGAACAAGCAGCAACTCTCAACCAATCATCGGCGACACGATAATTTGACTGATTCAGCGAGTTCGCGTTCTAGTAAATATGTTTTCCAGTTCCTTGGCTTGACATCATCCAAAAGATCTAATAAACAATCATCTGGCACGAGAATTTGGCGCAGCTTGAGGACAGCAACAGAGTGATCTCGCGGAAGGTTGTCTGATTATCCGTAGGGAAACGTTCAATCGTCTCCGTCGTCGAGATGGTTATTAACGTGTCAGCACGGTGGCGAAACCCCGCCAGGGAGGAATCCAATACTCGAGCCAGGCAGCAACTGGAATAAACAGGAGCATCGAATTCTCCACTGGTGGTGTCGTCCGTCGATGAAAAGAAGACTCAAGGCAAGCTGAGAACCAGATTGTCATCTACCATGTCCGAAACATCCTAAGGCAAGGGGGGTAATGGACAACTACCAAAGAAGCTACATTCCTCAGCACGATGAGGCCAAAATATCAAATTAATAACACGGCAGGAGCTGTATTATTCTTCAGTCTGCAATGACTGAAAGTATGCGAGTCTGAATCAGGATAGGCATGCTGCGAATTACTACTTCCTCCCAAATACAAAAGCTCATTTTGTGATGCTAGGCCGGCCATATTCTACTGGCGCCAGGCAAAGATCGCACACGAAGATCATGGCACATCGTTCCCTAATGCTCTCTGAATACAGAGCACGAGCGACGTAAACAGTCGTCGAATACGATCTAAAGACGATTCAGAATCGAGCGGAAGGATCGAAGGGCATCTATCGAAGTCAATTGGCTCCAGAGCCAACATGGCCTGCAGCAAGCTGTCCTGTCAACCGTAATGGCCTTAGGCGCACTCTTGTTCGAACGACCAAGTGTCTATCGGCTTGTGACTTCCTAGTCAAGACAATGGCAAGATTCTGGAGAAGCGGAATCAATGAGAACACGTATGGCAACGGGTTGGTTCGAATCAGGGCCCTCGGGTTAGGGGTGAGTAAGCAATGCGTCCAACACCGAATTGATGGATTATTAAAAATGTCGAAAGCACTTTGCCCGAAGACATCATTGGGTACTTTATGGAAGCCAAAGAATCGAAAGTCGGAATCATATGCGACGATGCACATGCCAGCCATGAAGTTCGCGGCGCTCATCGGCAGACCCTTGTTGTCAAGAATACCACAAAGCCCTGACTCTCCTACTGGCGGCAGCACGAATCAAGGAATGAGCGTTTGTGCGTTTTGGATAGTTGAGTCTCAACCAGCCCATGAAACGGCCTCTCGAGAGTCTAGCATCGATAGGTGTCTATCTGCATTGTGCATTGTGCAAGGAAAGCAGCTTCGAGGACTGGATATAAAAAATCGGCCCATACCACCCACCATCCACGCCACTCAGCGGCGAGTCAACTGGCTGATCGGCTCCCCTTTCTCGAGACCAGAAACAGCGACTACCCATCCTATATTTTATCGATTCTCGTTGTCAGGGTTGGGAAGACAGATTGCATTGTCTAGCGCTTGGTGTACATTGCTGGCTTTCGCGGATTGGTGGGTTTGCAACAACCGTTGGCAGATGAGATAGCGATGATAATCTCGCGGGTTGATGAAGTCATTCTGTCGCATATCTCGATGGTCGCTTCCCCCAAACAACACAACGAACGCAAGACAGGAGGTCGGCCATTTCAGTGAGCTTGGCAAATCTGTGTTTCCGGCTATAACATCGAAAGCGTGCAGGCTATCAAGGATGTCATGGCGAAGAAATTGCCAAAAAAAAGAAATTGTTCTCTCATTTGACATTATGTCTAGCCTTCGCGAGGCTTAGGATTATTTCTGATCTTTAAGAAATCAAATGTAGTGGATCAAGGTACCTTTCGGTGGTACATCGAAGCTGGTACTGACAAAAGAACTGAATTGGACCACGTGCTACTCCTTTGAGTGTAGCTTGGCCATATGTCACAGCGAATATGACACAGAGACGCTGCACTTGCAGCGGGCTTATCAATATCGTTTCAATTGACTCAAGCTACTTCAATATAGTACACAATTGCTTCCATGACACAGCCAAAAGATTGGACTGCCCTCGAATTGCTCCTCCCTAAAAGGAGTGATGTAATTCCACACATATCCATGTCTCTCCCATATATGTATACTTTCAGAAGAGGTGTTGATATTTGTTCACATGATGAGTTTGGTATACCGTAGTCCCACAGGACGACACAACTATTCTCTGCTCGACCTCAGCGAGCTGTTCCTTTCTCTGTCAATTTCCCATCGGCAAAAAGCTGAGTGTATCATATCGAATATTGCGCCACGTAAAGTGTCTCATTTTGGATTCGGATAATAGAAGGCTGCCACTGCGATGTTCAGATACACTGTGACACAGAGGGATCCTTCGAGATAGTTTGACTTCTGGTCTCGCAGAAAGTTTCCAACCACAAGAATAGCAAGGATCAGGACGACGATGTTGAAGATATCGAGATTGAGATCCATAGAAAGCCCCAGCCCCCAGCCAACAAGAACAACCAATGGTCCATTGAACAGCGAGGTCTGGATAGTGGCACCAAGAACATGGGCAAGTGCTAAGTTCATTTGGTTGTCCCAGGCTTCATCGATAGCAGTCAAATGCTCGGCGAACTTCTCAACCAACGGCACCAAAATCAAGCCAATAAACATATCCGACACACCGCGCTCTTCAACGATGTATTCAATTTCTTCAACAAGGTTGATCGCAATAACAGCGACGAGAGTGATCGAAACGACGAGTGCCACAACGCACTCCGTGAACGTCAGCTTGTCTTTCGAAAGATCCTCCTCGCGATCGGTGTCTCGCTCCTCGTCAGCCTCAAATATGGCATCGTAGATGCTCGCATGAGTACGCATCTGGAACCAGACATAAATTACGTAGGAGCTGATTAGAAGTAAAGATGTAATCCGGGAAATGTGAAGAACTTTATCGTCGATTTCGGCTTTTGTGGCACTACCTTCAGCACTGACAGCAGCATGAAAGACAGTTGGGATTATAAGACCAAATCCACTATGTTGATGTCAGCAGCAGTCCAAAACTAGGAATGGGTTAAACTTACGCCGTGAGGAGCAAATCACTTCCAACCTCGCCAACCTCTTCATCAAACTCCTGCTCTTCATGACGGAGACCACCGATCATGAAACACATACCAAGACAAAGAAGTTGAGTGGCCAGTACCGAACCGAGGATTGCAGCTTGGATGACTTGAAATTGCTCATTGCGGACCAACACCATGAACATGACAATTTCAACCACAGATCCTAGAGTTGTCTCGAGCAGAACACCAAAGACTTTGTGCAACTTTCTCGCCATTTCCTGGCCAGCAAAGCCAATGGCATTCGCACACGGTACCATGGCAATATAATTCAGGATGAAAATCGCGAGATGGAGATCTCCTCGAACGTAGTCGATGGATACCGCTACAGGGACAATGGGCCAAAGAATGTTGCAGAGCTGGGAAGCATCACTGCTGGATCGCCAGCAGATTGGTAGCATTTTGTGTGGGTGGAAACCAGATCTGCCACTCTCCCCCTCTGGCTGGATACCGGTTTTGACTCTCAAGCCTCTGAATGTAATGGACTTGCGTGATCTGTTGGAACGGTTCGATTTTCTGCGGGCATTGTTTTTGGGTGATGGAACTTCGAGATTGTTCGAGGCGTAGAGGATAGTCGGCAAAAGACGATCACTCTCTGAGGCTTGTCGAAGTGCTTCTGCTGCCAATTGAGGGTAGTTGGATCTCGATGCTGCTTCAATTTGCTTGGCCCTGGCGCCTCGAGGAGGGCTCAGTAGCGCTGATCCGCCCGCCATATCTCCTTTTCTTTGTGTGGATTTCGTTCTTTAGATCTGTCTTTCACGCTGGACCTTATGAAACGGACCAGTCGCGTTGGTTATGTTCTGGGGTTGTGTGAGAAGAGACTCGGAGTGCCCATGGAATTGTACGACGACTACCATTTCCATGGCCGCTCCTCGCTCCTTCTCCTTGGTGGAAACGTCGCATCGAATAGAAGTCTATTGATGTCAGCGGAGCCATCAGAGGAAAGCACGAGCGAGAACATGCCTTGAGGGAGTCGGTCTTCGTACCGGGTTACCAAGTATCTACGGCAAGAACCATCGTGGATTTGCAACGCAAGAAACGATGCAACCGTTTAGATCGACCCAGATCTTCTGCCACGATTGGCACACCCCATCAGGATGACCATCATGATGGGAAGAGACATTCCATGGGAGTACTATGGTACACTGTCCACAATTGCATTCGGAATAGGAGGCAGAGGCGATTTGAGGTGTAGATATCGCTTGTCAAGGACGATTTCGAAATATGTTGGTGGGCACGGACCAAAGATCTTCAATGAGCTACCTACCTCCCTAGGTATTAGGAGAGCACACGCGAGTTACGTATTCACAAAGTTTATGGCAATTTAGAGGTGATGCAAATGTGCGGGTATTACCCAGTTTTGGTTCGGCTTCAATAGCACTGGAGGTTCTTGTATGGCAATAGGAAGCCCAAGATGCCAGAACCAACCACAGATCTGCTCCGGCCATCGCAAACAACAAGACAGCAGAGGTAGCGATATTTTCTGACGGGAGAACTACTGGAACAACAGTCTTCGAAGTCCTCGTGTTACATTAGGAGCTCGACCTGGCATTTACCCCACTGCGCGCAATATCAAACCCAAGTGTGTAGTCACCATTTTCCGTGGCAGGGTATAGTTCAGTGACAATGCTCGCTTCGTTTTTTCATTCTACTTGTTCCTTATCATTTTGATCTTGTTACATGAAATCAATCAAGGTTCTGATAAAGATACAGTTAAATTGTGGATATGCAGGCTGTTATAGGTCTGCGCTACACCTCTATCTCATCATCACATGACATAGACAGTTAAATGGCAAAGCATGAGAGGTAAGCTTTAAAACACATATTGTGGTTTAAAAAGCTACTGAGCTTTAGTGAATTCCTTGATAAACTTCCTTTTTATCTTCAAGCTCACGTTATTACTCAAATTCTGCATTATCACATGTTCGGTCATCTCCTCTGCTTCATTTGGCATTTTGTTATCTGGGCTGGTAGTTGCTTATGTACTAGTATAACTTGGATTTCTCTTGAATGTTATGGCCCGAAGGCGTTATTTTGTCTTTGTAAGAGCAGAATTGCTGTTTATCACGCACTAACAAAGCACATAAATTCGTCACAAAGTGGAAGATTAGTCGAAAACTGTTGCATTATCTTTGTGACACTCTGTTGGATCTAATAACACGTTTTTTTTTATTGTCAAGAAGATTCTGATGCAGTGATTGGCCCTAAATTAATAAGAAAAACTTGTTAAGCGGCTCCACATATGTCTCACTCAAAGACAAGATAATACCACTAGTGCTCTTTGTGTCGAACATCTCACAAAACTTCAAAATTCACTTTCTTTGACTAATCTCCAGTATGACAAGGTTTGAAAGCACTCAGGATTAGAAATGATTAGACATATTCGGCTAATTTCTGTTCCGTCCTAGAACGACGGTAGTCCGACTCAAGTGACACAAAATTCGGCCTCCGGACAATGTCCGTTGTTAATAATCAAAAGTGAATAATGAACACCACAACCTATATATTCTGCAATTGTTCGAAGTTTTCTATATCATAACAATACATAGCTCAACATGACGTCAGCTATTGCGAAAGACTCAATTGTTCTAGTCACAGGATGTAATGGCTTCATTGGATCTCACGTTGTTGACCAATCACTCCAAGCGGGCTACCGAGTCCGAGGAACAACTCGAGATCTGAAGAAACTGGAAAGATTAACGAAGTTATGGGAGGAAAAGCATGGAGCAGGAAGATTTGAAGCAGTTGTGGTGCCAAATATGGCTGAAGATGGCGCTTTTGATGACGCCGTTAAAGGTTCAAATCAACCCTCGTCTTCTGTCCCAATCATCGCTAACCCATGGTAGGAGTTTCTGCAATAGCGCACGTCGCCTCGAATCTAACCTTCAAAGCCGATCCTAACGCCGTCATTCCTGAAGTCATCGCCGGAATCAAAAGTATTCTCAAATCAGCCGCCTCCTCAGCAACAGTGAAACGCTTCGTTTTCACTTCCTCTTCCACGGCAGCCGCTTCACCCATCCCAAACAAAGTCTTCCACATCGACTCCAAAACCTGGAACGATGCCGTTGTCGACGAAGCCTGGGCACCTCCGCCCTACGAACCAATGCGCGCCTATGCAGTCTACTCAGCGAGCAAAGTAGAAGCCGAGAGAGCGCTTTGGAAGTTCGTGGAGGAGAATAAACCGGGTTTTGTGGTCAATGCTGTGTTGCCGGATACAGTGTTTGGCAAAATTTTGGATAGGAATTTACATGTTTCGACTGCTGGGTTCGTTAATGCTCTTTACAAGGGAGAACAGCAGCATCTTCCTCCTCGTAAGTGCATCTTGTCTCGTGTTGTGCCAGGATGCTCACGTGATTGAACACAGAATGGTTTGTCGATGTCCAGGACGTAGCGCTTTTGCATTTGGCTTGTATGACTGATCCTTTGATCAAAAACGAGAGAATTATTGCATTTGCGGAGCCGTGGAATTGGAAGTAAGTTTTCGACCTCATATATATTTAGATTTCTGTACTGACGAGACACTTCACCAGTGACATCCTGCGAATTATGCGGAAACTCAGGCCGAATGAGAAAATTATCGATGACTATGCTGATGATAATGCTAGAGATTTGTCGACAGTCGACAATGCTCGTGGAAACGAGATACTGAAAGGTTTCGGGAAGTCGGGATTTACATCCCTTGAAGAGTCTGTCAAGGGGAATATCGATGGGCTGTGAGCAAGAGCTTAGAAATGGCTTTCAATAGCAGTTGGGAGCCTTTTATGGCAAGTTACAGATGTCGATAAAAGCAGTAACGTCAGCTAGAATATTTCGAGCAGTCATTTAACAACTCTTTTCTCTAACACAGACAGCTTGTTATAAGCTTCTAGAACCGTTCCTGAAACTTTCTGAATTCAAAAACAGCTATAACCCTCGTTGTAGTGAACGGGAATTCTCGTCAAGTTGGAACCGCAACAATCTCTTTTCTTTATTCTGACACGATTTCTCCAATTCAAAACCCGTGAATTCCTGGAAACTACACAATTCAAGTGTCGATATTAGGAAAGGTTCGTATTCTCCTGCAGTACATTAGGCATTCTATAACGCGCTCAGCAGTCTTATACAAAAAGGACGGAGTGTGAGACATATTTCTTGGTGAATTTCCCACTTCATGGTTTAGTTTTCAATCTCATACCAGCCTCATAGCATTGAAAGTGAAGCTCCTCACTCCAGATGTACTGAGATCACGCCTCTCATCACACGCCGAGACATGTGAGATTTGAACAGGCACTCATGCAAATGCCAAAACACTCGCTAATCCATATTTTCCACGATGCCTCTTAGATCGGTAGCAGCTACTCTTTCGATGCTGTACTTCGAAGCAAAGTTCTCTCAAGCAGTAGTTGGGGCTGCGCGCCTTAGCGCTTACTTCCTTAAGTTTTCGCCGCCGACAATTGTAGTCAAGAGATAAATGATCGGTTTTGACTGATCACAGATACGCGTTAAGCGGGTATCTCAAACCAACAAATTACAGAGATAAAACTCCTGTACATAATGTCCGGCTGGTCGTTGCAGACAGATACAACGTCTATCAATGGGGTCTATAGCAGGATGGTGTCTGTTGCTGCATCGCATGTGATAGCAAGTACCCCAACACATGTTCCAGCCGTGATACAGTTCAATAGCACTTTTGCTATGTTGTGAGGCATTAATGCCCCTGAGATTATTTGGTCGTGGGGGTATTGAATGATGGATGTGCTGTGTTATGCGAGTTTTTTGAATTGGCAAACAAATTATTAAGGACTACAAGGCTATTGAAACCTATCCGGTGGCCTTTTTGTTCGTGTGCTCCTCCTGGGGAAATACGACTGAGCCGTTGAGCCATTTGAGTCGGCTTTTCCCGTCGAGCATGATGTCTCTTTAATCGACGACTTTGACTTTGCTTTCTTCGCTCTTCTTGCATTCGCTTCTGTGGCACCGGACTCAATAGTGGGCCTTTTGGCAAGAGGTGAGCGGAGAGTGCGTCGTGAATTAAGTGGTGATCTCGCACCAGAGGTGCCATTGGGATCGGTTGGCTTCTCTTGTTGAGCGGTTGGATCTGTTAAAACTAGATGATCTAAGGTCAAATTTTCGAAGTTCTTGGGGGGGGATGTCCCCGTCTTACGACCTTCATGAGACGGTTTCTGAATATTAGGACTTTTTTTGCGATTTTCACTCCCAATTACCGACTCTAATTCGGCCTTGATCAAAGGTATCTGCTCTACAATCCAACGTATTAAAATGGGACGGCGCTCCGCGTCGTGTGTAGTGAGTTGGTAGCTTCGTTTCGGGGGGTAGCACAAAACGTTTAATGTATATGTTTTTGACTCGAAATCAATCAGGCCGTCAATTCGCCTCTTAATGGACTCAAAACGTCTGACTGCAGTGTCTAGCTGAGACTGAGCTGCTGCTGGAAGAAGTTTAGATGCGGTATCGGAATGGCTCGAGCGGGCCAGACGGTTCTCGGCCAAAGTTACAGATACCTTTGCAGCCTCTACCGCCTTTCCAGCAGCCTCTTCTTCATTCACATCTTTGAGTCTACCTGCGAAGCCTTGTTTCCATACAGACTCTTCGGTCTCATCGGGTCTCAGTACATTGGAGTCCACAAGCTTCTTCCATGCCTTCACGTATTGGGGTCGATTGCGGCTCAAGAATGCCATGTCTTTATCATATAGCCAATTTTCGTAAGCAAGAAACTCAATCCACATGGACAATTTATCCTGTACTTTGGGATCTTCGCTGAGTGTGTAGGGATGCTTAAAGTCATGCCTGGCCAAGGTGTCCTGAAGAATTTTAACAAACTTTGGGAAGCGATTTTTGCATCGGTTAGTCCGTTGGAAGACGCAAAATGTCCTCCACTCTCCTTGTTGTGATTCGAAAATCCGCCAGTTTTGTTCATTTCCGTTTTGCCAGTAAGATATGATATCTCGATAGGGTCCTGGGTCTGCCAGAATATCTCGTCCAAGGCTGACGGGATGCGAAGGTCGCCCACCCTCGCTGACAAGACAGTTGTAAACATCCGTATCTTGATCTAGGTCATAATGATATGATTCCTCATCATCCATGGACAAGGTTGAGGGTGGGGAGGGAGCACGTGCAAGCCGTTCTGGACCCTCCTTCTCCAGTCGGTTCGTAACCTCATCAAGATCAACCAAGCTTTGAGCGGGAATATAGGCCCCTGAAGCTCGATCTCTATAAATTGTTACCACAGGAATAAGGACAGACAAAGAGAAAAATCTCACCTTAATCGCTGCAAAAAGTCTTCCGTCAACGTCTTTGGATCTGCGAAGATGCTTCTGCGTGAGTTCAGTGCAAACTCAAGAACCAAAAGTGGCAAGCAGTACTAACCTGCCGTTCATGGCTATGTAACGGTCCAGCTCACTGTCGGTGTAATTGACAATGTCAGACACCAAGACGGTATTTGGGACTAGACTTTGTTTTGTCGTCGCCATAATTGACAATTCTACAGGGGGTTGTATTCTGAACGGAACGGTCTGCGCAGAGAACAACCAGGAGCCTCTAGAGATCCAGTCTAAGTTGTTGTTAATTATACACCGGCATTGTTATTCCGATATCACGATTTGAACGGCCGTCTTGTGCTAAGAGGTCGCCTTCGAATTTATGTGAGTAGGTGAGTCTATGGAAATCTTTCAGGGCGAATGGGCTGCGAAGATTTGACGCGCCGGCCGCAGTCCACAGAACGATAGTGGGGTCGCCAGGTCATCCACGGATCTCTTTCAAAACTAGTTAGCGCTCATAGAACTTCATGGTCTAGAAATTCCAATAATAGATAGTTCTACCAATACGCTCTTCTCACGTTGAAACCAACCGTGGCTATTTGGAGATGTAAAACAAATCGTAGGCGCTAGGCGCCCCACCCCCTGGTGCGCGCCTACAGCAGAGCACGACTGGCTTCGACATGGTGCTTTACTGTTGGAATTACTGGCGACTGCATGTATGATATATGGTGGAATGGAAGTTCAAAACAACAAATTTCCTCACAGTAATACACGAAATATCCGTTATTGTGTCAACTTGATTGAACAAATATCGTGGGTCGATTGTCGTCTATTTTGTCCACCGCAACCAATGGAATATCCCAACTTGATCGCCCGCTTGCTTCCGATAGGAGAAGAACGGCGAAGCAAAAACTGTCAACTGGCATGGGACGCAGTCCGGATGAATACGGTGGAGGACATCTCACGACAAGTCGATCCAGACATTTCCATGTCGCGCAGCGGCGTGGAGACACCAGGATCAATGCTATCGCAAGAAGACAACTCCGAAACCTTCGATACTGCGAGTGAGAAATTACTGCAGGGAATTCCACTGCTCTTTAAGCCTGGTCCTAAGGGCTTGAGAGGTATTGTGCTAGGATCCGGTCCAGACTGTGATATCATCCTCCCAAGCCAACCTAAAGTCAGTCGGGCTCATTGTGCTTTCACATTTGATGACTAGAGACGATTAATACTGCGAGATTTCTCGAGAAATGGGACTACAGTAACATACAACGCACAAGGGGACTCCAGCCGACGAAATTTCACTTGGATCGTTGATGGTCAGAGGCTGCTTAAGGACGGACAAACATCTATTATGATCAAAATAGTGGATATCTACTTCCGCATCGTTGTCGCACCTTTCGAACATGATCTTCAACAGTACAATACTCGAGTGGACCAATTTCTTGAGAATCTCAAAGCAAATAACACCCTGCCAATTGGACAACTCGGGATCCGGAGTTCAAACCCCACAGCACTTCCCAGTGGAGCGCACACGCCTGCTAAAGAAGGGGAAAGGTTGACCATCGTTCAGGAGGAGCTCGGTGCAGGAACTTTCGGATTTGTTCGACACGAGTGGAATGTTAGCACCGGTGTAGAATATGCAGTTAAAGTGCCAAACTTAAAAACACCAAATTCCGTCACTTTCTTGGCGCGAGAAGCCGCTACACTGGCTAAAATATCACACGTGAGTGAATGTCTGTTCTTTACTGGGGAATTCGATATTGACATGCCCAGGACCATGTCATTAAGATGGTGGAGTTCATAACTCAACCGCCTCAACTAGTTTTGGAATACGCAATGTTTGGAACCCTTGCAGACCAAAACAATATCCAGTCTGGTGAATCTATCGCCCTACTCCAACAAGGATTGTCCGCCCTAGAATACCTTCACGGCTTCTCCATACCCATCGTTCATCGTGATATTAAACCGGAAAATATCCTGATATGGTTCCGAAATCCAATTCATATGAAATTTGCGGATTTCGGACTTTCCAAAATTGGGCAGGATTTGGCGACACAATGCGGATCACCCTACTACCAGGCACCAGAGGTTTTCTCAGGAGATATATATACCTCGAAAGTGGACGTATGGTCTTTCGGTTTAGTGATCTTCCAATCGGCATATACGCTGCCCAAACCCCTCAATACTGGGCAGAAATGGTGTAGACAGATTGTTGAATTTGCCATAACTCATGAATCTCGTCCCTTGATTGACTTATTGACCAACAGCATGTTAATTATGGATCCGCGGTGTCGTGGCTCTGCAAAGAAGTGTCAGGAAGATGCAATGGAACTTACCCGAATATCGCGTAGATCAACTCCAACACAGGAATCGTTTCTTCAAAACAAAACAAAAGCAGTGCTATCAAAGTCTCTAAACGTTGGCACGGTGACAGAGCTTGTAACGTGGGCCAGCCCCCTTCCCAATTCTGATGTCTCAACATCTTTGAGGAAAAGTAAGCGGACAGCTCCTCCGGCAGGGAGTTCAAAAAACGACACCAAACGACAGCAGACGACCTCTTCAAAGTCTTCTATGCATGAAGGAAGTGACCCACTACTCGGGGTATTTAGGGATGGCCGTGTACAGTACGGATCCTCCATTGCTGAGTATCTGGGTGGGGGTGATGATGGTGATTTGAGTTTCAGCAGCTGGGGAAAATCGTCCAAATTATCGAAATCCCAGATCACTGAAGAGCTTTCGCAACCTGCTGAGATATCTAAGGGAAATGACTTGCTCCTATATCCACTGGGCTCACCAGTGGCCCAGCATCAAGAAAGCCGTACAGGGGAGGGTCTAGTTGCCACTGTCGCGAAGCCACTTTATGCTGGGAATGTTGAGACCCAAAGCTTTGGAAGCAATTCCTGGAAGGATAGTAAAAAGTCCTGGACAGAAAGTCGAAAAAACGAGTATATGGATGCACTTCTGCTGATGCCCCTTCCTGGTGCAGAGTCTTTCTAGAGCGAACTCTAATCGAATGGTTCAGAGGCTTGAGGTGCGCGATATAATTTGCAGTAAGCCATGGACACCCCAACGATGGATTATGCCAGCATACGGCTAAGCGTACGTACGTAACTTGCAAACATCGTCTTTTAAAAAGCTTCAGTTGCTGATTATTATAGACAAAACACACGATAGTTGTGAAATTGAGGTTCGGTTCAAGCTCGACTATCTGGCAGCACCATGATCTTAAGTATATACTTCAGTTGTTACAACATCAATCACTACATAGAGAGAAGATCTTTATCATAAATTAGAGTTAAGTAATACTACGTTTTGAAAGATTATATAAATACCATACAATATAATCTGGCGCTCGCAGGAGTATATCAACTCCTGTGCGTGGGAAGGTGGTCCTACCTCATCGTACGCAAGGTAATCGTGCCGAAATTGGTGCCTTTGCTAAGGCCGAAGGCAGACAATATAGTTTGGGAGACACGATTATGACAAATATGGAACCGTAATACATACCGATCGGCCAGGTGTTGGCTCAATACCCCCTTGCTCGGATCACAACAATTGTGTAGTTTGGGGCTGTGAGGATTACCTGCTACACGAAAGGTCAAGGTTCCTTTCGGAAAGATCTAGATAGAGGGTGGTCCAAGATTGGACGGCTCCATATACGAGGCAATGAAAAAAGCGCCTAAATCACCATCTGAGCAACCACCCCCCAAGAAGTCAAACCAAGTGGGGGAAAATAACAAACGAAGCCTCACGATCCTAAGTCATCCAACTCCAAGCCTTCTAAAACTCCTTCTCTTGGATCGAAATTACCCAAATCCAGTTCCAAGCCACTTTCATACGCGTTGGCCAAAACTTTAGCAACAAAATCGGTGTCCTTGGCAAAGTCTTCAAGATCGCACGCCCCTACACCTATATCGACTGCGTCTAGAGCAACTCAGTCGTCCATGACACAGGCTTTGCCATCCCTGAGCCCAATCAAATCTACTAAAAAGGGTTTTTCTATCACTCTCAACGGAGCGGTGGTAAAAGCGGCCTAATCGAGAAGATATCGTTTTTGTGAAGGTCTACGCGGGATTTAGTTAATTGGCAACAAATATGCGTGTCTTTAGAAAAGATTTGTTTGAGATAGGAGGAGATTTTGGTAACTTTGTTGATGGGTTGTGGCGCAACGGCGTTGATTGTGATTTGCTTTTTTGTAAAAGTAGTGTTGTCTTGCGTCTTGTTGTTAGGGAAAATTGAACTTTAATTTAGAATCTCGTGTAAAATCCTCCATATTGAACCAGTGAGGAATCTTATCAAACCGGTCACCGTCAAAAGGCTCAAGTTCTGGATATACATCTTCATAGCCCTCCCCAGCAACTGCCCTCGACATGAAGGGTTGAAGATAAGCGAACCATCCTAGGCGAAATTCAATATGGCCCAATCCGCCAAGCTTGCGCAAAGACCGTGTGATATCACAATAAACATCATAAATGGGGTTTGAATCCCTGTAGTAATTGTTATAGCGGTCCAGGTCGGAACCTAAATCATACGTTTCCGCCTCGACAATAATTGACGATTGAGGAATATTGAGATGAATCTTGAGATATTCTACTAACTTGAGCCATTGGTTGTTGTAGTCTAGTTTAATCCAGTGTTTGACACGTGTCTCATCGAATCGAAATTGTATCTGTCGAACATATCTGAAACTTTCCATGGGGAGACGCGATAAGAAGTCGATAGTCTTCTCTGGATCCTGGTCGAAGTCGAAACAGTTACTTCGAAAGAAAACGGCCATGGCATCTTGGCGCATTTGCTTATTAACGAAGAATAGTGCAAAGGGGATTTGTCGACAAATGCATGCACTCGAGTAAGCAGCACGCTGCGGTGGACAACAACAATCCATCGTTGTTTCCGTGCATTTTCTGCAACATCCGTGGGCTTTGTACCTGTAGCGACCATGGCCTCCAAACAGCTTACTCCCTCGAATGCGAAGCGGGTTATCGTCGTGTGTATTGTGACCATCTTGTCGGCTTAGCTGTGTGTACTCTAATATTTGTAGCCATATCTCCCGAGGAAGATGTTTGTAAAGAAGGAACCGAGAGCTTTGAGTGACCATCTGAGTTGTTCGTTCAGAAGTCTCTCGAGCCAGAGTACTTATTTGGTAATTTAGATGTCGACTTAATCGAATAGTGCTTTGCCGTAAGGGAGGCAGCCTTAACAGAGGCTCAATGATCGCTTTTCCGGAGTCCAAGTTTGCTACGTCGCATATAAATGGGAGCTTTAAGCGTGCAGGTGTAACTGCCTAGGCGAGATGCAGCGCAACCTTTTCCCATTCTGTAAGAAGATCTTTTCCAGCAAGAGATGCTACGTCAAACGCATAGTCAGATCTTATCGCAGGAGCTTTGCAATGGTAACATCTTGCACGGGAAGAAAGATTTTCGTGTCCTCTTTGGCAGGGCCATGAATTGAGTCTAAGGAGTAGCGAGTTCATTGTCGAAAGGAGGTGGGAGTCTAACCCCAAAAGTAAAACAAGATCGCTGACACCTGAAACTCGAAGCAAGAATTTGTTCTTCGCATAGAGCGCTGAGAAACAATCTTCGTAAAAGCTCTTAGACACAAGAAGCAGCTGAGTTGGCAGCTTATCGCATACACAATCAGGCGTTTCATTCAATGTCCCGTGAGAGATGTCCCCTCCATGCTTGCGGATAGGATATACACAATCCTCACTCTCCCAATTACGGTATTCTCCTCGATTATTGTAGACCTGCGGATGGTACCCAGTAGGCACGTTCAGCTCAATGGGACATGGCCGAATTAATCCTGAATATGAGTAGATCCCCGTTCGTATTTTTTCGGGGAGGTCTAGGAACGACAGTGAAAACGACATGATAAGAAGCGGAATTGTGACGATTGTAAAAAACGGGAGGAAGACCGGCTGATATTTCGTTCTATGTGCGATGCGGAACGAACAAGAAGAGAGCAGAAGAGATGTCTAAGCTTGTGAAGTTGTTTCTGTTGGACTTTTGGCTGAACCCTGTTGAGCATGTTGGACTGTTGTTGGAAATTGCGCATCTTATTATAGCCGGCCTATATATCAGCAGCCCGTTCGTCTTCCCAGACGAAGTCGCTATTTCAGGGGTCATGGTGGTTAATTTAAGGTTTGGCCGAGCTAAATTTGTTCTATTGTGACCTGCATCAATAAAGTATATTTACTCAATGTCATTAAACAAATTAAGCCTTAAAGATAAATTCATGGGTATCCCATTGTGAGAAGGTGTCTCGTCAGACCTGCGACCCACTGGTGATGGTGTCCATCATATGCAAAAGCGGCTCGAATACTTTATTGGTGGTCAGCCGCAGGATCGGAAATGTACGCCAACCAACATCCACACCCAATTGATCGGCATACATGGTGAGACATTGGAATTTTCCTCCAAACCAAGTATGGCGCAATCGCAATGTTGGGGATAGCCTCAATTTAAAGATTTGAATGTAGCCACGCTCTTCCTCTCCTTCTCTTTCGCGTTGGCGCTCACTTCCCGGGTCTCATGGGTCTCACTTCAGTAGGCTTGCTATCGTTGATTTAAGTTTTTGCACAACGTCATCTCAACGTCTCCCTTATATTTCCATTTTATTTCTGCTTCGTATCAGGCTGGAGACATGATAATCTTAACGATTATAGTGGACACATAAGGCCTACAACTAGAATTACGAAGGGCCGTCTAGCCTTCGTAGACTCGATTGTCAAGATCCTTCATATACAATCATTATAACCTTTTACATAACTCTTTGACTTGAGTTTGTGCCTTGCGGCGGTCGAGGAGGTGGTTGAAACGGACTCGAAAGTCAAAGGTACAAGTGTTTAAGCATAATAATACTGGGATTCAAGTAGAAGCACGGAAGGAAGACGGGCTTTTTGGTATGTTTTGAATATCTTTCAGGTGGTGTAGGGAAAATACCACCAATAGAGTCACAAGTAATCATAAGGAACGTGTTCGAAGGACCTTTGCAAATTTTACAATGAACTACTTCTCTGCGGAATCGACCAATTACCGAGGAAGAGGTGAACAAATGATGAGTAAAATATTGCGAAGCAAATTAGTCGACATGGCAAGAGCACCATTTGCTAAACTTCTCAAATAATCAGATATATGTTTTTTTTAGGGTTGATCAATGTTGTGATAAACGATGAGCCCGAAATGAATCGAGGTCTGGAAAAATCGCCAGGCGGGGAAACTCTTAAAAATGACTCTCAGCCCAACTTTAGATCGATTTTAAAAGTCTCAAGAAATGAATCAAAGTACCGAGAATAACAAAAGACTCATGACATGTACCAGCTGTCGTGAGGTTCCAAAACCGCTAGACTACAAATTCCGCCTCATCGTCTCGCTAAGCGTCAGCTTCCTCACCTCAATACCCGATATCCGGATTACCACACTAAGTCTTACCTAATCACATAGCTGAGCCCGAATAGCCGTGTATGTTTAGGTAGAGTGGTACCCGCGTTCAAAGTAGTCATATTTGTAATCCCAAACTAATCTTCAGCCGCAACTCCAGATGAAGTTGTTTATGGTGGTTATGGTTGCAATGACTGGTTACGGAAGAAGCGTCTTTGACGGGCTTAGCAAGGAAAATTAGCTGATATTGTGGTGAGAGTTCTGGATTGCCGAAGTGGTGGGTGGTGGATGAGGTGGCGGAGGGAGTATAATAAGATGTGTTGGAACGGACTGAAGATGGGAAATACATAAGAAGTCTTCTTCACCACGCTTATAGTTCTCAAGCCAGTACAAGAAAAAATCCCGTAATCAATCTACTTTCTACAAGCGCGAAAAGATAACAACATTATGGCTGCTGCCGTACCACGAGGTGTAGGACCTTTCCTAGCCTTTACAGATTACACATGGGACAAATGTTTCGAGATAGACACGCCCGAAGAGGTCACCATTCCCACCTTCCTTTCGAGATCCAGAACTAACCCCCTACCTAGGTAATCGCATTTGTCAAAAAAGTCTGTGCATATAAAGATATGAAGACCGACCGTATGGCTACCAACATCGTGTCAAAATTCAACTTGACAAATGGGGTATTGACGGGATTGATCTTCTTGACACCAACCGCGCAAGGAACGCCTCCCTATCCGGTACTTGACCCAATCATGCTCCCGCTGGGCGGAGTGGATTTACCACACTACACGGTCTTCGATCTCCTGGGATACTGCATGGCACGAGCGGCATTATTCGATCCCATCGTTGATGCAGGTCCAAAAGCACCCACGGCAGGAAACTTCTACATGCCTTTACTAAGTTTGTTTTGCCGCTGGTCGAAGCTCCTTGTTAGTAACAACTTCCTGCCGAATATGCACTCCATCACCTGGGTAGAAAATGCCAAAGAGGTACCGCTTAAGATCGTACTTGGTTCGACGATCCCTACGGATGTGGGTGGTAAACCAGCGGAACAGCCAGGCAAGACGGAGGTTCAAGAAGCTAGACTGGTGAAGATCATTGGTGCAGCCGCGACGAACGGGACGAATTTCAAGACGAAAACGCCAACGGAGAAGGATGTTGATCCGGAAGGGAAGAAACGTAAGATAAGAAAGGATGATTTCGCTTATCCAATGAAGATGAACGCAGCTGGGAAGTTTGAGAAGCAAGATTTCCAGCTGTTTGGGCACTGCTCTGAGTCAAATCAGTTTGTGTGGTATCCTTTCCGGTAAGTTGAAGTAAACACCGCTAAGTCAGGAATGCGTACTGACGAAGAGCTTTAGCCTGCGTGGTCAAACCAGCGAAACCATCTACGGTCTAGCAATGGCACCTCCCAAAGCCCCCAAAACAGGAGCTTATACGTTCGGAGCCTTTGAAGGAGCGTTAGAGGATCCATGTATCAACTGCCAGCGAATGATTCGGGTACTCCTTGGGGAGCAAGGCCAAGCGGCTAGTACGCCGAAGCCCAAGGCTAAAGTACCTACAGATGATGCCTTGCTGGACGATTACTACGAGCAGTTGGGTAAGGACAATGTCATGGCTAAGAAGCAGAAAGCTTTGGATAAGTCGACTAGCCAGAATGTGTTGCAGTACTTTGGAGTCACTGAGTTGAAGAAGAATAAGGGGCTGCCAAATAAGAAGGGTTCGATTGGAATTTCATCTTTTGCGGCGGGTGGTACTAATCCGAGGAGTTTGAATGCATTAGCAGTCGCTCCTGGGGGTGGCGATGACGATGATAATGACGATGCAGAGGGAGGTGACGAAGAAGCGGGCGAAGAAGAAGCTGACGAGGACGACGACGCTGAAGATGCGGATGAAGATGACGGAGAAGCTGGGGAGGACGATGAGGCTGGAGAAGAGGAAGGTGATGGAAACGCGGAGGAAGACGACGCCGGAAGCGAAGTTGCAGAAGAAGACAACACCGCGGCAGATGAAGACGAGGATGCTGATGACGCGGCCGGAGGAGATGGTGAAGATGAAGAGGCGGACGAGGACGATGGAGAGGAGGAGTCTGGCGAAGACGCGGAGGGGGGAGAAGAAGGAGGGGGGATGAGGGAGGAGATGAGGAGGAGGAAGCAGAAGAAGAGGACCCTGCGCCGATAGCTACCAACGCGCCTACAGCTTAAGTCGTTGAATCTCCCAGAAATAGGAATACTTTGGCTCCTCGCTCCTCATTCCTTGGTTATCAAATGTCTCCATCTCCACCCACGTCCGCTTCTTCTTATCTACTCCATAAATTTTATTCCGAGTCAAAATGTAGCGTAAGACTCCTCAATATACCGCCAATACTTTGTAATCACCAATATTTCAAAATTCTCCTTTCTCTAATAATCCCACCAATCGCTCTATCTTACTCGTTCCACCGCCGCTTAAAATCTCTTCCAGATCTCGCATTACATCCCGACGCTCTCGCTTAGCACAGGTGGATCCACCCCCTAAACATAACCAACCACCTCACTAATCCCGCTGCCCTAGAACCCCAATTGCAGACCCCTTGGTACATTTTGAACTCAGTAAGTCACATCAGCTGAAAATTCAACTCCAAGAAAAGTCCAGACCCTAGACGTAAGGATTCCCAATATACCGAAACCCGTGAAAAGGGGGTTAAGCGAGAAGGGCTTAGGGGTTAACATTGAATCGAGACTCTGCACAAAAGCTTCAACAAATCCTCAAATCCAGTACAACCACAACCACCTGGTGCACCCGTGCAATCAAAAAGGATAAAAATCCCAACTCAGAGGAAGAAACAAGCTAAAGTAGACAGATATGTAATTCAGGCGCATATCTATGCTACGTAGAGTCGAGCACATGTAATTTCCAACCCGCCAGCCAACCAAATCCCAAGTCCAAACTCCCAATCTCCAAGACCATGCACTACCACAAGTACTCCCGTGTCCCAACGCTAAATATTCCTACTGCTGTGATGTCAAAATGCGCACCACATATCCAGCACGTGTATTCTCGCTCATCGCCTTCGAATATCATAAGATAATAGACCAACCTAGAGGCCTACCGGTCCCCTTCCATTAAGCCCACCACTCCGAAAATATTCGGCAACGACCCCAACAGCATAAGTGCAAGCCCCAATCGACGCAGCTCCAATCAGCAATTTCCTTCCCTTACTCTTCTTCTTTTTGCCCTGAAATGCCTCCTCCTCCCAATTTTTCTTCCCACTAACAGGTTCTTGTACACGATCATTCTGGACGTCATTCCACTTATTGTCACTTGCTCCGTCATAGGAATCGTAGTTTACAAACCCAGTGGGAGAAGCGAAATTGCCGGTCGCAGGAAAAGGCCCCATGCCATCAATCGGATTCCTGAGTAGATGTTTCTCACGCTGAGGTATGATAGATGGGCGGACTTTGCGGAAGATAAGAACGTCTCCAGAACCGGAGTCGATGTCATACCCCTCCATAGCGAGCTTCTCGAAGTATGGAAAGAATCTGGCGGGCTGAGAAAGCCGTGGAATAACTTCAGCAATGTTAAGTGGTTGCGACATGACATTCCCTTTTGAAGTCGTGTCTCCAACAGCAACCATTTGGGTTGCTGGATCATAGGCAAGCACTTTGTATTCAAATGATACTTTGTGAAATATTTCCTCCAAAGTCCTTTGCACCTCATCTTGGGTAAGGGGTGATGAAGGAGCGGTAGCGGTATTATCTGCTGCATCAGAATTTGTTTTGGAAGACGGCTTCATTGATGAGGGTTCTATCGACTCCTTGTTTCCCTTCAGAGACGGATTGCTTGATGCCGCCTCTGCCGCCGATTTGAGGCATGAGGAAATTGATGTTGACAAGTCTCCTTCGCCTTGCATACTAGATTTTAGATCTGGATTTTCTTGATTGCGAGTGGTCGTAGCCGCTAATTTGGTGGTTGAATTACGTTCCAACGATGTTTCCAATCTAGGAGTGTTCGGTATCCTTGAGAACAGCTCTTGCGAAGCTCCCCCCGAAATGGTTTGCTTGTCAGCATTTGCTTTGTCACTTTCAATCCCCTCATAGTTGAGTTTTTCTGGAAGCAGAGATGCAGTTCCAGACATTCCACTGTCCCATCTGACAGAAGATTCTTCCGGAAAGTCCCGGACAAAATTCCCAGTCAACTTCTTTTCAGGTGCTGGGGATGGTGTTCGTTTCCCTTCCGGATCTGAGCTTTTGCTGGAGACTTTTCCCTTCCGGTTGGAATTTCCAGTCGAATTCTTATCAAGGTTGCGAGCCTTGAAACCGGGATGTCGATAAATCTCCCGAATATCTGCTGCATTTGGCTCTGCCTTTGCTTCTTCTAAAGATGAGCGAGCGACTGGTTCCGGTTCTTCAATATAGCGGAACAGCTTTTGGTATTTGGTTTGTTGAGCGGAAGGTCGAGGGCTGTAAGAAATTCGACTGTCATAATCGCGAAGGCCCTCAGCGACAGGATCTCGTGGTTGAATATTACCATCTGGTTCGTTATGATAAACTGGACCGTAGGGATGTTCCTTGTCATAAGCTGCCATAGCATCTTTGATATTTTCACAAGGTTGTCCATCAGGTTCGTTGTGATATACTGCTCCATATGGATGACGGGAATCATAATCGTTTAGACATTTTTCGACGGGGTCCTGCATCTCCTCGTGAGGCATCTGCCCATCAGGCTCATATGCCATGAAAGGCTGGTCGTAGGATACCTTTGAATCATAGATACCATAACCATAATCGCTCGCTTCTCTTGTCGATTTTGATGAAACGGAGGTTTGCGGTTGGGCAGACTGAGCAACTTCTTTATCAAATTTGAAAAGCATCTGGTCCAAAACTGCTTTCGGAGAAGACGTCCTGCCATTGAAGGGCCGTTTGATCTTTTGCGTGACCTTAGAGACTTCATCATGGGATCTTGGCCTGTCGGGCTTGTCGTGGGTTTCGACCTGTCCGTCAGGCTCATACGCCATGAAAGGTTCGTTATAAGAAACTTTGGCGTCATAGATTCCATACCCATCGTCGTTGACCTCGGTTGCTGTGCCTTTTCGGCTGGATTTTAGATTAGGTTCGATCTGTCCATCGGGCTCATATGCCATAAAAGGTTTGTTGTAGGAGACTTTGGCGTCATAGATTCCATACCCATCATCGCTAAGTTGAGTTGTTGTGGTTCTTTGGCTGGATCTTAGATTTGTGGAAGGAGTAGGTCTAATTCTTGCTTTGTTTACCTGAGCGTTCTGTGATTCAAGATTGATTGAGCGGAAGTCATTTGAGTTCTGAGCATTCTTGGAAGGAGCAGACTTCTCGGCGGCCAATCTTGGTTTTGTTGCATTATCCCAAGGAGGGTTGAAGTCTTGGAAATGGAACCGATAGCCTTTGAATGTCTTCACTGGAACATGGATTGACTTGCGGAAATTTTCCGTTTCATGTGCTGTGGAATTCTTGTACACTCTTCGATTCGTGATGGGATCTATTTCATATGCCTGGTTTTCTGATGTGATCCCTTTTTCTTCACGTAACCGCGTATTCGTTTTGGACCTATCGGATTTTGTCACTTCCTGTCTTGCATGGTTTAGATTGTAGATTCGTCGACGAGAATTAGAAGAATTCAACGTATCATTATCTGCTGCGTTTGGAAAATTCTTGGAATTTAGGAGATGGTCAAGGGCGCTCTGCTCAACATCTTCAATGCCTCGTTCGGGTGCGCTGGGGGGCTCACCGTCGAATCCGTTGATGTCGAGATTCGCCCATCTAGCATGAGGCTGCGGGTTTCGATGATTCCACGCACTGCACATGAAACTTTTAAGCCCGAAGTGCTTCCCATAATTTGGAAGTCGTCTTTCATCCCATAGTAACTTTCGATTCAAAGCTTCCATATATTTGTGTGCCGCCAGTCGATTTCGATGCTTCAACTCTTTTTGGTAGGTAGGGTCCAGGTAGGACGACCATGGGCCAAATTTGAAAGCTCGTGATTGCTGACTTCGAACTCTTGGTCGTATTATTTTGCTTGATCGTAAACGGGAAGTGGCAGCTGCGACAGGAACCCGAGGCAGCCCGACCTGGGAGCTTGCCAGGAGATTCGTGGTAAGCATTTTGTCAGTTCGATTTGGTGCTACGAACACAAACTACGCACTAATGACGCCCGTCAGTAATCATGAATCAACAGACACAAGGGCAGCTCGATGGGCATTAGGATTAGGAGACTCGTCTTACTATTCTCAATGGAGCGCAGCAACTTGTATTCGCGTGATAGGAAATGTTTGCCAGTTGTGGCAGGCCGTGGTTGAAAGGTCAATGCGAAGTTCCGAGAGGACTGCCCATTCAAGTTGAAGATGAAGAGCTATTCATAAGGGATAATAGTGGAATATTGTGATAAGCATGCAAAAGACGTGAATCCCCCGAAAAGGTGATGCTGTGGTGATTCTGAGCCGGTCAAAGCCTTTCAGCAGTATCTCACCACCGGGTTGAATATCGCATGAATCTGGACCGGGCTGCCTTCGAACCTTGGTGTATACTTTGAGTATCTGAGGGATGAGCTGATGAGAATGATAAAGTAGAATGCAAATTTTAGGAGAGCCTGCGAAAACAATTGGACAGTAGGGAGAATTCAGAGGGAACGCAAAGGAGACGGAAGAGGGGAGAGAAGAGGGATGGAGTGGTAAGCTCCTGTTGTACACATGCTTCCCCAGCTTCCAACAAGCTGCGGGGTAAAGAACGATAAACGCGCCCATATCCACCCGATCCCTGAGCTGTCAGGTCCCTTGCCCCGTGGCGGCCCGAAGGTCTGGCACGTGCAGGACACTACGTACACTAATTGAACGTTCTGCCTTGGTGCCTCGTTTGTTTCTGCCTTAGGAAGGCGGTGAAGACCGGTTGTGGGGACACCAGTGCTTTTTCGTCAACACCATGCTATATCGTCATCCGGTGAGCTTGGTGGGGAAGTCTTTAACTTAGGGTGCGAAATTTCGTGTTGTATTTGCGGCCGGCCTTTTTAGACGCTCACACTTTATACTTTTATTCATTTTCTCTGCGACGGCTTTTCTGAATCATTCGCCATTCCCATTGCTTTCGACAGCTCATTACACTAGATATTTCCTGCTCCATTTCTGCCATTCATAGACAAAAGTTCGCGATTGATACCCTCCCTTGATTATTCTGCGAAGACCACGAAATCTACCTATTCGAGTCGCACACGCTGCACCGTACGACTCGGCATACCTCACCAGGACACGATATCCCTACGAATCCTAAGCAGTCGATATGAGCAAAAGACAATTCAAAACGCAGGCGTCGAGCAGTCGAGCGGTTTCTGGGAAGCCTTTTGGCGGGTTTGGAGGTGTCTCGAATCGAAGCACCCTGTCATATGTGGCAGAGGTGCCTGACTTGTCATCCATTACGGATCCGAATATCGTTGTGGCATTCAAGAGTCTCTTGAAAGCAGATGGCACAACCAAGATCAAGGCGCTGGAAACCATTGACGAACATATCGCACAACATCCCAACACAGAAGGAGGGGTTGAGGGTCCTATATTAGAAGCATGGGTAAATTAGCACCTGGACTCCACACATTACATTGCTAAGCTTTGCTTTAGATCAAGTTCTATCCACGGCTTTCAGTCAATAACAATCGACGAGTCCGCGAACAGGCTCATACTATCCAGGTCAGACTTCTACAATCGGCTCGTAAACGAATGGAACGGAATCTTCCTGATACAGTTGCGAGCTGGCTTTCCGGGTGTTACGACAGAGACGGGTTTGTCGCCCGCGCAGCTCAAAATGGACTCTCAACGTTTCTCGATAAAGACAGCAAGGTAACAGCTTTTTGGACCCGTTGTCAAGAACGAATTCTCGATTACGCCAATGAGGCCATTGATGAAACTCCAGAGACCCTTAGTGATGAGCGGAATACCACTCCCGAGGACGCACAAATATTGTACCTTCGTGTAATTTGCTCCGGTATATCTCTTGTCACGAACCTTCTCATTAAATTGCAAAAAGATGATATTTTGAAGTATCAAGATAAATACGAGAGTTTTCTACGCCACAAGAAGCTGTGGGCGTTTGCTTCGTCAGACGATGCTTTTGTCAGAAAACAACTGTATCATTTGCTCGTGACTTGCTTAGAGAAGCAGCCAGAGGCCATTGAAAATTCTCTTGAGCCGATCAGCCGCGGATTCATATCAAAAGGCCTTTCGTCCCCCCAATCAACATCCTCGCTTCAACTTTTAAATGCTTTACAGAAATTGACAGCACAATTTCCTCAAGTCTGGACAACCTCTTTTGGCCGGGGCACCCCCTTTCCCAAGATTCGCGATTTTGTCAAAAAGGGCTCCCAAGGTGGTCCTGCGGATTTCTGGCCGACTCTGCAAGTCACTTTGAAATCCTTGCCTGAAGGAGTCCTTCCTACAGACAAAGAAACCTGCCTCGAATTTTTGACAGAATTCAGGAACGCTGTCCAAAGCAGAGACCAGCCAAGGCAACATGCAGACCCAGCTTGGAAAAGCTACTTTAAAACCTTAGAACTGTTGCTAAGAACAAATCCCGATCCTACATTTCAAGCATCGCTCTTCCGAGATGCCATGTGCCCAACATTTGACAAGTATTTCCAAGGGGAACAGGAACGTATTCCTATAACTACTGGTGCATTGGCAGAAGCATACAGTATATGGGCGACGAACGGAACTATCAAACCCCAAGATGGCCCTACACTATACATGCAAAAGCATGCCAATGCCTTCATTGCCAGAACTCTGAGCACCGCTCATGTTCAGCCCGAAGAAACAGAGGAATACAAAATGGGCCAGAAAAAAGTGATCGCCGAGGCCCATCGATGGTTTTCATTACTCGCTGAAGTTTTTCAAGCAAAGATGGCAGAAGCTTCAGAAAAACCTATTTTATCTTCATGCGCAGGCATAATTACCTCAGCAGTCAAGACAGTGGTTGCTACGGAGGGCAAGTCGTACTCTGCTGCCGCAATCGTGGAGATTGCTTTGAGACTGACACCGAGTGCTGTTAGCGACTCCTCAGATGTCTTAGATTCTGTGACAGGCTTGCTCGAAACCAATCTTCCACAGTCAGCATATATTCAATCTTCGTCTTCGCGTTATCTCATATCGACGCTGTTTATCCTTCGGTCATTCCAAAGTTGGAAGGGATCTTTTGAGAATATTTGGCTGTCTGCTGTCAAGCAACTCTGTTCCTCCTCCAACACAACTCGGATTTGGACACCACTTCAGGCCATTCTCGCTGATGAGTCTGTTTCGAGTCTGGCGCAGTCAACCAAAGAACTGCAAGAATTTCTTCTTGCGGCTAACATGAGAGGTTTGGAGGGTGATAGCGGAGCTAATTCCTTATTCGAGACTGCAGTTGTGAGCGATTCATACGCATCTGCTTCCTCCGAGCGTCTTGTGCAGCAGATAGTGCGCCACTTGAGTCCAAAAAGACAAGATACCAACCTTTCCAGGTCCGAGACAACTACCTCAGAGCGAGCATTCACAGCACTAGAGTTCATTATCCGCCATCGGCCGGCCCTTTTAAGTCAAAGTAAAGAGAATCAAATGGAACTTACCGCTATACTTCTTGAGGTTACCGAATTGTCCGACAAGTCTCTTGCGTCTAGGGCACAGGTTCTGAAGCACGCGATTGAAACAACATCTGAGCAGGTAGAGGAAAACAACCATGGCGCCACTCTTGAATTACTGCGATGGAATTTGGAGCTGGAGCCAACAAACCAGCGTATCTTACGGTAAGTCCGTCAAATGTGCATCCGGGCCTCCTTTTATTTGCTAATTCATATGATAGTATTGAGACGCTTATCCAACAAGCAGAAGCCTTCAAAACCAAACATAAAAGTAGCTTCCCTGCTACTTCTCTTTTCCCAAATGCGGAGAAGTGGTCTGCTTGTTTGACACCTGTATTAGCTAGAGCTCCGAATCCCGCCTTGGGTGTCATGAGACCTTTTAATGGCGCGGTGCTTTTAGGCAATTTGCAATCATCGGTCAAGAGTCCCAGAACCTCGGTGGTCGATACATCGTTTGCGATTTCCGTTCGAATGGCATTGTACACATCTCACTTCATCGAGGATATTAAACTGATGGCTCGTGTGCCCACTGAGGAACTACTTAGCTTACTTCATGCTTTGCTATTAACTGTTGAGGTCGTTAGCGACGAGCTTGACCTATTGGCCGCTGGCGAAACCCCCGACTGGGCTTTTGGTATTGTCGAAGATGAGATAGATGAGCTGCGTTTGTTCGCGTCTAAATCTTACTTGACGCCGCTTCTAGATAATGCCAAGGGATGGGAAAGCAGCTCTAACGAAACCAACGACAATCACTCGGTCAGGGTCATTCGCGGTCTCATCAATGTGTTTTTACAACACGCGAATAACGGACCAGGACAATACTACGCTACGAAAGCTTTGAGCCATTTGGTATCGAATTTGGTGAGTATTCATGGCTGGGATGTTGTCAGTGGCGAGGCCTGGCTATCAAGTTTGAATATTTTCAATTCTTCGTCAACGAATACGTTTGGTGCGGTTGCACTACTCACCGGAATGGAGACGGACGGGTCAAGTAGCAAGCTCATCAATACCTATTGCAACCGTCTTGTTAGCGACATTGCTGGAGCTTCTGCTACCGCAGAGAAAACTTTTATTGCTCTTGTCAAGTTGAATGCTGCATTAGCGGTTTATCAAGAGGATGAAATTCCCGTCGCGTCAAATCGCTTGATATTTGCGGTCAAGCAGATCTCATCTTGGTCTCCCGATCTCGCTACCACGAATAGATATGTTGCAGCGGAAGCCTGTAGAGCATTGCAAATTCTGTTACCCGCAATCAAAGACGTTTACGGCACATATTGGGAATCTGCTCTTTCCCTCTGCACTTCGATATGGGAATCTAGCGAAATTGGAAACCTGTCCGATGAAGATCTTCCAATGATTGGAATGTCACTCAAGCTTTATTCGATCTTGCGGAAAATGGAAGATGCCAATGATGATCTAGAGGAGGCCTTGGCTAAACAGGCCCAGCCCATATCTAACGCACTTGTTCGTTTGCTCAAGTTGGGAAGGGAAAAGGAACATCAACCCTCGGAATTTGTGGACACTCTTCTCTTGAGGCAATTGCGCTATGTTTCAGCTGAGAAAGTTGAAGATGCCGACGAACTTTACCCGTTGCTTGCTTCTGAAAACAAAAATTTGCAGTCCGCCGCGTACGATCTTCTACAAAGGGCTTTACCACAGATTCAACAGCAGATATCCGTAAATGTGCTGCTAGAAGGAAAAGGTAAACCAATCCTGTGTTTATTTATGCTTTAGCCATTGACATAAATCTAGTTGCACGACTTCCCGACGAGCTCCTCTCACTCTTACTTGATCCGCCATCAATCGAGAACTTCTCTGACGAACAACTTGACGAATTTCCCCTAACAATCAGAGGTTACTTATTGTCGTGGCATCTAGTATACGAATCGTACGCCAATGCTTCCCTCAAAGTTCGGACCGATTACAGCGAGCTTCTAAAGTCAGAAAACTACATCGACCCACTTCTCACCCTTCTCTTCGATTTGCTGAGTACATACAATGGCATTTCCGGTGACCTGAGCAAGTTTGAACCATCAATGATCAGCCGTTATGAAATTTGGACCGCATTCGATTCCGAATCTCCCAAGCGCGACATGTCTTGGCTTCTGGTAAATCTTTACTACCTCTGTTTGAAATACACCCCCAACCTGACCCGCAACTGGTGGCTCGATTGCAAATCCAAGCAAATCAAACTTGCAGCATCCAAATTGACGGACAAAGTATTTTCACCAATATTGATTCAAGAGGTCAAAGACGACGTAACCAAATGGGCATCCGAACAAGATACCACTGATGACAAGAAAGAATTGATTGTCAAGACCTCTAAGAACTCAGCCGATATACTGGCAGGCGTGGAGATTGATGAGACGATGATGCAAATTGTGGTTAGCCTACCAACCGAGTATCCATTGCAGGGTGTCGAGGTCAGGGGCGTGAATCGCGTGGCGGTTAACGAGAAGACTTGGAGAGCGTGGCAGGTTATTGCGCAGGGTGTTATGCGTCTTAATGTACGTCTATACACTACCCACTTTCTTATTCATTCCCAACATTTCTAGCTAACATTTTACCAGACTATCGTCGACGGCCTAATCCTCTTCCGCGACAATGTCGGTGCTGCCATGGCCGGCAAAACTGAATGTGCAATCTGCTACTCTATCATCGCAACTGATAAACGCATGCCGGATAAACGATGTGGCACTTGCAAGAATCTGTTCCATGCCGGGTGTTTGTATAAATGGTTTCAGACTAGTAATCAGAGTACTTGTCCATTGTGTCGGAATCCGTTTACATATGGGGGTGATGGGCAAAGGAGGAGGGCTGAGGAATGATTTGGGCGGGGTGTGCATTGGGTGGGTGTATATAGGCATCGGTGTTATGGGCATTTCAAGGGAGTTTAAGAGTTGGTACATTCAGGGGTGATCCATAGTGATAGTAATTTGAAGGATATAAGAAGAGAATTCAAAAGTCTTCTTTTGATACTGCTAGAACTACAAAATACATTTCTAGACTTTAAATTTACTACTATGTCTCTGTCTAGAGCTTAATTTATATTTTTCAGATTTTTTCATTTATGCGTCCTTTTAACAATTCAAATACACATATGTGTATATTTAGTTATTTTAACTTATAGCTTGAGTTTAACTATAGCTAGATAGTTTTTTTTTTTTGCTACTATTAATTAACTTCAAGGTAAAGTTACGAATATTATCGGTATTCTGCAAGTGTTTCTTCAAAATTAAAGCTCTTCATATGGATGCCTGCATTTATGTTTGGAATCACAATAACTCTTTAATCACCTCAGCTGATATAAAGCCAACCTAACCAATCACAACCCAGCCTCAACCCCACTCTTCGATGTCGCAAGACCTCTGGTCTCATCCACCACACGCTAAAGCAGCCTTACCCGTCACCGGATCCCCACGTAAGCCCCGAAAAATAAACCTTTCATTCAACGCTCATCCAACATAAACACCTCGTTTCCCTCCACTCCAACAATGCATCCCCCCTAACAATCCCTCACCATGGCTGTCCTCAAACCAGCCATCCTCCTCCGCCTCCGCAAACCCCCTTCGCTCCCCTCCAAACGCTACGTCTCGAACACCAGCAAACCCGACGACAGCACCTCCATCCCAGTCCCCAACACTGTGCCCACGATCCCCATATGGCAGCGTCTGGGCCCGCTATCCCGAGGTTTCCAAGCGTATGGAAGGAGTCAGAGGAAGTGGCCGTATAGGACGCAGTTTATAAGTTCGCTGGTGATTTATTTTCTTGGGGATCTGTCGGCGCAGAAGATGAATGGGGATGAATATGATGGGAAGAGGACGTTGCGGGCGTTTGTTATTAGTGCGGGGAGTTCGATTCCGAGTTATAAATGGTATATAACCTCTCTTTTCTAGTACAGGGTTTTGGGGTTGAAAGCTAATATAGTATTTTAGGTTCATGTTCCTCAACACCCACTTCAACTACCCCTCCCGTCTCCTCTCCCTCCTCACCAAAGTCACCGTCAACCAAATCTGCTTCACGCCCCTCTTCAACACGTATTTCTTCGGCATGCAATCCCTCCTCTCGGGCGACGCCCTCCCAGAGGTTTGGGAACGCATAAAAAGAACGGTCCCGACTAGCATGCTGAATAGTTGTAAATTGTGGCCCGCGGTGACCGCGTTCAGTTTTACATTTATAGATGCGCAGTATAGAAGTGTTTTTGCGGGGGTTATTGCGATTGGGTGGCAGACTTATTTGAGTTTTTTGAATAGGAGGGCGGAGGTGGAGAGTGGGTTGGAGAGGGGGATGGAGGAGAAGGAGGGGAGGAGGATTGAAGTTTAGATTTGAGTCGTTAGGTGGTTTATGGGATATTGGATAGGTGGCATATTTGGGTATTGGGTGCATAAACGGGCGTTGGATGGGTTTCAAGGTTTGCATAGACGGGATAGAATGATTATGACTCACGTCGCATTTAAATGGATTATAACGAACATGATCAATTACGCTTTCTCAAGATTTTCAGTTGTTAAGCATCAGCGAATGTCAACAATACAAGTAGATAAAATACGATCAAGTCAAATTTCCCACAGGCGAATGATGTGGTAGTAACATTAAGTAGAAACCACCCAGTATTACATTTGAATGTCCTAGCAGCTATACACACATACAAGTGATTATCTCCATCTTGAAAAAACATGAGTGGTACCCGATATCATCTAATTCATCCCTCTCATCTTTCCTAAAACCTCCCTTCTTCTGGTCAATCATGAGTGTCACCCCATATCCTCTTTCTCTTTCTCAACTCTCGACATTCTCAGAGATTCCCTTGTATATCCCCTCTATCCCAACACATCCTTCACAATCCCAACCCTCATAAAATCTTACACCCCATTTAAAATCTCCCAATCCTCGCGTAAGAATCAATTCGCTTTTTCTACTACCGCATCTCAGTTGCAAATTCCGTATCGTCTAGGTTTACTCACACTCCCACCATCCCTTCTACTCAAAAGTATGACTGTGTCTTCTATGTTCATGGACTATGATTTCCCAACAAACCACTCCACCACCCCCTCCACGACCCTCGACCCCGGTTTATCACCAATAACATCCAGATTCAACCCCACACTCGCACATAAAAACGCGCCGGCGAAGATGGTGGGGGGGAGGAGTTTTTGGATGAGATGTTTGAGCATTTCTTTTAAAGAACAATATGGATGAGGCAGGTTGAAGGTCCAGGAGTGTAGAATTTTAGGGGAGTAGGACGAGGGTTATAGGTGTGAGAGGGAGAAGATTTTGAAGTACAAGCGATGTTGTGACGATATTATATCAACGGAATCAATACGAAGGACTCGCAAGAACATTTCAAGGAAACGAGATACAAAAAGTATTTTATTGCTCCCGAGAGTCGCGACGACGAACGGTGACTAAAGCAGTAGAGAGCTGAGATGACTGACATAAGCTGACCCGGAAGACGGGGTGGAAGTGAGTCAATCCCAAATCATCTGGCCTAGACTTCAGCCCTGCGCTGCCTGGTGGTATAGATTCAGCCCTACGAAAAACTTACGACTTCAAGCTCTGTCTCCCTCTCTGGGACAAAACATGTCAGGTGCTGGATAGACGAAAACAAAACGGATACCGAAAAACAAGCGAGGAATAATCAACCATAAACATAAAAGTCAGCACTAACTATACAAGCCCATGGGAATATAACCCACAAAGTTAGGTAAACAGCATTGAAAACCACACAGGGATCAAAGACATAGATGTTATTCAACCATCAATTCTCTACCTAATATATATCCACCACCTCTCCCCGCCTCCCCCCTCTCATCATTCCATTCCATTACCATATCTTCCATACCCAAACCACAGACCCACGTATATACGGCGGGCCCAATCCATATGTGCCTATAATACAAGTCCGCCATCCATCATTCATTCAATCAACAACAGTGAAAACCCAAAAAGCACACGCCCGCAATGCAATGCCCATCATCACAATACCCAAAAGCACTAAAATCATTCGCTCATGAATCGCATATACGTGTTCACACCTAGGTACGTACCCATCCACCACGTTCATCAAATAAACGCACCCTTATCATCCCCCCTCTTCCTCCTCGGCGGACTCTCACTCTCCCCCCTCTCCAAATCCCCATCCTTCCCTTCCCACCTCCTCTTCTGCTTTCGATAATAATCCTCCGAGCTCTCCCTGGGGCCCGCCTCGATCTGTTTCTCGGGCTCGCGGCCCTCACGTCGGTACGTTGGGTTCAGATCTCTTGGATCGTGTGGAGCTAGACTATCAGATTGTTTAGATTCATTGGACCAGTCTTCTTCGGACGTTTCGCCGCCCTCGACGTACGGTGGGAGGGGAGGATCCGTGCGCGTATCGCCTTTCACTAACCCGAGTCTTTCTTCTTCCGTGGCTCCTTTTGTGTGGGATCCTACGCTGGTTTTTCTCTGGCCCATTCCTTTTCGGATCATTGGTGAGCGACTTGGTGGAGCTGGTTCGTCTCCATGAGGCTGGGAATCTGTTTGGCCTCTTCTAAACATATGCTGGAATGAGAACTGCCTCCTCGCTGAGTGTGGCGGCGGTGTTGGCGCTGGATGTAAACTGCTTCCTCGGCTACCTGTGCGCACTGGATCGTCAACTATCGTAACATGTCTTTCTCCTCCAGCACCTTTGTATGCTGTATCGTGGCCGTAGTAGGCGTGAGATGCACTTGATGGGTCATCTCCTTTATATGATGGTATGGAAATTGTGGTCAATGGTACAGGGTGCATCGGACTCTGCGCGTTAGAAACATTACTCCCTAGCACCGAACGACCTCTACCTGGTACCATGACTGACATGGCACGCCCAAACACTGACGAGCCTCTGGTGATAGGCCTGTCTTCTTCCTCATCATCAGAATCTGGAAATCTTGACATCCCTAAAGGTGGGTGTTTTGGTGTGTATTGTGGATTAACAGGCGTTGATGTAGGCGCCGGTGTGTTTGGCATCGGAGGCTCAGTAAATGCTGGGAACGGCGTTGATGTTCCACGTGATCTCAAACTACCTGGCATCGTACCAAACGTTGTCCTCCTCCTTCGAAGGCCATCAAATTCCCATTGAGCTTGACCGTCCTCGCCAATCGGATCCAGGTCATGAGCAGTTTTCTCTTCGTGTAATCGTTTTGCTTCTTGCAACTCCATCTTAGTTCTAGCAGTAGAAAATCTTCTAACAATAGCGGCAGCACCACGTATAGCATCAGCTTTGGGTTCTGTTTCCGGCTGCTCTTGCTCTGCAATGGTTCGAACTTGATCCAAGTTCCCAGCAAATACAGCAGTATCCGGGACGTCTTTGGCAGATTTAGAAAGCTGAAGAAGTACCACTCCAGCACAAATAGTTAAGAACCCAAGAACCATAGTAACGATGGAAGTGACTGTTCCCTTGAAACCTCTAAACAGTATAGCAGAAGTAATAATGGTAGAACTGGTGAAAAAGACGTAATATGTTGGAGTAACCAATGCAGCGTTGAAAAGGTTTAGAGCTTTCTGCAAGATTATTAGCAAGTTCTAGGTTACAAGGGATGGTTCGACTAACATTGAGGTATACAATTTCCACCAAAAGAGTGCAAACGACAAAAACAAACAGAACGTATAAGAACCATTGATCGTATTGCTTCGTTCCTCCGATTTGTGAAACAATCGCAGCACCAAGACCTTGGGTAGCCACGACACTGAGACCTCCTATAAGACTGCAAACGGATATGTATACCAACATAGACTTCTTGCCATATCTTGGAGCGACCCAAAATATGGTAAACGTACAACCGGCAATAACTACACCTGCATAACTCAGAAATCCTGGGGAGATGACAAAGTGCTGCATGTCCTGGATCGTAGCCGCCGAGGATGACTTGGGCGCGTTGAGCACAATAATGACGGATCCTACAATCGCAAGAAAGCAGCCAACTTTTCCGACCATACTCAGTCGTTCCTTGAGAAAGATCGCCGAAAGAACTGCTGTAATGACCACAGATAAAGCGCCCATCGGAGTGACCAGAATGGCATCGACAAAGGCATAAGCCACAAAATTGCAGATTTCTCCAATGATCATCAATGTCATTCCCGTCCACCAATACGCATTTTTAAGATATCCATATCCCTCACCTGCAACTTCCTGGTATTTGTCGTTGGCCTTGAGAAGTCCTACCTTCTTCAACACAAAGGATATTCCGATAAAAACTCCAGATGCGATTGCGAGTATGATTCCAACTGTTCTGAACACGGGCGACCTGTTACCCTCTCCTCCAACACTTATCCCATTCCTGGCTACCAGCTCTTCATGCCTGGCTATTAATTCGTGTGCGGCTGCGAGCGCTCGTGCATCCATGACTGCGACGTGAGGCGACTCTGCGCCGAAGAGAAGAAATTCGTAATTCGTTGCAGCCGATCAACAGCGCAGGACGCACTTGAGTTCGATTGTGGGATTGTTGTGGTCGTATCGTGAGGTTGTACGTTGGTCAACTTGTAAGGTTATATGGAATCCTGTTGGTATCGTCTTGATCGAATCGCACGACGAGAAAGAAGCTGATTGCGTATATCGAATTTTCGGATTGTTTTTTGACCAGGAGAGAGTATTGATATCGCCCCAGATATTCCTGTACCAACAACGATCGGCCTGAAAGGCTTCCCTGTTACAGAACGGTGGCAGACCCGGTCTCTGCAATTCGAAACAGTTGGTGCTGGAGACGCTGCAGCGCACGTCAAGATGTTTGGATCGGCGGTACGCAAAGCGAAACGGTTGGAGAATATTCGCGCTCGAATGATATCAACTCCCAGTAATTCAAACAGCAATTCGATTCGTGAATAAGAATTCGTTATTCGTGTCGTGGAGGTTAACGGATGAAAAGGGGAGGCAGGAGGGCAGGACTCTGCGCAATACGGGTGCAGGATCGCGGACGGATGAGAGGTTGGCCGGTTCGCATGTGGTGCAAGATAGAGTGTCTGCAGCTTCTTGTGAATATTAATCGATGGCGTTTTTGCTTGGTTGTGAGGATTTAGAGATGTTCAGAGTTCCAGACTTGAATTCGAGCGAGTGGCTGCACGCCGACGCAATCAAGGCTTCGTGTTGGTCGAGCAACGGGGCTGAGCAAGGAGAACACGACTTTTCCAGTTGATAATCACCGTTGGCCCCGCTGAAAGAGCTTGGTATTTTACTTTTGTGGGGAGAGTATTTGCCTTTGAATTGAAGCTTGTGAGCTTATCTATCTTTCAAGTTTGTTGGGGAAATACGTTGGTTGCTGTTTGTTGTTTTGTTGGCTTTCTCATTGTAAGTGAGTGAGCAAGCGCTGTCGCAGATAATGCGCCTTATACAAAGCGTTTAGGGCCACCTAACAAGTCAAGATATCATTTATTGGACAAGCAACTGAACGTAAATGTATTCTTAGGTATGATGCATGCTGTAAACTTCCTAGCAGAGCTAGCGGACAAACTCACTATTCAAGAGATTGATAAACCGACAATCATTCCAAAAATACCTTCACCTCTACTCAAGACACACTTACCAACCTTTTTAGAGTACCAAAATAACCTACTTACGGAGTATTCCAATGAGCATCAATCGATACATGCATCGCAAATCCCAAAGAGGCAGTTCTATTGATCGCTTGCAACCTGGTGAACCACTTCGCTCTGTTATCTTAAAAATATCAGCTTCAGAATGTCTCGAAATTTAATAACTCTTCTTCTAAAACCAAGTACTTCCCTTACAAACATTAATTTTCATATTCGTTGTTCAAATAACAAACACACCTTAGTACAAACTCTATTCCCTAGAACCCTTCCCTGGAAGGATTCTCCTTGTCCCTCGCTTCGGCCCCTGAATGTCACCCTATGACCTCACTGACACCGAGTTGGGGTCTGACAGATTTACCCGGTATCGCCACATGTGTTACAATTGAGATAAAAATATTTTATTTTACCTCGAATATTTTTTTATCTCGATGTTCAGGAAAATTGTTTAGTTAAGTGGATAAAACGTAATCAGATTTTGGTTGTTAAACGCGGCAAGTGGTCAAAGTCAGCAAAATCCACAAGTAATAATCGTCCTCCCTGTTGTATTTTTCATGTATCACTCTTGAGATGTGTAATCTACTTAGTACATTATACTGTCTTTACTGTCTGATCTTTATCTTGTTAGTATCAATTGGAATCAAGCTATTTGCTAATCACAAGTCAATAGTTCTCATTCGACGATAACGAGTTCTATTTCCACTTACCAGCATCAAAATTAAGCTTTCAAATCAAAACTTCAATGTAGAAAATTAGAAACTAGGTCGAAAGAAATTGATATCTTTATCCGTCAAGCTTTTGAGTCCACTTTCTAGCGAAGGGAATTGCAGATGCTCTCGGGATAAAATACTTGAACGAGTAAGTGTACTTCGCCAATATAGCCTCCCATAAAAGAGGTGCTGGGAAACACTTGACTACTCTTCATGAGGTACATGAGTATGACGTCCAGGGGTTGGAGCCTCAAAAAAAGACAGTATTTCTGGCTGCTTCTTCGAACAGGTCTTGTATAGCCTTGGTTTTGTTTAACTCCGGCATTTACTAGCCATTAACTTTGAACTTTACAGTTGACTTAACCTTGTGACATTCAGACTTTGTAAAGATATAGGATTAGAAAATTTGTCTTTCTGCTACATGTCTTCGTGCTACAGGGTATAAGTCTTTGAAACTTCTGGTACTTTCGGTATTTGATTGAGGCAATTAAAGCTCAATTAAACTCGATGAAAGTTAATATAAAAGATTTCTGTTGATGTCTCGAGTTGTGGTATCCCCAGCTAGCAGCATCAGAAGCATATACTATACAACGAACTCCTGAAACAGTCAAACTCACTTATTAGACAGTACAGCGCACTGAGAGCGAGTCTTTTTGCATCACCAGCAGTTACCCTCACGCAGCGATCGATTCAGCCATTAAATAAACCCCACTATCCACTCAACAACTCAACCTCAAAAACAACTTCATCTACTCCTCCCCATCCAACAACCCCATCTCCCTCCCAAAAACCCCCGCCTCCTCATTCATCACCTCCACACTCCTAGCCCTCCTCTCCTCATCCTCAATCCTCGGAAACCTACCCTCCTGCACCGGTCTTTTATCCCACAACCCACCCCCCACATTCCCCTCCTCACTCTGCAAGCGCTCATAAATCCCATCTCCCTCCTCATCGCCCTTCAACCTAGGAATAACATGACAATGCACATGTTCCACCGTCTGACCCGCCCACTTCCCATCCTGGATACTGATGTTGAAACTCCCGTCCTCGACTTTACCGTTTTCGAAATAGTGTTTAGCGAGCATCTTCTGCACTTTTTGGACTGTCGTGAAGAGGTCTGTGACTTCGTCGTGCGTGAGATCGGTCATGCGTTTAGCTGCGCGGAAGGGGATGACGAGCACGTGACCTGGGAGGATGGGTTTGATGTTTACGAGACAGTAGGAGAGAGGGGTTCGGTAGAAGATCTGGATGGATAGTTAGTGGATTTTAAGATACCATGGAGGGGAAGAGTGACTTGATCTGTAACTTCGAACGGTCCGAAGTGGACCGGTTTCTTTGAAGTCATGATATTCCGAATCTGTGATGGAAAGTGATTTGAGATGAGAGGCCTCAGAATCATCACTGCATCTGAGGAACTCTTCAGAACATACAATTGAGCTTTTCTGAACTTTTGGAAAGTCGCAGTTCGTCAATTCAAAACATAAAACACATCTCTCCGTCCGAAAATGTGACGTCTGTGCCAGATATTCTATGTCAAGCCTCAGGCACAAAATCTCGCTTAACCTTATGTTGTTTCAAAACAACGGCGGTCCCCTTGTCACTTCTAATTTATCTTTACTTTATTTGAAGACACGATGTTTCCAACAAATAAGCTTCAGTATAAGAAGATTGGATGTCCCCGCTGGTGGTCTCAAAGCGTGAGGAGATATAAGCATATTCGGAGTATTTCACGCTCCCGAATTTCAACTTCAGGGATGAGGTTCCACTTCACGATGTCTATGCAAAATGGAAGTATAAAACGTGTAGTTCGCGCTTTGCTATCATATGAGATCTTTTCTTCTTTGTCGTCTCTGTCACTCACTCTCGTTCAACACATTCCTTTCTATTCCTATACATTCATTTCAAACCCAAGCGCAAGCGCTTTTCCATTCTTTTAACCAGCATACACAATATCAGAAATCCATTCAAACTCTCAAACCCGTCAAAATGTACAAATCACTATTCCTAGCTTCCTTCGCGAACCTCGCTCTAGGAGGTACAATCCTCTGGGATGGCCGCTTCAACGACATGACCTCCGGCGCCGACCTCTCCGCATGGTCTTTCAGCAACCCCATCGGCTCATACCAATACTACATCGTTTGTCTCTCCTCCCTCTCTATCCCACCCAACTAACAATTCCCAGCACGGCGACTCAGAAGTATCATCCTACGTCAACCTCGATTCAACCTTCAAAAACCCCGCCGACACAGGTAGCGCCCAAGGCGTCAAAATAACCCTCGACAGCACCGCCCACTGGAACGGCCAGCCTATGCGTCGTACAGAACTCATTCCTCAAACCAGCGCCGCTATCAATAAAGGAACGGTCTACTACCATTTTAGCATGCAACGCAGCGAGACTAACGCCCCAAGCGAGTCTAAAGAACATCAAATTGCCTTTTTCGAATCCCATTTCACGGAGATGAAATCTGGCTGGCAGAGTGGTGCGGCTGGGACTAGTGATCCTCTGCTCCGCTGGAACGCAGGCGGGTCGACGCAGTGGAATACGACTTGGGAGGCTGGCGTGTGGCATAACGTTGCGTATGAAATCAACTTCGATGCTGGCTCTGTGGCCTTCTATCATTCCACTGGTGCCGAGGACTTGGTACTCGCGCATGAGGCGGTTGCGGTGACGGCGAGTTCGGATGGGAAGGATTGGCATGTGGGTGTTCTTGAGTTGCCGAGGGATGGGTTTGCGGACGAGAATGAGGATGTGTTTTTCAGTGGTGTGTATATTGAGAGTGGAGAGCTTACTACGAGTGTTTCTGGACCGGGTGGTGTTGCTGCTGCGCCTGCGCCGGTTGCTTCTTCATCTGCGCCGGTGGTTGTTGTTTCTACCGCTACGGTTATTCCAGTCGCGGCGTCGACTTCAGCGCCTGCAATCTCAACTCCAGTCTCCTCAGCCATCGAAGCAATCCCAACTCCAGCCCAAACTTCCTCAGCCATCGAAGCAACTCCCACCTCAGCCGAACCCTCCACCGCCCCAGAAACCCTCCCCACAATCCCAATAACATTCACCCTCCCAAGCTTCTCCAACACCCCAACAACACTTGCGACACTCACCCGAAGCAGCTCTATCTCTTCTATTACCTCTGTTGTCCCTGAGTCGACCTCAATCACCACCCCCGAACCAACCGCAACACCTGCACCCGAAGAAGAGGATGAAGATGAAGACTGCGAGTACGAGTACTGATGAGCTATTTTCCTTCACCTAGCTTTGGTTTCGAAGCATTATATTCTTGTAAATATTTTAGATCTGTAGATACAATACATATAACCCACATCCCCGAATCCCCCAATTCCCTACTCCAACAACCAAACCATCCTCCCTCCACATCTACGGAAAAGACAGTGGATTCGGGTGAACTAGGCCTATGCTCACTACACTAAGATATCAAGTCTTTCGCCTCTGTCTAACACCCTGTAAAGAAGTTTAGACTCGGTAGAGCTAAAGATAATTCTCTCGGTCTTTAGAAATTTGTTGGTTTCGTGGTGGTGGTGGTGATGTTGGATGTATTGTAAATCGGTCTTCTGTTTTGTTTATGTAGTCTACGTGGAGCTTCGCAACCACCGAACCCCGTCTATAAGAACAGAAACATCACTACCACTATTCCTAAAAAGAAACTATAAGAACCTAACACATGCCAAAAAGAATATAGCGTCCCGTGAACTGCAAAACTCGCAAGCACACCTTCCTTCCAAGCGCACAGAAATTCCCTCCTAACATCCCCTCTCACACAAAAACCACCCCACCGGAAATCCATAAACGCTGATGAAATCCATCTTCCAAGGCTTACTTTACATATACCAGTGCCGCATAAAATTATTTAATATCATTATAGATCTAAGACCTGGTGCTGTTTAAAATAAACATTTTAACTATCGAGATTAAAAAAGAAGGTTATAGCATCCAGCATCACGAAACCTCCACGCCACCTCCCCAATCAAAACCCCAAACCCCAAACCCCCATGAAATCCCTTCCACAAGGCACCTGCACTACAAGTTTCCACACCGCCATAAAACACCATCAAACATCCAATCGCATTCTCTATAAAACCGAACACACAAACTATCTCCTTGTATAATAACAGAAAACCTAATTACATCCAGCACCCTTTTTGGGGCGGGTTTTTCTTCTCTTGTAAAGATAAACGCTATATAGATAGGAAAGATGACAGAAGCTGTGATGGCAATGGAAGAGGTGGTAGGGAGATTAATAAGGGTGATGTATATGTAAGGAATGATTATTAATTTATATCAACCCGCACACAAACTCCATATGGAGCATATAAAAATGCGAAACCCTCATCACATCCGCTACCCTTTCCCCCCTAGTGCCTCTTTACCAAGAAGAAAAATCTCTCTACATATATACAAAAATTCCAGAAAGTGTGGGTGTGTGTGCGTGATGTGGAGGATTAAGCGTGATCTGTATATAAAAAGCTCACAATAGAATTGACCTTACCTCACCTCACCTCCCTCACCAACCCAACCAAGCCTCCATAAGGGCTTCTCCTTATCATCAACATCGTATGGTTGATACAATAAGTTTCTCAAATATATATGACTTCTAAAGAGAGGGACAAAAAAAAAAAGTTTCATCACAAATGCGCGAAACATAATGGATTCAATATCCACCCCCCACCCCTATCTAATTCTCAACTACGCAGCAGCATTACTTAGTTACTCAACACAGTGGATAGACAAACTCACTAGTCACGAAGTATTCAAATTACAGGAATTCACTGCCCATTACCCTCTTACTCTCGAACATCCTCCTCCTCTTTCTTTGGTACCACCCTACTTTCTCACACAGCATTTCAATTTCACACCAGATACTAACCCATCACATAACATCACATCACATATTCACACCCACGTCCACATTCACATCCACACCCACATACTCCCTTCACATCACACACGCACATACTCCCCTCAAAAATCATTCACCATCCACAAACCACAAACCAAGCACCACAATCCCCATTCAATTCCATTCAATTCCATTCAATTCAATTCCATTCCGAACCCCTTTCTATTCAACCCAATCCCCAAATTAAAATACACTCTGTTCCTCCATCGGCGTATCGCCACCCTCTCCCATGCCCCCTCCTCCGACAACCCCATCTCCTAATCCATCACCACCATTCGCCGCCGCCGCCGCCGCTCGTTGCGCCTCGTTTTCCACATTGTGATAATCAAGAATCTCCGAGTACCTAACACGAAAAGAACGAGGGCCAAAAGTCAGAATGCGTTCGTTATTCATTTGAATTTTTTGTCTTTTTTTTTGATATCCTGAAACCTGATACACCGTGACAAAGGAAAGGTAAGGAAAAATATTGGTGACATGAAAATTCGTGCTTCCTCTCCAGAGAAAGAAAAACACAAATTTAATGTCTGTGTGTGCGTCTCTTGAGACTCCCTTAAATCTCTTATTTCGCCTCCGCAGAGTCCCAAACTTTCAGGTCAAGAAAGCAAGAAAAGAAAATAAAAGGGGAAATCTCAAAAGCCATAGTGTATATCCCGTCGAGAAGAATTGGATTTTTGTGCAACAAAGGGAGAGGACACAAAAAGAAAATGATCAAGAAGTACACTACGGCTTTCAAGAGGACTCTGCGGCTGCTTGCTCCGCTTGCCATTCATAAAGTTGCTCGTACATCATTATTTTCCATGTGTCCACCGGTAAGTCTGCGTCATTGAATGACCAGTCAAACTTCTCCTCTGCTACGGGTTCGTCGGTCGGATCGTGGTATGGGGAGAGATATTCGTGAGCGAGGGCATCGGCTGCCTTGACTCGCTTTCGTGGATCGAATACAAGCATGTCCTCCAACAATTCGATTGCTGGTAATGTTAGCATGGAATGTCTGATTCCCAGGCTCGAGGATTTACCTTGAGGATCAGCATTGCGGAATTTATCCTTCAATGGTTGTCTTTCTCGCTTTGGTAGAGATTGGACGAATCTTAAGGTCTAAAACATGATTAGCCTCCCAAAGTGATTACAACTCCCTCAAATCTTACGTTCTCACTCGCAATGGTGTGGATAACATCATCTGGTGGGGTACCCAAAAGCTCAGTGATGATGGAGAACTGGTTAACGTGATCCTTTCCAGGAAACAATGGTTTGCCCTCCAACATTTCCGCAAAGATACATCCCGCGCTCCAGATATCAACCTCGACATCGTACTTTTGCCATGTAAGCATAATCTCCGGTGCTCGGTAGTATCTTGTAGAAACATATCCGGTCATCTGGGGATCTTGTAAACGGGCGAGACCGAAATCGCAGATCTTGAGATCGCAATTCTCGTTGACGAGGATGTTGCTAGGCTTAAGATCGCGATGGACGACACCTGCAGAGTGGACATATTTCAGGCCACGCTGAAGAGGTCAGTACAGAAATAGATCGTAGTTTGCACCAGACATAACCTACGAGAATCTGGTATAAGAAATATTGAATGAACTGCTTCTCAAGAGGTCTGGAAGTCAAGAGACGATGGAGATCGGTTCCAAGGAGTTCAGTAACGAAGTAGCTGCGAGATGATCAGTAAAACACTCCAAGCGTGTAGAAGTGGCTTCCATACATATCCTCAAGTGGAGAAATAAAGATATCGCTGAGTGAGATGACCTAACACGAAATCAGCATCCGACCGAAACCCCCACCATCCGGATTCGTCTGCATACATTCTCATGTTTCAGATGCTTCAACAGCTTCAACTCGCGGTACGTTCTTTTCGACAAGACCGGAGTCGAGAACGGCTTCATGATCTTCTTGACCGCGACATTCTGTCCGGTGAGGTTATCTTTGGCAGAGCTATAAAACGAATCGCGCACTTCAAGTCAGCCTTTCTAGCCCCCCAAACAAATTTTTCGTGCAGAGAAAGGATCGCGCACCATACGAGTCCGAAAGCACCCATTCCAACCGGCTGAAGATCCGAGTATCTGCGCGAGAGAAACAAGAGTTAGCATCGTGGTGCACCCTGCGCGTAGCCGTCGCCCTATCTCGCTCGTGAGTCTCTGCAGATGGGCTACCCCGCGTACCTGGAGGTGATCTCAAAGGTGGTCCCAAAGATCTGGGCTCTGACGAATTCCGCCATGGTTGCGGCGAGGGGCAGCGTGTAGTAACGAAGGTATAGATATCGCTGCTCAGGTTCGCGATCGTAGGTGGTGGTGGTTTTAGGAAGGGTTGGATGGTGGTCGTGTCGTGGCACCCGATGGTGAATGGGGAATGGGTTTTGCAGTGGAGGGAAAGCCGAGCAGGTCGAGAGTCGGCGGCTGCTGGTGCTGTGCTGTTAGACGATACGAGTAGGTCGGATGCGACTCGGGCTAGTCAGCCTCTAACCTTACTGTGCACGACTGAGCAGGCTCACGACGAATAGAGATGCGCACACAGGCTCCAAATCCACAAGTTCCACGCGCTTGGCGGAAGGCGAAAGGGGAGACGAAGCTGTTGGTGCTGCTCTTCCTTGTGAAGCACTGAAGCGATCGAGGGGTGCCGCACCGCCACGAGTCGAGACGTGCGATTATTGTGTTTATTTATGTCGACCGATATAAAAATTTATTCACTCGTCGTTCGGGTGGCGACTTTATCAGGATGGCAAAGTGGCCGGACGAGAGATCCGGTATCGAGGTTGGAGACAACAGGATGTCTCTTTTTTCAAGCTGGATCAATCAGGCAGGCAGACTGGACCGTGAGGATCTCCGAGGGGTAGATTGGATGAGTTGTGAAGTATCTTGGGCGGTGGGTAGAGGGACGGATGAAGTCTGGCAATTGGACTCAGCAAGGCACCGATGATGATCATTACCTCTACCAGACCAGAGGGAGCGGGAGTTGTTAAGTATCTTTTCTAGAACGCTTCGGCTAAGACAACTAGAAAGAATCTGGGCTTGTCGGTATCACGAAGAAAGGCGTAAAGCAGGGCATTATTTGCATTATTCTTGATACCGTCGAAAACCACCGTAAATGTCGTGCTGCTATTGCGGTGAAATAGAGGGGTCATGTATCGAGGGGTACCACAACTTCCTTTGTACCACAAATACACCCCTTTCCTGGCCACTACCTCCTCTTTTTTATGTCTCCCACACAATCATTCCCTATCAAAAGCCTCACCACAAATCCCTCGTCCTTCCAATTCCCATCACCACCTCCGTTTGCTGTCGCTGCAGCCCAACCTTCCAAGCGGCGGCACAACCAGGTATTCTTTCCCACCTACGTCATTGTCTCCTACGATGCATGCACCTATACTTGTATCCATGGTGCATTCTGAATCCTCCATTCTAGAGACCACATGCAATTTACACAATCATGATAAATCGGCAGGTATGGCGGATAGAAGTTTCGTATTCTTATACATTGTTTCCTGAGCTTTTTGGGTCCAGTTTCCCGTCTTGGTGGATTCCTTGGGACAAGAATCCTCTTAACGCCGAAATCAATCTCCAGACCGAAATAAAACCACAGCTCAACGAATGTATCTCCTGAGAAATACCAATAGCCGTAAGATCTTTTTCATTTTTCCTCTGGTTCCATTCCTGTTCTAATAACTGTCAAACTGTTAGATCCAAATAAATAACAAAACAACTCTCATCACATTATTTCAAACACACATCCCATCCCTCCCACCATCCACAAACCCAATTCCCAAATCTCCATGCCCACCAGATCGAAAAACCGATCACGGAACCCCGGGGATCATCTCCGCCGCACGCTCTAACCCATATCCAGCCTACTCTCACCCCAACAGCACGCTCTAGCCCACATGAGGCCTATTGCCATCCGCGCTTATGGGAGCGGTGTATCAAAGTGCATAGTCCAGGCCTCGCTTGATCGGGATCGAATGGCGGGCACTTGGTGGAGATTTCTAGAATTGTCACGGGAGACTCCGGATGATTCGTTCAAGAAGCATGGGAGTGTGGCTGATGGATAGGCGAAGCTCAGGGAAATATATTATGCTTCATGCTAGATAGGTAGGTAAGTATATTAAATTCGGATACAGATGCCTCTCGACTCCAAAGTCCTATGCTCCTAAAATGCCAACATGATGTTAGACCATGCAAGAACCCCCAAAACAAACGCCAGTACATGATTACGCAAATTCAGTGACCTTCCTATCTATACACTTCCCGCCTGGGCTCATCGCCATACACAACAACAGAAGCCTCTCGTGCTCGTGGAGCTTCCCCATACCCGACTTCGACTGGCCTTGCCCTGGGTGGTGCATCCCCGTAATATCGCTCCTCGCCAGCAGGAGGTGGCAAGTATTCTCTTCTGATAGGCGGCGCTTCCATAGGTCTTACACTGTATTCTCGTTGTGGGATTGGAACCATCTCCCTCCGCGCTTCAGCACGCACGCTGCCAATGTACTCTCGCGGAGGCGCCTCAGGACGTACACTCGACATCCTACTCACGTATCCCCGAGGAGCTTCATATCCAACATCTGGTCGTACACTCATTGCTCTGGTATCATAGTCCCTCAATGCGTCTTCACGCGTCTCATATCTGATTGACTCGGGTCGAGCAGTTGGCGCTCTGATGTACTCGCGAGGAACTTCTTCTCGTGGCTGATATCTAATGGCTTCTGCGCCTGGTCGAACACTCGGAGCTCTAGTGAGTTCACGAGGCGCATCTCCCCGGATTTCATATCGTACGGCGTCTGGATGTACGCTGACTGCTCGTGGGTATGCTTCTCTCTCACGTGCGACAGGCGTTCGGGTTGCATATTCGCGAGCCGGCGCATCGTACTGGCTAACCACCCGTCTCTCAGGAACCCTGGTAGGTGTATAGTCTTCTCCTGGTGGTGCCATTGTTGGTGGTCGAGCAGAGTATTCTCTTTCTCGATAAGCTCTGTAGTCAACAGGGGGAGGCATAGCAAATTCTGGTTGGGTGACGATTCGCCGAGGGACAGCTGACAATGGTGATGCCGGTCTTCGATAAATAACGCCATCCTCTTCATACTCGACAGCTCGTCTGGGGGTGGACCGGATTGACGGCCGTTCGTAGATGACTTCTTCTCGGTACCTTGTTGGAGTGATAACTTCTTCGCGGTACCTTGCTGGAGGGGCTACTGAATGTCGGACTGATACTGGGGCTGGGTCGGGATCGATGTATTCTCTACCATACTCATCCACAACAATCCTGACTGGTTGTCGAGGAGGCGCCATTACTGGTGATCTTGGTTCACGCATTATAGGCGACCTGGACCGCTCACGATCTGCATCCGGTCGATAGATCCTTGGCTCCTTAACATAGTATCTGGCTCTCTCCGTAGAACGCTCATCATCTATGATTGATACAGCTCTAGGTCTGGGGAAATCACCATAGGCCGGCGAAGCAGGCGAAAGAGGTCGTCGAGCGAAAGAGTCACTGCTGACTCGTCTATAACTATCATCCTCTCTTGCAAGTCGGCGGATCACAGGCTCTGGCCTGCGAGTTTCGGTCTCATATCGTACGTCCATTCGCTCTGGTGGTGGAGGGCCGCGAGGTTCTGCATAGCGATCTCGTTGAGTTGAACGATCAGGTTCGGCACCATCCGGCTGATATCGAGGCTGATCATCATAATTGAGCTCAGCGGCGTATTGGCCTACTTGTCGTTGTCTCTTCTGTGGTCTCGGCAGAGGTGCAACTGCATACGGAGAAGTTGATCTGGGTTCTGGTTTGATGTAAATAGAATCAGGTGAGTCGCCACTGTTATTGGCCTTTCTCTTCTTTTTCTTGCCTCTCTTCTTTTCTCTTTCGGGCTGCTTAGCCTTTGGAGAGCTGTCTGTACTTGACATTCCCCCAATCTGATTTCTTAGAGCAGTGATTTGAGCAGGTTGGCCCTCATTAGCATGCAAGTTGCCGCGCAAAATTGGAGGGTCTCTTGCGGTAGCCAACGGAGATACTCGAGCAGGCTGAGGGGCTAATGGAGAGAGGTTGTGGACACGCATAACAGGTGGAGCTGGACCATTGTCAAAAGCCTGTCGAAGAAGCTGATCAGTCGTACTATGTACAATGGCTTGGTCACCTTTTCGAGCAGAGGGACCAGGCTCGTCAGACGTGTTTCTTCTCTCCGGGCCTACCTCTGCGCTCTTCCCAGCGTTTTTCGTCAGTGTGCTGCTCATGGCAGCTCCTACCGATTCCATACCTAAACCTGGCAAATTGGAAGAACTGTACTGAAACTGTGACTGTGAAAGTTGAGTATTGGCTGCTGGTTGATTATTTGTGGATAGCGAATTCATATCTTTCTGTGCACCTCCAACGCCATCATTTGCAGATTGAGGCTCACCAGATCCTCTCTCAACAGGTGCTAGACCTTGTGACTGAATCTCTACTGGCTCTTTTTGACCCTGTGAAGAATTTGACCACTGAGAACTGTCATGCTGGCTAGAATAGAAAGAATTCTCGTCAAAAGAATCAGAATTATCTGCTGGGGTATCACCAGTCGCCATTGCTGGCTCGGTGTGGGCTGCAGAAGAGGGATTGACAAGAGCTTGCGCTTTCAACAAGACTTCAGAAATATCAAAACTAGGAAGTGACTCAGACGTTTGAAGCAAAGCTTTCGCTTTCTGACGCTGGTCTTCGATCTGGTCCCTCAGTGACCTCTCGAGCCTCTGCCTTTGTAGATTCATCTCAGCCTTTATAAGATCATCAGACTTTTGTAGAAATATGGGATCAATCTCGGATTTGCCAGACTTGGGCGCGTGGCCATTGGCAGATGAAGTAGGCCGGTTGTTGGTGGAAAATGGAAAGTAGGAGAGCTGGTCTTGGGGTTGAGTCGCTGTGTATGGCGATGGTTTCGCGATGTGGTTCGAGTTCGGAGTGGAATTGGTGGGTGACGAGAGATGGCGCGTCGAGTTGGACGACTTCGCAGCGAGGTGGGGAGGAATTTTTATTCGAGGATGTATGCCTGCGAGGACAGCATCCTTAAACTGTATTATTCTTTCGTACTCCTTAATCTCACGCAATTCAGCTGCAGTTAGAGAATCTCCGTTGACAGCCATTGTCGCAACTGCCCCTTGGGCCATTGCTTAAGGGAAATGTCTAATCAGTAATAAATATATGGTTAAAGAAATGCGCAAATGTACAAGCCAAAAGTACGAGCAAATATTACGGCTGATGCTGGTTGTCCACGGTGACGTGGAGTTGTGCTGATGGGAAGAAGTCTAAAGACATCTAGAAAAAAGACGCTCGAACTCGTGTCCTAGTTCCGCGAGGTGGTTTGTCCCGATTTCGTAAAGCGAATCGCTACTTTACTAGGAAGGATGCAGTGAATGATAACGCCACCCCCATTCTGTCACCAAGTCACAGTTTCCTCGGCACAGTCAGTCAGTCATACCTCAAAGACAATTTGCTTGTAAAAGTCATTGATACTTATTGCATGTTTCGTTTCTTTCCAACCCGTAAATATCTTACTTCTTCAATTATTCTTAGCAACCTTCAATCACTAGCAATCAAGTCCCCTATACAATATCTCTCTACGTCACCCGTACCTAGACCCCACGCTTCGATCATGGGGGACTCACGGCCAGTTTTCTTCTTTGACATTGACAACTGTGTAAGTTGAATTTATATATCCGAGCATCGTGAATAGCTACTAACATTTATATGTAGCTCTATCCCAAAAGTCAGTCCCATGAACTTTTGTCTTCCATATGGGATTTTACTCATACCATCTAGGCCGAAAAGTCCATGATCATATGACGAGACTAATCGATGACTATTTCATGAAGCACTTAGAGTTAGACCAGCAAGCAGCCTACGACCTTCATCAGAAGTACTATAAAGACTACGGCCTTGCGATTGAAGGGTTAATCCGTCACCACCAAATCGATGCGCTCGAGTACAATCGCCAAGTCGATGATGCTCTTCCTTTAGAGGACATCATTCCCCGCGATCCAGAACTGCGCGAGTTGTTACTGGATATCGACACCTCGAAAGTCAAGCTATGGCTATTTACTAACGCCTATGTCACTCATGGAAAGCGGGTTGTAAAGCTACTTGGGGTCGATGATCTCTTCGAGGGTATGACATTCTGCGATTATGGCAACCTTCCAATCGTTTGCAAGCCCTATACGGAAATGTTCCAGAAAGCTATGAAACAAGCTGGAATACAGGAAATGAAAGACTGCTATTTTGTTGGTAAGTTGATTCATTCCAAATTTGAAGTTTCAAGCTCACGTATGCAGATGATTCTGCTCTGAATTGCAAAGCGGCAGAGAAGCTTGGGTGGAATACCGCGCATCTTGTAGAGGAAGGCGAACCACTGCCTGCGGAACAGCCCTGCGAATACCAGATACGCCACTTGACAGAACTTCGAAAGCTTTTCCCACAGTTCTTCAAGAGCACATCATAACCAAGCAAGATAAGGTATTGAATGAAGGAAGAAGTGTGCGTAGACTGAGCTGTCGTTGAATAGACGGTAGACACCCTAGATATCCTAGTATACATCCATAGATGGACCAACCCAATAACTCCCTGGGGTATTCCGAACGCCATGTTATGCCAAATTCCTCTCGTTCAAGCCGTAGATCAAGGACGTTTGATGCTGCGAATAATACCCTCTAGCTTCGTCAAGACCTCCTCCTTCTCCTTCAAAGCCTGTTGTCGCTCTTCTTCCGCAACCTTCAACTCCTCTTCCAACTCCTTCATCCTCTTCTCCTGATCATTTTCGCTATTTTCAAGTCCAGGCAGCATTGATATTAAGTACTCAATTTGTTGCTCTTTCACAATGAGATCCTGCGCAAGCTCTGTCTGTCCCGCCTTGAATTGATCTGCCGGTAAAGGGTCCACTGTTATTGCATCAGAATCACGTCGTTTGCTCCTCATACGTTTATCGTACCTTCTTGAGGAGCCCCGTCATCGTCTTTCTTCGTGTCTCGTATACTGTCTTTCGGGCTTAACGTCTTGAGCTCGTGGTGTTTGTTAACGAAATGGACGGATGCAAGAAATTGTGTCGCGAGCTGCAGAATAATCAGTCAGGTTCGCAGTCACATATATGGTTCTATTACCTGGTCAACTGCATCTTGCAGTTGTGTCAGTCGGTCTGCCATATTCAATGTGGTTAAATTTGGACGAGGCTGATATTCCGAGGAACTTGAACGGAGGGGTGGTTTTAGCGATGCGCGAGAAAGCAGGGTGCATGAAGCCTTGGCAAAGCTTCGACCATCAAAATATTGTTCCCCTTGCGATGATTTTCACGACATGACGGTTTCAACGTTTCCAAAGACCATGCAGAGAGTGTGTATATAGGATTCTCTATCATGGAGCAGAGATAATTTAGGTCGGCGGAATCACCACATCAATGCTCTGGACTCGTCAGTTCAGATGGCTACCCCATCTCAAGCAGCCTACGCATTCACTTCGACGATATGCGACAGACACCTCGCCCGAATCGCTCATATTTCCTGAACCTCAAAGTCCACATCACCGAGACCTTCCGAGTTTCTTACAATATGCAACTCGAGTTGAATTGAGTCCTACTAGCAATGTCTATGTTGGAACGCACTACGAGTACACCGTACAAAACACTCTACAACAGATGGGCATGTCCCTAACACGAATGGGAGGGAAATCAGACTACGGGATCGATTTGCTAGGCACATGGACACTTCCCACAGTCAATTATCCGCTGAAGGTCTTGCTACAATGCAAAGCAGTCTCCAACAAAGTCAAACCTGCCGTCGTTAGGGAGCTTGAGGGTGCGTTTGTCGGAGCACCCTCAGGGTGGAGAGAGGATGGTGTGTTGGCATTTTTAGTGTCTTCGGGACCTGCGACCAAGGGCGTGCGAGAAGCAATGGGAAGGAGTAGGTGGCCGATGGGTTATATATTTTGTGATCCTGAGGGAAAGATGTTGCAGATGCTTTGGAATCGAAAGGCTGCTGAGGAGGGATTGGAGGGTGTGGTAGTGGAAACGAGGTATCCTTTGGGTGAACGGGAGTCAAAAGAAGTGGTACTTACGTTCAAGGGGACGCCTCTGTCGCTACCACAAACATCCTTGGGAACTTCGAAGCCAGCGGCCAAAGCTCCTACACGTAGTGTCCCAACGACTCCTGTGGTATCTACGACGGAGGCTATCGCTTCAACCATCGAAACGGAAAAAATTGGCAACATAGTTTGAGGCGATGGCAGAGGTATCTGGAGTTCGAAACAAAATATCAAACCAATTCCTCCACAGCTCATTTATATTTATTCTGGCCCATACGAGAAGTTTATCGGGTGATTCAAGCCTTACATCCCGTACCAAGCAGCCCGAAAGGTGTTTCCTCCAATGTGGCACTTGCCGAATGCCATTGCACTCTTGTTGAGCACAATGTGGGCTCTGATGGCGGAAGTGATGTGTATGGAAGGAGATACTAACACAAGCTCTAGAAGGTCGATCGATCTCTAGAGGCAATTAGCAATGTTGCCCAGGGTATTAACTACGCCTTCACATTTCAGACTATAGGCTCTGTGATGTATTAGCTCAACTGCGAACTAAGAAGCCAGTTCATGGGCTCGGTTTGGCGAGAGAGGAGGAGTGCTCACCGCCTCGAGTATACCTGGATCAAATCGACTTGTCCATTCTTCTGTGACGGGACAAAGCAACATATAGGGGCTGCATTTGGGTTGGGTGAGCACCTGACCGAACGGCTACAAGAATCAACATCCAAAACTGCCAGTCGAGCCCTATACTGAGAGACTAATGATCTATCAAACACCAAAATTTCAAAGGATTCACATTGTCATCCGCAGCTGCCCTTGAACACCTCTCACCGCCGGGACGTCTGTATTATCGAAACCACTCCGCATTCCGTATAGCTCCATGCTCGTGTGCCTTCGATTGTATACTTCTCTACCAACAAAACTCGCTCAACACGTATCTTCCAGCCTCATTGTTCATTTTTGAATCTTGATTATCAATCTTGAACCCCACTAGGCCCCACCTTTGATCAATTCTATCTTGTGATTGATCTTGCAGGCATAATGGAGACTGCAGATATATCACTAGCTCCGTATATTCGGGCAGTGATATCTAAGCATGACAAATTCTTGTGTCATCGACTGATTTCTGTTTTACGTGCCGGATAAAGTAAAAGATCAATTTAGTAGATCTTCACATATGGTAGGTTTCTATAGACCTGAAAGGACGTCGTATCCACAGTCATTTACCTGATTTTCTTCACTTAAAGTATTTCCAGATTCTATTGACTTGCGAGGAAGAACTATGCGATTGAGTCATCTCTACATTGAACAACCCAGAGACTCAGGATGATTACACCCAGTACCTTATTGTAAATCACAATTTGTGTTTAGGTTATGATTGTGATATACTGAAGCGGATCTCATGCGTTTGCCAGACCTATAGATACCTTCAATCTGCCGCTGCATACGTGTATCTGCCGGGGGCTTTTCACGTCTTATCTGGGGATCTATAAGTAAAGATATAGCTTGATCATGAGTAGGGTAGACATCTTATAACTCAGATAACCCGCCCTCTTGAATAAATCTCAAACTTCACTCAATTTTAAACCCCATTCCCAATCCTCATCCCCAAAATGTCACTTAAACCAATCCACCTCTACACCCACGGTACCCCCTTCCCCTTCCCCTCCCTCCCCCTCTCACCCCAAACTGACCCTCCCAGCCGGCGGTCCCAACCCCTGGAAACTCGCCATCCTCCTCAGCACCCTACAAATCCCCTACACACAAACCTTCGTCCCCTTCTCCGACATCAAAAAACCCGAGTACCTGGCCATATGTCCCAACGGCCGGGTGCCAGCGATCGTCGACCCGAACACGAATGTTACCATGTGGGAAAGCGGCGCCATCATGGAGTACCTGGTTGAGACGTATGATAAGGAGGGGGAGTATTGGGTGAAGGAGGGAGGGGAGAGGTGGGTGGGGAAGAGTTGGTTGTTTTTTCGTGAGTTTTGTGAATCCCCTGTCGGAAAGAAGAAGGAAAAACTAGAAATATGGGAGAGTGTGATGGATGTTGGAAAATGAAAAAGATGAGAAGAAGTTAAGAATGGGGAATGAGTATTAGGCTAACAACGAGAAATAGAAATGTCAGGACAAGGTCCCTATTTCGGCCAAGCAATCTGGTTCACGCGGTACCACTCCGAAAAAATCGACTCAGCGAAACTGCGGTATATAAATGAGATATACCGTGTATTCTCCGTCCTTGACACAGCTTTAGAAGGAAAATCGTATTTGGTTGCTGAGAAATGGTATCTCCCCTGCCCTCTCTTTTCCCCTTCCGAACCTTGACCCCACCCCTCGATATCCTCAGGACTGATACAGACTAAAGTACGATCGCGGATCTATCGTTTATACCGTGGAACTACCATATTCTGCGTCTTGAAGGTGTGGATGTGGCGATGGTGGAGAAATCGTATCCGCGGTTTTGGGAGTGGCATCATAGGTTGTTGGAGAGGGAGGCGGTGAAGAAGGTTATGAGTGAGAGGGAGGGGATTATGGCTGAGGAGGCGAGAGGGAAATAGGTGGATTAGGGAGTGGAATGGATGAGGGGAGGAGGTCTGTGAATTGGTGTGAACGAAATGACGGAGAAGTTTGTTGGGGTTTACAGGTTTCTGATTATGCATGTTGAGCCCCTCCAAGAACGAGTAGGGTCTCCCATCTGTGAGAAGAGAAATTGAATAAAAGCTCAATTTCAGGCATGGAGAACCGAAGTATCATCGTCAGACTCAAGTCATATCATTCAATTCATCAGAATCCAATCATTCCAAACTCATTATTCATAAACTCCGCTATCAAACACACAACGAGTACTCCAACACCCAAGCGCCACCCCGGAGAAAGTCACCATCCAAAATGCAAAATTCATGCTATGCTATCCATCCTTCCCTTATCGAGTGATATCTATCTTGCTTCCATTTCCAATACAACTCTATTCACACTATCATCATTCATCGAACTTGCTTACTGCCTCATCATATCTAAGGTGATATCGGTGTAGCTGTAGCGTCTTCTACTGCCCTCGCAACAGCGCCAGATCGAGCATCGTGATCAACTTTCTTGGGGGAGATTGAAGCTTCAGCCCATTGCCTCGATTCAGGAGCTACAATTGCCGCTGGTAGCACGATCTTGGTGGGAGGCGATGCTACTTTTGTTGATCCATTGGCATGCACATTTTTATTAGTGCTTTCATCGTCCAATTCTTCATGAAACTTCGCAGGATGCGGAGGCTGGTGACTGCTAGTCGGTGATAGGATCTCCTTGACACCAGGGGCACCGCCATTAGCTTCAACAGCCTCTGCATCAAATAAGCTTTCTTGATAACTTTCCTGAGTCCGAGGGCGATTATCATCCTTAGTCGAAGGCCTTGATGAATCTATAGACTTTTCGTTCTTTGTAGAACTTGGTGGTGTAGGATAATTCTCTTTCTGGGTAATTTTCGGTAGTGTAGACCGCGAGCTACCCCAGCCGGCTTTCTTCTCGCCCATCCATGTACCCCAACTTCCCAAGTACGCACCAGCTTTACTTCCAACACTTTGTGCAGTTTTCTTCGCGCCATTGAGATCTGGTCCAGCAAATCCAGGGCTTGGGAGCGGCGTTCCATTTCTCTCGGCTTCTCGCCTGGCCGCTTCATGCTTTTGCTTTTGACTCTCCTTGTACGCCTCCATATCAGCGTAAATCTTATTGAAGACAGTGCTAGCTTTCTCTTTTCCGGCGGCAATATTTCTTCCTAAAACTTCCTTTCCAACATTGAATCTCTCATCTAAATGAAATTCCTTGACTTGTTCAGCAATCCGGCGTTGGACGTCGTCGATTGTGAGGCCACCAGCACAGGGGTGTTTGGGCGGCACAATGTCGAAAAGATGCGAATCAGTATTCCTTTCCCAAATCCGATAATTCTCACTTCTTGTCCAGGCTTCGATCCAATCATGACCGAAATCCATTGCTGGGTCTCCTTCGACTTCTGGAAGCATTGCTCTGGGATTATGAGCATTGTGAACGAGATAATTGTGGCACTTTACAGAGGATATCAAGGATAACAGATATTCTTCGAACTGAAGACGGATGAATTCCTCCGACCCGACATATCCCATGGTTTTCGGCCGCCCAGGATTAGCATCGTCCCACGTGTCGTTCACAGACTGTGTGAGGAAATCCATCCATCGTCGATCGGCTGCCGAAAGAGTGAGCGCCGCTCTGAGCGAGCTCGAGGTGATATTTATAGTGCTCTCATCAAGATTGATAAGAATATCGCTGTAACGGTCTTTTTGTTGTAGAAGTAGAGAATTCGTGGATCCAACAATGTACGATTTTGTGCCATAGTCTGCAAGTATGTCGAGCTGCTGCAAGGGTGTATATGGCCCGAATAGACTTCCCTGAACTTTGTTAGCACGAGAATTAGACCCTGCGATTTTCCATTGCTTACCTTTCCGAAAATTTGAAGTGGTAGCCCCATGTAGGACAATAATGAGCCCCTGTCGCTCGTCTTCAAACTGGTTGGCTTAACTAGATGTCTCTCGTAACTGTCCAATTCCGGATCTGCACAATCCTGGAGATTTCGTATTAAACCTGGTATTAAGGATATCAATGAAAATTGCATCATGCACAGTCTCTCGCATCTCGATCCGAAGAAGAGCATCTATATGAATGTTAGCACTTGTCGCTGCTCGCTTCAAACTAAGAGCTACCTTTGGCTGCAACAGACAGCACTTGAACAGCACTAATGTCTGCCATCTGAACTCCCTAACCAGCTCCCGCAAACTCATTCCTAGGTACTCCTCCCGGTCTTCCTCGGCCAACCCAACGCCCCTCTCTTTCTCATCCTGAAGACTCTCCTGGAACCGCTTGAGGATTTCGGTGTCGGTAAACTCCCGTTGAGCAAACCACGCTGTTGTAACCACGCTCAATCTCTCCCTAAGCATGCCGAAAAACTGGGGCGAGTCGGCAATCACAACCACGGCTTTTTGCACAGTCGAACGGGTAACATCGGCCGGCCGATTGATTAAAGAAGATGCATCGAGTTGCCTCGTACAAGATATACCGAAGAGAGAAGTTGCAGGAACATTGTCGCGGGCCGGACGTAGAAGAGTGAAGTATGAGAAATCCTCCGAGGCACTTTGAATTGAAGTCAGATGTGTTCTGCTTCAAGGCTCAGGGGGTGGGTATATTTACGCGTGCGCACCATCACTCAACGCCATGAATGGCAGCAAAGGCCAGTCATGGTCAACTGCTGGGTCTGATCCCTCTGGTGCACCGAACCAGTTCTCAACCTCTGGGCCTCTATAAATGCTCGCGTCAGCCTCTTCCCCAATCCAACATCTGGCATTCAGGGCCCAGCTCAGAGAGTCACTCACCTGGCATGGTGGAACCCAACAACCGTCACTAAAGGAGTAAAACCGTTTGATCCCGTCGCCGCCGCCTCCGTATTCGTATGTTTGCTATCCATTCTGCCCAAAGTATGTGTGTAATGAGGCGAGTTTGTCCCAATTCCAAGAACCAACAATGCTCTACCAATCCTTTTGTTCCTCGAGTAAGCCCTCAGTCGTATCCACACTTGCTCAACGCATTGTGCCCCCTACTGTATTCCCTGAGTATCGCGGCAGCTCGTCGGAATGCTCGTCGTTGTACGCGGAATTATCGTGAGGTTCGACAACGGGGAGCCTTTCCCAGGGTCGGGGAATATATGGAGGGGTTGCAGACTGGGAAAAGCACGTCCTCGAGGAGGCTGCGAGGAAAGTCCAAATACTCGGATTTCCTGGAATCTGGTTGGGAAACGTGTGCTGGATGCAGACAAGCAGATGAATATGTTTGTTGAACGGCAGAAGACGTATGAATGGGGTAGGGAATGGATTTCTGACCGCTCAGTTGCCTGCTCACCTCGATGTATCTGGTTCCGCTGCAGCAATAAATCTGCAAAGCCAGCGAATGCCACGCATGGATGTGAGCAATCAGCGCGTGGGAGGAGCAGGACAGGGGTTGCACGCCCGCCAGATCGGCAGTAGGGAAATTGGTACGCAGTCACGTGAGGTTAACACATCCAGAGCAGAGGACGAAGGATCATTCCAAGTCTCCTTCGGCACGTCAATATGGACAACGTGGGTGATAGGATGGTGAGCTGCAGATGCTGTTGAGCTGGCAATTATATTCTCCGAGTCTTCGAGGCGGTGTCTTTGGGAAAGGTATCTTCTTACGGCTAAGTAGCTCATCTAGGCAGGTCTGTTGGCTTTGCCACGGGAAGTATTCTGCAGCGGATCCATGGACCGGTGTGGGAGTACATGGCAAGGTATCTACGAACGATATCTATGGCTCGAGGGCCATATGAAGTATACCTGCATGGCATTAGGACCGGCTTATGGGGTGGAAGAATGGTACGGAGCGGCCCTGGATACAGCCGATCAATGCGACCTTGGTCTAATTTGGTCAATTGGGATTTGCCATGAAGTTATTGGCTCAAGTGGAATTCTTTTGTTTTCGTGTTGAGCCAATTGTTTGTAAGTCTCTTCTTAGACTTCATACAACTTGGTTTGGTCTAGCGAGCTGGACGCGTTGAATCTTCATCGTTGTTTCATTACAAGTAGATTCTCACAAGTTTGCCTTAAATGCAACTCTGATCTTGTTGGTTAATTTAGATCACATTATCGAGGCTCTAATGGTGTGGATAACTAGAGGTAAGCCTTCACTGCCCAGAAGTGATGTAGATTGTGTCTTCTTCTGGGTAGTAACTTGCGAGCTTCGAAAGACATAAGACCACAAGACGTACATTCTATCTCGTCGAGCAAAATCTTGAGAGAGCGTCTAATGAGGTGGCCTGTGTTAGTGTCAGATAAGCAATCTTCCGTTCCTAAGTTGTCCTGCTTACTGACTCGAGACCGGCTGAAGAACTGATATTCGAGTATGAGAGAAATTCACTACAATTCAAGCATAAGAATGGTGTAATTATCACTTCTGAGATATGATAGAATGCGACCAGATATGTGGTGACAAATATGACATTACTACCTACCACGAGGTCACGCCTTTCGTTTGTACTTCACCGACCATTCGGATGTACTTCACAGACCGACGACCAACCTGCAACTTCCATATAGGCAGTTCACCTCAGCCAAGCGAAACCATACATATGTTTCTCAACGACAGACATATGTTAACATAAATAAACTCGTATTATACGAGTCGAGTACTGCAAACCGTAAGGGCGACTCCTTTCCATCTGTAACATTCTTGCGCACACGAAACCATCAACTCCTCGTGGGGCTTACCAACCCCAAAATGACAGCCAACCAACCTGAGAAGTTTTATCTTCTCACTTACCCTCGAACTGCATCTAATCTACTCGTTCGAATACTCAACCTCAAAGAACAATCCAACATCCTAACCAACAGTCGCGGAGGATATTATTTCCTAGAAGTCGGAGAAAGACAACTCAACCCTCTCAGAACCCGCAGCGCGCATATCGATGCCTGGACAGAAACAGAGCGGAAAGAACTTCTGGATTGCTACCAAGCATGTTTTGAAACCCTGGATACTCACATCTCAGACTCCTTCCAAGTTGGAAAATCGGTGTTCATCAAAGAACACATTCCGTGGATCATCTCCCCCGCTGCCGATTCCAAACTCGCGTTTCCATCTCATCCCACCACCTCACCACCCATCTGCCTCACTCCCGGTACACAATCCAAATTCAACGAAACCCTCTTCTCAGATGAATGGCTCGGATCATGGAAACCCACCATCCTCATCCGCAACCCTATCCTCATGATACCCAGCCACTACCGCGCCGAAGTCGATCTCAGCAGTCCCGAAGAAATGGCCGCCAAAACCGCCGTGCAAATGGTCAAAATGAGCACAACCATGAGTCGAGCGCGCCAATTATACTCTTGGTTCCGCACTAAATCACCTCTCTGTCAATCACCTGACGCCAATGGCGTACAATGGCCCATCATTCTGGACGCAGACGATATCATCACGAATCGTGGACTTGTGCGTAACTACGCGAAATTAGTCAATCTAGACCCTGACAAGTTGCAGTGGGAATGGGATCCCATATCCCCGGAACAGGAAGAGCAACTTGGGGGTGCGGAGAAGAGGATGAGAGCTACGGTTAATAATTCTAACGGGATTATTGGGGGAAAGATTATGAAAGGCGTTGTGCTTGAGGAGGAGATTAAGAAGTGGAAGGCTGAGTGGGGAGAGAAGGAGGGTAAGAAGGTGGAGGGTTGGGTTCAAGCTGATATGGTGGACTATGAGTGGTTGAAGGCGAGGAGATTGCAATATGGTCTGTTTTGTGCTAACTAATGGCGTATGTGTTGAAGCGTGCGTGATTTCTTTTGCTGTCTACGGTAGGTATGGGATTACACGTACTTGCTTTCTGCTTCTCGCTATGCACTGGCTGTAAAACATCATAGCAATTTATTTACCTAGGCTCTTTTAGCCTCACCAAACCAATCGCACGCTGCTCAAGCTCAATACTGCAACATTTTCAACTCGTACCGATTACTCAACCATTTTCTTACACGCTGGGGTTCTCTAACCTAGCTCTTCACTTTCAACTCCGCCTCACTCGTTCCTTCCCACTGCCTCTTTCATCCGTCGGGACTTAACGCGCCTGTGTGACGTACACCATCTCTGCGACCTGGTATTCGGAAACGAGGAACTAATGCACGATCCATCGATATACAACAAAAACCCTTTGCTACCGAAAACGGACAAGCAGCGGGAAGAAGGCGGAAACGCGGAAACTAATGCACGATTATCGACGTGCAACAAAAAGGCCTGGTTCTAAAGATAGATACTTTAGCAGAAGTTAGTAAAGAGTACACCAGCGCCCGTGGAAAACTTTCTGTAGCAGCCACGCCAAAATATGTTCAACCCTCTACTTCGAACGGGAGATTTTGACCTGATAAAAGCAACCGTGGACTAAATATTGGAAAATATGTTTACATCCTTTTCTCTACCTACAAAATTGTGTATTTAGAAGTGGAGAAAATTTTTAAACAGTTCTACTAGGAGCTTAGGTTAGGTTTCGACGGTTTAGAAACTCATTTCTTTACAATGGATGTCTCTTCTAGTTTCTCGTCATTCCAGATTTGTATGTTCTACGGGAAGAAGTCTTTGAGTGTTTGTCCAGGGGTAGTTTTTGAGGATATAGGATTGTGTTCAAGTAATTGATTTAATTCTATTCTGGTAGTCTTCGTGGTCTCCATTTTTTCTGTTGAGAACAATCGAGACCATAGGCAGTGCCAAAGTTAGTGTCTAGTATTTACAACATTATTTGTAACATTATTTGTCCTCCTATTTCAGAACAATTTCGCGACGTCGAGTAACAAAATAACTACGTTACTCACAACAAAGACTTATAACCCACCCATCATACTATTTCTTCTTAGTTTCGCTAAAGCACGCCATGCTCCTTTTACAACCTCATATGGTGAAATAGAACATACCGAAGATGTGATCAAAGAAAACACTTTATGATTTTGGGTTCAGTTTCGTATTTCCCCATCCGGAATTACCTAGTAGTGTCAATCGTCAGGCTTTACTCATGTACAGCAGCGAGACAGCTTATGCCTCGTTTTAAGAAATCTCAATGAGACTGTGAGCGTTATTCATCTAAGAACTTCTAGTATTTAATAGTGGAAGAAATACGGACAACAACTTTACTTGGCACGAAACTAAATTGTTGACTCGCTCGAAGAGAATGGCCCATAAACGAGAAGAGCGCAACGCGTCTCCAATGTCATGGCCTCGAATTAAAGGTTGATATGTCTTCATCTTAACACCACGTAATGCACGCTTCATAAAGTCGTTATTTCCACCTTCCATCAACCTCTTCTCCTTCCATCCCTCCCCCATTAAGTCCTCTCCTGCGAAGGCTTCTCATCTACATCTTGCTATTTCGTCTGCCGAAAGACGTCTTGGTGTTCTGACTGTATATGTATTGCGCGACATCTAATGTTTTATCTTAGTTTTCAATTGGACATTGTAAATTGAGGTGTTCTTACCATTATATCGTACGCTCCAAAACCGAAGTTTGATCTCAACATGGCGGTCAATTTCCCTGGATGCACACTTCTCCCTGGGATTTCTATGGATATTTCCTCGTTCTTGTCCGCGAATTCTGCTGGCGCAGGAAGAATTGCAGGTGTAGTGTTTAGTCTTGTCGCAGGAGCAAGTGTAGACATTGTGTGCTCGGAAAAAATGCTCATGATAAGGTGTAGAATGTTTGTTATACTAGAAGATGCTCTAGATAAATTGTTCTGTCGGTGATTTTCAACAAATTTCCAATATCGGGGATTATTTCTGGTGGGTATTTATCAGAACATTCCTCTGCAGCCTTGAACAACATCCATTTTCGTACACCGAAATGTACCACACAAATGACACACCTTACGTTTTAATTATCCCCCGGAAAAGTGCAGGTGGCTTAGCCTGAGCTCAGGTTCTGGGGCTGAGCCAGTGTCATGCAGCAGAGGATCGTGTGTCCTCGTGTGTCAGCCTATCGAAATAAATCAGGGCCGCATCCATGTGACAGTGGCGGTTAATTATTTCAGCCCACCGACACCGACAGAGACTCGAACTGACCAACAGTGGAGGTTTCAATGGCTACACCATGAGGCTTTCAATAAGAGGCTCAATGCCTGGCACTCCAGATGTATTGCACCGCCCTCAATTGGACCTCTTATGAACAATAATGGCACGACCTTATAGTGAGGCCCCGATCAAGGGCTTTGCGTTTCTTCTTGCTGTTTCTTTTATGCCAACTCTTATGACTCCTTGCGCAAGACAAGAGACCAACGGAGAAGCTCCGAAAGGACCTTACAATGCCTCCATTTGTAGATGATACCCAGCGCTTTCCTTTGGTTCAGGCACAGTTACGGCCCAAGGATTCGAATTCTAACCGCAATTGCCCTGCAGGAGTTGATGAGTCTGCAATTCCAGGCCAGAATAATAGCGATAAACCTACCGAGTCACTATATCCGTTGAGTCTTGACATTCAGGTCCGCCGCCTCCTGGAACACAACAGTCCAGCTGATGCTGCCAGCGAGGGTGTGGCATACGATACTCCCGTTGTCACCAATGACTCCCCAAACTTAATTCTTGGTAGTAGCGACACTTTTGATGGGAATTCACACTTCAAGCAGCCTGGACATAATGTTTCCACACCCTCAAGGACAGAAGATTCATCCAATTTTGACTCGTCGAGGGGATACGAAAGCTCATCGAGCTTGAACCCATCATACCCGACTGTAGTTTGCTCTGATTGCGGCTTAGACATTGATGACGGAGACAAGGACTCAGCTGTGAGTTATTTCGTATTTTATGCTTTTACATGTTTCACATAAGGTATCGAGTCTAATAAGTGATCTAGTCCACTTCCGAGTTACCAGATTGCTGGAGCTCCGACATTGAGTCAAATTCTTCTGGAAAGAGAAGTAAATTACCTGTAGTCGTTCCCTGGAACACACCATCAGTGAGAAAATCCGAGATTCCTCACACGACCCTCAAACCTTCAAAGAGCGATGTCAGTGACTCGGGCGACGCATATTTCTATGCAACCCAGAATGCCACGGGCGTGAGAGCTTCTAAAGTGTGGCCTGTCTTGGATGATATTGATGAAAAGCGTGAGAAGCTGGCTCTGCAGGACACATTTTTTGAAGCGCTTGTCAGACCTCATGAGGAAAAAAAAGGCTTCTTTCCAAGGGCATATTTATCCAAGCTCGTCACCGAAGACTGCGTGTATGAAGAGCTGACCAGGTGTCTTGAGGACAACCACAACCCAAAACAGATCAGAGCATACGCCCGCACCATCTGTGAAGAGAGTCCTCAGCTACGAGACGAGGATGACATTCGTCCACCGAAGATAAAATCGTTCAAAAAGATCTTTGCAATCCTGGTCTTGATTGAAAAAACATCAAGCATTCTGAAATTTCTAGATCCAGAAGAGGGCATCAATGATCTAGGCCTTCCTTTAAGAAAACTTCCCAAGGGGGCGAATGGTTCGAGGTTCGAGCTCCGGCTAGCAAAAAATCCATCTAGGAAGTTGGAGTGTTTTAGGAACTGGACCATGTCCAGCGTGAAAGCATTTGAAGAGTGGCAATGGACAACTGTGTCTCCCTTCTTCTTCAAAGGATCATGCAAAGACGTCCGTCATTGGCCTTTACAACCATCTGCTATGCTACCATTCACAGTGGACGGTCAACGTGGTGACGGAAATGAATACCGAACTGAATTCGAAGGTGGTTACAGTCATGTCTTCAAGGTTGAAATTCATCCAGAACATCACAGTTTCAGCTTGCCTAGGGTATTTCCTCATGAGCCCAAACACACACTGTTCTAGTTGACTAACTTTAGTATATAGAATCAGTGGTTTGCGATAAAGCGTTTAAATTCGAACAGCAAAGAAGATTTTAAAAAAGAAGTGGAAATGCTCAAAATGTATAGCGATGACACTCGATATCCTCACCTGATATCATTACTCGCCACATACGAGCAGTTTGGTATATATTATCTTATATTTCCATGGGCGGATGGCGACCTCAATTATTTTTGGTCAACTCTGCGACCTGAACCCTCGTTGAATATGAAAACTGTCAAGTGGTTTGCAAAACAGTGCAAGGGAATTGCCCACGGTCTACTCAAAATCCATCACTACCGGACGAGCAATTCGAAATGTCAGACTGGGTCTCATCATCACCCTGAAACTCATGAATCTCGATTCGGACGTCATGGCGACCTGAAACCAGAAAATATTCTCTGGTTTTCTGATTCTGATGGGGGTACGCTGAAGATATCCGATTTTGGCCTTTCGGAATACAGCACACATCACAGCAAGTCTTATAAGCCAAAAAGCAAAGTTGCAACTTCAATGTCTTATAGACCTCCGGAGTGCGATCTCACGGGTGGCAAAATCGGTCAATCATACGACATCTGGACGCTTGGCTGTTTGTACTTAGAGTTTATCACATGGCTATTGGGAGGCTGGGAGTTGGTGAAGAAGTTTGAGAAAAAACGAATGTCATTCGATCCTATGTGGTGTGACATGAATACAGATACTTTCTTCGAGATAGTTAAGGTTCACGGCGAGCGTTCAATAGCATTGGCAGCTAGGGTAAAACCCGCTGTAATAAATGTAAGAAATTCTCTTTCTCAGAGTAACCGGCCATTCACTGATGCTTCGAATAGTTTATGGATGATCTTCACGCGCACGAAAACTGTACCGAATTTCTACACGAGTTCATCACTATGATAAAGTTCAACATGCTTACGGTCAAGCCTAAGAACCCTGAAGAGAAAGGGCGGTTCACAAGTGATGAGATACATGTCAAGTTGACATCTTGGCTGAAAGAAATTGAGAAACCAAACGCCGGGTTGGATTACGCTTGCAAACCAGCACCTCGCCACAACTTTTCTCAAAACTGCGATGACGTGGTTGAAATTGACGTTACAGACACGGCACCAGAAGTGCTTAGTAACAAGAGATTTCCCACCTACGATGGGCCAGTCCAAGAGAGATCATATCCAAGTCACCTTTCTGTGCCAGAGAGTCCAAGGAGGCGAGGGAGAAATAGAAGCTTTCACGACTGCTAAAACATACCTAGTGACTTGTAAGACTTTTTCATCTCGGATCATTGCAGTTTACAAGTTGGCCATTCATGTTAAGAGGAGTTAGGCGGAACAGGCTGTTCATAATGTTGGAACCATGTTGGAATGTCTTTGGAAACTGTTAGAATAATACCCTCCATCAAATGAGATACATTTAACCATTTTAACTTCAACCACAAATGGGTTAAAAAAAAAGTTTGAGAATGGAACGACTGAATTTCAATGCCTCTAGCGAACCTTGACCATTTTTGAGGACCCTTGATCACTCAGCTCGATGAACTTTCCCAGCATGAACCCAACGCCTACTCTTTCATAAAACCCAGCCTTCGGCGCAACCAACAGAACATAATGTCTAGCATCCGCCGACTTCACATTTTCCCTCCTTCTCCCCATGACAATACATTTCATCGACGCACCCTCTGTCCTCGGAATATCATAGATAATCATAAACTCATTAGCCTTAGCTCCCTGGAGGTCAAACCCTCTGGCAACAGAATTTAGTTCAATGCTCCCCACTTGATCTGTCGTGTGAGCTTCAGTCGGATCCGGAATCCAAGGAGAGTGAATGACATCCTTAGTCCAATCCACGCCTCCAAATGGTACATCTAGAAAGTCTATACCGCCTTGATACGCCATCCACGACCACGATGGAATAATGGTGTTCCTCTCAGGTGGAAATATGATTTTCGTCAACGTCTGCTCGTCCTTGCCGCGCTGCCACAGCAAGCTCCGCCGAAGCAAACTTTGTCCATCATCGAAGACGCCGAAGCCACCGTGTGTTTGCAGATCTGATATTAGCCGTTTCTCTAGACCTGCGATGGCGATCGGACGGTCCTCCCACCTTGTAAAACCTAAGCGAGAGTACTGCTTGTAGAGATCTTCGTAGAAGACGATTTTCTCTCCTCTGGACGTGAATTTGCTAGCAATCTTTTCGGGAAAGTTTGGGTCGCCGAGAAAGGAAGCTAGTTTACTTTGAAAATCGTTAGTTGCAGGAACATAATAAGTTGAGAGAGAGTTGTACTTCTCCATTTTTGTGAGTGTCTCGCATCTTACTCCTTCTCCGCATTCCCAGTACGTCTGCTTGTCAGTAAAGTAAATAGTGCGACGAGCCAAAACTCTCTCTTGCATCACCCAACCTCGTTTGTTTAGTGGTCCCTCGAGGACATGTTGATTAAAATCATCCAAATGCTGACAAACAAAGATTGGAGGCTGATCTTGCTTCTGAAATGTCACAAACTCTCTGCGGCTACCTTCTCGCTCGTTCAAAAACCCATCAGATTGTCCATGCGCACTACTCGCAGCCAAAACACAGTAAGCCGAACTAAATACCTTTTCCATATGTTTAGACTCCTGCTCGAAATCTCCATTATCGGTTTCGTCTCTCTGAATAATACAGATCGAGTCTATCCACAGATACTGGACACCTAATTCTCTGGTGACTTGCACGGCATCTCTCAAGGTCGCTGTGAGGTCTGTTATTTTGAAACCTGCTTTGAAAGATGTCACATTTTTGCGAAAAGTTTGGAAGAATGGCGGTTTGGTGCCCCAGGGGTGAGATAGAGCGATGTATTTGAGAGAATCGGTTGACTGGGTTTCGTAAAGTCGAACGGTGTCGCAATCGCTTTGGCCTACATCGATCAGTCTTGTAGGTACGAATTCAACCTTGGATGGTTGGCATTTCAGTTTTTGATGGCCTTGGTCGCAGCTTTTAAGCCAGTGGCGGAGAATCTGAAAATGGGACTCGCTCCGAGCGCCAGACAATTGTGGAAATCCAATTTGGATCGGCACCGTAGTACTCAACTCTTTTGTTACTTGTTGTCAGTGGCCGGTCTATTTGAGTGTCTAGCTGAAAGCTTACCTGGACTCCGACAGATAGATAGAGCAGGCGCATTGCTGTCATTCATTCTCAACGTTGAGTCAACCTTTTCGAACGAGACGGATTTATAGTCTTCCCGATTAATATGTTTCGCGACATTCCACCTCAACTTACAAAAGTCACAGGTAGCAACATTGTCTTCGAATTCTGACCATGTGTCCTGGATATGAAGCGTTGGTGCACATAAATCAATACTCGCGCACTTACCGCAGAGACGCGAGGGGGAATAAGCATTAGGTGGTACGACTGAAAGATCCATTTTTTGAAGCAAGTTACGTGCGAAGCCGTTGTCGACTGGATAAGTCCAGTCATTGGACAACTATGAGCAAAGTTAGGAGAATCTGTTCGAAAGGACAATAAGAGATCCTAAGTTTCAAGAAGTCATACCTCCTGTGAGATGTTAGTAATCTTGAGCTGCAGTTCAGGGATTACTAAAACCCTTGAGATATGATATACTGACATGAACGCGCTAGAAGTGTGTTAGCTAACCATCAGCTTCGTTTTGATTTGTAAAAAAGGGGTAAACTTACAGACTATATCGATGTTGATTGTGATTAGTATTCTATTGCAAAGTTAACTTCAAGCAGCACAGCTTACATACTGCAAGAAATGTGTTAGCTGTAAACTTTTCTCGTTCCTTACAGAGGTTGCTCCTACATCTTGCATCTGATTGCAATGTTAGCATTTTTTACGCCATTTTGTAGATACGAGCTTTGAGAAAGAACGAAGCAAATGAGTTATTATTCTTGTAGTATCCACGCCAAATATGAGGAAATTTTTTTACCGAACTTAAACATACATTTTGATTGGGGTTCGATACAGGTGTCGGACCCTTTTGACCACGTTGTGGTCTCCAGCTTGGGGATAAACCCGAAGGAAGACTTTCTTCAGTAACAATTTTCGGTATAACTCTGGCCTGAGGAAGTCTTGTCCGACTACTACCTGTAAACCAATAGCTCTCGTTCTCTGCATTTGCACCTTTCAGAATGTCATCCAGCGCGTCGACAAATCCCTTGGCACTGGTGCGATGCTTTATTCTTGTCGGATGAACTGTCCTCGCTTCTGAATAATTGTGATTATCATTGGTACCTTCGACAGAAACATTGTTTAGATCCATGAATGATGGGGTTCGCTCCGGGAGTTTAATAACGAGGAGGTCATTTTTGATAATTTCGAGTAGATCTCCCAAGGCCGTGTCCTTTGCGCACTCTGGGTCTGCGGAGAGACGGTCCAAACAAGCTTGGACAGCAGGATGTATGCTGGCCACTAGCCCAGGAGGGGTGTTTTGATACTCGATCTTCTCCACCTCGAAAAAGGCGCAGGGCTCATCCAGCTTTCCTTTGATGCTTGTAGTAAACTTTTTGAGTTCTTCATATCCATAAAGAACCCAGACCATAAATTCCAGAGTCACACACCCCATCGACCAAATATCATACAGCCGAGAACTTGATGACAGCTGGTTGGTAACAGATTCAGGAGGCTGATAGGCCTGAGTCGCGTAGGCCTTACCTCCAGTCCGTTCTCGAAGACGGGTGGCTACTGAATGATGTTTTGCTGAACCAAGGTCGGAAATCTTGAACGTTCCCATCCGTGACTTTTTCGGGTCGGGAAAGTTGAGAATATTTTCAGGCTTGATGTCGCCATGGCGATAATGATACTGGTCTCTGTACCCATGCAATTTCTCGAGAGCCTCTGCCATGCCACGAATCTGCTCGATGATGTCTTTGACCAAATCTGCTGTCAGATTCGGCTTCGGGTTGTGTTCCCAGTAGTCTCGCAGATTTCCTCCATCGGCCCACAGGAACATCAGAAATCGCTGATTACCTCTAATTATTGCAGCAATTCGCTGAATGAGATGAGGATGTTTGAGGTCGCTGATCTCATTCAGCGTATTAACTTCAGAATTCCATACTTCATCTGCGTCTTTCCAAAGTTCTTCGTTATTCACAGGAATGACAAACTCCTTGATAGCGAGATTGGCTAGTGTACCGTCAGGCTGATAAGGAGGTTAGAACCAGAGCGCTTTAAGCACTATGTACATCAGAGTTCGAGACAGGTCTTACATTATGTATTGCATTTGTCTGGTGAGCTGGATGAATTTTAATCATGAACACCTGACCAAACGCCCCTTCTTTCGCCCAACTACTTTTTGCAGTAAAGGGCAGGATGTGGCTAGGTAAGAGATCAACTTTGAAGTTTTCTTGTGAGAAGACAGGAGCTATGAATTTCCATTGTTCTTGGAGGAAGCTGTATTTTCTCGTTTTCGACCAACAAGAAGAGTCACCGAGCACTGACTCCGTTAAAGGTAAAGAAGCGTCGCAGACCTTAAGAGTCCTGAATCGATTCATGGCCAACGCCAAGTCGTGCCCATGCAAACCACTAACAACAGAAATCGCGAACAGTTTCTTTGCTTGTTGATAGACGAAGTCAACAATTTTCTTTTTCATGCGGTTTCCCGGCAGGTCTAAGTTCAAATCTTCAGGTTCTAATATATCCTTCTCATCCAGCTCTTGGACAATGGCCTCTAATGTTACCAGTGTTCCGATGTATCCAGCCGGTAAAAACTGTTTCTCTTCCGGATCATACCTGCTCGTGGCATAACTCTCTATAATTTGGTCCGATAACTTGGGTGTAACTTCACTCGGGATGCTGGGGACTGGCTGCTCCGAGTCCGAATCGGCCATCTCTGCCCAATTGACTTTTGAAACCATCGTCGAAACTGTTGTCGTTTCCGTCGGTAGGTTGCGTGTTATTTTAAAGCGCAATTTGATGTACCTTTTGTACTGAATGAGCGGGTGTAAGGCGCGAGGTAACCTGGTCTAGACGGCGAGGGACCAAGCCTAAGTCCTAATCGCAGAGAAAGAGCCTCAAGCTGATTGAAGAAATGGCGCCATCTCTTATGCACGCTGCAGGATCATTCGCGCGGGGTGAGCGGACGCTTTTTCCAAGGAAAAAGTAAAGTGATGGCTACAGGCTCTCATGCAAGACCGACAGGGTTGCACATGCAACACTAACTCTTATCTGTCATGGAGTAAGCGATGGAACTGATTTACTGGCAGAGATCTACCAATTGCCTTGGAAGTAGGATATTCTGTGGGGCCTGATTCGATTTTGCTTCTGCTGGTACTCGGGTAGCCGCTTGTTCCTTACCACCAGTCGCACAAAGGGCCTGGTCAACAATACCATTGCAGCGAACAATTGGTTTTCAAAGGTAGTGGCAGTCAGCCTTGATCACGGTCATTTCCAATTCCGGAATAATTAAATTCTAGTATTGCGGGGATTTTGGTTCGTTGTTGAACGAGAGTTTTGTTGGCCCTCTCTTAATTGGAGTCTAATGCCGTCTAGAGTAACCCGTGTAGGCAACTAATTTCGATGATACGATTCCATCTTCTGAGGATATCTTTTGCTTTTCTAAAATGAATTAGCTGTCGCATTTCTCGTGATTTAGAAGAAATAATATATTACCTGAAGCATTCAACGAGTCGTTATCTGAAGGATGATTCCCGCTGTCCCGTGGATAGCTTTATCTTTGGACGTCTTGTGAGATTTCGTGCGCAATTCAAAAGTAGCGGTTACAGAAGCTCAATCCGTTTAAGGACAACCTCTATCCAGCAGACATCGAAGAGCAGTTACGAAGCAGGCCGTCCTCGTACAAGGCTGGCAGTAGCCCAATCACTCTCCACTTTGAGATGAGGCTCCCACATTCGCCATAGGGTTCCGCCCAGAAAACGACAGCGGAATATTGCGCTCTGTACCACAACGGCACGGGACTCTGCTGACCAAGATCAAATGGCCCATTGGCCAAGTTTCCAACCGGCAGAGTTTCTGGCAATACTTCCTTCCTTGTAATCATTTGCTGGTGTCCAAATCGAGGCACGGTGGCTGGCGCCACAAGGAATCTGCCGTGAAGCGGAATTAGCCTTGCAACCTAATTATAGGCTTCAGCACAAGGCTGCGATTCAATTGCAGCTGCTTCATGTTACAGTACAGATTCGGACAGGTGAGTTTTGATGAGAGATCTGCGAAAGATGCAGCCTTCGCAGGTGCTGGGCATTGGAGTGCGAGAATGGTGGAATGTTTAAGCTTGGAGCTTTTGCTTTTGACGGATAGATATGAATTTGGCAAACATATCGCAATATTGTCGAAATGTATGTTGTTTCCATCGATGGCCTGAGTCTGGCTAATGATACTTGTAGATACGTTGAAATATGGCGGGATATGGTGACAGAAATTCAGCATCTGGAGCCTCTGATCAATTTTCCGGACCCAGCACAAGTGAGGAGTCGATGACCCTATCTCACGTAAGAAAAGGAATTGCTGAGAATAAGTTGAAATTGTCTCATGCAAGAGAACAGATTACCGATATGAATTTGAAGATGGAAAAAAGAACGGAGGAAGTGCAGCAAATGAAGGTTGCGAAGGACTCAAATGCTTCGGACTACCAAACCATGGTACAGGCTTCATTGAAACTCAACGACGATATCAAAAACACAATCTCAAGACTCGAAACTGAACGAGAAAACAGTAAAGATGTCGTTGACAAGGCTTTGAAGGATATGATGAAGGCGCAACAAGATGCGGAAAGCGAAAGGCAACATGTGACGGTGCTCGAAAACGAGCTTGGCAAGATACGACGTAAAGAGAAAGATCTGAACTCAGAGTTGCAACAAGTCAGACATGATTGGCATACCAAGGAGGCCGTATACGTGGAGGTAAACCAAAAACTGAAGACAGAGCTCCAGGACCTACGTAAGGATCAAGCTCACGCGGCGCATCAAATGCTTGTGCAGGACATTGCAACAATGGCACCAGCCGCAAGAGACCAGATGACAAAGAGACTGTGGTGGATGGTGCAACAATTAAGTACGGAAGTACTAACAAAAGTGATGCCATATGCTGTGACCACAGTTGCGAGGGAATCTGTAGCACAAGTCCTGGCTAGCGAGCGCGCGGCGGACAACCAGAGACTAGTTGAAGCACAATCAAAGCTGAAGAAATCTATCGAAGACCTTCTGAGCCGAGAGTTGAATGCTAAAGATGCGACAATTGCAGAAATACAAAACTCCTTAAATCTCGCACAGGAAAGAGAGACCAGCCTGCAGCAACAGCTGGATACGATGACGGATGAGCGCAATCGGTTGGAACCTCAGTCACAGCAGCTCCAAGCAGCGCACGCGATGGTATTGGATCAACTGAAAGCCCGGTTGCAACGGGTTCAAGAGGCGCACGTGGCGGAACTCATTCGATTGAAAGCACAGTTTGAGAAGCTCCGAGTAGTACACGAGGCAAAACTAGCTCAACTAATAGACCAAACTAATGCGAACATTCAAGCGCAGAATCATGCTGAACTTCAGCAATTGACTCAACGACACACGGCAGAGCTGAAGGAACATCAACCAACTTGTGAATTTTTCAGGAAGAATAGCGAGCGCTTGTCGAAAGAAGCTTCGAATAATTTGGCACTTATAAGACGACTGGAGATTGATTTGGTTGCAAAAGATCAAGTAATTGTACAGCTGGGTGGAAGTCGGAGAGGACAAGATTAGCAGTAGGAAATAATGCGAATTTGGGACGACTTTACCAATGTGTGCCACTCGATGTTCCAATTGGCATGCTGAATTGGGTCCGAGTAAATTAAGAGATGAAGTGCATAGTCTGGGTGTATTCTGCATTAATCTAGATGGAAGCACTAACTTTCTAATTATTTCTAATCAATTTATACAATTTAGGAGCCATGACTAGATAGCACCATCCGGATGGTATGCCGAGGAAAACGAAAATGATTAATCTAAGTGCTTCGATTGATAACTAGAAACTTTGTTAGACAGATTCCGTAAGTACATCAAATAGACTTACAGATTCGGCACGCGAAGTGAAATACGCTAACGCTATACCATCTGGGATCGCGCAAAGAAGGTACAAAGGCATTAGGGGCGCATAGAAAATACTCAATGCACCGACAGATGCTGTCGCAAGAGTGAAGTACAGAACCTGAATCTGCATATCTATGCCGTAACCGAAGAAGATAATAAAGGTAATTCGCCAAAGAGTCAAGGCAATAAGGATTACATAGATTATCTGCGTAACTCGTTAGCTTATTTAGAGCAGTCGAATGGACCACAATAACCATACACAAAGGATTGCTTGCCAAAGGATACCACAGAATGTGGCCTCTGACCTTGCTGAAAAGTGCTGATTATTTGTCCGGTATCCATATTGCGCGGGGGGAGCAGTGGGCGTGGCATTCAAAGGCACATATCGTGCCGGTGCAGCCCTTTGCGGAAGTCGAGCTGCTTGTCTGCTATTCTCGAGCAAACGCCCCGTTTCAGGGAGTTTTACAGAACTTGCTGCTTTGTTCCTCGCTTTTTCATCGTTTAGTAGTTGAGTGAGAGGATCATGTTCGCAATTCGGATCCAGCTGTGTCGAACAACTCATATACCAATGCTGGATGTCAAATGTCCGAGGATCCCTAGTATCCTTAGTCACTAGATGTGCTTTCTTTGAGGCTTCCAGAGCGGAATATTCGTTGTTTCCACGACCAGCAAATGAGCAGTTCCAAGCAACCCAATGATCCGAGAATAGTCGTAGCGGAGAACCGACTGGAGCGTGTCTCTCGACATACGCCCACGGCCCTTCAATCGCCAAAGCGCATGTTTGAATAAACTTCGAGAGCGCGAATCTTTGAAATTCGGCTGCCTGTAGTTTCAGTCCCAACACCCATGCGCAAGCAGCTTTCGAAGTCCATGGCTCCGAAGCGATAGTTTGGGTTGGATCGTACGTCGCTGGCTTTTCTTGGTCAATAATCCATTTTGCAAACATGGCAAAGATACTTGGATCATCCTCAGGTAAATATAAATCAGATCCAATGGTGGATAGTCGTGCAAAGTATTTCGAAGCGATGCACAGCGCATCCTTTGGAACAAGGAAGTCCTTTTGGGTCTGGTCAGAACCCACCGTAATCCGTACAGGTTGTGACGGATTTAAAACTCTGAAGACTCAACAGTCAGCTCTTTCCGTCAGAGACGGGTTACTTTCCACAGATACCTAAATCTTTTACATGTTTATTAGGAAGGGGAAAACGTACTGTGGCGGCGAATACCGTGGTGATACTGCTTTCAGAGGAAGCTCTACCCAAGAAAGACCATCATCCTTCCCACGACTCTCAATATCCAACTTGGAGTTTCGAGAAGCCCATAGCCCTCGGTTATGGGCCAATATTGGCATTGGAAACAGCTCTTGCAGTTCTCATTTGCTCACTGAGCTCGTGAATCCGACGAGATCGTTGAAATTGAGACCAAGCTTCTAGATTCTCGAGCTCGTAGCCCCTCAGATATGAAAGAAAGGAAGATTTCCATAATTCAGCCTCGTCCATTGAGGACGGCACGGTTTCCTTTACCATCGCTATGGCGGCCACTCATCGATGCTTAGCGGCTCGCTGTAAGAGCGTGGAGCCAACAAGCCAATATTTGCGATGGGTCAATTCCGGGCGCTTGGACCACCTAATTTAACTAGCCGCAAACTCAACTTCGACCACAAAGAAGGATCCTTCATTCTAATTATAAGTCAAGGAAAGCCTCATTTTCGCATTTCTCATGTCTTGTCGCCGGTGTTCAGTCCGCATTCTGCACACCTATGCTTTGAAGTCCAATATTCTACGAGTTGGGTGGCCCCATATTCCTATTGCAGGACCAAAACCATTTTCGCCACGCCACAATGCGCTGTTTCCCTTGTCATGGCAGCCCGTTCAGCGGGTTCCATATGATGGCCGGGATAAATAAGGCTCTCAACCTCTTGTGTTACTGTAATCTTTCTTCCATTGGGGGCATTTGATATGCTTTTCTGGAACTTATGCAAGAGTGCTGGCAATGTCACACTTATTATTTCAAAGTCCCCCATGGCAAGGCACACCGCATTCAGAAGATTTCGGCAGAGGGCTTTATTGGACTTTCACCAGAGCTAATCTAGTGGAGGGCAGCGCTATCTGTGGCTTTTCTGTTTCATTAGGCCTCGATGCGGTAGGTAGGCTAGATTCAAGTTGAGTTGCTTTTTGAGCCTCACCCCGATGCTCAAGGAGAGATTTCATTCCAGGTCTCCCTATAAGCCTTGCGTGTAGCCCGGGCGAGAAAACTGAATGTCCACATATCAATGTCTACATATCATTAGCCACCGCTATCGACATATAGCGAGGCACTTTGTACGGTGATCACCACCCACGGCTGAACAACCCTTTGTCACACGGTGTCCAGCTCCCGAATCTTCGAAGACTTTCGAGACCAGAGACGACAATCGACCCTTTAACTTCCTCGTTTGAGTTTCGAGAATATTGCGAGGTGCCAGACATCAAGACTTGCGGTTGGTTGTCTGATATTTCGCTCCAAATGTCTAGTCCCATGACCCAGCGGACGGCACTTGGCCAAAATGCGACAATCGGTGCATTGTATGATGCTCGGAGAGATGAGTTTCTTCCTAGAACGTTATTCAACAGCTCATTACCAGACGATGCTGTACTTATGGGAGGTGCCACTAAGACCACTGTTCACCTCAGTAATATGGATACCTACAAGGAGAAGTTTGACGACTTAGGGATCACTTCTGAGTTAGCTGCTAGCATTTTGTCCGGAATCGTCGTTGTCGGAGGCTCTGGTCATTATTTGACCGAACAGCGCATGAGCAACAACACCCTGCAAGCTGCCATCAACTTCAAGGTCTCAACTGTTCACGAGAAGCTTAACCTAATGAGTCCAAGCCTAAGGACAAACTTAGCCATTACATCTGTCTCAAACAATGAAGCTACTCACGTGGTCACGGAGATCGAGTATGGCGCTCAAAGCTTTATAACTGCCCAGTGTCAATCACCCGACGGCCGAAATGATGGGCAGCTACAAGCACAATTCCGAGCTGATGTTGATGCCTTTAAACAGCAACTTGAAGCTTCATTCATACACGCGAATGGAACCCCTCGTTCATACCCAGGATCACGGCTTCCGCTCACTATCAGCGCGTACGCAGACATGTTATCAGACAACGGTATCGCTATCCAGGACTTTGAAGAAGCATCCAGGTTCCTCGGTCTAATACCTGACCATATCAAGCAACAAAACAATGGGAAGGGCCACCCCATAATCTACACTCTGGTTCCAATTGCAATGTTGCCCTTGTTTCTTCCAATCACCGTTAATTCAGGATCTAATTATCCGCCACCCAGTGTTGACTGTCTTCAGCAATTTGTTACTCTCTTTGATCAACTGGCGGAGTCTCAGCGCAGGATGAACGACTACGAATCATACGTCGCTCGAAACAAGCTCTACCTTCCAGAAGCTCATGTACGGCTGGTTTCTGACCGCATTGCTAGTTTTCTTGCTGCGCAAACCAAGCTAAGGTCGGATTACGCTAGGGTCCTCCAGAACGTTAGAAGCGGACTCGATGAACCCGCACGCTTGTGGGACTTACTCAAGTCATCCGATATGGAAGACTGTAAGCCTCAAAGTGTGAAAGACCTGGTCGAAACGCATCGACAAAAGGTGGATTTTATTACTGAAATGGTTCTGGCAGGTGCTACATACATTGGCTACAATCACCTCGATGAGAAAATCGAAATTTCCCGCTATCACAAGGATGATGTTTATATTTTTTCGTTCAACGAGACATCGATGAAAGATCCAAAAATATTGGATGGCAACAAGCAGCTTTTGCTCGAAATACTTCAAGATCACAGTCACAGATCATATGTTGCTATCGTTGACTACGATGCTAAGGGCAAGAGTCTAGAAGCGTGCCGCACATCTCAGTATCGAGACGGTAAAGAGGTCACGGGAGATATGTTGGAGCATAGACTCTTTATGGCCGAAAAGTCCTTCGCCCGGTATTCTCAAAAATCGCTCGATACCAAAGTTGTCCAGAAGCCGCTTCAGCGTCGTTTTGTCAAGATCGCGTGTCCTGGCAATAACTGCAATGCCAATGAAGTTCTTGACTGGATCTGCTTTCAGTGCCATGCTCCAGTCGAATTTGGGTTTTCTGATGCCTATATGTATTGCGATTGTGGTAGGAGTCTTTTCACTAGCTATGACTTTCGTTGCAGTGGTGCAAAGCACGGCGAACAGTATGTTAGGTATGAGAAGGATGTACTTCAAGTTATGCTCAAATCTCTCACTTCGGACGACAATCTCAACATACTGATATTGGGAGAGACCGGAGTAGGGAAATCGACATTTATCAACGCATTCGTCAATTATTTGTCTTACGAGACGCTGCCAGACGCCATGAAGGCTGATGGTCTGAATTGGGTCATTCCTTGTTCTTTCTCGACCCAGAAAATGGATAGGAATGACCCTAATAGTAAAATTGAACAAATAAAAGTGAAGGTTGGATCTAGAGATGACGAGCAAGATGGCGCCAAGGGTGCTTCGGCCACTCAGCAGACTACCGTTTATCCAGTGACTATCGGCACGCGAACAATTCGTCTAATTGATACACCAGGTATTGGCGACACACGGGGTCTGGAATACGATCAAAAGAATATGGCTGATATTCTCAACACTTTGAGCAGCTACGAGGAGCTTCATGGTATATTGATACTGCTTAAGTCCAACAACGCTCGTTTGACCACCATGTTTAGCTTCTGTGTTACTGAGCTACTGACTCACCTACATCGCGATTCAGCAAGAAACATGGCTTTTGGCTTCACCAACACTCGAATCTCCAATTATACTCCTGGTGATACGTTTGGATCGCTCGAAACTTTACTGGGGAGACATCCTAACGTTGGCTTGGAGCTTACTATGAGCACCACTTACTGTTTCGACTCTGAGAGCTTTCGGTACTTGGCTGCTTACAAAAATGGTGTGTTCATGGAAAATGAAGAGGATTTCAAGCGCTCTTGGGAACATTCTCGAGCAGAAGCAACGCGCTTACTCGAGCATTTTGAATCTCACCCTCCTCACCTAGTCAAGAGCACAATCAGCTTGAATAGCACAAGAGAGCTGATCTCTCAGATGACCGTGCCGATGGCAGAAATCTCTCAGCTAATTAACACGAACATATCTCTGGTTCAAGATCACAAGAAAGCCCTTGGAGATGAACGTCTCAAAGGGGATGCTCTTCGGAAGCGCCTCCAAATCCAGAAAGTCCAATTCGTCACGCATATACTTGATCAACCGAGAACCGTCTGCACTGAGGCCGCTTGCACCGAATGTAGAGACGACGGTAATCAGGAATCAAAGAACCTCACAATCTACAAAACCCACTGTCACGCACCTTGTTATCTCGAAAACGTCAAGTGCGATACAAAGGCAGATCCAGGGCTAGTTGATTGTGCGGCTTTCTCTAATGGTTACTGCAATGGTTGCGGCCATAATTGGCAACAACACATGCACGTGTTGTACGAGCTTCACGAGCAAACTGGCATTGTCAAGGATCTTGAGATTGAGAAACAATTGAATGATCATGCCGACGATTTGACTATCAGACAAGCTGCGACATACAAGGCAGAAAAGTTGATCAACGAGTATGAAGGCGAGCATGCACAGATTCAAAAAGCAGCAGCTCAGTTTGGGCTCTTCCTCAAAAAGTACTCTATCACGCCATATAATGATGCGACCCTCGACTACCTAGATGTTCTCATCAAGGAAGAAAATGGCAAAGTTCAAGCTGGAGGCAACACACGGAAGCTCGACACCTTAAAGAAAGATCGTGCCAAGCATGTCGAAATCATCAAAGTATTGACCGAGAGCATGAAATCGGACCCCAATTGCCGTTTGTTGGATGAGCACGGAGTCAATCAACTCGTGACAGATCTCTACAGTCTGCCACATTTTGGTCGGAATCTCAAGAGTGTTAAGCGCAGTATCACTGCCGCTCATGAAGCAACGTATCGCGAACGGCCTTATCGCGTCAAGGGTTCTCGCGGACATATGCGAACTTCAAATCACCGACACCAAGGTCATCATGCCCGTCCGCTCGCCTTACCTTCTAGGCCCAATATTTCGGCTCATGCTCAGGGCGCGAAATCGTCAATGCAGGATATGTTCAGTGGAATGAATCGTATTATTACTCGACCGACGAAAAATTTCAATGCCCCTCTTCGCTCGGGGAGTGTTTCTACGGCTGGCTCATATGTGCAAAGAATGTTTAATAAGAACGCGTAAATAAATGTCCTTATCTCGATATCTCATGGTACGAAGAGTTATTGGGTTTTCACTCTCCTTGTTAAATGTACGATCTTCTGTTCGTGGTGGGCAGATTAATACCTCGCTTCGCCCTAATTTACGAGCCAGCAAGAAGGGATTTTGATTTACGAATGTGGGATGGAAAAATGTCCGGCTATTTCCTTGTTCCTTTACAGTTCAACAATAATCGTATAATATGTTTCAACATGTAGCTCAGATGTAAATGATCACTGCTATTTCTCTCCGCGCTAGACCACACTGCAAACAGCTGGTGTCATAAATCTCAACAGATTTACTTCCCTGTCCGTCCATCATATTAGTTCTTCCCCGACAGAGCCATCCTTGCTTTTCTTTTCCTATCCTGCTCCAATTTCTGGTCAAATTTGATGATAGTTTTCTTGACCACGTACACCGCCACCACAGGAGGAACCAGAATAATAGCAACAAGATGTGCCGGAATCTGCACATATAGCTTCGCTTGATCAAAAGATCCCACTCCCACGATCCCGCGGACAGACCTCCAATTATTATCACCAAGTACCTCTCTTCTCTCAATGGGAAATGGTAAGCTCTTCTCGCCAACTTTCGCACCAACAAGCCCATCTCCTTCCTTCCAATCTTCAACTGCAGGCAACTCCAAAATACAGTTGTTATCCCGCACTTTAATCCCACTTAGCGGCTTCAACAACCGCCATTCATTGAGGTCATTCCCCATATCCTTGAATAACCGAATTCGTAAATCCTGTAAGCCTTGCATGTTCTTTATGATCTTGCAACAGCGTAGCCACTGTTTTTCCCTACCCTGAAGCTTGCGAACAGTCCAGCCGAGCGCCGTTTGCTTAGGGGGATTCATCATATACTTTGGTAGTCGCCAAGACCAGATAATCTGCAGTTTTCTGATCATATTCAATCTCACCATCGGCACTGTAGTGAAAAACTCATAAACCGCAGCCGGATGATCAACTTGAAATGCAAAAGTCGTGTAAAGCAAATCAATAGTCTCCGCGTACCTAAATCCGTCAGCAACATAAACTGCTTTGAGATTAGAGATTCAAACTTACATCCTCCGGCAAACAACAAACATAGCCAATTTATCCTCACACACCTCCATCCGTTTCTCCCACCTCATATCCACCCTCCGATTCAAAAACTTCCAATACCCATTCGCGCACTCCAAACACGCATCGGGAAACACCCCATACGTCTCCAACCCCAACCGCGTCCGCGTCCGAACCGACGGCGCCGGTTGTTCAGCCTCCCACTCCTCCTGCGTTCGCTCCACGGCCACACATGGTATAGCAGTCAAATACCCCGGTCCGGTTTTCTCGCGCCGGAAATGCGTGGAGCGGTGGATGTGGATTTTGGTGCCCCAGTTCCAGGAGGAGATTACTTCGTGGTAGATTTGGAGGCGGATTTCGGGGGGGAGCGCGAATAGGAGACAGGGGGTTTGGGTGAGGGTTTTGCGGAGGGGTGGGGTGAGGGGACGGCGGGGAAGGGTGCCGTCTTTGGAGGGGAGGTTCAGGAGGGCTTTTAGGTTGGGAAGGGGAGACATGATGGTTTTGAGATGTTGAGATGCATTTGATTGATAGGTTTGGTCATTCGGCGGGTATTTATTGAAAGGCTGGAATTGGGGTTGATGAGGAGTGAGCTGATGTGGAATCAACGATGTCGCGGGAGTTTCCCGCTCGTCGCTTAATTCGCTGGGACGGATTCAGCTGTTCCTTCGTTATTTGGCGGTGATTGCTGAGACATAATCAAAGCCGTCATGGCGTGTACGCGTCGGAAAGTCCGTACAAGTTCACCTGAAATATTAAAAATATCTCCTCACGCATTTCACCTCTTAGACAGAAAGTGGGTCTTTATAAGCATACTTCCAAGTGGGTTATTCCCGTGACTAGCTCCCGTCGGTACTTGTAGTTCCCGCTGTCACAATAAGTTGGGGTGAAAGGCCTGCCAGGGACAAATATCACGTGCAGCTTGGTAATACTGACAAATACAGTAGGGCTATAAACATTTGCTCTTTACTGAGTTACAACCTGAAAGCAGTAAAATAGGCTCGTATCATTGATACGAGAGTTCAATCCCCCTTCGAGAATCTCTTGTCCAGCTTCATTTCTGAAAATGTCCACGCAACAATCCTCCGGCCAACATCGTAATAAACAGCTTCCAAAATACTCCTTCCAAGCCCCAACCAACAATCAACTTAAACCACGACAAGATAAAGACGAAGCCCACGATACCATATAGAATAGCTAAGTTCTCTTTATTCCGACGGCTTTCGCTGCTCTTTCTCTGCTCTTTCTCTGTGGAGGCAATCGACCGACATGGTGGAAGCATGTATCCTTTACGTCTGGCATGTTAACCCAAACATACGGTTGAGAGGAGCATCCTAATTCCCCTTCAAAAACGATGGGATAGAGCGCGTGATCAAGCGTGAAACTGTCAGGTATACGATATTCATGAGCGGAAGGCATGAGGATATGTATAGTCGCCTCCTTGCTGATCTTTTTCCTTGTCTGTTCAATATACATCCGGAGGGATTTAAGGTCGTGAGTTTTGCGCACTATGTTGGGTACAGGCGGAGCCTGCTCGAGGAGAGTTTCAAAAGATGCGTACCAGTCTGTCCTTGGATGATAGATGAGGAAGTGGTCGGCAAAAAACCCCCATGATTCCGATACTGATCGCTTCTCGCGATCGGCCCGGATTTTGGCAACGGCGAAATCATAGACGTGCTGGGCAAAAAAATTTTGATAGTGTTGCGATATGATCGTTTCATTGGTCTCGGCAACTTTTTGGAGCTTATCGTAAGTCTCGAGCCTTAATTTCTCAAGGTGGTGAAGAGTTTGGACCCCGCCCGCAGTCAAGCAAACTGCACAGATGAGAAGGGCGACCAAAGTAAACGAGATCAGTATTGCTGCAATAGCCGAGGCGGGGGAAGTCAAAAGTTCATATATTTTGGTGATAGAAGCCAAACCACCATCAGCTTTGGGCCCTAAGATCGAAGATCCCATAGTCAAAAGTTCATATATTTTGGTGATAGAAGCCAAACCACTATCAGCTTTGGGCCCTAAGATCGAAGATCCCATTTTGATCTGCTGTTGAGGTGGAAACTCCGCGGACTGTTTGATGGGTGTAGTGCAACCGTAACGTGCAATTGGGAGAGTTCTGGCATAGAACGACGATAATTGACAAGTTATGGGTGCAAATTGATTGTATTGTAAGACTGAACCCCTCTCAGAGTGAAGCTCTGAGTGCATATACTAATTAGCATGGTCACGTGTGCCCCGCAATAATGGGTCAAAAGCGTTTGATAGGTCGAAGGTAAGCGGGGAAGGCGGCCTGATCGCTAAGGTATTGTCAACATGCTGCATCTGCTGCTATACCAGGCAAGAAGCTCTCACTTCTCAGGTTATGGTTCCGGTTTCGAGACCACATATCTCTTCATCTTAAATAGCCCTTGTAATTTCGACTCGATTTCCATGGCCTTGTGTGCTACAGAAGTTTAGGAAATCAAAAATTAAATATTGACAACTACACAAAATAGGGGTTTTGAAGTTGTTAATGGACCTCTGCATATCTAATTGGCTCTGTCGTAATATCCAACCATTCAATCGTATCGTAAGCGGGTCTCAGAAACCGCCACCACCACAACTCGAACTTAGACATGACTTCGATCCGTAACAACAAGCATCAATTACCTTCAGCTAACGAGGCCGTTGTTTTTCTTCTCCGACCCCCCTAGGTGTACAGACCATAATTTCCCCCTTTTTTCAAAACAATCACATCAACACCCTCTTTTGAATAATTAATTACTCAACCACCACAACCTCAAAATGGATGCACCAGCTACTCAAACACCTGCTTCGACCCCTCAAAAACCTTAAAAAAGGGGCAGCCAAAAGAGCCCAAGACCGACCGTACAGAAGTCGATACTCCGATGCGAAAACATGTGATCGATTTATTCAAAATGAAGGAGTGGTCGAAACACAAGATTAGTCGGGAAGAGAATATACCACGATCTACAGTGATTAATATAATAGCTCGCGGAGAAGAAGATAAGACAATACTTCGTACGGCACGGCCGCAAAGGGGCAAATACTATAAGATCTCGACGGAGAAGGTACTCGAGATAGAGAGAGATATGGACGGGAGCTGGGGCAAGAGCTCAATGACTTCGGAAGAGATAATCGACGAGTACGACCTTAATTGTTGGCCGAAGACTTTGTTAAATGCCTTTAGAAGAGTAGGAGTTGGGCACTTTTGGGCGGCACAAGATAAATTCTTAACTCAAAAGAATAAGGACGAAAGGAAGGAGTATTGCCATCAACAACACGAGGTCAAGAAACGGCGTCTCCCTTATTAGAAGAAAGTACTCTTTTCGGACGCCTCCCACTTTGCCGTTAATCAAACAAAGAAGAGAAAGGTCTGGCGCCGAAGAGGACGAGATCCTAAGACGAAACAACTTCACCGAACTCGTCTCGATAAAACCTAGAAAAGAAAGGGGGTTCAAAAGGTCTCAACAAGTGTCGCGGCAATGGTTGGATGGAACTTTAAATCGGAGCTTGTAGTTATACCTCGCCATATCGATGGCGACGATTATATTAAGTACTTTCTTGAGCCTATCGTTAAGCCATTCTTTGATAAACAGCGCGCCGAAGGGGTTTTTGATTGGGTTTTTGAGGAAGATAATAAGGGGGCTCACGGCACGAAATCTACTCTTAATGCGCCAAACAACTTCAAGAATAATCACCGGATTACACAGATGAGACCAGGACAGCCAGGGAATAGTGGAGATCTCTTACCGATTAAGAATGTTTAGAGAATCCTAAAGCAAAGGGTTAAGAAGAGGAAACCTACTACCCAAGCCCAGCTTCGGCAATTTATATTCGAGGAGTGGGATAAGATTACTATTACGGAGATCAATAAGTATATCCTCACAATGGAAGATAGAATGAAAGAGTGTTTAGATAGAGACGGCAATGTAACTACTTTTTAATCTTGAATTAATTGTCATTTATTTTGGGTGTAGTATAGTAGTAATTTTGATGTTCCGGCATTTCATCGGGTGAAGGGGGTCGGAGAAGAAAAACAACGGCCTCGTAAGCACAAATAAGACGTATCTCAGAACAAACTTGATCTCGACGATATACCAACCTCCTCCGCACAATTCGTAGCAATTTGTTATGTTCTACAATGCCCCCTCAGTTTGATAAGCGGCATCACCCAGTACAGTGCAGTAGGAAACTCGGGATCAAAACGTCAATACTAAAACCTTTTCAAAAGTCGATGAGTCTGGATCGACAAAGCAGTTGTCTTTTCTTTCGCTTCCCCTTAGAATTACGGCTCGAAATATATGAGTTGCTGGTCCTTTCTTGGAACTTGAACAGCAATATTCACATCTTGCACGCCGTCAGCGACTCGATCGATTGTCTCTTATGGGACGGTCCCAGCCTTCAATGTCCATTGATATCTTATCCCTGCATTTTGGAGGAAGATGACGTAGAAGAGCATAGGTCCAGGACTAAAACGTCAAAAAAGGAAAATGGACATGCAGTCCCGATATCTTGCCGGAATTGTGTTCTTTCTTATAACAATCAAACGAAGCTAAAAGAAGATTGTCTGAATTTACTCGTCACTTGTCAACTCATGTAAGTTTCATACTCCTTGTCTCTTCTTGCACACTTACATAAACATCAGGTATTCGGAATTCATTCCACAATTATACTCCATTCGCCAGTTCAAATTCTCGCATCTCTATCACAGTCTTCAGTTCCTCACTACGGTACCCTTAGATAGTCTTCAATATGTCTCGCGTGTCTATCCCGCTTGGCCTGTGCGGCCTTTTACAAAGCCTCACGTCGTTGGTCCATGGCCCCAAAGGTGGCATGATCGGCGAGTGAAGAAGACACAAATGAGAAGTTGGAAACGAATCTGTCAAGTTTTGACAGAGATGAATGGATTAGAGGAAGTCGTAATTCAAATCTTCAATTTGAATACTTGTTACTGGAATCTCGATGAATACAAACTTCTTCGAAGCTTGACTGGAATCCCGATCAGAGAAGGGGGTAAAGGAGTAATTGTCGAGCTTCCTCTCAGGCAAGAAGATGCTGAGTTGTCAGGTCTGAGTACTTCAAGCTCTGGCTCGATAGATGCGTTGGGGCTCACCATAAGGAGACGGGAGACGAGGGGTCACTTGGGTAATTGTTATTATTCATCCGACTAAGAACACGGTAGAAGAGATTTTGAGCAGCAAAGTCTTTAAATCTTGCACCAGTACCCTGCTTCAAGACGTCTCTCAACATCCTAAAAAACAGGATTAAGGTGTCCGAGTGAGGAAAGTGTAGATGCCTTGTTATTATTATTGAGCAAAATAGAATGCTCACATGATTCGACATTCTTGGTAGCAATTTTGAATGTAAAAGCTGGGGTGATAAATTATCCTCAGAATCTAAAGGGAGAATATGATATGTATCATCTCAGACTTGAATATTCAATGGTTCACATGCAAACCACCAAACTCAACCCAAAACCTGAAACGATTCCCCGCTCTGCTTTGGATCAGTTTCCAACACAGTTACATCCCGTTATAATCATCATTTCAGTAAATAATCTTGTCTAGAATGAAATTTTCTTATTTTTGTCCGGTTATACATCCCTTGCCGACTTCCTTTGTTCGGCCAAAAACCACCCCGAAACCCCCCCTCGCTTGCCGGATTGCCGATGAAATAACCGAATTTCGCTATATCACGATCAGTGCGATACCTCCTTCCATGTTTAAGGTACTTGGCAATGTAGAAACAAGGATCAAGTGTAATATGCGTGATCCTATGAGATTGCTAGGTATAAAGAGCTTCGGCTAAACCCCTGAAAATGGAGTTGATGCCGACGAACATGGTAGTGAGTGACAGTCTAGGTCGTTGATCGAGGCTAGTCATTGAGGAAATTGACGTACGATAAGACATCTTGCATGAAGTCAAGTGAGAACTCTTTTGTACACGATTAAGGGTGCCTAGTGGAGAATATCTCTGCTAATTATATTAAAGAGCGATATCTTTACTTACACTTGAAAGATGTGCTCTTTGGAATAGAAGCTTTGCTGTTCGACAGGAACAGACCTGCCAAAACGACCCTGCTCATACAACAAATCTTGCAAAATGCGTTTCATTAGTGTTTTCAGCTTTGGTGCTACCATCGGTCTAGCTATAGCCAGTTGTCCATATTCGCAAGCAAGTGGTTCACAATTAGAGCACAAACCACGTTCTTTTTCGGCAGGTCAATTTTCTCGCCCATCAGCAGACAAGAAAGGTGTATTTCTTATGAATCGCATTGGTCCATCGACATCCACTTTGTACATCTCGAATATCGATGGTTCCAACGAGCGCCAAGTCTTGAATACAAACAACACATTCGACTACCATGCTTCTTTTTCTCCAGACGGCAAATGGATCACTTTCACTAGCGAACGCGGTGGCGATGGCAACTCTGACCTCTATCGTGTCCGAACAGATGGTTCAGGCTTACAGAAGATGAACGCAACGCCCTCCTTCGAGGATGCAATGGTTCTGTCTCCCAATGGTAGTCACGCCGCATACGTCACTACAGCTAACGGCTATGTGGCAAACATTTGGGTTATGGACTTGTCTACTGGCATTCATACAAATCTCACAAACACAGATGCTGTCAGGGGTGTGAATTGGAGTCCCAACAGCTACTTCCAACCAGCTTGGTCGCCAGATGGAAAGTGGATTTTATTTTCTTCTGATCGCAACACCGATTGGCTCGGCCATGGAAATGGCACTGGATGGGAGCATACTCAAGAGTTGTCAGTGTATGTCATTCGTCCTGATGGAACGGGTTTTCGACAAGTGGCGACTAAGCCTGGTTATGCTCTTGGGTCGCCGAAATGGTCTCCTGATGGTAAGCGAGTTGTGTTCTATGAGTTGACTCGCGAAGCAACTGTAAGCTCTCCATAATCCGCAAGGATATCCAGAAGCTAACTCGGTTTAAGTGGGGGGCACATCGACCCGAAAGCCTGGCGACCACCGATTCCCAGATTATCTCCGTCGATTTCGCTACTGGGTTGGATAGAATTGTTGAAACTTCCGGTCCAGGCTTGAAGTTATCGCCACAATACATTTCGCAACACGAAATCGGGTACTTGGTCAAATCGCCAGTCGCGAAGCAAGGTCTCGCTTATACCTCAAACCGAACATCGGTACTTGGCAATTTGCGTTCGCCAGCGTGGTCTGCAGACGGGAAGTCGGTTGTCTATGAGAAGACTGGTTGGGACATAAGGTCAATGGAAGCGCCGCTTTACTCTTGGGATAAGGACTGGGAGTATAGATTTACAGACGTTTTTCCGCAATTGTCTCGTCAGGGTGAACTGGCCATTACACAGAAACAACTCGGAAATTCTTCGATCGTCAAGATGCACCCGGATGGTACTGATCTGAAATTGGTTTTTGATAGTTATAGCACGGGACAAGCAGATCCGGCCTTCGTCATGAAAGGGCTTTCAGGAGCATTCCAACCATCTTGGTCGCCAGATGGACAATGGATTGCATTCGGTCTCGGATCGTGGTTTCAAAGTCGAACAGGTCCCGGATGGATCTTCAGAGCATCAGCCGATGGATCCATCGCCGAACAACTGACAAATGGTACTTTGAATTCCGGGTTTCCTAGTTATTCAGCGGATGGTCGATATTTGGTCTATCGTGTATGGGGTGCCCAATTCGGTCTTCGAATCCTAGATCTTGCAAACCAAAACACTCGAGTTCTGACCGACAGCAACGACAATCTTCCGTTCTTCTCTCCTTCGGGTGATAAGATAGTCTTCACCCGCAAAATGAATGTTACCAATTTCGACATTTGCACCATTCGTCCGGATGGTACTGATCTTAAAGTTCTTACTTCGAGTGGAGCAAACGATGCTCATGCCGTGTGGACTGCAGACGGGAAGATCATGTATTCAAGTGGAATGTACGGATTTAGAATCGAGGCTGCTCTGTATGATGACACATTTCAGCCATACGGGCAAATTATGATCATGGATGAGGATGGACAGAATAAGCGAATGCTGACTGACTCGATGTGGGAAGATTCTATGCCGCTGTATCTGCCCAAACATCTGTTTGGAAACTGATAACTTTGTGATTCTCATGATCATGATCAGACTTGGCTATAATTCTAGGGAAATAGAGCGGACCTCAATCAAAAATCAAAAGCGTACCAACTCATTCAGACCAATATGAAATTTAAAATCATTTAAGAGATGAACAACACAAATCAAAGAATGTGGGTGAACAAAGAACATATCACGCGGAGTGTCCTGATCTAAATATGTTCGGTTCAGAAACGCTCGAAATCAACTGGGTGGACTCGTTGCAAAGATTACGTTGTGCAACTTGCCCTCTCTTTGAACGACACACCATCATAAATCTCCCCTCCTAATCATCATCACAATCACGATTCACTCTTACATGCGATATCATGTTGTGTGATTATGGCCACAACGAGACGAAGAACGATATCTGCAAGGATGCCCGGGATTGCGTCAGTGTGCCTTGACCCTTTTAGTCACAAATGCTTCAGTTTTGCTCTTCCGAGTCAAGTCAAATCGCTACAACGGGTCGTTAATGAGTTACAACTACGCGACAGTCATTCAAATGGTGTTTGAATCTCACATAAATTTTGGGAATCATTTTGTACATGACAACTTGCCACAAAACACCGCATTACCACTCGATTTTAGTCTCCGCTTTTGGATTTAATTTGGATAAAAGACTACTCGCGAAGCTGCGAACATGGACCGTATGTTTGGCTTGTTGCTACAGGTCGTAATAGAACTATGTCACGTTTCCTACATGTGTGCTAGTCAAATCTTTCAAGCACCAGCTCTACCAGGAGCGCAGCCTATCGACGTTTCGGATCGGATTTACACAGCGGATCAGACCTCTAACACCATCACCGTCATCAAGCCGTTCACCCATGAAGTTCTGGGTACTATTGCGTTGGGAAAACCTCGAATGAGCGACATACTCAATCCACAATATCTTTCAGTCGTCAATAGCCACGGTCTTGGGTTTTCCCCTGATGGGCAATACTTCAGCCATATTTCTACAACCACCAACACAGTCACCATCATCCGGACTCTTGATAATAGCATCATTTCTCAAACAACAGTCGACAGAGCATCTCATGAGTCATTCTTTGCTCACGATGGGAGAACCGTATGGGTGGCCTGCCGAGGGACCAAGAATGTCGTTCTTGTTGACGCACTGGAGGGAAAGATAGTCGGTCGCATCGAGACTGACTCTGGACCCAGCAAAGTACTATTCAGTCCCGACGGACAATATGCTTATGTAAACCATATTCAAAGCCCTGTCATCAAAATCATCGATGTCTCGAGTCAGAAAGTCATCCATGAAATCTCAGGCTTGGCAGATAAGTTTTCCTCAGATATGATGATATCCGCAGATGGTCTTCGCCTCTGGGCTGTTCACAAGATGATTGGACAAACAAGTGTCATCGACTTGGAAAAACGAGCTATTGTCACATTTCTGGACACTGGCACAGAAAGCAACCATCCAAATTTTGCTGTTCTCGATGGGATAACCCATACATTTGTCACTGTTGCTGCGACGAACGAGACTCGAGTTTGGCGACAAGATACTCCGGCTTTGGTTCCGGTCTTCGTTGGATCTATACCGTCGTCAGGGGTTCAGCCACATGGTATTTGGGGTAGCCCAGACAACACCCGGATGTACACGGTGAATGAACACAGTGATACCGTGGACATAATCGACACAAGTTCAATGGAGGTTGTCGACACGCTTCCTGTAGGCCAAGAGGGTCAAGCTTTAGTCTACGTTGCTAATGCTGTCCCATGGCCTGCCAATGGGACAGAATCTCTGGGAACTCAGGGCCTGGAAAAGAGTTGCGAAAATCGTCTCATAGATGTTACAGGTTCGCCTGGAGGAACTGCCTTGTTCACTATTCGTCAGATAGAAGGTGTCGATATGTTACAAATTGCGGGACGATCGCTTGAGATCAACCAAACGTATGTGGCAACAGCTGTCTGTAACGCTTGTGGTGGCGAACGACTTAAGCTTGTGTCTTTTAAGGCGACGATGCCCGTGCAAGGAAATCCAGACTGTGCAGTCGCTCCGCAGGTTATGAGTTTTCAGCCATTTTTCGAGAATTATGATCTTGAAAGCCTGGATTTGTGGAAGGTTGAGGAGTAGATTGGAGAGTTACTGGTCTGGATACTGAGAATTTGTCTACTTTTGGCCGTGTACCACTTGGCCGGTGTAGGGTTGCACCTGGTGTCTTGCTCTTTTTCGAGATAAATGTCCATCGCGACTTCAATGTTCCTGGGAAAAGCATTTGGAAGACTTTGCTAAGCTTCAGATGAGGTATTTGGGGAAAGGGGCAGGTGCTCTCGAATTGAACAGCACTTATCGAGTGCGATGCGACTCTAGAGTGCCTATTGAACAGGAATGTGTTGAGATTTAAATTTTCCATGGTATTTCCGCAGTAGAACAAGATTAATTCCACAATTTTACCTCATTAATTCATTATTGTGCATTCTTACCAGTGCACTGGTTCTATCCCAGAAACTGGGCTCCTGTCAAATCTAGTTCATTGTCGAGAATTTTTGATATCAGACGGTGCAATTTACATTCCACATTGTAATGTATTGTCGACTGACCGATATCAAGACCAAACAGAGTTTTAAGATTCAACTCCGTGGCTGTGAGTCAGAGAAACTATCACAATCTGCAGTTCACGACATACGCGACAAAATGCAGTGCAGATACAATGACAGCAGTTCCAGTCAAATGTGAAACTGGCCTTTTGTCTGCAGCCGGGATACTGGCAGTGACTTGTCGGTGTGGGGTGCAGCGGCGTACAGTATACATTTTATAGTCTGGAGAAATTCATGTGTTGAGGTTCTTACCAATCATTGATTGAAATTGTAGTTTAATTTATAAGTATAATTATTTTCATGTCAAGACAATCACTGCCTCAGGAGGAGGAATGCTATAAAGCAAAGAACAGAAATAAAACACCTTGGATTCAGTGAACACGCAGCTCTATATTTGCACCAATCTTAAAACACGATTGAATGAATTGATCCTGGCTTTGATGCGGAATTAATTATAATCTTACAGCCGCAAAGCTTCCAAGGCGGTAATAGCAGCAGCCGACATCAACCGGCTAAAAATGACCTGAGAATACGAACTCGGCTTTCACATAACACATGGACGTTGGAACATTTTCATTTTTCTATGGAAGATCGAATTCTTTCTTCTTAGACACAAACCATAATAATTGCCAAGCAACTATGCAACTCTTCGTTATTATCACTCTTTTGACCCTAGGCGTTTCTTCCGCCGTACTCTCAGTCAAGGAAGCTGGGCAGGGAATGTGTACAAAATCGTGTTTCGAGGGGCCGTTTGAATGTCCCAAAGACTGGGTAATCAAGATCGAGAAGATTAAGAGAAACAATGCTAACGGCATTAACCTACTGTAGTTCGCGAAAGATTTTGGTAGTCTGGAAAAAGGTTGTTGGGCATGTTGCAAAGAGTTGGTGACGATCCAAAAATAAAAGACAGGTTATTGGACAGCCTAGAAGGGTTGAACTCTTAGGCAGCGTCTGGCAGATGCATACACTTGCAGAGTTTTGAGAAGGGAGTTCGAAATATTGTGGTTCACCAGGACTGGTCAACGAAATATCGATCTGGAGGAAGGCGTCTTAGGTCATCAGCACGTTTATTTTCGGCGGGGAGGGATGACGATAAATTCTGGGAAACATTAACACAGAATAAATGCTATTTTTATACTGTGTAACACTTCTCGGTATGCCGAAAGTTCATACTTGAAATTTCCATTGCTAATTTCCCCATGTTCATGCGGTATCAGAATTCATGGATAGAAGATTACCCAAGCAGAGTCAATCGTGCACTTTTAGTCTACTCGGCTTTGGTAGACTACGGTATTGCTGTTTGTTTGAAGTAACTTGAGGGTCTATTTACAAAAGCATATTCGCAGAGAAGCTCAAAGGTTTGTTGGGTGTCGGCAAACTTAAGTGTGCATAAATACACTCCAGTTAACAAGTATCGTTGTCCAGTTTTAAGCGAAGTCCAACGTCTCGCTTGGGCAGTAAAATCGGGTAAAGTCTGCCTGTAGATACGATATTTATATCGGCAACTTTGTCACTGTTCGATGTCTCGAGTATTTCCATGTTTTATTACTTGGAACTAGGTGAACGTTCATGTTTGTAGAATGAAACTGATTACACTCAGTGATGGTTCAAAAGTGGTTATAAAAGCGATGTAGTCGATATGTTGCTATTTTTCGCACCAACAACCTAGGGAAGAATCCAATCTAAACACCGAGTCTCAAACGCCTGATCTTTGAATTCTGTTGTCTATGCTCTCTCAAGCGCAGGCTGCGCGTCGCAGAAACTTTCAATGTCGAACAAACAACGCCATTAGATCGAAGACTGTTCGCCCGCTTTAATCAGTATAGAAATCTTCTGCAGTTGTGACTAATGTGTTTCTCTATCTGACATACCTGCCTAAATTTGGCTTTTTATTGAAGAATGCGCCAAGTTTTGTAGGTATCGTGGGAGGACGTAATGATTCTAGTCGAATGTAACTTCTATGTTATTTCCCCACCCTTACATAGTCTGAATCCTAGATTAAATTATCCTGGTTGATTCAACCCCTCCAATGCTCTCTCTTACATGAATTTACAGAGTTATTGCGCAACTAGCTAATCTTGGAGTACCCCACATCGTACTCTCAATAGCTTTCGGATTGTGTAATGTTCCGCCGGAGTCTTCTAGTAAGTAGTGTGCTGACTTTTTCAAATGATGACTACGTGATAATGTGTGTAGGTAATTAAGCATTATTGGATATCTATGGAGTATTTTTGCAATGCTAACAATTGTATAATTTCCATGCAAAATTTTCTGTTGTACTAGGTGCTAGTAGGGCTTCCAAGTCTGCATTCCCGAGTGCTGAGCAAGATAGCTCAACTATTCAAGGGGTACCTTTCTGTAAAATGTTTGCTTCCTTTGCAGTTGAAATGATCTTAAACCCCCTTTCCCTACCAATCTTAAGTACAGAAGTTCGGGAAAGCTTGTTCCTCCTATCTTCGCGAATCATATTGCAATGCACATTTTCGAATATACCGTCGTTTAATAATCATATATTGAGTTCCGATCCTGCTGTCGACCGGGCGTGTCACAATTCTACGGCGCTTTCAAACAACGCAAGAGGGCCTCTATGGGTTGTTAGATAATTTGAAAAGCTCCATTTCTCTTCTACCAAGGTACTAATTTCGAGTTAGGTTGTCGTTCTTCTTGTTACTGCCGCTTCATAGCTCTCGTGTTATCTCCCTTGAACATGAATATTCATTACTAACGTTTCGTTCATCAAATGAGGAATCATTGCTTACTATGTGCATGGGTTTTAGGTGTTAGCGGTGCTATTTGATATAGTTGACCAAGAGAATTGCCGCGTACTTTGCGTCTTTGCAAACAACTCCTGCTGAAATATAGAGAAGAACAACTTCTTGAGCTTGTTTTCACAACACGAGATTATTAAGCTATTACCCTATGTTCCGATTGACTTTAACTATGTTCGCTTACTTCTTGCCGTCGCTGAAGACTTGAGTTGTGGTAAAAGCCTTGTATTTGTGTCATATAAAACGATTATCTCCAAAAATGAGTCAAAGTCTAACTCTCTACATCCAACTATACCATTGTTGTAGAGAGCATGTCTACTATCTTATTACGTCTTCTAGAGAAGGGCAATCTACTTTCTCTAATAGTAATCATCTTATAGCTATGTCTAGGATAGGGGGAGCAGTATGCCGTCAAAAGGATGTCTCTTATGTCCCAGCAGAGCTAGCTTTTGTAAGTCCCTTGGTTGAAGTAATGCGGATTTTGGTTTAAAATGAGAGGTATAATGAGACGAATTGTTTAGGGGTATTGAAATAAACATAAGAAATTTATTATCATCTCACTTAAAGGGGCCTTGAAACAGTGTTTTGTCGGTTAAGTGCAAACTGCATCCAAGCAAAATCCGCTTAAAATTGTTAGATATTCACCTTCGTGTGAGCAAGACTTCCGACCACTGAACCGGCTCCGACTCTCGACAGCCTTACACGTGTAAGGGATTCTTGACCTCATTGACGACGCGACGCGAACATACGATGCCGTTCATTCTCTCAAGTGAAGCCAGCCAATGCTGCTATTGCAGCCGCGAAGGCTTCGAATATCTTTGCAATATCTGCGCGGGCAACCTCGTAGATTACACTGCTCCAGTCGCCACAACCGCCAATATGGACATACCTAGTCCAAGAGCAGCACATGATATGGAGAAAATGGCATCGCAGCCGTCAAAACGTGTCGAGTCCTTCTCCGAAAATGAGAAGAAAAAAGAGAAGCATATCTCCCGGCTTTTGCGACCAGCTCAGACACTCGAGCCAACCCTCCCGCGACGTAGATCGCTCTTCAGATCTTTCCGCGACCGAATATTCGAAGAGAAACCGAGGGACAATTGCATGGAGGCCAACAAGGAAGAGACAAATGATATTGGCCGACTATTGGAAACTGTGTTGGAAGATTCGCTTTCTGCAGAGACTGAAACCACCAGAATGGATATCAAACAAAGATCTCGAACCTCTACGAATCAATCAGCTACACGGCGCCTGGGAAAGAAGAGCAAGAGCACCGACTTGCGACACTCCTTCTCGATAGACTCGGATTTACAGGACCAAACGCGAACAGCAGTGGCTGTAGAGGTCAACCGCATCGAGGCCAGACAGATCGTCTGCAAAACGTATTCAAAGAAATCCGTTCCAACTAAAAGCCATTCGATCAAAAGAAAGCCGATACCAGCAAGAACATCAAGTCTCAATGCCACGAAAGCCTTGAATGGGCAAGTTGCCGGAGATCAAAGCACAAAAGTATTGATCGAAGACGCGGGGCATGACTTTGAAGCTTTCGGCGTTCATGGGAACCACAGGAATAGTCGAACTCTATCATTAGAAGAGTCTTTTACGTCGAAGGGGAAGGGGGCTGCCACCAAGACCACATCGAGCATCGAACCTTGTCAGTTCTGCGGATCCGGAGTCTGCAAAGAGTGTCCGCCAATACAAAGAGTCGTACATCTAGATATGACCATGTCTAAGACATTCTGCGAAGATTTTCGACAATGTAACACTTTTTGCAAACACCAACTCTGTGCGGATATTATAGACACAGCGATTATCAAATGTGGCAGCTGCGGGCATCGCGCCTGTGACAATTGCAAGGAGATTGTGACACACCGGGTACAATTTCACCCAAACACAAAGGTCGGAAACCCTGGGAAGATATTGCAAATCCAAAAGAAGCCGGAAACATTCTGCATTTGTTGCATGTGCGAAGCCCAGAAGAAGGATTACCATCAAGTTCAGCTGAAATTGATTAACAACCGAGTAAGATTTACAGTTTGAAGCTTTTTTCAATAGAACTAGAGCTCTACTTTTCTGTTCAACAAGAACAACAACCAATCAAGTCTCCCATTACGTCCGTCGGCATAGACGATATCCACTACGAGACAATTAGCAATGAAGAGATTGCCAAATTGCTCGAAGCAACAGAAGCCTTGAGGCGAGGAGAAGATACATTGATTGGAAGTTTTGAAAGCTTTGAAAGGTTGATTTGGTACATACCACAGGATACAATTTTCTTTGACTTTGTTTGTAATGAAGGGGCATAGTTGAAACGGGTTTGATTGAAAAGTTTCCATTACGGATCAATTTGTTTACAGTACACATAGGGGACGATAGAATTGATTTCCATGCCGTCAGTGGCTCATTGTATGTTATAGACCCAGTTAAGAAGTTCAACAGCAAACCTTTTGTTCCAAGGTTGCTCTTTGAATATGAAATGTATATTCTTCCCAGTTTGCCCAATGGTTTGAATGAAGACATTTGCGAAACTCTTATGGTATTGTGCTTCTGCAGAAGAAAATGGGTTTTTTCCAATTAGAAAGCGGGATGGAGCCCGAAATCAGCCAAATAAACAAGCATATTTGATAGACTTTACAATAAAACTTAGATAAATTGACAAGATCTGGAATTCACAAGGACTGTGCTAAAGGTGATGGATGACCCCTTGGGTGGTGGTGCAAATAAGCTTCCAACAAAGCTGCTTTAACAAACTTAACAAACTGCTAACGCGGCGCTGTTAACTTTGGATCAACCCAGAAGCGTGAACTACACAACACAATCACCTGAAGCATGATTGGAAATTTCTGGTTCATCAAACGGACTCAACGGGAAAATGGACTCTTTGGAGAGGCAATGCAATCTCGAATCACGACCTTTTGGAGATGATGGACGATCCTTCTCAAGGGAAGGTAAAGCATAACTACACTCGCTCCTTCTCAGATCTTAAGACTAACACTAAGGCAAGATCAGTACCTTCGGCACCTTCCCCAATTATTAACGAAATTGAGATCGGCATTCAGCTCCACGGCTATTGGCAGACGACCATTGCAACTATCACGGTGTCTTAATTCCATTCCTGATGGAAGTGCAACAAACGTGACGACCATACCCCTCCAGATTTACGCTTCAATCATCGAGAACGTCCTGATAAAACAGACCTATAACCATCGAGCCCTCGATTATAAGATGGATTTCAAATGGCACATAATTCTTATCAACCAGACACGCAGGATTCGTCGAATTGCGAGGGTTGCGCGATCGTAAATCGCCCGGCAACCTCCCACTTATCTTGCCGTCCACGACAACCCATCAGAGGAGACGCGTGTATAGCAAGACATTGAGACTTTGCCGCTTCAAACGAAAGAGCATTTGCGCAATCGTCGGAGTCGCCGGAATCAGCCAGGTCTTAATTCCTGTCCCATAGAGAGATTACATGGGTGCTGTCTGGTTCAACATAAGAGATGGGCTGTGGAAGCACAATTGATCTGGGAAATATACTGCGGCATGTTTTGGGACCGCATGGCAAAAGTTTGCACCATTTGCAGTATGTCGAGAGGGGTTACAATATCCGTAAAACCAACGACGCATTTCTGAAATATGTGGTTGCTCTTTTGCTCCCAGACGCCCACAATTGAGAATGCCACAACCTCTAGCACGAGGTAGCCAAATTTGCTGCTAGGAACTCATTTTTACTTTGGTACACGATTTTCAGGATTGAACCATTAGACGAAGACCCAATACAGCTACAGCGGCCACTCGACCAGGGATGCAGACACAAAAGCACCTGCAGCAAGACACAATATCTGAGATTAAGGAAACTTGATAGCAGACAACGGAGCATATTTTACGACATACCACACAGAGCTCTATCGACTCAGTGACAAGTCCACAAGAGACATTGAAGCTGTCTTGCAGCTCCGGGGCGTTGTGCGGAACACTGGTTGACAACGCCGTGACGAACACTATGCCATTTTGTTACAAATGACCAGCAGCAACAGTTAATGGAGAAAATATAACGGCCAGTATTATGGACCTGCCATCGGAGCCAGCGAGTACCTGGAGCTGGCCTCTGGTCAGGCAAAGGAAATTTTATTGCCACGTTCTACGAACACTGGCCGTTGTGTTTTCTGCTACTGGCATATTCTGAGCTGCAGCATAGCCACCAGAAAGTCTGGCGGGAGCACATTTCCCATTCCTATGGTTATATGTTAACGACATTTGGCTATTTCATCCCATGAGAACTGCGTCTTGCTATGTTTTGAATGAGTAGCCAGTGCCCGTCTGGATGAAAAACACCAGCTTTCAAGTTTGTGAGATGTTCATGTGAAGCTTCCTACGTGGCACATTAGCAAATCGTTGCATTTCCCTTATTACACTCCATTTTTCGCAATTAAGCATACCAGTACGCAGATTGTCGCCTTGGCGCCCAATCGAAAGGGGGTTGGCACGTGCACTCGCTTAAGAACAGAACCTCAAGTGAAACAAACCTCAAGTGAAGGCTGATTGCTATGCATCATCCGTCTCGCGGGCATATTCGTCCGAGGTGCGTCAAGTTTGGTCTTTTAATATCTTTCTTTTGGATGATTTGTGTTTGCGGAAACATATTTGCTGCTTAACTTGTTTGTCATTCCGTTTGCTCTCAGGTGTTTCGATATCCAGACTGTATAGCTATAAAGATTGTTTGTCAAAGCGACTTCACTCTGTACAAACTTACTGTGAGGTTTCTACCTCAGTTTGGTGGGGAGTTGTGGACAAGCAAGCAGTTGTTTAATGTGAAGATGACGTTACCGAGGCTCCTGACTTTCCTGTCCCGAATTATGGCCTATGCTGGTGGAATAGTCAAGTCCGACTGTAAATGCGTTTCGGCAGGACGACAAGGTGGTAGCGTATGATTTGCTCAAGAGACTACTAGTCACTAAAGACCCATGTTAGAATAGCCACTTATTTGACACGAACTGCAAGAAAGCAGATTACCTGGGTCCGTATTCCCAGTGCCATAAATGCTTTATCTTTGCGTGGGTATAGGAGGTTCCTGACTTCAAATGTGTCTTTAAACTAAACACGATTTCTTTTCTTGTTATTTTACTTGTTCGTTGTTCGTGAAATCATACCTCGATGACAGCTTTCTGGACTAGGCTCTCTTCCTGCGTCCTTCGTTCTTTCCGCGGTCTCCTATGCGGCCATATTGTAGCTCAAATTGGGTTGCAGAGGTCGGGTTTAAGAGTTCTTTGTTAGCATGTGTGTGCCAGATGGCTGCGCAGATTCTGGACTCTTTGTGTTAATTCGAAATGAAATAAAGCATAATCAATGAGGGGGTTCGAACTTGCTGTTCCAATTGCTAGTATTTTCCATCGCCATAACAAGTTCATGACCCGAACACTCCACTTCTACCAAGAGCCAAACTCACGTTTCTCTTCGCAGAACTTGTTGCGGGTCCTCATTCTCGGTGGATCGCATCTGAGAGCGCTGTAGTGGTCTCGCGTTGACCACCTATGACTTCAGACTGGGAAGCGTCCTATTGACGGTAATTAGGAGTGCTGATCGTGGATCCTTTGTGATTACCTTTTATATCCTTGAATTTCCCTGCTGCTCATTGACAAGGGAATTTCCCTTCATCCTCGACTGGTTGCTGGTTCCCATTAGCGATCTGTTGAATCGTCCAAACCAATGTCTTCATGTCGATTCTTGCTCTTATCCTACCAATGCGATTCTTCCGATCGTGGATATCGTTCGGCTGTCTGCTTGCCTGTATTTTCATATCGAGCTTCTTCCTTGCAGTGGATGGGTCTACCTACAAGCCGCCCAGTATCCACGTGAAGCTGGTAGCCTGCTGATTATGCCCGCAACTTCAATATGGTGTCCATTGTTTACGTCCGTCAACGGTTCTCAGGGCGATGTTATCAGTGCCGGATTCGCAAGTATGTGGTTTAGGCGGCTTCTTGTATCTTCTTGGGCTTCTGGAGAGCTGAAACTACGAAATATTCGTTCGCTCGAGGATTCTTCAGAGGGGTCTCATGTGTAGGATATCTGCGAATGCGAGCCAGCTTTATTAGCACACTCCTCATCTCGTCTGAGGGGAGAATCCTCCAATGTCGCGCGATCTTTCAACCGGTATATGGTGGGGAATCATAGAGGATACCTTACCATTGGGAGGATGCCGCTGACATTGAGATAATTACATGATTTGCCGTGGCAGCGTCGTAGCTCATGTCATTCTCCCTTACATATGTGGTACTCGTACTGCGTTCGGTCGGCGGAGTGCGATTCATCTGCGTCGCGTTTCTTCAATAAACAAACGCATGCCAGGCGTGCTCGATGTCTCATCGGATCAAGTGGCCGTAGTCTCGTTTGCAGTTCCGCGGTATCCTTCTATGCCGTAGTCCTAATACATGAAGTTCGCTCCGTATCTCGAGAGGGGGCCCTACATCATCTCGTCGACTTCTCTGTTGTGGAAAACGCCGGCTTTCGAGCCAGTGGTGTCTCACGTGGAATTTTGTCGAGGCAGGGGACGAGGTAGGCGATGGTGATGGTTCGAATCTAGCTTGCGCGCTCGTATACATCTTCGAAACTATCACTGCCACTGCCTTGCCCATTATGCCGGCCTTTGGTTCAGATGTGTAGGTAGAGTGGACGTGCACTATTCTTGGAAAGGGTACCGCCACGAGATGGAATTGTTATTATCAGAGCTATCAATACATCTATCCTCTCCAAATCCCATTCCCCGCATCTCCTGCTCACGTCACACGTCTTCTGGAATCGTTCTGGGCTCCCCCAATGATCAAGCCCTTCATAGCCTTGGGTACTTCGACTGCCATTGAGGTTTTCAACGAATCTGATTGGACAAGCAACCGTCCCTCTCCCCCAACCACCCTAGTAAACACTTGCTAGTCCACTCCTGTGCTCTCTTTGTTGGGCCTTTTGGAACTAGCGCGGGCTTACGTGAGCAGTTCTTATTTATTCCACTCAACAATTTGAAAAATTGTATTTCCTTCATCCATCTTCCAACTGTTTCTCATGTTCAACCACCTCCACCTAATACAATATTCCATCACCCATACCTGCTCTTGTGAGCAATGCTACGTTCTTCGTCAACATTAACCAGGAGTGCAACTTCAAAACTGTAAGTAACCCGATCTTTCCTAGGTATGTCTCAAACATAGCTGTTCTTCAAATGAGAGATATGTTTCTCGATCTGACACGATCGCGGTCTCTGGCTTTGTTGATAGACACTTCTCTCTCTACGCAATGCAAGCGTTATTGATTTGATTACTTCCTACCGATCTGACTACGCGTTGTCGACTAGATACTCACCATTTTGCCATAATAATGCTGATAAAGTTATAGGTTTACAAGCTCTTCCAACCCACTCTCTTTGAAACCCCTGTTTCCAAAAGCAAAGAAGGTTTTGTCGCGTCGTGCCTGTAAGTTCCATCTTCATTGTTTATGTGAAAACAAGAATTAATTTAACGTTCCAACGTGCTGGCAGACCGACAATCATGTGACTTCCTCATCAACATTCCGCAACTTCATGCTGGTTCTCAAAGCCAGTATGATCCCAAGCCTTTTGAACCTCCTTTCAAAGTAGTAACAATTGCGCAATTCCTTGTCGCACTGGCTTCGAGTCTTATCATCCATCAAACTCAAAGCTGGTGCGACGCCGGCGCGCACACGCTCTTGGAGCCCGAACAGATATTATCGTCCTCGTGGGGAGCGTCGTGATCGCGACGACGCGGAACCAAAATCACGGCGCTCCCCGCGGACCCAAAACCCAGAGAAGATCGTAGTGGCGGTCGCAACGAATGCTGTCGAGTCAGCAGGCCCGCGGTAAATGAAGCTTTGGCCATCGCGACCTGATGCGATGCCATGGTATCTTTGCTACCTCGCTCCGGAATGGGAGATCGACGATCAGATACTATATCCTGCCCGATTCGCTGCCTTTAGATACGCTGTCAATCGACGATGCGCCGAAACCTAAGAACAAGGCTAGAAAGGAGGCGGCGGATACGGGAGCGCCTGTTCGAGGAGAAGCCCGACGGGAGCATCGGCCGCTTCCTAACCATACGGAACCGCTTTGCCAGTTCTCGAATCCGAGACTCAAGAACAGTCGCAGCAGCCTTCCACCGGCCTCAATCCACATCTCTCGCCAGCTTCGCCATCAAACTCAACATCACGTCTAGCTTTCTTGTCTCATTAGCTTCAATTCTGCCTGCGACGCATTACAAGTACCTATATGCATCCAACTTCACGCCTATCACTCTACAGACTGCGAATACTTCATCCTGCTATTTAACAAGTAAGTTGCTTTCGCCTCATTTATCTGCTGCATACCTGACAATCTGTAGACCTCGACATCCTACTTCGATATGCACGTTCCTCTCTGGCTTAGTTGTCAAGCTCGTCTCGAAGAAAGGTTGGAGTTTCGGTATTCTGGGATTGATTTTAACTTGCGTGTATGGGGCATTGATGTCTTGAAGTTGATCGTAGGTTTCGACACGGGCTTGGAAGGGTTTAGTTTTTGTTTCTATTCTCAACACTATTAATAATGATCTACCAACTATACCAACCTTAGATTCTCAATTCATGTGAGGAAAGCTCGATGTTAATTGTGTATTATTATTTGTTAGTCAACAAATGTCCCTTAGGCTTTTGGCAAGATCTAAGTCGACGTTCAGATATTTTGGAATTTATATTTCTTGGTACAAATCCACAAAATCTAGATTTCTTTCTCCCACATTGCGTTTATAGCGTGGCAAGAGTACCGTTTTAGCTATTTGAGTTTTTACAGATTTCGCGCAATCCTAAACTTTTGTTGGAACGCATTCATGAAAAGGAAAACAAGAAGCTATCATGCAAGTAAACTTTTGCCCATTCCCTTCCTAATGGTTAAAGATACACTTTAGGGACACGATAGAATGTTAATAAGAGCTAGTACACTTGATATTTATCATCAGGATAGACAATATGCTGCCCTTATAATGACTGATAAAAATTGAAAAGTAGCAGGTCTGTAACTTATGGAAAGTTACTCTAGGATGAAGTACACGGTTGACCTTTCATTCAATCACCTTACCGCGAAAAACTCATCACGTCGAATTTGATTCTGATGTGTTTTCTGACGCTCATATTTAGTGGTAGCTACCAATATCTAATGTATTCTTGATCCCCGACCGCGGATAGGCTGAGACTTTTCTCAGTAGTGGCCTTTTAATTATCGCCTGATAAACTCCTTGCTTCAGCGCAACCCAAATTTCGCCATTGCTCGATATCTAAAGCATCAAGCCATCAACGAGGACCGAAGAGAGTCCAACAAATCCAATGACAAACCATTGCGAGGAAAATGGTGGGGTAGCACCCGGTACAGCAGCACTGTTGACATTGCCTCTACTGGTAGCAGAAGCCGAGCTGGTGCCAGTGCTCGTTGCAGTCATGCTTCCACTATGCATACTGCCATGACTGCTGGTGGCGGTTGGTGAAGTAGAAGAATGATCAGACATTGTGCTCATGTTAGGCATATCTGGTGTGCTCAAGACGCCGCCTTGAACTTTGGGAGATGGAACGGTGGTCTTGTTTGCAGCATTGGCAATGTACTCCGATAGACTCTGGGAGCCATCGGCACTGATGTGAAAGTTAGTAGATGGCAAACATATAACATGATGTGAAAACTTACTTTGGGTTGATGATGCCAACCATTCCTTTTCCACAGTGTGTTGGGAACACACAGTAGTAGTAAATTGGTAGCGTGTCTTCGATGGTAATGGTGAAGGTTGTTGCGTTTCCGTTGGCATCGGTGGTGTTGAATCCGCCGCTGAAGAAGGAGGTTTCGCTGAGAGGTTTGCATGGGTCATTGAAGCTACCTCGAGCAACAGAGTGTGTCTTGGGGAAGAACTTGAAGGTGACTTTGTCGCCAACCGCGACGTTCAGCGTAGAAGGGGTCATTTTCAACCCATCTTTACCAACGCTGACCATATGTGGCTCAGTGGCACATGATGCCAGAGTGGAAAAGAGGGAGAGGACGGAAGCGACTTGAAGACCGAAGAATTGCATGATGATGGTTGTATTTGGGAAGTAGGACGATGAGTGAGTTTGATTTGGTTTGAGGTGTTTGAATGAAAGGAAAGAGAAAGAAAGATCGAACGAAGAGCAATCTGTTTATTTATGGATAGAATTTAGGTGGCTATCGTCTTTTGGAAATTCACGACGGGGCTGGTGTTCGCGCTTCAAGAGGTTACACTGATCTGAGTGGGTGTCTAACACGAGGATATGTTCACTCTAGCAAACGGGTTTGTGGACTGATGAATGGTCACACGACTAGCACAAACCCAGCCATCGTTAATTCGAAACCGAGTTGTGGATACAGTATTGTCGTTTGATCTAAACGAAAGCAGGAGAAATGGCGAAATTAGAGGACAATTGATTGGAATATTAGCAAACAGCAATTGAGCGTGAAGCTGAAATTGGGTTAGACTTCTTTAAGCGGATCGGTTACAACATCACACTTTTGGATATGGACGCTTTCTGGCAGTGCATCAAAACCCAGTTTTTCAGAGTCACCCTTACGAACGTAGACAAACCTCTATAAAAGTTCAGATAGCTTCATTTTTACTTAAAAATAACTTTAATTAAGTTAGGAACAAGCGACTGGCGAGAAATTGAGAGTCGGCTGCGACCCGAATAGACCAGCAAGTTCACGCTCTAAGCTTGAGGAAATTCCACGTTACGACAACAATGGTGAATCAAAATTAATCTCATGCCTCGATGCATGCTATATTAGGGGACTCTCAATAGCCAATTAAAATACAAAATAATTTCAAAATCGAAGTCACTAGTTGAATATCATAAGTGGTTTTCTTTTTTTATTCACCTTTGAATTATGAACTGGAATGGTGAAAATCAAAAGTCGTCCTATGAATTTGGAATGATCAATTAATCTGACTACTGACCAGTTGGAAACCAGAGACGCTGTATTTAATCACCGTGTGCTAGCTCCGCATGCTTTAGGCAACAATCTCATCCCAGATTCTTGAAAATTCAAACTCTGAGAATCTTTTGTAGCAAGAGCAACAGCGTGAAGATTTTCCAGTACCGCTAAATCGTCCTGATCATCGGCATCGGCGCGGGGAATAAGCATAGGGTTTGCGGTTCGCAATGCTCCAATCCATGTGGCGAAGAACTTTTGCCCTCGAACATCAATATCTTGAATCGCTCCTTCAGAAGTCATCTCTAGAGGTTTACTGTACTTCCATGACAAAGCCCATGGTAAAGTAAAAGCAAATTCGTCGAGAGGGAGAGGCCTGTAGATGCGACGTCTTGACTCTGCTAATTTGAGATAGTCCGATATCCCGTCTTGTGTCTTCAAACGTTTTTGAACCTTCGAAATATAACTGCTCATCATAGCGGAGAAAAAACTTGTGGGTCTAGAAAGATTCCGAATGAACTCGTACTCCGGACTTGTTGGATCCTTCATTCGAGGACTAGTATTCACGGCATCAATAAAACTCTTCTCCATATCGTATGATTTTGTGGAGGCATTGTAGGTGGCTTCATCCGGAACGTATTGCAAGAGTACACCACGCTTCCAAGAGTACAATGGGTTCCAGGGATCTACCATAATCATGGCGTTGTATGTCTCTTTCGAAAGTAATGTGAACTTTTTCTGAATGTCTGTCATCAGAAGATGCGCACCCTTTGCATCTTCTAACGATGGATGCAGAATCGTAAATGTGCCTTGATCTCCCTCCCCTGCTGCGACCTGAATGAATGAAATTGGGGGTAAGTTAGATGCTTTGGGATCGCTGGAAGCAATCGTGCTACTATCGAGAGAAAATGCGGTGTACCCTGCTGGCACATTATCTGTATCAACATTTGTTATGAGTGCCAGTTGAGGGTCGTTTTTGACTGCGTTGTCATACAACGCCTTCGAGAACGGGAAGGAATCGTTCTCCACCATTGGCTTTTTCATGTCAGCGAGTATATCATCTCTCGTACCCCGACATGTCAGGTGGAGGCTTACCCAAATATCAGTCGGATCTCCTTGACTCAGCAATTCAAAGTTGAGAACGTTGTTTGCTGGCATCAGCCATTGATTCTGAAAAGGTAGAGCTGTTTGAATGTTGATGGAAGTGGTAAGCAGAATATGAGCCATCCATCGTTTTAAGCCCTTGACCTTAGGGAGAGGCTGCCTCTTGGCGTCAAGGAAATCCATCTTCCAGCGTGACGTAAACCAGGCACTAATGCCATCTGTAATGTAGGGTTCCATATTGTCTGCACTATTGACTTTAGATAGCGGAGTTGAATCTGACAGATATGGAGCGAATACTTTACTCAGAGCCTCTTTGGTCGTGTCTGTGAAATTCGGTGTTGGATCGTTTGCGTCCGTCATCCAATGTAACCAAGGTCTGGAATGAGAATTCGGTAAACCGAATATGAAAAACTAGTGAAACTAACTTATGTATTTCCTTCATGATCAAACCCCCATTGACATGACCATTGAAAGGGCCAAGATAAGATTCGTCGCTGAAAGCCTCGGTGGACACTCCTTGGTAAACCCATCCTTGCTTTTGTCCGCCCTCTGAAATTCCTTCCAACTGCAAACTGTCTCTCTGGAAATGGATTTAGCTTCAATTGTTTTTTTTTTTGATAAAGAATTGATTACCCCGTAGTATCGGAAAACCTTTGTATCCCAGCTAGCGACCTGAAGAAATCTGAGCGTCGAGTTGAGTTCTTGAGAACCCACAATACAAAGGGTCCAAGATGATGCGTCTCTATCTTCGAAGGGATTTTCTGGACCGTTTGCTCCTCCAGACGCAAAAGCTGCAAATCGGATAAGTTGATTCAACCACTTTGAATTTTCTGTGGTTGCTGGTATTCCGCCTCCGTCTGCGACGCAAAAAACGTCAAATGAGTTTCGAGGAGTTGAACTCGTGCTTTGACCTGTGTAAAGTCAGCAACTATCTCCCTTTGTATCTGCAGTCTTCTTACTCCAAAAATCAAGTAAAACATCATTCAACGTGAGTTCCTTCACATTGTCCGGACTTGTAAGCCAAATTCCACCGAAGAAATCAGTGAGATTGTACTTGCGAAAATCTTCCTCGACTAGAACATCAACGTTTGGGGCTTCAGATCTATTGAAGATTCGTCTATACAAATTGAGATGTTCCATTGTCACTGCGATTGGGAAGGAACAAGATCTGCCCGGGTTCCGTCTAGGTATTCAGTGAAACTTAGAAGAGGACCTTGCTCCCCGATGCGCACAACTTCTGCTGTGTGACTAATTTCATCTATCTAATTTCTTTCCCCTCTTTAATCAGCTAGCCACAGAGAACAATTTTTCCACTCAGACGGAGGATTTTGCGTCCCTACGTGTTACAATTTACTTGAGCATTGGTCAGTTCGAGTGAGAACAGTGAAGCCGCATAATGTATGCGAAATCTATACGAGCTGAACCGAAGGAGCCTCGTTTTGCGTAGCACCGAAGACGATGACTGGCTTGATCGAAGTGTTGGTAGGACCAAAAGGATGAGGTGAGAAATATCAAAACGCTGACCCCGCATGTCAGCCGTCCTCGTTAAAATAGTCAAAAGCCAACCGTTAGATGTTAAAGCAATCAGATGATTAACAATGGTTCATATTTGCTTTTTTATCTTAAGAACTGGTGTACTAGTGCCTGAGATAGTTTGGAGGTGGTGTGTCAGCTCGAGCTGACGCAAGATTCGACCAAAATTATCTTACATACATTCTTTAGTCACACAACGCATTAGACGAGAACGACGTGACTTGCTGTTGAATGCAAGAGTCTCGTAACGGCGATCCAATTTTCAAAGTCAATTAAAATCCAGTGATAATGCAAGTATATCGATTTGACTCATTGTTGGTTGCATCACTTTCATTCTTTTTGTTTGGTTTTGTGCCCTGTATTTCAGAGATCATGCACGTAGAAAAAAATGCAATGCTAACTACTGACTTTCCCTGTAAAATATCAACATGGTCTGTTTATTGTCATCTTACGATATTTGTGCAACATATCCCTAGTCAACAGCTGAAAACGGAGCGCCGCTCTACGCATTCTTGGTAATACAACAATTGCGACTCTTGGGCCATCAAAATATATATAGTCGCAGATTCGTTGCCCTGAACAAGAACAGTAAAACATAACACGACTGTTCATTAGAATTATTTTGCCAAATATGTCTGCCAATACTTCAACTCTTCCTCAATTCAATTCCCCAGCAGATCTCAAAGAGTTGAATGAAAGTAATCAGAAAATATGGTCTGAAAAATTTATTGCACAATGGATGAATGATGAGATTGCTGGCAATGTTCAAGGACCATATGAGAAGCGAGATCCCCTGACTCAATTTTTCAACGGCACCCTCGTACCATACGATACTACGCAACAGCCTGCAGCAATTACTTGGATCGGGTTTCCCAATCTTGTGAGTGTTCTCTCCGAAGTCTGATAACATTAATTAATTTGTTTTAGGTCGCGGTAAAATTCGGTGGCAGTGACGACCTCAGGTGGAAGGTTGCTGATTCGAGTCGTATTTTCCAAGACGAGTATCTGGAGTGGTCGCTATCTCGTGATGCAAACAATAATATCGCCACTGTAGTGTTTACTTGTGAGGCACCGGAGGTATGTCGAATCTTACTCATCCCTATCTCAAGTTCAAACTTCTTACGACCTCTTTCAATTTAGTACTGGCAATTTTACTCTTATGTACAACAAGCAGACGCTATTTCTTCTATTAAAAAGATGAACGACCTCGATCTGAGTCCAACCGAAGAAGCGGATTTGTTCCTAACCCCATTTGACGATCCCACCAACAGACAGAAATGGCTTTACAATCCTACAAATCCTTACAACTTCGGCACGAATACCGGTAAAATAATCCATTTGATTCAACCTGCCAATACCCTCGGGGCTGAGATTGACATCGCCGCTCAAGCCACTGTTATTCGAAAAGACTCCAAAGGACAAGTTGTCACGAACTCAGATCAACTGATCAAGTGTTCTAAGTATGGCAATCCAAACCGTAACTCTGATCCTACAGTAAGATTCTCAACTCTCTTGATTCTCAAATAAGATGTAACGTACTTACGAAAAATTACCAGATTGGCTCCCAAATCAACGGCTTGGCCAGGCAAGGAAACTCACTTTCCATCTCTGATCCAGTTGCACTTTATATGCACAAGTTCGACAGTGGCAAGTTTCGGCTGGACGCCAGCGGCAACCGTGATGGCGACTCAGACAACATGATTCCTGTCCCCGAATCCTGGTTTGAATTTCAACGTGGTGATATCAAGAAAAGCCAAGGACTACGACTTCGAATCCAGAATAATACTGGTCTGAAGACCAACGATGGATCAAGACTACTTACTGTCAGCGATCTTTTTGATAAGAGCAAGAGTGTATACGTCAACTACGGAGCACAATTCGCTGATTATATCACAATGGGTGTTGCGGGGGTGGTTATTCCGGGCGGCAAGCCTTCTGAGCCGATGTCGTGTCCTGCAGCTCCAACTTCGACTGCTGCCGGGTCTGAGAACAAGCCTGCTGTGGACACCGTGAAAACTGCGGTTGCTTCTTCTTCCGCTGGTCCTCGGTCTACAGGTCTTTTCAGACCCGGAAAGAGATTCTTGTGAGACTGTAAATATAACAAGAATGTGTTCGAATTGTGATTCTTCGACACTCTTCTTGATTCTTACTGAAAACGATCACAAGGCAGCATAGTGGGAAGGGTTAAGTAACAAAACATGTTGTATTTGATCTAAATTTGTAGGAATATATCCATTCCTATTGGATGAATATCGTGTAGACTAGCCTAATTAAAATTAGCTAGTCACGTGGTGCTACACTATGAGTATATGGGCTCTACAGCTCTACTATTCCTTTAATAGGTTATCACTCACTTAACATCTTGCAATAGCATACCACGTATATCGTGTCGTGCCTGGTAAGTACAAGTGAACCGACAGAATTCCACGCGCATCCGTTTGCCTATTTGTAGCATGTAGCCACTAATTGAATAATTTCAGAGGTCACAATCTATTTTTCCGAATCTACGGAAGCTTTACAAATGATTTTCCTTAACACAACTGACAAGCTGTTGAGCATTCTATTACCTGTGCTCTTAAACTTATGACGGTTTGCTCCAATTTAAGAGCTCAGATCTGTAGCCAAATGATTTAGATTACCGAGAGCTGTAGCCGAAGAAACGGTTGATCGGTTGGCCATACATAAGTTCCCCAGCAAAGGATTCATACTGATACTGGCAAATAACTCTATCAACGTTGAGCAACTCACTATTTGGAGTGCTTTGGGTCGCAGGGAAACCTGTTTGGGGCACTGCATGTGACGTTGTCAAAATCCCGTCCAGGCTGAGCCCGTCTTCGTCAACAAACATCCCTCTGCTAGATACTTGGCAGAATATTTGGTCTAGTGTGACCTGACTGCCTTGGGCCTCGATGCTTTCTTGCGTCTTCCAAGTAGTTTTCGATCACAATTCCTCGGTTGTCGACAAAATTTTGGAAGTTTACAGAATAGCCTCTTGCCTGAAATAGAGGCGCTGGAAGTTATAAGGTCAGCATAACCAGATGAGATATTGGATTTGAGGTCAAAGCCCTACGAGTAAAATCGGCCGCTAAAGACAATGGCGAAGTAATTCTAGTAAAACTCTCTATATCGTTACAATGTGCGAAGAGAGGAACATTGTAAATTATTGGGATATCATCCACTTTATCGGTGACGTCGAATTTGAATTGTAAGTGGACACACGGAGTCCCCGTTGTAGCATCTACTTGCCGACCAGGAGTGCCGCGCGGAGGTGAGCAAAATGCTGTGACAAAGAAAAGCAGACAAGCGGCAAGCTTAGAGAAAGCCATAGCAGGCATTGATTCAGAAGAACTATGATGGAACCCGCTTGCAATATGACCAGACTAGAAGCTTGAATGGTGAATTTTGTGATAAGGGCTCGGTGAGTAGTCTTTTGCAGCTTTAATGAGAAAAGATTTATTGCAATAGTGAAATGAACGAAGCAGAGTATCATTTAATATATACACAAGACGCTACGGGCGCTCTATCAACAGCATTGCCGAGATTGAAATAGAATTTTTCAATGACGCTGAACGATATCAAAAACATAGCCCCCAGATCTTTGCCTCTGAGTTTAGAAAAGGGTGAGCTCAACATACCAACATTTATTAAAGTTGCTTTACCCAACCCAATAAAACTGCCAACATCAAACTGCCAACACGGTCTCACATATATATCTCAAGAACAAAAAAACACAGCATGCGCATTCTTGGGTTTATTGGCGGTCTATTTATGCAAACAGAAATCTGGAACATGAATTTCCGAGTTGACGATCCGGTCACAGCCCCAAATTGTCTCACAAACAGCTGCGTTTTCGCGAAGTGTTGGTTAAACTTAGCATCGTAGCCGCATGAGACAAGAAGTGAAGTAGGATATGGAAATATGCGACATCTTCGCTTTAATTCGTAATAGCTTCGTTAAATATATCGTGGAGTTCTAGAAGAACATTCTTACCAGTGTTCAAATAGGGAAAATAAGGGGGTTCACAGATAGAGCAATTGTGTGTCTTGATAATTAGAGTATCTAAGAGTTTCGGTACTCGTGATAATATGAGGTTGAATTTGAAATCCTGGATGTTCTTGACCAAGCAGTCAGCACTGGTCTAAAAACCCTTGCAGTCAAGTCTCAAAAAGGGAAAAACAAGCAAGAATGATATAAAAGTGTTAGCGCACGAGAAAAATGCGACGGCTCTAAGTGCCCCATACCTCAACACTACCGAACTACAGCCCTGGGCGAACGTGCATTTAGTGGAATTTCTCAAACAACTGCTGTTCTTCAACACCACTGGCGTGAAATTTCTCGAGATCAAAGTTGAGAAAATTCTACGCCTCAGCTCTTTTGACTTGAGATTTTCATTCAGATCCAGCCCCAGGTTCTATCACCTTGCCAACATCCACTACCTCCTGATTACTATTTTCCACCTCCACACTCTGACTACCCTCCATCACTTCACTCTCCTTCACTTCACCCTCCACAACTTTCCCCACCCCCTCATCCCCTTCCCGCCCAACACTCACCCCATGCGTCCCCCTCCTACAACACCCCACCTCCCATTCACCAAGCTCACACTCCCCACAGACGCCATGCCCGCACCCCCTACACCTAACCACAAAACTAATCCTCCACCCCTTACAAAACCCATGTCTACACGGCCAACACACAACCACAACCTCACTCCTAACCGTCAACTTCTCCCCCATAAAGCTCACATCCTCAAAGGTTTTCACCTCACACCTATCACAGCGATCCCTTCTACACGTCTGACACCGCATCCGCATCGCCCATCCGAGCGTTGCGTCCCAGAGGAACACATCTTCGGCCACATCTAACCCCTGGTCTGTCAGATGTTGTGGGAGACGTTCTGGCGCCGCGAGGAGGGCTTTGATATCTTCTTTCCCCTGAATTTTCAGACATACTTTCATACCGGAACACGCGGGATGGGTGCAGGTTTGGGTATCTGGTTCTTCGGCGATGACGGAGAAGGGTTTGGAGGTTGAGTATTTGGCCGAGGCGATGGGCATGGAGCGGATGCGTGCGAAGATGCTGGTGGCTGGGGTGGGCATTTCTGGGGGTTCGAGGAGGGAGGCGCCGGAGGGGAGGGATTTGATGCAAGTTGGTTGGCCGAAGCAGGGGAGGTGGTAGCAGGGAGAGAGGGGGGTGGGTGGTGAGGAGGGGGCGTAGAAGACTGAGCGGAGGGAGGAGGGAACTAGGTAGGACATTTTTGGGTTGGGGTGGTGGATTTATGAATTGGTGGTGGTGAGTTTGGTGTGAAAGAAGGGTTGTTCTTGGAGGACAATGATAAGGAATCCTGTTCTGGTGATTCATGTTTGCACTTCAGGTATTTTGGTGGGGATGACAAAGGCTATTTTCTTCTGGTGAATAAAGGTTGTGAATGTAACTAAGTCGACCATCACATTATAGTCATTTAATATGACTCAACTACATTACGGGAAGGAGTAATAAACTGCTCGTTTGGGCATTCGATATTTAGAAGACATTAGACAGGCGTGTATTTCTGAATGAAAGTCATACTCACTATGATGAAAGAAGTGACAATCCAAATCATAAAGATCTCAATAGAAAACCTTTGACATTCGAGTTGATTCAAAAAGGTAATCCATACCAAATTCAGGTGGACTAGAATACCTAGGTAGGATAATAGGAACCTAGAAGATAAACACCTCGCTTAGCAAGCGAGAATCCGTCTTCCCCCCTTGAAGCCCGCGATATTCGGAAAAGAGAAAAGAGACAAGTGAGACCAAGTGTTCTGATGCTAATTGTCTATGCCTGAGAGCCTCGAAAGAGTATCAAAAAATAATGTCGTTTTGAGATCATTGTCCCTAGAGCGCTAGAAATGATTGGTAACATATTGAATTTGGGCTTTTAAGCATTCTTCCATGACTTTTAGAGCCTGCTGAAAATCCAACATCTTAAAACTTTGTCCAAGTTATATCTATTAACCCGTCCCTAAAGCAGCATCTTTCGAATGGGATAAGTGACCTATGCAAAACCTACCATCACCGCAACATCCCTATGATCAGCCTCCTTCCACCATCATTCTCGTGATCCATCTTCCCCACTTGCCCCCTTAGCAGCCGCATGCTCACTAGCAGCCTTAACAACCACCCCCGCCAGCCCCTGAGTTCCCATTTCTCTCCAGTATCTCCTAGTAACACCAGTCGTCGGCCCCGTATACATACCCCAAGGATGACTCCTGCCTATCGCCCACAGATCCTCTAACATCCCTACCGGTCCCGCGCCAGCTTTAAGCGCGTATAGCTCTGGGAACACCAGATGCATAGGCAGGAGGAGTGTGCCTTTGTAGCCTTCGAGATTTTTCTTTGCGCTGCGTGATGGAGGGGGTGCGGATGCGGATGTGGTGGATGGTTCAGGGTCTGGAGTATATTCTTTGTCGATGATGTGGATAAAGGGAGAGAAATCGCCAGGAAATGGTTGAGGGGTTGGGGATGAGGAGGAGGATGGGGTTTTAGGTGGTGCTTGAGTGAAGGAGCGAAGGGATTGGGGGGTTATTGCGAGACAGGTTCCAAGGTTTAGGTTTTTGGGGATGGGGTTTGGCGTGTTGGGTTCGGTTGCTGATTTGAAGTGTCTGTTTGATGTTAGTAACCTTGGTGTGATGGAAATGAAAGAAGACGTACGCTCTAGCACCATCCAAATCCCCTTCCGCAATCCCAACTTTTCTCCCATCCATCCACCTCACGACCGCCTTCCTCTTAACCGCCTCACCACCCACAACACCCTCCCATCCACTCTCAATCCTCTTAACAACCTTCTCCTTAGTCTTCGCCCATTCCTCCTCACTCTCCCCGTAACTAAGTCTATAAATCAAGAACCCGAATTTCTCTACACTCTCCTGACTTAGCTGTCTCACCCATGGTTCCATGCTCAGCTTCGGAGGATTCTCAACCTCAGGTTGCGTCCTCTTATGACCCCATTCACGGTCAATAACCATGTTGAGCGGCTCCATAAAATCAGGCATTGGTCCCTCTGCTCTTCGGGCTTGGATTTGCGCATCTATGGTCGCATTGTATATTGATTTCATATGGTTCATTCGCTCTTCCTCTAGCCGTGCGTAGATTGCGTTCAATTGTGGAGCTGGGGAGTCGATGTTTTGAAAATTAGGGTGTACACCGTAAATCATGAGGAAGCCATCGGTGCGTGGTCGACATAAGAGTTCGGCGGAGAGATACAGATCTTGGATTTTGTTGAGGACGAGAAGGGCGAAGTGGTCAATACGGATTGTGGTTTGCGTGGCGTTGATTTGGCGACCGTTGCCAATTGCGCGCATGAGACGGGCTTTCCAATGTGTATGGAGGACTAGGAGATGGTTGAGGAGGTAATGTCGTGCTTGGGTGGCCATAAAATCAAATTGATGTCTGTTGTCCTGTAAGTGATTTGATGCGTCGAGAATTAACATGCCTCCTTACTTGACGAAGTCCTGCCACAACTTACTCACACTCCATTCTGGTGGGGCTTCACCTTTCTCCGCGTAAAGCGCTTTCATGGCATCTTGAAACACATCTAGCTCAATGAAAACTTTGTTATGAGTAGCTCTCAGATTGCCTTGAATATCCGGTCGTCGCCAGTAATCAAAGACATCAACCACAGACTGCAAAACTGATAGAGCTTCTTCAATTTTATCCTCATCATCCAAACGATTAGCTTTCCAATGACATTCAGGCATAGGCGGCAATCCAAACCACAACTACCTTCATTAGCTCATCCAACACTGTTTTGAGATCAGACATACTTTCTCAGCAAGCAATTTGAAACTCCTTTCAACATGCTTCTCACTCAACCTCGCGGTAATCTGTTCGTGACTACTCTCACCAGGCCGAGTCATCAGGTGATCAAAGACGCCATCAAACATCTCATCCATCATTCCCCCAAAGGCCAATGAAAACCGAAAGAAAGGTGGTGGGCTTGGGCCCGGTAAGGTTCCCATACCCATCGGGGCAGCCATATTAGGAATTTCCCTATAAGGCGAGGGTGCCCACTCTTCGTACTTTTGTGTAAAGTACTTGAAGTCATCCACTGGCCAGAGTGGGAGTTCCGTTTTGCGATTCCCTGGGAACTCTCCGTTTTGAGCTGCGATTATGAAGCTTGACATCATGCCAATTTGGAATTTTGAGGTTACGTCTGTTGATGCGTTAGCTCCTCAGCTTATACAGATTAATGATTGAGATCCATTGAATTTGAAGTTTAGTCAGGTCGTAACATCACACAAAAACGACTTCCTGAATAGTCTCAGAGCCCCATAAACTTCAAGACTCAACTCACCAACTCGTTCCTCCCTATCCAACACCCCCGGCCCCCTAAAATGCGGTGCCTGAATCGTAGCATTTCTCGCCGCCATCTCAGCTTTAATCCTCTGATCCTCCGGAGATCCATTTTGGCGAAACATTGCACTTATCTTCCCTACGAATGAAGATATACTCTTTGAACGTTGCAAACGGACGCTCGGGTAGACGCCACCCAGAAAGTTCTTATTTGGAAAAGGGGCTCGAGCTCGGTTCGCTAAAACTTGTCCACTTTTGGGCAAGATTAAACGCATGCTAGCATGGTGGCTCGAAAGGGTAGTTCAACAATTGATAAGAGTAATGAAATAGGAGGTGAATGTTTAGGAATCCGCTGGGGAAAGTGAGGATTTTATGTCATATAATTTGGAGAGATAATGGGCGTTAGCAGCCTGATAAAAGCGGGCCAATGTAGCGGCGCAGAACGCGTGATCCCGTGATCATATTGATTAATTGGGAGCAACCTTTAGGCAGGCCTTCCTCGAAATGTATTTTAATCACTTGTTGCCTGGGAGTTATCCGTAGTTCCAAAGTGTGTGCGAGTCGAGCGAGTAAACAGCTCGAGGTGGGTCATGGTTATGGACAGGCTGGAATTCCAAAAGTCGAATTCATACACCATCAGCTTTGAAAATTTGAAAGATTCGTCTTTCCAAGCAAGGGAATCGAAGGAGCCTAGGTGGTCGATGACATTTTGACATGAACTATTGAGAAATTAATTAAACCTACAACTCAAATAGTAATACTAGTCGTGGTTATCTCGATCCCTTCCGTCAAGTGAAAGGATCATAGCTCGCCCAATATCAAGACAACATGCAAGTTCCAATTCCTCTACTACTAAATTTCTCCATCTTCTCGTCCAGGGCCACACCTCGTAAGTCTTCTGGGTGAGTTCCGATATCGTTTCGAAGGACTATCACAATATCTCTTTGAGGTTTGCAAACGAAGTACTGACCCGTAGTAGTGCTGATTTAGTGTAACAAGTGCATATTAAAGGCGTAGCTGCAACGGTAGTGCTCTGACAGAACGAGAGAGACGAAATAGCAGGTTCATCCTGCCTTTCCCTCCACAGTCTGATCAAAATCCCTATTAAACTGCTCCCACCCCCCATTCGGCGTATCCCACATAGCCAACTCCCTAACCACAAAATCATACGTCCCATCCGCCGGCAACTTCCCTTGACAGACATTCCCTCCCATCGCCACATTAATTACAATCCGATAATCACTAATCCTCCTCGTTCCCTCGGGGATATTCGCTTTCATAACCGGTCGTCCATCCAGATACCAGACCAATTTCCCACCTGCCCCATTCCTATCCTCGTCCTGTTGCCAAGCAAACCCAATCTTGACTTCCCTATGCGGCATATCCCCAATATGCGTCTCCACGACACGATGTTTATTCCAATCCTCCCCGTTGAAATGGCCCCAATGAAGACATGAATGGTTCACACAATCACCGTTCCAGCTCTCGAAGATATCGACTTCGCCGTCATTCGGCCACGTGAAGGGTTCAGCTGGTAATGCCCAGAACGCAGGCCAGATTCCTGGGGCACAAGGTGCTTTCAGAGTCGCAGATAAATATCCTCTTTGGCGCGCAAACCGTTGTTCGGACACCAGCCGCGCAGATGTGTATTTATCGTTCGGAGCAGAAGTATTCACGATGCCGCGAAGGACGAGTTGTTGGTGGGGCGTGAAGAAACAATTCGCGGGCACGTTCGTGTAGTTTTGAGATTCGTTGTTTCCCCAGCCATGAGCGCCCGTTTCTTGGATGAAGTATGTTGAGACTGGTAGGGAGGCATCGAAATGAGGTTGCCAGTACGGTTGGTTCTGCGAAGGAGGGTGAGTGGGCGGTCGAGTTGCAAGGTTGACAGCGGGCGATTGTGGTTTACTCCAGGAAGGGATAGGAGGAGGACCGCTCTGGTATGGGCTTTGCGATTGAGGCGGTGGATTCCATGACTGCTGCTGCTGTGGAGGACAAAATTGTGGTTGTTGCTGTGGGGGAGGGTAGTACTGTGATTGTTGTTGTTGTTGTTGTGGGGGATAGTATTGCTGTTGACCACCTGGGTATTGGTTTTGAGCACCCGGATATTGTCCTTGTGGTGGTTGGTTGTAATATTGCTGTTGATGCTGTTGCGGTTGCTGATTTGGTTTCCCACCCTGAAACTCCTTTAATTTAGCTTTCCCTTTATTGAGCGCACCTTCGAGGGTGTTGAGAAAAGACATCGTGAGTTGACAATGGTTTTTTGGTTGAAGAGGGATGTCGACGAGTGACGCAATTGGACATGGGCACCACCAGCACTTAGCCTGTGGATGGCCACGTACTATCAGGACAACGATAACAACAACCATGAATTAACTTTACCATCATCCTTATGTCTACTAAAGTCACTTCAAGTTACACAGAAATTTTCATTCTCGATATTTAGCACGAAAATAATGCCTAGGAAGGATGTCCTTACAATACCCGACGTATGGCTAATCGATATTCAAAATCCAACATTATCATATTCATATTAATCATGTCTTCATCAACCGATAAACTGCAGCCGCTCACTGATATCGAACCATATATGTTCCGCTATAAGATAATTTTCAAACCCCCGTTATTCCCTTTCCATCCCTATATCGCCATGCTAGTTGAAAACAAACAATAGACGAGAAGGGGTGTCTCCCTCCCCGCCGAAATATGGCTTCAATCCAAGATTTGCTCCATATAACGCCATTTCGCTCATTGATACACACCCGATCCCGCTCTAGAAACTCACATCACAATGCAATCCCTTTCTCGCTCACCAGGCCGCTGGACTTGTTGTGGCCGACTGTTAGGTCCTTGATCCTGGTATACTGACGAAGTCCCAGTTGCTCTTCTCCCTCTACCGGCAATCTGTGGGCGCGCGGAATTTGCAGAGTAAGCACTTTCTCGACGCGCAGTAACTGGGCTCGAACTTGGATGGGCGGGATGATTCGTCGGTGGTGCGTAAGCTGGCTGATTCGCTGCTTGTTCATATGATGGTGGAGGAGCGTCCACACCAGCTTCGGGATCTGCTGCTGTATTTGCTTGATTGTTCCGTCTTGGGGGAATCTCTGGCCGTGTTTCAATGACAGCTCCTCTGCCAGCGCCGCGGCCTCTCACGGTCCCCCCTCGACCCCTGGTGACTGGTACATTGTTACCACTTCGGCTATTGGCACCTCTACCTGCACCCGATTGTTCAATATATTGCTGTGACAGTTCTGTCTCGCGGCGCCGCCGGGCCATTTCCTGCTCATGGCGTTGTTCTTCCTCTTCTTGGAGCTGCAGCGCCAGAGCAAGATCATGATCTTCCTGCTCCGTAGTTGGGCTCTGAGGAGGTTCGAGGTCTGAGGGAACGTTTTGGGGTATAGATGATAGGCTAGATGCCGGTTGATGGCCCCCCCTATGATTCGCGGAACCTCGACTTCCTGCGACTGCAGTCCAACCGTTCCCCGATTCGTGTGCGTTACCTGCGGTGGAAGACGTGGCTGGCGCGCCTCCAACGAGTCTGAAATCCCCAGAAAAGAATTCTGCATTCTCTCCATTCACGTCAATCAGGGATTCCCAAACCACTTCTTCATGTCCAGCATAGCCCATATCTGTTACCAGCTGGAGAAGTTGTAATGTTTGTGGATGCCTGTAAAGCGTAGAGAAATGATCATTACGGAATAGAATAGCTACTGCCCCAGGGGCGACGGAGGTAGTGATCGTGCTGAGTCCAAAGGAAGTAAGTTGTGTCGCATTACTTGTGAAGAAAGCTTTGATCGTGCCAATATCTTCTAACTTTGCTTGTTCTTCAAAACTAAGACCTTCGTGGCGCAGCTTATCCTCTAATGGTTCTTCATTAAACATGATGTTTTGTGCTTCCTCATAGGATTGAGCAGATCGGCAAAGTGCAGCGTATGCGGGTGAGTCTAGTTCTGGAAGCCATCCATGTATTAACGGAATTGCGAACGTGCTATAGAGCTTCATTTCCCGAGTATCTTCAAAAGTTCCCGGCAGAGCTGCCTCTCTTTCACTTGGATGAACATGTGACATTGAGTTGCGGGGGTCGGTCGAAGATTTATTAGCTGCTGGCGGGGAAAATCGAGGGTTGACATTCATTCCAGTATGAAGCGTGATTAAAAACGAGTATAAGTCACTAACATCAGGCAATTCCTGTGCAGCACCACCCCTTCTTCCAGACATCAACTCATCGAAAACCGCGTCTAGCAATAATCCCAGACTCACTTGCTCACGAGACCTTAAGGTTTCAATCAAGGCTGTATCAACTCCAGCAGGCGTGGAAAGAGTAAGAGCATTGACGAGGGCTAGAAGCGGGCAAGGCCCGTTCAGATTTTGAACTAGAATGGGAGATGTTCGAGGGTTCTGGCTGGCGTTCACATCGTGCCAGGTGATTTTCTTGATTTCGTATGTCTCTTTCTTCTGTTTTCGTACAGCAGAATTGGGACCTTGGCTGTTAACGGACGTTGAGCTGGGAGTATCGGTAACAATCACAGGCCTAGGTGGCTGAGCTGGTGCATGCTCTTCTGAAATGTTTCGTTGAAGAGGAATTTCTGTTGATGTTCTTGGAGGTAATGGTGGTCCAATGTCATCCCTAGTCCCGCTGTGAGCTGCCGATTGTGCAGGAAAGCTCTGGTCGGACGATATAATTCCACTCTGTTGAGCACCGTCCGCTACAGTCTCGTGATTTACCAGATTCCAACCCTCTCCAGACTGGGAAGTGTCATCGTGGGCCACAAAAGGCGTGGCTTCAGATGCAACAGGTTTCACATTATGGCCTTGATCGTTATCCCATGCATGTGAATCGTCCGAAATTTGCTGCGATTCCTTTGCTACGGTGGAGGGCATCTCTTGGACTATAGGAGAAGGTTCATCCTCATCCCATGCGGGTGACTCTGGTTCTTCTATATCAACCAGAACCGGTTGTTGGGACGTATCCAAGGCTTGAGGAGCCGCTGGGGCTTTCTTTGCGGGCGGGGCTGAAGACCATGCTTCGTTTCCAGAATCTTCATGTCGCATCGTAGGGATTGGAAGAGCTTCGGTACGAGGATTTTTATTCAACGCTGGCTGCCACGGGTTCGTACTTGGTTCGGAAACTGAGAGATTTGCAAGTCCCTGGATCGGGGCTTGGAAGTGTTAGCTACTACTTTTCCAGCTCTAGGTGACGAGACAGCTAAGACTCACGCTGATGTTGTGGAATTGGAGGAGGTGCTTTCTTTGGAGCCTCCGCAGACAATTCTGAGACGTTCCCCCATGCACCTGCACTACTTTCCCTATTTTCGCTACCATCTTGCATGTGCTTTTTTACAAACGGGTTTGTTGAAGGATCGGGCCGGAGTTGCTCATTCGAACTTGCTCTAGATACATCTGCTGAAGCAACTCGTAAGGGCTCTCTGGAACTCGAGTTCGACAGACTGGCTGGCCCTACTCGTAAGGATTCTGGTATGATAGCTGTTGGGGGCTTCCCGGTCTTGCTCGCAGACAAATATTCCCCCGGCGCTTCGTCGTCGTCCCTCCAAGCATTCGGACTTTCCGGCTCAGAATCTGTCACAGAATTTCGTAGTTGTTCTCGCGCATCTTGCACTCTAAAATCTTGGGAAGTAGGCGGTTTGGAAGTAGGCGTGACAGGATATGGTGGTGAAGAAGGGTAAGGAGCAAGGCCGCCATCTGCTTGCTGCGGTACTGGCTTTCGAGTGACCATTCTGGAGTTCGATTGCAATTGAGTCTAAGGCGTTTTCTTTCTCAAGAGCGTGCGGGAAGGCTTTCTGTTCGCCTTGGTCGACTACAACTTCGAGGACTGTCAAGCGTCAGATACCGAGCGACGGATGTGTATTAAATGAAGATGGCTGGCAAGATGAATTATCGCCGAGTCTCCATGTTCTGATTCGTGTACTGGGCTACAGCTGTAACTAGTCTAGCTTACGTAGAGCAAATGATTCGAATTGGGAGGCGTTTTGTTACTGTTGTAGGCAGCAAGAAACCGGATCCGACGTCGAAGGAGTTCAAGCTTGCTCTCGCCTATCGATAACAGCTCTCCGTGCAATGACGCCACTTATTGCAATCAGCGAATTCACACAACTGTATTGCCCACCCGGCAATTGTAGCTTTGTATTTCATTCCAGTTACACCCCAAGTACAGACGCTACGGTATTCTCTGCAGAACCAAAAAATATACCACGGGTGCGCAAGCTGTGAATCCTACATCAACGTTGCAACTTACGCGTCCTGCAAACCCATACGAGGATGGGAGCGAATTGGGGGCACGGACGGCGACGAAACCAATGGGCCGCCGGCGTTTTAAGTGGATCATCAACACCAGCCGCAACAAGGTCAAACAAGCCACAAACGAGACAAGGCTGCGGACGTTTTTGGCGGGGGTGGAGCAAGAAAAACTTCATCGTCGACCCTCTCTGCGCGAGGCTGGATCCGTAGCAACGCAGAATGTGTTGACCTCGATAACGCGCTTGAAAGCCTCCAATTCATGCTAAGATGCATATCCACACGCTGGTCCAGCCGAATTCATGGATAGCTCTGAGACTTCCATCAGATACTCTCAAAGTCCTCCAAATTGTGCCAAATACGTGAGTGTCAATATCCAAGTGAGCAGCATCACTTCCGATTATCTCTTGTTTAAAAGCACCAATTGACTCAGGTATAGTGCCATATCGATAGGCAAATACGGAACTTTCTCAAGCAACAGTCTTCTAGAGCGACCTTACAATCTCACATACGAATTGCTTGATCTACAAGCAGGCCAAAAGGGCTCAACACTTCGCGTTGTTCCTGCTTCAGAACTCCACGCCGACACAATCGCAGAGGAGGATGCCGCCGCGAATCCAAAGAACGAAGATGACAAGCTTATAATTGGTGGCGATGGGGTCGAGTACGAGCTGGTGGGAGAGAATGGAGAAGTCATAATGCGATCGAACCGCGAGACGATAGACGATGGCGCAAGGCAAACGCTGACTATGGAAGAGATCGAGGTATTGAAACGAGAAGGAACTGGAGCTGGAAAGGACTTGATCGCGAAGCTGATGCTCAGTCATACCGCGCTGGATCAAAAAACTTCATTCTCACTGGCCAAATATAAGCTGTTAAAGACCAAGAAGTATCTAAGGCGATTTACAGTATTACCTCTGGATGTTGCTCTCCTGACGGAATGGTATCTGAACGAGAAAGATGGTGGGAAAATACTCGAAATGAGAAGTGAGCTGCTAGGCTTGGCTGGTTGTTGGGCAAATGTTCACTTCTCTGAATCACTACCTGATGTCGAGGGTGGAAAATGGCTGGTGGTTGATGAAACTGGCGGTCTGCTGGTAGCAGCTATGGCGGAGAGAATGGGTATCCTTCACCCTTCTGAAGAACAATTGCAAAGTGTTGGTAAAAGTTCACATCATAGAGAGGAGCCAGCACCCGCAACATCAAACACCATCACTATGATACACAATAACGCGCAGCCAAACTTAAGTTTACTGAAATACTTTCTCTACGACCCAGCAACTTCGACACCACCCTGTCCAGATCATCCACTTACTACACATCTTCATTCCCTCTCTTGGCTACAACTCATCTCGCCAACAGAAGACACAACCTATTCCACAGCTGTCGAACAGTTATTGCCTGCCGACCTCGAAGCTCTAAAGCCAGGCAAACGTGGGACATATTACCGGAAATTGCGTCGGTGGAACCGAACCAAATCAATAGTAGACTCTACTCGGAACGGTGGTTTCTCTGGGCTGGCGATAGCATCCTCAATGGATCCCACTTCAATACTTAAGCACGCTATTCCCCTCCTACGCGGAGGCGCCAACATCGCCATTTACTCTCCAACGATTGAACCTCTTGTCCTGTTGTCAGACAACTATTCCACCTCTCGACGTACAGCCTTCATCACTTCCCCGCCTCCCTCATTCGCATCACTCACCACAGAAGAAGACCGGGATAACTGGCAAGGAGACGAGGACTTCCCGCTCAATCCGACCCTGGTGCTAAACGCAAGTGTACAAAGCGCGAGAGTGAAGAGGTGGCAGGTCTTACCCGGTCGAACACATCCAATTATGACTGGAAAGGGAGGAGCAGAAGGATATCTGTTCACAGCTATAAGAGTGATCCCGGCTCGTGGGAAAATCGAAGCTCGAGGGAAGTTTGGGAAGAAGAGGAAGGTTGATGATAATGTTGCTACGCCAGATGAGACACAATCAAGTGTCAAGAAGGAAAAGTTGGATGATGGAGTTGTAGCGCAGAATATTGATGAGCTTGCGCAAGAAATTAATGGAGGTACAGAAACTACGCCTAAAACCAAGACAGAAGGCGATATAGAGATGGCCTCACCGTCTCCCTAATTCAAGACCTTGCAGTTGAAATGTCTATTATTCCTCTTTCCATTTTGTCTTCCAGTGCTTGAAATCATCAATCCATCAACTCCGCCGATCTCCTTTCCTGGTTCACTTTCCCATCCCCGTCTCTCATCCCATTCGCCGCTCATACCCTACAAACTCTTCCCCATAAACTTCCTCTTCGTAAAGCTCAACCACCACTTACTCGGCCTATCACTCCCATCCTCATAAATCTTCGCCAACAACCGACTCGCCAACTCCTGTCGCACCTGCGCCAGATACTGCTTCAACGTCTCAGCCTCCTGTCGCGACCCCGGTGCCTGAAACATCTGATTAAGTGGAAATCCTGGGTCTCCTGGGATACTGAAATTCGTGTCGAGTGCTATATTCTGGACTTCTTTTTGTGCTTCCCTATCCATACTATCAATGTACCGTCCAACTTCCCCCCATATAAAGAGGAGACGCGTTATAACATACCGTGAACTAAACCCCGGCCGCACCTTCCCCAAACACTCACTCACCCACAGGATCCCATAAATGAGCAACCGATCCGCCGGCCCCTGGATCTCGAAGTTCCGGAAAAAGGTATTGGCGCGAAAGAGAGAGAGCACTTCATCGAGGATATCGTAGCTCTCGGAGTCGGGCTCGGGAGATTGGGCGGGCGAGAGGGAGGCGTCGAGGGGGAGCGTGTAGGCTGGACCGCGGGTGCGGGTGCGGAGGGGGAGGAGCGGGAAGTTGCCGATTAGGGTGGGCGAGGCTTCGTCGTTGAAGATTGAGTTGTAGGCCTGGAGAGGTTAGATAAGAAGGGGGAATTAGGAGGGGAGGGGGACGTACGGGCATTTTGAGGGTTGTGTGTTTGGGTTTGGGTTTGGGGGGAGTTGGAGGGGTGGAGGGGTTGAGGTTGGTGATAGAGGAGCTTGTTGATACCTGAGGCAGGAAGGTACTTAGGCGGCCTCGCGGTATCTTCGTCACCACAACATCTCTTTCTTCAACAAGTCTACCTCTCGATTCGTCAACTGTAAGCTTCTTCAGAGGGCGCTCTGAATCGCCGATTTTTGCTAAGATCTTGTCTTATGAAAGGATCATCTCTAATACGGTACTGCTCAATCATACACTCGTTGGAAAATATAACCTCGGAAAAGCTCCATAAAGACTTGTCAATTTCGATGTCTCGAAGACACTCTTTTTGATTCCATTACAACCCTTTCTGCACAGCACCATTTATCGTGTTGAGGGTATGTACCCATCAAGTATCAAAAGAATCTTTCTTGGCTTTTTCTGGTCAAGTTCGTGGCCGTGCCCATTTTAAACGGTATCATTCATATGTACCACAGCACCCGCTAGATGCACTTCCATTTTGTCTCTGTAAGGCCCAGGGAAATGCTCTAAAACCTTTGGAGTCTTCAGGATATGGAAATCCTTGCCGGAATCTTAGGTCAATGTCAAGTATTCTGGCCTTTGAAAGAGGACGTCTTCGGGTAAGGGATCTTCAAATCGAACCTACCGAGAAGATCCTCCGTCCCAAGTGGGGACAGTTTCTGGCCAGGAAACTCAACAAGACTCTGTTACATTCCGATTTCCCCTGGGGAACTACTTTACTACAAGATTAAAAAGACTCATCGAGATACGCTCAAGCTACCGCATGTACCCAAGTTGGAGGCAAAATTCTGTAGTGCGGAAATTCAAAATCTACGACAGCGAACTAGAAGAGTCTCTACGAAGATTGCTCGGAATAGTTCTAGCAAGAAAAATCTTTTCATTTTCCTTAATTTGATAGACTCTACTGCTGCTATATATTCTTTTGCTTCCGTTGGTAGAACTCTAAGATGAAAAGCCGTAAAGATCACCGCCAATTTTTCATATTTGTCTCATTCCATCGGGCTCTTCCCGCAACACTCTTTCTAGGGTACCGTTCAACGATGAGGTCAAATTTCACGGGTTTTCGGTTCAATCGTAAAGGTCTTTTTCAAAAACTTCACGACGCTTGAGAGCTTTGTTCTCAGCACCCTAGCCGTCTTTTGTTTCGTCCCTTCGTTCTTTTTCGGCTGCTTTCCTCCCGAAGCTTTTTTCCCATAGTTCGCGAGATAGGCCTCTTGTTTCTCCTTGTTTTTGGGTTTCCCATTCTTGTTCCCGTTAGCTGACGGCTGGCCACCTCCATCTTGATCGTCATCATCCTTTTTCTTGGCCTTTTTCTCCTCCGCCCTGTGCTGTGTCAGCTAGGATTTTTGTCACATCGTCGGACGTTCAGTAGTACCTTCTGATCTCGTCATCGTATCTGGGGCATGTTTCGCCCCTCGTGCGGACCTTTTGATTCCACACATAACTTGATGAGTCGAGCAGTATCCCCCTCTAGGACGACAGTTTTCTCCTCGCCTTGGGCAATGATGATTGTTGGCCATAGGTGTGATGGTCAAATACTTCCGGAGTCGTCTCTGTGATATCTTTGCTTTCAAAGTAGGCAGTGTAGTTGCGGTGGCTATTGATATCTTCGAACAGATTGGCAGTTTATATGCTCAATTTCAATCATCTTGTACTTGCTCACAAGTTTGTCTTTTTGTAATCAATTCTTTGATTTTTTTGAGTTCTTTCTAAATTTTAGAGAGGTGGGCAAAGTTTGTTTCTATCCAGGCGCAAAAGTCTGCAAGACCTTAGTTGCATTTTTCACAACCATTACCCTTTGTACTTTCATTACAGCTGCAGCCACATCGCTTTCAGGGTTAATACAGATGTAAAAGCTATTCTCTCATATCTGCTTTATGTGGAATTGCAAATCAATCGATTTTGTTTGCCTACAAATCATTTCAAACACCTCTCTCCTTTGACATGACTATAAATAAAGTTGATTGAAAAATTGACTTTCTACATGCAAACTTTAGAACAGATTGAAATTTCAGAAGTATTGCCTTACAATATCTATGAATGAATAGAAGCTAACACCAACTCAATGGACTCTTCTTCATGACTAGCTCTGCCATATATTTCTATTCAAAGACACTAAAATCTCCGTGTTGAAACAATGAACCAATATTTGCTGCACATAAGCTGTAGTGAAACATTTGCATCTACAAAGTTTGATATCTTTGACATAACATGTTCTCTACTTCTAAGCTTTCGTTGTCTAGGGCTTAGCACTCAAAGTTTGATCTGCATTTTTCTTATACGGAATCTATGGAGCTTCTCTCTTTATACTGATAACTTGGCGACGCTGCGCTCGTCAAACCATTAGTACCTTATGGTGGTACTCCGGCTTCCGTCCATAAACAATGTGGCTAAATATTCAACCGTCAGCAGTCCAATCTCCAAAATTCCGTGTCAAAGAACTCTACTTGACAATTCGGTATGACATTGGGGAACTCACAATGGCTGATAGGCATGAATCTTTGGATCTCTCATCTCCCGCTTCAACTCCACCACCAACTCAAGCACTTCCTCCCTCGTCATCCCTATCACCCTAGTAAACAGCCCCATCAAAATCCCCTCCGTCCCAACCTCCATATCCCTCCTAAACCACCTACCTAATTTCTTATGATACGCACCCTTCGCCCACGTGCCAATCGGCCATTCAATCACCACCTCTTTAATATCCACGAATCCAACTTCCTCCATCATCTTCTTGTACCTACCCGTCGTCGTAGGATCCAATCCTACTTTCGCCACCGTGCTGAGAAGTAACTCGGAGATACGTTGCATGGTGGTCCCCTCAAGAGAGTTGTCTAAAGCCTTGATTGGGAGATTGAGATCTTGCATCTCGAAATACCCACCTGGTGAGAGGGATTTAAACGCTTTTTTGAATACTTCAAGTGGATTCTTGAGCGCAAATGCCATAAGTCGGCCATGGATGTAGCTGAATTGATGAGAATATACCCAAGCATCTTCTATGTCGTCGACTTCGAATGTGAGATTGGCTGGGACGCTGGGTCTAATTAGCAGCATATCTGTTTTGAGTAAGGAATGGGACATGCAATTCTGGTTGGATGGGTGAGAGGTCACTGCCTATCACCTGACAATTGGGATATTTTTCTGCGAATTCAATTGCCCAGATTCCGGTTCCGGTTCCGAAATCGAGGGCACGTTCTAGCTTAATGTCTTTCAGGGGCGCGAGATGGAGTCGGCCGTGAAGTGACATTTTGCATAGGACGTGTTGGAGGTCTGAGAATGATGGTCAGCAGTATTTATGGTATATCGAGAAGATTTATGAGTACCAAGCCTGTTTTGTTCTTGCTATATGATTCAAGAGTGTTAGTCAGACAACCAGAGTCAAAGCTTGACGAGAGGTGAAATGAATTTAGAAGCAGACTTCCATACCTCATCATTTGGTAAGTAGTATTCTAAAACTCTTGTTAGTCTCCACTTCGCAAACTAGAAGGAATTCGCCTTACTCCCTTCTTTATATTTATGATAATTTCTCCCATTTTCCTCGACACTCTCATAAAGACTCGACGACACCGATGCAGTAGCCGAACTAGCTCACAGCCATCCTTTAGTACGTCCCTCACGTATGGTCCACTCACACCCCAATATTCAAATCAACTCACAGTATAACCTCAGCATCAGCATCCTCCTTCGCCTCATCACTATCAATCTACACCCATCAACCCAGTCCCACTCCCAAAAAGATGAAACTCACCGACAACTTCGCTTTTGTCTCCACATCCGCCATCTCCTCCCCGTCTAGCGCCGGGTCATCCCGTGTAGCGTCAGGGTCAATAGCTAGTGTTTCTTGCGGAGGCGAAGACATATTTGTTAGCGTAGCCACTTCTTACAAACAATAGCGAGTAGACTATCGTGTAAAACTCGACACTAGTAAGATAAGATACCACAAGAATGGAGAAGTAGAGAAATCCAACTTTGCGATATCTGTCCGGGTGAATTGCGTTGTGATAATGTGGTGCATGGAACCCGCATTGCATATGGGATTTGTGGGGGTGCGCCAATCATGAGACTGTTTTGGGGTTGGTGCTGCAGATTCTTGGATGGAGCCGAGAATTGCTTTATGACGCTGTTGTGCTGCGGTTTTTGTGGTAATCTTACATTATTGCTTGTAGTAAATCGTGTTGGATTGTTGAGGGGCGCGAATTTTGCGATGAGGAAGAGGGGTGGGATGTTTATACACGTGCTTGAGATCACATTCTGTCATGGACAACCTTTTTAACAAGCAGATCACTTTCTGAAGCTCGTATTTGATTAGAGTCTTTTGTTTGAGAGACTGTTGGTTGGTAGAGTTATTGTGCTTCTTTCGAGTCTGACTCTAGTGGCCGACTAAGCACCATGCCAAATGTTAAACATCTGCTAAAGCTTGAGCGAGACTTGTCAATTGAAGACGATTTCTGGATGGATATCTGCAGGACTTTGATCTTGGAATCAGGTTGCGTCCCATACGAAGTTCCAGAAACCTTTAACGCTCAATTATCTAGAACTAAAACAGAGATGTAGAAAGCTTTCTGCTATTTGAAATTCGTAACAGATCAGACTAACGAGCTCGCTTAAATCAAAGCTCCAAGGAAACCATTAAATATACATCGAATTGCAAAACAGTACAATCATGCTCTTGAGCACCTCAAACTACTCCTAGATAAATTGCGCTTTCAAATACATGCCGCCTCAAAAGACAGTGTAAACTCCCGTCGCGCTAGCCGTTGGCTTCGGCGGCGCTGTTTGGGAAACGGTAATCGCACTGGCGTAAAGTGGTGGGCCTGGAATCGTATAACTTGTGAAGGCACTGTACAAATCAAACTTGATTCCTGGGTCGGTTGCCTTGTAGAATGTAGTTGCAAGAACGCCATCCGGATTCTCAGTTCCAGAGCTCTTAACCGCCAGATTGAAGCACTGGGGATAATTCTGAGCACCGTTCGCTTGACCAGCTGCGTGAAGACCAATGATCTCGTGTCGCAGGACGTAGTTTCCTGTTGCGATGGAAGTTGGGATGGTGATTGTCCAGGTGTTGTTGTTTGCAATGAGTTGATCCGTAGCCCAGTAACCGTTCGTCATCTTCTTAGGATCGATAAGTGCTGACTCGCCAATCTTGAACCACTTAAGCTTTGATTTGTCGGCAGTCTCGCAAGGACCATTGCAGTTGGCTAGATAGTCTAGGACTGGTCCTTTGTGTGTGGTGGGCCAAGGCGTCCATTGAAGATTAACTTTTCCACCAGCTTTGATGGGAGCAGCTGCTTGAGCATTTCCCGCACCAACATGGCATATGATATCTGCATTGGCGTATGCAGCTGGTGCAATGAACCCATTGTCGAGATCCTTGGGCGTTTTCCATCCCACAGTCGCTGGATTTGGTGTGATGTATTGCATGGATGGATTGTAACCAATGTAGCTAGAAGAAATCGATTAGTAGAAGCATCAGATAGTTGTGAAACATTACTCACTAGATTCCATCTGCAACTATGCCACTGACAGTTCCATGAGCGGCAACTGCAGAAATGATACCTGCAAGAGTAATGATTGACAGCATTTTTGAGATCGTTATTCGTTAACGCTACGAAGAAATATGGCTAACTTGCTGATAGTGAGAGAAAGAGAGAAGCAGTCCATACTTATGACAACTTGGCAGGAATCACATACCAACCCCAGGTTGCATCGACTTACTCTTTGGGTCCAGACCACGAGCTCTACGTACTATTCTGGGCACTAAGAATGTATTCCTCTTCCTGCTTCCCATGAATTTACAAGCGTCGACGCAACAAACTTGACTCGAAGCCAATCGTGTGGCACAGAAATATATTTGACATGTCTTCTGACCGTGGAAGTCAAGGATTTATCCCTCCACCGTTAATATACTCGGCCCATCGGGCTATTATGGAACATAAAATCCACCAGTTCATGGCGATATTAGCTCGGGCTTGGACGGTGCGCTTCCATCCGTCAGAGGCGTATGCTTCATTAAAGGATGAGTACCGGAACGTACCATCCCTAGAGCATATCTGAGTCCGTGGTCACTAGGAATGATCCCAGCTCATCGATTTCTGTCCCGATGAGCCGACGGATTCTCAGATAATCTTAGATTTAGCCGACATGGAAGACCAATATAAGCTCTTGGGGTAAATAGCGCGATGCACCCCACAATCCGCCAATGCTGTGTTCTTGTGACCCGAATGATCTGGGAAGCTTTGTACACGAATAATAGTGAAAGAACTTTGGTAGGTTGAACCTCGTTCTTAGCAAGAGGCGAGTCTGATACATGCCAGCACTTGTTCCGACCTCAATAAGGTGTGCCCATTAGGAATGCCGAGGATATCCAGTCAGTGACAAAGCAAGAAATCGCACGTTGGACCGTGGCAAGATTGTGAAGTCCTCATACCAGAGATACAAATCATCTCCACGGACTCTTGTGGTTTGTGAAGCGGCGGTGGATGTAGCTAGTTGAGAAAGATCGTTTGGAGTAGACAGTGAAACGTCATTGTAGTGATACTTTTACATGGCGAAGATCTCTGCTGCACGCGGACTTTGCGAACTTAGAGATGTGCTACAGAGAGGAAGGAATGGAAACGACAAGCTTTGAGAGAAAGCTTTGAAAATACAGTTGGAGTATAAGCGGGGCATATTGTAAGCTGCCTAAGGCAGAAACCACTCTACGCGTTCGTCGCGTCTCCTCGAAAAGTGTGCACTCTTAATGCAAATACCCAAGGCCTATTGAAGACCCAAACCACCGAAATGTCGGACTTCGAAGATGAGATGGACGTTGATGCGCCAGCCGCAAACAATCCGGTTTTGTTCAGCTCAGATAACACGAATTCCAAAGGCAAACGAAGTGCTGCGAATTTACCAGTTGAAGCAGAAGATAGTCTGCCTTGGTAGGAGCCGTCATCAAGTTTCCGTGAACGGTACTGACTTACCATAGGGTAGAAAAGTATCGTCCAGATACGCTAGAAGATGTTTCTGGTCATCAAGATATTCTAGCGACCGTCAATCGATTCGTAGAAACAAACGTTAGCACTCCAGCAACCTGCCATTGTCAATTCAAGCTAATAGTAGCAGAGATTACCACATTTACTATTTTATGGTCCTCCAGGAACAGGAAAAACTTCAACCATCCTAGCTCTCGCTCGAAGAATATACGGCGCAAAGAATGTGCGGCAGATGGTGCTCGAATTGAATGCGTCCGATGATCGTGGTATCGATGTTGTCCGGGAACAGATCAAGACGTTTGCAAGCACGAAGCAGATATTCACGATGAACCAGACTGCAGCCACGGCCGTGCCGACATATAAGCTTATTATTCTGGATGAGGCAGATGCTATGACTTCAGCGGCACAGATGGCATTGAGACGAATTATGGAGAAATATACAGCAAATACTCGATTCTGCATTATCGCGAATTATACCCACAAACTCAGTCCAGCGTTACTCAGTCGATGTACCAGATTCAGATTTAGTCCTTTGAAGGAAAGAGATATCAGAGTTCTTGTTGATAAGGTCATCACGGAGGAAAATGTTCAAATAAATACACAGGCAACAGAGGCGCTTGTGCGATTGAGTAAGGGAGATATGCGAAGAGCGCTGAATGTATTACAGGCATGTCATGCAAGCAGTAGGTACAATCGCTCGACGAAATGGGATCCGACTGATAATTATTCAAGGCACACCAATCCACATTAAGGGAACGCCAAAACCAGCAGAAAAGGACATCAAAAGAGATCTGATAACCGAAACAACTATTTACGAGTGTATTGCATCACCACACCCCGAGGATATTACCAAAATCTTAGATACACTCCTCAAAACTTCCGACGTTACGTCTTGCTTACATCTTATCAACACCTTGAAGGCCAGTCAGGGACTAGCATTGGCAGACATCATCACCGCATTAGGTGAAGAGTTAACGAAACTCGACGTCGCGCCCGCCGTGATGATCACCTGGTTGGATGGACTAGCAGAAGTGGAATACAGACTTAGTGGTGGAGGCGGAGAAATTGTGCAGACAGGTGCGGTCGTTGGGGTTGTGAGAAACGGTGTCGAGCTTATGGGAAATGCCACATGATGGAAATGATATAGCGTTGTGCATTTATGGTATCAGGAGTTCAGGGAATTATATGGAATTCAGAATTACGACTGTGGCTCTTGACGATATATTTCAAGGTGTAGGGAATTGAGGACTGGCGAAACAACTTACTGCATAGCCAAATGGCTTCGACGTGAAATGTTGAACAATAATGAAATACACGCAATAAGAATCCAGCTTCACAATTCTAAATGTTCCACCGTGCTCAAATTACCCCAGGTGTGCGCCACTCCGCGCACGACATACGAGGGCAGCATTATAATTTGCTTTAAAAAACATGTTTTCATCCAATCAGGATACAGCGGCTCAATGGTCTAGTGGTATGATTCTCGCTTTGGGATTGATCAGTTCATCTGATTAAAAAGATGTGAGAGGTCTCCGGTTCAATCCCGGATTGAGCCCTTCTTTTTGATTCTTTTTGGGTTGCTCGTGCTGACTGGTTGTCGTCGCATACCCTTGGTGGTGTTTGTATCGAGCTTTTTTTTGTAAGGTTTTTGGGAGCTGAGAAGAAAAAACAACCTGCTGACGAAACCCGCGCAAACAAATTCCGTTGTTTGTAAATATATTTCTCTTATATGATTCATTTTGGCATAGTTGCTTAGTTTTATAGGGAGTCAGACAATTTTTGGGTTACGATCTGGAAATTTAACTTTCTTCTTAGTTCGTGCTTTTTCTTCTCGATATCTAAATCCACGATATCTGACCAAATAAGTGAGAAGAGAGATGTGGTAGTTGCATAATATGCTCTTGAAAGTGAGAATGCCTTGCGTATTTCTTTCACAGTTTAGTAAAATTATCACGTAAAATACAGCTTCTACAAAGCCATCGTCGAAGAGACAGACTGGCCGACAACGGATGCAGTAATGAACTCACTATTTCGGGTTGAAATCCTCAGATCGTGAAGACGGAAACTCCTCGTCGGCTTAAAGACACTCCAACCGGCCTCAAGCTCGAAGACAGACTCGGCACCTAATATTCACTGAGTTAACAAAAGACAGAATGAACACAAAGGTGAGGTAATGTCTGTCAAGCTTGTGTTGCACATCGCGATTTCTAACCTAATGCTATCAAGGTTGTTTTTGGTTTCGTAGTCTTATGTACTAATTAGTAGTCTTATGTTAGCGTAGGACATTACTGTATTCAGTGACTGTACTACCTGAATGACGCGGGATAGAAACCGCGATATACAACAAAATAGCAGTGTTGTAGTAAACTGGATGGGTCAGGGGTTGTTAGCTTAGGATGGGAAAATGCGACGTGCAACAAAAGACTAGACAGGAAAATGTAAGAAGCTTTTGGGAGAAATTAGCCTAGGATAGGAAAATGCGATGTGCAACCAAGGGGTGGTGTATTAGAATACTGGAGGTGCCAGAGAGTTGCTAGCTTAGGATGCGACGTGTAACAAAATATAAGTGTATTAGTATACTAGAGGCGTTAGGGTGTTGTTAGCTTAGGATAGAAAGTGCGATGTGCAACAAACGCAAAGGTAGTGGGATCCTAGATACTGCTGTTAAGTTGCTAGCTTAGGATGCGATGTGCAACAAAACTTTGACGTACAGTTGTGAAAGTGAACTCGGTAGTGAATGTGATTGTGACGAGTGGAGTGAATCTGATGATTGGTAATCAGTGCGTGTAGATGGACGAAGATGAAGTGAGTATTCAGTCTCAGGATTGCGGATTACTATTTGGTTTCTTGCGTCAAAACTACAGCTTCAAGGCAATAAGTATACGATGAGAGAAAAAGACAGAGTCAACAAGAGGACTTTTCAATAATTACTTTGTCTTCCTTTCAAGAACTTATGTATTTAGAAGACACATGGTATTAGGGACCAAGGCAATTGTTGAATATGCCATGACAAAAAGCGCTGAGCATATTCCCGCGCCGCTCCGAGAGCAATACCAAACGCCCAACGCCAAACCAATAAACAAAAAGCCAACATCCTCAGATGCTCTTCAAAGCGTGACAACAAAAATCTACTTCACCTCCTTGATCGTAATCAGTGGAACAGGTTTGTCTTTGCTCAGAGACTCTCCAACATGGTCACTCATATCCTCACCATCCTCCGCATTTGCACTCTCGCCGTTCATCACCCCCTCCTCGACCCAAGCTCTGAAATCTGTGTTGTACTTGTAAAACTTAACTAAGGTCTTCCTATTTGGAGTTTCCAATCCCATAACCCAAGCGAGCGGTCCGGTGAAAGTTTCCTCGTGAGTAAATAGCGTATGTCCAGGGTTTGTTTTCGACGGCTCAAACTTAAATGTATGCCAGCCGCATAGAAGATTGAGGTAAGTGTAAGGCCAAGGTCCGCGCCAGCGAAATGCTGTGGGTGAGTTTTCTAGGATTGTTGGTCGTGCTACGATGCCGCCGAGTTTGTTGTGCATACGATCGCCTGGGACAAGTTCTGCGCCGGTTTTACCAAGTGGCATTGGTGTCAGTGATAGAATGAAGCCGCTGTGGTATTGGGGTATCAGGTCGAATTGGAGGAACTAGTATACATGTCAGTACTTGTTTTTGAACTTTCATTTTCGTCATATGAGAAAAATGATAAGACATCGGATCTAATGAGACATACCTTCTCTCTAACCCCCTCGACGTTTTTGGCAATTTCGATCTCGCTGTGTACTTTCGTCTCCCATACCGTCCTCTTGATTCGTCCCCACAATCCTGATGCTGTCTCCATTTTCTTTTTGTGGTCTTGGAATTGTCGATCTCTCGGTGTTGCTTCTTTGGGAAAATATGATGCGTAATATGTGTGATTATTGTCAGATGTGTGAGATGGAAATGTTGTGGTGATCATGCTTGTATTGAGACTTGGTATTTCGAAAGCGTGACGGGACATGAAACCACTTCGTTGGTCAGGCAACTTTATTTGTTTGTGGAAGTCTTTTGGTGAATCAAGTACAAGTCCGAGATCAACAGGTATCAGATTTTGTGCAGATGTAACTTCTCAGCATAAATCCAAGCGTGAATATGTATAATTCAACAGTAGATTCTCGTAAACACAGATCAACAGTGGCTGGTTATCCTTGCCGGAAAACTGTCTGGGGTCCTCAATTCATTTTGTAGTTGATGTCTTAGACCCACATATCGTGGAGTTCTGAGCTGTACGATGAGATCGTCGATGTTTTGCATGGGCAAAACAGATGGTTCCGTCTGAAAACGGACGACGGGGATGGTCTTGAGTCGATGGAGGAAGCTGTAGGGCAGAAGCGGGGCACCATTATGTAAGCGACGATGCTTATTTCGACTTCGAAAGGCTACCTGCACTTCGGGATCACCAACACCGACTTTTGTACACGTTGCAGAGCTCAGCAGGGAGCAAACTCTTTCTCATTTTGATCTTCTGAAACATCACCTGGACAGTGGCGCTCTGGATTGCATATTGAACATGGTGTCGGCCCTTCTAGCTGCCTCAAGTCACCTTCTACTTCTCGCGGAATCAAGGCCAATGCAACTTCGAAATCCCAAGACCAGGGAGTCGTTTCCTCACTTGGGATGTCTCCGATCCTTGAGACTAACTTCATACGGGTATCAAATATGATTCATTGCTATTTCAAAAACTAAGTATGGCTTTTCCCCAGTCAGATGCGCAAATCGAATCCCGACAGATGCAACGCATACACCCCAGCAAAGAACAACTCAACAGCCACCACTTTTCAGATGAATGTTCTACGTCATCATGCACTTTGGATCCAATCCGGAGATTTCTCGCTACCAGTAGAAGCCAAGTACCGAGTGCCAAAAGTAACAGCCGTGATCTACCGGATCAAATATCTGGAGCGTGATGCCAAGGTTAAGATTGCATCTCCCCTCTCTCCTTTACCTCTCACGCCTCAATTGAGCTAGGTTCTGCTTCTCTCTTATGATCTCGCGTTCGTTCAACGAATCGAAGCATCTCAATGGGGGAGTTATTGTAGACTGTTTGTTGATGTGCATCAGCGTTAAGTTTAGTCTTCAAAGCTTGATTGTCAGGAGACAAGCTGCAATAGGGCACCAGTAGGTCCAGAACACTTAGGTGTGATCCAATTGCGTCGTTGATGCACTGTGTGCATGGATAAGCTGCGTCTCCCCATCTAACCATTTGTCAGTGCTGTTTTCACTAACCAACAAAACTACTTCATCACTTACGGTCCGCTATCTCCTTCACCGATGCCAACATGTCCTCCTTGAAGACGGCAAAAGCAGTCCCAAGTGTCAGTAGCGTCGGGCTTATTGTAGCATGTATCTCAGATGAAGCGAGCTTTGGTGCATGCATCGGAAGCTTTCTCGGTGTAAGTAACTATCAAGGGTAAAGAAGGATTGGATGCTTACCCAAGCATGCGCGTCCCTGAGGACCGACTGGATCTTGCGCGGTGAAGCTGAGTACCTCGATAGATGACTTGTTGGTGACAGTCTGCTTTTTGACACCGGCCTTCAGGTCATCAACAGCCTTTTGGTAATCTGTCTGAAGGAAGCAATATGGCTGGATCAGGCCGAAGGCGTCGAGGTGTAAGTTTGCAGCGGTATTGATACAGGATGCACAATCGGAAGCAGAAGTACCCCAACTTTATGTCTTAGTTAGCACAGGTTGCGAGAAGGACCGAGCATTACTTAAGCTCCAAAAGCTCCTCCACCAGGTCCAGCATGGCCACCTTGAACTCTACAAAAGCAATCCCAGATATCGACAGGATTGGTGGACTGAAAACACTGGGTCCAAAGGCCACGAGCTGTGTTACAGGAATCGGATGCTGTACAAGATTAACACTAATACTAACCCGAAAAAGCTGGCAACTTACAGTAGCATTTCTCCAAAGCAGGTGACAGACTATGTTGACGAGTCACAAGTTCACGAGTTTCAACACCACGAGTTGCCTTCCTGGAACAAACCTTACAGACTGCCTCTGGCAACGAAAACGGGAAAATCACATTCTCCAGCTCCTTAGCCGCAGTCGTAAATTTGGTCAGATCACCACCCGAGCAGAACTCCGCAGCGGCAAGACCCAAAGCGGTTGAGAGCGTGGTATCACCAGGCGTAACGACTTCCTCAACACAAGGCGCACAGCTCTCAACAAGCGCACTGTACCATTCATAGTGCCATAGCCCATCGAGGTTGTTGGGGCCCCCGCAGAGACATTGTTGCATGGTCTCTGAAGGACGGGTTTTGGTGGTGTAGGTTTGACATTCGGACCAGGCTTTGACGGCTTGTTTGCAGTTGTTTTCTGGGGAAGGTTATTTTGGAGATCGGAAGAGGGATTGAGAGGATGGACTTACTCTCGCATGCTTTGAGGGCTTTGAGGGTGGGGCGTGGAATGGCGGTTTCTGGGGTGCGGACGTCGATGGCGAGGGCACTGATGAGGGGCAAGGCTGCGAGCAGCGATGCGATGTTTGAGAGCTTCATAGCGAGGTCAGGTTTGCGGTGAGAATTTTGAGATCTGGAGAGAGGTTAGTATGTCGTGTTTAGGTGTGCTAATACATCTTTAGATTGAGGTTGCAGATCTGAGGCTTCGATGTGCTGTGAAGATCTGAGGGCGGAGAAATACTTCGTAAACAACATCGAAGCTCCAGATCTACTCAACGGCGCTTTCACGTTCAACTTGAAAACATTCAAGAGAATCACAGTAAGCAAACCCACATACCTAAGAATCTTTCCAAGTCACCAAAGATGCGGAACAGTTCAAGAAAAAAAGCCGGTCCTTTTCTGTGAGCAAAAGAGTTGGGCGGGAGAAGGAGAAAATATTCAGAGAGGCTTCTCAGAGCTCTTATAGCCGGACTTACGGTTGGGGTGCTTAAGTTGGTGAAATTGAAAGGAGGGTGCACGGGTGGAAATGAGCAGGATTTAATTGGAGGAGTGGGAGGGAACTGGAGGCGAGGAGAATGTGAATAGGTGTTGAATGGGACGATTTGAAAGGGATGGGTAGTGAAATGGGGTGATTTGGGTGAGAGGGAAAGGCGAATTGGCAATTCACTAATGTGTCTTGTTCAGAAGGGTTTGTAATTCAGTTGGGAGGGGCACAACTAACGTGAAGAAAAGAATGCGTGAAATTCTGATAACTGCTAATAGAAGCATAAATGAGGCTCACATAGGCTGCTAACATAAGCGCTGATGAACAATATTGATTGAACCGCGAATGAGATTTGCGTAAGCTTACCTGAATCTTTTCCATTGAAGTTCTTGAGATTCATTAATTTAGGTTTGAGAAAAAAAAGGATGTGAGGATCTCGCAATAAGTTTGGCTCAATTGATAGCATATGTAGGCAGGGTTTATATGATGGAAAAGACTCGGATCTTAAACATAAATCCTGAAGCCCAGAATACAAACCAACATCTCTTAACCGAAATTTCTAACGGCCCAGGATCTTCTTTAAGCGTTCATGAGTAGAGAGAGTCAGAGGAATGGAGTGAGTCTGGTTAGTGGCATTAGGCAAGAGAAGGGGAAATATGACATAAATATCAACGCTCAAATCCCAAGCAGCATCTACCAAAAGCGAGATTGGAGAACTTTCAAAGTTTCGTCAGTTGTAAGACCGACAGGACACATCCTTCGACAAAATAAGGATGCTTTGCCAAAAACGCTAGGATACTTAATTTGGTTGAGTCAAGATACAATATTGTTTCTAGAAGAAGGGCTAATTATGATACTTAGGCGTCAGAAAGTCGTTTCTCAAATGCTTGTTCACATAACGGTCGGACTGTCTGCCTAGTTATCTTGTCAAGAGAAAGTATGATATGTCACTCAAAATAACCTCTGACAGAAACGCCGTCACTTAAGGGTATAGGTGTATTATATAATATCCCTTCTATCATCCACCTCATTACTATTACCACCTCAACTCTATCCCCACATTTCAACGTCTAATATCGTTATCCTACATTCGTTCCACATACTCAACCCTCTCGCTATATGGGGTATACTATTTTAAACACCAATACAGAATCATCTATAACAACCAAGCGCGACATCTCTCAACCAAACCCTGACTTGTTCCAGCGATTGGCAACTCCCCATCAAAACCGCTATTCAACATCCCCATCTCAAGCGCAGTATTAAACGGCTCCGCCGTAGCTGTCACATGGATGACAGGGAGAGCACTGAGTGCCGGCATTGGTGGTGAAGATGGTGGTGGCCACACAGGGGAGGCAGGACTGTATTCTGGGGAAGGAGCGGCCAAGGAGGGTGGTGGTGCGCGGGGGTAGTCCGACGGGGAGAGAGGCCTGAATTCTGGGGAGGGTGGTGGTGGGAGTGCCGACGGGGATGGGTAGGGTGCCGGTGGGAGAGGGCGGGAATCTGGGGCGACGGTTGGAGCCGACGAGGGAGGTGTGTTGTAGAACTCTGCCCCGATGGTGATTTTTGGGGCGGAATTTGGGACGGAGGCCGAGGGAGAGGTGGGTGTGTTTGGGAAGAACTGAAAGCTGTTAGTGCTTAGTTTGAATGATCTTGGAGGGTAGCACAGGATAAGCGGCAAGCCATTGAGTGTTTCAGGAGTTCCAATTGAATTCCTGAGAACAATTGACGAAATTTCGAAATTTCGTCAATCACTATGGCGAAATGTTGCATTTCACTTGTCCACTCCGATTACTATGGAAAGCACTTACAGCCAATCCATTCTTCGCCCCTGCTTCACCCTTTCCAGCAGTCGACCCACGTTTTGGGTGTATACAGGCCTGATGGAACTACTTCAAAGTTAGTTTTTGAAAAACGTGATCGTTTAGCACACGTGATAAATGACAGTAAGTAACGATACAATTCCTCAAGTAATTACGTCATATTTGACCCTTTGCAGTCGTCAAGTCACAAGAGACTTTTGCGTACAATCTGATTCCTCAAAGCAATTGACGCATTGGCGATATTTCGTCAATTAAATCGAAGAAATATCGCAATTCCATGTCCGTTTCTTTTTCGTGGGGGAAAGTAGGAAAGAACTTAAGGTATCTCTTTCCTCACTCAGAGGAAATACAACTGCCTTAAAGAAAGAACCTACAGGTGCAGGTCTAATTTCATGTCCGCCAGCGACGAACCCAGCAAGAATACCTTGTCCGCTACTGGCACTGGCCCCCTGCGGAGACTGGTACCTGAAGCCTACATCGGCGACAGAGCCTCGCGTGTAATTATATCCACCAGAGCCCTCCATGGCAGGAGCGACCGGGCAGACGTCCTTTTCAGCAGAGAAAGGGGAGGCGGAGGTGGAGAGACAACCTTTGGTTGACATGGTAGGTGTGGGTGAGGAGGTGAGAGGTGAGAGAAAGGGGGTGATAAGCTGCAGGGTAAGAGCGATGAGAGGAAGCGTTGGAAGTGTGGAAAGAGAGAAAGAAGGGTGCGGGAGAGTCGGGTTCTTTATAGTCAGGCCCAGAGCGACTAAACTAAGAACCCCACACCCACCTTGATCTGGAAGAGCTTTGCGATCGGGAGAGCAAAACTAAGATGGGTAATTATAATTGCATTATTATCCTACTGAGAGAGTGCAGAAGAAAAAGCCGTCCAAAGCCAGAGATTTGAGCTCATCAAGAGCTCTAAACATGAAGGGGTAGACTTATGACGCAGTATCGCAGCTTTCGCACTGGGACGCTCAAGGCACTTCTGCCATTTTGTTAGATACCCTGCAAACCACTGACAGCTTTGTATTGCTTTAACTAGGAAACTCGTCCACTTGCTTTGAAGTGTCGCGCGCGCTTCTTGCCCTGGCACGGATGACACTGCAAATTGGTAGGGGACACCGTACAATCTCGTTCCAACGAGTACAACGCACTTTTAACATCTAATATGAATGCAATTACAGTGCTAACTATAGCAGAGACTCAATCGCGACCTTTCGCTGAGATACTTTGAAGTGTCGTGCGCATTTCGGCCATCAGAATCCGATGACGAATGAATATTCTAGACTCGCCCACCAAAATTCTGCTCCATGATATCACAAGCTTAGAACCCGACCCCTCGCAAATATCTCTTAACATCTTGGACCGCAATACTTCTTTTTTGTCGCGAAAGGCCATCATCTGAACACTCTCCCTATCCGCAGACAGCTCGCACAGCAACAACGCGACAAAAATGCAGATGCGAACCACGACGATATTCGGGGCATCCTATCGCCCCGAGCTTCCCGCACGACGCTTTGGAAGCTCCAGGAACAATATAGCCGGTTCGCAGCATCAAACTCTGGTTTACACGAGAAGAGAAATAGGGGGGACGTTGGAGGAGTTACGCGAAAGTCAATATTTGGTTACAAGAGACGCGACGCCACAGCATCGGTACAGGGATGATCGTCGGGCGGGTGGGTGCTTTCTCTGTAATATGAGGGACAACATTGGTGTTTTGTTCGAATTTACAATTGATTTGGGGGTAAAATTTTGGGTTTTGGTAGGAGATAGACGTGGTGGTACGATGGAAAGCTTGTTCAGAAAATCTTTGGTGATTTGGTGATACCTGATGGGTTGGGTTGGGTTGGTGTTATTGGATTATACTAGGGATGTTACGTTGTGTTTGCCAGTCTGGTATAGGAAGGGCTCCCTTCGGTTTCTGGATTGAACATTGGTATTACCTTTGGATACAGCTTTATTAATTGTGTTATACGGCAAGGAAGTGTTCAAGAACCCAATACTTGTGCGCATTAATGCGACGCACGTGATCGCGAACTCTCCAAATTTCGAGGCTCGAGCTCCAAATCTAACACAATCCTACCTCCTCACAACCAGGCCTCATTAACTTGCAGGTCTCCCTCCAAGATGTCATCTCTTTATAACCTCGAGCCACAGCCTACCGCATCCTGTATCTTTCATACCACCTCCGGCGACATATCACTCGAGCTCTGGGCGCAACAAGTCCCCCTCGCATCCCGGAATTTCCTCCAACTAGCACTCGATGGATACTACGACAACACAATATTCCACCGCTTAGTCCCCGGTTTCATACTCCAAGGTGGTGACCCAACTGGCACTGGGAACGGCGGTGAAAGCATATACGATGGCGGCGCATACAGTGAAGCCCGCGAATTGGGCGGGATATGGCCGATGGAGGATCGCAAAGGGAAGAACGCGGGGATGCACGGTGTAGGGTTCAAAGATGAATGGCATTCAAGGATAAAATATAATCGGAGGGGTCTACTGGGAATGGCTAATGATGGCACGGCGGACTCGAATGGAAGTCAGTTTTTTATAACATTAGGCAATACACCGGAATTACAAGGCCGGAATACGCTATTTGGACGGGTGGAGGGCGAAACTATCTATAATGTTGCGAAGATGGGGGAGGCGGAGGTGGGCGAGGGTGAACGGCCGATCTATCCAACGAGAGTTACGTCAGTAGAGATATTAGTTAATCCGTTTAAGGATATGGTTAGGAGGGTTAAGGAGGTTGTGCCGGTGGTAGAGGAGAAGAAAGTGGAAAGGAAGAAGAAGAGGAAGGGGAAACAGTTGTTGAGTTTTGGGGGAGAGGAAGAGGAGGATGTACAGCCGGTTGTCAAGAGGAAGAAGTTTGATGAGAGGATTGTGGTAGATGATGGAGAGGTGGAAGAAGTCAAAGCCAAGGCGCCGAAAGAGAGTAAGAAGAGAGTTGTGAAACCAGTCTCTATCGAGTCTTCACCGGAACCTGCACCGTTACCTAAGGCTCTGCCGAATCGAGCTGCGAAAGTTGAGAGTAGGGATGTATCTTCATCCCCAGAACCTGTACAGAAAGTCTCGTCCCTACTGGATCGAACGAATGCACAGATTGCCGAGTTAAAGGCGTCGATGAAACGAAATGTCGCGGTAGCGCCAACAAAGGAGAAGAAGAAATCAGCATTGGAGGAACTGATACCCGTAACATCCATACGAGGAAGAAAACGAAGGCCAGGAGGAAACGCACCACCAGATGAACAAGGAACTTTGGACATGTTAACAGCATTTAAATCACAACTAGACGCCGCTCCTCCCGAGAAAGAAGTCCCTAAACCAGAACCAATCCCTGGAACAGCGGAAACCAAAGACGCCGAACCCGACGACGACGAAGCCGCTCTCTGTGACTTACATTTTATAGCTGGTTGCGAATCTTGTAAGAAATGGGATACCCAAGCAGACGGAGAAGAAGAAGAAGAGGATGATAATGACTGGATGTCTCACGCGCTTAGTTTCAAAGAGGATAAGTTAGGCAAGGATCTTAGTTATCGCCAGAAAGCGCTGGAGGAGCTGGTGGTTATTGATCCGAGGGAGAAAGAGAGGACGTTGAAGGAGGAGATGAAGGCGAAAAGGGACGCTCGGAGTGGTGGTGGTACTGGGAGGGAGTGGGATCAGGCGAGAAATAAGAAGATGGCTAGGGCTTCGGCCGCCGCGGGGAGAGCGGCTAGGTAGAGTAGGTAGGTTTATTGAAAGTAACCATTTTGATCCCCTCTTTGTATTCTGTTACTATTCTTTTCCGAAATGTATGTGATCACAACAAAAGGTTGAGCAAAAGCATTCCACAACGCATTAAAACCAACAATCTCCTTCTCTGCACGACTCAATGGTGCTGCCGATAGACCTTCGCCACCTCCTCCACCCTTTTAATCTCTTTCTTCAGCCTTCTAATCTCTTTCTTCAGACGTTTTGATTCCTCACGTTCTGAATGACCTCCTTTCGCTTCTCCTCGTCTCAATGTTTTAGACAACTTCTCACGCAACCTCTTAGGCCCGGTAGATTTTGCGATCTCTTGTGCTGTTGATAGAATAACACCTTGTGCTTTGCTAACAATCATACCCTCAGTACCTTGGACTGCAAGCATCAATAGAGCGCGAATGGTGAAATTTGCGTCGTTGCCTGCTATGTGTGGCAGGTTACATGGACATTCTAGTTCCACCAAGCGGTCTCTCAGTCCTATTGGGCAGTTCAAGTGAAGTATGTCACAAGCAGCCTTTTGAGGGTCTATTATACCGACTGGGTCCAGGTCGATCTCGAGTTCGGTCAGAAGCCATAGATCATTCTTGCTGCCGAAAACCACGAGAACTACGTCCCTGTCGATAACCGGATTTTCGATTTCTTCCTTGATCTGACACACATCAACAGTTTTCGATTGACCGAACAGAAATCTTCTGGAAGCTCTTGCGCAGTAATCGGGGGGACCGACACAACAATTTTGAGTTCTGAGCAGATTGTCTCGTTGAAGAGATGTAGTAGTGTGACCAGATATAAAACTCCCACGCCCCAGTATCTAGGATAGAGATTCCTACTTGAAACTTTTCTGCGAGGGGGGTTTGGCCTACTACAATGCCTTCCGTGTCAAGTGAAAGAAACAAAACGTCTTTCAACGGTATACACGTCAGATGCTGGGAGTCCTCAGATATTCGTACAGGCTGCCGGACCGGAAGACCAAGGAAGTGAAGAAGAAGTTGTCCATCTTGAAACACCTGTCTGCTCATTGAACGCTCATGTGGTTTGACAATCTCTCCCATGTTGGAACTGATTGTCGGGCACAGGTAGATGCTTAAGCTAGCCTTGATAGAGAAGAAATATCGATTGTACAACACAGTATTCGTGCGCAGCTTGGGAAATTTTAGCAAGTTGACAACGCGTTTATGAGGAAGAGATTTTGGGCTCACAGATTCGATATTCTCACGACGTAGCAATCATTGTCTGTAGGAGGAGGCGTCGTTGAGGGGCGTGGAGTGGTATTCGGGTGCTATGTGCAAACACTGATTGCTGAGTCTGGACTGCTAGAGTCCGCTCGTTCATATCAAGGGGAGTCTGACATTCATAAATTCACTAGTTTTCGCGGGTCCCTTCTGAGCGCCTTTCAGATTTTTGTAATTATGTATCAAATTCGGTCACTCGCTGGTGATGGGGAAAAATCGAATGGAGTGCATTTTGTACTGTTAACGAGTTCTTCCTTGGGAAGAAATTCCGACACTTACCTAACCTACTAAAGAAAGATTGAGGTGGCCAAACCCTCAAACCACGGTTCGCTCAAGTAATCCGGTTCTTGTGATAATCCCAATAAAGGTACTACTCTTCTCGAGGCGATACACTTTGTGAAGGTAACTTTTTGTTCGAAAGCTATGTTTTGACATGAAGCTGTTCCTAGAGATTACGGAGGTCTACGGGTATATACTTTGGAGTCGTCATCAGAAGCGCACGTGAAAAAAGGTCGGCAGGATCAAGATGAGTAGTATATCAGCCCTTGGATTCTGCCCTCTATCCTCTGCACTTCATTTGCCCTCCAGCCATCTGCACTGCAACACTCTGGCCTCTCCCTCGGACACTCCAAGGAGTCATAATTCCGGTGAGGCTGCAAGAGGTACGTGGAGGCCAACCACGGCCAATTTCAGCCTTACCGGCTATAGGTCCGATACGCCGGCTAAACCTCGCTTGCCAAATGCCGCTGCTAGGGCCGAATTACGATGTTGAAAATAGCACCGCCAAAGTGACGTGTGGAGAGTAATCCACCAAAAAACATACGACCGCAACAACTGCGAATGCGATCATACACACACACTCACGCGCACTACACTTACGCTACAATGAATTTACACATTGGTATATGAATCCACTCATTCAGAACTCAGACCACTATATCATTGCGAAAAGGAAATTGGGAAAGACATTCAAGGAACGAAACAGCCTCACGATCAACCCACGAACCTGCAGCTTTCCGAACCCCCCGCATTGACATTTCTGCTTGATCAACCACGATTCGCCGTCTGTCAAAGACCATTTCTGGAGAGAATAGAGATTTTGTAAGGCTGCTTGTGGACAGACTATCTTTGGTTACGTTGGGAGACTTCTTTGATATAACTGTGCGCCCATCGGAGATTTATACAGACATACTTTCCGCCAAAGCATAGACGAGCCCTCCGAGACTCTTCTCGCGCAAACAAACTTTTCGCGACTCATTTGGCGCCAGTATACGATCGGCTGTCTACATATTGCGATTTGAGCAGGAACTAGATTGGGGGTTTGGCGTTACAAGGAAGCGTAGGCTACAGGAGAGCGGCCGGCTTGCGGACAGATTCACTCTCCAGCGGCTGTTCGATTGTGACGCTCACCGTTCTGCAACCTTATATCTTACTAGGTAGCTCCATATATTCGAGGTCGCCCCTTCCTCATGCCTCCAACAAACACGAAGAAGCGTTCAGCACCAGGCTCCTCACCAGCCATGCAAGCCGCCCAGATGCCGCAGTCCTACACTGCACCTACCCACCAAGTCTCGAATCAGGAATACGCTCGTTACAATCAAAATACAGACAATCAGGTCTTTCAGGATCCTTCGACTTATAATTTGAATGCTTATGGGGGGAATGTTATCCAGCAGGGACAGTTTGATCTATCAACTCCGCAGCCGAATCAACTCCCGTCGACACAACTCGCGCGCAGACCACATAACAGACAACTTGTCCCAACAGCGCAACCATACGACAGTACTGTTGATAGATGGTTAGGGGATGAATTAATGCAGGATCCTCAGCCAGGGAACGGGATGGAGGAGTCGGACAATATTGAGTTGTTGGAGGAAAAGGCTGCGGTAGCAAAGAGAGACGCACAGTCGAAGCGCAAGCAGATTCCGCCGTTCGTTCAAAAGTTAAGCAGGTGAGTGCTGTTCATATCTACTTCTAATGGACGATTATCTAACTAGATCATTTACAGCTTCCTCGATGGTGCAAAAAATACTGAGTTAATACGATGGTCTGATCGGGGAGATTCCTTTGTGGTCCTTGACGAAGACGAGTTTGCTAAAACCTTGATTCCCGAACTTTTCAAACACAACAACTACGCCTCGTTTGTTCGACAATTAAACATGTATGGGTTCCATAAGAGAGTTGGGCTGTCGGACAATTCGATGAAGGCAAGTGAGAGGAAGAACAAGAGTCCGAGCGAATACTACAATCCCTATTTTAAGCGTGGCCATCCAAATTTGCTATGGCTTATCAACAAGCCAAAGGGCGGAGGCAAGGCAAAACCCCAGGGTAGTGGGCCGGGACCTGGACCTGTGCCTATTCGCGGGATTGTGAAAAATGACCCGGATGTTGATAGTGATGAAGATGGACAAAATGGGATCGAAGAGATATATCGAGAACATATACCTGGAACATCTCGTGCTATATCTCAGGCACCCGAAGGTGGCCAGTTACAGAAACGAGAATTGGCTGTGGTACAGCATCAGCTGGCGGAGATACAAAAGCAACAAGGACAGATCACGAATGCGTTATCACGAATACGAAAGGACCATACTCAACTCTTTCAGCAGTCACTAAATTTCCAAAACCTCCATGATCGACATGAGAATTCCATCAATGCTATTCTTACTTTCCTGGCAACTGTGTATAACAGAAGTTTGGATGGAAATAATCCACAGAACTTTGCTCAGATGTTTGCAAACGGTATTCCTCACGACCAGCATACCCAGGGAAATGTTGTTGAAATCCGGGAGCCAACAAACCAAACACAAAATCCAGCGAATGTTAGCCCTCAGAGACGGCAGCAACGGCTGCTCATGGCTCCACCTGCAAATGGTAATCGGGCGGAGACTCTTTCACCAACATCCACCCCACGAGCTCAGAACTTTCCACCCAAAACAGCGGCTGTGGAAGAACTTTTCGATAGCCCAGCTGACTCGCCTGATATTAAAACCGAGCAAGATCCACAACCACAACAGCAACCTGATATCATGATGAATATCATCAACAATACCAATGCGCAGAATGGTCCAAACATCAACGCCATGGAATTTCCAGAAATGCTCCAACACTATGAGAACGCAAATGGACAATCACCCTTAACACCGGATCAACGAAACACCATGCTCAATCTGATAGCCAACAGCTCATCCGCACCCGGAACGAATAACGCTCTAGTCAGCCCCTCACCCCCCGAACCACCAAGTCTTAGCGGCCTCGAATACACCCAAGCAGATATAGAACGTCTCCTCCAAGCACATACCGCGACCGGCGAACAAATCAACAACGTCGAGAACTTCATAAAACAACCTCTTGACAACTCAATCCCCATCCTCGACGACACAACCCAATACTTTGATAACCTCGACTCGAACGGGAATCTCGACATGGATCAATTCCTCGACGACGGCGCGTTCTACGGCGACACGAGTCCGACCGGTAATGCGAACTTTGATTACGCGTCGTATGGGAATGGAAATATGGGAGAGGATTTTGATTTGGGTATGGATGGTACTGATGGGAATGCGAGGATTGTGGAGGCGGAGAGTGAGGCTGTTACGCCTGATGATGGGGGCGATGGGGGGAGGAGTAGTCCTAGTAAGAAGAGGAGGAGGAAGTAGAGGGCTTGAACGTAGTGGACAGAGTGATGATGGATGATGAATTTATGAAGGGGTGGAGCATGGATATGGTGTTATTTCTTCAAAGGACAAGAATTTGAGAAGCGCTCTGGCTTTGCTTTTGTCTGTGCGTATGTGGTGTTTGTAGGTGTATATGCTCTCTGATCAAATCCGGGACGGTGTTTTTTGGCGATATAATTTGTGGAACGGATGGGGATGGAAAATTGGGGGGTGGGGAGGTTTAGATTCTTAGGGGTGCGTAGTTTATAAAAATGGGTTAAACTTATCTCTCGAGACTGCTTGTAAACCCTTTCAGTGACAAGAGGCAAACAATTTTAAAATACCCTACAGTCAGCATCACCAGGACATAGAACTGTTACATGGCTGAGCGGAAAGACACCGATACTAAAAATCTGTGGAAACTTTGATATCGAATAAGATCAGGAAGCTTGGGTTGGTCGATATGGAGATCCAATACCCGAACTCCCATCCTCGGCTGCAAATATGATGGTGCATGGGTTGGGTGAGTGATGTGCGGAAGGTCGGGGGAGGGGGGTAGGGAAGATATGGTGGTTACCTTGGGGTAAAATTGTATGTTTTGTCTTGGTGGTGTGTTGCTTTTGAACCTGGGAGGTAAGTTGAGACGGTCCACGGGTGTTGCTTCTACGTCTCCTCTAAATCACGAACTTGATAAGAATCATACCTTGTGGTGACGATCAACTGATGAACCGATAAGACATACAGAACTTCCAATCTCCAATGGGCTGTGTGTCTATCCAGGTTCTATCCCTTCGACCTACTAGGCCCTAAGCGCCTGCTCGAGAATTACGCAAGATATTGTTGGGGAGGGCTAAAACGCTCTTGTTACTGGAGTTACGGGTCTTATACCTATACCGCGCCGATCGACGGTTGTGTCTCCCTTTCCGCGTACACGTTTCTTGGGGCCTGATTAGCAGGCGGAGGGGGTGCTTGAAAGCGGTAGATCTGGGATTTGTTTTTTTTTTTTTTTTTTTAGGTAGATATGTTCTGTGTGTCTTTGGTGGAAGAGGGTCAGATTTTGGATGTGGAATTCACGGTGGAGGGGTTTCAGACGCTAGTTTAGTCTAGCTGAATGGAACAGCTTCGTGAGGAGAGTGTGAGATGTGATGGGTATATGAATCAGTCTTTATTCTATTTACAAGCGTCTTTTGCGAAGGTTGCAGCGACTATCAGTGGGAAACAAGCCGTAGCTTCGACGTATACCTACACAACACACATTAGCAAGTGACAAACCCAAGCAACAACCCTACTTCAAGTAACATATTAGAAGGGAAACTAGTCCAAAACATACCTTCACACTATCCGCCCCCACCTTAATCTTTCCCCAACTAACCGCCTCATCCGGTCTCGCACCTGCATCACTCCCATCAAACTCCTGCGCCGTATTCACATACACCGCGCTCTCGGCGCCATTCCGCATCAGACAGGCATTTGCGATATGATGTTTGACCACCCCGCCGCCAAGAATGATCATACCTGCTCTCTTCGCGCGGACGGCCATAGTATTGATTTTACGCAGGTCTTCAATGGTATCCATAACGAGGCGTTGGGGAGAGCATTTGAACGAGTGGAAGTATAACATATCACCTAAACTCCCATCCGTCAACGCGGGACAGAAGATCGGGATGTCGTTTTTGGCTGCCCAGTAGAGGACGGAGGATTCGTTGTTGATTTCCAGACCAAGTCGTCGTATGATTTTCGAGGGCGTCCAGACAAGTTTCTCGTCGTCTGGGATTTTCGGGTCTTTTTTCGAGGCTTCTTGTTCGATGAGGAGGGTGTCGAGGATGGGCATGACCCAGTCTTCGAATTTGCAGTAGTTGTCGTTAGGGACGATGAGATTACCGATGCGGTTTAGGCCTTTGGAACGGAGTCCTGCTCCTGGGGTGGAGAAGGCGCCCATGTATGTGTCGCCTAGACATTTTATCAGGTCTTCTTCTATTCCTCCTGCGGTGGTGACGATGACTGAGATGTGTTTGTGTTGAGCGAGGTAGCGAAGGGTGCCCCTCAGCCCGGAAGATATGAGGTTCGATGTGTATCCGAGGAATATTGTTGTTTTTACGCTTGGATCTTCGGGGTCCCGCCAGGCTCGCTGAGAATGGTGTTGGTGAGGGGTTGATGGTGGGGTTGGAAACGTACCATGTCGTTTATTATTCGCACTGCTTCTCCTATGGATGAGGCTTGGAATCCCATGTGGTTCATTCCGCTCATGAGGTCGTCGACTGTTATGGGACGACCTGCAAAGGCGTTGAAATCGAGTTCTTCGACTTTTTGGGAGCCGGATGGCATAGAACCGTTAACGAGAACGGCATCTGCGACTGAAGATGGAACGGCGCCGTTGCCGTTGGAGGAGGGCGTTGTATCTGCCATTGTGGCTGCTAGCTCTGCGAAGACCGTTGAGGTGTTTGGTGGGATGAGGATGTTTGGCTGGTGGACAAAGTCATCTCGAAATTTTTGGGGCGAATTGTTCGATGCTAAAAGTTAACCGGCACAACACGAAAATAGAATTGGAAATATGGCAGTAGATTGACCAGCAAGGTGTAGTAGGAATCGCATAACTGAAATTACTCTACCAATTATATTTTGACTTACCTTGAATACCATGTGCAGAGGATATAATCATGTCAAATCAGTATTTTGATGGAATCCAGCCCACGAACAGCAGAAGAACTAGCGCGGAACTACCAAAGACGCTGCAACAAGCGCAACCCATTTTGCAGGAGGTCTGCGTATATCATACCGAATCGACTGTAAAGGTATCCAGTACTGGATAATGTATCAGCTTATGGACTCGAAGTCCAGACTGTGGTAGACCAGATGATCTGGTACAGACTGGTATGGGTTGATGTCGTGGGTGGCTCGATCGATGGTGAATCTAGTCCCACCGCTTTAGGCCAAGCCTGGATGGTGGTCGCGAACTTGCGAAACGATCCGATATTCTGCTCCTTTGGCTCGGCCCAACTGTCAGTCTCAAAGCAGCGTCCCATTCAATCCGCCATGGAGGCCTGCCAATCAGAAGCCACGCAGCGTATTTGCTTGTGGGGTCTCGGAATACTATCAAGATACTCCATTTACACTTGATATTGCCTTTTGATTGATAGTTAACATATCAATATATCAATTCACCAAACATCCGTGGTATTTCCCTCTTAAATCGTACACGGTTTCATTTCATCCATTTTCAAGATCTTTGTCGCAGGAGGCGAAGCCGAATTTCGAGAGCCGCTTTAATTCACCGCCCTGGTCATTGTCAGGGACGGCTTACAGCTGAACTGCAGGCGGGCAACACTCTCAACTGAATCCGGCAGAACATCCGGGACATATTTAAACGAGGTATACAAAGTCACCATGTGTATTGCGGAATTGAAGGAAATAGTTATAGATAAATTGTATGTTTGTATTGTTATGAAGACCAATTCACATCCCGATTCTGCCTCTACCCACTCTATTCCTATCTGCTCCCAATGTCCACGGACCCTTTGACCCAGGACTGCTGTACTCTATATTCCCTGTCAGTGTGGCTTCCATCCTAATTCTGTCTAGCGCCACTTGTACAGATTCGACCACAGACACGACCAAAGAAGCCATGCAGTCAGCGAGGCAAGTGTGCAGGCTCGAGTCGAGCAAGCACTGGTCTGTCTCTGTCAACAGCACGCTTTTCCGCAGTCTTCAACCTCACACCTGCACACTCCTTTTGCCTCCATCACACCCAGGAGAGGAGGCTCATCAAACCACATCGACCACAAGAGCCCGCTCGAGCTCATCAGATAACTCACCACCATCCCTTCACCCTCTTGCCGCGCACAAAAACGCCCCCTACCGACCTCACACCCACCTCGATTTCATGCGTCGGTCGACCGCCGCACTGTACATCTAGATTGAGACGTGGGGTGCATTTGCACAACCTTCATCCATCTCGACCCTTCCACCGACAACCACAAACACTGCATATCACGCCTGAACCCGTCAACATTCTCACACTGGGATAGAAACTTTACTCGGAATTGCGGCGGCAGTTGTCTGGGGCCATTGCCCAACATCATGAATGTCGGAAGCCGCAGATCGAGCTTCTCACCTCCCTCCTGGCTGACATTGAATAGGTCGTCACGAAATCCTGGATACGATGCCACCGAGTCGAGACGATCTCCCAGAGACAGGTCGCCAGGACGATACAACGACCCGCGTGATGCGGACCAGTACCGCGCCGGCTTTCGAGGTAATGGTGATCGACGCAGGTCGATTCCAGACGCGCGGTCCAGCAACCATGGCGCTTTCCAGGCCAACAGAGAACTCTTCACCGAGCCCACCAGACGTGAAGCCGCTCGAGACTTTCCGCCGCGAGATATCCCACGAGGTCCAAAAGCATCGGTAGGCCACGAACGGAGTGCTCCTCATGATCGTAGCCTTCCTCACGAAGCTCCCACTGGCCCGCGCGCTTCTCAGCCCAGTCATGACTTTCGAGGGGACTCCAATTATCGAGGTGACTTTGGTTTCCGAGGTCGAGGAAGAGGCCGAGGGAGAGGACAGTGGCTGAGGGAAGACAGTCGAGACCGGGGGAGCCGTGAGGCAGACCGTGGTGATTTTAGGGATCGAGACCGACGGCCGGATGAGCGAGGTCCTCCACCTTTCCGTGATGACAGAGGCCGCGATCGAGAACGATGGGATTCGCGCGACCAGCGAGATACATTTAGAGGACGGAGGCCTTCGTCACCCCAGGGCAGAGGCCGCTCACCAAACTACGGTAGCCGAGACACCAGAGACCCGCCGTCAAATTTGGATCTAGACCGGACTCATCGAGCGGCCAGAGATGCACCATCGTCAACGGTTTCCCCGTCTGGCGATGTGATTCAGCCGTTCGGACGGGGCGGTTTTGGAAGAGGTAGGGGCGCACGAGGACGAGGGAGAGGGTTTTATGACGAATATCATCGGCCACCATCTATCCGCAGTCGATCACCAGAACCTTATAACATTAATCGTAGAACTTTACAGTCTGCCACACCACCTCCTCAAGTCCCGGCATTTGGTTCCACCGCGGCAAAGATCACGACTCCTATCACTCCTTCGCAAATAGTACCACCGCCCAATGCCTTCCATACCGCTCCAACAGCACCGGCGACCACTACCTCGTTACCTCCCACGGTACCAAAAGGACCTCGTGTACCTGTGGCACCCTTAGCGCGACAGCCATATGCCCAAGGACTGCATAGGCCGGCCTCTTCGACGTGGATACGCCCTCCAGATAGACCTTCTCCGGAGTTGCGAACACGAGAGGATGATTTATTTCCAAATTATGCTCCGACCAAGGACGATAATTCGAACCATGACAATGTGTCAAATTTCGATAATGCATCAACTCATGAAGAGGTCGCCTCCGTAAACTCTAATGCACAGCGCAAGCCAAGTAGCGAGCCCCAGTCTGCTCGTTCTCCACCGCGAGAAGAACCACCGCCTAAGAAGCGATACCCTTGTATCGGTCGTCGACAACCAACGATCCCATCACCGGTACCAGAAGATTCCGACGACGACGACTCTGATTCCGAAGAAGAATTGAACGACAATTACTTCGAGGAAGAAATCGCCAGAGTCAAAGCCGACATAGCCAAGGTTGAAGCTTCGAATCCTTTACTTCCACCTATTGTGCCTGTGATAGCCAGCGATTGGAGACCTTTCATAGAGCCGATCGTTGACAATGTTATCCCGGATCCTTGTTCTACTTCGAGTGCTCAGCAGGAGCAAAAGGTCGAACAACCAAAAGAGCCAACCGCTTCGGTGTCGGAGACTGAGCCAAAGATCACCCTGGATGATGCCATATCGCCGGCACTTCCTCCAGCTGTGGAGCCAGTCACAGACAGTGCAGAGGGCAACATTAGGTCTCTGGTAACTGAAGCAGTCAAAAATGAACAGGAGGATTTGGCTCAAGCAACGGCGACGAACTCTGTGGTTATTCCGGAGAGTGAAGATGTGGAAATGGCGGATGAGGTTACACAACCACCAATTCTAGTAGCGCCAGCTCTCCCTGCCGCAAATGAAGAATCGTCCAGCAAACCTACCGTGACATCTGTTGATGCTCAGGCTGGGGTGGAACCGTCTCTGTCTAATGGACACCCCAGACCAGCTCTCGAATCAGCGCCTGTATCTCCTGTCAATGCTTTACCTATACGTGTCGACCAGATAGCCGAAGCAGATGAGGATGTGAAAAGAAACGACTTGGTAGCGAATACTAACGGGCACAGTGCTATGGATCTAGATGAACCAGAGAAGCCTGCAATTCCTATACAACCAGCTGCAAATGGTGCACCCGTTAGAAGACTCACGATTGAGGAGAATGAGGGAAGCGATGGATCACAAGACGAACAGGAAAGGGAGGAAGAGCTTGAAGCTGTCCGACGAATGATGAAAACACCTCCGTTGAATAGCTTACCAAGATCGAACACAGGCAGCTTCTGGGACAACGTAGAGGACCATGCGCACCTCGAGATTCGACATGGCAGAACGGAGAAGCGGATAAAAAATCATATCCACGCCACCGAAGATCGCAGAAACTCCGTCAACGAAGCCGAAGGACGCGCTTGGGCTCAACGTTATGAAGCATACCGGCAGTTTACTGATTTCTCACAAGATCCAGACGCCGTGCGCAGTCGAGCGCAATTCGCAGCATCGCGTGCAAAGGCTGCAGCTGAAGCCGCGGCTCCCCATGTGTCGTCGGTTGCTTCTGCTAGCGCGAAACCTGAAGGTCGTCGTGCCCATCGATTCGCAACCGAACGAGACTTTGAGCGCGTCTTGAGAGAGTCGGAGGCTGAGGCCAAAGAAAAGGAGCAAGATGAGCGCCTTGCTCGAGCCAAAACCGCCAGCGCCAAGGAAGCCACCATTCCAGCGATGCGTGATGCTCAATGGTGGTTAGAGAATGGATACGTAGATATGTCGCACAGAGTACCGTTCAACAGGTCTTTCGCTTTACTCGAGTATGGAGAGCCAATCGACAACTTCACCCCAGAAGAGTCGGAAACCTTTGAAAAGGTCTACTTGGAAACCCCGAAGAATTGGAGCCGTGTCGCGGAAGCACTCGATCATCGCGACTTCAAGGCCTGCATTCAACACTACTATCTTGTTAAGCATTCGGCTAAGCTTAAAGAAAAGGCTAGCAGCAAGAAAAAGAAGAAGGGGAGAGGACCAGCGAAAAAGCGTCAGACCACCGCCATGTCAGCGATGGTTGAGAATAATGATAACGCTGAGGATGACCAAGAAAACGAAACTGGTGGAAGTAAACGACGACCCAGAAGAGCCGCCGCCCCTACCTTTCCTATCGATGCGCATGCTGCTGCGCCGAATGAGAGTGAATCGGGAACGCCTGTCCCTACGCCTGGGCGAAAATCTGCTACCGTACCGAAGTCAGAGAACGGAAGCGAGGCTGGACCGGCCAAGAAGAAGGTCAAAGTCGCCAGAGAATCGAAGAAACAGTCGAAAAATAATCCCCTTTTGGCAGCAGCTCCAATGGCTGCCGCTGCACGCCGTGATGATTCTCCCATCACACCTGTTCCTCCGCCTATCCCTCTGGAGGCCAAGCTCGCTCGGAATAATGTCAGTCAATCTCGCTTTCCCCCTCAATTCGACGGACCCTCTTCCACCGGCCAGGCCATTCAACCACAGCCGGCGTTTGCTCCCTTGGTTTCTTCTTCTTTTATTCCTTCCCCAGCACCTATCGAGAGACAGGCTCCATCGATGACAGGTACCTTTGAGATAATGCCTCAACCTCACCTCTCCCCGCAACCCCAAACTCCCCAGCAGCAGCCACTGTCCTATCCTAGCCAAGAACGAGTTGGATCGATGACCCCTCTGAGTTTCGATACGAACCAGGCGAGCCGTAACATCCAACAAACCTCCAGTTATTGGAGTGTTCCCGAGCAAAATGATTTTCCTGCGTTGTTAAGGCATTTTGGATCGGATTGGCAAGGGATAGCAAAGCACATGACATCAAAGACGCATATTATGGTATACACCAACCTTTTTCAACAATGGCTACAAGTGCCGTCTGACAGCAACAAGAGTCGACGTGTCGCTAACATTCAGACACAGGTCAAGAACTTCTATCAGCGCCGGGTGGACAATGGACAGAGGGACTGGGAGGAGATGGTAAAAGAGGCTGATGCTAAGCGTGAACGAGGCGAATCTACAGGTCTCGCTCCTACCCCGTCCATCATCCCGAAGAGACGATACGATCCGACTGGCTCACTACCTCCTCGATCGGGCTCTGCTATGGATGGGGTTGAGGGTATGGCATCCCCAGGATCAAGCTCCATGATGCAAGCGATACGCCCATCACAGGCGTCTCCTCCACAAGCCCAGCACACCCCAACACGATTTCCTGCTCTTGCGACGGCTGGCCCCGTACCTCATATTCAGCCGGCAGCTCCGGCTTCTATTATTAATAAGCAGGTGACTCCACAGCCTTCTAATCAGTCGACCCCCCAACCGACCCAGAGGGGACCTCGAGGACCTCCGCTTGGTTATTTTACGGCAAACAATCCGGAGCCACAAGTTCGTCCCGCTTTACAACCTCGCACTGATTCTGCAGTGTCGTCGAGAGAACGATCTTTCCAAGTTGCCAGAGAAGCACAACTGGAGCAGAACGCAGCTCTACGGTTGGCCCAGGAACAAAAGGAACGGGACGACCGAGAGCGTGAAAGATTACAGCAACAGCAACAGATAGACCAAGATGAGCAGCAAAAGCATCATCTAGCGCATCAGAGAGAGAGAGAGCAACGTGAACGAGCGCTGAGAGAAGAGCAGAGGCTTGCAGTTCAATTACAAGAACAACATGCGTTGCGTCTAGAACGTGAGAGGGAGCAACGCCAGCAGCTGCACAGACAACAGCAGCAGCAGCAGCAGCAGCAGGAGGAAGCGGCCAAGCAAAGAGCACGGGAAGTGGCAGCTTCGAAGCTCAAGGAGGAGTATATTGAGGGAAACATGAGAGGCAATCTTCAACAAATCGAGGCCTACTCGACGCCTAACATGCGTCCCAATGTTCCTGCCCACTCAAGAACTGAAGGTCCGCACGCCTCGGAAGCTCGACGTCCTCTTCTTGAGCACCAACAGACCCAGTTTCAATCTCGACCTCCGCAACAGCCCAGGAGATTTGTGAATGAGAGTATGAAGCCTGCTGCAAGTCACCGAGAGATTCGCGAACGCGAAATGCAACCCAGCATATCACCTTCCATGCACCGACCTGCACCGAGCGCTAATCCATTGAGAAACGAACAACAGAGTGTGCCACCGGTGGTACAACAAAAGCCTCATCAGGTTTTGCAACCGCATATTCCACAACCGACGCCCACACCTGTTCCAGCTCATGTTAGCGCGGTTCGTCAGCAAGAAACAGTGCGCAAGACTTCCAATATCATGTCCCTGCTCAACGATGATCCGCCGGAGGCCCGTTCTGAGCCACCAAAGCGTGTGGTAAACATGTCAGCTACTCCACAGCCGCCAGCTCAAGTTCATACGCCCCCTCCCCAGCATCCGCTTCAGGCAAATCGGTTTGCATCCCATCAACCTCAGCCGCCTACCCAACCACAAGCTATGGCTCAATCGATTCCAACCCAACCCGCGGCACATGCACAACAACCGCCCCATCAGCATGGCTCTCACCATATAACACCAAGCCCTAATCCTTACGCTCAAGCTTCTCCGCATCATTCGCATCATCATTCTTCGTCCATCGGTCACTCTCGACCCTATACACCGACGGGTTTCGATCGAAGAGCTTATGAGCAGCCCCCACCCTCTCAGCAAGCCCAACAACAGCAACAGCAGCAACAACAAATGTACTCACAACCACCACCACGCCAACCGATGTCCTCTCAACCTCCGATACGTAGAGAACCATCACATGGTGAAATGCATGCGTTGAATAGTGAGTATGCAGGTCGTACGGGAGCTGGTCAATCTTCAATGAGGCTCAAAGCATCTCCATATACCTCGACTCCGCCACCTGCAGGTACTCAACCCACTCGACAACAGGTTGGATCACCTTTGGAGCTATCTGTGCCAGGCGAAAGGGATTTCTACTCTCGTCAGCCGCAAGCTCAATATTTGATGCAACAGCAATCTGCAGCCCCATCTCCACAATTGGGACCGACATATCAACACCCACCGTCGCAGCCTGCCACTCATCGACTAGCGTATAGCCAGAGTCAATCTCATGCAGCATCTCCACCACCACACTATCCTGCACAGCAGCCACCTCCTCAACATCATCCACAGCATCAACAATACCGTTCACGACACAACAGTATTGATGGCCGTGATCCTCGACATCCTTCTACGTCCTCAGGTTCCACCCCTTCGCATTCAGGATATCCACAAGCTCCTACACATCCTGCTTCGATGCAATACCAACCACCGCCTGCGGATCGGTATGAAAGCAACTACGATAGGGAGAGGCGGCTACAGGAGGAGCAACAAGCAGCTGTCTACCATCAGAGGAGGCATGATGACGCTCGTTTTTAGTCGCGTTTGCATTTGACACAAGCGAGGCATGGAAAATGTCGAAAGAATTAATTGTAATTTTGTATGTATTGTAACATTAGACCCAGGCGGAGGTCCAAAAGTCTATTACGAGGAAGATATCGGGGAGAGGAGTCTTTGTTCGAGCGCTTGAGGTTTACCTTTTTTTGAGCCATTCTGTCATCGGATTTCGTTCGAATATCTTGGATGACGGGATTTTTCTTTTCTTTTCTCTTTTTGGATGGATGGATAGGTTGATGGGGGGATGGAGGGTCGGATGGATGGTATACCCACCTTGCCGTCTTGTTTTGTGTTTGGGGGTGTATGGGGAGGTGCATTTTCAGGGCGTTTTTTGTTTTGGGGGAGGTAGAGGGGGGGGTGAGGAGGAGGGTGAGGGTTATGGGGTTGAGATGTAAGGTGTGAGTAGCGAATTTGTTTGTTTAGGGTGGAAGATGGGTGAGATGTAGGGAGTGGGAGAGGGAGATATGGGAGGTTGTGTGGTGTTGTGGGGAGGAAAGTAAAGAGGAAATAAGATAAATGTAATAAATTTTTGAAAAGTACAAACATGTAGCGGTTGTATTAGTGCTTTATGGTTGTTGTCACCTACGTGATATCGATGTCGAAGTTCGTGGTGTAGTACTAAAGTTATAAGTTGGCACGGCTGTCGAACTTTGAGAGCAGACTTCTGTCGAGGCTTTCGCGTATGTCACATTAGAGACGAAGCTTTGAGAGGTGGTAGGGCTAGATTAGGAATGCTGAGTCTTTTACTCTTTTAAATAGCTCGTCTCTTTAACAAGAATGAGACTAAAATACGATGAAAAAGAGGCCGATCGGGATTGAGAGAAGCTCTCTCTGTGAGGTTTTACTCTGCAATGACGAAGATCTCGGCAGGACGAACAAATGCCTTGCTCCTAACGCCACACAGGCAATTCGGATACGAGGAAAGCGGCCGACGCTGTTTTTTTATCTACTTTCCTGAATCGGCAATTGAACTTGATACTCGAGTACCTGGATGTCTATCGAGCTTACATATGGAGGAGGATTTGCCTTCACGCTTCACTGGAAGGGGAAGGTATCGGTCGTTTGGCTGGGGCCGAGGTGAAGTCGGGATGGCGCTAGGATAGATGGTCGGGGAGGCGGGGCGGGGATGACCGTTGAGTGCAATGCTCTTAGCGAGTGTTGGGGGTGGAGATTTGCCGGTGATAGGGGCTGTTTGGATGGGGTTTTTGGATCAGTTTGTTGTGAATTGATATCAATTTATTGGGGATTGAGATGAGTAGACGTTGTCTCTTATATGTCTCTTTCGAAATATAGAAATCCATTCTTAGAGACAATTCCAGCTTCATCAAGACTGCCAGTGACTGCATCACGCCAAGTGCAACTTCATGTACGGTGACCGTGAATTGGAAGATCCGCCAACACTATTTGGGAAGGTCAACACCCTGCCTTCCCTGACCATAACAAATCGCAATGCAATATCCACGGCAAAATCCAGATAGGGTCCTCCACAATCTATATTCTTTGGACGGTGATTTGGTGAATTGTCTTGTGCATACCCGGATCATATCTCGCCAGTGACTGCACCATCCGGGCCCGTTACTAACCCTGTCCCACCGATGAAGAATGGGATAGCTCTTCCCTGGTCAGGTACGACGAGGGAAGAATACAAGCGCCACGAAAGCTTATAAAAGCTTGGGAACCCCTCCAAGAGAAGCTTGGTAGTCTTAGCCGTCTTGGTTGTTGCGCTCCAATTCCTCTCGTCCAACATGTTTTACCGCATCTCTACCCTTTGCTCTTTGGCAATTGGCGTGCAGACCGTTTTTGGTACGCCAATTCGGTCGCGCTCGGCTTACAGTGTAAAGGAGGTTCATCAGGTTCCCCAGAAATGGAAGAACCTTGGGAGAGCTCCCGAGGATCATAAGCTTCATATGCAGCTTGGTTTGAAGCAGGGGAATTTTGAGGAGCTGGATAGACATCTTTATGAAGGTATGTTTTTGTTTTCTGGGTTTAGTGAAATGTGCTAATCGTTTAGTCTCCGACCCTGATCATGAGCGTTACGGACAACATTTGAGCTTCGAGCACATCAATGAGCTTGTTGCACCAAAAGAGGAGACCCTCGACCTCGTACACGAGTGGTTGCTTACCAATGGAGTCAAGGAATTCAGTTACAGCGAGGCAAAAGATTGGATCAACATCTACATTGATGTCTCATCTGCTGAAAGTTTGTTGGATACCAAGTATTCCGTTTTCCAGCACGAAGATGGATCGACTCTCGTTCGTACCTCGGAATGGTCCCTCCCAGAGCACCTTCACGAGCACATCGACACCATTCAACCAACAACAAGTTTCATGCGAACCAAGACACAAAGCGTAGACTATGTTCAATTCAAGGACCACCCAACTCCACCAGGATACAAACCACCAACCAATGAGACCATTGCCAAGGTCTGCAAGTTCTTTCCAGTCACCATTGAGTGTTTCCGTACTCTTTACGGCACAATCAACTACGTTCAAAAGGTTCCAGGACTTAACAAGATTGGATTCAACAACTACTTGAACCAGACACCTATCCGACCTGATGTCGCCAAGTTCCTTTCCGAATGGAGACCAGAAGCTGAACACACTGCATACACTTTCAAATCAGTTTCAATTGATGGAGGACTTCCAGCTCAGGACACTCCATTGACCCCAGCTCAAGTTAAAGCTGGAGATCACTGGGGAGAAGCCAACTTGGATGCTCAAACCATTCTCGGAATGACCTATCCACAACCAGTTACCTCTTACTCTACTGGAGGCAGCCCACCTTTCACTCCAGACATCAACACCCCAACTGATACCAACGAACCATACTTGACCTGGGTCAACTTTGTCATGGGCCAAAAGGATGTTCCCCAAGTCATCAGCAGCTCGTACGGTGATGACGAGCAAACCGTTCCAAAAGCATATGCCCAACGTGTCTGCCAACAATTCGCTCAACTTGGCGCTCGGGGAATCTCCCTCTTGGTTTCCTCCGGTGACGGTGGTGTAGGAGGATCAGACCCAGCAGCCTGTGTCTCCAACGACGGAAAGAACACAACCACTTTCCTCCCCGCATTCCCAGCTTCTTGTCCATACGTCACAACCGTTGGTGCTACTCAACAGTTCGAACCAGAAGTCTCTGCATACCGTCAACCAGGTATCGGACCAGATGGAAGACAACACGGTTTCTACGCTTCTGGCAGTGGATTCAGTTATTACTTCCCTCGTCCAAGTTACCAAGATGCCGTCGTCCCAGCCTACGTCAAGAACTTGAAGGGTGCTTGGGATGGTCTCTACAACAAGAGTACGTCCCCTTCCCTTCTTCCCCTAGTTAATCCTACTAACCCCCTCCCAGACGGACGCGGCTACCCCGATCTCTCAGCCCAAGGTCTCTACTTCGCCTACGTCGGCAACCTCACCGACGGTTCCATCTCCGGCACCTCAGCCTCCTGCCCACTCATGTCCAGCATCATCTCCCTCGCCAACGACGCACTCATCTCTCACCGCAAAGCCCCATTGGGCTTCCTCAACCCGTGGCTCTACAAGGTCGGATACAAGGGCTTCACTGACATCCTGAGCGGTGACGCGCAAGGGTGCGGCGTCAGCGCGTTCCCCGTCACGAAGGGCTGGGATCCGATTACCGGGTTTGGCACACCGGTGTTCCCGGAGATTTTGGAGATTCTGGAGTGTAGATAGAGGGGCTTGTAGATAGGGTGTTGGAGAGTGTAGGAATGAATTATGAAAATGATTATTACTGTAATCGAGGTTGAGTGGAAGAATGTGATTACGCGATGTGTAATTGGTGAGTTCAAGACTTGCTTCGTAGAATGTATCATGTCAGGAATTCCCCTTCCAGAGAACCTCATTCTAAAGGGGTTGTGCATGGTATAAATTGGTAGAACGCGGAGTCTAGGATTGGTGCATTGTGAGTAGCGGGCGTAAGTATAAAGCTCCAAGGTGAAAGGAATTACTGTCGTGGGCTTGACGTGGTCTTGTGTTGAAGTGCGCCTGGTGGGCTGCGAGAAGCTGTGACTTTAATAAGACTTGACCGTGAGCAGATATCGTGAGGTGGTACTTGGTTGATCTACATTTTCTTGGATGCACAGCAGTCTGAAGTGGCCTTTTGTGCAACGAACGACATGCGTGGAGTGTGCTGAGTTTTTTTCATTGTTATGTTGGCAGCAATGTGTGTTCAAAGGAAGTGCGAGAAGGGAGGATGTTTCTTTGATAGTGAGTTTGTGATTGTGAGGATGTTTGTTTTTTTCGCGGTGATGTTTGGTATGAAATTCTGAGTGAGGATTTGGGAGATGAAATTTGTGTTTTGCGGTTCTACTGGAGGGGATATGGATTTATCTTCCTTCTCTTGACGGTCAGGAAGGAGCTTTTATTGATGTGTTGAATGAGCTGGTCTCAGTGATGCTTTGATCAATAGAAGAGAGAGATTTGGTAGAGCTGTCTGTTTGATAAATCAGTTGATGCGTCTCTTTTTCCGTTGCTTAGATGCTTTGTTTATAGGGATGGAGGATGTTTTGTTGCTAGCTGAGTAGGTTGTAAGGAGCTTAAGTTCATACTTGACTCAATTTACGCTCGAGCAACTTATGGTTTTTTTAAAGTTGTCTAAGTAGCTTGTAATTACGCTAACTCTCCCTTCTTAAAGTCTTACACGAAAACTAATCTCCCGGCTTCTTTAGGTAAGAGATATAAACTAATCTGTATTTTCTTAAAAATAACAAGAGTCTTTATAGTTTAGAAGTTAATAATCATTAGAGAACTTAACCGCCTAATAGAATGTTTTATATCTACAATACTTATACGTTCTTTAAGCTCTACTTTAGAAGTCTATATACTTTAGAGTTATCGATACTTATCTAACTAAAAGTATATTTCGGTCTCTTTAGACTAGTTATATCTCGACTTTGAGATAAAATCTCCTTAAGAAAACTTTAAAGACCTAATTAATATACTCTTAGTACTAAAAAGTATTATATATTAGAAAGAATAGTCTAACTTAAGTATATATATATTATTTAAGTAGTTAAAGAATTATAGCTCTAATACTCTAAAGTATATAGACTTTAACAGGTAGGCTTATTACTATTTAAATTCTAGAGTCTACGATGATTGCGATATATTGTTAGCGTATAAGTTTTTTAACGTATAGGCCCCAGCTTAAAGATTTATTCGGCGAAAGAAGTATGCTATAATAAGACCTCTGCTGAGTCCCATTCTTACAATTTCTCAAAAGCATGTCCCTCCCGATTCCTTCAAACATCTTAGGATTATCGGGTAGTATTTTAATATCCCTCTATGTCACCAACTAAACGAAGCTGCCTCTGCAACAGTCCTAGAGTATCGCAAATAAAACTACCCCTACACCAAATTATCTGAAATCGATTCATGAAATCCTACGTATCTGCTCCAGCACCCTACAACTCGCTGACCACACTAGCTTACCCCAATCAACCAGACCTCCTCTCTCGAACAACCACAATCTAACATTCATCTAAACCACCCCCCAAAGCAACACCTTCCCAGCGTACGAGAAAATCCAAATTCTAGGCTTCCAACCCTCTTACAGCTCAAAGACCGCAGATCTATAACCCACGAGCTCCAATGTATGCAAACGCCATCGACTCTTATGTAACATGCCGAATCTCAAAATCGGCCGTTGAGAGGTGCATGCAGCATCGAGCTTCATTGGGTAGTAAACTTCCGGGTCCTGACGATTTGACGTGCATATGACAATACTGCAATGTCGATCCCCCTCGTGCTTAGCCGAACAACCACGACCCTATGTGCATATGGAGATGGGGTTTGAGAGAGAGGTGTCAGGGTCTGGTCTATGCCCATCAGAATAGGATGGGTTGGTAACTGTGAAGAGATAGAGGGGAGTAGGTGTATATAAAGAGAGGATCCGCGAGGGAAATAATGAGTTTTCTTTTTAGTTAGTTTGTTATTTTTTGAATTTCACCACTTCCACAACCCATCTAATCCATCAACTCACTAACTATCACCCCATTCCCTCCTACACCATGTTCTCCCTCCCCGCCATCCTCCTCCTCCTCTCCCTCACACACGCCTCTCCCCTCGAAAAATGCTCCGTCCCACTGCAAATGGGCCTCGCGAAATCCTTCGCAGCCCTAAGCGCTACAACACTTACCTCCACGGGCGCCACAGCTCTCACCGGCGTCAGCGGCGTAGGTGATGGCGGTGTATGGCCCGGCACTGCCATCGTAGGCTTTCCACCTGGAACGGCATCAGGACAGTTAGAAGCCGGCACGGTGACTGCTCAGGATGGAGAGGCGGCGTGCTTGACGGCTTATAACGCGTAGCTATACCCCGTTCCTCGCCGAAGCAACTTGAAGGTGCTAATGAAGATAGTGCTCTGGCATTAGTACCCACCGCCGCCCTCCCCTCCTCAGATCTCGGCGGCGTCACGCTCGAGGCCGGCGTGTACACCTTTCCATCCTCTGCCGTCGTGCTTTCAAGCACGCTCACGCTCTCCGGGGCTGGACAATTCGTCTTCCAGATCCTCACCACTTTCGAAGCCGCCGCCGCAGCTAAAGTCGTCCTTGCCAACGGCGCACAGGCGTGTAATGTGTATTTTATAGTGGGGTCGTCGGCGACGATCGGCGCGGCGGCTGAGATGAAGGGGAATATTATTGCGTATACGGCGATTGGAGCGAGTGAGGCGGCGAGTAATAGTGGCACGTGGTGTGCGTTGAATGCGGCGGTTACTTTGATTGATAATGCGCTTCAGGCGCAGGCGGGAACGTGTGAGTGAGGTGGGAAGGAGAGGGAATATTTCTGCGGTTGAGTTTAGGGAGGGGAGGTAGAGGCATTGAGGGTTGATGTTGAATAGCCAGGGTTTCAGACGCAAAAGGGGTATCGTTCATTGACATTAAGAAAAGAAGGAAGCGAAGGAAAACGTTCTATTAGGATACCAAAAAAGTAGCTTTCAGGCAAACGCAGACTTACCATTATTTGGATCTCTCTCTCGACACAGTCCCCGAAAGAGAAAAAGCGAGCCGTTCGAGGAGACTTCATAGCATCAGGTGCACCGACTATGCTAGTTGGCAGGAAGCGACACTTTTGGAGAGTAGTACCGCTGAAGAAAGGATGTTTGTGAGGAGAAACACAAAAGCTAGTACACGGCTGAGGATTTAAGCGAGCTGTAGATGTTTTGTAAGAATAGAGTGGAATTAAACGCATACCTAAATTTACATCTCCGTGTTTCCTTCCTAGACGAGATAGATTGTGGCGAATTGCTGTCCCCTCTAACGTGGAGAGTCGTTTGCTGTGTGATTGTGTTTTGTGCGTGTGCAAAGTTCGGGTACGTTGGGTGTTCTGTAGATATCGCGTATGGTCCGACGGGCCAAAGAACGACGTGTAGTATAAAATCCATCTTTCGAGTTTTCCCCTTAAGTGATCTTGGACTTAAACCCCCCTTACAGACTAGACCACCTCTATTATTTCCCCCTTTCCACACATTTCCCGTCCTCCCCTCTAATCCTGAATCTCTCACGAGCGCCCCCTCCAAGCGGAAAACTCACGCCACCTTCCCCTTCCCACTCAACCTCCCCTCAATCCTCCTCCCCTCAAGATAGTAAGCCAGACTACTTGAGATGAAAACACCGATACAGAGCGGGATCTGAGGATTTCCTTCACCCTAGCACAACAATTAGCTTCGGGATTTTCAGGTGGCTGGACGAGAAAGAAAAACAGGACCTACAAACTCCGGATCCGTCCCCAGCGTACCCGGATACAAAAACCCACTTAACTGCGTGACCCAATACAGATTACTTAGCACCAACACGATTCCGCGTCTCTGTTTTTCAGTCTCGACGCTGCCAGCTGCAATCCAGGTGTAGTAAAGTATACTCAACCCAAGACAAAACCCCATACTCATAGTCTGTCCATTATGGAACTTCGCATGGGGTGTCCAGTTCGGATTGAACACGTGCGTTTCGTTGTAATCCGCTGCGTAGGGGCCGATTAGGGTTAGGAGAGCTATCAGACTTGAGAGGATTGGGGAGAGGGGGTGCAGTGAAGCCATTTCCGGGATGAGAGGGTCTGAGGGTGGTGAGAGTGGTTTGAGGAATGAGGGAGATGCGTGATGGTAGTTGGAAAGAGGAGGTGATGAGAGGAGGTGGATGACCGGTGTTTGAACTGAGGTGAGATGTCAGTGGTCTAAGACGTGACGTGAGTGAAAGAGAGGTCGAAGTTGCAAGGATTCGATGAGCGATAAGTTGAATATAAGCTCTTGATAAGATGGGAGAGTGGTGAAGAAGATAAAGTCACGAAAGATGTACCGTTGTACATATATGTCGCAACCCGTCGGACATCCGATCTTCGGTCCGGAGTGCGGGGTTTAATACGACAACCACCACAAAATAGCTTCGTAAACACCAAACATATAACATCACAGTAAACATGTACACCGTGTGGATATTGCTTTTCAGATATTTGTTACATGTGTCTTATGTTCCAGGTCATTAGATCAAAACGCGTCGATGAGTGTCGGCTGGTTACAATCCTCGTATTTGAATTTTGTGTGACGTTGAAAAAGGTACTTGACATTTCCCTTCATGAAGGCAATTCATAGTTAAATCTCTCACGACTTTGGATTTTTGCTTTGGATTTTTTGTCTTACTTCAATTGTTGTTTAGAGTTTTCATAAACCATTTAGGGAACATTCTCAGGACTCTATTTCCCACTAATTGATAGACAATGTTAAGGATGTGCAAGTATGAGATGGGACTGTTGTTGTTACCGTCTCTCCCTCGTTCAGTCTTATAAGAGTTTCATTTCTAGGAAGACGCTCAAAATGTTGATAAAAAACAGTATTGCTTTGGGCTTAGTTATGAATATTAGTAACGTTATTCATCAGTCTGTCATTTAGGACCATTTCTTCAGTAAAAAGATCATATCTTCTGAAGAATTATACTTTTAAATATTACATAAGTGGAGATTTCACTCTTCCATCGACACTCCATCAAAGCTGTTCAAGAAACCTCAAAATTCTCTCAGCACCATCCACCCACTGCAAATCATTCTGCACATGATGCCCTGCACCCTTCACAACCTCCAAAACCCTTACCTCAACCTCCTTCTCCTCATCGCCCTTCACCATCCCCTCCTCCCCCAAGATCCTCTTCACACCAACCTCATACCCCCCCGCCAACTCCCCCATCAAATCGCCCGTCATCAACCGATCCCTCTCCCCCGCAACAACCAAAACCCTACTTCCCTTCCCCGTCCCCCATCCCACAATGCCCCTCAACACCTCCTCAACACTCGTAAACGCAAACATCTGACCCAACGGCCAAAGCATACTCTCAAACTCCGGCATCCACCGCTCAAACTCCCTGACCTGTTCGTCAGGATACTCATCACAGAAAAACGCCCTCTTCACCAACGTTGTCGATGAGAGCGGTGATCTGGGGTGCCAGAAATCACGAATGTAGTAGCGTAGTAGGAACCAAGGGTCGAGACGGAACCAGTTTTTGTAGACTCCAAATCTATTCACATATCATCAGTCAACTTCTTTGAGGTACTGTGGATACAAAATACATACCCACCCCACCAAGGAAAACTCCCCACCAACACCATCCCTCCAGCCCGACCTCCCTTCCCAAGAAAATCCTGCACCAACCCACCCCCCGCCGAATGTCCAATCATCACCAAATCCTCCTCCGTAACCCCCTCTCGCGCCTTCACCCACGCAACACCCGCACTCAAATCCCCTCTCAACATCCCCCTCGAAGTCCCCCACACCATAGACCAGTACCCCGGATTCCAACTCCCGCCATGTCCGCGTAGACTCAGCGCATAACATCTATATCCCTTTTCCGCGAAAAAGGTAAGATAAGGTAGCCAGACGGCTGCGTGTCCGAAGCCGCCGTGTTGGAAGAAGAGGATTTGCTTGCGGACTGGGATAGAGGGAGAGGGAGAGGAGGAAAGGAGTTCGAGGGTGCCGGAGGGTGTGGGGATTAGTGTGCGTGTTATGTTAGAGGGGAGAGGGTGAAGTGGTCGGGAAGTGGGAAGGGAGAAGAGGAGGGTGTGGCGGGTAGTTGCCATGAAACCTTTTTCTGGAGTATACTTGTACCCTCAAGTTTTCGATGTTATAAAGTTGATGGGTTTTGCGAAACGTGACTGAGGGTGTTTGGTGTTAATATATTATTTTTCAGCTGCAGCCAAGAAGGTCAGCTCTGGTCATGAGACACGAGGTTTGGTGGCTGAAAATGGTGGCATTCCGAGTTTTCCCTCGCGCGATATCGGGTCAGAATAATTACGATAATTGGGAATGTGTAATTGAGCTGTTTTTGGATATAGAAATGATGCGGGTGAGATCGGGTGAATTGGTGACTCAGATTGATTGACTTATAAATTTGTTTGGTATCTACGGTCCTGATGTGTTGGCATTATCAGATAATCAGAAAGACCGAGAGTGTTCTGAATATAATTTATGTCTAGCAAAACGGGAACTCCATGTATTTATAACGCCAGTCCAACTTCGTTGTATTGAATAACATTTGATCATATTTTATTCGTTGAAGTACGAAGACTTGATTTGGAAAACAATGGATCAATGCATAGGATTTCACCTATATGTCTCCTAGCAACAGCCTAGTCAGAGGAAGAGAATGGCCAAAAGGTCGAAAGACTGTGTTCGAGGACGAGCCGCTAGGTTGGTTAAGGTTTACTCAAAGATTGGGCCCCGGACTTCACAACTTGGCACAAGCTATACTAATAGTGTACCCTGGATGACTTTTTCATATGCCCTTACATCCGACTCAGCTGAGAAGTCTCTACCGCAACCTTCGACATAACAACTAATTGCTAACTCTTATCAGCAGTGATTGTTGCTTTGAAATGATGTATAGCATACCTATATAGCTCGGATGTGTGGATGTACGAATGTAATACTAAGTCACTTGGTCGGTGGGTCCACCATTTGTCGCAATCCTGCACTGCTCACTCGAGTGAGTAGTACTGTTCATAGATGGACCCCGGAGTATATTCCTCAGTTCTAGCCCTCTTGCACGGTCTATGCTCGGCAACTATGGAGTCGATACTGCCCATAGATGATCCGCCGTAAATAGATTCTTGCCGCCTGCCTCCTGGATTTCTTTTCGCCGCTATTTCGCTTTTCAGAGAGCAGCCGCTTAAACTCGAGGTGATACTATCATCTCGACTTGGCCTAGTTCCACGTTGAAAATCGAACGTCTCAAGATATCCTTTGGTCGGTTTCGTATTGCGATCCAATGAAGGGTTCAGGATACTGTCTCGACTGTCTAGAGCTTCGTCGGACAGTTTATGGGGTTCGCAATCTTCAATACCGATATCATCATCCAACCATGAGTGTACAACTGAGGATAGCCATGTTAGCATTTCCGAGATATTCGCAATATTCAATCCTAGATGATTTGCAACAAAAGTTCTTGTGTTACTGGAATATTTCAGAACATCCAGGAGCCAATTGTTAACCCGATTGTTATTGTCAAATCTCTCGCTTACGCTTGTCTTCCACTCGACGGAAACGAAAAAGGGGAGCAGATGATTTTCGAATTCCGACTGTTCGATGGCCTTAAGCAGAACAGGTAGAATATCTCCTACCCTGCTCCGTACTCGCGAAGGTAGTGAAGCAAGCGCATGGTAGCGAATCATTCCAATTTCTTGGATGATCATATCCTCAACTAGAGGAGCCATTTGATACCGGATATGCCACAGAGGAGCGACAAAAGAATCGAACTTTCCCTGAAGTAACAAGTCTTTGAGTTCCACTAACAGAATTGGGTAATCTTGGTGGCCATTTGAGTGACATGTATCTAACATATGCAACACTTTGTCCAAGATTTCGAGATCAGCCATGCCAGTGGTGAAGTGTGCTGACAGAAGCAAGGGGGCTGTGGAACGCTCTTCGAGCGTTCTTACAAACTCTGTAGTGTCCTCAATGGTTCTCTGGAAGCGAGGCGCGGTCCTTCGTGGACATAAAAACTTTGACCTAACCACCGGGTCCCCGATGATATTACCGTCGTGGAATCCTGTTATATGCGCTTCCATCTCGGCCCAAGTCGAGAACTGTATAGCCAGATTACAACAGCCGAATCCATGAAACTGCACAAGATGTCTACCTCGATCCTTCCAGCTCAAAATATGTTGGAAAGACGACGAGCAGTAGATGCATACATGATGCACGAATGCGTCCTCAATGCCAGAAACCGAGTCACAACTCCAAAGAAGAGCACTGCCAGATATATCGGATGCTCCTGTCCCAGTACCGAAAAGCCCCTTCTCATCCGTAGGCGAGTTAGAGACAAGATTCGCCACATCCGAAGCGATGCTTGAGATACTGTCCTGTATGCTCTGCAGGCTTGCACGGGAGGCTTCGCTAGAAGCTTCCGTGTCAGATTTAAGCTGGGAAAGGAGCCGCCCGACGATGCTCTCTTCGGTTGGATGAGAATTCGAGTTTGCATTGAGACCTAAGTTAATCATATTGCTCAGTTTCAGATGTGCTTCTGTTAAACCGCCCAAGCCTTTGCTGACACTGTTTAAGGAATGAATGCCGAGGATATCTAGCGTACTGCATATTCAAGTTAACCCTGCTCATTATTGACTAGAATCAGAGACGGACGTACCGACCAAGAATAGAGACAGCGATGCCAATGCGTTGTTGGTGGTTAGAGATTGACTGAGCCAGTGATTGGAAATCCTCTTTGCCTGTGGCGACCTTAATTTTGCGCAGAAATGCCTTGAATCCTTTTCGAGATTTCGGATCAATTTTCTGAGCAGCCATGACCCATTTATCGACGTCTATAGTACATGAAACAATCTGGTATTTGAGGGCGCCAAGTTCGAGAACCGTAGGGGTTTTGTCTTGTAGTTGAGTGTCATTTTCGATTATCTGAACCACACGTTCGACTTCTTTCAAGGTTTGATGTCAAAAGGTCACAGCCCTCAAGAACATTGTTGATGGTGTCTTTGGCAGTAGCAGCATCGCTAATGAGTGTTTTCAGCTTCAACAGCCCCAGTATGGCTTGTCCTGTGAAGCCAACGATGCCAACGATTGACGCAACTCCAGCAACAGCCTCCATTGAATCCTAACATGTGTGTATTCATAGCAAAACCACGGAAAGCAATGTTGTTGAAAAGTTGAGAATAGTTCTAATATGTTCGTCGGTCTGCGTTCACAATGAGCGTGAGGCTGTCTGCGAGGCTTTTTCGACGCAACCTTTCTGGGCATGCCATTGGAGCGACTGCTGACCGTCAATGCCGCCACAAGGCATAGTTCCATCGTATACCTCTAATGAAGTTGCCAGCTCAAGGCAAGTGGTATTAGACGAGAACCAGAAGAATTACAAAAACAATTGGGTAAATGTGGATGTGCGCATCTTCGAAGATGACACTCAGATTCAAGGTAGGTAGATCGTCACGTGATGTTTGTTTCGCTACGCGAAGCGTATTTCGTACCTCGTGTCGACAGATGGAAGTCCAGCCTCTGTCGCATACGCTCTCTAAACATCACAATGCCATCCTCTTCGGATGACGACGATGAAACGGCCTTCCAAGGCCAATATAGAGACGACTCTTCCTCCAGCTCATCATCATCTCCACCGCCATTGCAACAGCAACAACACAACTTCTTCGCGCCTCCATTCTACAATCGTCCTCCCACACCTCTCCCTCCTTCACCATCTCTGACCTCCCTTCTGCGACCATCGAGACCTACCACACCCGACAGCTCAGCAGACGAACTAGAACCTGTCCCACGAGCTTCTCCGAAAGTACCAACCTACGAATACTATGGCTTCGTGCTTTACCTTTTCTCCTCGCTTACCTTCCTCATGTACCTTTTATGGTCATACCTACCTTCCCCCTTCCTACACGCGCTTGGTATCACCTGGTACCCCGATCGATGGTGGTCTCTGGCATTGCCATCATTCATCGTAATGTTATTGGTATATATTTACGTTGCATTGGCATCATACAATACGGGATATCTCACTTTACCTCTCTCCTCGATTGAAACGATTGTCGACGATGCTTCTAGTGTCGCGACTCTAGATGGTAAAGGTCGGAAGTTGCCAGGTGGGAAAAAGAAGGAGCGAGTGGATACTACTTTGAAGGATTGGAAAACCGTGTGGAGCCAGGGAACAGATGCGGTGATGGACGTCCCCCTTGGTGGAGTCTGCGAGGTCTTATATGGCGACCTGAGGGAGGATGTTGACACAGACGACGATCCTTGAATGAAAACTTACTTCATGGTACCTACCACATACCGACATAGTTCAGTTGGTGGAAGCGAAGATGCACTCACCAGAATTCCAATCAGAACAAGAAGTCTGAGTAAAATCTTCCAAGGCTACCAGGCAGCATCAAGTACGGCATTGTTCCCACTAACCCTCAAGAGAACATCAGTCCTGAGATTCGAATCAAGTTCAGGTCAGGGAATCGACCGATGCCGAAGCCCATAGTGAATGAAAGTGCAATCTTTGTGCCAACAACGCATCTCACAAAGACGGAAATCGAGCTGAGGAAACCAATCCTGAAGTTCTATGGTCGGGTTGCAATTTCATTTGTACTGTTTAATGCCAAGGAGCCACAAGACAGTTATCTCAGAAAGCATTTAAATGTAAGTCCCGTACTTGCTATATGGTCCCGGCCAGGAGCGAATTCAGTATTTTTCCCCGCCCGTATTTAAGCCCCGTAATCAAATCCAACAATCGCCAAACATGGCTGCGTCCTGCCTAAGTCAAGGTCGACAACCATTGGAGGGAGATTTGGAGCGTCCCTAGGTTCATTGGAAGCCTGGTAGCTTAGTAAGCTCCGCTACTCTCGAAAACCAGTAGGATAGTCCTCTGCTTTCGTCGAAAGATTCTGCAAATTGCACCACTTACTTGGTGGCTTGCTATACACAAAAAGCACCGGTTTGTGATGATATGCGCTGTTTGCACCGCTGTGCTCCAAAATGTGTCGCAGCGGGCTAGTCAATGCGACGGTGTTATGCCGCATCATCTTACAATTTCTAGCCTCAACACTGCACTTGCTGCTCAGTGTTATATTTGCAACCGATTTTGGGCACGTCTGAACGCTGAACAACAATCAAATCTTGCATCTGTGATGTCTGTAGACGCAGCGGCTGGCATCGATTGTGAGGAAAGTCGAGGATACCTTACCACATGTGATCTCAAAGATGCCACACGCTATGGGTTTCCTGGCTGCTATCTGCTACAAATCATCTATACAGCGAGACTGAAGTCCTCCGCGCGAGTAAAGCTGATTCTGCAGCCTTTAAGCCGTTCGTACTCATCCTTTTGACAGCAGCCCGGTCTTGCAAGGCTAACATCCTTGCAGAGATCGATGAGAGTTTGAGATGTAATGATGTTGATGTGTCTAACATGTCAGATAGGTCGTGGTCATTGGCTGAGAAGTGGATTTCAGAATGTACTACAAGCCATGCACAGTGCAACGTTGAAGCAAAAGACAGAGACTGGCACCCTACGCGTCTTCTCGATGTGGCCTCTACAGACGCCAGTGCAAATATTATACGCTTAATGGAGTCCCAAGAGGTCGCTGCCGGCAGTCCCTACATGACACTCAGCCATCGCTGGGGTACTTCCAAGCCTCTACAACTCAGACGGGAGACGTTTGAACAGCTTCGTGCTGGCATTCTCTTGGAATCACTGCCTCTAACATTCAGAGACGCTGTGTTAGTTACCCGACGTTTGTCTATACGCTACCTCTGGATCGATGCACTTTGCATCCTTCAAAACGAAGACGATCTGTCGGATTGGATTAAAGAGGCATCCTTGATGCACAAAGTTTATTCTGCTGCCTATTGTAACATTTCAGCGGCGGCAGCCTCTGAGTCTTTCCATGGTCTCTTTGTTTCTCGAGATCCAGCACTATTAATCTGCCCAACCATAAAGCTCAGCCTCGGGGAGCACAGACCAAAAGAAGACTACTTGATCTCTGATGTTAACTTCTGGGACACTGAAGTATCTCGGGCTCCAATCAATGCTAGAGGCTGGGTTCTTCAAGAGCGTATTTTGGCCAATCGAGTACTTCATTTTGGTGAACGACAGTTGATGTGGGAATGTGGAGAAAAGGATGCTGCAGAAACGTATCCAAATGGTCTCGACAACGCGATATCGAGTCTGTCCGACGATGTGAGATTCAAAGACCTTTGTCCTGACACATATATCCGACAGGCACGGCGGTTTAGAGATCCCATCCACCATCCAGAGTTATCTGCGCACTTTTTATGGGTGCGAGTAGTCGAAGCATATACGCGCTGCCAATTGACAAATCCGGATGACAAACTTGTTGCACTTTCGGGAATAGCAAAAAGGTTTTCTAGCATACTTAGAGACACTTATGTAGCGGGCATGTGGCGACGATATCTCGCCAGTGAACTAACCTGGTCTGTAGATTCGAGTTCCTTCAAACAGCCAGATCCCGACATGAGTTCACGAGCTATGAGCTACCGAGCACCCAGTTTCTCTTGGGCTTGCGTTGACGGTGCGATAATGCCTGGCATGCCTTCCGACCAGGGCATCTTGCTGGATATTGAAGCAGTCCAACTAGAATATTTCACAGATGATCATACAGGCGCCATTAGAGGTGGCTACTTAAACGTTCGAGCTCGATTAAAGCAAATTCAGCTTATACGACGGTTCACAGGTGGACGTGACCAGTGGATTATGATTCTGAATGGCATTGAAATCAGTACAATGAATGACTTAGGTCGTCAAGGAGAATCGCAGCCATTGATCATGCTAGATGATTTAAGAGAGAGCTATGCTGAATTCGTTGCTGGGAAGATCTTTTATATAGTGCCTGCGCGCCTTTCTACCAACTTGAGCGGTAACCTCTACATGCTACTCTTGGAAGCTTTAGAGAATGACTGGGGAACATATCGTCGAGTTGGTTACGCTCGAAGCTTTGTAAAAGCTACTCAAAAAGCGTTATTAGAACCTAAAGAGCAGGATGCAGGATTCCCCTGTCGAGAGTATCGCGATGGCCAACATTCCATAACTATAATATGAAATAGAAGATGCAGATAGCGAGGTTAGGACGTTACAGGACTCTCCACAAACTCGCTACTACAGTCAGGAGATTGGCGCCACCAAAATCATAAGTACAAGTTGTCTTCTAGAGAAATTTAGAAAACGTCTTCAAGTTGATTTGACTGCAAAGGTCAAACAGATTATTAACCAATGACTTCTCAGATATATGAAACAAGACGTAAAAATACCAAGAAACCAACACGCAAAGCGCTGTGATCCGAAGAGAGGTAAGCGGCGCTAATTTTAGAGCTGCCTTGTGGCCTGAACGGGAACGTCACCCGCAGCCGTGCCCGTGCTCTCGTACAGTGTCCATTTCGGTCTCCCAAGCTTCAGAGAGGTCCGCGTCTTGAAGAACGTTGGAAGATTTCTAGACCACCACCATCTCCACGCGCATCGACCCCCTTCGCATCCCGAGAATACCACACGCAATTCCTTTGCCGAAACTGGATCGAGCATCGCCAAATCAATTCCATATTGGCTCTTAGTCTTACGACTTATGAATAATTGAGCTTCAGCACGCGCTTCTAAATAGCCCCGTTGTCTTCCCCTGACGTCGTTGCGCCCGCCCAAAACAAATGCCCAAGGAGTCCACAACAACAGGCGTGAACCAAGTGTGCAAGACGAGGGGCTAAAGGGGTTCGAAGAAGGAGTGGAAGAACGGAAATATGGCCTGGCAATCTCTGTCGGGTATGGGGAGTGGAGGAAATGGGGGGAATGGTCCTCAAGATCCCCAGCAACAGGCGAGCCAACAGCCACAAGGAACGGAATACACATTGCAAGGTGGGCACTGCGCTGGCGGGAATCATATTTGTGGTCGAGGTCGTGGCTAATGAAATTTAGGTGTAATGCGCTTCTTGCAGACCGAATGGCACCGACATGAGCGAGATCGAAACGCATGGGAGATCGAACGACAAGAGATGAAAGGCAGAATCGCCCGCTTAGAGGGAAGCACGAGAAAATCTGATAGCTCGAATAAAGCGCTGAAGAAATATGTTAATATGTTGGAGAAGGCTTTGAAGGAGAGAGATTCTCAAGTCAAGGCGCTTAAAGCTGGGAGCGACGTAAATATCGAATCTGTGCGGGACCGCAAGGAGAAGGAGAGCGCGGCTTTCAAGAAGGATAACCCTCGGCGTAAGTGCTACTGTGAATTCGCTTTCGATTCTTACTGACATGTGGAAATAGCAGCACCAAAGAAGCCCCATAATTCATTCTTGGTAGTCGAAGGAGAGGAGGGGGATCAGATAGAAGATGACCCAGATCGTGGAAATCTCAAAGGCTTCATGGACAAGACACAAGGAGAGCTTACCTACCTTATGATATCGCCTTCAAATCCCATACCTCCTCGAGAACCACCGCACGAAGAGATATCGCTCCAGCCACCATCGTTCGCTCCAGCACCAAGTCAGCAAAGCCTGGAAGATATGTATCAAGCTCAAGCACGACAGAAAAATATGCGCGAACCAAATGTTACCCGTCCATCACCGACTCCAAATCATCATCCTCCACCTGTGCCTATGGCATCTAGCCTCTCGGTTAGAAATGCGGCGCCAGAATCTGCTCCTATGTCTCGCTCTCTAGCCGATCAACAGCCATTACCGCAAAGTTTACAACAGCAAGAATGGTCATCTACCTTTCAGCTTGGAGAACAACCTCGGGAAGAACAGGTCACCAGAATCAATTACACTTTCAATTCTTACGGAAGGGAGATAACTCCTCAGGAGACTGGAGACAAAGAGCCATCAACAGAAGCAGATGGATGGGATTTCAATGAGTCGGCGCAATTTCCTGAGCCAGAAAACAAGCCCGCTCCACTGAGACCCGACAATGACCTTTTTCCTGTGGCCCAAGACCCTCCCAAATCCCCAAGTCGAGGACCTGGCTCGCACCGACGAAAAGGATCCATGTCTAGACGAAAAAGTGCAGACCCAGAATTATCGTTGAATCCGGCGCAGAAGGTCGAAAGTGGGAGTTTCAGGGTCAGATTTGGCCTGAGAGGCCATTTGGACGCTGTTCGATCGGTGATATTTAGTGGTGGTGGAAGCCCTGGTGAGCCCGAGTTATGCACCGCTGGGGATGACGGAACGATCAAGCGATGGATTATACCAGCTCGCTATGACACACAAGCAGGTATGCATGCTGCGCCAAGCGATTTGGATATCCAGAGCTATTTCACCCACCGAGGCCATACTGGAACTGTAATGTGTCTGACGGCTTGGTCGCCATCTCAAAACTTTTCGAGTGGAGGTCGCGCGCAAGGGGATGGGTGGATATTCTCCGGTGGTCAAGATGCAACGGTGCGAGTATGGGAAAGAGGACGAGTTGATCCAAAGGCCACCCTGGACGGTCACACGGACGCTGTTTGGACAGTGTGTGTCTTACCTGGAACAACAGGCTCTGTGTTTGGACCAAACAACCAGTATGGCGGTCCTGATAGGATACTTCTCGTCTCTGGAGCTGCTGATGGGGTAGTAAAAGTCTGGTCTGTCAGTGCCCCGCCACAGTTGATATCGCCTCAAAGCGGTAGCAGCGGTCGAAGAGGAGGTCGTGTTCGAGGGAACTCAATGTCGTCCGGCTCTGCGTTTCCTTCATCGCCACAACCCAGCATAGCGTCGACTTCTCCGTTTAGCTATACTTTGATTCATTCGATATCGAGAGCCAACAGCGATGCCTCTCCAACTTGTATCACGCCTCTATCAGCAGCAGGAGATGCTTTTGTTGTCTCATACTCTGATGCTGCTGTTATTGTCTACGATACCAGAACCGGCGAGGAAGTTGCTGCAATGGCTAGCTTAGAAACATATGATGGAACCAACAGTACTGGTGTCAATGCTATCGTAGCCACTACTAACGGGCTTGATGGTTCGTTAAGTTTCGATTCTGGGAGAGCACTTTCCGAGGATGATAGTATTGTCGGTGGTGCAACCAGATCAAGTGGTGGTGTCGAGGGAATCATAATCAGCGGGCATGAAGACCGATTTATACGATTTTACGATGCTAATAGTGGTAAGTCATTAACCGAATATATTTCCATGCAAGCAAAATCTAACATATCTGCAGGGCAATGCACATATAACATGCTCGCTCACCCAGCTGCTATATCGGCTCTCTCCCTCTCCCCAGATGGTCGCGAACTCGTCTCCGCCGGCCACGACGCAAGCCTTCGTTTCTGGTCCTTAGAAACGCGAAGCTGTACTCAGGAAATAACCTCCCATCGCCTCATGCGCGGCGAAGGTGTATGTTCCGTAGTCTGGAGCCAGGACGGAAGATGGGTCGTCAGTGCCGGTGGCGACGGAGTTGTAAAGGTATTTGCACGATGATAATAATATGAACCAACGACAAATGAGGGCAATTTCAAACTCGACCCAACTACTTTTTCTTCTCCTGTAATTTTCAAGACGCGGGGGTTCAGGACGCGGCTTTGTATTAAATGTTGAGCCGAATTGAGTATAAGATGAGTGATGGAATTTCGTGGACGGAGAAGAGCATGACGAAGGGCAGGGGAAGGGGAAGAATAAGATGGGGATAAGATAAAGTTGTTACATTATACCACATTATGTAGTTTAGATTATGGGGATTATCTTATCCTGCGTTGGGTTTGAGGAATGAAATGGAGATTTATGGGGATTTGTGTGATTTGATTTGACCTTTGGTATAGATAGATGTGACACTTTGTGCTTTTGATTAGAGGAGGTGAAGTGTTGTAGTAGTGATAGCTACAAAGGCTGTGATTGTCGGACTTCCGAAAACAGATTGGCTTTTCGAATATTAAGGGGTCAATGTTTTTGAGTTGAACTTGCTATGGAAATAGACAGCTTGAAGAACAACTAGTCGAAGGATGAACTTCAATCTTGTGTAAACCCTTTATTGGTATATCACATGTAGGGCAGGTAAAGGGCAATATAATCTTTGGGGTAATTAAAGTCTATAGAGAAATTTAAAAATATACATCCATATAGGTTTTTATATTGACTATCTTACTCATTTGTCTCTTGTTAGTAAGTGAGCGAGTGATTGAGTGATGTTGAAATACAAAACTTAAAAGTAAGTATACTAGCGGCGGAATATCGGCTAATCTTTCACCCAATCTGTCCTCTGGGGCAAAGCTCCACTTCACCAGCGCCGCGTTCAGGGCTTCCTCGGGAAACTTTTAGATTCCAGAGCGTGCCAGCCACATACAAAACCTCTTACCCGCTCTGTCTTGCGCATCGCATCATCGCAATCACCTCTTCTCACATTTTCAGTTCAAGTGGTCGCATTCAATTACGACCTCCTTCTTTGGATTGCTCGTATATATCAAGACACAAGTCTTCGTACCACTTTCAAAATGGCCGGTCTCAGTCCCCAAGTGTGCGTCTTCTTGCTCTCCTTCCCAGTCCACGCAAACAGAATGCTGATGCTATCGCAGTACCAACTTGATCATCATCCTTGGGATGATGCAAGTCTCCAAGAAGATTCCATGGGAGGATTCGCAAACTCTGTTCTTGGTTCGCGCCGCGTATCTCCTGTCTAATGCAATCATCATCTCCGTCTATGCCTACACACACTACAAAATCAACCAGAAGAAAGGTAGGCGTTTTCGGATCTCGGCAGCATCGATGCTCCATTTACTAGGGAATAAAGCTAACATGCCTTCTTAGATATGACCACGCTCAAATACGTCGATCAACCACAAATGGGCTCTACCGAAGAGCCAAAACTCATCACCACAACTGTCCACAAATACGATGTCGACCAAATGAAGGCACTCTACAAGGCACAAATGATGGGCGTAGGCATGATGGCATTCATGCACTTGTACATGAACTACACCAACCCTCTCTTGATCCAATCCATCATCCCACTCAAGGGCGCATTCGAGGGCAACGAGGTCCAGATCCACCTTTTCGGAAAGCCAGCTATCGGAGAGATGAAGCGACCATTCAAGGCTGCTGCAGGATTCATGAGCGCTCTCCAGGGTGGAGGTGCCGCTCCTACACAGGACAAGAAGACCATCGAGGCTGCTGAGAAGGCTGGCCGTGGAGGTGTTAAGGACGAATAGATGGCTTACAGATATGGGATATCTCTTCTGGTCATTTAATTAGGGGGCCTATAGGAACGGTCGGGGATTTTGTTGGGATATAACCCAGGTGGAGGGAGAGATAAAATTCCTGGTTGTACTTTTACAAGTCGAGTAGACAATGCACAATACATTGATTTTACAACATCATTCGAGACATTTCTGTGTATCGTGCCCAAATTATTGAAGACCTTAATTGTAATTTATTTTTTGTGTCAAATGCTAGCGAATCCCAGGAATAGGGATTGCCTGCGTCACCGAGGCTGCCGAATAATGTGCGAGTCATTCGCCACCAACTTCAGCCTCGTCGCAAAAGTTACAAATGTCTACCACAACTTCTTCACAAATAAACTCAATCAAAACGACATAATTGAATCATGGAGAGACCAAGTACACCTCCACCTCGACGGACCACCAGAGCAAACCCCGTAGTCTCACCTCCAACACCAGAAGTGACTCGGCGCATAGTTTGTCAACCCCTCCACCGTCTCTACCTCATTCTCTAACAACACCCAGGAACAAAACAGACTCAAAGCCAAAGCTCTCCGCGAACAATCTCTCGCCCGCGAGAAAGCAGAAGAAGCATCAACCTCATCCCTCAAACGCACCTCCGCCGCCATCTCAACCGGCACCTCTACTCGCGATGGCACCAAACCCGCTCCAGACAATGGCATCCAGGCAGCGCGCAAGTTCCGCAAATTCGTGGACCATGACTTCAGCAAGATGACGGACACCAAAGGCGGCTTTCTTAGCGTCGAAGATGATCCTTTCAATAAAGCACTGCATAAACCCGCGGACGACGCGGCCAAACCGGCGCATATGACTTTGAAGGAATGGGAACGACATCAATTGATGAAAGAGCTGCGACGGACGAAGCAGGGGCCTTTCGAGCCGGGATTGAGTGTGCTAGCCAAAGATGCGGAACGCTGTAGGGAGTGTAAGGGTATGGAGATTGATCATGTGTGGTTAGAGGTTTTCGGCGTGGCGGTTTGCGGGAAGTGTAAGGAGAAGTTGCCGGAGCGGTACAGTCTTTTGACGAAGACGGAGGCGAAGGATGATTATCTTTTGACGGATCGTATGTTCTTGAATCTATACTTCTGCAATTATATTTGGAAATGGATATGGGCTAACAAATGAACAGCCGAACTCAAAGACGCCGAACTCCTCCCCCACCTCAACAAACCCAACCCCCACAAATCCCACTGGCACGACATGATGCTCTTTCTACGCTTCCAAGTCGAGGAATACGCCTTCAGCACCAAATGGGGATCTGCAGCCGCCCTGGACGCCGAGTTCGAGCGCAGAGAAGAAGAGAAGAAAGTGCGCAAGGAGAAGAAGTTTAAGGAGAAGCTGAAGGAGTTGAAGAAGAAAACCCGCACGGATGTTTATAGAAGGAATCTGCAGAATGGGAATAAAGCCGGACAGTTTGGGGATCGGATTGGAGGCGGGAAACATGAACATGAGTGGGGGAGGACGGTGGAGAATGCGGAGGGGGAGACGGTTAAGACTTGTTTGGAGTGTGGGATGCAGGTTGAGGAGTTGGAATTTTGAGGTCTTGAGGGGACGGGGATGTGTATGATTTTATGATTTGGCGTGATGAGGGATGGGTCATGAACGATGGATTGCTTGGTTAGGCTAGGCGAGTGTTTAAAGATCTGAATGTATATACACCCAAATTTTATCCTCTGAGTATCACTTTATACCTGATGTATATTGATTCCGACACGAAAATCTAAGCGAGACATACCCCTTAAAATAGCCTAAGCTGATCTCGAGAACATAAACGTTTTCATTCCTCAAACCCAAGGGTCGGTACTTACTACAAAGAGTAGCTTAGCGTTGAAGTGCATCGAACTATCTACAACTCATGATTCAACAAACCTTTTGGATACGAAAAGTACCCTAGATCTGAGACCTCGCCATATATAATACCAGAATCGCAGTAACTTTGTTCTGAGGATGTACTATTGAGAATCCCTGGTGTGCCACCGACGATGTAGAATGTAGATTCGTAGAAATTTCGTGTCTCTTTTAGGGATCACAAGGATCTTCTTCTTTCTATTAACGATTTGGATTTGGATTGAGACTTTGGAGATGGGATAAGAAGCGAAATTATACTGGGAGTGCTGAACTTTGGAGGCAAGTGTTGTATGTTTGCGAGAGAGGTACTTGGGCTGTAGTGTTTAAGTTAATGATTATAGAGTTTATCATTTCTCAAGAATTAATTGATTTACAGTGTTTTACTTACTGATTATAGAATTTATCATAAGGGGATGGGAATAGCTGATACAATAAGGAATTGGCTAATACTGTAAGGAATTGGTGAGTACTATCAGTAATCAAGAAGTTATCGTAATTTTCCTAATTATCGTGACTTTCGTAATTTCGGGGAGGCGAATACTCACAAACGCCACTGACGGGTTAAGAGTACTCAACTACTTATCATATAGTAAATACCTTCTAACTGTATATAAGAATTGTAAAGACTCTTAACAACTAGTCTATTATCTAAAAAAAGCAGCTATTTAAGTAATTATCGTTAAAAGGTAAGGGTTTTAGTAGAGATCTAACGACTCGGGATGTGACGAGAATTTAGGAAAATTACCAAAATAAATTACACGTTACATTGAACGATATATTATTTTATGATAGTAAAAATAAAGAATCGTTCGTCTGATATCATTTATTAGTATATTTACATATAATTGTATACTATCTTAAATAAAATGATAATAACATGGTAGCACTGTCGACAATATGCTACTCTATGTAAATGTCTGAAAATTATTTCGATTGTCACTGCATTCGGTCAGTTCTATCTCACTCACTAAGATGAGAGAGTAAAATGTTGCAGATTTCTAATCTTGATATGTGATCTTAGAACTTGTCACGGTAATAGTGAATCAAGAATAGTTCATCACTTCACTATAAAGTTGGCAAACCCTATTTGAATCATGGCCTACACACTTACCAACAATTAGATAATGAGTTGTACGCAATAAAACCGAGTGTCTTGCTACTTAACCCATGAATAACTAGTGGTTCCCCTCTCAGGAAAGTAATAGAAACGTGGAACGATGGATAAATAGTATGAATCAGTATAATCCAGACACTTGATCCTGAGGCATTCCTAGGAATCATTAAGTTTTGACACCAGCTTCTTCCTACAAAAGCACACACACTTTCCACTACACCTGCATCTAAGATCATCATCAAACCTTTGAGCTCAACTCCTTCAATCCACCACTTCCACTCAACAAACTCACCACTCCTCAAGTTCCCAACCAAAACACCATCCCCATCCAAAATGACCACAGAAACTCTCCCCAACATCTCCTCCCTCATCCTCTCCCCCACCCACCCCTCCCCCACCTACCCCATTGCCCGTCCCCCCCGTCTCCGGGGCGAAGCCCGCTGGACCGCCCTCTGCGCGCGCCGCTGGAACCTGCACGTCGCCCAGCACCCTTTCCCCATCCGTCCCACCCCCCTCTCCCCAACCGAAGGCTACGCCCTCGATCACGTGCTAACGCTCATCTCCCTCCACTACACCTACTTACACGAGAGCGGGACTCGAGACTTCTCTGACGCCGAGGTAAAGGAGCGTTTAAACGACCTGATCACCATGTGTTTTGAGAGTTTCTACATCCGGGCGCAGCTTGAAGAAGCGGGGGTTGCTGAGAGGGATGAGAGGGGGGAGGTGAGGGAGGTGTATGAGTGGTTGGAGTGGTTGGATGGGGAGTTGGGGAATGGACCGCATATGATGTTGTTTTTTGGGGAGAAGTGATGGGAGGATGGGTGTTAAGAAAGGTGTGGGGGGTTGAGGTTATCACGCTTAATGGGAAAGCATAATAGATTTAGATTGAGTTTAGTATCTTATTTAAGCTCAATTGACAAGTTTTTGCTCTTCCTAGTTTTCTTGAACACATACCACAGACTTTCTAGTGACCTGTAAATATTGTGACTGACTTGACGGTTTATCCTTGTAAAAACTTTTACTTCTTGTAAGATCTGACGATTTCATTACTGGCACTATCCATCTAGACGAAAAAGAACCAAAAGACTGTCAGGAGCACTAACAGGTCTATAAGTATTTAGATTAAAATAAACACTCTTTGTAATCAACAAAACAACATCATATAATATAAACATAGATTGCTCACAAGATCTATAAACGAAAATCAATTCAGACAAGAGCCCACTTGGCAGACTCCCATTATCATTACTTGTTTAAGCATTCGTGTTGTACCTTATTCAATGTTACATAACCATATTTTAAATTATTTGAACATATCTGATTAAAATTAAAACACTTATTATCTCCAACCCAATCTCCAACAAATGAGAACAGCAGCAAGCCAGTCTATAACAAAAGAGAAATAACCAACCAACGCCAACGCTTTTCCAACCAAATATCACCCAATCCAACTATTTATTATGGGAAGGCAAGATACTTCCACCCTTAGCCTGAGGAGCTTCCTTCTTCTTCTCCGTCGACCCCGTCTTATTCTCTCCAGGATCCTTCTTAAACAGCTTCAAAACTGGCGCAAATTTCTCTGACATGCTCTTTCCACTACCCTTGCGTACTCTGATAAGGTAATACAGCAAAACAGCCATGAAGATGTTGAAAAAGATGTAAGCAAAGCCAATTCCATAGTTGCGCCAGCGCTCGCCGTAGTAGACATTTGTGGAGGCGAGGGATTGGTCGGTGTTGATTAATGCGCAGTATTGACAGTCGGCGGTGGCAAGAGGATTGTAGATTCTACCACCAGCTGCTTGTGCGTAGGGAGCGAGATAGTCACCGCAGTTTGAACCGGCCGGGGGTTGCATTACCGCGAGTTCGCTGTCGGAGCACTGAACTTCACGGCCAGACAGACCGGTTGCTGCGATACCACCGACAAGATCTAGATTGTTTGTTAGCCTGTGGTCTAATAACTTTGCGTGAGTTTTGACTTACAAGTCAATGGAGATACACGATACATGAAGATCCAGAATCCTGGAAGTGCATTTGGAGGTTGGAAGACACCGTTGAAAGTCAATGTCAGAGAGAACATCAGCGTGGCGATGTTACCAGCGGTCTCGGAATCGGGTAAGGCGGCAATAAGCATATGAGCGAAGGTGCTGGCAAAGACGAAGAACTGGACCAAGAAAAGGAGAATGAGACCCTGCCTTTCCCCGGATGGAATACCTTCGTTCGTGTAAATCGGGTAGAAGTAAGAGCCGAAAACCATAATACCTAGAAGGATCTGGTATGGAATCTCGACAACGATGTTCGCGATGAGAAATGCCTTCCAACTGTATGCCTTGGATGGACGCTCTCGTACCTCGTACAAATCTCTTTGGAGAATGAAACGAGGCATGATTTGCTGGACCAAAGTCGTGAAAATTGTCGTAATCATGAAGATGGAGAAAATGACGTCTTGGGTACCTTGTTGAGTGGCATCGGCGTGGAAGAATGAGAATCCAATGAATAGAGCAGAAGCGACACCCAACAAGATCTTGCTGTAGATGTATCCTGGTGTCCGCCAATATTGTTGGAAGACACGAAAGGTAACTTCCTTAAGTTGTTGTGGGAATGGCATGGCAAATTCGCTGTGTGAAGCCTCGGAGTCACCCTCGTTAGAGTGTTGGGATCCCATTTCGTCTTTAATCCGCTGTAGTTCTTTTTGAACTCCTTTTGTTTCTTCGCTGTTATTCCATACGTCTGCCCAATCCGTTTTGGACTTGCCTCCAGGTCCTGCTCCCACCATGGTAAGCATGTATTCTGCTGGATTTTCATCATCGCCACACTTCTCAGCCCCGTGAGACTCAAAGTAGTTCAAAAGTGTTGTGGAATTCTCCCCAATGTCGCCAAAATAAACCGTACGTCCACCTTTCGCGAGGAAAAGAAGTCTGTCGAATTGTTGGAAAAGGACTGCACTAGGTTGATGGATAGTAGCCAAGACAGCTTGTCCATTGTCGGCGAGTTTGCGGAGGAACGAGACGATTGCCCAGGAAGACTGAGAGTCGAGACCAGAAGTGGGTTCATCCAAGAACAGAAGCAGAGCTGGTTTGGCAGCCAGTTCGACACCGATAGTCAAGAGTTTACGTTGTTCGACATTGAGACCTTCTCCAGGTACACCTACGACTGCCTCAGCAAAGTCTTGCATATTCAACATCTTGATGACATCTTCGACAAACTCGTGCTTCTCTTGTTTCGACACAGTCTTGGGTTGACGGAGCATGGCAGAAAATCGAAGAGCCTCGCGGACGGTCGTAGTTTCCAGGTGAAGATCCTGTTGTTGAACGTAACCGGTTTTACGTTGGAATGATGCGTCCAATGGTTTTCCCGAAACGAACATATCACCGGTAACAACGCCCATAGAGACTCGCTGAGCAAGAACATCTAGAAGAGTGGTTTTGCCCGCACCAGAAACACCCATGAGGGCGGTGAGTGTCCCAGGTTTGACCCATCCATTAACATTGTCAAGAAGTCTTCGAGGGTTCCCTTTAATCTTAATGTCATAGCACACGTCCTTCCAGGTGAAGACATCGGTCTGAGGTGGTAAAGCTTGTACCTCCTCGTCTTGATGTGCCTCATCGCCAGCATCATCTCTGCTACCACTTCCAACGCCCGCAGCAGCAGGAGCTTCGTCATCATTCTTGGCCGCCTTTTCGGCCTGTTCGAGATGCTTAGGAACGTGGCCGCGGCGAAATACTAGTACCTCGGCAGAACTATCTGTTGCAGAATTGAATTCGGTAGCGGCAAGATAGACGAACAAGAAGAAGATCATGAAGGCGAACATGAACCCAAGATTCCTCCAGATGTGAGAGTATGAGTATTGAAATTGAGCATCGAGATAATCATCACCAGAGACAGTCTGTTGACCAGCGACTGAGCCCGCAACCGCACAGACGAAGTTGTTCCCCGTGAGCGAGTATCCTGGACCAGATGGAACGAGCTGGGAACAAATGAATTCCCGCCCATGGAGCTCATTCACGAATAGTCCCTCGAAAGCGTAAGCGACGGGATTGATCCAGCTGATCCACTTGAACCAAGGATGCATAAGAGGTCGGGGGATGACGAAACCAGTGTAAATAACGATTGCCAAAGTGACAACTCCAGCAATGGCTAGAGCTTGGGAGACAGTCTTCGTTGACGCAGCTATACTTCGGTAGATTTGAGACATCGTAAGAATGGCGACGAAATTGAACATGAAGAAGATGAAGAACTGGGAGGGTTCTCGTCGAAGACCGGCCAGAAAGTACAAGATGACGTTGAAGACGGTCGCAATTGCGAACTTGACAGGAATATCAGCAACAATACCAGCCATTGCCTCTGTGAATGGGTGATAAAATGCGTAAGATGCTTGCTTCTCGATAATAGGACGCTGGGCGTACAAGTTGTTGATTTCGGAGATGGCAATAAGGGCGTTGAGGAGAATAGCGAAGAAGAGAACACCTCCCTTTTGAAAGAAAGAGGCGGTGTTGTTTGGTGTACCATAGAAAATTGACCCGATAATGAGAGCCATCACAATTTGACCGATGATAGTCGTGACCGTGCTAGTCTTGTCGTTCCAAAGACGTTGATAAGCTCGCTTGGTGCAGTACTTGATTTGCATAGGAATGCTGACAGTGTATGGTGATTCAGGTCGGACATGTTTTGCTTGCATACCTTTGCGGCTCTCTTTGAAGGTCTCGAGTGTCTTGCCACCCATTGGGAACTCCTCTTCATGGTGTTGGGTTTCTTCCTTCAACGATTTATAGTATGGAGAAGCTTTCCAGTACTTCTCGAAGTCATCAGGAGTACGAGGAATTTTGCCCTCAAACCCTTTGCGGGCAATGCGTTCAGATGGGTTAGTGACTGAAGTCAAGAAGTCTCCGGTAGTTTGACGAGCTGGACACTCGTACCCCATATCAATGAAGTATTGTTTCGCAGCGTTACAAGGCCCGAAATAAATCTGACGTCCCTCGTACAAGACTACGGCTTTGTCGAATAGGTCGTAGATAGCTTGGGAAGCTTGATAGATTGCGACGAGTTGGACTGTTCCCTGAAGGTTGGATGACATTCGTAGGGATTTGGTAAATTCTAAGGCGGTTGCGGCATCCAGACCTCTGGTAGAGTTATCCCAGGATGCAATAGGAGAACCGGCCAAAGCCATTTCTGCGATGCTGACACGCTTCCTTTCTCCACCAGAAACACCCCGAACGAAATCGTTTCCAACCTTCGTGTTGTATGTATGTGAAAGACCGAAAACAGCCATGACGACTTGTGCCATGTGTTTAGCCCAGCTTTCGCGACTGACGCCTTCGACTAAGCGCGTCTGGGGTGTGCGGACACGGGCAGCAAATTCGAGGGTCTCGCCGACTGTCAAATGCGGAAAGTGCTTGTCAACTTCCTGGTTATATACCAGCTCACCCCTGAACTGCTTCATCATCTGCTTCTGTGTGATACCTATTCTCTATCAGTACGATTTAAGCAAGCAGGAGATTGAGTAACCCTACCATTATAATGGATGTCAGATTGCTCTTTCATATCAAGTCCGTGAAGTTCGCCCATCAATGTTTTGAGAAGGGTGGAGCAACCACTACCTGGCCGACCGAGGACCACAAGCATCTCTCCAGACTTCAAGCACCCATCAAATTCATTCAAGATGGTCTTTTCTGGTCCCCTCCCGAAGAACTCGCCAAAACGCAGAGGTGCCAAAAGTAGTGATCCGACGTTTTTCTGCAGATTGATTGCCGAGCCCGAACCGCATACTTTCAGGTTTTTCCAGACGATGCCAGCTCGTCTTTGGACAACATCATTCTCGTCAATGAGTTTCATGATCCTAATCTTGTTAGCATGATAGATCCAATTTTGGGATGTTATACTCACATGCGTGCCCACTTGTAGACATTAAAGTCTGGTGAGGCCGGATCAAGAACAGGATCGCCTAACTTCACACCGGCGAGAGTGTCTTGCCTCGAAAGCGCCGAGGATGCATTGGTATTACTTCTGCCCAGCGCTGAGCCCCCAAAATTAGATGCAATCTTCTTCAGTTCATCCCGGTCTCCCGCCATGATGGGTTGAAAAGTTCGCTCATTTTCAGTCGAACTAGTATCGGTTCTCTCAAGTGTGTCTTTCTCCGCATCATGGCCCAAGGAGGTAGAAGCATCAGACTCAATTCTGTCGTGTCTTTCAGGTTGCTCGATGTCTTCTATCGGATATCCTGGGTGGCTCTCGTCGGCAAGAATGTTTTCGTCCCGCTCCGGGAAGAAGTGTCTGTCGGTATGGTCCGTCATTTTAAACTGTTGCGGTCGTCTGAAAAGACGTGGGGTATATCCGAAAGCCTCCACCTAGAGTTCACCTATTGTCGGCAGCGATCACAACGTAGGAGCTCGTAGCAGCGCTCGATTATGGCGGAGGCTATTGAGGCGGGGTCCAGCTAACTGATCGTAAAGAAAGTAAATCTGAAAAGGGTCCTCGGGGCAGAGGGTCTTTTGAACCAAATCGACGGAATCATACTTTCTGCCCAGACTCGGTCAGCCATTGACCTCAATGCGCGTTCGACTAGCAATTGGTCAGTGTAAACAAAACAGACGCCATAGTTTAGACTTTGGGATAGCGTTCGAACCGGCCGAGCGCGGAAGAGTTCAAAATACCGAATGAATATTATGGGGTCCAATGACGACAGGGAGATTTCCGCAGGCTGATGCTGATTAAGGTGGATGCAGTCTTGGGCTTAGTGCCTTAATTGCCACCCACCACAGCCCTTTTTCTCTCACCTCCGAGTACGATGAACACCATGCTGATTAGATTTTCGGGTGGAGGCTGAAGATAAGACGCAAATAGGTGGAAACTCCTGTCCGCAATCCTCGAAGAGCGCGAGTTCATGAAAAGGAGTTCGGACGGTCGGGCATTAGAATCCATAGCCCACCAAGCCTATTGCTCCGGATTTGTCCCTTATTACAATTGCGTGTAAATGTCTATTGAATTAGCAATTGAAACACAGCCGATCCGTATCAAAACACTCCTCGATCAGCATCAAGACAGTTTTCGGCCCTCAGAGGTGGCTATCGTCGTGATCGAGGGCAGAAATGCAGATAGAGTGCCTTTGTAGAAAATGCAGAACTGGATGAACTAGTCACATACTTCACTTGGCTTCGATCATTGTGCGAGCACAATCTGTACACCAGAAAGGTCGAGACCGGTAGGAAGCGTATAGGCTTAGGATGGGGGCAGCTAGAGGAGCGACTAAAATGAAACAACACACCCTCCATGACACCTCATCTCCCCATCGTATTCGTAGCGTGTCATGATGTGGCTAAGGTAGTAGTATCTGGTGTCGTACATATCATGGGGAGCGTGAAGAATCCGAATCTCTTCTTTCCATTGTGTCTGTCCAACTAACTATGTCAACCAACGAGCAATCATCGGTATCTTTGCTGTTTGATACTCCGAAGTAAAATCAAAACCAAGCAACAAGAAAGCAGAAGGGCAAAGTCAAAGAAGGGCTAGAGATCTCCTGAAGATCTACTCCAGGTTGTTCCCCACTACCGTCTGCGTGCTCCTTAGCGAGAAACAACAGCCTGCGCAAGTGGTTGGCTTCGGTAAATAAATGCCTCCCGAAAATCCCGGACACAAAATCACGTGATCTAAATAAAGAATAATCATTAAAACTTGCACGAAATCCGAGCTTGTTGCCTCTTATGTTATCTTTTCATGCCAATGTGGATTCTAGACCCTTTACTAGATACAATCGTACTCGTAGCTGCTATTTCGACCGCCGTGGCTCGGTTGATATCGCATCGGAGCTGGGGCATACCTCCTTCCGGACTCTGATCGGAAATAAATACTGTCCTTCCGCACAAAATTCTACCTACCTAAGAATGCATCAACTGAGAGTAAGCGTCGTCATGTTCGGAAGGCACGGTATTATTTGGATTGCGCATCAAACAAGGCAGTAAGTTATCTTTTTGGACATAAGCCGGTGCGTTGGCACTTGCATAGCTTCGTCAATTCTTGAATTCGATCTTAAACTCTACACAAGCTCAATATTGTTTCCGCCTTCCGTTTACCTTCGGTCTGGTACTAGCAACCTTTTTTCAGCCTTTTACGAACGATATTTCAAATTGGTATAACACTGTGGGCAGATACATTGAGATTTTCTGTTTAACAGCTACAAATTAAGGCTCCTTTCTATTCTGGCCGTCTCATCACTAATCATATTCAACTTAAATGATGAGTTTGATATGGTTTGGTTAAGATTCTGAGTGAGAGAGTGGAGCTAATCTGTGTGGTGCGCTCCATCCTAGATGCCTATCCTCAACAATCAACATCAAGCTTGAAGCCACCAAGGCAACCTTTTTGGAACAATCCATCTGCATCATATTTCCTACTTATTTCCTTGAGGAACTGCCGGTTCTCTTCTCCATAACCTTCGAACGGCTTCTGCCACTCATTACAATAATTCAAGTAGCGAAACCGATGATTTGTGCCATTCGCAAGTGCGAAAGATTCAATCTTCTCAATGGTGACGCGCGCTGTTTCTTTCACAAAGATGTCATCAAGTCGAGTGTCCCAATTGACGGTAAAGCTTACAATTACAAGCGGTTCGCTAGTATCTTGAAGTCCAAGTGGATTTTTGTCGCCTTTCCGAGCCCAGGATGGGAAGAGTGGTTGAAAAACAATCGTCCACAGTAATCCTTTTGGATTGACATGCCGAAGCGAAGCAAATGCTTCGCGGAACAAAGCATGTGCTGTGGATATTGTGGCTAGATCGTTTCTGATCGTCAATGTACCGAAAGTTTGTCGTCTACCGGGAGGATTGAGTGCATTGAGCTCAGCTGTTGCGTTGGTCAAACTGCGAGCCTTGCAGGTGCTCCAATAGCGCCACAGCGATGAGAATGGAGTCGCTCTCCAGCTAGGCGGCCATCTCTTGGGGTTCTCTGCGACTTCGGTTGAAACGAGGTTGACCGCGATCACCTCCAGATTGAGTTTTGGAAGATAAGAGAAGGACGTCAATGGACCAGCAGCGTGGCTGAAATTCTCATTATTCATCTTATTGACGGTCTCGTGAAAAGCGGTTATGACTTTGGAGGCCTGGAATGCAGGATAATATAGGAAACCGCTCCAGATATCACCGCACGGAAAAGTTTTGAGCGCGAAACTCGTCACGATGCCGAAATTGTTGGAACCGCCCTTGAATGCCTTCCAAAGATCGGGATTGTTGTTTGCGGAAGCGGCCACGATAGATCCATCAGCGAGTACGACTTCATAGCTGACAATATTGGAGCATACGAGGCCGAACCGGGGAGTAAAGAAGGAGATACCACCTACAATGTCGTATCAGCCAGTGAATTGACGAATGGAACCCAAGATAATGCAAAAATATGCATATATCAATATCGTTGCTGTCTGATGAGAAGACGCTTGAGGAAACAGTGAGGGAGATAGAAACTTCTCACCACCTAAAGTCAACCCGCCAACCCCAACAGCAGCATTTCTACCACCAACGACAGCAAGTCCCTTCTTATCCAACACCTTCGAGATATCCATCCACTTCGCACCTCCACCAATAGTTACTGTCTCTTCATTCTCAGATAAAGTCACACTACTCAAATATCTCAAATCAACCACCACACCACCTTCAATACTAGCAGCACCCGGGACCGGCGAATGGCCTCCTCCCCGAATAGCAAATATTCCGACCTTCTTTTGGCCATTCCCTCTCTCATCAAATTCCGCTTTTAAGATTTTGACTGCTATACTGAGTTCTTGAACATTCCGGGGTCGTAAGATACATGCAGGGATAATTTCACACTCTTGTTGAGCCCAGTACGCGTTCAATCCTTCCTTAAAATTCTGGCTGTGTTGAGGTAGAATAACACTATCGGGAAGTTGTGAAACAAGTTTCTGGACCAGAGGCGTAGGCTCTGACAACTCGACAATCTCCTCTATGTCGTATTCATGTCTTGAAATCAGCAGTCGATGCAAGATAATGGAAGAGATGGCAAGGAAGACGACGGTCATCAAACAGAGGTAGAGTAGGTCGGAGGCCATGATATCTGGTTATGAGGATATATGTTCATGGTACACAGCGTTGAGAAAAGCTGTGTTGGTTGGAAAATAGTTGGTTGGAAAGTCATCGTATGCGTATACCTAGTGACGGACGTTCTGTAAACAGGGTAATTAGCCCCATCGTGCGGCACAGCCAGAATCAAGGATGGGGATATCTCGCTTAGCTCTAGGTTGGAGCTGTGGGAGCATATTCCATACTTCGGGAGAGGAGAAAGAGGGAATGCGATTTAAGCATTGTTTATCGAGTTATGAAATAAGTGTGCTAAGAATTTTGAGGGAGAATGGAATATGAGTAAACTTAAATATTTTACTGTCGAATATTCTAAGACTGACAAATCAATAGCGCGAGCATTTATACAACCTCAGAGCCTCAAGATTCAAGGCAAGATCTTATACATATGATGATGATTCTTGAACACCAAAAGAATTAGGAGTAAACTCTCAAGCTTCAGTCCTAGAGAGTGGAATCCAAAACCTCTTAACTTTTGACCGAACTTCAAAATTGTAGTGGAGCTTGTGGTCCCTGGATTTTCTGGAACTGGAAAGTTGGGAAGCGAGTGCCTTTTATATCTTGGACAGTAATTTATGAAGACGTGTTGATATCGGCTATCGGTACCGCGGGTGCTTTTCTCACTTTAATCGCTCAATTTCAATGTCATACTAGCACTGATTTCCAATCGAATAGAAGTGTTTTGGCGTGTATTAAAATTACTATACACTGCTACGAACTCACACAGCACTACATATGCAGTCATACACTCAATAGCATCCAGCAACGAAACTCAAGGAACAAACCTTCCGACCACCACTTCCTCTTTCTCAACTCCCCGCAAACTAACCATTTCCATCACCGAACCCACCATCTAAGCAGTCCAAATAAGCTTCCATAAATAAGCTTACCCAACGCACGTCACTAATCCCGCAGTCGTATCCAAACGGAAGAATCTCCTTCCCCCATGAAAATAGCGCCGGAAGCATCCGCTGCAGTAATGCTTATTTCAAACCTTGTTTTGTTGTGTCAAATGATGGCTTCTGATTAGTGATATTGAGATGGCTTGCGTATACGGATGTTGACTTGCGAGTGTGACGGTGAGACTTATTGTTACACTGGTGTTAAGCGAGATGTTAAGTGCACGTCTGAGGGGTTTGATCAGTGATCATTGGGAGTATGATGGTTTGAGAGTCACGCGTTTATGGGAATTTCGTGGGGGAGGTTTGTAATGAAAATAGATATCTTACTATGTGCTTGTGAATAGGGTGAGATTATCCTCCTAATGCCTCCTTTCTGGAATGTGCAAAACTCTGAACCTTACAAAAGTCCCGGAAAACTTACACCCCAGCGTAGATTCTGTCTTAATAAGTACCTCAAACCTCAACATCACCAAATTTATACAATAAGCAGACGAAATCCTTCCGGACCCTAGCCTACATCCTCCTCCATATTTAAGATGTAAAATATGATTTTTTACACGGAGAAAAGGTTGTCCATACGCATGTCAGACTTTCCCCCGTTGGCTTCTGAAAAATAGTAAAAGCTAATCTAATTCCTTCGTGTTTTTCTTTTACAATAAAGAAGTTAAGTTCCATTGTATCGACGTGGTTCTCTACTTTATGTGGATGTGTTTCCTACGCGGGCTCGTAGTGGACAAAATAGATGTTAGTTACTGACCCACTAATATTTAGACTAAATAAGTCGACTTCGAACAGAGTTTAAAAAGTCGTATTTGTTCAAAATACCTGACGGAATGTGTCATATTCTTCCAAGTCGATCCACTAAATTGAGATATTTCGTTAACTTAATCGAAGAAATATCGTGTTTCGACTACCACTTATTTTGTCCACCACGAGGCGGGACACCCCAAGGAACTCGGGTTGTGCGGTTTTACTAAAAGTCTTGATTGAAGATCGGCAACCGGTATTCTGAAAACGGTTGCGCTCATCAAATATAACCTGCAGTCGTCAAAAGGAGAAAAGAAAAAACAATAAACCTACTAGACAAGAAAGAAAACAGCAAAAGCTGACTGCACCCCCTTGGGAGTGTCCTAGTCTCTAAACCGGTTGCCCAATTTACTTTGTTAGGATGGAATTTGACTGCGACGGTGTGTTGGCGGTTGCCAGTATTTGTTTTTGTTTTTGTTTTGAGGCTTGAAGCTTTTTTTTGGCGATTCTTTGCTTTGCGAGTGGTTATCGCTTAAACGATCTTTTGTTGGAGAAAGAATTAATAGATTGGCCGTCAGATACCACATGAAACTGGATCTTTTGTGATTGGTTGCAGGAATTTGGCCTTTTGTCATTTATGAAGTAGTAAAATGTTTGGGTTCGGTGAATAGTGGAGATGCGCGAGAGTGAATGAGTTTATGAAGTGGGTGGGGGTCTGGAGGGGACGACCGCCTCGTTTTCGTGGCGAATGGACGTTGTGATATACCATATAATCATTGATCACTCATCAGTGAGATTTGGATAATCATTGAAAAATCAAACACCGGTGCGGAAGAAGCTATCCCCAAAGCATGGCTGTCCCATTCTCACTTGCAGCGCTTTGAAATCATCTTGCGCCAAAACCTTGGGAAATCTTCCCGAAGGAGCAAAAGCTAACAAAATCAATTTCTTACCGCGTCACCGAGAGAATACTATTACGAAAATTATCATCATTTTCTTCGTGAGAGAAAAGTATATAGTTGCTCCAATTCTCCGTTGAAGATCCTCATCACTCAAGCACATCAACGCACTTCAACAACGCTTCCCAATCTTTCAACCAACACCAAAAACCTCAACCCAAAATGCAGTTTTCCAACTTCCTCAGCATTGCTGCTATCTTCACTCTCGCAGCTGCAACTCCCGTCGCAGAACCAGCGGCTTCCCCAAAAGTTGCTTCCCCATCTCCCCTCGCACTTCACCAGAGACAAGCTTCAAACGCAGGTGTTGAACTCTGCACCGATGCCGGTTTCACTGGTCGATGTGTGCACATTGTGCAGCCAATTGGCCAATGTAGTAAGAGTCTACCATGTAGTCCTCCTCTTAGATGTGAATGCTAACACATCATGTAGTTGCACTAAGCTCCGATCTCAACGATCTCGTCTCATCCGTCGGTCCAGACCAAAACGCTGGTGATTGCCGATTCTTCTTGTAAGTTTTACTCTACCTCATTGATCCTCATTAATTGAGAAACTTTCGTGCTAACTTAACATCTAGCGACTTCGGATGCTCCGACAGCAACGGTTTCCGTCACTTCGATACTCGCTTCCCAGGTATCAGTGATCTTAGCAAAGTGTCTGGCGCCAACGATGCTATCTCATCTTACCAATGCTTCGGCCCTGGCTCTTAGATTACTTGAGATTAAAGCCATCTAGACGAATGTGCAAACGATAGATGAGTTGATGAAGGAGGTGATTTTAGACGTTTCTAATCGTGTTGTTTCTCTGGGGAAGGACGTTTGGGGCATGTTGAAAACACAGTACTAGAATCTTTAGTAATATAAACTTGGGGGACGCCCCGTATGAAATAATCTCGTTTTTAGTTTTCTAGAAGTGATTGTTTCGTGATTCTAGGGTGCAACGAATAGCTCCAAAAGAGTCAAGAGGTCTTGCTCAATGTTCTTCTTCCGGTGTTACGCAATTCTCTTCTCCCAGGCACTTTCACATAAATCGTGAACTTTGTTTTCATTCATCAGATAGGCTTTCCTGCTGCTACTCATCATTCTAACATTTGTAACCTTTACACATTCTCTAATTCTACAGAACTTCTATGTCTCGGCAACTCTTACAACAAGCTTCTCCCCCGAGACTTTCCCTAAACGAAGCTCATTTATACCTTCTACCACCGCATCCAACCCGCCTGGAATTACACGTATCGGATGCGGTTTAATTACATTTCCATCTAAAAGTTCTTGCATCCTCACAAACCACTTCTTCGCGAACTCAACATCCTGAGGTCGCTTCTTCCGCTTGAACGCACCCTTCATCGCAATTGCCTGTCCAAACATTGTCAAGACAAACACCCAGTGCGGTGTGATGTCGCTACGTGTGTGCATAGGTATTGGAAATGGATCCAGACTAGTATACTTGCCACCTTTGTCTCCCATCACTCCATAGCAGAGTTTCATCGTGGTTCTGTCTGTGATGCAATCTAGAACGATACCAAGAGTATTCTTGGTTGCTTTGAGGATATCTGATGCACAATTTGGTGATCGATAGTCGAAAACTCCTGTTGCGCGTAGTGATTTGAGCAAAGGAAAGTTCTTGGGAGAACAAGTTGCTATTACTTTATATCCAGAGCTAAAGAGGGTCAGAGATTGACCATAAAGTGTAAATTTATCAACGTGAAACTTACTGAACAAGAAGTTGGACAGCCAAAGTCCCACAAGAAGTGCTTCCACCATATACCAACGCAAACTCCTCTTGGGCTTTTCCTCGACTAACAGGCGCCATCGGCAAACCTATCGAATGATACAAAGCCATGCCTACAGTTGCTGAAGCAATTCCAAGCCCAGCTCCATCTTCAAATGACATATTGTCCGGTATTCTCAAGACCAATTGAGCTTCCACTTCAACATACTCGCAAAATGCACCACAATCTGGGTTACCGGGATTATTGCCAAACACCGGTCCACAAACACGATCGCCAATCTTCAAATCTCTTGTGACTTCTGAACCAACTGTCACTATTTCACCAGCAAAATCGTATCCTCCTATCGCACCGGAGGATGCTGAGAGATCGACCATCTTTGCATCAGCTGGGTTCAATGCCACAGCGACATTTCTTACGAGGACGCATGTAGGTCTGGGTACGGGAATCTTTGCAGAGCTGTCTAGTTTATATTTCCCGTTTCCTCCAACCCTTAGGGCTGTCTGTGTTGGTTGCATGTCGGTTTCCACCAAAGCTCTAGACACTGTTCTCTATAGAATTGATATTATGACAGAGATGTGATATCACCCGGTATCTTTTCTGATTCAAGATCTCGTGATTTCTGTCGCACTATACCAAACTGGAATGTTCACACTCCTCGCTTATTCGATCTTCGGCATCGAAAACCTCAATAACCAGAACACGAGTTAAGCATGTGACAACCTCAAAATTACTACATTAGGAAAATTTAAAATGTTTGTGTCTCTTAGCCAATTGGTGATTAACTTGAAACATGGTCAGAATCCTTCGCCATAAAGTCGGGTTCGGCACCCGTTCGAGGTGCCGAATACAAACAATTCCTTCGGCCGCCACGAAAACAATCATTTATTGCTCGCCACACAAGGCGGATAGTTTAATGCGCCGTGTGGCTTTTTTACGCCGCCAACTGGATGAATGTCGTGCCTTTATGGCGCATTTAAGCTTCGCCATTCGGGTGCGTTTGCTGCAATCGAATCTCGCCAATGAGGTGAATGTTTGCTGTGTTTTGGTGTAACTACCGAACTTTCGGCAGTCAAACATTTCTATCTGCTGTCAATAACCAAGAAAGTTAGCATCGTGCGATTTGTTGGTTGGAAGATTGGTAAGCCATTTTCGAATCGTCCTCAGCTTCGCGTTAACAACTTCGCGAAGTCACGCTCGACCAGCGCAACTTTTCGTCATCTTCAACCGCAAATATGGCAGAAGAACCTCAAGCGATAACGAAGGAGCCTGTGTCTGTCGAGGAGAAGGCTGTTGGGCGGAAATTTAAACCATGGAATGGCATGATCAAGAAACGTACTGCTGCGGATGGTGCCGCGGAAGCTGATGTTAGGAATAATTCTGTGAAGGGGCTCTATCCGAGTGGGGTGCGGTTACTATTGCTAATCATCGCGTTATGTCTTGCGATTTTCTTGACTTCTTTGGACATGGTAAGAATCCCTCTCCTTAGACATCTACAAAACGGTATCTGAGCTGGAAACTAATGTCGATCTAGACCATTGTGTCGACAGCGATTCCCCAGATCACCGACGAATTTAATGGCATCGATTCCATAGGATGGTACGGCAGCGCATTCTTCCTGACCTTATCTTCATTTCAGTCGGCATGGGGCAAGGCATTCAAATACTTCCCTTTGAAATCGGTGTACCTCGTGTCGATATTGATATTCGAAGTTGGAAGCTTGATATGTGGTACGTTTTATCTCCAAGCTTCCTAAATAATTGCACATAAATTAATACGCAACAGCACTGTCAAAAAATAGCACAACTTTAATTGTAGGCCGAGCCATAGCAGGAGTTGGAGGAGCTGGTATATTCTCAGGATCTTTCACAATCATCGCCTTCATAGCACCACCGGAGAAACGAGGAGCATATACAGGTTTTGTTGGTGGATCTTACGGAGTTGCTAGTGTCGTTGGACCGCTGATCGGAGGGCTTTTCACCACGCATGTTAGTTGGAGATGGTGTAAGTAAATACCAACCACGAGCCATCATGTTTGCTGACAAAAGAAATAGGTTTCTACATCAACTTGCCTCTGGGGGCTGCTGTCGTGGGAATTATAGCACTCTTCTTCGTTACACCAGCTGCTTCTAAGACCGTTGATGTTCCTCTCAAAGAGAAGCTCCTAAACTTCGATGTCCTCGGCATATTCGTAATTATGGCATCAGTAGTATGCTATCTACTCGCCCTACAAAAAGCCGGAATCACACATGCCTGGAAATCGGCCATGATAATCGGCTTACTCATTGGTTTCATACTACTCTTCATCGTATTCTGTGTCATCCAATTCGTCTTGGGCGAGCGAGCGATGGTTCCGCCACGACTTCTCAAAGACCGAACGATGTGGGGTGTCATGGCATTTATCTTCTTTCTAGCCTCATCTTCCTGGCTATTCGTATATTACGTCCCGATATACTTCCAAGTCATCGACGGAACAACCGCAGCACAAAGTGGCATACGAACCATTCCGTTAGTTCTAGGCCTTACAGTTGGCACCATTATAGCCGCCAAGAGTCTCGAAAGTTTCGGCCTTTATGTGCTATATCTGGGTCTCAGCGGAGTATTATCTGTCATTGGAGCCGCACTTTTGTATACACTTGATATCGGAACCGGATCACCTGCATGGATCGGATACCAAGCGCTTGCCGGAATAGGATATGGTCTTGGAGTACAAACACCTCTTATTGCAGCTCAAGCCGTTATGAGCGATGAAGACATCGCCTCCGCTACCGCGATGATATTATTCGCACAAACACTCGGAGGATCCCTGATGATCTCAGCTGCGCAAAGCGCTTTCGTAAACACTTTGATCAAACGAATCATCGAGACCGTCCCGGAACTCGATCCACTTCTCGTTGTCCTCACAGGTGCAACTGAAATTCGACAAAAGCTGCCCGCTGAAACCATTCCCAGGGTATTGAGAGCGTATATGGATGGATTGAAGAGCGCTTATGCGATAGGAATTGCTACCGCTGGGTTGATGCTGCTGCTTGCTTTTGCTTGCAAATGGCATAATCTTGTAGACTTAAACAAGGCAAAGACCAAAGCACAATCAGGCAGTAAAGAGCAGCTGAAAGCTGAAGCGTGATGGAATGATATTGTTTTTTGACGTTAGCATTGTTAGATAATTGGGCAGCATTTGAGATATCTGCGCTCAGGTAAGGAGATAAAATATCGGTAAAATGCCTTGATAATATAGGCTCTTTCTCCTGTTTAGCATGAATACACCAATCTTAATTTCGTGCTAGATGCTCTGTATGAGGAACATTCTGCACGTGGTCTATAAACAATGAGGCGTACGCTTCGATCGGTTAACACATCAGCTGACCCGCCTCCTCCATGGCCCCTTCAACACCCCCTCCTCGTCAACGTCAAGATGTTGTTCATGAACGATTTATCCAACTTTAGAAAACCTACATTTAGGTTCTCTCTAGTCGGAAGTTCGTATTGGATTCTTAGTAATTAGTCTAGATTATTACTGACTTCGAAAAGCCGACGTGATAATTACCCAAGGTTACTTAAAACTACTTGATTAATCTGTGGGTAACGATACTGGAATGGTGATTTTAGGAATTGAAGAAATGCTTATAAAAATTAGAAGATTTTTTTTGTTTTTGGTTAGTAATTGCAAAGCTGGGTATCTGTAACATATATCAAAAACCGAGGTATGCTAACCACAACTCATCTCGTCTTCACACTTAAAGATTATGAAAGCATTTAGTAGGGCATATCATTGCATATCGTATGTGGGATTCTCATAATCCTCCGTCCTAACACGGACACTTAATATGTAAACCATATATAACACAATCCCTCAACCAAAACCAAAAACCCAAACCCACCTCCATCAAAATCGCAGTCCGCACAAACAACAAAAAGCAAGGCTCATACCACGACATATAAATACACGTACGCAACCTTCCGCACCAAATCTATTCCAAATCCACAAGCACATATTCACAAACCGCGGCATTCGCCATCCCGCCCACCATCTCGTGTAACCAAGCGGGCCGTCCATCGCACACCGTTTATCCTTATTCCAACATCAAACCAACACCTCGGTACCACCCCCTTCACACCACGGGACCCTCACGCAGCGATTTCGACACGCGCTGGATCATGTCGTGCAATCGCTCTTTCTGATCACAGATCGTTTGCATGGGCGCGCACACGATATCCCAGGGGAGCGCGGCGGGCGTGCTCGGTATGGAGGGTTGATTGGGCGTCATGGAATACACGGCGTTGTTTATGCGGATGGTGAGGTACTCGATGCTGCTCATCATCTGGACGAGGTCGATGGAGTTTTGCTCGCGGTCTGGGTTGGAGGGGGAGTGGGTTAGGAGGGTGAGGGCGCTGTCTGCGTGGTGGACGGTTCGTGAGAAGAGGGTGAGGAGACGGGAGTAGCAGCCTAATACTAGGAATGTGATGCTAGGGTTTGTGCCTGGTTTGATTTGGGTTGGATGGTTGGAGCTTTGGTCGGTTGAGGTCTCGGATTTGGGTAGGTCGTATGGCGGGGTGTCTATGTTTTGTTGTTTCGTCAGAGCAGTTACGCTTCTGATCACGTCGATCAGAGCTACTGCGTAACTGTGAAGTGTTTCGACGGGTAAATGATTCATGACACCCGTCCCGCCATTTCTCGACGAAGTCGTCGAGCTGCTGTATAAAGAACTGTGGAGCTTGCTAAGGCGCTGAATTGCGACTTCGTCTTCTGTTTCAGCATGATCTTTTGGTTGGCGCGTCGAGGGTTCATCTACCGGTTGAATCGTCCTTTCTGCGGGCATAGAATCTCGGGGACTGTCCAACTGACTGGACGTACTTCCAGATCCCGATGGTAAAATGGCGGTTTGTCTTGTAGGACTCAGGGACATTCCACATCCGCTGTCATCTCGTTGGTATTGTCTCCGCTCCCAGTTCATATCCTGGAGCTGTCCAAACTCCGCTTCCGGCGTCAAAGTGGGAGAAAACAGGAGATTTTCTAATGCCATATTGTGTTCTGCATTATCTTGAAAAGTCGCTCGGTCGGTATCGACAGTCGACCAGAACATGGTCTCGTTGTTAAGGTAATTAGATGGGCTAATTTCCTCTTCCGGTGTTCTCGTGCAGTACCCGGTCTCTTCTCCAGTTCTAGGATTCCATGCTTGCGCTTCTCTCGTTGGAATCCCTCTGGGTTCCATCACCGATGGCCTTCTTATCCGTACAAATGGAGTCACCAAGCACATGGCGCCAGCTTTCCTGCATCTTTTGCAGCTGTCAGACTTATCATCTCGTTCGCATCGTAACTTCTGACCATGGCACCGATCACAGACTGTTCTTCTTGCCGGCTGGTAACGGCCTGCTCCACCGCGAGTTTTCAGCATCTTGCTTGATGATCCTCAGAAAATGCAATCTGAAGAGCAATTGCATTCTGCATAATAACCACAGGACACTATCATTGTTTATTTGTCGGCACCCACACCTCTCCGGAGTTGTGTGTTGAAGCAGACAGCTGTGCCTGGAACCTGCGTTGACTTCTGATGATTGTACATCTTCTTGATTGAGGTTCTAAATCCGACGTTAGCCAACGTCAGAACGTCGACAGGCATTCCTCGAATACGCCGAAGGATGATACACACCACTCAGGTCTTGTACCCAAGTGACACCACCATATGCAGGCTGTCCCCCGTAATCATTTGAACGCTCGCCTTTAACCGGTTCTAAGCCAGCCACGTTGACCCAAGCCAAACAAACATGTATTGGCTGAGCGATACGAATGTCTTCACCCCGTATTCCGCTATAATTTCGCACGTATGGCGCAATTAGCTCTTACGGAATTTGAGTCAGCCTAAAACATCCGATCTTGTGTTACGGAAATCTTATGGCGCTGCGCTCGGTGTGCGGTGCGACCCCAAGCTGACAACGGTCTGTACGATTTCCCGTGCGCCTACCCGTTTCAGTGGAGAGCTTATTTCCTGTTCATTTGTTTGCTGCGGGTTAATATATGATCTACCGATAGGGTGTTGGGAACCTGGGTCGAAGGATGGCTCGCTGAAGCGCCAATGGAAATAGCCTGTATTGAGTATATTGTTGGTATGTTGGTATCTGGCTTACGGACCTTGGCCATCAGTATTTACGAGATGGGAAAATACGACTACCCAAATACAATCATCAAAGACATTAGAGATCGAGACCCTCCATCGTGGGGGCTTGATTTGTAGTCGGCGGTCGCATTCGGGGACCTACTACGCCGCACCTTATCTTGAGAACGTGCAAGATGCCAACGACATCATGTTGCTCCTAAACGAGTAGCATTTGGAGGCTTTTGTCTGATCTTTTGATTGATCGATGTCCTTGGGGGTAAAAGTCAGTGCGTTTGAAAGAGAAGCTACTGCATGTGATGTTCTTAGCTTCCTATTCCTTCGCTGACCTGCAGGCACGTTGCTCGATACAGTCAAAGAGCCGTTGAATTGATCGCCACCATGCCGGCCATGGCAGGACCCGAACAACAACGCCTCAACGCCATATGCGGGTATACAGTAGTCGAGACACCGTTCTTGAAACTGTGCGCCTATCAGATCATGTCTGTCCTAAAACCAGGAACTCGTCACGGACGTAACGCCTGCTAAGCCTGGAGAAGATTCCAGCCAGCTAGCTACCCCATCGTTCCCATCATGAGGGCCCAGACAGGGAGCTTCTGGAAATACAACTCCAAGCACAACGATCCTCGGTATCACACCTTGCGCGAAGGATTTATTCCATGCTCAATGTATACAAATCAACCTGTTTGTTTGCTATCAACCAATCGTGCGTGTATGGGACTCTTCTCGAGTCATTATGTCATGGGACTTGGGAAAGATGGAGGCACAGAGGCGTAAGCCTACTCTTCACTCGGAGTACATCACTAGAAGGGAAAGTATACGAGCTCAAGATCTTCATTCTAGTTTCCTAACTCAAACTTCGAGGCACGTTGCGTCGAATCCAAACCCAGCCATGAACTCCGTTCTAGCCTCCTTAGCATCATAGCCTGTCTCGGCAATTCTGGACTCGATCTCAGCCCTACTTTTGACAAGCTTTTCAGCAACTAATTCCCACTCGATCCCTGTGGGTTCCACTGCGTGCTCAAACTCTTTTCCATCTCCCATGTGGGAGGTTAAGCTTAGCTGATTGACACCTTGAGCAACAGAATCAAGGGAGTCACTCTTGCCGATCGTTGCCATCAATCTGCCTCCGTTTTTTCGAATGTTTCCACCTACGATAACACATTCGGCGTCATGTGTACCAGCTTGTGTGACGATTGCTGCGACAGGGTCGTGAATGGCAGCGCAGACCATGCTTGGAGATGTCGTTCCCCATATTACAATGTCAGCTTTCAGCCCGACGTCGATACGACCGATTTTATTTTGCATTCCCAAAGCTCTGGCACCGTGTATAGTAGCCAAGTTGAAGATATCCTCGACGCTTGGCTTCATCTGCATGGGGAATTTTCCGGCTGCCCGCAGAAGCCTGACTTGCTCGCCTCTGCCATTACTCAAGGCTGCGCGCATCTGGTCCAGCATCGATCCCCGAACGACACTATGTGAATCACACCCAAGGCTGGTATTTCCCGTAAGCTCGGGTTTACATACCATCGGTGACCCAAGTCCCATTTGTAACTCCAAGACTGGAGTACAGCTGACAGAAGCCCCTTTTTCTTTTAGCATGGCAATGTCTTCTTGGGTAGCATCTGTTGCATGCGATATTACACAGTCCTTGGAAAGTAAGTCTAGGTCGTACAAAGTCTTCACAACCGACGGTGGCTCTCCAAGAAGCAGGTTCCGAGCATAATGCGTAGTAATGATCTGACAATCTAGCGATCGTGCAGTCTCAAAAAGAGACTTCGTGATATGCGGTGGAACCAATGCATAGCCATCGAACGCCAAACCCAAGGATAAGAGCGGATGAACTTTCAACTTCCGGCTCAATTCTGAGAAGTACGGAATTACCCAGTCTGCAAGAATGTCCCAGTTTAAAGCTGGACCATTATGATCCCAGCTCGCCACGAGTGGTGTCGGTGTGTAACAGAAAACAGAACGGATTCCAGATGCGATAGTTGCGTCAGTTGCACGATTTGCTAGAACTAAATTAATTTCGAACGCCGGAAGCCTAGAATTGAGGGGCTCTTACTGTGCTCTCCAGAATAGTTCATATGCGCATGATCGGCCACCGTCGTCGTACCTCCATTCAACGCCTGCAAGGCTCCTCCTAGCTGACCCCAAAATATATCTTCAGGTGTGAAGAAAAAGGCCGTCAAGTTTCCTGCAGCTCGTCAGTCACTAGCTGATCTCAAGGTGCCATTTAATATACCTGTCGCCATGTAATCCACAAGCGAGTCGTCGCCATGCCGTCCAGTCAATTGTGTTTGCCAGAGATGGTGATGCGTATCGATGAATCCTGGAGAGATAATTTTGTTCTTGCAGTCAATGACAGTAGCATCTGGATAGAGTTCGACATTGACTTTTTCTTCGATCTTGGTAATGACATCTCCTTCAATTACAACGTCTTTTTCGCAGGGGATAGGATGGTCATCTTGGTCATGCACCAAAACTGTTCCGCCAACAAGAAGTATGGGTTTACTCATTTTGTCGATGTCACTTGTTCTGTCTCGAGTATTCTTCTTCTGCACTAAGAAACATCAATCCACATTTCCAACCATCGCTATTTGACTGCTGATAACGAGCTGATCCTCTGCACATCTCCCATCGGTGTGGTCACGGGATCAGTCAAGTTCATAAACAACAATCAACAGGCAGTCTCAGCAACCAATCAATTCACACTTGTATCACTTCAGTTCCTACGCACTCGGACATATGTGTTTCACAAATCCACAAAGTAAGCACACCCCAATATTCACCGCAGCCGAACCTTCGGATTGGACAACCGCAGCGTATAGCATTACGGCCGCAACACCTACCCACCTACGTAAGCTCACCAACATCCATTCCCACATCAATCTGTTGGTTGGCGATATAAGGTTATTCATCGTGCTACCACACTCAACGGGCATTCGGCGGAATCCTTCGTCCAACGGCCCATCATTTACGCCGCCAACACATACCATTCGTCTGGAAGCACAGCCTCCTAGCCTTCTATCAACCGCATCTTACGCCCAAACCATCTGCACTTTGGCAACCACGATCTAGACCCACCACGCGACACCAGCATGTCGCCAGAAACTCTAGCCTTTCTGCGGCTTCTGCCCGTATTGAGCTCGACGGCGATCCTCATGTTCGCGTTCGATGAATACCTGTTCCTATCACGTTTCATGAACCCGACGTATCGAAATGAATCCAACGCCTTTCTCGCGAAATGGTTCACCCAAGTATATCCCCTCACCCTCAACCCCTCCAAAATAAAAATTCCGAAACACAAACTAACATACTTTCAGTGGCTCGCCAAAGCGAAATTCGTAATCATAACCCTCTTCCCCTTCTCCCTGGGCACCGCCCTCGCCAACATCTTCACCTCGCGCTCCGCGCTCCAGGCCGCCGGCGCGGAAAAATGGTACTGGTGCGGCTTCGCGTTTCAATTCGCGCATTTCCTGTTCGCGCCCATTGCGATTAAATTGCTGAATGAGGTTTGTGAGGATAAGCCGAAGGGGGAGGTGACGGGGACGATGGGGAAGTGGTTGAAGATGCATTTGGTGAGGTCGGTTGTGGTGGATGTGGGGGCGTGGGTGTTCTTTATTGTGGGAAATGTAATGGCGAGGTAGGTTGGGGATGGGGAGGGGAAAAGGGAAATGGAGTTGGAGGGTTAAACCCATTTTTGCGCTATGAGAGATGATTAGTTGAGCTATCATATGTGATCTATGGCGCGGGCCGTTGTGTGTAATGAGATGAGATAAGATTACGAAACTGGCGTGCGGGATTCAGTCAGATACCAAAAATCAAATAATTGTTCGCTATGCCTTGAGTGCACTCGAGCATAAGTGTATATACTTGATGGAATTCTTATAGGAAGACTAAAGTCCGGGCTAGTCACCAACCAAATCCCGAAACTGAACTTCGTGTCAAAATGTGAACAAAAGGCGAATGAAATCTGTGTAAGAGAAATAAGGGTTTTAAAAGTGAGAAATCAAGGTCATGATATATTCTTGCTTTCCGTCATCTACACATCCAATTCGTGAACGACCCAGCTCTTTCCAACATAGTACGTACTGGGGAATAACAAACAAAGACCCCAACGGCCCTACATACGATCCGTGGCATAATAATACATAGACGACTTCCCAAATAGAGCCGGCACTCGACTCACCAAGCTCCTCTCTGGCACCACTTAAGCCGGCGAAACAGCCATCCTAACATGCCCCTTAACATCCACAGTATTAAAATCATAACTATCACCATCCTCCAAACTCCTCTCCCTCTCCCTATGATTCGCCTTTTCATTCCGATTCCCCACCATCTCAATATTCGAGTCCGTCTTCCCGGTATTCTTGCTCCCGCCCTTCGACGAGTAATAGCCCTCGGATTTGGTGGTTTTGCTGTTGCTGCCAGATAGGAGGTAGCGCATGCTACCTGAGATCTTGTCTTGCGCGAGCTTGAAGAGCTTGCCGAGGGCCGGCAGGTTCATGGAGATGAGGCCGATGTTTTCTTCGAGGGAGATCCAGACGATGGTGGAGACGTCGTCGTCTGATGCTGTTAGTAAGATCTTGGATGGTGTGTTTGATTAGACTTACAGGTGGAATCGCCCGAGTGCGTGTTGGCTTCGAGTTTGATGTAGTGTTCGACGCGGACGGCGCTGCAGATTGTGGTGCTATTTGGAGTTAGTGATGGGGCATTGTTGGTGGGAAGGGGGGATTTACATGAGACCGAAGCCGATGAGGAAGGAGACGGCGAGTTTGTAGTTTCGCGCCATTTGGAGTCGCCAGATCATGATGATTGGGACGGACGTGCAGACGAGATCGGTGAAAATGGACCATGCTATGGAAAGGATTAGACGCGAATTCTCTTGATAGCATTCTTGAGCAAAGTAAAACTCACCTCCCTGAACGTTCGAAGCCGTCTCTAAAACCTTCTTACTCCAACAGTGTGGCTTGACAACAGTGATATCCCAGTACGCGTAAGTGGGTCTGCAAAATGAGAAGATGATCACAATTGCGGCTCCATTGACCAATACCAAACTGCCTATCATGAAATACATGTAGTATTTCATACCCTTGATATTGATCAAGCGGAGAACCATGATGGCAATTGAGATCTTGGTTAACATCGTGCAGAAGATGAATGGTATCATGGCCAGATTGGAGTACTTGACAGCCTGGATGAGCTGATCCATGCTGAGATACAAGGCATGACGACCTCCGCCATTGTGGTAGTTTAGAGATTGGAAGATTAGATTGACGACCGCGAAGAGCTAGAATGATTATCAGAACCGGAGGGAAGAATCAACAAGGGGTTTGCTAACCGTCGCTAGTATCGCGGTATAGTCATCCCAACCCAGAGATTTGGTGATGTTGATTCTAGTATACAATCTCAAAGCCAAAGTCAATAGGACGAAGAAGAAAGTAACGCTGAGTGTCACTATGTATCTATGTCCGATATTCTCATCAGGATACGGAGGGTTGGCAAGCAAAGCCGCTTGTGCTGCTGGATCCATGTCGGCTGGTGTTGACGAACGAGAGGTTGAAGCAAAGAATGTTGGGGAGTGTTTGTTCGTCCCTGCGGAGTTGAGAGACAAATAACATTAGCCTTATGTCTCCAGGGAATAATGTCAGGACGCTCGGTCGATTTAGAGTTCTCCTCGTGTCTGGAGCCAAAGATAGTAATTGCTGGGTGCCATGTGCATGCAGGTGTGGTGTGGGTGGAGAAGTGACATCCAGAATCCTGTGGCGATCGCTGGGAAGGATCACCGAATGTTCGGCAATTTCGAAACATATAAAAGATGTTTGGGGAGGAAGTGCTGCACGCCTTTTCAGGGTATCACTTGCTTCTCTAAGGTACAAGACCGTTGGAAGGATTCATTCTTGGGGACATGTCTACGGCAAAGACACAGTGCTGATCTAAGATGGATTTGTATTACTCGCATATGGAAATACCAGTATCTGCTAACAGAGCTTTGTACCCCCAAAACGCCACGGAAGTAACATAAAGTAGTTACGAGCAGGTCAACCCTGTCGGTCTCTCGATTCCACTTGCCCCATCCACCAATCTCACACCATCAAATTCTGTATGTGTTCCTTCAATTTTGTTTTCACATGCACAAAAGTGAGTTCTTATTCTGGTGATGCTCAGCCTCGTCTTTGATGTGTGTTGCACCGGATGATATCCCCGAGGTCCGAATCACAGCGCCTTTAGTACAGCAACGGCGAAACAAGCCCAGGCTGGTAGATCGGTCGTGAAGGCACGAATCATATTCATCTTCAACCACACATCCATAGAGTGGGTACTGTTGCCTTTAGGTCTATCAGCCTTGATGTCGGCGAGGAGACCAATTGCCGTCTTTCCGTAGATTGCGATATGACCAAAGCTGAAAAGTAGTCCTAAAGCATACCACTTCGCGGCGCTGGCAGCATACAGTTGGTCGCGTGCAACGAGAAGGTTCAGAATGGCCAAGAGATAGTTCGATGGGTATCCAAGGAGAATTGTCCAGCGGCCTCTCCGACCCCACAGAGTAAACCAAGCCGGCAGGTGAACGTTGGCCACTTCGGCGTAAGATGGTCGAGTCCATGTGCCAAGGAAGATATGTTCGTCCAGAGCGAAAAACAATGTCCAACTTGACGTGAGAAGAGGAAGGAGGCGCAGCACTCGAATGAAAGTTTCGAAGCTTGACATTTTGATGTTTTGGTGGTATTTTGGGTTCTTGGTGATTGCTTGATTTTCGATTTGTGTTTTCCTGTCGCCGGTGCAGTATTAGGGCGTGAGTTTTGAGAATGGCTGAGTTTGTTTGTTGCGAGAAGAGGCAGCCGAATGTTCGGCGATGGAGGGCTGCACTGCAGTTGCATTTCAGGGTCCAGGGGTCCATTCTCGGTTAAAGTATAAATTGACCCACATAAGCGGGGCGCTGGTAAATCCCCTTCTGGGGAAGTGGGTGTTCCCGTCAGTTCTGCTAAGGCTTGCTGAGTCCTTATTCTTACACTATCTTTGTGAGGAATTGATTGTTTTCTTTGGCCGAACGAACCTAGGTATTCATTTCATGGTTTTTACACTGCGATGCTGAACACAAAATAAACTGCTAAGCTCGGAACAGCTTCCGGCTGACGAAGAGTTGAAGCGACACAAAACAGCATGTTGTTTTGCATACTTGTTTTCAAGTCAGATTCGTGCTTTATACTTTAGAGCCTCTATGGGTAGTTCTCTGAATCAAACACTAATGAGTCTTCTGTAATTCAAATCGCATTCAATAACAATGTTACTGGCATTCGTGGGAATGGTTGATGTATTATGAGGATGGTCATAGCGTGACATGAATACGATCACGTGATAAACAACGAGAATCCAAAGCTCCAACGTCGCGCGTCACCTCATCATGATTATCAACTCTAATGCGCGACTCCCAACGGTACTCATAGCAATAAATCATTTAATTCCGGATACTATAATGTTTCCAACCTCAATTTCTCCTCCACTGGTCTTTGAATGCCCAGCTGGTCGTCCATCCACGAAAACATCTTTTGATGAGCCACACTCATTGCGCCAATTTTGGCTTGCAACCCTCCCTGGCCAACCCCTTTTGCGATCCATATTGCTCGCTTTCCATCGTCAAGATGTTCCAAAGCATTCCATATCAAAGTCGTGCTTATCTCTGGCTTGAAATATAATGTATCTGCCGCACCTGTGACCATCACAGGGCACCGCACATCTGAAAGATATTCTTTCCCTCCTTCCTGCAGAGTATATCGCATAAACTCGCGCAAGACATTGGCTGGGGAGTCTACCCCAAAAGCAAACATCCCGTGGCGAAACTCCCAAGCGACTTGAATATCAAACCGGGCAGCAAAGTTGAAAATCGAATTAAACACGTCATCCGTTATCCAGCCGGATCTCCATCCATTTGTGAACCACCTGGGTAGTCGCGAATCTGTAAGAAGCCAAAGATCGTAGAAGCCGTCTGTACTGACACAAGCCTTGACTCTAGAATCAACAGCTCCTCGAAGAACGAAATAACCCCCTAGCGAGTTACCCGTTAGCGTAAGCCGATCAAGATCGAGATTCAACTCTGGATGGCCCGAACTAAAATCGTCCACGAAATCCAATACTTTTGATATGACAACCTCCCAGTCTGGTCTTAATTTCTTCTTCAATTTCCTCATAACTATGCCTTGGCCTGGGCCATCAAAAGTTAATGTTGCATATCCGCGTTGACGTGCACCTGAGGCCACAAAAAAGTACAATTCTTCTTGGCAAGAGTCGAAACCTGCTGTTTGAACAATCAAGGGGATTTTCTCTCCTTTCATTTGGCTCCCAGAGGTGGGCATATAAAGATATGCTGGTAATAAATAGTCCTCGAAGGGTATCTCGAGTCGATAGACTTTGCTGTCAAGCAGGCACATTCCTCGTTGGAAGAAGTCAATCGATTTCTCTGACACCGAGAGAATTCGTGGGTCGTTCATATTCAAATGAAGGATGTTCTCGCTCGATCTCAAGTAATGGGCAGTTTTGAGAAGCGACCAACGTTCACCGTCTCTATCGCCCGCTTCATGAGCTTGCTGCGCTAGCATTTCTGTTTTTTCTGCTGCCATTTGCCATGCTTGAAACCAAGATTCTGCGTTGCCATCGATAATTTGGGCGGCTGCTTCCATACACTCCTAAACCGTCATGAGTCAGCTTCAAGAATATAACATGGCTATGAAGTTGGTTTATTATGAGAAACGAACCCCAATGTCTGCATGTTGGAATGGAACCCCATTCAAGACTCTCATGAACTCAAAGTTGAAAAACTCGGATTTGAAATAACGCCCCATTTTGGCGGTCTTCTTTTCTTCTAGCTTTATTTTGAGAACGAGTGATTTCCAATACTGGTTATTGCTTCGAGTGGCATACGCTTGAGTTTGGAGATTTGTTTGTCAAGCGAGGGTTTTCTCGAATATCTTGCACTTTTCTGCTAAAGCGCGATACCAGACTCCTCGGTTGTGGTAGAAAAGGTGTTCAGCTACTGTAATAGATCCTGCGAGACACAAGGGAACTTGGCTCATATGCAGGTCCAACATCCATATCTAGCGTGTACACCTATCACGCCCAAGAAATGGCATGCCAAGCCTATTATTAAACTACCAGTTTGCTACGCCGCAAGGCAGTGTCGGTGTTGTACTTTGTCACCGAAGGCACGGGTGCGAGTAGTCCTCGTTCTTCGGTCTTAGTTCTCAGGGTGGCGTTCGAGCGCCAGTTCGGCTTATTCCAACTCGGTACCTGGCGCCTTTCCACACTACCGTATCAGCCAATCCAGTCAGATGATTGCAGAATAATTCAGATGATTATTTTGATGTCTTTCGTCATCACTAGACTATTGCCGTGGTTCAGCTGCTTTCTGCCTCTGTAACATTTCAAACAGTCACCTGATTTTGGTTGAGTCGTGTTTCCTTCGCAACCTCTCACAACCATCTGCATATTCATTATCAAATTCGATTTTTTACCTCCTTCTTTCAATATGACAAAATTTACATCATCTCCCAAGTTGAACCAGGCAGAACCAATTGCTATCATTGGTAGCTCTTGTCGATTTCCGGGAGGAGCCACATCACCAGCCGCACTTTGGGAGTTGCTTCAAAAGCCACGAGATGTTCTACAGAAGATCTCCTCCGATCGTTTCAACCCCACGGCGTTTTACCACAAGGATGCCGATCACCACGGAACAACGAATGTCCAGCATGCCTATCTGTTAGCAGAAGATCCATGCAAGTTTGATCCATCGTTTTTCAATATCACCTCCCGTGAAGCAGAAGCCCTAGACCCTCAACAGAGGGGACTGTTAGAGGTTGCATATGAAGGCATAGAAAGCGCTGGATATGGCATCGAAGGCCTTCGAGGGACAAACACCGCAGTCTTTGTAGGGTCAATGACTGCCGATTACTACGACATTCAAATGCGTGATATCAACACTGTTCCCCAATATCTAGCGACAGGAACAGCTCGTAGTATATTATCAAATCGCATTTCCTACTTTTTCGATTGGAAGGGCCCGTCAATGACTATTGACACGGCATGTTCATCCAGTTTAGTTGCTGTCCATCACGCAGTGCAAAGCCTGAGAAATGGCGAGTCATCTGTGGCAATTGCAGCGGGAACCAACCTCATTTTCGGTCCTGAGATGTTCATATATGAGTCCAAACTACACATGCTATCGCCTGATGGTCGTTCTCGGATGTGGGACGCGGGTGCAAACGGTTATGCTAGGGGGGAGGGCTTCGCTGCTATTGTATTAAAGCCTTTGTCAAAAGCACTAGAGGATGGCGATGAGATCGAAAGCATCATCAGAGAAACCGGTGTCAACCAGGATGGTAGGACGAGAGGAATTACAATGCCGAGTCATGAATCTCAAGAAGACCTCATACGCAAAACTTACGCAAAAGCAGGACTGGACCTGTCACGTCCCGGTGATCGCTGTCAATATTTTGAAGCGCATGGTACGGGCACAAAGGCAGGCGACCCGATAGAAGCACGAGCTATCTCTCAATCATTCGTCAATGGAGAAAGTCCTGGGAAAGGGGACCCTTTATACGTTGGATCGGTCAAAACCGTCATTGGCCATCTCGAGGGCGCAGCGGGACTTGCAGGAATATTAAAAGCTTCACTAGCTCTTCAGAAAGCCCAAATACCGCCAAACCTTCTTTTCGACACTTTGAATCCAGAAGTTGAACCATTTTATAAAGGTTTGAAGATCCCAACGACTTTGACAAATTGGCCTATTCTTCCCGTCGGCGAGCGCCGACGAGCTAGTGTAAACAGTTTTGGGTTTGGAGGGACTAATGCTCACGTTATATTGGAGAGTGTTGATCGAGCATCGTCTCTAGAAGAAGTTGCACCGAGATCGAGCAACGAGACTCTCTCTATTCTCCCCATTTGCTTATCCGCAGCATCTGATATCTCCTTAGTGGACCTCTTAAGACGATATGTTGCTTATATAGAGGGAAACACAGAGTTGAACTTGTCACATTTGGCGTCAACACTTCTTTTTCGAAGGTCCAATTTGCCTCGAAAAGCATCTTTTGCCGGTTCCGATGCAAGATCCCTCTGTGAGGCAATGACAGCGAAAATTTCAGAGTTGACAGCACAGAAGACTCAAATAATTCCTGCTAAATCTGAGACTACCAACTCAAAAATACTGGGCGTATTTACTGGCCAGGGTGCTCAATGGGCGACAATGGGATCAGGATTGCTCCAATCCTGCCCCTTATTTGCAACAACAATTCAGAACCTCGACCGCGAACTCTCAAATCTGCCTGATCCACCTGCGTGGACATTAACAGAGGAAATAAAAGCACAATCCGCCGAAAGTCGTGTTGGTGAAGCTTTGATATCCCAACCGCTATGTACGGCGTTACAAATAGGATTGGTCGATGTCTTAAAATCGGCAGGCATCAAACTTCATGCAGTCGTTGGCCATTCTTCGGGCGAGATAGGTGCTGCTTATGCTGCCGGTATAATTTCTGCAAGAGAAGCAATTTGTATTTCTTATTACCGTGGACTTTACGCCCACCTGGCTGGGGGTTTGGATAATGAGCAAGGTGGCATGATCGCCTCTGCTTATAACTTTGATCAAGCCTCGGTGCTTTGTAACCAAGATCAGTTCGAAGGGAGACTTTGCGTCGCAGCTTGTAACAGTCCTAACAGTGTCACTTTGTCTGGTGATATGGACGCGATTGAGGAAGCCAAGGAACACTTTGATGGCGAAGGCACATTCTCAAGAATTCTCAAAGTTGACACTGCCTATCATTCACATCACATGGAACCTTGCGCAGAGCCATATATGGCTGCACTGCGCAGTTGTAACATCACTCCAAGAACATCTGCAGCACCAGTTTGGATATCTTCTACGTACGATACTTGGGATTCGACCTCTCAAGATCTGTCTCTGTTGAAGGATACATACTGGAAGGACAATATGACTGGACAGGTTCGTTTCTCGCAAGCAATATGCAGGGCTGTAGAGCAAGAAGGCCCCTTCGATACGATCATCGAAATCGGTCCTCATGCTACATTGAAGAATCCAACGCTGAAAACTATTAAAAACTTCAGCAACCGTGAAATCCCACTTCAATATCAAGGGCTTTTGGAGCGCGACAAAAACGATCTGGTTTCGTGTGCAAAGGCAATGGGCGGCCTCTGGTCACAACTGGGACCTGAATGCGTTGACGTGAAGGCTTATAGCAAGCTCTTTTCCGTGGGGCCACATACCCAGCATGTGACCTTGCTGAAAAATCTTCCTACCTACCCATGGCAACACACCGCTCGTTACTGGAAAGAGTCTCGCATTTCACAAAGATTTCGTCTGTCACAGGAAGCACCACACGAGCTTCTTGGGTGCAGAGTACCAGATGATAATGACCATGAGATGAGGTGGAGAAATCAATTGAGTGTGGAAGAAATACCTTGGACGCGTGGTCATGTGTTCCAAAGCCAGCCGTTGTTTCCCGCCGCTGGGTATATCTCCATGGCGCTCGAGGCTTCAGTCAGGTTAGCGCAAGGAAGGGAGATACGAGCCATAGAGCTTGTCGATATGTCAATTAAGAAGGCCATTATTCTGGAGAGTTCGAAAAGTGTTGAGACATTATTCACGATGGCGACACAGAGTAGAACCCAAGAGGAATGCGGAGAGATTATCACAGCACACTTCAAATTGTACGCATATGACAACCAATGTTCGGATGATCCTGAGCACTTTGGTGGTCATGTCAATCTAATTCTCGGATCTGCAACCTCAAATTTGCTACCATCTCGTCCTAGTGCGCAGACACCCCTTGCTGAGGTAAACGTCGACAGATTCTATGAGTCTTTGTCGGCCATAGATCTCGACTATACCCAAGACTTTCGAGGTATACTGAAGCTACACAGACGCATGGATAAAGCATGTGCATCTGTGCAGAGAACAGCTAGAGACACCAACGGTAATGAGTTACTGGTACATCCAGCTTTTCTGGATGTCTGCTTACAAACGCTTTTCGCTGCCTTTTGTGCTCCTGGCGATGGGAGTTTATGGACAACATATCTTCCAACAAAGGTCGGAAAAGTCGTTATCAATCCATCTCAATTCGGGCGAGGCAATTCTATGCTTGCGACAGTTGACAGCCACGTCACATTGGCGTCATCTCACGCCGTAGCTGGAGATATTGAGATATTTGACCTTGAAGACAACATGATGATACAAATACAACAACTTGAATGCACCTCATTTTCTCCAGCAAACCCGAGCAATGACCGCAAGCTATTCTGCAAGACAGCTTGGATGGCGGATATCATGAGCGGCTCCCCAGATGATGCAGTGAAGTTGGAAGATCCCGAAAACCAAGACGAGATCATCGAAATATGCGAACGGGCAGCTTTCTTCTACCTCAGAAGGTTAAGACAAGCAATCTCTTTGTCAGAGGAACCTTCATTCAAGGTCCATTTCCAACGACTGTTGAAGTTCACCAGCTACATCACTCCCCTCCTGGCCTCTGGAAATTACGAAGGCGTCGACGCTAAGTGGACCGCCGACTCACTGGAAGCTATCGAAGCCTTAGTGCAAAAATATCCAGATGTCGTCGATTTACAGTTGGTGCACGTAGTCGGAAGCAACCTGATTGATATTGTCCACGAGAAAGTGGATACTCTTGAGATCATGCGAAACAACAACATGCTGGATCGCCTGTATGTCGAAGGGATTGGCTTCCGAAATGCCAACATGAATGTCTCTGCTATTTTGAATCAATTATCACACAGACATCCTCATATGAATATCCTTGAAATTGGTGCTGGAACTGGAGGGACCACGCGGAGTGTGTTTGAAGGTCTTCGACGGAAATATTCTGCCTACAAGTATACCGACATTTCTTCGGGATTCTTTGAATCGGCTCGTCAAATATTCAAGGATGAGGCTGATAAATTGACGTTTACGAAACTTGATATCGAATCTGATCCCTCTCTTCAAGGATTCCAAGACAATTCTTATGATCTCATTGTTGCATCTAACGTTCTGCATGCGACACGGACCCTGAAGAAAACCATGACGAATGTTCGGAGGTTGCTGAGACCAGGTGGCTATCTAGTGCTTATGGAAATTACTGGACAAAATCTACGGAATCAATTCATCATGTCTGCTCTTCCAGGCTGGTGGCTTGGTGTAGATGATGGTCGTCCTCACGCTCCAACTATCAGTGAAGTACAATGGGATTCACTCTTACGAGAAACAGGCTTTTCCGGAATTGACGTGGTCAAGCGTGATAGGGAAGCCACATTTCGCCATTCCAATTCGGTCATGGTCACTCAAGCTCTTGATCAAACAGTTGAGATTTTGAGAGAACCTACGAGCTTTTTGGAAATGATACCTAAGCCAGAACGTCTCGTTGTCGTTGGTGGCAACGACTTGACGACGGTCAAGATAGTCGGTAGTATACAGAAACTGCTTAGACCTTGGGGTTTAGCGATTCATGTTATAAAAAGTCTAGAAGATCTGGATGTTTCACGACTTGGTAAGCTTTCTAAACTATATTTGGGGACAAACACTAATTCTGTATGCCTTCAGATTTCGGAAGCACCTCCATTGTTTCACTTCTAGACTTTGAATCTTCCTACTTTAAAAACTTCACGACCACCAAACTCAAAACACTGCAAAACGTTCTCGAAAAGTCAAGACAAGTGCTATGGGTTTCCAAGAATGGCCGATCCACGAACCCAGAGGCAAACATGATGACTGGACTTTCGCGGACCCTGCAATTCGAGTTACCTCATCTGACATTCCGTACGCTAGATGTTGAGGAGGATAACGCAACCCCACAAGAGCTAGCACACCAAATTACGGCAATATTTCTCCGAATAATGCTTGAGACGGCCGAAAATCCAATGCAAGGTGTTTTGTGGAGTGCGGAGCCGGAACTGATGTATCAGAACGGCAATGTCATGATTCCCAGGATTATTCAGAATGAACAGTTGAATAACCGGCTTAATTCCATTCGAAGACCCATACTGCAGCCAGTCGACAGCAAGGATCTAGCCATTGAGTTGAAACGAGATCATTCTAATCAGTCGTTTTCAGTCCAGCAGCTAGACCTGGCGAATGATCATCCAAGCAGCTCGGACACCGTCGCTATACGAGTCAAGTTCTCTTCCCTCAACTCAATCCGGATGTCTCGCGGTTCTTACCTATTTCTCTGCATAGGAAAAGTCATATCGACTCATAAGCAAGTCATTGCTTTGTCATCTGTTAACTCATCTATCATCTGCATACCTCATTCATGGACCTTCGAGTGCCCTGAGCTTACGAATGAAGAACTTCCAGAGTTTCTGCAGAGTCTCATGAACCAACTGGTTGCTAAAAGTATCATGGAGAAGCACACACCCGCTGGTGTCACTTTAGTTCATGAAGCCAGTCCTTCCTTGAAGACGCTGCTTTCAGAAAGTGCTAAACGGGATGGTATTGAGTTCTTGTTTACTGGTGAAACCGGCTCGAGTTCAGATCACGTAAAGAGTTTGAAGATACACCCTGCGTCTTCAGAACGTACTCTCCGCCGCGTGGTTCGGAATGGTGTAAAATCTATCTTCGACCTAAGCACCGCGAAAACCTTCGCGGGCACAATATCGAAGGCTTTTCCTAAGTTACCTGTTCGTCATAGTTCCTGGTTCTCTCGGAGCAAATCAGATCTCACTGCAAGCTTCGAAGAAGAAAACTTATCAAAGTTGTTGCCTAGCATTCAGGATATGACAACTCTTGAGTTGTTCCCCGCCAATTCTGGATGCAAAGTTTTCTCCATAGCAGACATATCATCTTTGACACCAGCAAAGCAAAGCCTCGAAGCGATAATTTCCTGGGAGGTGGAAAACCCAGTCCATGTTGCAATAACAGCTATCAAATCAACGACACTTTTCTCTGCGAACAAGACGTATCTTCTCATTGGATTGACAGGAGAGCTAGGTCAATCTTTGACTCGATATATGGTATCTAATGGAGCAAGATGTATTGTCATAGCCAGTCGAAAACCACAAGTCGCGCCCGAATGGCTCCAAGAGATGGCGGATGAAGGCGCATTGATTAAAGTGTGTGCACTGGATCTGACACTCCGGAAATCACTTGAAGATCTTGTTGGAGACATAAGGAGCACCCTACCACCGATCGCTGGTGTTGCCAATGGTGCCATGGTCTTATTCGATAAGGCCTTCTCTGACATGACCTTCGATCAAATGAACTCAGTGCTTGAACCTAAAGTTTCAGGTACAAGATATCTCAATGAACTGTTCCAGGAAGACACGCTCGATTTCTTCATACTCTTCTCATCCCTCGCTTCCGTCGTTGGCAACCGTGGACAGTCGAATTACAACACCGCCAATATGTTCATGTTAAGCACTGCTCGACAAAGACGTATCAAAGGTCTTGCTGCGAGCGTGCTTAGCATTGGCATGATTATTGGTCTTGGTTATGTGTCTAGAATGGGTAGTGCCACTGAAAAGCCGCTTCGAAAATTGAACTTCATGCCAATATCGGAGCGAGAGTTCCATACTATGTTCACAGAGGCCATTGTAAATGGGCGTTCCGGATCTCAAGATGAGTCAGATATTATTGTTGGCCTGGCGGAAACCTTAGATGCTTCAGCCAATGTGGAACAACCTCCATGGTTTACGAATCCCAGGTTCTCGCATCTCGTGAACAAAGGAGCTCCCGTATTCCAGGTCGAAAGCAGTGTCAAGATCATTGCTCCAGTTGCAGATCAACTGAGCGGTGTAACCAGTCACGAAATCGCTATTGGGATATTGCAGGTCAACTTCCTGTCAAAACTTGGCCTTATGGTGCAAGAAGATCCTCAAATGATTAATATAAACACACCGTTGACAAGCCTTGGAATTGACTCACTTATTGCAGTCGAGATTCGGACATGGTTCTTGAAGGAAATGAAAATGGATTTCCCAATCTTCAAGATCCTGGGACAAGCTACGGTTGCAACGCTTTGTGAAGAAACAATTTCGGCAAAGATGGTTGACTGCTTGCATACCAACGAGGTTCAAGTCTCCAAGCCGCTTTCGCCGATTGCTATAACAGTCTCAGATATTGACCTGGAATCTCCTGGACCAAGCACTGAAAGCACATCAACATCAGGCAGCGCATCGACCACGACTTCTCTCTCTGTGGCTGAAGCGAGCCCAAAGTCACCCCTTTCCGAAACATCCGACTTTCAATCTAGTTCAGGCATAGATGACATTCCGAAGCTCGACTTTGTTCATACATTTGGACTATCTTCGGGTCAATCTACGCTTTGGTTGTTGCGCTCCTATCTCAAGAATAAATCAACCCATAACATCGTGGTTCAATACACGCTTCGCGGCAATCTAGACCGCCGAGCGCTTGAAAGCTCGATTTCAAAAACAATTCAGAGGCACGAGATCCTACGTACATGCTTCTACTCCGATCCAATCAGTGAGAAAGCTACGCAAGGAGTGCTTGCTCGATCTCCATTTGCTATGAATTATCTTGAGCTATCTACTGAATCCGAGGTTCAAGGCGAGTTTGACAACATGAGGAAGAACGAGTTTGATTTGGAGAATGGTCATTCTTTTGATGTGACTCTAATCCATCGATCGGATGGTACACATGAAATCGTATTCGCTGCGCATCACATCCTGATGGATGGTGTTAGCTGGAACGTGCTCATGCACGATATTCAGAAAGCATACCTCAATGGCTATTTACCGCCCCTTGGTAGTCAGTACTCCGAATATGTAGAAAATGAAGCAAGAATTATAGGATCTGGTGAACTCAACAACCAATTAGCTTACTGGAAAAAAGAGTTCTCAATACTCCCGCAACCTTTGGGACTATTGCCAATCTCGAAGGTGGGAGCGCGTCAGAGCATGGATTCATACGATACCAGAACTGTGTCTCTCAGTCTTGATGCAGAAGTAGTCGCGAGAGTTCGTAAAGCCAGCAGAGGACTTAATTCGACCCCTTTCCAGTTTTACTTGTCCGCTTTGCAAGTACTGTTATCTCAACTGGCATCGCAAAACGAAATTTGTATCGGCATGGTCGATGCAAATAGATCTGATTCGAGATTCAACGAAAATATCGGTTATTTCATCAATACTCTTCCTCTCCGTTTTCAAATCAATGAAGACGACTCCTTTGAAACGATCATTTCCAATACCAAGAACAAAGTCTACGGAGCTATGGAGAATTCACAAATACCGATTGATGTGCTCCTCGAGAAGTTGAAGGTACCGCGGTCAGCGACACACTCGCCCTTATTCCAGGTTCTAGTCAACTATCGACTTGGCGCTTTGGAGCAAAAGATGTTAGGCAATTGTGAGATGACAGACGCGAAATCGAGCGTGTCTATGACCCCGTATGATTTGACGCTTTTGATTCTCGAGACGTCTGATGGCGGATGTCTTCTTCAATTTGACACACAAAATTATCTCTATTCGGAGGAAGACTCGAGCCATCTCTTGAAAATATATTCGCGTCTCCTCGACACTCTTTCACGGGATTCTCACCTAGCTCCAAAACAGTGCAAGTTGTTTGACGAGGAAGAGAACCGAAAGTCGCTTGATATTGGAGTGGGGCCCTCAGAAGCGCTCGATGACTCGAGGACTCTAGTCCATCAGATTGATGAGCATGCTTTAGCCAGTCCTGAAGCTATTGCACTTACGGATAGTTCAGGCGAGTCCATAACCTACGAATCGTTACGTGCGACCTCCATGGCAATCGCTTCGGCCATTGGGTCTCTGTCGCAACCTGAAGTGACAGTCGGCTTGCTATTCGAGCCATCTATCGACGCCGTTTGTGCCATGATCGCGACGCTAAGGATTGGGGGAAGGTGTGTCCCTCTGGACTTGAGTAATCCACTGACGCGGCTCAACGCCATTTCAAACGACTGTAAACCAGATGTCATTCTCTACCACGGTGCAACCAGCGGAGCATGTTTGGACTTGGATGCAAAAAACTGTCTCATGTGGGACATCTCGGACATCGAAGTGATCCCGCGCAAAAAGTCGGTCAATCTGGGACGTGGCGAACAAGAAGCCTTCATAATATATACGAGCGGTACAACGGGGATTCCGAAAGGAATTCGTTTAACTCATCGAAATCTCACCAACGCTATTTTTGGAATCGGAAACTTCCTCGGCATTGGAAAAGAGACCGTGTTGCAACAAAGTTCTATGAGCTTCGACTTATCGATAGCCCAAATATTCCTCGGGCTTGCAAATGGTGGGAAAGTTGTCATTGCTGCAAGAGAGCAGCGAGGAGACGCAATCGCTTTATCAAATCTAATGCTGGAGCACAATGTCACGTTTACTTTCTGCGTCCCTTCCGAGTATTCAATTCTCCTTCGATACGGAACAGTAGCACTTAAGAAATGTCGGAACTGGCGCACTGCACTAAGTGCCGGCGAAAGAATGACCGGTCGAATCAAGGGGCTCTTCAGTCAACTTGCAATACCTGTCTCTCTGTTCAATGGCTATGGGCCGGCGGAGACAACAATTGTGACCCATATCGGAAAAGTGGCATATGACGATAGTTATGTGGAAAATGGCGAAGAATATTTATCTGTGGGAAAATCATTAATGAATGCCACCACAAGAATATTGGATGCAGATGGGCTACCTGTCCCAGCTGGGTTTCCAGGAGAAATATACATTATGGGAGCAAATGTCGCCGCTGGGTATACTAATGCTGAAGAAGAAGATTTTGAGAGATTTGGTATCGACCAATATACTAAAGGCAGTGACACGCTCAATCGATCATACCGTTCTGGTGACCGTGGAAGAATACTTAGCGATGGAACTCTCATTCCACTCGGACGTATGCAAGGAGACAGTCAGGTAAAAATCCGCGGATTGCGTGTAGAGCTCGAAGGCATTGCGAATGCAATCCTCTCAGCAGCCCAAGGAGACTTAGCGGAGGTTGTCGTTGTTGAGAGAGAGGAGATCGAGATGCTAGTGGCATATGTGACCTTTGTCAAAGAGGAAGTCGAGCGGAATCAAAATCAATATCTCGAATCTCTTCTGGAGCAGCTTCAAATGGCCGATCATGTACGCCCGAAATTTCTCGTTCCGCTTGACAAACTTCCTCGTACGGCGAATGGGAAAGTTGATCGGACAAGTTTGAAAGTATTACCAATACACACCACTAGCACTTTTGATTCCGAGCAGATCTCGCTATCGAAATCAGAAGAAAGGATGAGCAAAGTCTGGAGAGCCGTTCTTCGAGAAGACAAATCCAATCCGCTTACTATCACCAAATATACGGATTTCTTTCGACTCGGTGGGAACTCGCTTCTAGCAGTTGAATTACAAGCTGCCGTACGCGCAGAATTCGGTACGCTGTTGGATCTCAGGGTATTCTTCAAGGCAAGCAGTTTGCATAGTATGGCCTCGAGACTTATGACGGGTCAAGAGGATCTTGATCAAAAAATTGACTGGGACGCTGAAACTTCACTGGGTCAAGAGTTGAAACTTTCGATTCCCTCACAGCCACTTACTACTTCTCCATCTACCACAAAACGAGTCCTCCTTACCGGCGCCTTCGGTTTCCTCGGCAAAGCCATCCTCCAAGATCTCGTCAACAACGCCCAAGTATCAGAAATCCACTGCGTCGCCATCCGCCAACCACCAAACCTCCCACCCCGCAAATCTCCCATCACATCCCCCAAAATCCACATCTACGCCGGCGATCTCTCACTCCCCCGTTTCGGCCTCTCAGAGACCGAATTCAATATGATATCAACGAGCATCACAACCATAATCCACAATGGCGCCGAAGTCTCATTTATGAAATCCTACCACTCCCTCTCGGCCGTGAACGTCAACGCGACGCGCGAGATCCTAAAATTCAGCCTCCCTAACCGCGCACACATCCATTTCGTTTCCACGGGCGGCGTGGCGGATATCCTTGGTCCCGACAACGAACTAATGGAAGTCCCTGTGCCGGAATCTCTTACACCTGATTCTGTGCGTGAGATCTCAGGATACGTAGCGTCAAAATGGGCTGCGGAGCGGGTGCTTTTTAATGCTGCAACGCAATTGCAGTCGAGGGTGTGGATCCATCGACCGATGTACATTATAGGCGACGAAGCACCGAGCACGGATCTTGTTAATGCGATTTTGAAGTTCTCTGTGAAGATGAAAAGGGTTCCGGATCTTTCGCACTGGAAAGGGTCCTTTGATCTCGTGTCTGTGGAGAACGTCGCTGCTGGTATTGTTCATGCGGCTGTGGATGGCGAGGGTGAGGATGGAAAAGTAGTTGTTAAACATGAGGCTGGGGATTTTATGGTGTCGTGTTCGGGGCTTGGGGAGCATATATTGAAGGAGTATGGGGTTGAGTGTGAGGTTGTTGGGTTTGGGGAGTGGATCCGAGCTGCAGAGGAGTGTGAGTTGCCTGCTATGTTGGGGGGTTATTTGAGGGGGATTGTGGATTTGGAGGTTACTTTGCCGAGGTTGGGAAGGAGTTGATAGATTATTGTTTCTAGACAGATTTGTTCCTTGTATATACCGTCATTTTGTCAACATATCAGGCGCATTTAAAGATTTCTTATAACAGAATAAATTCATAATTATCAAAGCTAAACTTCTTGGTATCTCCCACCCATATGAAACAATAAACACAACCATGTAAAAGCATTATAATCATACAATAACATCCTTATCCTGCTCCAACCAACCCATTTTACAACGGCTCATCCGTGCGATTAACACTCTTCCTAACCATGATAACTCCCGGCGCAGTTTCATCTTTGTGAATTCTAACCGATTCAAGCGGTACGATTTCAACGTTTGTTTCGAATTTATTTTCATTACGACTATCATCACTTATCAGTATTGCTCACTTAAAGTTTGAAACGGATACGTACCCAGGTTTATACAAATGCCCACCAGTGCTACTTCCCAAACTCTCTTCGTCGCCACTACGACTACCCTTGCTGCGTCCGGTTCCATCCCAATGACTAGACGCGGTGGTAGAGCGGAGTGTGAATGTAGATTTCATATTTGCAATGAAGAGTTCGACGGACCAGCCCTTGAAGAGGGGGCGGAGCGTGGGGAGACACGCGGCGATGATGCCGACGGAGGCGCTGATCATGGGCCAGTAGACGATGGGTGTAAGGTAATCTGGAGGATGTTAGTTTCTGTAGTACAATCATTAGGGTGATAGGGGTACGTACATGATAGGTCTGGTTTGCCGCTGAGGTCTGTTCCATGTTAGTCTTCTGCTCATGATGTATAAGGGGAAGAAAACTTACGCGATCCAACAAAATACTGCACAACCATCTTCGCGCAACTCGCCGCAATAGTAAGTGCGCCAAGTAAGAACAAACAAGTAATAGCAACTTTCGTCCTAGTCTTCATATGCAGTTTCCAAATCCACGGCACAGGCAGACACAAAATAAAGAAATCCACAACTACATCACTGTAGGCTTGAGCCAAATACATCGGGATCTCGCTCATACACGCATCGCCTCGACCGAACGCATACCAGCTCACGCTGACAGGGAGACATTGGAAGAGGTTCGTGAAGAAGAATACGACGCCCCAGGAGATGGAGATAACAATCAAGAGCATAGACAGACGGTTGAACCATATTCCAGTGAAGATACGGCGGTAGAAGAAGAGGACGCTGACTTTGGTGGGGCCGACGGCGAAAAGTTGCACGAGTTGGTTCGTGAAGAGTGTTTGCGAGAAGATTGTCAGACGGGAGTCCTGCACTGGTCCATGTTCACCGATCTCTGTATGTTGTCCCAGATGGCCCTTTGCAGCGCCAACTATCATCAAAGCTCCTAGTACGAGAGTGAAAAACTATGAATATGTTAGTTTTAATTTCCTGAAATCGTTCGATGTCTTAAAGCACGAACCAGAGCGGGAATGATGAGCCAGTCATCGGTCAGGAGCTGCAACTTCAGCTTTCTTCGACAATGAAACCTGAGTGCCACGAAGAAAGTCGCGAGAACACTTAGGGTGATCGCAATAGCGTACATTCCGCCCTGAGTTTCTGGCATCTTGGCGGTATTTGCGGGTTTGAAACGATGTGAATGAATAGAACTGTAGAATATGTCAAAGATGAGGTTTTCTGACACGACCCACCTCCCTCTTGTATATACAGATTTTTCAGTTGACACGGGCGGGCCTGGTGAATTCGTGATATCACAAAAATCCTGCAATCAACCTTCGAGAAAAATCGGCTTCCTTCCTACAAGGAGACAAGCTGCCCCTCACTATCAATCCGCTCCGGCAGAGCTATCTTCTCACTGAATTGGGCCTTGTAAGGTAGCAGAGCTGAAAAGAGGATAAACAAGCGTACATGAACATGCACCACGTTCTACCGAAGGCGATAAGGTGCTTAGATGCGGCCGAGAATAGCTCCCATCGACTCGTGGCAATAGGTGGGTGTGAATGAGGTAGGATCGAGAAGCTTTGATGCGTCCTTGCCATGCTTCGGTTATTTAGTCGGATGGACGAATGTGGTGTGACTAGAGGGTTGTTGCATGTCGAGGGTTACCCTCGTTGGCTACTACGGTCAGCTGGGATTTTGGTATTCAAGTACACCTTATTTGCAACCAGTTGATTGGGCCGTGAGTGAATAGTTTGTACGGTTTGCCACATCCATCTCACTTCGGCTCCGTGTTTCCCCATATCAATCGCACCACTACTCAAGCCTCCTCGATAAGCACGTTGCACAGTGGTACAGGGCTTACTATGGCGGATGTGAGGGCGGTTCGCTTGTGATCCTGATCTGGTTCCACCAACCTCAGCTGTCTAGGCTGTTGAAAAACTTTGTTTTCCGAAAAAGGAAATTCATAGGAATTCCGGATTCGTTACATGCAGAACATAGTGTGGGGTAGATTGGGCCGAGTTCTGCAGGCTCTCGGAGCTTGTTCGAATGTTAATCGAGTCCGGCTAATACCCATTTCTCATTTTGCATATACCACTAGCAAGAAGCGACTCAACCTCGTCCTCGCAACATCAGAGTGGCCCTGCACCGAAAGATACTTCTTTGCATATGCGGATGCGCACCGGGAATCCCGTCACACACAGTATGACTAGGTATACACTGTTACTTGTGAAGATGTGTGCACGTGGTACAAAAGCACAAGTGGGTATATGCGGACTTTCGGCTTGCCAAGATCGGCGAACATTCTCCATTTTGCATATTGTATGAAATATGATAGTCCAAATGAGTGTACGAAATGAAGGGACCTTGAATCTCCAGCCCAATCTGTCCCTCCTGCAAGCCAACGCCGTTGAACGGATGTTCCAGAAGAGTTCGCCAAAGTGCCAGTAACACAGAAACGACAAGATAGTCAAGAGTATGAAATTGAAGATGTAATTTTGATCATTATCGTAATATTCACAGTTGCCGTGGGGCTTTAAACAGTACTGAAGCAAACAAAATCGTTTGTAGCAATTGCTAATTGATCCCATGAGCTAGAAACAATATTGTTGACGTCGGCTTGTGAATTGATCGATTATTGTTCCCACGTGTTTGACACAGCATCATCGGCATTTACACGAGGGATGATAGATTTGCGGTCCCAAGTATTTGAAACACTTTCGTCGGCATCTGCACGAGGAATGGTAGATTTACGGTCCCAAGTATTGGAAACGCTTTCATCGGCATCTGTAGAAGGAATAACAGATTTGCGATCCCAAGTATTCGAAACACTTTCGTCGGCGTCGGCCCGTGGAATCATAGACTTTCTATCCCAGGTGTTTGAAACAGCCTCATCAGCATCATGCGCTGGAGTTACAGGAACCGATCTCCGTTGCTCCCAGGTGTTTGAAACGACATCATCGGCGTCAGCCACGACGTTGCTGGCGCTCTCAACACGTGGGTTCAGACCAGCTGTAGACTCGTCAGTGAGATTTCAAGCGATAGAGTGAGTTTATAGACACGGCTGGTTAAGGGGAGTGTATCGTAAGACGTACCATTCGCCAGTGGGGCGGCAACTGAGAAGCTGAGGAAGAGGGCGGGAAGAAGGTAGAGGGTAGCATGCATTTTCGCTATCAAAATCGGCGTCGATAGGCGTCTGAGCTTTGGTTTGAGAGGACAACAAAAGGTATGCCTTACTCAGAGCGGGATGAAATGACGGCTCGAGATTTGTGGGCAGACGTCGGTCATAAGTAGAGGGTTTCCCTCTCATCCTCACTACTTTGAGCTACCACATACTTCCTCCTCCTGCAAGCTCATCAAAATCTGAAAAGACGGAGCTCCTTCCTCTAGTGGACAAACCCATCTGGACGACAACGGCAATTTGCATCTCACGCTCCAGTAACGTATGATATTGGGAGTACGTATGCCGGATTTCACAGAACTGGTCGATGTGAGCTATGTTTCTCGTTATCCGGCAATTTTCCACGTGGGAACAGGCAATAGAATTTCGTTCAGTGGTACTAATGGCAAATGGGGGGTCTGTGAGTTCCCTTTCATTAGGTCGGCTACGACAGAGCCGTCGTGTTGCTCAACGATTTTCCCTCGATCTCCAAGCGATGGTGTGGGTATTTTCGGAACTTTTAGCAAGCTGCATCGTATCCGGTACAGACGTGCAGAAGCGTTGAAAACTGTTCCCGGGCCAAGCATCGACATATCTCTAATCTATGATTGATATTAGGACACATTGGTGGCTTGAGAAAAATGTTGGATTTCGATAGAAGAGATAAATGTTAGACAATTATTCTGCACATACTATCAATTATGCTGCAATCCTTTGGTTATTATATTATTTCTTCAGATAGGATAAACGACATCCCTAGTCAATGTTGAATAATCGGACGTATCAACTTTGCGGCTATTGGCCCAAGCAGCGTAGGCTTCCCAATTGATGCACTCATGGTCGCTTTCTTGGCTTGAGAAGGGCTTTCCTTCTTCCCAGTGGAAAGGAACAATAGTAGGATCACCTCGACACATAGCTGCTTCTCTAAGATACTCTAAACAATGATCCACAGAAAGTGTTAGTAATGTCCGTTATGGTGATTAATACTAGCTTACCAACATGTCTGTTTTCCCTGTCTACATCGGCTTCTGTCATATTTGGGTAGTAGTGATCAACATAAAGATGCCGACGCAGTCGCTTCTATGGCAAGTTAGCTTACTTTCTCAATTATCATATGCAATGATTATAGAACATACAACGCAATGAAGCTCGTGATAAGCAGCCGTTTCCGCGATAAATCCAGACCCATCAACAAACGCAATTGAGGGTTTATTGATCTCTTTCAGCTCCTCGTTCGATACTCGAATTACCATAGCTAGAAACCGTTAACCTGACTCCTTCGCATCGTCATCTGAAAGCGCGCTCACGGGATAAAAGATCGTGCCATGCTTGGTCAAACGCTGGTCTTGGTGGCCCCGTGAAAGGATTATGCGTAATGTCTCGCCATAAGGTCTTCTTCTCGTAACTTGTAACTCTCCTCAAAGGCGCTATTGATTGTTAGATAAGGCAAGACTGAGAGGGTGCTACAAACAAAACGTGAGTTGTGGACGAATGCAAGCCGTATCAACAGCCAGCCTCCACTTCGTAATAAAGTATAGATTCGATAACAGAAGTAGCGCGACTATCAACAACGTGGAATAGGTTTGCTTCCCGGACGAATTTTGGATGAGTTGATCTTCTGATGAGTATTCAGTATCAACTTTAGATTTTTCGATGAATGGCTGGTTTTCGTCTCGCAATTCTGCCATGTTGAAGCTCGAGGTGTCGAAAGCAATTGACGGCAGGACAAGGCACCACGACAAAATCGACTTCCCAAATTCGCAAACCAAGTTTGCGGTGCGACCGCTGTGGTCTGAAAGTAAGGCATTCTGAGACCCGGCTCAGCACTGCTTCAATCTAAACAGGCGATTGATCCCCCAGTTGAGGTCTGAAATTATCCGGCAAATATCGCCCCACTGTCCACTGCAGATGTCGGAGTCGGCCCATATGCTTCTTGATCGTCGTATGAGTAGGCTGCATGATTCGTATGGCTATATATCCATGCAATTAATATATGTAGGATACCGATGTACAACTTGACATTTCTTATCTATCGCTTCTCATTCCAACGGTTTTTGTGTGCCCATAAGAATTTGACGTTATGTTACAGCAAGAAATGTACGAGTAACACGGTAGGCACGCTTTCGAGGCAAATCGGCGATGATTACAACCTTTCGCTTTTGATGAAACCCGGAGCAAGAATCTCGCAAGATGGAAACAGCATGTGAGAGCCTCCTCGAAAAGGATGAAGGTTTGGACCGGTGCTCGCGTGAGCACAAGCGAAGATATCCAGAGGTGTCTCTTCGAAGGATAGCAATCTTATTTACGATCGCACAAATCAGTCTCATCATAACCTATACTGCTGTATTCCTACTTCTCAAAGAACGAGACAGTAGAGATGACAATTCGACCGGGGATTTGAGGATGTGTAAGTCCTGATGGCATGAAACAAATTACTATGGTCCAAATCTGATTGCTGGCAGCGCCTGCGAGAGATGCTATACGGTATGAGCAGCGATACTTCGAAAAGCAGGGACACGTTACGAGTCCGTTTTCGGGTGAGCCACGGCCAGCATTGGAGGAAGCATGGCATAATTTACTGTCTGGAATGAACATACGGGTGTCAGAAGAGTACTTGACCCCATACGGCGCAAAATCGCTACCTTTAGCTGGAGGTGGTTATGCAGCCCAGCTTGGAATGTATCATGAGTTGCATTGTTTGGTAAGCGAATTAGTCCATCTTCGAGCTTGTAACTAACTGTCGTAGAAAAAGGTGCGACACTGGTTGTATAAAGATCACTACCACCACAATGCTACTAAAGAGGAGTTAGCGCGGCAGGAAAACCATATCCGTGAGTTGACGAATAAATTGCACACATCTCCTTGCTAATAACGCACAGATCATTGTCTGGAATGGCTGCGAATTGTAGCGCTTTGTAGAGGCGATACGGTCTTGACGACATTCGAGTGGGGTGAGCGAAACAACCTCGAGACGGAGTATCCTATTCCTCGCCAATGTGTGGATTCAGATCATCTACTATCGTGGTCACAACATAATGCTGTGGATTTGTCAAGTCCGGGCTTGCTCTCGAGGCCAGGAGATTAGTGTGCAGTTGATCCAATTCGTTCTCATTGGATTTCTTATGATTAACGCTGGCTTGGCTGGTGTTGTGATTCAGATTTGCCACCTGTACCGGGTAGTTTCTGTTTTGAGCAGTTGGTTATTTTTTCATGATGGCACTGATCGCGGCGATGCCTCTGAAAACATCTTCAGCTTCTTGTTCCAAATTGGTTCCCCATCTTCGTCGAAAGATGCCCATTCGAAGTATGAACAATTCGCTTTTTCGGGGACGTTTCCAGCATAACACATCCAAAAGTACCTCCCCCAGTTTTCTTTCTTTCTTTGAACGACCCTTAACACCGCCGGGACATCGCACTTGCACTTCGGAGTAAATTTAGGGTGCATCGAAGATTTATAGTTCCGGTATGTAATATTGATCCTCTTCGTGCCCGAAATGGGGTGAGGGTCAATTGCTTGTGCTGGAACAATGCTATGCTTCCACTCTTCTTGCATCTCGGCATGCATAACGAGAAGAGAGTTGTGCGGAAGATGTATTGAAATTTGACCCTCTGCATCTGAAGCCGCTTTCGACTTGTCTTTCTTCTCCATGCCTGAAGGCTCATCTTGCGGTACCACTCGTCGTACGCGGAACTCCCTGGCAACTCCCAGAGATATAGACCCAATGACAGCTCGTGGCCCCAGATAAGTGAGCTGATCACTGTGGTATCCAACACTTTCAGCTGCGTCGTGTTAGGGTCATGTGATCAGGGATAGGGGTTACATATAGGGCGAGACATTGTACTCACCTGCGCCGCTATAGCAGTTAACGCACGCAGCATTGGGATTCCATTCGTTCGGGGACTGATGTTTGAGTTTCTTGGCGCCTGGATAACGAGTAGCAATACGCATTGCAATCTCCTTATTGACAGCTGCTGCAACCTTTGGTGAGACCCTTCGCATCACAGGAGTAAGTTGCCGAACATCCTATGATATATTAGCTCGACAGAACTTTAATTCGGCTATGCTAAACCCACCGTCAAGAGACCTCCATTATAAATGTACTCTGTCTGCTGTTTCCGCATTTCTTCCAGCCCTTCCACGTAGAAAGACGTCGTATGTGGACTCTGAACCACGTTGTCAAACAGCTTGAAAGTCATTCTTTCAAATGTCTGAGCTTCTTGGAGGAGCTCCTTGAGTAAGTCGTTTGCCTCTTCTACAGGGAGGAAATTGTGGATAATAGAGCATGGTGTATGACTTGCCACATCCTCTGGAGAAAACAGATGTAGAGTCTTCCCTCTCTTCGAAATCAATTTTCTTTGTGGAGTATCTGGACCCTTAGTCTCGTGGGAAGAGGTAAAGTTAGAGAGGAGTGAGCTCTGATAACCAGTCGCAGCTGAGCTTTTACGCGGTAGCGAGTAACCTGCCTGCAGCGAGTTTGAGGAACTCTCTACCGAACCTTCATGTGCCAGAAGTATATCCAAAAGAGCATTCTGGTCGACATTGGGGTGGAGAGAGGAGAGTAAAGCAAGCTTGAAATCGGTTGATTCGTCGTCTTCAGCCACGGTCAGAGTGCTGGGCTGTTGGGCTGTCTCATGCTGAACAGGAGACGAGATTCTTCTCTTTTTGCGCGACACAAAGGCATCCATAATATGCTCAATATTTCACATATTAAGCCGTCGTCTTCGAAGCATTATCCGAGCCTAGAATTTCCGGAATCATTGACACTGACACATCCTGTTCGTTCTTGACGAAATGACGCGAAGTAGACGTCGCGCACTCACGTGATACAGCAACTTAATTCGCGTATCTTATCGATAAGTACCGTAAGTCGGGCCGATTTTGGCGGACAAACTCCAAGCGAGCATAAAAACTCGGGTATGTTCATTCTGTGGGTCGCAAGTGAGGCTTGCCAGCAACACCAGCAACAATTACAGAAAGCTTGTCACATACAGCAACTGATACTTTCTGGCAAATCTCTGGCGTTTATCTGACCAAAAAAATAAAAATGAAGTGAACATTACGCTTCCATACATAATACACCGATCTCTGCATTCACGATACCATCATCAACTTATTCGTGTCATCATCTGGCTGAAAATATACCGAGGCTATCTCGCGAGTCCTGAGGATATCTTCCTGCGAACAGCGCATATATCAAGGACGTTTCTTCAGCTTACCTGTGGTATGTTATTTACAACTTGGGCACTAATATTCATCAGCAATATTCATATTTCTCAAATAGAAACACAGGCTGACATGTGAACAGCTGGTTACGGATCGTACGTTGCAGTCATACCCGCGAGGGGGTTAGGCGCAAGATGATGGAATTTCGGACTCAGGGGATGAACGGCTATGCTGTCAAATACTCTCCATTCTTTGACTCAAAGATCGCAGTCGGTGCCGCTGCAAACTTTGGGCTGGTTGGAAATGGTCGGGTTTATGTTCTGAATTTGACACCACGTGGAATTCTAGCCCAGCAAACGTATGTTGGGTTGCCTTCATTTCTCAAAGCTTTTACTGATAAACGTAGCTGGGACACTCAGGATGCGGTGTATGACATTGCCTGGTCCGAAAAGAATGAGAATCAGATGATAGCGGCCACTGGAGATGGTTCTGTCAAGCTTTTTGATGTTTCTGTTCCAGCTGGTCCGGTGCAGCAGTGGCATGAGCATAATCGAGAAGTGTATGCAGTAACATGGAATCTTCAAACTAAGGATACATTTGCTTCTAGTTCTTGGGACGGTACGATTAGAGTAGTAAGTATTTAAACCGTACTGCTGAAGTGTGTGACTAATTTTCATCCTACAGTACTCTCCTGAGCGACCACAAGCTATCTTAACATTGCCAACTCATTCGTGTACATATAGTACTCAATACAGCCCTCACTCACCCGCCGTCATCTCCTCAGTAACGTCAGACTCGCATCTTCGGATTTTTGACCTGCGTACTCCGGCATCGGCGTCTAATCACCTAGTACACCTAATACCAATTCACGGACAGCCTCCAACACAAGGTCCATCTTATAACCCACTCAGGCCTCGACATCCTCCGTCAGAAGCCCTAACACATGACTGGAACAAATACCGTGACACTGTTGTTGCTACCGCTGGTGTGGATCAAATCATCCGAACATTCGATATCAGGAACCCTCGAAGTGGACCAGTTGCTCTTCTGGAAGGCCACAAATATGCAGTCCGCCGAATTACTTGGTCTCCTCATCTCAGTGACACTCTTCTTAGCGCTAGTTACGACATGACCTGCAGAGTTTGGAGCGACGGAAGCACTATGGGTCATCCAACTCCTCAAGCGCCTGGTCAACTGCCAGTCCCTGGAAGACAGCTTGGCGAGATGGGTGGACATACCGAGTTCGTCACTGGTGTTGATTGGTGCCTCTTTGGAGCCGAAGGGTGGTGTGCAAGTACTGCTTGGGATGAAAGATTACTTGTGTGGGATGTGAGAGCTACCATGGGACCTTGAACGCTGGAAGAAGGTTCGAATTCACTCGAATACATTTCACACCATCCACATGGATAAAACTTTCTAGAAAGATTCAACTCGGCCAAGGCATCGTATGTTTCTGTGTAGGAACGACAAGGTGCTATATACATATGTCGACTAATGGATTAGTGAAGGGAAAATAATGAAATGATAGATACTAGGCGTTCGTGGTAATTGGCATAGAGCGAACCAGGGAAGCGTCGGATAGAGATCAAACTCGAGAATAGGATATCTTGAGCACAACAATTGCATCATGTAAAAGCAATAATAGAGAAGAATCACACTCGTATTTACATTTTCAGTACCTAACGACTATGTATATCTCCGTCCTAGCAATCTCAGATATCCTCTAATCCTCATCCTCATCCTCCTGCTCCTCCTCATCATCACCATCATAATGCGGCACCGACCACCCCTTCCTCGTCCCATTCTTCAACGCATCCGCAACACCATCATACGCAGGATGTCTCGTAAAATTCGGAAAAAACAGCGTTCCGGACCCTTGACCAGCAAACACCCCCGGGATCCAACTAACCGGGTCCCAGAAATCCCACACCGTCACACCCACACATCCCTTAACCTGCACACACGCGCCCGTCGCAGCAGCAAACGCGACTTTCTGCTGCGCCATATTCTCCGGGGTCGCAGGATCCGTGACACGCACGTCGAGCTCCGTGAGCGCACACTCGACGCCGAGATTGGTGAAGTTCTTCATGACGTCGATGGTTTGGTCGATGGTTGGGGCGCGGGAGGCCGTCAGATGGGCTTGCATGCCAACGCCATGGATGGGGATGCGCTGGCGCTGGAGGGGCTTGACGATTTTGTTGATCACGGCGTCGACTTTGGCGTTGGGCCTTTCGAGGTTGTAGTCGTTGTAGTAGAGTTTGGCGTGTGGGTCGGCGGCGTGGGCGGCTTTGAATGCGATGGCGACTGGGAGGAGTTAGAAGATGTGGAAATAGAGTAGGCAAAGGGACGTACTGTATTCAGGGCCGATTACGTGGAGGAAGGTTGTGTTGCGAAAAGATCCATCATCTTCTAAAGCTTCGTTTACAACATCCCAGTGGTAGCATTGGCCTTTCCAGTGTTTGGCTTCGTTGGTAACGTGGTTGATGAGTGCTGCGGTGAGGGTTTTCTTGGTCCAGGTCTTTTGGAGAACTGTTGGGGAAATGTCAGTATGTCTTCTATGGAGCAGAAAAAAGCCCACGGGAGTTGTCACATACCCCAATCAGCAAGTTGGGAGTGCCAAACGAGATTGTGACATCTCAGCAACTGCTTGTTCTTCTTCGCGTATTTTGAAGTGACGTCTCCGTAGCTGAAGTTGAAGAGGTTTTCTTGAGGCTCAATTGCAAACCACTATTTAGATATCATCAGCTTTTGAACTTTGCCAGATATCCTTCCAATGACTTCATCCTGCACAGCCTTCTCTCACTGCTCCAGACCATCTTTGCCAGCCAATTTAGCGGTAATAAGAAAAAATACCTTTTGTCCATTGGCAGGAGTCAATTGACCAAACTCCCTCTTGTCGCTTATAATCTTCGCATACGTCTTGTCCAAAGCAGCCACGCTGACAATATCACTAGCTGTTCCAAAATACTGCAATCCAGCCTTCTTCGCCAAAGCATGGAGTTGCGCAGAAGCAAGCGGAGCTGCAAAGGCGAGGAGCGAAAGAGAGAAACGCATCTTGTCTGGCCTAAAGAGACTGGAAGGCTGGAGATTGAGCAAAGAAATAAATTGAGACAGAACCAAAGCCTCATATATCTACTGATGAATATCCGCAACCCCGAGCAACGTGAAATTTATTTAGCAAGGGTACCAAAAGTCATATGGACCTGCAGTTGGAGATTCACGAGGGCCCAGCCCGGAAGCTCCAAATGACATTTGCTAATCTAATTACCCCCGTTACATTTGAGGCACCCGAGGATGTTGGGACGATCGTGGGTCCCGGATAAATGCATATTGAGTGTTCAACATGGCATTGGCGTGAGGGGGCAGAGTCCGAAAAGTTTGGGAACGTGAGGTAAGAAATTGTGCAAAGGAAGAAAAACTTGTGACAATGATATTGTGGCTTGCCAATCGTATACCGTTTCTGGCATACTTCTGAAAGGCTTAAGTGTAGATCCAAAGATCTCAAGCCACTTGCCTTCAGGGGGTGTGTACACCGGCTTGACAATAAGCCCTGGCCCTTGGTTGAATGACTGGATTCAAGCCTTACTGATCTAGAAGGTTGGTGAACCGCTACCGTGGAGAACAAGCGAGCAGCATAAATAAACTTTTACGAACAAACACGGGGACGCAAACGATCATTTCCCCACAGCACAGTCCCGGCCCCAGATTTGTGGCTGGTGGAAATCCTCACTTCAGGCAGCTCGTCAAGCCATCCACTTCGGGGTGCTGTTTTGTTGGTACGACAGTCCGGGTAAAAGTCCTGGCACGGAGGGGAAGAATATGACTGCCGAGGGACCTATTGAGCGGCGACAATGTTACGATCCTTGGAAGAGACTACTTCTTGGCCTTAGTAGCGATCTATCATAAGAGCCTGAATACGTACATGACCGCCTTTCTGGCCCTGCGCTTGGGAATTGGATTCGGATGCTTCCGAGGATGGTGTAGTGGTGACTGCGAGCTAGGTACTAGTACGTAGCTAGGTGGCTGCTCAGCGTCGAAATACTAGACAGAGATAAATCATAAACAGGTCGATAAATGTATGGTCAAAAACGAGGGCACCGACGAACAGCGGGCTGGATGAGGAAGTAGAGTTTTATTATCATCGAGGATTTCGCTTCTGAACCACGGAACCCCCTTTTCCAGCCGTAACATACAGTAGATTAACAAAGTGAAAACTCCAGCAAGAGGCCAATTGAAGCATCGGTCTCCTGGTCTATTGAGACCGATCCGAAATGCAACATGCGGTGCCTGACCCAGGTATCGGCCCAGATAACGCCCATCCGTTCCTATCATACATCCTTGTCGTCCCTCTATTTTACACAAGACAAAGAGAAACCGATATATCGCGACGTAGAATCCTGAAAACATCTCTAGCATGAGCCGATTGGGCTGCTAACAGGCGGAACTAGAAGTTGAAGTCGTTCGGTGCGGGCCGTCCCCTGTTGCTGAAACCTCCACTTCGAGAGCCACCAGAACCACCGAATCCACGGTCACCGTCGCCGCCAAATCTGCTTCCTCCTCTGCCACCTCTGTCTCCGCCAAATCCACCTCTGTCGCCGCCAAATCTGCTTCCGCCTCTGCCACCTCTGTCTCCGCCGAACCCTCCACCTCTACTCTCCACCGTATCCTCCTCTGCCACCTCTGTCTCCGCCGAATCCACCTCTGTCGCCGCCAAATCTGCTTCCTCCACTTCTACCACCAGATGCGCCTGATGGACGGCCTCTTCCTCCACCTCCACTACCTCCATTCAGGCCAAGCCGTTGGACTAAGTTAGCGCTGATATGAGGAGGCTCCTCCCAGCCCCAACCATACTTCGTCCACTGGTTTAGAATATCAATTCCATTGCGAACACCCTTCATGGTACCAAGCGTGCCCATGAAGGCAGCTTGTTTGGTGTCGCGATCTATCATCTTCGTTGCGAGTCCGACCTGGGTTATTATCTCCGCTACAGACGCAGGGAGTTGAGCATCTTTAGTCATGTCGACCATGGCCGTTTCTAATGTGTCGTCCTTTTTGATCGGAAGTTGGCGAAGTGTTCTTGCGGCGTTATCCATCTCGGCTTCGTGAACAAAGATGTAGGCAGATCCGGTCTTGTCACCACGACCCGTGCGACCTACACGATGGATATATTGTTCTCTATTGCTTGGAAGGCCTACCTGAATAACATGAGTTACATTTGGAAAATCCATGCCACGGGCAGTAACATCAGTAGAGAACAATATGCCGGTCTTGGCGCGACGGAATCGTTCTGTAACGTTGGTACGTCTTTCTTGTGTCAGTTGGCCGTGGATTTGAGATATTTCCGCTGGGTACAATGGAGATTTTGCGAATCGGCCACCACTCTGATCGGCTAAATTGTCAAATGTTCTGTAGGCGAGTTGAACACTGGCCGTTGCTTGAAAGTAGATAATTGCCTTGAAGGGAAGTCCCTCCCCTTTGGCGGCCAGGTCGACTTGTCGCTTGCACAGCTCATACACGGCTGGCATCAGATTTTCGTATCCAGCAACAGTGACAACGTTTTGGGGAACCTTTTGATGTGTGGCAAGATCTCCTTCCTTTACCGTCTGGACAAAGTGAAAATCTGGCTTTAGTGTTCTCTTGACTAGGCCCATGACTTCCCGCGGAACAGTGGCAGAAAAGAGGAGTGTTTGTCTGTCCACCTTGGTAATGTCAGGCAGGAGGGTCTTGATCTCGTCAATGTCCTTGGAGAACCCATCGTCCAATAACCGATCGGCCTCATCTAGGACGAGAGTTGTGAGTTGATCGGCGCGAATGCCGCTGTAAGGATCACTCAACAAATCGTATAGTCTGCCAGGGGTAGCGACTAGTATGTGGCATCCTTCCCGGCGTGTCTTTGACAACATCATTCGCTTGCTATTTCCTCCCACAGCAATTTGTACAATCAAATCGGTGGCGCTGCATAGCTTCGCTGCCTCGGTAGCAATTTGTTCTGCCAATTCACGCGTAGGTGAAATTATTATAGCGCGGATATCGGAGGCTCGGGCGTTGGAGTATCGCTTTCGTTCGGCGAGTTCTGGATTTCTACGGATTATGTTCTGCAGCATAGGAACAAGGAATCCAATGGTCTTTCCTGTTCCTGTACGAGCTTGCGCAATACTAGTAGTTATTAGAAAAAATCCGAATATTACGGTGACAATTTAACTTACATGTCAGTGCCTTGTAAGGCCTGGTTAATGGTCATGGACTGTACGTCTGTCATGGTGTGGTGACCCATTCCTTTCGTAATCGCATTAACAATATTTGGGTGGACCAGTTTATGGGCAAGGAGATCGTCGAACTTGGTGACAGCAGGAAACTCCTGGGACGCTGCAGAATCTACTTGACTCTCCGCTACTGCTTGATTTCTCAATTGCGACGAAACATGAAGCCATCTTGCTTCCAGCGCCGGCTTGTGTGTGATGTGGGTTGATAAAGAAAGCGTCGAGGGTCTCGTTGATGGAATGCGAACAGCTGATGTCGCGGTTCGAAGGACTCTGGATATTGAGGCTGGTCCTCTTCTGCAGATGTTGAACATTGCGGGCGAGAGGAAGAGACAATCTCCTTGAATACAAACAATTAAAAAGAATAGATGCAGTAATATAGAAATACACAGGCAATGAATGTAGTCGGAAGATGCCGTTCAGTTACTTTTCAGGTCAGAGTTGTAAGGCGAAAGTCAAGATTAGAGTAACTTTTTTCTCAGATGAGCTAAAACTTTATCGCCGGCCCGAGCGTCAACTCACGTGACCTTCTTCAACCCCCTATTCTGGACAGCAATTCAATGCACGGAGGACAAGTACATCAATTAGTTGACAACTGGAAGATTAGTTTCAGGTAGATGTGATTTAATCTTACTTGGTTTTCCAGTAGGCTCAATATTTCTGGTGGACTGTTGATACTATAGAGGGATTCAAATTATAGACCGTCTAATCCGCATAGTTGACTACACCAGCTAGTTGTTTTAACGTCTTCAAGTGCACACAAGCTTACGTCTATAGAATGTAACCGGAAGCTTATTAACGTATCTAATCAAAATGTTATGTTCATCCAATAGCTCTCTACCCAAAGGACCTATCTGGATGAGCAGACGGTGCAACGCCATCTATACACCGAGCATCATCAAGGAAAGTCTCCACCCTCTTTCTAAATTCATAAGTCATAAATGAGTGTGTCTCATTTGGATAGAGAATCTGTGATTCAACTATCTTTAACTCCAGCAGACCTTCGAGCTCCAACTATTGCTATACCCTCTCCAACACCCTCATGGATGCCTCCAGTGATCCCTTCTACCACCCACACGGCGGTTTCCGTTATAATACGTCCCAATTTACCGTCGCCGATACCGTATATAGCAGTCGTAAACGCTAGGGTTTGTTTTCCAAATTCGTCAATGGTACTAATACTGTGGGTGAGCACCTTCTCAGATACTTTGTGCTCTCTGTCGTAGCGATAGGCTGCTTGTAAGAAATTTTTGACGTAAGGTAAGATTAATTGGAAGAATAAGAAGATCTGTATGATAGTAGATGCTAAAGTTCGGTGGATGAATGATGGTTGTGAGGGAATGTTGACGTTGCTTTGGGAACGATCCGTAAAGTGAGTGCTCGTGTTCATCTCCAAAGGCTCAACGACTCTATGAGGTAGGGAGCTCCGTAAACTTGATCTCTCTTCTTCATTGAGGTCTGATGGAAGGGCTCGCAGTAGATATGTCAACGCGTGCATGTACAGCTGCCGCGCAAGATCAGAATTTCCAAACTCCCCATCCCGGGATATTGTACAGCATTCTTCAACAGCGAGACCAAGAAGACTCAGGCCTACGGTTCAGCTAATTTAGTACAGAAGTGGATGTTTTGAAGTGGGCTAGATTACCTTGATTTGCAAACTTCCATGCAATTCCGGTTCTCGAGTCTCCTGGTTCTACATGTACTAGTGGAGGAGGCATATGTGACGCCGAAATTCGCAGGTCTCCATCGTCGGAACAAACACTCCCACCAAAGTAGCTTTGATTTCCATTCTTAACTTCGCCAAGATGGCTTAAGACAATGGCGGATGTATATCCAAGCTCTGGAGTATCCGACCCGGAGCTAGCCTTTGAGTCGGGAGAACTGGGTCTGGAAAGCCCATAGTCTCTCGCCGAACGACCTAGGTAAGGAAGTTTGGGTATTCGAGCTTGCACAGCTACAGGTAGCATCGAAAAGAGCATCGAAGTATGACTTGAGTATTGTACTTCCCGGATGCAATCTGCGGACTGCGCACGATTATAGATTGGAGGCTTCCGCTGACGGCATTCCATGATTGAAAGTGTCCATAAATACGCCCAAGGTTCAGAACTCGGCTTCAAACAAACTTCTCGAGTGTAAAGGTGGGGTAGTATCCTGCAAATCCAGAAAAATCCAGAATTCACATCATCTTGCGTCCGGGAAATCCGGACAATCTTCACAAAGAAAAGTCAACGAAAGAAAGAGGGAAGATATTAGAGAAGGAAGGAGAGTAAAGCATAATACAGCTTACTTGATGAGCATTCGGGACGCTACTCCCCTACCCTTCTTTTGTCTTGTTGAGGAATTTGGAGCCAGGTAGCCAATCGTAGGAGCACATGAAAATTCCTGGAGACATTCTTCATGTGAAGGCCCCGCTAGAAGAAGTGGGGCATGCAACAGCCTCCTCCTCGTAAGTACTTTATATTCTTAAATTTCTGTTTTATCTTATTTCAGAAATATCTCAACTACGAAGACATAATGAATGAAATACGCGATGTGTTATGCACTTGATAGGAAAATATTGTGTTTCGACTGCGACTTGTTTTCGCGACTTGTTTTGTCCGTCATGAGCGATTTACTACCTAATAATTGTGGTTACAATAGGTGATACGGATCCAAAATTGATTGTTTCTCCTTTACAATTCCCGAGGTCGCTTTGACAGTCAGTCTTAGGTAAGCCTTTCAGCGAGATATAATTTTGGCGGGTTGTTAAATGTTCCTTCCAAATTGTTAAGAAGCAAAAAGACCACAGTCCTGTAATGTGTACGGTTACATAGATCTCAGGTTTATTGTTTGAGATTGTAGCAACTTGGAAGCTGAATATTGTTTGATCAAAATAGGTCTTCAAAATTATCATCGTCTTAAGTGCCTTCCATACAAGTCTCGTTAACTTCCTTTCATCAAAGTCTAGTCAAGAACCTCCCTTACAGGGCTATCTACCCCTCTAAGAACGACAAAATCTCATTCTTCCAGTGAAGTTTTCTCTTATTACCCGCCATACTTTCCGGCATGGATCGAATCGCATTTGCTAGAGCCTCTCCATCACCTTCCGCCTTAATCTGCCTCAACGGCGTCAAGTACGACCTAACAGAAAATACGACCGATTGAGACTTAGCAAGTCTTGTAAAGGTGTGCCGCTCGACACGAAGGAAATTTTTATCAACGTCAATCGAGGGAAGCCACGAAGCTGGTTCGGTGCCTCCGTCATTCGGGTAAAAGTTGTCGCCGATGCGACGCCAGAGTAATGGGCCATCAGTTTGAATTGACCACCAAGAGCTCGTTAGCAAACCTGATAAGATACGACATAAGGGTAGAGATTCTTACCTTCGTCCGAGAAACAAGAGAACCCACATCGATTCGAGATATTGTTTCGTCCGACCCTTCACCCAGTCTCTGGTCGTCCCCAGCAGCATATTCAAGAATCTCACTCATTGACATTCCTATCCTCGAACGGAAAAACATACCACCAGGTGCAAAAAAAGCAATAAACCCTCGAAGGCGAAGAACGTCATCTTCATCTGGGCACATGATGTAGAAATCGTCTTCCCCGTTTTCAGATATGTTTCGAAGCATTTGTCGCTCGCCCATTCCAGCAGTGTTGATCAGGTATGATTTCCCAGTAACGACGTTGAGTAGTGATTGGATGTCGTGTTCATTTTTTCTCAGAATCTTAAACATGGTTGGGTAACGTTGCGGGAGGTAGTCAGACATAAGCTGTTGATAGAGCTCGGAAATTGCGGGATTGACAAGCAGACTGGTAGCACAGACGTCGTTGATGCTTTTTGTGGTATGAGCATTAATGATATTTTCGCGTTCAGCTAGCCGGCTAAGATATCCGTTGTCAATGGAAATCCAGTTGTTCATAGGTTCTTTTTTAATTCCTAATCACCTGTAAGTATAGCACACATAGCAGTAAGGTTGAAATGCAAGAGCATAGCAACATCTTCTTACCCGTGGAAATAGTTTTGAACGGCCGGTAAGGAGTGGGCGGTACATTTCGAAAGTCAAAGTCTAGAAGTGGTTCAATGCTTGAAGAACTTGCTTTCTTTGCACTTTTTGTGCTGTCATTTTGAGCGGGTATTCGGCGAATGTAGTATATTCTGAATAGCTTGATGACCGCGAAAAGACAAGTACCAACCAACAACACGCCAGTTGTCAAGAGCGATATTTCTGCCATCGCGTGCCTCATAAATTTCTAAACGCGAAAGAGGAAAAGTATTTGGCCTTCGACAAATTCTTTTCTAGATATACTACCACAATGTGAGCGTGAGTGAATCATAGTTAAGCATTTAGACGCCAGACCAATTTTTTGTGGGCACATGCTCGCCATGTTACTGTATTGATGAAGTGTTATTTCAGTGAATGATCATGTACGAGCTGGGTGGAAATGAGGTGTTGGAACCACCGGCCGAGATTAGACGTGATTCAAGACTAATCAGACATCCAAGAGGTTGAAAGAGGATCCTACTTGTAGAACACTTTCTTCCTGTCATCATGACCAACAGTGAACAGTGAACAGTGAACCCCTGATGATATTGAGAATAATTGCACCCGACAATTTTGTGTTCTGAATAAGCCAAACACCATGCTGCAAATAAGAATCAAACGATAACTCTGTACTTTTTCAGCAACTCCTTGACTCTATCAACCGGAAGTCCTGGTAATTTGACACCTTTGTTCCCAGTCCTTCCTTCTCTTCCTGCAATCATTGAGTTCAGAATTGCTTCTTCAGTTACTTCGCTCGCTGCTCGAAACATGGTGTCTATGCTTTCATTCTTGATGATCTCGATGTCGTTGGTTTCTACTGGCGCAATACCCAGTACTTGAGGTTTTATGACCCGCTCGGTGGGTTTGTTCCCCGTCGACAAGGCAAGAATGATATCTCCAGAGAAATTTCGTCCAACTCCGTGGCCACCAACCTGAGCGAGTCCGACGGCGCAGTGACGAGCCAGTCGATTGAGTTGATGAGGAAGCATTGGAGCGTCGGTACTGCATTCGATTAGCAATTAACTTTCTCACATCTAACTTTCGTAGGACCCACATCAGCATGACAACAATGCTACCATCGTCTGCTTTTCCATCCGGCGTCGATTCTGACTCTCCTCGGCTACCTGGAGTAAAAATGGTTCCCTCCTTTAGCATCAACTTCCCAATTGGAACACCAGCAATTTGAAGATCATAGTTATGACCATAATTACTCTGCACCAAAACACCAACGGTGTACTTCTTTCCAGCATCGCCCTCAACAACTCTCGAACTAGTACCAGTTCCTCCCGGAAACATGTGACATGTCATACTTGCTCCTCCTCCGTTCTGGCCTTCTAGAACCTCGGTTTGTGTTAAAGCTGCTTCAAAAGCTTCATGAACGTCTTTAGGCTCGAGTGCTGATGTTCCAATATCATTTAACCACCAATCCGAGGTTTCTGCGACAACAGGAGTTCCATAGTTGTGGCTCATCTCAACAACGTCTATACCCAAAGCTTCAGAGCGTTTGAGACTCCATTCCCACATTGTTTGGAAAACTACCCCAAAACTCAAAGAGTTTGTGAGTGCTAACGGCTATTGCTGATTAGTCGACGAAATCACATTGTGGATGTCGTACGTACTTGATTGGTAAATCCCCAATCTCGAACTTGGAATGAGCCACTCAATTCTCCATTCCCATTCAATGTATGAAGACCGGCATAGCATGGAATATTCATTTCTTCATATGGTCGTGGTAGAATGACCGTAACACCTTTGAGAACATCGTCGCCATCCTTTCCGACTGTGACTTGGCCAACATGAACCCCTGTGATACCATCAGTTGTTGTGAAAGTGAAAGAGCTTGCTATCTACCAACCAGGAACATCGAGAATTGAATTCTTTGGTCCACTAGGAAGCTGGCCGGGAGTATAACCCAAGTCCGCAATTGTCATTCGCGCCATATTTGCGTATCAAGGTTCGTTATGAGTTTGATTATATTCTTGGCTTTCAAGATCGGAGACGCTCACATACTTTTATACTCTTTAACCAACCTTCATCGTTCATGGCTGACTGCGTTATGAAATCCGGACAAGCTACTAAACTGCTCATCATGGTGGGATTTACCCCACTTTCGAGATGACCCCATCAATTTGGGCTTGATCCAACTCCTTTCTGAGCTCCGAAATGTGTCTTTTTTGTATCAGCTTTTATCGAGCTACTACTTCTAGCTAAGACTATGCGAGGCTAATCACGTATTGGCTGCCATTTTGGAAATCACTGGGGAAGTTGTGTATGAGCAGGAATGACTCATGTTGAGTGTAGGTGAGATGCAGGTACGAAATTCGCGAGCGGCGATCATTAAAGAACTAAAAGTTTCGCGCTTGCGAACATCTTCATAGGACTTTCAATGTAAAGATTGACTGGGATACGCGAGGTAATAGTCGCTCCTACAATCAGTGGAAGCTTCTTATCTTCGCTCCGCTTCCGGTGTAAGTCGTCAACAGGCACAAGTTTTGCATTGCAAGCTACTCAACACAATTGATCAGAACCCAGTAGAAGAGAATTCCTTCAAGAACATCCTCTCACTTCCGTCCAAGCTACATTTCGTTACCTATCACCAAACATCACCATATCAAAACTCACTCACTCATCAAACGTTTCACCCTCCAACCAACCCTTCCAATCACCCTTTTTGATATTCAGCTTCTCCCACTCAACACCTTCAAAGCACCTGAGATTAACAGGTACAATGCCCTCCCACACCTTCATTTTCTCCTTCAACTCCTCGTCTCCAAGCCCTTGACTTTTTGATCCACCATATTTCCTAAACTTCTCTAGAGGAATATCATCCTTTTTGCGAATATAGACGTAAACTCCGCACATAGGACAGAATAGATGTTCCTGAAGACGAGGTCCGAAAGTGTACGGTACCAAAGGTTGAAGACTACAGGTCGCTGCTGTGAATGCTGAGGTATGAGGGTAGATGAGGATGGAACCGCGCTGAGGGAAGTTAGATTGGAATGCGAATGATGATGGAGTGCTTACGGTTGAGCAAATGCTGCAGTTGCACTTTTGGATAAACTCATTATCCTCAACCAATTCTTTCGCTTGCAAAGCCATGGTTGTGGCCCCACAGTGACAAGAACCAAAACAAGTTTTAGAATCCGGGGTTCCTGTCATTGGAAGTGTTCCATGGAATTTGTGAGGGGTGAAATGAGGTTCGAGGGTCGCTCCGTCGAATCTAGAATCGTCAAAATTGTTGACTAAATGGCAATCCGAAAGAAACTTACTTATTCCCAGTAAGGCTCTCAATATCAACGTCCTTCAAGGTCCTGGCCTGGCGCAATGGATCAGCCAATATTCATTTTTATTACACCCGAACCTCCTACATTAAGACCAATATCACTCCCAGCAGGCATACCATGTCTTTCCCCATTATACCAGTTCCACAACTTTTGCAAAACTATTTGATATCAGCCCAACCTCCGATAATTCTCCTCACGAAAGCTCTCTCAGGAAAACATACTCTATGTTCCATCCTCCTAGCCGCAAACTCATAAGCTCGCAATCCCTCCTCCCCAAACCCATCCTCAAAGACCAAACTCCCAGCAGGTGGGAACACCCACGCATACGCTTTGCGAAAACAAATACTGCAGTTACATTCCGTGAAAGTTTTAATCTCTGGGAGGGCAAGGGAGAATTTGATTTTGTTGCAGTGGCAGGCGCCATGGTAGGTTTTGAGTGGTGTGTCTGCCATGAAGGGTATCGTCTAATGCAGCCGAGATGTGATGACTTTGCAATGGAGCAAACCTTTTGAACAAATAAACTGTGAAAGGTGATTCATATAACTATTTAAGACTTAATAGTAGCTCACAAAAAGAAAACAAAACACGATCAGTTAGTAATCATCCACACTTCTGGCTTCATGTTCCCCCGCCTTATGTTTCATACATTCTGTTGGGAGACGCCTCTCGGCAGCCTAAACCATGTATCTCAACACAACTCAGCTTCCATCAGCATAGCAATAAATCCGAGCGAAAATTGGGTTCGGGTGTAGTAGACGGATATAGAAGAATGACCGGAATGACCCATCACAGTCTGAAAGCTTATCCGACTTTCGCACATTATCTGCGTGGGGTAAAAAGCGGCGACGAACCAGAGCAGGACGAAAGACGTCTGTACCTCATAAATACAAGACCCTACAAAGTTTCAAGGGTTTGCAGTGAGGAGTCAATTCAAAAGATGCACGCGTGCTAGATCGTAGTGTAACGAAAGACAATTGAATGATGTACTTCATAAGCAAGCCATATTGGCATGACAATGAGATCACCTTGACAAATGTCGCCGTGGTTGTGGTTATATGTTTGATCAATGTTCACTACCGTGGCACCACAGAGTAAATCAACATGACTGTTACAGGCCGTCCTTTCCGTTTCCAAATCTCATAAAACGCTTCTCATCAATCTTACACTCGATTGCTAGAGGCATTTGGAAGGCGTCTGAATTAAAATGTATCTGAATCAACCTCTTGCCAAGGATATGAGCATCCAAAAACCAACAATATTAGTACCTGATAGTAGGTCCACTACCAAAAAGAGCCCCATCCCCACGTTCTTCCAGAGCCGAGACCCAGACCGCCAACGGTCCCGGTTTTTGACCTTATAGCACCTCTAGCAATACTCGGCGCCATACTGCGTAACGTTTCAGCTCCCAAACTCCGCTTATTTTTCAAAGCGATTTCCATGATCATATTTCTTTCGTAGTCAACGCTATCTGCATGCTCGTTTCGAACGGACTCTTGACGAGTCTCCCTACGACTGGCAGCGTCGAAATTTGAAGACGTAGCCACAGATGAATTCTCTCTGCTAGGTGTAAAGTCGTTCTCCGTATAGTCATCGTTCGTAGATACTCTCCACTCATCATTGATGGAACGGCGGCCACGAGAGCTGCGACGCATTTCAGTCCATATTTTCCGAGCAGGGTCCGTCTCGTCTGATAGTGTACGAGGAGAGTTGTGGGATCGTACGTAAGAATTGATACCATTTTGAACACTTTGGGATCTTGTAAGCGGCTCTTTTGAGACATCCAGAAAGCTGTACAGTGGTGTATGGATGATTGAGGATGCCCTAAGCTGCGGAGGGTTATCGGTGGCTATGGCCGTATCATCACTGTAACCTTCGAATCTGAACGGCATTCGAGAAAACGCATAAGGATAGTGTTTATAAGACATCTTGCCAATGGCATTAACAGCCTCATCATTCGGGAGATGTTTTCTCGCCAACTCAACTAAAGGATTTTTATCAAAAGAGGCAGCGGCTTGCGAAGCGCGGGGCGACCAGGCCGGCCTTTTATCGTGTCGCTTAATCATCGATACAACGTCAGTCTGCAAATGAGTGACACAGGAACCTTTCTCGTAGGAGCCCGGCTCCAGACTTTCGATATTTTGAAACCCAGAATGCTTGTACGACAGTCGAACAGTCAGGTATGGAAGATATGTGTCTCCGAGATGGCCTTCTAAGTCGGCAAAAAGATCTGCCGAGGAGGCACTGTAGGAGCTTGATGTTGGCCTTGGCTTCCCAAGATTAATGCTCGCAAGGATCAGACGTGTTCGTCCCGCTCGAATAGGAGTAGGGTCATGGAGATCTCCTATAAGATCAGTGATGAAGCACTGGGGTGCAAGTAAAAGCTCTATATGGATAGAATGTAAATAACCAAAGTTTTCTGCTTGTAAAATTATTAAAATTGACCTTTAATCAACGGATAGCCGATGGTTAGGGACTGACCTTGTAAGCGTGGCTCTATTGATGACCGTGGATATTTCCGATCAATGGCTCCATTCGGTTCCGGGTGTTGCAATACCCCCGATAATTCAATTCCTACCCAAAATGTGCAGGCTTCGGAATCAACCACCGGCCACTCCGGAGTAACAACAACTTGTGGCGTCAAAATCACATTGCCGTAAGCAGTGGACTTTGAATTTGCGTACGGCGGGGAATATAATCTTGGAAGATCTGCATTTGAGCATGACTGAGAACTGAAAGTCGTGTCCGTTATGTCGCGGCTGTCGCCGTCCAAAGGAGTTTGCATATTGTTGACTGATGGTGGAAGACATTCACTGCTGGACCATCGATCGTGTGAACGTCTGCTGCGGGATATACGACGAATCAAAGTATCTTTTGTGGTGGGGTTTGCAGACTTCTTGGCTTTCAGCTTCTGTGATCCACCCCGACCGCCAATGGCTTTGAGTAGAAAGTTCTTGGATTTGGAGAATTTCCTTTGAGGTATGTCGAAAGTTCCCTGGTCAAATTCATATTCGTTTTCAGACAATTCCAGACCAAATTCCGAGTGACTAGAACTCTTTCCAATCCTAGCAGAGTATCTGCCAGCAACGGTCGCCGGATATCTGAGCTCGGATTTGAGAAACATACCAGCCATATGACTTGGACTTCGTGTCCTGGACGGAAGAGCTCTGGGAGTGCTTTCAAGGTCATTTGAAAAGTCCGCACGTTCGTCTAGTTATAATTAGGAGGTATATAAAATGGAAATTGAGAGAGTAGTACCTCGAGACAAATTAGAAATACCATCAAATGTGCTATCAAAGACAGAGCTTCGGCCCGCCCTCTTCTTATGCACTGTCAAGGGTCTATCTCTACCCAGCGGTGGGCTCCCCTGACTCTGGTTGGATGAACCAGAGGCTGTGCGTCCTCTGCCGAGAGCCTCTCGGGGCGTTGAGCCACAGGAGATGGTCTTGCTACGTTTAATAATTCGGAGTGGTGATGGCTTTTTAATTCCTGATTCGTGAAACTCCACTGTAGTCGATTTGACCGATCCGGGTGCCATACCTGAGATGGCGTGGGTGTATTGCAGTAACGTGTATGCAAGTCTCCTTCGCTATAAGACTTGTTGATTGGTGATTGCTCAATGAATTTACTGAAGGAATCCACACCTTGGGCGCTGTGTGTGCTTTCCAGATCGTGCCAGGAATCGGCGTAAGCGTTGGATCTCGAGTCTGATCGCTTTGCCTTCCTCCTGGATCTCGCGCTTCTGAAGGCCCAATTTCCTCTTCGGTTCAACCTTCGACGACAATACAACGAGATCGCTTGAAAGCCGTGCTGCGTTTTCAGAGCCACAAACGCGGCAGAAGCTGCAATAACAATCGGTACAATAATGAGCGCACCGATAGGGGGGTTACTACTACTCATAGCCAAACTTGAAGTGATGTTGATGCTAGAATAGAGAATTGCAAACTTGTCGTGCTTTCGCAGACAGATGCGGACCAGTATAGAAAGTCGGCAGCAAGTCAGTTTGACAGAAATGGAAGGGGCAACCCCATGCTAAATAACATGAGCACGTCAGCTCAGCTCGTTGCCCTTTCGGATAGTGACTCATGCGATTACTTTGGCATGTATACATACATGTCATTTTGGTTTTCCTCATCCACAGTCAAAATGCGCAGAAGCAGCCCTATCAGGAACGGGCTTTTTCGAAACTACATGAATTGTGTTGGAGCAGGCAAATTTCTTGGCATATGTATGGTCTACACAACTCCTCTCCGCTGGGGTTCCAAGCTTTCTACACTTCTCCGAATGTTTTCTTGAATGGTCTCAATCTGCTCCTCGTCGAGATTGAGGAAACGTATTAAATCATTATCAGCCGAAGAGGTGCCAAAGAGCTCTGCCTCAGTAATGCTAGCTTCCACTCCCTTTTTGACCCGCATTTCCCAGACACCATCCCAATTCCATTCCCCAGGTTTTCGAACGACTGGAAATATCGGAGTTTTCGATGGGCTCACTGGTGCGGCAGCCCCACCGCTAGAAGCACTAGCTCGTAACGCAGATTCTGGAGACGTTTTCTCTCCTGCCCGGGAGCTGAGACGATGAGTTTTCCATGCTTGCCAAGCTCCAGGATTTCCCGCAGCCTCTAAAGGGATTTGATCCATCACGTTGTCATCGTCGAAGGTGCTTCGAATATATCTGAGAAAGTCATATGTAGATGGGTGTTTTCCTTGCACGTCAAAGCTACTACGACTGTCACCACTAGCTTGAGATGGCGAGGGAGTGACACTGTTTTCGTTTGTCGTGGAGTTGGTCGCCTCACCACTATGCAATACGTTCATTGGTGTTTGCAAGTTTATTCCTGGTGCTGCTGGTGCGGACTTTCTGCTTGCTCGACCAAACCAAACCGGGAAACCATGGCGCAATGAAAAACCTCCAGGAGGCAAACGCTCTTCATCTGTAGCAGAAACCGTCCCCGTATCTTGGAAAGCTGTTGTATACATATACGTTGTGAGTGGTGTTATTAGAGGATGAAATATATCGGTTGTAAAAGTGATTAGAGGAGGTAGCGCGGGATAGCTTGGTGGGAAGGAGATTCGAAAGCGGAGTATAGATGGCGCATATGGTCCTTTAGGATAACTTGTCAGACTCATTGTTCCAAACCGTTTGAGGTTAAAGATACCTTTTCGTACAAACATCACACCAGACCATAGTGTTGGATCTCCAGGTGTGAGGGTCATGAATATCCCATGAGGGCAAGCATGTTTGAGACTAGAACTACAAACTTCGATGAGTAGGTTTCCTTTTTTTGATGCTTAAAGAGAATTATTCCTACAAGTCCACAAGTAGGTTTTGTCTGCGAACGGCAGCTCCTCTGGACAATTGTTGTGACACCATGGTTGATCGTTTTATGGAGATTGATGCCCAAAGGTTAGAATGTAACTAAAGGAGTTGAGAGCACGAAAGCGGTGGGGGGATTCTGCCGCTGATCCCGTTTCAAATGGACTACAAACGAGCATTGATAGGGGGTCACTTTCTTCAATTCCAGATATTAATTCTATCATCTATTTCCAGTTTATGTTATTACACAGTGGGCTCACACGAGGAATTGCGGTTTGTGTCCTCGCTTCTGTGGCATATTCTCGCAGTATACAATCGAAATGCCAGGTGTGCATGACGGCATTTACAACGCGAAACACGTCGAAGACTTGAGAACGCCACCGCCTGGTAAGAGCCATTGCCTTAAAAACCAATCAGAAATTAAATGCAGTATAGACTTGTATATGCAGCTTTCAAGGTCTGCAGTGATCACTCAAGCATGGGGCTCCGCCACTTTCTGTTCTCTCCCTAGGCTGGAGACGTCCGGAATAACAGGCGAATTGCTCTTCTTATTTTCCTCCAAGTCTTGCTTCAATCTTCGACTTTTCCCTCTCCTTAAGCTCTTTGATTTCCTCTCTGGTAGCATCATAGCTAGCGTTGACTTGATTGAAAGGGTTATCTTCGTGCTTCTCGAACTCCTTTCTGATTTTGTCTTTCTTCTGGTTCTGTCTCAGACCTTGACCGCTTCCATCAGAGTCCATTTCCTTAAGTCTTCTATCTTCGTATGCTGCATAGGCGGCCTTGAAACGCCTTTCTGGATGCTTGTCGATCTTGGAGGCAGAAGAGTCGGTTGTCAAAGAGAGTGCGTCAAGAGCATTGTCAATTCCTGTCGCGTTCAGCGCAGAGGGCTTGGTAGAGCTTCCCGGCTCGTCTAGTTGAGACAAATCTAGGCCCTTGGTTTTTTTAACTGCCGTTTTTGCATTTTTTGGTGTTGCCCGAGCATCCTTCTCTTCTTCTGCTAACAGAGCGTCCTTTTCTGCCTTTTTGCGCGCGGCCTGGGCCTTCTTACTTGCTTCTGCGTCTCTGCTCATAGTCAGCTTTCTGAAGCCAAAGAGATTGACATGGTGGTAGTTTTCCGCAAGAACAGGGACCGAGTTACAAAATTGAACCTACTTTTTGGCGTTGCTTTTGGTGCCCTTACTCCAGTCTGTATCTTCTGCTGCTGCCTTTTTCGCATTTTCTGCGGCTACTTTCTCGGCGGCTGCCTCTGCTTTCTTTGCGTTACCAGCTACCTTCTTGGTGTTCTCTACCTTTTTGCCCGCCATGTTTACTTTTAAATCCGAAAATGATGATTGGGGTTGAAATGTAGCTCAGCTAGCATAGCGGTTGTGGCAGAATCAGGTTGGAGCGTGCCCAGGTGGCGTGGCATCCTTTGACTGCCCCACGCAACCCCGCGGTTGACGCCTTGTTTCCAAGGCGTCAATATTCTCATCTCGAAGGTATCCATCACCAGCACGTCTTACATTCACACTTGTATTCGTTTCCGTCCGACATTCTTTCAATGTTTCCACCAAAGGCTCGAGCCTAGATATCAATTGAAAATCATCATTTTGTTGTTGAAATATTGGACATCCGCACTTCGGACAATCATCTACCTGCAGCCAAGTCATTCCTTCTTACCAAAATAGCGCTATTCCAGTTTCTTGCCAATGATGGTGACGCTTCTGTTTGTGGCTGACGTAAAATGAACCTGCAATCCAGGTACTGGACCTGTGATCAGTTGCATTTAGTGAGGCTGCTGAATCTATCATAGGGCATCGCTGGGCATACCAGCTGACGGTGTGTTTCAAACACAGCAAATGCCGAGAGAAGTGCTAGAGGAAGACTGCTATTCGCTAACAATGAGCCAAATTGGCGAATACGTCTATCTGCAAGCCAATTTTTCTTCATATCTCGCAGGAAACCAGCATAAGTCATTTGATGTATTTCTATCGAATCGTTACTAGCAAGTGAGGGAAACTTCAAGGCTACCTTTCCGCTCTCAAGCTATCCATACAAGGAAGAAGCGACACGTCAGATGGCACGAGATGCTCGAGGCTTTGTGGTACAGTCATCCATGCAGTGTCCTAGTGTTGTCACATAGAAGCACAACGTCAAATGTCGGTGGAAGGTTGGCCGCCTAGCAGTTTCTTTTCCCCCGAAAACAGCCCCGAAATTCAAACAAGCAAAATCCTCGGTACTCCGAATGGTCCGCTTCACTCGACTGGGCGCAGTAGACGTGATGATTGGAACGATTGATGTACTGGTTTGGGTACCGATTTGATTACTTGGATGGTACCTCGAATCGAAGGGAAGCCGCAGCAGAGTCGTATTTTCTGCAAGGCTACAAACAACCGATTTTCTGGATAGCTGCACGCACGTTCAGGGACCCCACGCTCGAACAAGCATCCAAAGGAAGATATCCTTGAGTGATGCACTAGGATCGCCCGCCAGACATGGCAGCACAGATTGACGAGCGCCGCAACCGTCTGTAAGGACTGCACGACGGAACAATCATGTTCACAGGAGTCTTACTGTCAAGAAAAGCAAGGCGTTAAAATGCCTGGCTCAGTTCACGCCCAAAGTCGTACACACAAGACACTGGGCGCGCATGTGCTTCAACCAATCTAGACATGCTTCGTGGCTGTGGAACATCAACCTCATACACTATTGCTGAGTGGTTCCGTTTATCGATATGCACAGCAGCGGCATTACAACTATTTACATCCTGAATGAGATGAATGAGAATTAATTACTACCTTCGACTGGCAGGTATATCGATTTCATTTCCGCAAATGAGGCAGAACGCATGTCATTGCAACTGCAGTGCAGATGTACACAAACACACTTTTACTACAAATCTCTCTCACAATCCGTTTATGAAGCAATAATCCACCCATGTGCTAGTGCCGGGAGGACGATATTAGCATACTGTAACCTCAAACTCAATCTCGGCTGCAAAGGGCTCTTGAGAAGGCGGTGGTCACACAGAAAGGGTATATCCTCCTGCATATGTACCAAAAGAGAACATAAGATCTGGCTCACCGTGTAGAGAAGACCCATCTTGTCATTCTGAAGTTTGGCAACCTATCCTTGATAGGGGGTTTTGCAGTGATCCAAGATATTCAATCGATCACGATCATAAGATGTAAGCTGCTGGTGTTGTTGTCGAGATACACGAAATTCCCAAACTACGACCTGAAGATTAATTACTTCAGTGCTAGTGTTTCGCCGCAAGATAGTGGAACATGGAGGGGTTGGGTGGACAGAGACATGACGCCACGTTCATTTTGTCGGGTCCGGGGGCCACGGAAGGCTTCCACAATCCTTGCTGAAGAAGCTTTTTACCCGCTGCCAACGAGAATACCGAGAACAGAATCGGAAGCTGCCGGAGACATGAGCAAGGCAGGCGACCGCGGCCGCATAGCAGTTGAGGCTAGCTGCCAGCATCTCGGCATACTTTTGCACCATTGAAAGAATCATGTAATCTCGTTGTCCGGATGATCAGTTCGAGCGATATATTTTTCTTGCTCCTGTACGGTACTTCGTCGTCCGATTAGCCGAGCAGAAGGGTACCGCTTCGACCTCGTTCTCGTCGCTCGGGGAGCGTGGCAAGTGGATCAGCTCAGTACCAGAACTCAATCCGTCCACACTCCAGAGCGGGGTCAGAAGCTGTTCAAGCTGTTGATTTGGCACCAACAGAGTTTAAGCTGAGCTAAGAGTTTAGTGTGAACCTCAACTTGTGCCTAATCATCAGCTTCATAAAACAGCGGTGTGCTACGCGCTTTCTATCATTGCTTTACAAAGAACATGTTGCAGTACCACAGAATTAGGAGTGAGACTGCCGCCTGGATGAGCCTCAAAGATGTCAGCCGAAATGACCAAATGCGCGCAGGAGGATACCTGCAAACTATTGACCGATATCAAAAACACTGTAGCGGCCAATTTCCTCATCTGTATAAACCCGGCTTCGTGGTGTCAGGACATTGTGCGAGATTTTCTGTTTTCAACCAATTGGCAATATTTGCACGCTTCCACTCCCTCTATTTCCTTTGTTCCGGGCGAATTCCGAACAACCACCTGAGAGTACAACCCGGGCGGCAATCTGAAGACACTTCCGCGAGATGATCAACTACACAAGATTTGCGGATTACTCTCGACTTCAGAATTACATGGAACGTTTGTTGCAGCAGCAGATGGCACGATCTAGCCACCAGGACCACCGGTCTGGCCTGTGAATAGCTGAAATCTGGGAGTTTTCCACCTTCAACCGTTTCCCCTTCAGAAACGAGCTTTGCACATTGGCGGCCAATCGTTCTTTCAACTTTCTGAATACAGGTTCGTCTTTCTTTGAACACTTTATAAAAATCAATGCAACCCGTATGCGTACCTGTTGTTTTGACGGTTTCGGTCCACTCAGGTGTAGGGTGGGGGGCTAACCGAACAGTTACGAAATTCTTCTAGAACGTTTTCGCGCCGGCTCTCCTTAAATTATGCCATAGTTTAGACGTCCCGATTCCGCGGTCGCCGGCTTCTTAGCAAGCGCACATGGCTCCTTCATCATTGGACACGACAAGTGGGCGGCCGCTTTTCGCTTTTGTGCCCGACAATACTTTACGGGAAGATGATCATAACCATCTCGACGCATCACATTTTTAACCCCCTATTATTGAAAATAGATTCTCTCCTTTTGGGTTTCTGGCACCCTGGTATCCCCTCAAAACACACAATCTCTTAAGCGCTGCAATAGAGATAGCTTTGAACCTCGTAGACTTTTACTGTGCCGTCATTGAACACCTTCCAATGCACAATTACGCCCCGGGTACTGGTCTCATGACCAACATCGCATCGGGTGAAGCACTGAAGCCAGCTTACGCTTACGTGCTTCTTCAGAAACCTCCAATACATGGGTATGAGAAGACACAGGCTGAGCGTAACATTACAACCTGTGAGAGAAATGGCAACGTTCGGGTCATCAAACCGACCTATCTACACCTTACACATGCGTATGAAAATTTAAAGCTCTCGTCTTTCTGTCCTCGCACAAGCCTTCTGGTAGGCTCTCAGCGGAACTCGCAAGCAACATGCTGCGTGTTATCATAGCAGCCGACTCACGGAATCCTGGAAGTTCACGATGTTTGTTCCATTTCGGACTTCACAATCATCGCGGTCTGGCTCCTGTGCCACAAGGACACGTAAAGTCGAGGCGGGCAAACCTTTCAGGAAAGGGCTCGGGCGTCCAGGGCATTATTAACGAGCCAAGTGCTGGTCTGAAGAACAGGGCAAAGCGACTCCCGCGTCTTTGGCATCGGTACCTGGATGCAGGGCTATCCATGACAATATGAGGACCGTTCCCCTCCATTCAACCCCTTTTAGATCTGATCGTTGTGACGGGCATCTTTTACCACGTCTTGAACGGTCTGACATCTAGAAAAGCTAGACGAAATCTCTGAACACGCCGACTACTCACTGAAGTACACGCTGATCATGACAGCTTTGCTCTGCTCGATAGTCCGTACCAAACTTTGCTTTGCTTATCTGCACAAACCGTCATCCTACCATGGATGTTAAGTCGGCTCGCTTATTTGCCTTGGTGGACCGACTCAACAGCCGGTATGAAATATTCTCCGATGTCCAAATAATGTTTCATGTTCATTCGATTTCAAAGCCGACCAACGTCGTACAGCAGCGAGTTGCTCGACGATGAGGGTTTGTGGTGCAGATGCATTTGACTGTTTCTGTAATATCTCTTCAGCCTACAGCTAAAATGGGACTGTCCTGCAGTAGTGGTTAAGCCACACTAAATGAGCACAGGTCGCACCCACCTAACCTTACGGCGTCAATATCACCGCAACTAACTTCAAGGGGGCTGAAGAGGGGAAACGCAAACGATGTGAAGTACGAACCGTTCGGCACACCGAGTGAGAAAGACGGAGTTAGAGATGCGTTATTTTGCCCCACGTATACGTTATCAGATATGCCAGCACAGCTTGACCTATAGGGCCTTGCTCGTCGAGAGAAAGAATGGGATCCATTTTTCAAATGCCATCTCCCAAATTGGCACAACTGCTACTTGCTGCCTAGTCCAGTCGGAGCAACGTGGTGCCCAAGGATGAGCAAACGGGTGCAGAGGGGCGTTGGGTTCTGATGCCGACGACGTCGGTGGTGCTGATGCTGATGCTGAGTGATGATCATAGGTAGGGATGTCTGAGCGGTCTGAAGGTTGAGCTGTTGGCGGCTGCCCTTGTGCGATCGTCCGTCTGAATTAACCACAAAGCGCTCGGAATTAGGAATTGACGTTAGAATTCCAAGCCGACAAACTCCCACTTCGTACATGATTATTTCGATACTACTGTACCTCGCTATCCTCATCAGATACTACTAGTGTTGCCGGCTGAGACTCGGTTCGCGCATGTCATGGTGGCATCATTGCAGTTGACTTTTGAGTTTAACTATGCGGAGGTGCTGGAAAAGTCAGTCACTACTCACTTGTTAGACTCTTGGCCACCGTGTAACCAGAGAAATCAAACTCAACGCTCGCAGGACAGCTATGGCTATCTCAACTCGGGAGGTTGCCCGATTGCATCTGGCATAGGCATGATGTGATACGACTCCAACATAAGCGCGTCCCCTGACGCTTCCAGAGCCCAGCGAGAGCAGACACTGCATGGCAAGTCTCCCTCCACACCGCCGCTCTTCAACAGGCCAGTGCCCGTCGGTTCGCTCCAACCCTGGGACATCACTCCCCAATACACACTAGCCAACGAACCGTAGCAGCCCAGCAGGAGGGCCTTGCTGGAACGGTGGTGGGTGGTGTACAGGACAAGTCTCCGATCCAGAAACTGCGCTAAGACAACCCGAACCCCCAGGCGGACCGGGTAGCTCCCATGTGAGCACGCTGCAAACAATAATCTGTTTCGTCAAACAGCAGAACCCACAGCATCCCTCTTGGACTCGCTAGTTGTAATTATTACGGCCAACGGGTTACGGAGGCAAATGCCGGGGCGGTGGACCACCATCACCGCCAGCACGACTCCAGTCACTCCAGGAGCCCAGAACCAGGAGACAAGGAGACAGCACATGTCCCCCAGGCCCGCTCCACTCCGCTCCCTGGACGCTCTCGTTTTGTTGGAACTTGGATGTCTCGTACCGTATTCCACGCCTCGTCACCGCCCATTATTAGGACAAAGTTATAACAATCTACACGCCCGCTGCTATCCGTAACGAGCCCTGTCCTGTCCTGTCCCCTTCCAGAGTCATAGCTACGGTGCCTAGCTTTCGGCGGTCAATTCTATAAGTTGTGCCTTCCCCGTATTTGTTCTTCGTCTTCCGCCTTCTTGATACTCGGATTTTTCGCTTCTCTTACTCGCCCACATTTCTCGAACACAGCTTTTGTACTTCCTTCTGCACTCACACAATCTGCACTGCATATCCAGAAAGCCGTAGAGCCACAAACAAGAATTTTTGCAAAGATCGATAAAGACCTTCATGATCTGTCGACTTGAACCCGTCTTCTCCAGCTTCACAAACCAGACCTATTCAACGATAGCTTTCGCTGAAGTCACATCATATTACACGAGCCCTATACCCCTTCTACATCGTTGAAGCCCACGGAACACAAATTCGCTATGTCTGGCGCACAGCATTCAGGCCCACGGCCGGCGACTCCCAAGTTTCCGGTCAAGCAAATGACAATTCTTGGTGAGTAGTACCTGAGCGCAGAGCCCCCCCCCTTTCAGATAGACTCCAGCTGACGTCTGCTAGCGATGTGCCGAATCTGTGAACCAATTGCGTTCATGTCCATTTTCCCATACGCCTACTTTATGATCAAAGATTTCAACATTACCGAAGACGAAGCGAAAATACCAGTATACGCAGGAATGGTTACTTCGGCTTTTGCTTTTGCGGAGTTCTCATCTGGCGTTCCATGGGGTAGGTTGAGTGACAGAATTGGACGAAAACCAGTGCTTCTCACAGGTTTGGCGGGCACGGCACTCAGCATGTTGGTGTTTGGGTTTGCGCCGAGTCTGCCAGTTGCGCTGCTCGCCCGGGCTCTCGGCGGATTGTTAAATGGGTGAGTTGGCGAAATGGGCCCATCTGTTGGTGACATTTGATTTGCTAACGTTGCGATTTCCACAGAAATATCGGAGTTCTGCAAACCACTGTTGCAGAGATGGTCACCGTCAAGGAACACCAACGTAAGTGCAAAATGACCCGTCACATTGTCTAGATTTTGGAAATCTTTTACTGACAAGTCAAAAAGCCCGCGCCTATACTATCATGCCATTCGTCTGGTGTCTCGGGTAAGTGTATTTTACATTGTCGGTCTTGCCTTACTGACAGATCATAGATCGATCCTCGGACCCATGCTTGGAGGTGCTCTCGCTCGACCTGTTATGAACTACCCGGCACTCTTTGCCCCTGGATCCATATGGGAGCGATTTCCATATCTCTTGCCAAATCTTGTCTGCACTTTTATTGTTTCTATTGGAGTTGTCGTAGGGATCTTGTTTCTCGAGGAAACTCACGCCGAGAAGAAGTATCGACGCGATCCCGGCTTGGAGGCTGGAAAGTGGATTCTCCAGAAAATTTCGTCGTGCAAGAAATCGAAGAAGTCGGGATGTGAGAAGGACGGTCACCCTTGCGAGGTGGTTTCTTTGCTGGGCGAGGATGAGCAGCCACCCGGATATCGCACAAGTGAAGGGTCACCACAGTTGCCATCAACTCCATCCCCTGAGCCAGAAGAGATACTTGATCTGAACGATTGTCGCCCCGTCTCCCGATCGAAACCAGCAGTCACAAAAGCATTCACCAGACAGGTCGTCTTGAACATTGTCGGCTACGGCATCCTAGCTTAGTAAGTTATGCACTCGTTCCTTTTTGTTCCTGCAGTATAACTGACTCGTTTTCAGCCACACAATTACCTTTGACTCCATGTTGCCGACGTTTCTGAGCAATCCAAAGGACATCCCGGTTGACTCTGTGTCTCTTCCATTCAAGTTTGTTGGTGGTTACGGCCTCAACACTAGGGAAATCGGTGTCATACTGTCAGTGCAGGGTTTGTACTCTATGATAGCAACCGTTTTTATCTTTCCGATCGTGGTCCGACGCATTGGTGCCCTAGGGCTCTTCCGCTTGCTAGCTCTGTCATACCCTGCTCTCTATGTGGTCACTCCATATCTGGTACTACTCCCGGATACTCTTCGCATGGTTGGCGTTTACATTATTGTCATCTGGAAATGCACCTTCGCGACCATGGCGTACCCGAGCCTTGCCATTCTCCTCACCAACTCAGCTCCATCGTTGTTGATGCTTGGTACTATCAACGGCGTGGCAGCTTCAACCGCCAGTCTCTGTCGAGCCATTGGACCTACAGTATCTGGATTTCTCTTCACGGCTGGTCTCAGTACGGGCTACTCTGGACTGGCATGGTGGTGCAGTGCAATCATCTGTGTCGGTGGGGCTATTCTCAGCCTTAGTATGAGCGACAAAGGAGGTCGGATGGACCCAGACGAGAAGAGTGAAGAACCCGAACTCGGATTTGAAGATCACGTTCTTGATCACAACGCGCTGGACTCCGCCATTGCCGCCGCCGAGCCACGGACGACTTATCAAGACGACGAGGAGATTGACAACCTCATCTGAGGATCCTCTAAGGGGCCTCGAATCACTTACGCACGATCTGACGAAACCCGTATGCCCAGAGTTTGAAATTCACTTGGAGGCTACCTGTATAAAACCTTACGCCGGCCCGTCCTTTTTTAATGGTTTCCTTACGAGATATCCCTGCTTTCAGCGTTGTTTGCCTTTTCGCGCGTGTTAATGTGCCTCCTTTTGTGGCAATGCTCTTTTTGGGGCGTATGGATTTACGGGCGGCAGACTTATATACTTTTTGGACTCTGCAAAGGGGAGTTTTTACTATAGAGATGGCAGACTTTCGCAACTTAGATCATCCTTTGGGGCTGGAGTTTTATTATTACCAAGAGGATTTGATGGGAAAGACAAAATTTCCCCGCAGGGGCTCCGAGCTTGTTCGGATATAGAATCAAGGGCATTATGGGCGTTTTCTCAGGCGTCTTCAGATTTCCTTTCTCCCTTTTATGTAGGGTCTATAGGACCATATCATGTTCAATGCGAATTTCATTCGGCTTCGTCGTATACGACTAGCTGAGATAAAGACCTGTCAGTTACTACCAATTGATCGTGATCAATTACTCTTTTAGAAACCTCATCTACCCCTCTGTTTCCAACCGTATTTACCCCGCAACGGTGCAGATATCTTATGATATTGACTAGGTTCTGCTTATGATAAGTTGGCGATTATATGGCCATCTGTTGCCAGGAAAATATGCATCTTGAAGAATTTAGTCGCTGTGGACATCCATGAATCCATCCATGGATCACATCCAAGATCAGCCACAGCCGCCACCGAGACACCACAATCTTTACTCGATCCCTAAACATAATCGGCGTCCACTGGCACCCGCCCGGGCGAGATCCGAAGATGATCCGGGCATCAGGGGAGCGGTGGGAGGTGGAGGACGAGAAAGGGGTCGTCGATAGGCGGGCGTGATTCGCTCGTCGCAGCTCTTATCACTCGCTTGGACGAAGTGGACTTTTGCTTGTCCAACGCCGAGCGGACGGACGACGGATCACGATACAGCGCAGGCCAGCTCCAGACAGCTTCGAGCAATCTCCAATCTTCATCCCACGCGGCTCCACGGTCGACGCTCGTCCTGGTGTGGTCTGGTCTGGTACGGTCCTGCACTCGCTCTCCCAGCTCCCAGCTCCCAGCTCCCACCAACATGCACCGCCCAGCACACAAACACCCTCTGCCAGTCCAGTCTGATACCCCAATCGCAACCGCCAATCCCCCACCACCGTTCTGCGTCTGCCCACGCTGACGGCTCCGACACCCTGGGAGATATATTCTGGCTCGCGCAAGGCCGGAGTACCTATAGGGGACAAACAGCCTCGCAGCAGGAAAGAGGCTTCCCCGTCCCTTCGATACCTACGCGCTTCTCATCCTCGTTCGTCGATCACGACTCGGATCCAAGCCGAGCACCACCATCGCGACATCGTACGACTATTACACCATCGAGCAGCTCTGCAACCCTCAGTGCGACCAGTAACTCGCGGCATGAGGAGCGACGTTGGGCGCATCCTGGACCTCAGCCCATGACGACGAGACACCGCGCGGGACCAATCACCGTCAGCGCATCTTGCGAATAGGGCACTGGAACTGGCTCTCGCCGCAGAGCGAGTGGAGGGGCAGACATCATGAGTTCGAATTCAAGGAGTCCGCCTCCGAGGTCGAGCACTGCCGGTGGGTATCCGGCGAAGAGAGCGAGACATGTGTCGCCAGAGCAGACGGGGAAGGTTGCGGTCAGTCCTAGGAGCGCCGAGGATGGAGAGGTGCTGGTGCTGGGGGGGAAGGAGGGGAAGGCTGGACAGTCGAGTAGCTTTCGGAATGTTAGTGCGTGTAATAGGTGTCGGCTGAGGAAGAATCGGTGTGATCAGAGGCTGCCGAGTTGTGCGAGTTGCGAGAAGGCGAGCGTGAAGTGTGTGGGTTATGATCCTATCACCAAGAGGGAGATTCCTAGGAGGTGAGTTGTCGGGATTCATTGGTGAAAGATAAATTCTTTAATTACGGGATACGGGCAATGGGATGGGATCTAAGCTAACTACATGCTTTCTACAGCTACGTCTTTTACCTCGAGTCGCGGGTTGGATATCTGGAAAAATTACTCCTGGACAATAACATACCATTTGCGCCGGCAGATGTACTCGAACATGCCCCAAGACCTAGCGGAGACCCAGTTACTGCTCAGACACCAAGCGACGATGGCAGACAAACCTTTAATAGCAGTGAGATTGCTATCAACAAACACTCGCCGCAAGAAGTGGCCTGGAGTAAGAAGCAAGACGAGTCAGATAAGCTGAACAAGTTGATATCGAATGTTGGAAGTGTTTCTGTGCAAGGAGCCTCGGATTCTCGATATCTGGGCTCGACCTCTGGGATATCGTTTGCGCGTGTGGTCTTTGCTGCGGTCAAATCCTCTGTATCAGGTTCGAATAGCGATAAAAGCGGCATCAAGCCTTCGAGGCCGCCAGTAACGAATAAAGCTGTTGGCACAGGAGGGACATCGATGAGAGACTCTTTCTTCGGATTGCATACCAAGCCAACTATCAAACAAGCGCCATTCCCTTCGAAGGCTCTCGGACGGCGGTTGGTTGATTTTTACTTTGAACATGCGAATCCTCAGATCCCGATTTTACATAGGGGAGAATTTATGAAGATGTTTGAATTGGCGTATGCAGAGGATGATACTCGGGTAAGAAGTCCGAGGGAGCTTTATATGTTGAATATTGTTTTTGCGATTGGGTCTGGAATATTCCTGGGCGATACATCAGATGCAGAGGAGAAAGACGGGAAGAAGGAAGAGAAGAAAAACACAGGATTAGGCAAACAGTGTCAACCGGAGGAATATCACGCTTCAGCTATTGTGCATCTGGAATCCTGTTTGAGCTCGTCGACTTCCACGATTGATAAGTCGGATGGATTTGGAGGAGGTTTGGAAGAGTTACAAGCTGTCTTACTACTGGCTGGTTTCGCATTACTAAGGCCTGTGGCTCCGGGATTATGGTATATCATTGGAGTGGCCGTGCGATTGGCTGTTGATCTTGGTCTACATTATGAGGATGGCAAAGACGTTGATGTCGGACTGGAAGAACTTCCACCATCATCGAAAATGGACGACGGCGATAATGCGAGATTACAAAGAGAACGTATGGCAAGAGAAAAGGGTCGCAGAGAATGGATTCGCGATTTTAGGAGGAGGTTGTGGTGGTGCACTTACTCTTTTGATCGGTTAGTGTCGACTTGTGTTGGACGTCCTTTTGGAATTACCGATCAAGTCATCACTACAGAGTTTCCCTCATTGCTAGACGACAAATACATCACACCGACAGGATTTCTGCGGCCGATTGGTGTCGAAGGAGAGCCGTCTTATAAACATGCGGCCTACCATTATTTCCGATTAAGACTCTTGCAGTCAGAGATTCTACAAGTATTACAACATCAACAGGCGCAACAGGCTCGAGCCGGTGGGGCAAATCTAAGGAATCCGTATATGCACACGGCATTACCTTCTCCTTTCTTAGCTAAATTTGGCACGTTCCGAAATTGGCGGATTGATATCGACAAACGGTTGTGGGAATGGAAATCTTCTGCGCCGACGAAACGAGAAACTGGTGTTGCGTTTTCGGTAGAGTTTCTGGAGTTGAATTACTGGCAGTGTGTCATTATGCTCTATAGACAGAGTTTGAGCGTGCCGCAAATATTTGAGGGCGAATTTAGTACGACAAATGAGGTAAATAGCCCGACCGTACATAATGTTGAGTTGAGAGAGGATGAGGAGCGAGTATTTTTGAAGGTTGCGGAGGCTGGACAGAGGGTTCTGAGGTTATATCGGCAATTGCATCGGGTTCATCTGGTCAATTATACTTTCTTGGCTACTCATCACTTGTTTATGGCAGGCATATCATTTTTGTATGCTATCTGGCATTCGCCAATTGTCAGAAGCCGTCTAGTAAGTTTACCACCACGTAAAACCTTGCTTCGAGCTAACGCAAGTATAGACAATGGATGAAGTAGACTTCACAATCCTCGCAGCAACATCCGTCCTCGGCGACCTCATCGAAAAATGTCCACCCGCAGAAGCCTGTCGCGACGCCTTCGACCGCATGTCCAAAGCCACAGTCCAAATGTGCATGTCAACCACAGGCTTCAGCTCCTCAGCTCAAGGCCTCAACACCCGCCGTCACTCCTCCAACCGCACAAATCAAGAATCCACCGACCAATTCAGCACCAACGGAACCCACAGCCGTCGGCCCCAAGCCCGTCCAAAACCACATTTTGACATGGGTCTCAACGATCTCCTCGGCCGCTCTCCATCCTCAGTCCAGCAACCATATCCGGCTGTCAAGACAGAATTCGAGTACTCGCCCCCGAACCCAATCCGCCAACCCCCAGCAGCAGCAGCACACTCCCCAATCGACTACGCCGTCTCCCCGACCCTCTCCAACATCGACACCTCCGCCATAGACCCCTCCCTCCTCCCCTCACCCTCCCAACAAACACCCTCCTACTCCAACTTCTCCACCAACACCTCCAACCAATACACGGCGCAGCAGGAAATGCAATTTCCCTTCCCCAACGCGCCCGGCATGGATTTCCTGACCGGCAACGGCTGGGATCTACCGAATAGTGGTGCGGGAGGTAATGCGGGCTGGAATGGGGGCGATATGGGGATGGGGCTCGGCTGGGAGGGCATGGATCATGATTTTAGTGAGGGCGGGAATGTGGATCTTTTTGATGGGTTCTTTTTTGGGGGGAGTGGGAATTTTTAGGGCGGAGGAGGGGGGGAGATAAATGAGGATATGGTTAGGAGAGAGGGATAAGGTAGAAAAGGAGGGGAGGAAACAAAAGATGAAGGTGCTGTAGATACCAAATCTTATCTAGCGAGGGCGTTTTATAGGCGTCGGACTTTTGTATTGAATGGCAGTTGAACATTTTTGGCGTTTTTTTATAGGATGGTGGTGACTAGTGAGGAATGCCAACCTACTTTGACGCGATCTCTCTCTTTAAAATGGATGATAATGCAGTGTATTAAATGGGCATAAGTAAAGTAAAGTAGTGACTCCTGCTCCTACTCTACTTAAGTCATTTTTGCCGCTACTTATATTCTACTCAGACTAATCACGATTCATGCAAGTAGACATGAGTAGAGAGAAGTAGCACATCGGAGACCCCGACTGCTGTCGCCCAGATTTCTTGAGCCTTACTCAATACCTAGTTACGGTTCTTACTTATTGATTAATACTACTCAGACTATTCTCGGGTAGCGGCCTTCGCTACTTGACTCTACTCATGGGTGTCTACTACTCACTTATTATACTTATTATAATTACTTCGAGGAGGTTGGTTATTGCTTTAGTACACTGCCCACAATAGAATAGCTTAAGTAACTCAGGGTACTACATTCCACTAACACCTAACACACAATCATCTGCGCAAATACCTTCTCACCCACCATACCCCTAATTTACACATCAAAAGCATCTATGTATTAACACCCGTACTATGATATAAATACATCTATAAAAAGAGATATATGTCAATCCCTAAAATGACACTAAATTCAAACCTACGACAAAAGAAACCCAGCTCTTGATTTTCGACTGTCCGTGAAATAGATCATCTTCTTTACAACGTACCCCTATCCGGTTCAATTAAACTAACAGGTTTATGTCCGTAGTGTAGTAACAAATCTTCTCTCGCGTATGGAGTATGCTCTCCAAATTGCTGGTGGTACGTACGTCAAGGACGTTCTAAACAAGAGTGTATGGCCCAGTATGTAGTATGGACAGACCACTAGACCGAAACAAGATTTCTGGCGGGACTCGTTAAGCTGTTGAGATATGAATGCAGTATTGTTACTAGATCTAGAATTTGGGTAGATGCTATTTCGAGGTAGTAGGCAAAACTCGAAGCGCTGTCATTCTACAGTCTTATATTCTCACTATTCCTCATCTCAAGTATATCTTGTTCTTATAAATCCGGTAACGTGGTACAGCCCTCTTGGTGAACCCTGTTTCTCAGGCATGCCCTGGCCGTCTGCTTCACAATCCCAAGAACACTCAGCTTTCACAGTCTTAGCGGCAGCTTTTTGCGTAGAAATCATCATGTTTGTAAAGTTAATTGAGGGATGACTCGTACCCACAAGCTTGAAAGTGTTGTTAGAATGTACAAAGAGAAATGGAAGCTTATTACCCTACAGGAGATAAAGTTGCCAATCCCTTCACGTGTCCCGATCCATTTGAAAATCCAAAAAAAAAGCGGCGTCAACTTCACGTAGGTTAGTCAAATACCTATCGCACATTCCAGGTTCATGCCATCACCCAAGCGCTGCGGTACCTGTTATATTTAATAATTTATAAATTGATCAAGTGGCGAACCGAGTGCAAGATACAAACTATCATCTCCCTAGCTGTCATAACTTTCCTAAATGGCAGCATAAATAAAAAGAAAATGTCGTAAAACTTTTGATGAAAACATGAAACTGAGATTCAGGGGTATCTTCCCAAACTCCTTCTATAACGTAATTCGACTGTCTATCAACTCCCTCAATATGCAGAAATCCAGAAGCCCCATGCCGCCCGCTTAAAAATAGTTGAATGTCGAATGAGTTTCTATGGAAGCGTCTCTCATCTATACGCTAATTGTCATCGTAAAGATCGTCATGATGGTCGTAAGTCTCAATTGGGGTTTTGCCCCGGTTACGAGAACTAACGTAAGTTCCCAAAGCAGGAGGGTCATCCTCCCCATAGTCCGAACTATAAGGGCCTTGTCTAGCCGAGCTCGCAACGTACGCTCGGGGACGATCAGAGGGAGATTCTGCATTACTGATACTTGAATTGCCATGTCCAGATCCAGCAGCAGCAGGGTCATCCTGCCAACAGTTTTTCGGGTTTTCCTGGGGACGATTGAAGGAAGACGTAGAACCACTAAGCCTCTGGTTCGTATATCCATATCCGAATCTAGAAGCGGCAGAGCTATCCTCTCCTTGGCTCAGACTAGCAGGCTCGCGGCCAGACGAGGCCGATACGTCTGCTCTATAATAGCTAGAGGAAAATCCCAAATCATTGATTCTTGAATCGACATATCCGGATCCCGGAGCATCGTTGGAATTCTCGCCATAGTTCTCTCTGTAAGGATAAGTGCTGGACAAGCCCGAATAGGCTGAGTATGCCTCGGGATGACCAGTGCGGGAGCTTTCAACATATTCGGACGAAGATGATCCCGGGCGATTGTGGGATGAGTGGTAGCTTCTATGAGACTGGCCGTGGCTTGCCGTTTCCGGTCGTGAAGATGAGTCTTGCGAGGCACCGTATTGCGTATCCTGCATGTGGCGCTGTGAATCAGGCGGGGAATACATAGCAGAGTCTTCTCGAACGGAACTCGTGGGATTTATCGGATATACCGGGTCCTCATAGTTCTCCTCTTTAGAGTCGTCGATCCATACAACTTTATGAACGTCGTTGTAATTTTCTATGAAATCCGGCATCGATGTCGGATCAATCTTACCAATGAACCTAAGCTTGATATTGTATTCCACAGTATATAGCTTAGCGTAATTTAAGCGTGTCATTGGATCAAGCTTTTCTCTGGGGCTTTTTGATAGAAATCGTATAGGTGGTCGGGTGAGTACATCTGCCTCCCCCGGGGCCAATTTCGGACCATCTGCGGTGAAAACGGCAGCGTGAACCTCGGGGTGTACACCCCGTTTTACGACACCTTGACCTGAATAAGTCAGAAGTGGCAGACAAGTGCAGTGACCAGTGAACACTTTGACAATTACAAATCGGCGGGTTTTCGAGAAACCCTTGGTGCTCGAAGGTCCATCATCATCGGTCACATCGGTGTCTTCCCCGTTCCTGGATCTCTCGCTATTTCTGGAACTCTCACCACGTGGCTCTACCCAGAGCAACTTGATGACATAGCCAATTTTGAATTGGCTGTGATGATGTACTCGAAAATCTTTATGATCAGATTAGTATTTCTAAAGATAATGTTTCCTGGATGCAACATGCCTTGACTGATATCATCATCTCTGTTTATAGAAGACTCGGTATTATACCCATGAATTGTTTTGGCCTTGACTTGAGGATTGGTGATACCATCTTCGTTTGTTTGAGAAATAGCTGAAGCAGGGCGATAATCATAATGGGATCCGGTGATGTTGGGCAAACCAGAGTACCCAGAGTTTTCGGGAGCACTTATGAACGCAGTACTTAATGAGGTTGTCATGGACTCCATATGAGACATGTGGCTGCTCGGAGATGGAGAAACTGTTCGACGGCAGGGTGAGTATAGATCCATTCTAAAAGCAGGCAAGACGTACTAACCAGCAGTTTGTGATACTGGCAGCGCCGATGCTTGGGCCGGTTTCGGCGGGTCGTAAAAATATTCGACCTCTCCAGACGGCAGTGTTCGATGGCATTCGAACCGCTGATGGTCCTGGTCCCAATTCCATGCCGTCCATTCAGATATAGTGGGCTTTTTCTTCTCGTATCGAATATGTGAGCTTGAAGAAGGCTTTTTGCTCCGGGAGCTTGCACTCCGACGAGAGCCGTGACCACTCATCTCGGGTGGAATGAAGGTCGCGATTACCAACGAGCGTCAACAGGCCAAACACATTTCGCATTGTTGCAAAGGGCGTGGTCGACACTCGAATAGCTGGAAGCTCGAAGAGTGGTCGGTGGAGTATTGACTACGATGGAGAAGCAGGCAAATATCGACTGCCGCAGTATGGGGACATGTTTGGAGATGTCAGAATGGGATGAGGTGGTGTTGACGGATGGAGGTGCTAGAGGGGTTGTTGTCATGGCCGCCCCACCAGCCGAGAACGCAATATCATTGTGCCGTGCCGAAGGGATTGGAGGGAACCTTGGAAGTCGCTTGGGCTCAAATGGTCTCGACCGTCAACATCTCTACTGGTTTATATTTGATATCTCACATAAAACATCAATCACATATACCGTGTGCGTTGCGCCTTCGAGATGGGTCTCTGGCTCTTGCCAGCCAGCCATAATTCTTCAACCTATGCTCCTTGACCATGGCCTTTCGTCCGTTCCTCCAGTTGGAGAAGTCCTTCCAGGTGACTCCCTTTTCAGCAAATAAACACTTCTGACCAGTCGGTATGGCTACCCAACGCCCGATGAATGCTTCGGCGAGAAATGCCAGCCCTCCAAGGGCAGCTGCAGGAGCCTAGTACAAGGCCTCATCAGTCCTCCAATCCAAGCTGCCGTGGTGAGCAGCAGTGCTGTCGCAAGCGAAGCGAGGTCCGCAGCCAAAAACAACGACATCACGGTCCGCACGTCTTCCCACGCCCGCAGCAAGCCTGGGACCTTTATCAGGCCCATTCGCGCTGTTGTCGTCATGAAAACCTTCTCCATCTTTCATACCCTTCTGCTCTAGCTTCTCTCGTTGCCCACATCGCAACCTAACGCCCTCGTTTCAGCCATCAAACCACCCAGTTTGCGTGGCATCGCCCTGCGTGGGCACAACTTGGTTAGGCTCGACCAAATGGTTGGCCCTTTACCGGCCTGCGCTTTGTGCAGCAAATATCATCGAGGTGTATGTAATGATGTGAAGCTTGACTTGAAATGAAATGCTGATGAGTTTCTTGTCTTGTCCAGTGCGATAGCAGGCCTGGACGGCGCTGTAGAAGATGCAGTAATCAATTTAAAGACGGTCCGATCCAGATGGCGATGTCTATGCCCGAATCAGGTAAGCGGATTCATTACATTTGTTTTCTGGTTTGTTGCCATACGCCTGTATAAATTTGTCTCGGTCGCTGACTTTAAATTGACGTAGAAATCGAAGAGATCTTCCAAGCGCATGGCTGGATTCGTGCTTGGACCCAAGAGAATGGATCTCCCGACACGACAAAGATTTTAGATGTGGATGTCAAGCGTCGCACCTTCAATCAGGCCGCGGGTGAACCCGTGAGCACTACTACACTGGAGTTGCGTTGCAAGTTTTTTGGACTGATGAGTGAGCATAACGGGGAATTCATCTCGTCATTAGAGCCTCAAATCCGCCAAAACTTCTCATTCAACCTCAAAGACAGTGACAAATCGTCCAATTTAATTCAAACCGCAATTACGATTGGGGGTTACCTGCATTTGCTCTGCTCTACCGCCGACATATATGCTTTTGTGCCGGAATCAGATCATCGAAATAGGCTGGAAGGGGAGGATGTGCAGCTTGCCCTTTCTATCAGATGGATACTGATCTGTCAAATCCAAACGCTTTTCAACCAAATATTGTCCTCAATACGGCCGCACGATTTATCGACAACCAACGCATGCTCGAGCGCCACTGCTTATACAGCTTGTGCTATCCTGCAGATGGAGGTCAAATATTTCATAGATTTCTTGAAGCAAATTCCGTCACCGCGCCAGGTATGTAGGCTTTGATGTACGCTAAAGATACACACTAAACTCTTTAGATTCCTGTTGGTCTTGACGGCCCGTTCCGTCGATGGCTTGTCTCGATTGAGACAGAATTGATTCAAAGACTTACGTCAGACTGTGGACAATTTCCAGACTGGAAATCGGTTTATATTGGATCGCTGAAGAAGTTTCCACGCTGCCACGAAACTCTCAGTCTCTCCGTGAAGCTGCAGCAGATTGGCGTTCCGCCTAACAAGGCTGCAGGTGCAGAACGTCCTGCTTTTAAAATCCCTCGGGACTGCCCACCCGGTCTTATGTGTCCGGTGTCGGATCGTGGCTTCAGTATCGGTTCCGCAACGGAACTAGGCTCTCATGGTATACCGCAAATGGCCGTGGGAGCGAGATACGCATCAGAGTTCACAACAGGAAATGACAGTTCTCCCATCGGCGACTTCACAGCTAAACCCAGGCAGCTGAGGCAAGCCCAGAATGAAAAGCTTATGGCTGCGATCAATGACTACGTGTCCTCTCGTTGCGAACCTGAGTCCTACGATAAGAAGTTGGCAACAGAAGGTTCCCGAAGCAATGCTCAAATGGACTATCTATCGCAATATGAGTCCCTTCCGATTCGAGCTCCGATATTTGACCCTCAAATGGGAGTCATCCGCACCTTGAACGATTCTAAGAAAAGGTCTATTGGAAGCGATATTGCAGATCTTACTGCACCATACGAGTCACAGCCTCCATACAAACGGTTGAAAGGGGGTGGTTCTTCCAAGGAGGGATCAATGCTGTCTACAAGTCCACCTTGGCGGGCGAAGACTCCCTCTCGTGCTTTTGGAATTCTCGAAACCGGAACTGCGAACGAACCCCTCGATTCTGGATATCATCCAGATGTGGCCAGTGACTTTTATCCCAACCAGATGAGTCAGTTGTTTTCATCGGAGAATGAAATGTTTCCGGAACTCTTTGACGATTTGCAGCCCTCCCAATTTTACGATCCTAACTTTTCTCTTTTAAATGACCCTTTTGGTCATCCTACTACGAACGCTTGAAATACAGCATCCGCCCACCCCACATATTTAATGTCTTTCTTTGGTTCAAATTTCCTTACAGCCCGGTTGGCTTCTATACATGAGCGCTACCAAGTGTAGCCACCCCAGGACTCCGCAGGCGATGGTCAATCCTCCACCATCGTTAAAGTTCCTGGCTTTCCTTTCCTTTCTTTTTTCATGACTCTACTACGACAATCTTCGAATGTTAGAAGCAAGGCGGCTCGGTGTTGGATCTTGGTTTCTTTTGGATCGAGAGACAGATTGGATACGATCTCATGTTTTCATTACTCGGTATCCGGAAGTTGTTGATCACAACAGACAGGGGACGAACTCTTTCAAGAGTCGTCATTCCATTATTTATTACGACAGAAAAGAGAGACAGTCTCAATACAAAACAGATTCAACATCGTCTTTTCAGGACCGTATTTTGCACAGTGTTATTCACAGTGACAAAACCATCTTCATCATCGTCCCAAGTCATTTAGGCCCACCCAACCTTGGGTAGGCGTTCAAAACCTCAGCCCGAGAGTAAAAATACGTGATTTTCGCGCTCCGTTGCACATTTTAGTACGAATGTAACTCCTCGAACAGAAGTGACTGGATATCTCATAACTAGGTTCTAAGCTACTAACACTTTCCTCGCACTAAAACATAAAATTGTGCCAGGCAGCGATTATTGACTACGAAATGCATTATTATTCAGACGCAAACTATTACAAATTTGTGATTACAACGCGAAATTAAAGACGTCAAAAATGTGTTATCGTTCGTTCAACATATTTTCATCAAGACCCGCCATACGCAATCTTCGAAAAACTGTGTAAAATCGTTCGTCATTACACCCACCGTCTTTATCTTAAACCAGGCCTAGTTTTATGTCAAAGCAGCTCTACTATCTTGATAAAAATGCCACATCTCCACCTTTAAACGAGTACCACACACCTTCATCCAACCCTTTCCTCCACTCCACGTCCTCCACCTCAACCCTCCTTTTCCCCTTCTACCTCGCCCTTCCCCTCCCGTTCATACCTCTTCCAAACATCACCACCCCCCTCAAACCCCTCAGCAAGCTCTCCCTTTTCAATAACAACAATCCTCTTCCCACCCTTCACAACCTCCCCTCCCTCACCCTCATCAACCATCCTAACATGACCCATCGCCTCCCCAACCAACACCCTTCGCTCATCCACCAAAACCACCTCTTCATAATACCTCCTCACCCAACCGGGTATACCCACTTGCTCATTTTTAGTCACGAGCGCGAGAAGGGAGGGCGTGAGATGCGTTGTTGCTGCGCCGTCGTAGTCTGAGATATTCAGGTCTTGTGCGGGATTGGCGAGGGTTAGGGGAGCGTGAGTCTGTGTTGTCAGGAAAAGTGGGTGAGGTAGATGGCTAGGATATATGGGAAGCGACGAGGGGATGGGGGGAGTGGTAATACCTGTACATACACCTCAACGCCACACCACAAAAACAACGGCACAACAAGTCTGGCATGTTCTAACCACGCATCCGAGAATTGCTCGGCCGTGAATTTGGGGTTGCGTTTTAGGAGGGCTTGAGCTGGCATTTTCAATTTTACTTTTGTAGTGTAGACGTGACGGATTTGAGAATACTAATTTTCCAAATGTCAGATGTGCATGTGAAGAATTTCAGATGATAATTTATAGAGAGATGAAGAGATGTGGTAGGCTGACATGTCTTGATAGATAAAAAGCCCCGAATGGTGGATGACACGAAAGGCGTAGATATGCATACGGTATCAGGTGACTGGGTCGAACATATTATTATCAGATGTAAGGAAACCAAGGACTGTGGGATATATCAAACGATAAAATAGCGACATAATATCAATCTTCTTAAGTATCACATATTAGATGTGTAACGCGATATATGAATTAATTTGTATATGATTGAGTTTTTGTCTCGTGACAAACAACGGAGTGTATTGATCTGATTATATTGAAACCGTCCTTTTCAGACGTCTCTCGTATATCAAGTACAACGGCGTGCCTTAGGTTCATACCTGATATCTCAAGCCGACCCATAGCAGTCTACAAGCTGTGAAGAACCTGTGGTGTAAAGCGTCTGACGAGCGAGACGAAAGTACGTGGGTGGACACCAACGTCTCTAGTCTATCCAGGTAACCATATTCATTTTTCTAAAGCCGAGAATAGTTCATTTGGTCTCGTTGCTTTCGGGCAGCTCACCGCCGACATCGTGGTCGATCTCATACGCATCCTCCGCAATGACGTTGATTCCATCAGCACCCTCCCCTGGAACAGCTTTGCCTTGTTCATATGTTACACGTCTCCAGCCTGATGATTCTGATGGGTCTTTGATCCACTCCATAGTTGGGAAGTAGTGATCGTTCTTCTTCATGGTGATGACCCATGGTACGTTATCAAAAGTCATGGCCTTCAGTCGGAAATCTGAACAGAGTCAGAAGCTGCGCCACAAATAGCTTAGTAGGAATTAGGAACTTACAAGTATTATCAGGAATATTTACCACAGCCTTCAAGAAAGACTCTAAATCTGGTGTCTTCTTGCCATTGACGTGGGTGATGAAGTTGGTTGGTGCAAGACCATATTGATACGCGGGACTACCACGAGTTCTAGCAGAGACATAGACTTCACTGTGAAGCTTGCTGATCTGTTGTCGCACAGCATGATGAGGACGATGTAAAACAGCACCACAAAAGCTTACAGCACGATCAGTTTCCAGATCGTCTGCTGAGACAGTTGGAAGCTTGAGTGTCATCTCGACACAGTCTCGCACGATGACAGCATCAAGAACTTCGTGGTCATACATCACATCGAGCTCGTTGACGCGCGTGATGATCTTGCCGTTGAGCGTCAAAATAACATCTCCTTCCATCAAGGAACCTAATTGTTCGCCTCGCTCAAACGTACGTTTGCGTATCATGAAAAGTTGGTGACGAGCGGAATTATCAAGAGCAACTTTCTTGATCCACTCTTCAGATACACCCATAATACGTGCTTGACTCATCTGAATAGCAGTAAATTCAACACTCAACATTCTAAGTTTAGGTTGCTCGCCATTTTGAATCTTCTTGATGACCGGAAGGAGTGTAGGTGTTGCGAGACCAAGATGATAATCGGTATCTTTTTGAGAAACAGGAGATCGTTCTCCAAGATATGTCAGCCATAAGGCCTGAACTGTTCCGTCCTCGGCGACAAGAACACCACTACCACATTGCCCACTAAGACTTGTATCTACCGTGATAGCATCGACATTGACAGCCCGGTACCGTGGTGCTCCAGAATTAGCTGGAATTGCCACGGCGGTGATATCAACGACAGAGGTCTTAGCGATCACAACTCGCATATTTTGGTTGAAACCGACAAAGTAGGTTGATGCACCTTGAGTGATGTGGGTTGTGCTCAACTTGGCACTTTGCACAGGAGCATCAACGAGAGAAGGGTCATATTTGATGATGGCGTAATTTTGCAGTGGGTGCAAGAATACCACTTTGCCCTCAACAATGATAGAATCTGCTATAGTGATAGAGATATCGCAGAGATCATAAGGTACAACTGCTCTAGATATGACAACCAAACCTTTCTCTGCGTCTATCACGACACCCATACCCCACTTGCGGTTGCGCGGAAAGCCATCGAGCTTGACTGGCATGTGGCAGAGTACTCTTACGAAACTCCGCACAATATCGGCAGCAGCTGGATGCTGTGCATTCTCAAGTTGAATGAAATCGGCTGATCGCCGCACCGGTGGAATCGCGGGAATGGCATCCGCCAGATCAGTAAAGTCCCACAATCCCGTTTCATCATTTCTGACTGCGAGCCGCATTTTGCTGGACCAGTGACGGTCGATGTGCAAAATACTAGTGTTGAGAGTGTGAAGGTCTCGGAGATGCTTATATGTAACGACCACCCTGGTGCGATCTGGAATGCCCTTCATGACCTCGATGAAAGATTTAAGATCTGGAGTAGGTTTGTGATCGATTGTCTGAACAATCCAGCCATTATCAGTGCTCTCGAATCGAAAGCTTCCCGTAGCTTCGCAAACGAAAACACCCTTACAAGCGACAGCATACAGACGCGCTTGCTGGTAGGATAGATCATGGAAACTAGCTCCCGCGACGGAAACGAACCGGTCTGGTGTGATAGCGTGCAAGTCCCCAACGTCGACTTCGAATTCAATATCATCGCCACCACGTTGCACCAGCAATTTGACTTTGCCGCCTACGCTGGAGTCGAGAATATCATCAAGCCGTACGAATTGTGTGAGAAGTTCCCCGTTGACCTTAATCAGCACATCTCCTTCCTCTACTTTGGCACTCGAAGGACCTTCGGGTAGGACAATCTCTGCTACAAGCATACCAGTCTCCTTTGGGAAAAGTTTACGGACCGCACTCTCCCATTCGGGTGTCAATCCAAGACGGCGACATTCATCGAATGGCTTGATCATCCACTGGCATTGTATTGTTCCTCGAGTGATTGGCTTCCCAGCTTGTACGCACTGTAGTGCTCGAAGCGGTCGGTCGAGTGGCAGAAAGTAATCGGTCGCCGCTCCATCACTTCTACCTCCGGCTTGAAGTGCAACAGCGTATCCGTCAATGTTAACGACCGGACTCCCAGAACTTCCACCACTTGCTGCAGCGGCAGCTTGTATGTAGTTGGTATTGAAATCGCAATATCCTTCACCATATTCGGGGGCATTTCTGTCCAACCGACTAATGACTCCTGAAAGAATACTAAGTTTCTCTCCCGCATCGTTTCCCACAACCCTAATCTCAGATCCAACCTTTGCGAGGTCTGGCCTTAGACGTAGAGCCGATAAAGGCATGTATTTAATAGCTTTGGGATCGAATCGAAGAATACCAAAGTCGTGGACAGGATCGCGGTATACTGGATAGACATCAACCTCTTCGTGATTGTCGAAAATGCAGTAGCCCCAGAAAGGCCCTGAGCCTACAACATGCCGATTTGTCATAATATATCTGTGTGTCTGTCAGCCAAAAGATCCGAATGCGAAGCACCTCTACGCACCCTCGTTCTGCATCGACCACGAAGCCAGTGGCCTCGCTGGTCAACGCAGGATCTGTATCAAAAGAGCATGTCTGGCAGAATCTGATTGAAACAACGTTTCGTACAACTTTCTCTATGGTCGCTTGCCACTCTGCAGAATCTGCCAATGCGGCTGGAATAATTCGCGGCTCCTCTTCCATTTCGACGTCCTCTTCAAATGCGATTTCAGGAGTATTGTCACCAGCAGATTCCTTCCCATTTATTCCTCTATGTTGCTTCTGCGGTCTTCCATCCACCAAGCCAGGATGTTGTTTCCTTTTAGCAGCGCCATTGGTGTGGATCGTGTCCATTCTAGGGTGGTGAATTGCGCCTGCGAATTGGGCGCTTGAAGGAGTGAATGTAGAAGATACAAATTGCGTGTGCGGCTGCGGCTTCAGGATTCTTGGTGTAGACCTATAGGTATGGTATGTCTCCGTGTTCTTTGCGACAGTCTGAGAGAAGCACGACGAGTAGTGTCTCAGGCGCGCATTCAAGGCTCTAATCATCCAGCATAGAGGGAGAGAAAGTTGCTCAATCGGCGCAAACAAGGAGGGATTTAAAAATGAGGGTATTAGATGTTGGACTAGTAGTACAGTTGAGAAGCAGGAACAGGTGTTGAAAGGTGAGGCGGGAGAGTTGTCACTGTCACAAGATGTTCGAATAAGGCAACATGCTTTCTCACGCTGCGCGAAGTTGGACCGACTGGGATTTGATGCACGAAGAACAGAAAATGCTTGGCATAATACTTTGGCGGCGCGACTACACGTGACCATTTAAGACTCCATGTTGCTTTTTCAGAACGTCAGATTACAACGCTATCCACCCTATCATCCGCACCCATTATTTCATCCGGAAACCATCAAGCACAAAGACCCAAGAACGAAGCACCGTCATAAAACAGGCATGTTTGACCTCGACCCTCAAAAGAAAACCATCATGCCGCCCATCTCTGTATGTCAGATTCCCGAAATGCTCCAATGACTGGCGGATAAAGCAGACGACATCACGTTGAAAATGTTGTCGAATAACATTCTTGACATGTTGGAATCGAACGAAAGAACATAGTCTGCAACATTCCTAAGTCAGCAACCTGTTCCCTCGAACAATTCGTCGAACGGCGTTTCCGGGGTCTTCAGCACTGCTTACGGAATGTTTTCGTTCAGTCTCAGTGGTCTTCGGAGCCTTCCTCATCACTGCCCGAGGAGGATTGCTTCTTGATAACGGGTTTCTTGTCCTCTTCGGAGCTATCGCCAAGATTGTACATCTCTTCATCGTCTTGCTCAGGCTCAGCCGCCTTCTTCTTGCGGGGTGTGCCTTTGGCCTTTTTGGTTGGAGACTCGTCAGCGGCGGCGGTACCTTCAGTCAAGTATCAGCTGAGATTGAATAGAAACTGCAGACGCCGTGTTTACCTTTGGTGGCACGCTTGCGTGGGGCTGCTTTAACTGAGGTAGCAGGATCGTTTTCGCTGGCAGCACCCCCACCACTTGCAGCAACTTCTGCTTTGATCTTCGCCCACTGTATCTGACTGTCAGTTTATGCTTTTTGTGTCATGAAAGAGAGCAAAAATGGCCGCCAAAGAGGAAAGGAGGCCCTAGATGAAGAGCTCAGGATGGGACTCACAACATGGGTCATCGCTTTTGGAGTACGACCTGGGAGAACAATTTGACTGAACTTTGGAGTCATTTTCTCACCACCAGTCTGTTTGATTATTTGAAGGAGCATCGAGTACTGGCAAAGTTAGACAGCCGTTCAAGGTCAAAATCGGTTTGTTTACCTTTTCCTCGTGGGTCCAGCCTCCGGTTCTTGCCTTGGTGTCATCGGCCATTTTGTTTTGCTCGAGATGATATGTTTGGGAAAGTCGTGTATACCAAGTTGCGAGAAGAATGTTTACTGATCAGAATGTTGAGATGTGAGAGCGGACTGAAATGAAGCTTGGAAGCAGAAGTGATGAAAAGGTAGGTTTCCAACAGCGGAAGCTGAATGGCAGATAAGGAGAAACAGTGGTCTGAGGATCTGCTTATCGGATCACCAAAGGTGAACTTCAGGCAATGCGCTTTCTTGGTTAAGTAAAATGTTCTGCTCAGAAGAGGCTCGATCCGTAAGTTGAGACCTTGTTTGCAAGCTGTCTTCGAGATGCAGCTGGCCAAATGATTTGTCGATTCTGTTATCTTGGTATTATGTGAAGTACGGGAATGTGGAATTGAGATGGATGGTGGTGAAAGGTAGGAAAGTGCTCGGCTTAACGTACGAAAGCTTTTGTACCAGAAGTAGAACTTCGCTTTCAAGGTCGAGTTATTGTGGGGCGAAGCTTCACTCCTGTCTTCTAAACCAGTTTTCTATCAAGTTTCTAAGAGTGATAAAGTAGGGGAGATAATACCCTATCTTGAATCGAGTGATGTACCGCAATTATACCCGTGCTCTCAAATTTTATACTTCACCTAATCCTTTTGGAGACGGAATCAGTCAAAGCATCAATTGGTCAACAGTGCGTTGGTTGATGTTTCATACATCCAGCGTATCCATATTATCTCAATTATATTGTTTGTAAGACATTGGACTAATTGTTGTTCAGGTGATATGCCTACCTATGGTCGAGACTGCCGCGAAAAACCACCGATACTGGGCAGCAACAACTAGCTTGCTAGTAGTCCACTCTCAACTCACGAAAGCCATCGCTACTCTTTCATTAGCTGAGCATTTTATTTGCGCCTTGAAAGTAATGCTATCGAAGTACAAAACTTGGAAATTGGAACAGCAAACTTTTAGGAAGAACAATACCAGTATCTGTATTGAGTATCAATCGACTGTTCCAAGCGACCTCACTATTCACTTACAACACACTAGTATATGACAGCTGGACTTACAAAAATCCGGAACAAAAATTCACTTGCTACGACATAGTGAACAAATAATCAGCTGAATTAACAAAATTTCAAGGTGAATACACAAGCGTCACCCACACAACAGCCGTTTTTCATCTTGTTTCCTAGCATCCGGCCTCTGCGCTGCCTTCCAACACATAAAGATAGATCGATCTTATCGAAGCATATGTACAGCTAGAGATTCATAGGACTCAAGTACTGCGAATCTTCCAACCACCCGCAACATGGCGCGGTCGAAAATCCGTGACCTTTTCGAAGGTGTATCATGCGATAATCCAGGAATCAGTAACGTCCTCACAACTGGCGACATTCGAGCCCTATCACATTTCTTTTCAGGCAACAAAATACTCCCGCCTGCTCGAGTCGAAGCGATTCAAAGCCAGCTCCGCGACCTCATCATGATATCAATTGAAGAACCAGTAGACTTTACGGACACAGAATGGTTGCTGTTCTTCTACAATTTACGCGCCCTGGAGGATAAGAAGTCGATGCGAATGAAAATGTGGATTGTTGATGCGATAGGGGCCTTTTATGGAGTTAACGCGTCGGCTGCTCTAGGTGTTGTGGAGGCAGCTCCAATGGCTCGTCCTGTATTTGAGGAAATGAAATGGATCCTCCGCCAGCCACTGACTTGTTCTACGCTCAATCCTAAAGAACGGTCCGGCCATAGGTTGAAGTTCACAACCAGCGAAATTACGGAGATTGTACGACCGAAGATCGGGAAGATACCTGTACCAAAGGATCAGCCTTCGAAGAAACCGGTGGAAATGACTAAAGCTCTGCGGAGATTGGATGAAAGAACAGAAGGATATTCCTCGTTTACCAGGATAAAGGCTGTGTTTAGGAATGAGGATGGCAAGATGGGTGATATTGGAGACGGTTTGAAAATCCAGACTAGGTTTGAGGATGGAAGTCTCGGGAAGTACTTGGGCGGAATATTCGCCAGACGCAAAGGTTCCCAAGGTCCTTTCTACGAGCAACCCACCTTCCACGCCAACAATGACGGTTGGGAGCCTGTGGATTTTGTTTGGGAGGATGGTACCACGGGGAACACCGCTGAAATTGGATATGAATGGCATATGGAAGCTGCGAACGAGAACCCTGGAAAAAACAACATTGTTAGTCGAATTCCTCAGCCACGCAATCCCCATAAGACATACACCACTTTGGTTAAAGCCGAAGGAATTCTGCCTGAACAACCTCGGAAGGTCAAACTCATACCACCCACGTGGATCAGACTAGGTGATGATGTCGAAATGTCTGGGATGGGCCATTCTGGTATTATTCGTGATGCTCCTGCGATCCAAAAACTGAACAGGGTCCATTCTCCTGATGATTTCTTGGTGACAAAGGATACACCCCTTGAAGACCAGTTGGCAATCATAGCCCGCCAGGAAGAAGAGATAGCCCAACTTCTTGCCGCCAAAAATGGTCCCGAAGACCAATCTGCCATAATATCTCGTCAGCAAGCAGAGATAGCCCAACTTAAAGCTGCTCGAGGATTGGCAAAGAAAGTGCCATCTTCTGAGAAGAGCTTTAGATCTCGTCCTATTCCTAGCAAAGAGCCGTCCCTCGTGTATCGGACTAAAAGTTCCGAAACTGAACTGCAAAGCCCTATGCAACCAAAGGAAAGACGAATGCCTAGGAAGGCGCCGAGAAAGACAGCAGCGTCAAGCAAGAAAGGATCTCACAAGCAATTGGTTATACTCTCGGGAAGTCCTAATGGTTCTCAGACACGCTGGGCACCGTATGAAAGTAAACCGCTGTCGACGCCGAAGGAGGATGTGGAGGAGAAGCCAGTGAAGGAAACAATCTTGCAAGCTCTTGTTCAGGAGGAGGATAACAAAGACGTCGCAGCCCCCGAAGAGTCAACAAAACATCACCAGTTAGGAACTGCGAAAACAAAGCCTGCTACTCAGAAAGACGCTAGGGCGTATGTGCTGGCGACTTCACCAGATGAAGAGAAAATAATCACGCCGGCAAACTTGCCACGCCATATCGAAGCGACTGTGAATAACGATATCGTAGTTTTAGCAGGTGAGCCGCCTATCAAAAAAAGAGGGAGAGGCAGACCGAAGAAGATCACCACCGTCACAACCATCAAACTCGAGGAAGGTGAAGAGGCTGACCTGTATGGCGATGAGTAACTTGCGGAAGGAATTGATTTGGGGGAAACAGAGTGGTCTCACATCATACTGAAGGTTGGATTAGGTTATTGTCTTGGTATTCTGGTGTAGGCACAGCGTATGTATATGTAAAAGCCGCGATTAGGGGTTATTAGCGAGCGGATTTTTGTTTCTAGATAGCGAATTAATGATGAATTGGATTCAGGTCATACAATAGTGGTATTCTATAAGTGTCTTTTGATTTCTGCTAGTCGGTGGTTTCCTATGGTACTGAGCGTGGTGTCAAGCTCTGAAGGAGGTGTGGTTCCGTGATATCAAGGGTGTTTCATACACTCATTTCGAGATGACTGCATACTATTTCAACTTCCCGGTTCCTAACTAGACTTTTCTTTCACTTTATGATTTGGCACCAGTCGTCTAATACATAATCACCTGCCGTCCATTCTCGGTTTAGTTCGGTTACACACTTTGTTTTCACCAACACTTTTGCGTTCCTCCATTGTTCTACATGGCTTTCTATGTAATCCGACACAGCACTTTCAACTTTGAACTCGTTCATCGCAACCTACATCTACAAGGCCGAAGTTCTCCACTGAAGCCACGAGAAGCAACACAAAACAATGTCATCATTCTCGCCATCTTCGCATCCGCCACTTCTAAAGCTTCCTCGTGAGCTGAGAGACGAGATATGGGAACTTGTCCTAGCTCCAAGGATTATCATCGCGCTCCCAAAACTTCCCACCTCTAACTTTTTCGATGTAGTGGGCGAGCATGACAGATTCGGCGAGAATTTGTATTATCCGGAACTAGAAAGAGACAGCAACATGCGCGGTGCTTACCACGGGGATTTGCACCAATATTTCGACGACCGTACCGACGACTGGGATCCCGACGAGGTTCCAACATGCAAGAATGTCTTCTACAAAAAGTACGCAGATCTGGCGTGGACCTTGGCAAACCAGCAAATCCACGAAGAAACATCCAAGATTCTCGAGAAGGTTACCGTAGTTATGCGAGAAACGATAAAAAACCGACAGCTCCAGGAGCCCGTTCGACCTGCGTTCTTGCACCTCTTAAGTCAAGGCCGAGTAGTCTTTGAATGTGGACCCTACGAGACCGTTTCTTTTCTACTAACTAGCGCACCCGGAACGCTTGCGTGTGTGAGATCGTTGTATATTGGCCAGGAAATGGGTATCGAGAGAATGTTCGATACTCGGAGTGGTGGGACGATGTATCGTCTCTGGGAGGCTCTCGATATACGTCGAATACAAAGGCAAAGATTAGGGCATGAAGAAGTTGCGGGTCTAGCACAGCTTTTAAGGACTCACTTGCCAAATCTGAAAGAGCTTGCTTTTTGGGCGCGTGTCGAGGACTATGAAACGTTTTTGGACGATGATGACGAATATTCGGAAGATTATGATGGGTATTTTGATCGGCCCCCTGCATGGGACCTGCTAGAGGATTTTTGTGGGCTGGTCAATGACGGGCCGTTGGAGGTTTTACATGTGATGTTTGCTTATACTCATGAGGAGCCACAATTTCCGAGTGATGGGAAGAAGAGGCCGTTTGCAACCGAGGCTTCATTCCAAGGTCTTATGGATAAACACGGTATCGTCATGACCCGGGACGAGGAAGGTCTGAAGCTTGCGGAACGAAGATGGACTGCGAGTGGAATTGGCGCAATAGGAACATTGCGGCGAGTTGAAGAGAGAAACGTGTAGTTTTTAACCTACTAATCATGAAGTTGACGAATTTGCTTATTGCATTGGTCAGTAAAGTCAGTACCAGCTAGTATACAACTATCAACTGGCCAAAAGTTGTTCATCTGGAAATACAAGATGGATTTAGCTTGGATTTTAGTGGTAGGACTATATATTCATATCACTATGGGATTAAGAGTAATCAGCTAGTAGAATAGCACTTATAATTTAAGCACACAATCGCATTCTTACTTTGTATTACAATATTCCTATCTATTCAATAAACAGACATATGAACACTCGTTAAAGCGACGAAAATAAACAAGCCATTTCACTATCCATAAAAAGAAATTACAGAAATATGTCATTATTACCTTTTCCTAGCTTTTCTCTCTTTTGCAGCCTTCAATTTCACGATTTTCGATATCATTGCTCAATTTCTCGTAGGACCGACCAATGCTATAGGAAAATTGTTTTATCCTGCGATTGGAGAGGGAAATACGACAAATCACGAATCTGAAGATGAAATAAGAATAGCACTGATCCTTAAACAAAACCACTTCTTTACATGCCACACATGAGGTGAAGATTTTTAGTATAGATTACAATTGTCGGTATAGAAAGACTATTTAGATCATAAACTGCTGCTGAGGATATATTGTACTCTACTCTTCAATCCCATAGTACATAGCAAGATAAATTTCTAAAGTTTATAACCTCCTTACGTGAGCAGGTAGTGTATTGATGTAAAAACACACGTGCTGTCCACTTTTGGTTTAGGCTATTTACTCAGTGAGTTGCTGCCTCACTTCGGCTCATCCCGAGTTTTACATATCCCATTCTCAAAAGTTATTCTTTTCCTGGAAAACTCAAATTTACGACTTATATTCCCACAAAATAGAAAGACGAAGCATAACACTGGTACACCGACTTTTGATATAGACTCTTGAAGTTCAAATCACTCTCACGGTCTCACCGAGTCACCAAAACCAATGGCAACAACCAACCATTCATATCATCCACAGCTCTTGAACCTCCCCCGTGAACTACGCGACACAATATGGAACCTCACTCTCACCCCCAGAATCCTAATAATCCTCCCCCAACTCCCCCTCTACGGCCGTCACGACCAAATAGCCTCATACGACACCACCGGCGAAAACCTGTCCGACCTAGAAACCGACAGCATCTCCCGCCGCTCGCACTCCACGACTCTCACAACCTATTTCCGTCTCGCCTTCAAAACCCTCCCCGACGACTGGTTCACCGACCGCGTCCCCCGCGGTAAAAACGTGTTTTACAAGAAATACGCAACCAATCTGGCGTGTAGATGTGTGAACCGCCAGGTTTTTGCGGAGACGGCCGGGGTGCTTGATAGGATTGCAAGGGTGTTAAGGGATGGGATTCAGTTACGACAGATCATAGAGCCTGCACGTCCTGCGTTTCTAGATATGCTAGGTCAGAGCGTAGTGATTCTCGCATGTGGACGCGCTGATACGCTTTCCTTTCTTCTCACTACTGCGACTGCGACGCTGGCGAGTGTTAAATCCGTGTATTTTGCTAAAGAGATGATGTATTCCTGGGATGTTGGGCTTGTTCGTAGTCTCTGGGGAATCCAAGATAGAGACACGACGGAACATCTTGGAGTCATGACACGGCTTTTGAAAGCTCGTTTACCGAATCTGAGGGAGTTTGCTTTTTGGGCTCCTCTTCAGGATTACATTATGTTTTGGGAAGATGAATATCCGTTTGATTTAGTGGAGGATATTTGTGAGCTGTTTAGGCAGGGAACGATTGATCTTTTGCATATCGTGGTGGCGAGGGATGGGAATCCTGATGAGACGCAGAGTAATGGGGCTACAAGGCATTTCACACTTGAGGATGCGCATGAGAATTTTATGAGTGAACATGGGTTTGAAATTACTGAGGATATAGAAGAATTGCGGCTTGCAGAACGCAGATGGTTTACAGAAGATATTGCAAGAGTTGGAACTTTGCGGCGTGTCAAATCTTGATCAAAACACATGTAAGCACCAAAAGAATCAACATTAAACCAACGATCCAAATTCATTAATTTCAAAACCAGCGCATATTCTAGGGTATCCATCCATCTTTTCCTTTTTCCAATTCAAACCCAAGCCTGTTTATCGAACCAAATCCCAAGCCGCAATCCCGGCAAATCCGAACCCAGAGTTGCCCCTCTTCTTCAAATACTCCTTGCTTGACAAACCCCTCGCATCCTTCCCATTAACAGTCGTAACAGCATAACAACTAACCACCTGTCCCGGCGCCCCCAGATCCCTAGCCTTGACGTCCGCCCACCACCAGAAATCATTGTTTTCAAACGGCACGTAATCATCTTTGCGGCCATCCAAGCCGCAGATTTTGAGGACCATGCAGTATTGGGGACCTTTGCCGTTCTTGATGTGGTCCCAGTGCTCACAAAGCTTGGAGAACTGGAAACGAATAACTTCGTTAGAGTTGACAGAGATACGCTTGGCTCTTGGGGTAAAGGAGGTTCCGGAAATGCCATGATCTTCCGCGACGCTATAGATTTGAACTTCTTCCGCGCCAGCAGGACCGATCATATATTCCGCCCAAGTCGGAACAATGCCATCCCTCCGGAAGAAATGATTTCTGTCTTGTGGGAAATGTCGTAACCCGAAGTCTTCGTTTGACATGGTGAAGAAGCTCGGGGTAAAGCTCTTATTGTAAACTTGATTCCCAACGTTACCTGCTCCCCAGCACGGGTCGAGTAGCTTCCACTCCCCACCATCAATACGAACAGAATTCCAAGCATGGCCGGTTGGGTTACAAGTAGGCACTGGATCTCCTGGTTGCATGGGGGAATAGCCGAATCCCTTTCCATGCCCAGTCACCATGACGGCTTCCAGCCCGGCTTTCAAGGCTATCGCAGTGAAGACGCCAGCATATCCACCACAAACTGCTAGACCAGACGCAATTGTATCTTTCGGGTCGACATGCTTAACCCTGTTACCAAAGAATGCCGCGGTATCGTAGGCAATGTTATGATGTAACCACGTAAAGATAGCTCTTGCTTTATCAGTGGCGGATGGAAATGGACCACAAAGGACATCTGCGAGATATCCAGTCACGTCATGTGTTCGAGGAAGCGAATGACGAGGATGCTGCTCAGCAACTCGATCTGGGCCAGAATAGTCTCGACAAATAAGACATCCAGAATTCGGAGGGGTTGAGCGTGCTGGCCGAGATTGAGCAGATTGAGCTTGGCTTCGTGTCGGTTTTGTGCTCATATTTATAGGTGGGGGGATGGCATCCGACTTGGGAGCGTCAGAAGCACGGATTCCAGAATGGTCCTCGAGGAATTGTTCAATATCGTCTTGATTAAGTGTGAATGGGCAATGTTTTGGTTTTGGGCTACGCCCATCAAAATACATCATTGACGGCCACTCCTGAAGATCGAATCGAGTGTTGAAAGCCCGATAAGCCTGGGTGTCCATCCTTGCAATAGTTACTCGGTCAGAAGCATACGCGAACCTTCGGCCAATATCCTCCCAAGTAGGTTTCAAGTCAACACAAGCACTGCATTTCGGTAGGTAGAAGTCGACATAGGATGGTTTACCTGACATGACGATATTTTCAAAATTTCGATCGGTCAGCTCGACCACAGGAGGGCCATTGAGACGGTTCTGATTAGGTGATGGCCTGGGTCCAGGAGTCGAAGCTTCGGCGCTGGCTTTGTTACCAAATCCCATGGTCAATGGTGATCTCGTCGCGACTGTTGGGGGGAGCCTTCGCTGAGGACCTGGCGGTGGTAATTCCTGGGACGAAACATTTCTTGGTGGCATTTTCGGCGCTCCATTTGGTCTGGGTGGCATTTTGGGCACCATATCACGATCAACAGGCGGGGGACCACGCAGAGGAATATTGGGCGCCGACTTGACTGAGACTAAAGGTACTTTGGGACGGTGTTGCTCCTCAACTCTTCGCTGCTCATCTGCTCTGTGCTTCTCTTCTACCTTGCGCTGCTCGAGTTCACGCCGGGTTGGGGGGAGTGGTGGCAGGTTAGCCATATCCAGAGGAGGTGCCATCCTCCTGTTTGAATCTACGGACGAAATGCTTGACGTGGTCTGGCCAAGCGATAAGCCTGAGATGGTAGAACTGTACGACATAGTTGACGCATTTGAGCCCCTTCGTGCCACTTGTGTATCTGTCGACAATTGTGTAGATGCCTTTCTCGCAGGAAGAGCAGGCGAGGCCTGTGAATCTTTTCGATTTGGCAGAGGAGGAGGCCCTCTTCGCGCAGGCAGTGGCGGTGTCTTGCCACTCTTTGAAGGCTGGTCTCTGTCGACAGGAGGGGGAGGTAGAAGTGAGTTTCCTCTTGCATCTGTTGGCAGATTGTTCGCTTGTTTTGTGACCGAAGAGCCATAACTCGCAATGGGGGGATTGTTAACAGTTTGTGTCCTCGAGGACAGCGAAGGTCGACCGCCAGCAGCAGGAGGAAGTGGTGGAGGAGGTCTTTTCCCCAAAGTAACCCCGCCTGGCTTTTGGCCAACGCCTTGCTGGTTGAGAGCTGCAATACGAGCCGACAGCGACGTAAATTGAGGTTCTTCGACTTCTGCCATTGCGCGTCGATGGTGATGTTGTCAAAATTTCGGAGTTGTTGGAGAAATAGAGCCCAAGTCCAGACGTAAAGAGTCAATTGCGGGAGCTGGTCGCACAATAGCCAACTCACCAAGGATATGTGCCGAAACGAAGGTCAAAGTCTTTGCTGCAAGGTTGCAAGTGAGGCAAGTGAGGAAGTAAAATCAAATACAGAGAATGAGAAAGTATATAAAAGAAAGACGTGACTCGAAGCTCCAGGTCCTCATGATTGTTGTCGAGTCGCGCGAAGGAAGTGGCAGGACATTCAGACCATGATGTCTGTTGTTCTCCCTAGGCAAGGCGAAGCATTCTAGGTTGCTGTGCCGCAAATAGCAACAGGAAAACTTGCTGCCTGGCTGCCTAAGGGGGATTTAGCTAGACGCCGCTTAGCTTTCTATCGGTTTTCAAACTTCTCCCTTCTCCACTACTTCTCCACCAACATCTTGTATTCATTCACCCGACAAATCCACGTGCAAGTTTACACGTCTCGCTTCACGAAACGGAGAGATGATGCGCTCGTACACAGATCTGCCCGGCGAAGACTACTCGTTGGGTTGGTCAATAATCATACGACCGGGGATATATACGTACAGCTTGAAAACCATGATGTATGATTGGAGGTCTCCACGGGCAATCCGGGACGATGTGGTTCAACTCTGTAGACTTATAATCTAAGATCTAGGACGCTCTTTTTTTCATTGTCATATCAAGCTTCTTTTCTATTTAATTGTTCAGACTGAAACTCTTCACAACTATAATGACTATGGCCGGTCTCGTCATTTTCACTGGAGCCAACAGCTCGCTGGGAGTACACGCAGCTGAGCACCTTTTGACAAAGTTCCCAGAATACACTGTCCTACTTACCGTCAGAGATGATTCGAGCTCAGATGTGAATACAGAAGCACTACGCAAAATCATCTCGAACCATTCAAATGCAAAAGCCACAATCAGAGCGCTGGATCTCTCAAGTCTCTCGGCTGTACACGCCTTCGCCGATACTGTCGTTTCCGAGATTCGAGAGGGCAAATTCCCTTCTATTGCTGCCATCACTTGCAATGCATACTACTGGAATCTAATTAGAGATCCTGAGTTAACCGCCGATGGATACGATAAAACCATTCAAGTTTCTCACATCTCCCATGCAGCTCTCATTCTTCGACTTCTAGGCAGTTTCAGCCCTAGTGGCCGTGTGATACTCATTTCAAGCGATGCACACTGGCCTGGGAAGAACTCTTCAGAGACTTATCCACCGGCTATTCCAGATGACTTGAATTTGTTAGTAGACCCTGTCGTTGATTCCGACAAGGCAGGACGTGGGTTTCAAAGATACGCAAATGCCAAGTTGGCCATGACAACGTGGATGTACGCGCTCAATAGACATCTCCAGAAGGTTAGTCCACCCAATGACATATTTATAAAACCTAGTTAGTCTGTCCATTTGACTAATGTGCCGCAGGAAGAAAAACTTAAAACCATTACAGCTGTAGCCATGAACCCCGGCAATCTCCTTGATTCTCGAGCTCTTACCACCAATACTCCAAAAAGCAAGGCTATAATGCAGAAAATCGCTGTGCCCTTGCTCCCAGTTCTGAGACTCATGATGGGACCGACTCTGCGAAAGTCAGCACCTGCTGGTGTCGATGTCGCCGAGATGACATTTAGTGCGGATTTTGCCGGTAAACGAGGCTTCTACACGCTGTTGGACAAAGATGAGAGTTCTCCAGACAGTCAAGATCGGGAAAAACAGGAGAGATTATGGGCCCAGACTTTGAAGTGGGCTAAGATTACGAAGGATAACACGGTCTTGCAGGCTGGGTTGTAGTTTGCTATTCTTCTCTTTATCATCAATGAAGAAGCACCAAGAAGAAAGTATCAAGGAGGATAATCAATCAATAAGCGAAGGGGCGTCCTGATTACGGGTAAGTCAAGTCAGTTAACTCGAGCGAATGGTAATCAGATCATTAATCACGATCAAAAAGCTGTTTCCTCTGCTTACTCTCCTTGTTATATTGTCAAATTTTTAACTCCGTGACGAGCTCCGTGGCTTACTGTTGGAGCCGCAAGTTTAGGAAAGCAATTGGTGACGTGCAAATTCGCCTTCGGCTTTTCATTGCAACCTTATTGCCGAGTAGCATATGATTGCGTACAAGCGTCGCCTAACGTAGTATAGGAAATTTCGAATATATAATACCCCGCTATCGCTAAGAAGAGGAACGTGTTCAAATTGCCAAATACGCAGCTAATTTCAAGTCACCAGAGACAATGAGCTAAGGTTAAGCGAATTGTTGACCTGAAAGCACGCGTGATCTTCTTTCGGCTTAGTTCCATGTTATTCTTGTATATATACCTCGTACGAGCTCTGCTAACTTAATCTCCTTATACATCTTGATATATTCTCCCTCCATTGCTCACTCCACACTACTCCCCTTCTCCGAAAATCTGCACGAAGCTATGCGGATCCCAACCATTGACCTGAGAGTAGCTGCTCTCTTATATTGCATAACACTTAGCACTTGCTCGATACTCCTAAGCGGCGGAACCATCATCTCATTCGACGACGCAACTTCCTGCCTCAGAATAATTGAGAATGGCTCACTTCTCATCACTGACGACCGAATCACCTCAATCTTCGACACCTCCACACCTCCTAACATACCACCAGGCACGGAGATTATAGACTGCATAAACAAAATCATATCCCCAGGATTCGTAGACACCCATCGACACGGCTGGCAAACTGTCTTCAAAACTCTGGGTTCAAACACTACATTAGCAGAATACCTTCTCCGCTACGGTTCTGGCGTTGCGGCACCCCTTTTCTCACCTGACGACTTATATATCAGTCAACTCACTGGAATATATGAAGCTCTAAACGCTGGAGTCACAACGATACTAGATCATGCACATCATACATGGACGCCTGAACACGCAGCTATGGGACTGAAAGCCTCAGCTGATAGCGGTGCTCGAGTGTTTTTTGGTTATGCTTTCCAAAATTCTTCGGCTGACTTTGGCGTTCCGGAACAGATTGCTCAGTGGAAGAATTTGAAATCGAGTTTCGAGAGTAACACGACTGATTTGGTTATTGCGTATGATGATTGGAGTGGGAATCCCGCTGGGGAAAATACGAGGGCTGTTATTGACTTGATAAAGTAAGTCTCTTCCCCCATTACCTTGACCATATCCTAACAAACTTAAGCACAAGCAACGTCTCAGTCCTAACAACCCACTCCCTTGAAGGACCTTGGCTATGTACCCTCTCCCCTCCCTTATCCCCTTATTCCACTAACCCAATAATCAGTCGGCAACACCCCCACGACCCTCGCAACCCTCAACATCCTCAACACCACCACCGCCACAATAATGTCCCACGCATCCTACCTCACCCCCCGCGACGCCCTCCTTCTCCGCACCTACAACAAACACATCTCCATAACCCCCGAATCAGAAATGCACCACGGCTTCCTGCACCCAACCTCACACTTGATCCTCGATCAAGCATCCTTAGGCGTAGACACCCATTTCACATTCTCCACCGATATCCTCTCGCAGGCACGTCTCTGGCTGCAGACGACCCGTGCCTTAATCTATCAGTCTGTGGCTGATCGCTGGGAAATCCCATCCAAATCCCCGTTTTCCGTGACCCAGGCGTTCCTGCTAGCGACGCGTAACGGCGGACTAGCGCTCGGTCGTCCAGATCTCGGCGTCATTTCTGTCGGGGCGAAAGCTGATCTTGTCATTTTCGACGGTAGGTCCCCGGCGTTGCTAGGGTGGAGAGACGCGGTCGCGGCTGTGATATTGCATGCGGGGGTGGGTGATATGGAGAGCGTGCTTGTGGATGGGGAGTTTGTGAAGCGCGAGGGGAAGTTGGTCGTGGATGGGTATGAGGGGGTTAAGACGCGGTTTTTGGAGGCGGCGGGGAGGATTCAAGATGTGCTTGAGAAGACGCCGTTGCCGGCTCAGGAGGGAAGTGTTATTCCGGGGTATACTTATGGGTATATCCCGCAGGCTGACGTGGTTAGGGGGGAGGGGACGGGATATTGATCTTGAGATTGGGAGTGGTAGGCTTTTTGATTGTTGATATGTACCTATGTAAGATAGTGAGCTTTTTGATCTTGACAACTGGATAGTACTTTCCATACTGAAGGTTAGATACATACTTACCTTAGGTACTAGAATCGGCAGCTATACTGAGCCCCCTCTGTGCTCAATACAAAGACTACCTCCCTAAGTATTAGCTACCCGACGTTCAACATGTCAGTAGGGCGCAAAGTGTGAAGTGTAAAAATTCACACATTCCATGTTAATATAGAGAGATCACACAAGACGTCCACTGAAGACATACAAAATCAAATTCATATCTTTAACGCTACCAAAGTCGTCCCCCCCAAACGCCCCAAATGGCTTAAAAGACAGACAACACGCTAAAGCAACAAAAGGTATCTCTGCTGTGGCTCCCTATACAGACCATCCATCCATTTCCACGCCCACGTAAAAACTCCATGCTGAACAATAATAGTTTCATGATCGTCCTCCCATATCAAAAAAGCAGCCATCATAAAGACATCGGAATTGCCTAAGGCACTGCCACGCTCAAAGCCTTCCGCTAATTACATCTTTTTCGAAGATTCGTACACCGGTCACGTCTGTGAAGTGGACGCCTTCTACAGTCTCAATCTTAAGACCATGTTTACCGACGAATGGGACAGGCTCTTCCTCATCAGAGCTAGCTTGCCAGTCGAAATCAGGTGTGTTGTTCGGGGAGCTGGATCCATTTGCGCCACTGGGCCAGCTTCCGCTCGGTCCCAAGACCATCTCGGTAAGATGTTTCATGTCGGTAACCTTGGCTTTACCCTTGCTCTTGCTCTTGCCTTTTCTGTCGGTCTTCTTTGTTGCTTTTGCCTTTGAGCGGCGGACTAGACGTTCAACGGATTGGTCGACGGCGATGTATTCCAGTTTCATGGCTGGGTTATGGCTCACAATATCGGCCATGAACTTGACGAAATTGGCTTTGACCCATACACATTGGTCATCTTGGCGGAAGAAGTTGACGTGTAAAGCACGAAGTGAGGAAAATTCGTCCATAAATTGGATGAATGAGTGCTGTTTGAAGAATTAATATCGCTGTAAAGAATGCTTTTTTGTTTGGACTTACAGCAACTTTGGCATTGAAAGCTACGGAAAGCTCCTCAAGATTGTCGGCACGCTGGCAGAGCATCATCATGGTCTTGATATCGATATCCCACGAACTGCTTAAATCATGCTCAATCATCAACACTTTTAGGTTAGCGACGCGATGTTTCAAGGCCTTGCGAATTTGATCAATCTTGACGGTTGTCTTGCTGGCAGTAGGTTCAGGGCGCCCTGGCTTCTGTCTCTCCGTCATCAGAAGTTCGGAAAGATTCTGTAATTGAGCAACTAAGCCAAGGAATGGAATAGTCACATTATCAGTATAGATTTTCGCAAGAGGAAGTGGGCTGACGGTATTTTCTTTCGCCAGTGTATTCCAGATTGATGTTTGTGGCCCGACGTTAAGCAGAGTGATACTTCGAAGAACGGTAAGGTCCAAACCCCGCGATAAAGTATTTGCTTTGACCGGGATTAAGTATATGGCGAGTTCCTGGATTGCAAGACCTCGAGTGGTTCTCAAATATTCGCTCATCTCGCTGTTTTTTGATGGTGCCAAGTGGTCACTGGTTGCTGTTCCTCGTGTATTCGAGATATGATTGTTGTTGTTCGTACGATGGTTGTATTCAGCCTCAATCACCTCATCTCCGAGCTCTTCCATCTCACGATTTAACTGGTCAACTCTTGCTTCAACTCTCTTAAACTCAGCTTCAGTCTGAGCCAGTGTCACGTAGTCGATATCGGTAGGCTCCGAGTTCTGAATCTTCTCTCTCAACTCATCCATCTTAATCTTAAGAATATCGGCCTCCTCTTGAATTTGGAGATGGCTGGCACGAAGGATAGCCGCCTGGTTGTACAAATGTTGACGGGTGGTGATATCAGCTGCTAGTTCCTGGGGATGTGTAGGAAGTCTTGCAACTGTCACAGGTTGAGGGCCACCGCCATTTGGAACTTCTGGGTCCTTAATGACACCACTTGCTTCTTCATTTTGGGCGATGCCGATGGACTCGCTCTGTGCTTCGCTCTCATCATCTTCTGCTGTGGCAGCGGCGTCAAGTTCATCTAGAAGATCTTCGCCCTCGGGCTCCTCTATATCAATGTCCTCGGGATTGGCCACACCTGGATCTGCTTCAACGGTCTTCTTCATTTTGGCCGGCGCGTCGAAAAGGCCTGGTTCTTCAGGTGCACCTCCACTCATGACCACGTCGTCTTCCGCAGAGCTCGTAGGCGACACTTCTGGGCTGCCTTCTTTATCAACAGCTTGCCCCGGTTGACTGCCATCTACGCTTTCGGTGTATAATTTAGCTGCTCGTTCAATTAGTTCGAGGACTTTCTTAGCGTCCGGGCTATTGTCTGCGGTAGGATCAACAAATTTCATCAATTTCTTAGCAACAGGGCCAAGATTCTTGATGAATCTGACACGTGGATCCTCGGACCTAGCCTTGATTTTAGCAAGCTCTGCAGCTGCCTTTTCCTTGCGCTTTTCCTCTTCACCATTATCAGGCTTTCCGGGTTTCTGTTTTTTTGCGCAAGGAAGGCCTAGAATCTTGTGTAGAACCTCTTCCTGCTTCTTCTTTTCCTCTTGCGCTTTTAATGTTTTCGTAGGGCCATCAAGGGTAGAAGAGGGCATTCCTGGCGGTGGTGGGCCCAGAGGAATGACCTGTCCAAACTCGTCCTCAACCTCTGAATCATCTTCAGAGTGTATTTCTGGGGGAGGTTTACGCGATTTGTTGGCGAGAGCTTCGGAGAAGGACAATTTGAGAGTATGTAAAGTAGAGGAGGAGTTTCGTATACAAGCTCGTAATTCACTGACGTAATCCAGTGTGTCCATGTCCAATATTTCTAATGTCTTCAGATGTTTGAAGCCAGAAAGAGTTGGAAGAGCCTTTTTCAAAGCTGGGATGAGGAGTTTCCCATCTTTGCTGGTTGACTTTGACCCATGCTTACTGGCCGCTCCACCAAAGGAATTCGAAGAACTCGAAGTGTATATGTTATGAGCATTGGACGAGGTGTGCATATGTGGTGGAGGCCCAAATCCCGGTGGTGGTGGAGGTAGAGGGAGAGAAACTGGATGAGTGGCAACGTGAATCGTACTTGAGGTTGTGATAGGAGGAGGCGTTTGATACGTCGAATGCCCAGACTGCAAACGGATATGGAGATGCTGAAGCGCCTCGATTTTGTGTAGAGCGTCAAAGACAGGGCGACTTAATTCCACGCGTATATCCCACCTAAATAAATATCAGTAACGAGTATGATCTGCTAGGCGATATTCCATACTTGAATCTCTCTAAACACCGAGCCTTGCGCAGGACAAGTAGGAACAAAGTGTTGATAAACTTTCCGTAGCCCTGCTCATACACATAGTATCTATACGAGTTCTCCCCTTTCTTGCCCGCGGCCACCGGCTCGAGCACAATCTCGTGCAGATGTTTGGCATATTCATAGTCGCTCGCAACGATTGTTTCTAAGCCAGCTGCTAGCACATCGATTGGCTTTTGTGTGCTAACATCGTCCTCGTCTGGGAAAACTATGTGAAAGCTTCGATACAGTCGCTCCGCAGCGAGGCTTCTGAAAAGTTTCGACACGAGAGAGAGAGTTATTAGATCGGTCGTTGAAGCCTAGTAATTGAAGTGATTAGCTTCGCAGCCAACAGGACGAGAATGTGATCTTTTGATGATCTCAGAACATGGAAATACGTACATAGCTAAATATCTCCTTCTGTGTTTCTACAGGCAAATCTTGGAATGTAGCTCTTATTTTTGCGCCCACGGCATGCGCCTCAGTCGATGCCGCCATAGATGTTGTAGCCTTGACAGCTTTGGTGGAGCTTGTTGGTGCGCTCAAAAGCTCGACTCCCAATTGATCCAGGACCTTAGCCCATACTTCGTCTGCATGTACTTTCTTGACTGGCGCGACTCCGTTTCTATAGCCGTTTAGCTTGTTGTGATGTGTGAGAGGGGGCATCGTCGTGTAGAAAAGAGGGAGTGGAAGCAACAGGAGGAAGATGCACTCGTTGGGGTCTGCGTAAAGCTTGGTGCTTGTTTCGCGGGGTGGCGGCTCCCGGCTCCCGGTTCTCAGGGCGTGCCTAGTGCCAATTCAACGACATAGGTTTAAATTCAAAATTCACCAGAAAGTTAAGGTTGGAATGAAGGTGAAATGAGACTTGGAGTTAAGTGGGGAATCTAGGACTCTTGTCAATAGATTGCTATAACATGGACGGATTCGCCGTGGATAATAAGTGGCAGTCGAAACATGCTATTTCGTCAATTATGTTGACAAAGTGAATTGGACTACGTATACAATTTTCTAAATATAAGACGTTTCAGACTCTGTGTGACGCTTATTAATTATAAGTTGAACGAATCCCCTTACAGAAGCCCTGGAAGTCCACGGATTACTACTTAGGTACCACTTATATGGTCCATTGGGAGAATGGCCTTCTTTGAGAATTACAAACAAGATAAAGAACCTGAAGGCTGTTCCATAGATGTCTGGTTTAGACTTAGTCCAACAGACTTGCCGATATAAAAAGGAGACTAGCTTTCTCTGACGCTGCATTGCATTTGGGTCAACACCTTTTTCTGAGACAGAAACGTGAGATGATTTATCTAGCTTTGCATTAATCAGAGCTGCCGAAAATGTATCATAATAAATAGAATCATAACACGGGGGTTTATGTGGACATAAGCAATCATTGGGCTTTGAGACTATCATGACTGACATTTACACAACTATGAATGTCCTAAGAATGCGAATCGCCTGAGAATGGCAGAGCTCGTCCCGGTATTTGTCCACTTTCCGCGCATCAATGTCCGTTGCCTCAGCCCTCCGTCATTATCCTAAGTTTGTGAAGAGCGATGATGCCTCTTTTTCACCAGTATGTAGTGGCTCCAATTGCTGCCCCTGACGTTGGAAGCAAAAAGTCACTTCCGACAATTTTTCCACCCGATGCTCTAGCTCCTATCGCAATCTTCGAGTCAACACTCTTGAAACTGCTTTTAGACCAGGTACCAGAGTTCCATGAATTGTCACTTTGTTTCTGTGTACTGCTCAAGCTTGCCTGTTCCTTGTTTCCAACAGCGATGTTGCTTTTCAATGTGGCAGTGGCAGTTCCCATTTTGAACCCAGCGCCTCCATTATTGTAAGCCGTATTGCGGGTGAGAATAAAAGCGCCCGGCTGTGAGTTATCAACGAAACCCCCAACGGCGTTATTGAAAGCGATAGAATTGGTGATTACATGGTTCGCAGGTGCTTTTTCCGCCGCGCTGCCACCACCGCCAAGCTTGAAACCATTTCCATCACCCTCAAAGGGCGTGAAACCCCAGCGATTGACACCATTGCCCCAAGAGAGCGTGTCCTCAATCGTGACACCAGACTTGAATTCCCACAGATCGAGTCCATCATCGACGTTGTTCCACAATCGTGCCCCTTTCAGTAGGTTACCTTCCCCGCTACCTTCCTTGCAAGCGAATCCGTCGGCACTCTCGCCGTTCTTACGTGGGTCGCGGTTTCCATATGAGTCGAGGTACAAGACCGTGTTCTTAGCCGATGCTCCTTGAATCTGGAAGCCGGTTTCGTAGTTGTCTCTAGTGATGATTCTTTCAAAGTAATTGTTAGAAGAGTCTTGTTGATAGACACCGTAGGGACCATTTTTGATCTCGAGATTGATGAAACGCCAGTAGTTAGCTTTCTCAATGTGGAAAACTCCTCTATCTGCTCGTGGAATAGAGGCATCAAGAGCTGCCGGGGTACTAGAAATCAATCAAGATTAGTCTCATATGAATGAAAGATTGAGTATACGGGCTTACTAAGGCAATCCTTCTCCATCAATGACAACTTTCTCGGCCTGGTACGCAGAGATAGTATATGGCTGAGCAGCCGTACCGCTTTTCACAAATTGGATGTTCTTGGTGAGCGAGAATGTTCCTGCTCGCAGGTAAATAGTAGACCCTGCTGTGGCAACATTTACAGCAGATTGAATGGACTTGAGAGGTGCTGTGATACTTCCGGATGCAGTATCAGACCCTGTTGGAGAGACGTAGATGATAGCGCAGAAGGAGAAAGGAAAAGCTGTTGCGGCCAACAGGAAAGAGAGCGTGGACCTCATCTTGGAGAGACTTGAAGGAAGATGAAGGAGGGTTGACAGAGAGTGATAATCTCACCATGGTAGTTTCCATTGCTTCTTATACCTCACCACTTGAACTGATGGCTCCATGCTTTGTCAAAGCAGATTTGGATTTTCTCCGTTGCGGAGCATCTCATCTCATATATAGCGTGCCATGCTTTTTGGCTCGACTTGGCAGCTTCCCTTGGGGGGAACCTTCTCTATAAATCCTCCAAAGATGTGACAAACTTCACTGCCGGAAGTGTTGTTGACTCTAAGTTCTCGTTTGGAGAGGAAAGGGGTTGGAAAATTATTTCCCCGAGAAATTGAGGCTGTCGCAGATTGAAAGCATCACATGACCCGCCCCGCTAGTCTTTAGCGGCCAAATTACCGTGGATCGCAACGGTTTTGGTAACGACGAGTCTGTGAGTTCTCCCTCTTATACAAACTTTCATGATCAACAAAGCAATTCAGCGACTTGCGAGAACTTACCGTAGGGCTCGCGATCGAGCAGTTAATAATTCAGTAATCATACTGCTTGAGGCCAACCCAGATTGCTATTTATCCTAGCATTTCCCCGCACAGAGCTGCAGGCTATCTAACCACCCTCATTGGAGCGAAAATCTAGCACACTGAAGAAAGCACCTCGTTCTGCCCTTGTTTCTTCGAAAGGCAATTGAATTTATGAGCTGTACAGGTGATCAAAGCGTTGAAAGTTTAGGAAATTGCTAACTCGTTACAGATTCTACGTATCCGGTAGTGTCCTGTAGGCATTATCATGTGCCCACATATATCTTCTTGGTACTCTCCTCGATAGTATGTTGATATCCACAAAAAGGACACTTCCTTACATCTCCTTGCAGCATTTTCCACTCGCCACAGCTTCTACACCGGCTAGCTAGTACATCACGATCGACCTTCTCTCTGTGAAGTTTCAACTCGTCGTCATAATAACGCAACAATCCACTCCATCTGCCGCGATATTTGCCCTTTGACATCACTGAGTTCAGGAAAAGCCTTGAAACTCCCTTTACACCTTCAATTTGCTCGGTCGACAGCTCCTCGTCGCATCGTCCCGCAAGCATCGCTATCACCATGTTGCTAAGGGCGATGTACTCCTCTTCATTGACACCCCAGTCCCACCGGGCCAACAATTCCTTGCAGTTCCCAAATTCGAAAGTACGCGCATTTTGGAAAGCTTTGTTGCCCGTACCGATGAGGTACTGCCATAGTGGTCCTAGTGGTCCCAAGTCTGGCGAGCGCATGCAGACGTAGTTGAATGTATTCATGCGCTGAAGGTTCGGTATTCGATTCCTGCAGAACTCTTCATATTCCGTTAACAATTTCCTTTTTCCGGTACAACTTTTCAAGCTTAGATAGGTGTTTGTCATTTCCGCTGCGTAAATGCTTATTCCCATGTTGGCATTGATACCTGGCGAATATAATGGGTTAGTGAACCCAGTGGCGTCACCGATAGCCAACCAATGTTCACCCATCACAACTGGCGATCGAAAGCCTAGATTATTGCGCACGAACCATGTAGTTCCTGAGCCGTACAGGTCTTTGACAAGTCTGTGTCTAGCCATAAGCTTTGAAATCTTGTCATATTTCGATACTACCCAGTTAAATTTCTGCTCAGCCTCGCTGGTGCCGTAAGGAGAAAGATCCTCGGGGTAAACAACATCTGATCGAAGTGCAAATCCAATACTGACTACCCAACGCATTTGAAGTCCAAAAGCATTGACTAGCTCGGCAGTTGAAGGGTAATCATCTGCGGGTCTTTTGGCTGCATTCAAATCAAGCAAATGGTTGATCCTTTTGACGAGGCTGGGGAGCGGACTACCTTCCCAGGTTGGAAGTCGAATTACCCATGCCCATCAGTGCAATATTAGTCCATTACGGGGCTAGGAGATTCGATCTTACCCTTCTGGTATGCACAGATGGTTCGTGTTGACACTCTCATAGTCTCTAAGGTCGATGTCACTCTCGTCACTGCAGCATTCCCAGTATGCCCAAAAGGCGTGTGTGTTGAAACGCTGGGGTCGCTCAACACGTGATTTCTTAGATGAAAAGCGATGAAATCGACCCGAGGCGTCAATGATAAGTTTTCCTTGGATTGAACACTCCTATTTGGTTTCACTGTCTTTGACCTGAAGTGTTATGCCACAATCTTGTGGTGCCAGCGTCGCAGTGTCAACCATAACTTCTTTTCCGTGAAGAACCGAAATGCCAAGGCGCTGTGCGAACAAGGTGAGCATAAGCTCGCTTACTTTTCTCTTAATCTGAAGTGTCGGGACAAAGTCTGCTGGCGGCCCATTGGCAATGAAGGCTGTGTAGTCTTCCGGGTCTCCTAGAGCCGAGAAATAGTAAAATACCAGGCCATCTTTCGGTCCAAACAGACGGGCCAGCATTGGCGTATCAATTCCAATCAACTTCAGCCATAATCCAAAGACAGTGAGTGTAGACTCCCCAATCTTGTACCCTGGAGATTGATTTCTCTCGAGGATTGTTACTGACTTTTGACTCTCTATATGTCGATGGAGGTTAGTAACTGGACTGCGGAGTAGGAACATGCATAGATGTGCTCGGTGAATGAACACTAGGATTAACGTGTACGATTCTGAAGCTCTTTCTTCTTTAGATGAATTGCGTATATCAATGAATGAATTCCGCCGCCTACAACAACGACATCTGAAGTTTTAGGTATTCTATGGTCCATTAAGTTATAAGAGTTAAGCAATTCGCTTTCCGAATCGATAGTTGTTTCTTTTGGTGACGACATCTTTCCGCCCATCTTCGTATCGGCAATCTCTTTGCTTCTTCCGTACACCACGTAGATCGTGTACTGTTCTCTCGATTGACCGTGCTCTTCCTGTAAGACTCCCTTTCCGGAATGGCACAGCCGTTGAGTGTCCAAGCGGACCTCTGTTCTGATGGCAGGCCGGTGACTGTTTGTTTTTCTTCCAGAGTCGACGAGCAGAGGCCAGAGCCTTAAGAGAGGAAGTTGGTCTTATAGCGTGGTGGTTCATGTACTGAAAATTTTGTTTGTGGTTGAAACGTACGGCAGATGGTGCGCTGAAGCACAAAGAGCATCACACAGATGTCTTTGAAATAGCGGATATCCGGAATCGAAGCTCGGTGGAAGGTAAGATAGTACAGGAGAGTGAGTGGTCTGGTCTTTAACTCTTTGGAGATATTTTGGTGGAGAACTATTTGTGTTACCAATTTTAACTTATGTGTATTGAATTGACCAGGATATAGTATAAAATTCACTCTACACGCTTGAGATAATCTCTCCGCACGCTCAATATCGATTTCGGATGTCACAGGCAGTCATCCGGACCAGGGAATATCATCCTATTGATCGGCAGTGTCCCCCTTTCTGCTTAATACTAGCTTCTGATACTCCGTTGCCTTGGTGTCTATGTACTTCGGCAAAGGCGGCAATGAACAATCGATCTCGGTCCTATGACCACTGCAGCTGTTGGTCGACACAGTTTATCTGTAAGTACAGACTTTTCAAATCACCAATTCTGTTTTTCACCGAGATATCCTGAACAATAAATTTCTCACTTCCCCGATTACTAGAAACTATTACCAACTCCACACATCGACAATCACAGACCTTAACAAAATCAAATCAACTGCCCGAATGCAAGTGCCGTTGGACGGATGAGACTGCCGGGTACCGGTGCAATGATTGTTGGTATCATCCCTTGCATGAGACATTTGGGGATCGGAAATCTCGCTAAAAACGTGTTGACATATTGATATCAAGATTGATGTGAGACTCTGTTAGATGACTGAAGTCTTCGAACCAACGAGCTCATGAGAATTTGAGCTGAATACGCGGTCGTGCTCACCGAATTTCTATCATGTGGTTGATGTGAGTGTAAGCTGTCCCAGGACTAATGATTCGTAGAGGAAGGACGCCAATACTCCTTTTTGGTGTCACTTTACAACGCCTCATATCTGGAACTAACTACCGCATGTGGGTAAAGCAGCCGGCCAGTAGTTGGGCTAAGTTGGCTTCTCATGGCATGTGCTATTTTCTTTGCTCGAACTGAACGGGATGTCTTAACTCATAGACTTTCTCGTTATGAGTTTTCATGATTGACGTCTGGATTGGGAAGAGCTTTGCTTTAAAAATTGTCTTATGATATCGCTGTTACTCACTAAATGACAATTGTGACTCCAATTGTGTCATTGTCAAGTACATATATATGGTCTCAACTTCTCAAAGAGACTTGAGTAGCACTAGTGTGTTACAAGTCTGACGGGACACCTTACTACGGTAGAACAGCAATATCATCCCCAAAACGTTATATTTCCTTAAATCTTTTAAGTGAATATACGATCTTGTCTCTATTGTAGAGGTTAAAATAAATGTTACGGAAGGTGTGGTGGAAAGTCGTTTTCTAAAATCGTTATTATTAGATCGTGTCCTGTCAATTTTGCAACACACTGGTGTACAAAAGACTTTAACTGTGCAAGCATGAAAAGCAGAACATGACTCTCCACAAGGAATCTTTTAAAGAGAAATTCTCCATGGCTTACACTGCTTTCTTGATTCACTCAATCAGGAGGTAATTTGATAAATTATGGCTTTTGGCATCGCAATTTCCGTCCTCACCTGCATCCCTCACTTGTAAGTGCTCAACCACTGACCAATCGGAATTCTACCGTGATTATACAAAGATTGATCATTGGCGGTTTAACACCCACCAATGAAGAGAATATACAAGGTACGAACGGGTGGGACTATATACGCCATCTTATATCTTAAACTCGCTCAATTATATCTCATTCAAGTACTGTACCTTAGCGGCGTCTGAGCTTCGTTTTTTTTTTTCAACTTTCTCGAACAAGTTATTAGACTTCATACCTTAGCAATGGCTTGTGCATTCAGACGATTGTCTCATTGCGGCCGAGTGTACGCGAGGCCTATTCAGCCTTTTAGGAGGGGCGAATATTGGAAGCAGTGGGCGCATCGCTTTCTAAGTGTGTCCTCAACTCATCCACAACAGCAACCACTAGATACTGGCCGTTCATCAGATACTTCCAATCCTTCCTTGAAGCGACAGTTGAGTTCGGGACCTAGAAATGCAGTTGATTCTTCGCTTTCCTCGCCAACTCGTACGGTATACAAGATCAAAGAACAACCTCTTGGGGGAAACCATAAAAAACTTCGTGTAATCATCATCGGTGGGGGTGTTAGCGGCCTAAATATGCTCATCCAGCTGAAGAAACATATTTCCGGCGTCACTCCCATTATTTACGAAAAGAATGCTGAAACTGGCGGTACTTGGTTCGAAAACAGATACCCTGGCTGCGCGTCAGACGATCCATCGCACAGCTATCAGTTTTCTCATACTCCAAATCCAAAATGCAATTCTCTTTTCTCTCCGGCTGCAGAAATTCAGAAATACTTAATTGGAGTTTGCGAGAAACATAATTTGAGAGACGAGATCAAATGTTCTCATTCTGTTGTTCGTGCCGAGTGGGAAGAAGAGAGTGGTATGTGGGTGGTTGATGTCAAGGATGAGGATAAAAATCGAACCTTCAAGGATCGATGTCATTTCCTAATGGATGCTTCGGGTATTTTCAAGTACGTTTCAATACACATTTTTGTCTAAACAGGTTTGACTCGGAGTTTAGCCATTACAAATGGCCAGACATTAAGGGTATCAGTATTTTCGAAGGAGATCTGATACATACCGCACACTGGCCTGCAGACTTCAAATACGAAAGCAAAGCATTCGCAGTTATTGGAAATGGAGCTTCCGGAGTCCAGATTATTCCAGAACTACAGCCAGGTGAACTTTCATCGTCTCATTATTGGTGGTCACTTCTGATTTTGTGATTGAATAGGAGTTGGTAAGCTTGTACACATCATTCGCGGCAATTCGTGGATTGCCCCACCAAGTGCAGCTGTCGAAATGTGTTCAGCTCTTACCGAGAAGGGCACTAAGAAGTACAATAATCTGCAAATTAACAAGTTCTCGGAGGATCCTACAGCATATCGTGAATTTATGAAAAATATTGAAGCTTTCTCCAATCAGAGATTCAGGATGGTGAGTGACTTGAAATCAAGTATTTATCTCAAATTCTGACCGTTACTCAAAAGATTTTATCCGGCTCGCCAGACGCAGAGATTGCACAAGAGAGAGCTGAAAGTTACATGAGATCATGTTTAAAATCAAATCCTTCACTGGCATCATCGTTGATACCATCTTTCCCAATTGGATGTCGTCGCATCACACCTGGAAAAGGTTATTTGAAGTCACTTCTTGCAAGCAATGTAACCGTTATCTCAGAACCAGTACAAGTTTCTTCTCGCGGTATCAAACTGAAAGGAGGAGGGATCATAAATTTAGATGCTATAATCTGTGCCACAGGATTTGACTGCTCTTTCGTGCCTCGTTGTCAACTGATAAGAGAGCATGGAAATTTACAAGACATTTGGAAAACCAGGACTCCGGAAGCTTACATGAGTTGCATGATCGAGGGGGTGCCAAATTACTTCAGTGAGTCAATTCAACAATTTTGATTATTAGCTAAAGTCTGCGAAAGATTTTCTTGGACCGAACGGTCCTTTAGCACATGGGGCAATTCCACTGGTCGCGGAGCAGCTCGCCAAATATATCATCCGTCACCTTCAGAAATTCCAACTTGAGCATATCCATTCCGCCTGGCCACTGCCTGCTGCAATCGACGACTACTCGGAACATATCAAAGGGTTCATGCCACGTACATCGTGGTCTAAGCCTTGTGGCAGTTGGTACAAAGGGGCGACGAAAGATGGACCAGTCTTCGCACTTCACCCTGGAAGTCAGTCTCATTTCTTCCATATGTTAGAGAAACCTCGTTGGGAGGATTTCGAGTGGCGGACAAAAGCTGGAGGTGGGGGTAATAGATTCGGGTATTTGGGGAATGGCTTTAGTATTCGGGAGGAGGAGGGTGAAGATACGACATGGTATCTGAATGATCCTCATGGTAGTTAAATTCCCATAGAATTTTTATGAATTATGGATTCGTGCAAACTTAGTCAGGATAACAAAGTCAAAGTTTCGAGTTTCATTATGGTTGTCACAATTGCTAGTCGGTTAGTAGCAAAACCCCTGAGTATCAACTTATTCGAAGCCCGCCAGTATGCTTTTAGATTCACAATAATTAGCAATGTGCTGGATTAATACAGCAATGATTGAGCTGGCCTACTATGATCCACCAAAGATTCTTGAAGATATCAAACGAGACTGGCAGTCCGCTTCGCTTAACCCCTGAAGCCCCCATTTTTCTTGTTATAAATGATCAACAGAAAAAATATCAGCTACCAGAAATGCCATTTGTCTGATGAATTCCAGCAAACTCCTTTTTAGGGTTTTTGCTTGTCAACAGCTCAATCACACGAGTATTCAAATGTCAGTAGTTCCGATTTATGTGGGCAAATAGCCTTGATTACAGCCAAGAGCAGAGAAAAGAAACTAGTATTTCTAGAACGCACGAAACAGAAATCTATGCTACAGTGTTAATAGTCAGAGTTTATTGATAAAGTCTCTGAGTATGGTACAGTATTTCCTTCTTCTGTGCTTGGAAGCATTGCCCCCAAAAAAGGTGCCACCGATAAAACATTATTCAGGCTCTCCTTTCTTGGAGCAACTTTGCTTTCCATGCATAGCTGCACTTAAGACAGACTCTTTGAGCATATCCGACGAGCCAATAATAGAGATTTGATACTGGTCCTCTATGGCCATGCAAGTTGTGTTCCATCTTTAGAGCCGGAACAAGATTGAGGCAGCTCTGGGCCACCCTTTGTGGCAACTGTTTCTGCAAATCACGGAATGTAAGCTGAATCTGTTGAACGAACTGAGATTCACTTGTCGATAGAATAGTAATGAATACTTGCCATCCATCAGACAGCTGGGATGCAAACAAGCCGTCTGAAATTTTGTTATCGTGAATAGCTAGAACGCTTTGAGCTGTTTGCCTGGGGTACGATCAAGTAGTAGTGGGAAGCTATTTACTGCGTATTGCATGAAGATAATTTTCTAAGATAATTTCCTGAGGTAGAAATTTTCAGAGCTGACAAATCTTTTGTTCTAGTAAAATTTGAACAGAGAGTCTAGAGTTTTTAACCACGTTTGCTATTCCCCAATTTGTCTACAACTCTTGCGCCAAATATGTCGTGTTACTCTAGATGGCATTTAAAAGTTGTACCGATATCAGAAGAACGGATTAGTGACGATTCAGTCCAGCGAATCAATTTAAAGATCGGTAAGAAAAGTGTTCTATACAGCGTGTTAAGCTAGTTCACTAATAGGGATGTTCGATGACTCTGCCGACGTGAACTATCGGTTTCATCCCAATGTCTATAATAGATAACTTTTTCAACATCAATATGTAGGACCATAAACAATACCGCCCTTCCAGACTTTCCTTGCTTGATGTGTGGTGTTGACAAGCGCCGGGTGATGGCTGGTGGAAACCAGGCTTTCCCTTTTCAATTTGTTTGAAGCCCACGGGGTATCAATTCAATTCGCACAATAACAAAGTGCATAATCTCCACGTATTTGCTTGCGGAGCGTGCTATCGCGATATCCTTTCAAGACTCTCGCTCAAAACCGCGAGAGCATTTATATTTCCTCTTCAGCTTCAACTTCCATTCGGTATCTTATGTCATTCGTCTCGAGGTCATGCCAAATGAAGCGAACTAGTAGTTTGAACTACACGAACAGACTCCATCTGCGAGTTTCTGTATATGGGATAGCGTATGTCTCGTCGTTCTGTGAGGTTGAATACGTTAGCGTCTCCGTTAGATCGTTGGAACAGGCGAGAAATGGGGGATATACACACTTCAAACTTTTGAAGTAGCAGAGAGTTTCTTACTTGATAACATTACCTATAACTGTAGGATTGATTCAGTTGATCTCCCGGTCTTGAGATCGAATTTTTGTAAACTTGTGTTGAAGTGAAAAACGCGCAACCAGCCCCTGTCTGTCTTACACCACAACATCAATCTCGCCTCTCGTACCGATAACGCAAATGGCATCTCTCCATTTCTCGTGCTGAAAGAAATAAATAGCTTTGTAATTATGATGTGCTTTCCATGAAGATATCCAATGCTTGGCCAAATCGCAAACTCGATCGAACTTCCGGTTCAGCATGATTGGCTGTCCGATGTTGTGTTCTGCAGCCACTGAACTTCGAGATCTACCCCTGATGGAGGCCTATTTGAACTCTCGAATCTTAAAAAAATTAAAAAAAGATTCTTTGTGTCTATTTAATTTGGAAACAAAATTTGTAAGCAGGTCCTTTGCCATATTGTTGACCCAATACTTCACTGCCAATATAATACCATCGATTCGTCTTTTACATGACCACCAACAGCTTGTCAGAAACCACAACCGCAGATTTTCAGCACATTCAGTGCTGTTTCTATTAATTTTCGGCACCAAAATCTTTTCGTATCCTTCGCTAGCGTCTCGAATCGACTCTTGAGAAGTCTTTTGGCTTAAACTCCTCTTGAATTTTAGGTGTTCTTCTCCTACGATGTGTTCGAAACTATGCCAACATCTCCCCCTATAGAAACGGGAGCGAACTCATAGTATTGCCTTTCTAAAAACGCAGTGTTGTGCTTTTACAAACGGCACTACAGACCATTTAATTGCACATAACAACTTGAGTCTAGAACTCCAAATCCAGACTCCCACACTTCCGTCTCGCTTTCCATGATTATCTTCGCTAACACGTCTGGTTATTCGTAGGATCACAACGACTAGAACTCCTGAAACTACATCGTACTCTATACTTTCCAAACTACCCCTATCAATACATACCTACCTAGACGAGCAGAACAAATATTATAACAACACCAAGCGATATAACGTCTTCCGAGATAGCAACAAAATTTTCCTTCGTCCTAAACCAGTAGATCTGAAGTGCCGCAACTCCAAGAGAGATTCTACCCGCATTCCTAAACAAGGCCATCCATCAGCACAAGCCAAAACCACAGCAGGAAAAAGAGCGACAGGTCGTCCTATACACCAGTCAACTTGCCACATATCCAGAGCCTAAGACGAGAAAAGAAAACAAGCACAAGCAAGCCATTGCAATCTCTTCTGCTACGTCCAACCTCCCGCGGAAGTACGAAATACCATCACAGTCCACTATACCCACTTGCTAGTCGGACTATACTAGTTATACCACCAGATTACGAGTAGCAGACAGGAAGTAAGGAGAATGTAAGCAGTTCAAGATCGGACGCGGCTATCGCAAAAATACTTTTGCTGTAGACTGAAACCTTGCCAACAAACGTTACGAAAGCCCTCAGAGCCATATGTCATGAACCATTTCGACGCACATCCGCAAGAAGACCAAGACTCCAAAAATCCAGGACGTCATTCCCATCCACATAAAAATAACTAACGGACTTCGCAGAAAAACGCATATCACAAATCTCGAACCAACCAACAACTCCACTCTACCTGAACCTTCCTCAAGACCTCACAAAAAGTCGCGATACAGATCAAACGCCCCCATCCCTTCTATTCATCCACATCCAAACTCGTCCTCCTTGTTGCGTTAAACTAAACGATCCATACACCCTCAAAAACCCGCCAATGCCCATACGAAGCCTATGCCCTGCTTGGAAAAGAGGTGGGAAATCACAGATTCCAGGTCATATGTGGTGCCATAACTTGACGATTCTCGCGGGGAAAAGCTGTGAGTTCGTGGTCTCGAAATCGATATAGCGAGCCAAATCTCAAGCTTCAAGCGTTCAGTGATGCTAAATTTCATTTGACTATGTCTAACCATCGAGAGGCGTGTGAAGTCGTTCTTGAACTCCTCTGCCCGAGCGAGACTGCTACGCACATTTCCAGATTCATGCTAGCGCTTTTTGCAATACAGATTTCATTACAAGTTGTCGCTGGTGGCAGAGTATACATTTACTGCTAGGCACATCTCTAGATCGCTTTCAGAACAAAGGACACAAGTATGTCAGTCATAGTCTATAATTCCAACCCCCAATAGAGATTATAAAATAAGAATAATGAACAAAATGAATCCACCACCACATAAAACAAGCTGATCAAAAAGCAAGTCCTGTCACCTTACAATATCTCGTTCCCTCGACCTCCCCAAGAGCATGTAAGTATACATCATCCCTTCCACGTCATTGCTCAGTCTATGCCTTAATTCAACAAACACATCCATGATTGATCCAAAAAATCACAACAGAACCGTGCGAATAATGGCAAATTAAACAACTAAAGAGACCATGAATCTCATTCCTAGAAAGCTCTGCAGCTGGCATCAAGAGTGAAAAGTCTACCTCAAACGCAAACATACATTAAGAAGTAGGGTGGTTCAACAGATGAGATAGATGAACAGTCACAACCATCCAACGAAAATGAAAACCAATAACAAAAACGAAAGAGAAACGCTTTTCCCTTTGCGAAGCAAACACACAAACAAAGCAGCAAAGCATATCCGCAACTCTCCTACATCCTAGCCTGATGAGTAGACTGATGAACGAGGAAGAGAAAATTAGCAGAAAAAGTAAGCCATTAACAAAGAAGAGACTTTTCCACCTCGCTATGCAAAGCTTCATAGCGAGACATTCCTTCCCGTCCCATATGGTAATGCCCTACCTATATTCCCGATGATCAATCAAAAATTGGTATCTTTATTCCATGCGCCGTAATGCCCCATATTTTCCCATATTCCCAGAGTTTCTTTACTCAAAATATCGCCTCAAAATCCATCGCAAATCAATGGAATGCAATGTGTAATGTTGAGGCAGGTATGCAAATAAAGGAACAGATCTTCCATATATGCAAATGAGAAGTGATCCTATCCCACGACTGGTGGAAGAACTATCCAATGTTCATCTCGTGTTGAATGATGGCGGTTGGAAAGAATCCTTTGGATTCTGCAGTTCCTTCCCACCGACCACAGTGTCGCCCCAGACTTTCTTGTGTGCTGGCTAGGCTAGGGAGTACAAACCCGCCAGAACCATATTCCTGCTTGATTTTCGAAGCCGAATAATCTGTCATGCTTGGTAGTTGATACCGAGCCTCATGGCCTTCGTAAATGGCGCCAGGATAATAAAGATAACAAGGCGACTCTTCGATACTCTTCGCTTCCTCAGCGGATAACACAGGCTCCATCGGAATTTGAAGAGGAGGGATATTGGATCGATAATGATGCGACCGATTGTCGTAAGAGCCTCCATATCCCGATCCCTGAAGCATCGACGACCCACCGGACATTCCCATGTCTCCTGGTGTCCTCGACGTACCTGCGCTTGGCGTATATGAGCCCGCGCCTCCAGCACCTCCAGACCCCCCAGCACTTGCATTGCTACCCCTCCGCTCATTCTGATAATGGCCTGGCGAACGCCCGCGTACAACCATAGGGGCTGACATTCTAAAGGCAATTTTCACCCAGCGCTCGGAACGTTGGCTGCCAACATCCGCAAAAAGCTCAACCAAAAGATGGTAGTACTGTTGAGCGGCTCTTCTTTTGCCGTTATTGGCTGTTGCGTTCTTGAATTGAATGCGCTCGAATGTTGCTTCCACTGCTGGCTGATTTGGATTTTGTCCAAAGGCTTGATCGTACCCTCTCGAGGACCCACCAATTCCATTATCACCAAACATGCCGTGTGATGCTGGAGGGCGCGGGGCTAAGGTGACTCTCGCAGGTTTTTCTTGTGGTCCTTTGTCTCGCTTTGGAGTATGTTGGACCAATTCGATGGCTTTCCCATCACGCCCATCTACCACGGCTGCTATCGACATAGCAAACGCATACACTTGCGGGCCTAATCTGCCATTTTCGACCAGGTGAATTTGGGCGGAAGGAAGAGCTGGCTGTATTGTGTAAGAACAATTCAGAGAAAAGTAATTTCTGCGGTAACAGGTCCAATCCTTATCTGCCATGAAAAATCCTTTGTCAATTCTTCCAAATATCTCCGCTCTCAAGTTCTGCCCCTCTGATGTCTGAAGGGCATATATTGACTCTGTTGGACTAAGTGGTGGGCAAGCCGCCGGACCTAGTGGATTCTCCATATTTGTTGGACTTGTAAAGCCACTGGTGGATGAAGGGGACAAAGGTACGCCTCTCGCAGCGGACGAGAGGGAAGGTGATCGTGAAAGGAGATCTGAAGTTCGTCGTAGTTGTGGTGTTGCACCTGTGTATAAGTCTCGCGTATTCAAAGGAGACCCTGGATGCGGTAGTGCTGAAGATCGGCTTGGTGGGGCCAATCCAGTAGGTTGATTTCTGACCGGGTAAGCCATTGCTAACAGATGCAAGCTTTATGATGTTTCAGATTACATTTAAGGGGGGATATGACTTACAATGAGCCTAAGCGTGGCTTGATATCGGGCATAGAATAGAGCGATGAGCTCGGAGAAAAATAAGAACTAGCGCCACCAGGGTACGTGGAGCTGCTCAGGTTCGATTGATAGAGGTTGCTGTAAGGCGAGAAGGCTAACGTCGATGACGACGAGTTGTTCTGTACTGTAGGTTCGATAGAGTAAACAGGGCTGTGCGAAGTACCGTTATCTGGGTTGAATCTGAGTTATCACAGTCAGCCACAGCTCTGCATGACTGCAAGACAGCATTTAAAGTTGAACAATATAGACGCTAGATACATGGCGACCACGACGCCTAGCGGCACCGGTGCCCAGTTGGACTGCGTAGGTAGGACAGCCAGCTCAACATTCGTCTCACAAAAGCGGGGGGTTACTCGCGTGATAGGAGCTCTTTGCGGCACTAAGGTGCCGTCTTGCTGTGAGGCTTAAGCCGTGCAACGACTTACAAGCGTTAGGGAAGAGGATAAACTTGCTGCTTCCCGTAACCTCTCAAACAAAGCTCAGGCGGAGCGCAAGAACGTTGAGCTGCATGGACGACGTGGGAACAGCGTACAAAACGTCGCGTGTGGCTAAATGCAAGGGGTTGGAAGATGACGAGATGATAAGGCAAATGGAAGGAAAGGTTCACACTCACCGAACATCATCTGGAGTAGGTATTGTCATGTACCGTAAACCCATGTCCGAGGGTAGTGAAGGTTGGTGGGTGAATTCCTGTCTGGACGAGCTGTCAGGCTCTGACTCGGACCCGATTATACAAGGAGAATGCCCGGAATAAGCAGCTATGTCTTGAGGGTTACCAGATTGCGAGCACATGAAGTGATTGACTGTCAAGTTTGCTTGTGTAAGAACTATTGGATGTATGTCAGTGACTGTCTTCTGTAAACGTGCTACGAGCCGCTTCACGAGAGGTGTGCCCGATGGTAACCACGAAGGTAATGAGAGCTGCTAACATTTCGATCAAGGGTGGGTGTGAGATGAGTATAGTGCTAATCTGGCACCGCTCATTTGCACATCCCCATTGCCAGGATAAAGCCAAAGTCGTACACGGGATATCGACAGTGGTAGGTGCTGTTGTGCAAGAACACTGGATCTTTGTGTTCTGAACTCTGGCAGTTCTGACTTGCCGTTGGGAAAGCCAATAGGGTAAAGAGAAAGAGCGGGCAAAATACCATAGCCAATTGCCAACGAGATGCGCGCGACAAAACAAAACGAATAATGGATCGTGAAAAAGACACAGATGATATCACGCCCCGAAGCCCGTGGGGGGTCAAGGTGCGAAGCCGAGGGTTTTCGCCTTATATATACACCAGGGAACGAAGACAGTTGAGAAAAAGAAGGATCGACTTACTCTCAGTCATTCCACCCGTTGATTCGTCGAGCCGAAAGGGCACTTCTCGTCTGTTTCTTTTTGGCGGGGAACTGGAAGGCTCAAAAGCGCCAGGTGCACAGCGAAGCCGCGTGCTGAAGGCAGGGTCGAGAACAATCGACAAGAGAAACAGCTGCTATGCGCCTGCACAATGCGCGGTGCGTTTCGAAGAAAAGGATGAAAGATGCTCAGATAGAGCGAAGCGCGTCGACTAAGGCCTCAAAGGAAGAGCACCCGCTAAGGGAGCTGCGGTGGGGGGAGGGGAAAGCCCGGCAGTGATGAGCAGGCGGTGTTTAAGAAACGGGTGCAGACCTTCAGGTATGCCTCCCCGCAATATTGGGGGGTGGAAGAGGAGGGGAAGGTTTGATGGAGGGTCTTAGCGGAGGATATAGCACCCGCCAGAAGAGGCTGCCTCAGTCGAGAAGTCTGCAGGGGGGTGGTTCTCGAGTCGCCCGCTATTGCTCTCCACACAAATGATAAAAGGCAAGACTTCAGCAGAGACAAGGCTGGCTTTCCTGGCTTCTCACAGGGGCTCCTGGTGAGAATTGAGTGATGTGCAGCACAGGCCAGTGCGTGGCGCGGATGCGGGTTCGGTGAAGCGGACCCGGGGATTGGCTGGAAAATAGATTGAACTGCAAAAAGGAGCTGTCCCCTTTCGTGTTTTCGAATCAGTGCAGACGCCGCAACGTTCTTTCTTCACCAACTGTTCTGTTCTGCTCTGCTGCTGGTTGCAAGCCGTCGTCGGTTGTCCTGAGTCGTCGAGCTTAATCCCCGAACCAGATCCAGAAGCGCCAATGCCCCTTGTCTGTCTTTCCAGGTGTCTCGTCTCCGTTCGCAGCAACCGATCAATCTAATGTATCCTCGTACTGGACCCTGTCGCACGTTGTTGAGACGCAGTTGCTATCGGACTGGCACTATGAGTGGGTTTTGAGATGCACGACTATCCTGTTCCTGCTTGCGAGGTCCAGACGCTGGTACTTGATTCTTCTGGTCTCTGTTGGTGCCGAACAATAAGCCCTACGTATGTGCCTTTCAATGCTGACCTCCTGTTGACGCGGTGCCGAATTGGAGAACGCTTCGCTCTGGAGCCTATCTGGGCGATCAAGATGGCTGCCGAACCGAGACACTGATTACAAGTGCGTTGTTGGGGGCCAGATCTGTGACTTCACGTTGATCTCCAGGGCAATCTCTGATCTATTTTGGGCCGATCAACCGGAAGTCGAACTGCAACTCCGCCTGTCAAGATAGGAGAGCACTAGCAGTTTTCTGTCGTTGCAGGCGCGACGCGTCTCAAAGGAAAGGGGACCGAATCCTACGTTGAAAGTGCGTCTGGTAGTTGTTTTGTTTGGAAATGCCGGCGGCGATGTTGGATTGTGGGCTCACGCTGATGGAGGCCGGAATGGGTTCGCTGTGGAGAGTGGTTAGAGATGGTGTGGGTGGGATGATGGGAGGTGCCGCACCTAATGAGGTTAACGTTCAGGGGGGGCCTTGACAAGGCTGAGGGAGGAGTGCAGCTGCAAGTGTTTCTTGCACAATCAGAGGCCTAGGAGCGAGTCACTAATGCAGTCCGGCTTGTAAAACAATCCGGTCCAGGCTTGGATGACGGATGGAATTGTGTAAAGGAAGGAGACAAGTAAAACTCACCAAGTCGTGATAGTTCCTGGGTGCGGTGCGGGAGTGGGGGATGCGCTGATATGCGGGCTGGTTGAACTGTCCCGGACTTCGAGAAAGTGGTGCGGGAAGATCACGGCTGGCAGGAGAAGTACCGGGTGGACGTTGAGGGACTGGATGTAACCCTGCAGCTGGACGACCACTCAAGTGTGTGTGTGCGTCGATGCGAATCCGCGGTGGAAGAGGCTTTTGCGTCTTGACTACGTTGATGGAAATGAGAAGATGAGTTGGTGATCGTGGAGCAGAGGCAGGAGGCAGCACGCAGCGAGCGAAACTCTCGGAGGAATAGCTTTACTTACTTGAGGGTCAATATACACGACGGAATTCTGGTTGGTCGGGGGTCGGGGGACAGGTGCAGATGGTAAGCTTAATCGCACTTCAGCTTTTCATGTCGGGGTTCAATCCGTCCGCACGAGCGTGCTGATGCCGATCCTGCACGGGCAATGCTTCTGGTGGTCTTGTTTCTTGTTTCCGGTGGTGAGGATGAGGTTGACGATGGTGGCCGCCGTGGAGGAGGAGAAGGAGCTGACTGCTGCGATGCAGGTACTGGGACGACCAGTTCTCGGGGCTGAATCTGCAAACAATTTGCAGCAAGAGACAGTGTGCTCTGGTCCTGGGGGTGGTCTGGGTCTGGGCGTGGGCGGGCGAGTTGGGGGACAAGGGCAGAGGATTGGTACAGTGGAAAGGTCGAGCAAGACGGGGGTATCGTGAGGTTTATAGGAGTAAGTGATGATAGGATCCCGTTGCCACTCACGGTGGTGGGATTGAGGAGAAGAAGCGTAGGTACCAGGCCAGTGAGTGTAGGTGCTTCGTACGGCACTAGTCTCTCGCGACGAGCAAGTACCTGGGGTCGATGGACTAGGAAGAAGCGCACGTGGAGAGAGGGGGGGGGGGGTTAGAAAACAAGCGTGGACGCGTCTGAGAGATCGGACTGTTGCATCAGCTTGACCTTAGTCTTCTTGCTGCCCCTCCTGCGACGGTGAGTCCTTTCCCCTTCGAGTCCAATATCAGCGCAAGTGTCGGCGTGATCTTCACGATATTGGCGCTGGCGTTGGCGTTCCGTTCCGCTGGGACGTGAGCTGGTCCTGCTTGCAGCTCACACGAGCAGAGCCGGTTTTAGCTGTTCTTCACCGTGAACTTACTGCTTTCGCTGCTAGACTGCTCGACTGCTCGACTTCCACCTCGTCTGGAACCGTGAACCGTGAAATTACCGGCCACGGAAGGACCGAGAAGAGACACTCGCACAAAACGCAATAATCTATCCGATCAGCAGAATGTGAGCGCGCGCCGTCGTGCAAAGCCAGGCACGGAACTGGAGGGGTCGAAGAAGGAGGGCCGAAGAGGCGACGTGATGTGATGAGTGGTGTTGGTGGTTGTGCAGAGTGGAGAGTGGAGAGCGGAGAGCAATGATTCTCTCTCCTCCTTCGCTTCACTAGACCTGCGCAGCCCAAGAGACTCGACGTAGACACACTAATACGGGACAGGAAAGGACTCGGAACGCTGCTCGAGTTTGACAATGGACGAGGGCGAACTGCGAATGATGGACCATCCAGTGTGGATTGCCTCTTGTTATGAGTTAATGGCAGCTCGACGGAACACAAGATCTGGATCTGGCTCAACCTCGCATTGCCATGGGAATGGATGTCATTGTTTGGCTACACGCTGCCCGAGTGCTGGAGACTTGAGAGACGCCTGCCTATGCAATGTGCCGTGCTGTCGGTGCCTGCGTCTTTGCGTCTCTGCGTCTCGCAATTGCATTGCCAGAAGCAGGTAGGTAGGCACTTGCTCCCTTGACCTTTCGACCGACAACTGTCCTGATTCGCAAGTCATTTAAAATCTTTGGAAAAGGTGCTTCACGGCTTCAACTTGGCTATCTCTATTTGGC